AGAAGGGAGATAGCTATCTATTACTATAGGAATAGCGGGAATATCTAACTAATGTAATAGGAGAATATATAGAATAGGAGCCATAGATAAATAGTAGGTTAGAGCAGACCCCCTCTCCAGGCCTATTATAGGAAGCAGCTAGTATAGAAGAATATACTCTAAAATCTAGAAGATATAATATATAATAAAGAGAGTAGATATAGAAGGAATAACCTATTACTATCGTTTCAGTTAATAAATATAGAATATTCAAATATAAATAATAGGTTAATTAGCTTAAAATAGTAAATATTAAGCTAATAGTAAAAGAAGTTAGGGAACTTAAAGTAGTAAATATTAAACCTAGAAATAATAAGTTTATATATTATAAAGATATAGTAAACAGTATAAAGATAGGGCAGATCCTAGATAACTATAAGGGGTATCTGGTATTTACAGTAAAACATCTTATAGGGCTACCAGACTATAGACCTTAGGATTATGAAATTAAATTTAAGGAAGGGGCCTAATTAAAGTTTTTTAAGGTATATTATACCAATAAGAAGTAAGATATAGAGTTAAGGAGCTATCTTAAAAAGAACTTCGAGATAGAATATATTAGATTATTAATATCTCTAGCAGGCTACCTAATCCTCTTTATTTTAAAAAAGAATAGAAAGCTTAGAATATATATAGATTACCGATAGTTAAACAACGAAATGGTAAAGAACCAATACCTACTGCCTCTAATTTCAAGGCTTTGAGATTAGCTATTAGAAGTATAATACTTTATATAATTTAACCTTCTAACAATATATACCTATATCTATATTAAAGGAGATAAATACAAGATAGCTTTTCGGATATTCTATAGATACTATAAATACCTTATTATACTATTTAGGTTAACTAATATACCAGTAACGTTTTAAACTGCTATTAATTTTATATAATCTAATATTATCTCGATAAACTTATAATCTATTACTTAAATAATATTCTTATCTACTCTAAAATATTTGAAGAATATAAGAAATATATATAATAGATACTAAATATACTATATAAATATAAGTTATTAGTTAATAAGGATAAAAGTAAGTTTTATATTAAGAAGATAGTATTTCTAGGTTATAAAGTCTCTCTAGGATAGGTTAAAATCGAACCTGAGAAACTAGAAGCTATTAAAATATAGCCGATACCAATAAACGCTATAGAGGTTAGAGGATTTATTAGATTCGCTAACTTTATTAAAGTATCTATTAAGAATTTTAATAACTTTGTAAAACTTTATATAAAGTTACTAAAAAGGATACTATATTCCAGTAAAAGCAGAAGTATAAGTAGACTTTCTAACAGATCTGTGATACGATTATCACTGACCCAGTACTTATACTCTCTAATCTAAATATACCTTTTAAAGTCGAGGCTAATACTTCGGACTTTGCGATTAGAGGATAGCTTGGTTAGAAGGATAATAACGGTATGCTTCATTCAGTTATATTCTTCTCTAAGAAATTTAAAGGATTAAAGCTTAACTACCTAATCTATAATAAGGAGCTTCTTATAATTATCAAAGTATTTTAGAAATAGAGACTATATCTTAGTAGTATAATATATATAAAGTCTAGGTATATATAGATTATAAGAATTTATAATACTTTATTACTATTAAGGTATTAAATAGATAATAGATTTAATAGATAGAATTTCTATCTGAATTTAACTTTATAATCTACTATAAAAAAGCTTTAGAGAATATATAAGCAGATACCTTAAATAGGAGAGTAGATTACTATAATAATATATCTAAAGTTTTACTACTATTACTATATTAATAGATAGATAGATCTCTATAATATATTTTCTAACTCAAGACTATAAGATTATATTACTTTAGTAATAGTTAGAAGATTCTAGAGATAGGCCTCTATAACTGTTTATAGAATATTATATACCTTTTAAGGAATAATAACTGGAACGAGACTTCTAAGAGATTATTACAGATAATAAATATAATATATAGTAAGAAGAGCTAGAATCTAAGATTATAGCGTTACAATTTAAAGAAATAAGGCTCTAATACTATAATAAGGCCTATATTAGATTTGGTAACTAAAAGGAATTTATTTAAAAAAAGTCTATAAGTTAAGATTCGGAGGATATATAGGAATTAGTAAGATAATTACGAAAGTTAAGTAGAATTATAACTTTCTAAGAATTAAATAGATAGTAAAAGAGGTCCGGGCAGAATATAACCTCTCTAAGCGAAATAAACTAGAACGGTATAAGCTATATAGACTACTATAGCTATTACCAGTTATAGAATAACTATAGAGCTCACTCAGTAACAATAGACTTTATTACTAAACTATTAATATCTAAGGATTTAATAACGGGAGTAGAATATAACAGTATCTTATAATAGTAGATAGACTTACTAAGTAGAGTTACTTCCTCTTTTATAAAGAGATATAGTTAGTAGAATAACTTATAGATATAATCTATTATAATATTACCTCGGTTTTTATATAGCCGGAGGAATAGATTATAGATAGAGATATTAAATTTATATTAAACTTTTAGTAAGTTCTGATAATAAAACTAAATATAAAGAGTAAGCTTTTAACCGCTTATTATCCATAGATAGATAGATAGATAGAATAACTTAACTAGGTTATTAAATAATATCTATAGTTATATATTAACTTTTAATAAGATAATTGGATTAAGCTATTACTAATAGTATAACTTGCCTATAATACTACTATTATAGAGATTATTAGGGTTATATTATTTGTTATAAATTTCGGCTATAAAATAGATTTATAATAAGGTGTCTAAGGTGTCAATACCTAGAGTAATAGTTAAAGCTAATAAAATAAACTTACTATATATAATATTTAAGGAAGAATTTAAATTTATATAAATATAAATAAAGAAGTTCTACACTAGAAATAGGCTTAAGGAACCTTGTCTAGAAGAGGGGTGTAAAGTTTACCTTATTTCTTGAAATCTTTATATAAAGCGATTAAATAGAAAGTTTAACTTTTATAAAATCGGGCTATTTAAGATCGATAGGAAGATTTCGGAGAATAATTATATATTTATATTACCCTTAATAATATAATTATAGACTAATACTTTCTATATCTTACGTCTAGAACTAATATCTAAAGGTATATAACTTAATAAGGATATTAAAGTAGAAGATAAAGAGGAGGAATAGAATATTAAAGAAGTTCTAAACTTATATATTATAAAAGGATAGTTAGAGTATTTAGTTAAAAATGGCTAGACTTTAAACTAGAAGATGATTTATAGTAACTAGCTGTAAATCTTAACTATTTTAAGAAACTTTAAAAGTTCTACTAGAGGAACCTAGATTAATTAAAAGAGATATTAAAGATTAGTTAAACCTAGTAGGGAAGTTAATAAAGGAAGAACTAGGTAATATATTAAGAATCGGTAAGGGAAGAAGATATAGATTATAAACCTCTAGATCTAGAAAGAGTTAAGGAGTAACTAGTCGGGAACTAGGTCTATTATCGGCGGGATAGTAGCCTAGGCTATAGTCCTCTCTGCCTGTTATCTCCTCGCCTTCTCTATCTTCTATTATTCCAACTCTTCTAGCTCTTTAACCAAGATAACCCTATAAAAGATAATATAAATTATCTTCTCTAACTACTTTTACTTCTGCTAATATAGGTATTTAACCTTTATAGCTATTATAGCTAACTTATCCTCTACTTCTTCTATTTTAGTTTCTAAGTAATAAAAGTTAGATATAATCTTATATAAATATTTTATATTTATACCCTATATGTTATATAATAATTGATTATAGGTAATATATTTAAAATATCGGCTTAAATTAGAAGGGGAGGCTTTATAGGGGAGTTTATAGTCCTTATAGTAAGAGTAAGGATATTTTACTGAAGAATCGAATATTATTGCTAGGAGCTAATTATAATCAATAGTTTTAAAGTAGAGAGTAATAGATTTCGATATTATTTTTCTTATATAAGATAATATAATATTAGCCGATATATATAACAGAAAGAGGGAAAGGGCTATATACCTAGAGATAGGCTATTAATACTATTTAAGAATAGAAAGGTTAGTAAATCTTCTAGAATAGAAAATATAGAGAAGAAATATTATATATATTATAGGTATAGTTATATATAGATTACCTAGTAGAGTATATTAGCAGTACTCTAGGTTAATTAACAAGGAATAACCTCCTCTAATAGGAGCTAGATTATAAGCTCTAGCTATAATCTAGAAATAACTAATTAGGAGTAGATTATTAGATTAAGGAATAATCTAATAACCTAGAACAGGTTATAGGATTATAAGAATATTCTTCGATCTAGGTATAGAGGTACCTAAGGATATAGATAGTATATAGTTACTCGTTCTAGAGAGCTCTGGGAGTTCTCCAGTTAGCAATTATAACTATAGTTTGCTATAAGTTCGAGAGCCTACTATTAAGATAAGTCTTTATTATATACCCTTTAGCTATACCGAACCTAAATACCCTTAAGAGAATACCTTCAACCGATACTGAACCCTAATAGGACGGGTCTAGAGATAGGTTCGTTATAAGTTCTCTAAAGATTAGTTCTAGTTATTCTCTAGACCTAATATATAAGTCTAGACAAGAGGTTCTAGCTAGGAATTAAGTCTGGCTTTACTAGTGAATCGCCTTAGTTATATAGCTCCTATATATATATAACTATCCTCTTCAGCAGTTTCTCAGAGAGTTCAGTTCCTAGTTAGGAACCCCTATCTATACCTATAATATTTTACTAAATATACAGCTGACACTCTACCTACCCCCTCTGCTAACATATTCTTCAACGATCTGTGCAATTAGAGCGCTAGCTCTACTTCGTTAATATCTGTTTTCCCCCTAGACGAGATCTAAGCACAATGACAATACACTAATTCCTACACTGCGGAGAGAGGACTCATAGATCTTCTTGATACTCTATTCTATTTTACTTCCCCTCGAACTACGCCCGTAAGAAGGTTTTAAATACTGCAGAGTCCGTGCAGTCCTCCCACGGGTACCCAATCTCCTTCAAGAACTGCTGCAATTCGCATACCTCGTCGTCTGGACACAAGATGCCTGTCAGCACCTGGCCAATGTCCCCACCGTAGTTCCGGTACTGGAACAGGCTGATGTTGTATTTTGGTCGCAGGGTCTGCAGGAATCTCTCAAGGGCGCCGGGCCGCTCGGGGAAGCGGAACATGTAGAGCCGTTCGTTCGGAACGCTGGACTGGCCGCCCACCATGTACCGGAGATGGCTCTTCGCGAGCTCGTCCCCGGACAAGTCCGTCACGTCCATGGTTCCCGACTGCTTGATGCGGTTGATGATGCTCTGCAGTTCCTGGGCGCGCTGGCTCCCCGGCGCGGTGAGCGAGATACCAACCAGCACGTTGGCCTCGTTTTCGTTGGCGTACCGGTAGCTAAACTCAGTCACGGAATGGGGCATGACGGCGTTGATAAGCTCGGCGAACGCGCCGGGGCTCTCTGGGATCTTAGCTGCCAGGAGCGCCTCCCTCCCCTCGCCGTAAGTGGCACGGGCAGCGACAAAACCCAGACGATCGAAGTTCATGTTTGCGCCGGACGTGATGGCGACAACGGACCTTGACGGATCGCCAGACGGGTTGGCTGTTACCCACTTCTTCAGTCCCGCAATGGCCAACGCGCCGGCGGGCTCGACAACAGACCGAGTGTCCTCAAACATGTCCTTAATTGCCGCGCACGCCTCATCCGTCGTCACTCGAACCATCTCGTCTACCACTTCCTGGCAAATGCGGAAGGTCTCCTCGCCCACGGTCTTGACCGCCGCTCCATCTGCAAATAGACCGACGTCCTTCAGAAGGACGCGCTCACCCTTCGCGAGAGACTGGGTCATGGCGTCCGCATCGTAGGTCTCCACGCCGATGATCTTGACGTGCGGCGCAATGCGCTTCACATAGACACCGACACCGGCAATGAGGCCGCCGCCGCCCACACAGCAAAAGATAGCGCGGAGCTTCTGGAGGTTCGTCTGGGAGAGGATCTCCATGCCGATGGTACCTTGGCCGGCGATGACGTACGGGTCGTCAAAGGGCGGGATGTTGATCAGGCCGCCCTGCTTTTCCCGCCGGGCGCACTCCTCCTTGGCCTCGTCGAAGTCACCCCCGTGGAGCACAACATGACCCCCCATTCTCGAAACGTTGAGATGCTTGATGCTGGGCGTGCCCTTGGGCATCACGATGGTAGCGGGTATCTTCAGCTTCCTGGCAGAGTACGCCACCCCCTGGGCATGGTTGCCGGCGCTGCAGCACACCACCCCCTTCCACGACTCGGCGCGGTCCAGATGGGCCATCTTGTTGTAAGCGCCCCGCAGCTTGAAGCTGAACACGGGCTGCTCATCCTCACGCTTCAGCAGCACCTTACATTCTAGGCGGTTGCTAAGGTTGACCGCGTGGACCAGCGGGATTTCGTTGCATACCTCCCTGACCCGGGGGTATGAGGTGATGATGAGGCGCAAGTACTGGAACCCGTTTCAGTCACACGTCGAATGGAGAGCACCCTGGTATAGCCATGACGGCCTTGGTGGTTCGGTGGACTGGGCAATGGCGATGCGTGGCTGGCAGGCCTCGCGGTGGTGTGGGCGGCGGAGGAGGGTCTGAGTGACTCACATCGGGGTTGCCATTGGGCAAAAGAAACTCGTCGGGGACAATGTTCTTTATGTGCGAATTTCTGCTCTCGGATGAAGGCATTGGCTTTGCGCTATATTCGGTGAGCGAGAAACTGCTCAGGGAGGGTGTCCTGGCCAGGGGCCCATCGCTGTGAGAAGGTGTTTGTGTTGGGGTTTGCGTCGTCTGGGTAGTGCTACCGGTGCCATTGTCGGCTGCGATCTCTTCCACCACCCCGTTTGTGACGGGGACAGCGGTATCTGAAGAAGCCATGATCCGATCGCACCCTCAACTCTCTTGTCTTTCAAGGTTTTAATTGTTGGTGTTTTAGGAGAGAGTACAAGCTCCGTTTTCGGCAATCTTTCAAGTTGGGAGATAATTTTAGTGGGGACTGTGCATCATTTCCTTGGCTATTCGCCTTGGCCTGCCTTTTCTCCCTTGGGTCGCGGGGAATGTTGGCGGGGCACATGATGGTGCTCTTAATCGCTGGATGGATGTATACGGCATTGGCGCGCCTGGGACAGGTCTATCTCGGTACAATATAGTTTGGATTTGTGCTGGTTTAGGAATATATGGAGGTGGGCTACTCCATGCATTCATTTCTCAACAATTGTCGTCTGATGGTGCACTTTCTAGGTTCTTCGTGGGTTTCTGAGAGCGGGCAGTGGTTTGGGAAGTGGCCTGTGCGTTCCCTTCGCCCCCACAATCGCAGGTGAGCCGGGAGCCGTGGAAATCCGGGCTTGCTGAATTGATCAAGGTCGCGAATTCCACGACCATCCCATCCCACACACTACCATCCGATAGGATACCGAGACCCGGCGAAGTTCCAACATGTCCGACCGACCGATATCCGGGCGGCCGCTGCCGTCTTCCTTTGACGGCAATGAGTAAGCCAGCTAGCACGCTCTCCTTCCTGTTCGGCCGCGAGTATACAAGGGCTCACATGGGGCTCGCGCAGGGATTTCTACAACGAATCTTCGTCTCAGAAGGTGTTCCGGAAGCTCAAGGAGGAGCCATTGGTTCCGATCGGTTGCATACTCACCATCGCCGCGTTCACGAATGCCTGGCGAGCGATGCGCCGCGGTGACCACCACAAAGTTCAGCGCATGTTCCGAGCCCGTGTCGCGGCGCAGGGTTTCACGGTGCTGGCCATGGTCGGCGGCGGCATGTACTACGCCGAGGACCGCAGCAAGCGGAAGGAGCTCTTGAAACTGGAGCAGCAGCAGGCGGCCGAGGAGAAGCGTCAAAAATGGATCAAAGAGCTGGAGGCACGCGATGAGGAAGAGAAGGCGCTCCAGGAGATGATGGACAAGAAACGGAAGCGGGCCTCAGAACGCACGGCGCGCACCGAAACTGGGTCCGAGGGGATCGCGGCACAAGCGAGAGCCGCTTTCAAGGAGAAGGCTGGCAAGGGCGAGAAAGCGGGCACAGAGAAGACCGAAGCCCCTGGCCAACCAGCCGATAGCGAGAAGAAGTCTGGTAGTTCTGGGTTCCTCGGGGGTTGGTTCGGTGGTTCAAGCAAGACGCCGGAAGCTCCAGCCAAGGACACAAAAGACCAGAAGCCCAACTCCTCGAGCTCGAGCTGATCGGATACAGGCCGAGACATCACGACCCTTCGGCGTGTAAGTGTACGCCGCAGTGTGCATAAAATGTGTAATATATCAAACAAATTCGGCGTTCGGGTCTACGGAATCACAGCTTCTTAGTTCGCTTTTCCGCCCTTTCGAGAAGGGTAACGAAGGTAGTATATCAGTTGTTTCCGCCTGGAAAGTGCACATCAAATATAATACTACAACGAACCGATCCCTTGGACGCTCTCGGACCCCGACGTACTTGCCACCGCGCATGATTGCTCCATTTAGGCCATGCTGCCCCCGCTCCTATTTGCCCCGACCAGCCCAGCCATCTCCAATAAGGCCCGATCAGCCTCGATGTCACCGGTGCCGAGATTAATCTTCCTCCTCGCCTCCGCTTCCCTGGCCTCCCACGCCCAACGCTCGGCCTGGTGCTTGGCCTCTTCGTCTCCGCCGCAGCCCCATACTTCAATGCTCGAGATCTCGAAGCGCTCTTGGAAATCGAACTTCCTCGCCACACTCGTCTGGAACGCCCCACCTTGCGATGTGTAGTTGTGTGTGAAACATCCGAACTCAAAGCTATCCTCAAGCGCGAGCGAGACTGGTCCCAGTGACATAATGTTGGAACGACGGTATGCCTGGGTGGGTTGTGGCGGCGGACAGCCGAATGATATCCCGCCCAATGGCGCGGAGCCTGATGGTTTTGTGAATGATGCGTAGTCCTTGTTCATCGTGGACGCGCGGAATACGTCATGGACCGGCTCAAGTTGAAACATAATGCTATCTTCGCTGCCGAAGCACTCTCGATGTGTATGTTTCCAGGTCTGGTCCAAGTACACTCCAAACGTCAACCTCTGGTGTTTACCTCCAGACTTGTTTCCGGGCGGAAAACGTTGTGAGGGCAGGGTCGAAAGGAACGCTGAAGCAGGCCCCGAGTGTTCATGGAGCGCCTCGTCCGGAAGGCGGGTCCCGCTCACGAGCAGGATGGTTGGCGCTCTCCAGTTAAAGACCTTCGATTCGAAACTCCCCATGCTAAAACCGTCTTCATCGCCAGAGTACAAGAGACGGAGCCTGCGAAATAGCGACGAGCCTGGGATAAAAAAGGAGATCTGAGATAGAACGTTCAGGTTCATGATTGACCCGGTGTTTTCCAGTAATGGTTGGACCGGCTCCTGTGGTGGGTTGGCGGGCTGGTCCTGGCCGCCGACACGACGGTGGAAGTCCAGGTTCTTGGAAAACAAGAAGTGCTCGAATAGGGCATTGAGACCGTCGAATATAAACGGCATAGATGCTGGAACGATTGTGTTGAAACGTAGAAACTTGATGCCGGGCACCTGCTCACTGTTGCCAAAGGCCGCAAACACGCAGCCTGCTGTTTTTCGTAGGTTTTCCAGTTCGTCACCGGATAGCCGAGTCGAGTACGACGATAGACTCTCCTGTGGGCCTAGAGGTGCTACTAAGAGGAGAAGCATGATAAGTTTTCGAAAGTTATCCGCCGGTATCATGGCGCCGTGGGTGACAGGAAGCCCCCCTTGCTTTAACGCGCTGATGTAGTCCAACGAGTCGAACGCCGCAAGGACCAACTCATCATCGTCGTCGAGCCCCGGGTCCTCATCATCCCCAGGCTCATCAATGGCAAAACCCGAGGGCGATGCCGCAATAGGAGCTCCGTTCCCATGCCGACTAGTTCCGGACCGATCAGTCTCCACGCTTGACTTGGCGCGTTCATCCGGTTGCGACTCGGAGAGCTTGCGGTCATAGACTGCCAGGCTTCTGAATAGCAGTTTCCTCCGGTTTGCAGCACCGTTGGTTAGGACCCTCCGATATCTCTCTGTTAGAATCGTGACGACCATAACCATCTGTTCCAGGCCCAGGACAGCAGGGGCTTCCTGGAGGAAGGGGAACGCGCCGAGGTAGGACACCATCTGAAAAAGCACAGGGATCACGTCGAGGGCATCGGGAACCTCGAGATATCGTGCGATGGTGCCCTCTTTTAGGTAGCGGACCTCGTGTTCACGGTCGGCGAGGCTGTTGAAGACATCCTTGAGAGAATACAGCTCAAGAGGGGTAAAACACTTTTCCGCAAACTTGTTGGCCTAGACAGAGATGACATAACGGTGAGACCCTAGTTGGCGGTCGCGAGAACAAGTAGCGCGGATTGCAAATGGAGCGCTCACCAGTTCCTTTGTTAGCTCGTCGTGGGAGCGAGGAGCGGAATCCTCATTCGATAGCGCTTGCCCCATGGTGGATATGAGGACCGGCCTGGAGGCATTGAGCGTGGGACAGGGCACAATTCGTTCACTTTGAGCGTAGCCGGCTGGACTAGATCATTTCTGTGGTGTTGCGAGTTTTAATCATGGGAGAAAAAGCTCAACGTCAGTGAGCATGTTTGGGAATGCAGGCACAACAGAAGGTGGAAGAGGACCAGGTTGGTTCCAGCTCTGCGCTTGGTTGCGGCAGAGGCGGCCCCACCCAACACAATCCAGAGCCAGAACCACCACAGCTAGTAGGTATTTATTTGGATGCGGTCACTCTGGACATGCAATATCCTGGCATCCACGAACAAAGTAGACCTACACAGTAACTAGAGCACAAGTATATATATGGTCTCGGCCGGCCGTTCTGCCAGGCTGGCCGTCGAAATTAATGCGCTACCGGTGGTTTCTGAAGAATGAAGAAAACGACAGGCGCGCGCAAGACATGTTTCCACAGGGCGGGCCAGCGACCTGCAAGTAAAAAGCCGTTCCGTGCCGCATCCGTCAACCTGGCGAGCCTGACGTATCATCACGGCTCGGCTGGCAACGAGGTGTGGAGGGTTCCTTCTGGGTGTAAGTGGAATGCGGGGCAAGTTGCAAGGGTCCCAGCCATCATCTCAGCCCAAGCTGCGTCACTGTTGCCGGGCCATGGTTGCCGTGTGCGTCGAAGGGTGGGGTGATCCAACCTATCGCCTGTTACCGCCCTTTACACTAGGGAGCTTGCAGATGCATCATGTCGAACAAGGAGGAGGTGCTGCCCGGTCGACAAGTACCTTACTTCCTGCCCAAATACAAAGAAGCCTTGATACCCGCCCCGCTCGCCTCCTCTCTTTCCGCCCGGCTTCACGACTTCGCTCGCATTTCACCATCCCCCAATACCCCGCTATTGCCCAGCCGACAATCCATACCAGAGACTTGAAGCATTAATTGCATCATGGCGGACGAAACCATTAAGCCCGTCGACGAGACCCCTATCTCACCCAGCCGACCCAACCCGGCGCGGAAGAACTCACTCGAGTTCCACTTGAGCCACCGACCGGATCGTCAGGAGCTTGTTAAGAGTATGTAGCATGTCGTCATTGCCATCGTCTAGTTATCGACATTGGGTGCTGTTATCGACATTGGGTGCGCGAGGCTGACCCTGCGACCCTCCGCGCCACACAGAGAACATCCTCCCTGCGTCAACAGCCGCCCCAGGCCTCCAGGCGCACCAGAAAGATGTGAGTAACAGGCTCGAACTCGCCACCCCTTCTTGTCAGCGCTGTAGGCCAGATTCCACTGACCCGGTTGTGGTACGCGCAGCTTGAGAGGCACATGCGGGCCGACTCGCTGAACGAGAAGATTGCTCATCGGCCCTCCCCGGAGGCGCTGCTGAAAGACGGCGTTCTTCATGACGACCCACGCTCGCCGGATGATAAATATGCCGAGGCAATCGAGGAGGAATACGCCAAGCGGGAAGGCGGCGCTTAAGAAGCATACCGTCGCACAGGGGATGTTGTTTTTCGGAAGGTTTCCCGAATGAAGTACACATGGGACTTTTGGGTTTAGGTTCCCTGATATCGTACCAGTACCTGCTCAGCTACCGAGATCGCACGCTTCTAAATGCGTTGGTTACCAGGACATCCTCCATCTATAACACGATAAGACGTTTCCCTTCAAGCCTCATGATGCTCAATGCAGACCACAAAAAGGGCCTTGTATGTACACAACCCCAAAAGGCATGTGGCTGATTGGCTGTCGCTACAAACCAGTCAGCGACTCGTGCATGGGGACGCAATATCTTCATAGACAGATTACCATTAGCAGCTATCTGTGGATTTTCTCACCCATCTCCCACGCCTCGCGCGAGCAGGGGTTAGCGAGCGGCTGAGACAAGCGCTAACTAATGCAATGCGAGCGCAAAGACTCCAAATTGCAGCCCCCCGTTGGACTCTTGGGCGCTAAGGTGAGCGTCGGACTGGGATACGAAAAGAACACTCACTCTTAGCCGCACGACGCTGGCGCTTATGGTTCACACAGGAGACCTACATAAACAAGGCTCATCATCGAGTAGGTATGGTGGTTCTTGCCAGCTTACCCTTCGAACCTTTTCCGCCGTGACTTCGACTCCTTTTCTCACAGAAAGCTCTCTATCAATCTAACCGCCGCCACCGCCGCACCTCCCTCATATCTCATCATGCCGGAACGAAACGACTACACCGTCGGCTGGGTGAGCGCCTTGCCTATCGAGCGGGCTGCTGCCCATGTCGTGCTCGACAAGGTACACGACCGGCTTGACTACAACCCCCACCGGAGAGACAGCAATACATACCTTTTGGGGGAGATTGGGGACCACAACGTTGTCATCTGTATCCTACCCAAAGGCGAATACGGAATATCCACTGCGACTGCTGCTGCGACGAACATGTTGAACACGTTCCCGAGTATCAGATTTGGTCTGATGGTTGGCATTGGCGGCGGTGCTCCGAGTCGCGAGAACGACATTCGTCTGGGGGACATCGTTGTGAGCCGCCAGGATGGCAACGGCACCGGTGTGTTTCAGTTCGATTATGGGACGACTATCCAGGGCCAAGAATTTCTTACGACTGGGTATCTAAACCCACCTCCCCAAATCCTGGAAGCGGCCGTGGCGGATATGGAGGCCGAGCATCTGGTCAACGGTCACAGTGTCGACGATGACATAACCGGGATAATCAAGGGAAAACCACAGCTGGAAAGGCTCTTTCGGCGGCCAGGCCAAGACCTGCTCTTCAAGAGCCACGTCGTCCACCCAACGAAGGACGACGTGAACTGCGCCGAGCACTGCGCCGCCGACAAGTCAAATCTTGTCGACCGACGCCTGCGGGCCCAGGACGAGAGCAGCCCGGCGATCCACTACGGTCTCATCGCATCGTCCAACCAGCTGATGAAGGATGCCCTTGTCCGCGACCGATTCTCGAAAGAAAAGGGGGTTCTCTGCTTTGAGATGGAAGCCGCTGGCCTGATGAACATATTTGACTGCCTCGTCATCCGTGGCATATGTGACTATTCTGACTCTCACAAGAACAAAGTATGGCAGCCCTACGCCGCTTTGGCTGCGGCTGTATATGCGAAGGACCTCCTCCTGCGCGTTTCGCCTCTCGGGGTCGAGGCTCAGGATGGGTTTATCGACCGGTTTTTAGCTGGTCAGTGGCTTTCCGTTGAGGCAGTAACTAAAAGATGGAGAGAGATGAATGCTAACAATTATTGTTCCATTTGCTCACTTCAGTCGGCGATGACGGCGCTGTGGTCAAAACGGCCGCCCAGGCCCAAGCCGACAATGAAACCAACCGCGAACTCCTAGATTGGGTAACTTCATTTTACCATCGCCCTCAGCATCACGCCTATCTTCAGCGGCAATAGCCGGGCAGCCTCTGGCCAAAAGAAAGCCGAACTCGAAAGGAAAGCAAGAAACGAAAGAGGGAAAAAGAACAGTAATGGAGTAAATGCGGTTTCTTTCGGCTTTATGGTGGCTTTCGTTTTGTTCTCACAGTCGAGGACTCGAAGTTTCCATGGTCGATATATGAGCATGGAGTTCGGCTTTTTTGTCCACGAGGTGCCGGTACTTGCCGGTCGCTCCTCGAGCCTCCAGGTTTCAGACACAGAGAGACGGTAGCAGGCAGACCCTGTTCTGTCCCGGCATACCCGGCGCCAGAAAGACGATCTTGATTCTCTTCGCCGCTGGCAGACAAGTGAACAATGTCCTGGGAAAGGTTCCAAGACGATAGCAGTGTAGGAGCTATGCCACGGTTGGGGGGCATGGGAGGATGGTTGAGATATGGCTTCAAACTGAAGAAGTCGACGTCTCCGTGTGAGACTGTCAGGGGCGGCGGCTTTATCCTGCGGTGGTGGAGGGCACCAAGGGGTTGTCAAACTAGTGCTAATCAGTGGTGTGGACTGCGCAGTCGGCTCCATAGATGCACATGGGCACGCGGCACTATCACACGGAGCTTTCGCTAGACACGCAAACACTATGATGAGGCTAATTTGAGACGGGCCCGAACGATTTCCAAAGGGTGGTGAGGGGGGATCTCTATCAATACACACGATCACGCAGGGCAACCAACGGGTGGTAGCAGTGCTGCCTTCGGGCGCCGTACTCGCCAATCTTCTTTTCGTTTTGACACCAAGAAAGTTCGCGTGAACCTGAGGGATCCGTGGAAAATGGCACCGCTACTGACAGCTGCGGTGGAAGGCCACACACTGCCGTGGTCAGGTTGCTGTTGGAGGCTGAGGGTATCATCGCCGACCTGAAGGACAACTGTCATACGCCGCCGGGGGCAGGGTACGAAGATATCGTCAAGCTCCTCCTCGCATGGACAAATGTCGACGCCGCACGCACCCATGCCATGCAACAGAAAGCTCTTTCACACACGGCTCGGGGCGGCCTTGACTCTCTCGTTCGGCTGCTCTTTGCCGCTGTCAGGGTCGACCCGTACCCGCATGACTCCCCTTGGTGGGCGAGACTGTTTCTAAACACGACCTATATGTATTCCAACACCGCCTTGGAGTTGCTGAGCCAGGTTGGCAGCACCGAAACCATCCTATGGCGAGTGTACTCGGCGGCAGCGATGATATTCAGACTTGGGGCTGGTAACGGTATTGTCGGCGAGGCGTTGCGCTCGATCGCTGGAGAATGCTTCAGAAGAAACACGGATTCTTGCATCAAGCCCCCGGGTCGGGGTTGTGGGCCGTCAGGGATTGGTCGGAAGCTAGGAGCGATGGATTTACAACTGTAGTCATGTTGCTCGAGTCGGTTAGCGAAGAGCATGAGTGCCGCATGATGCCTAGGTGGTGCGCACGACCGGGGGCTCGAAGCGGCACGACGTCGACCTGGACTGGGATGATAAGGATAAAGCCCGACTCCCCTTGACCCGCCTCCTTCACGAATGGTGATGGCTCCCATTTTATTGGCGGTAATCGACATGGAACGAGAAACGACTGGTGTACGAGCGAAGGCGAGAACTCGACGTGCTCGGGTTTCTGGATGATGGTGGCTTCGAGCCACCAACTGTCGGTATTCAGGCGGGGTCGTTCTTGCTTACCCCTCTTGCGAATTGGTCGTCTCCTGTTGACAACCCCTCACCTCCCCTCCTCCAGACGAAGTACACTCCCGTCCTCCAATCAACCAGGGCGGGGATATCCTCCGACATTGCACTGCACCAGACATGCATGGAATGCATGAACCACCGCGATTGTAACAGTGGGGTTCGATCTACCAATCTTGAATATCCGACGCGGTGGGACGGACTTCACGACATGCCACGAGGTTATCTCACTGTTGTTGTCAACCAGTATTGTTATTGACGCCTTTTGATGGGGGCATGTGTTAGGCCACGCGCATACTACAACTAAGAAAATGTATCCGAATACTGCCGTTGAACCCCAAACTAACCCCAAAACACAAATATCCCAACCGCCGACCACTTTTACCCATTGCTGGGGGCGTGCCTGCTCCATGGAACAAGCCCGCTGGTGATCCCGTGTACCCGTAAATGCTTAACAGACAGCCAAACCAACTCCAGAGATAGGAAAATGCCGAATGAAGTACAGCGCGCCGCTCATGTTGCAGGCGAGACAGCCCAGCCAGACCCGGGGTCTACTTCTGGGTGCTGGGGGGGTTGTGCTGGATAAGCACAGTGCCGGCGCCGCCGCGGGAGCTCGGGACAGTCTTGACGGATTTGTAGAAGTTGTCTGTGGACTTGTTAGTTGCATAGCAAAAAGAGGGCGGTATTCGGGGAGCGGAGGTGCTCACCTGCGGCGCCGGAGCGGTATTTGGTCTCGGTGACGGTCCGGGGGCTGGCCGGATAGTCCATTGTGGAAGTCCTCGAGCCGTACGACGAAGATGTGGTTATCTTGGGGGCCAAGCGGGTTGAGGAGCGGCTAGAAACGCCACTGGAGGTAAACGACGAAGGCATTTCCCGTTTGGGTAAAGAAGTGACTTGTGTCAAGTGATGGACGATGGTGCAGGTGGTGGTTGGTTTACTGCGGAGACGATGTTGTGATGGCGGATGCGGAAAGAGGACAACATTGCGAGAACACAGAGAGAAGAGATCATGATATAAATACTACTTTGAGACTATGCTAGTGTGTGTACAATGCTTGATGAACTTGGGGCGCGCATCATCAAGAGATTGTTGGGGCGAGCAGGGGCGATGCTCGGTGGTTCCTTAGGCACACACCAAGGCTGCTGGTGCCTTGTACCTTTCGTCGCCAATCTGGCTCGGGAACGTCAAAGTGGAGAGATAGAATGACTCAATATCCTAGGTGAGCAGTCTCGAACTTCCAAGGGGCACCATTTTCCGTGGGGCCGTGCAAGACGTAGGTTGAAGGGGCCGGGGAGGTTCCAGGTCGTTGAACGTTGAGAACTCCAATCAACACCAAACCCCCAACGACAACTTGTCTGCGCCCCGTTCCCCTTCTTCGGGTAGCGAGTAGTACATTGGGCTGGGGGCATCAAAACCCGGCGCGGATGGTATAACTTGTGGCAAAAAAAAAGAAGGCATCTTTCGTCGTAACAGGTGACTTGTCGGCACAGCCTCTTGGTCTGGCGAGGCGCGAAAGACCAATTCGGTGAGGACGGGGGGGCAGAGAGCAGGGCTCATCGGAACCCGCCGAAGTGCTTGGTGACAGACAACCTCGATTGGGACGTTTGATTTGGCCGCGCAATCTGGGTTGGCGAAAGATGAGCATTCTGCCTGCTGTTGCCTTAAAGTCAAGAACCCAGACTGTGTTGTTTGAACCTAAACCTTTCTTTTTGTGTGGCTGGGAACGTTGACTCATCGAATGATCCCTGATATCTAGGCTGCAATGGCCCCGTCGCCTCAGGACGACCTGACAACCACCGAAACCGATGTGACGGATAAAATCACAACTGTCGTTGTTTTTGTTGCGACTGACCTTCTTCACCTTGGCCCGACTTGGTGACTTGCCAATGCCGGGCATGCGAAGCCAATCCCCGTCAGGTCCCACCCGTTCACTTCTTGGGCGAGTAATGTGCCTAAAGCTTGGCGGGCACAAGGTGTTCGTACAGACAGGTAGGTACCTGGGCGTATATCCGCTTTCTCCAGGCCAAAAAGGTAGTTACCGACTAAACTACCTAGGGAATTTGCCTCTGAAAGTCACACGACGATTCTGTAATGCTGCCCAATTCGGTTTTTTTTCTTCCCTTCCTCGGGCAGCGATATCTGTTGCGTTCCAGGTTTCCAGGTAAGGTTGCTCTGCGCATGTGAGCAGCATCCACCACAGGCAGGCTTGGCGGGCAGTTCCATGTGTACCTGCTTTGGGCATGCGGTTGTGAAACACTGGCAGCGGACAGAAGCAAACGACACTAGCGCGGCTGGAAACGCTGTGTGGCCCATGCATTTCATCAGCGATTGAGCGGACCGACTCCACCATGGCTGGGCGTGAGGTTCCATTGCTCCTGGTCTTGACCCTGGCTTCTGGATGATCTGGCCTGCCGCTGCCCATCTCTCCAAACTACATACTGTGTCGATTGCTGCTCTTCAACAAAACCAATTTTACCAAGCTTCCGCCACCGAACCCGCCCCAATCTGTCCAACTCGCCTTGCCGTTCGCCTCAGTTTTCTTCAAGATGCAACACCTCCTTTTGTCCCTGTCCCTGCTCGCCTCGGCTGCCGTTGGCGCCCTGGCTTCGGACGACTTGAAGATCGACGTTACGCTCCCGGTCGAGTGCGAGCGGAAGACCCAGAAGGGCGACACCATCAATGTCCATTACAGCGGAACCCTCCAGTCCAATGGCAAGAAATTCGATGCGAGTAAGTCTGCTGTGCCCGAGCCCTGCGCCGCCCCCCTTAGGTACCACCCTACTTGGGGCTGCCGATCCCGAATTGAGGCTGACGAGTATCGCCCGTGCCAGGCTATGACCGTGGGACACCCTTCAGCTTCAGATTGGGGTCTGGGATGGTGATCAAAGGGTAACATTCCCAACCGAACGATTTGGTACTTTGGGGGCGTGCGCTGACAGGACGTAGCTGGGATGAGGGCTTGCTCGACATGTGCATCGGCGAGAAACGGACCTTGACTATCGGGCCAAGCTACGGCTACGGAGATCGGAACATTGGCCCCATTCCTGCCGGATCTACTCTGGGTACGACCTCTTCTTTCCCGCCCACTTTGGCCCCTTCCCGTTTGCCTTCATTTTACTAATCTCTCCCCACCAACCAGTCTTCGAGACCGAGATGATGGGCATTGAGGGCGTCCCCCAGCCCGAATCGATTGCCACCAAGTCCGCTACCGACAGCCCGGCGTCTTCAGCGACCGAGAAAGTGGCCGAGAAGGTTGCGAGTGCCGTGAGCGAAGCCGCCGAGGCGGTGAAGACGGTGGTGGCCGATACCGATGACGTTCAGGAGCACAACGAACTCTAAGCTATTTTAGCTTTGGTTGCGAAGGGTACCACGGATTTGTCGCATGGTGCGGCAATCTGATGTGATTCGACTGGATTGCGCAAGAGGCGACCGTGGTGTTGCCGCAACTGTTGATAGAGAGTCTTGAGCAACTGCTGTTAGGAATCCATCCGCCGACCACGCCCCCACTAGACCTTGCTCCTTAGTCTCCCGCTTCTCGGTCCCGCTCGTCGTTAAACCCGCTATTTACTTGTGCCAAATCGCTAGTTTAGCATCCTCGAGTTACGCAGCTCCCTCGTGAAGGAAGGCAGAGGCAGAGACAAAACCACGGCTGATTTACGCTGTTGCACGTGGACACGGATGAGTCTAGGTCGATCTGGGGAACACCATTAAAGAGAGCCGAAGCTGTTGTTGGTCAGGTGCGACAGGAGGATGTGGGACAGGTCTGGGAGAGCCAATATGTCGGCATCTCGAGGGGAGGGGGCCGGTCTGGAAGATCAGCCTGCTCGGGTGTTGTTTTCTACCATCATGGAAACGCTTGTCAGCGTGGGGGCACATGCGACTTACTGAGCCATCTAGGGATATGTAGTCAACACCGCACATATACATAGACGATATCGCCTATCTAGTCCTCGTTGTTGCTATGCACAATAGGGACCCGGCGGAGGCACACCCCAACAGGCAGTCTAGACTCGGCTAACTCATCTCATGTTTTATTATGTGTCTGAAAGCTCGTCTCCCAGCGAGTTTAGACAGCCTGGAGCATCAGCTACACTGATAGCTTGTTCCTGGTCGGTCAGTGTCATGACGGGATCCGGGCCCAACACGGTCAACCTGAGCCAGATGACGACATGGCAGCAGGTGTTGCTGTTCCTTCACATTTTTGGCAGTTCGATATGCGTCCCCATATGGACCGTCGTGGCGCGGAAGCACGCCTTCGAACAGAGGTTCCAGAACATTGTCCGCGCCGGGCGCACGCGTAGGGCAAACCAGTTGGAGGGGCCAGCAGTCCGCCGAGGCTTCGACAGTTCCTGTCGTTTCGGGAGGCCTCGATTACAACCTCACCGCAAGGCGGTGTGGTTTCACAAGGGGGGCGTGTTCAGAAACGAGGAAGGCTGCTCCAGATACCCACGCCAGTACCGATGTAGCCGCCCCTGCCACCCACGCTGAGGCGCCGCGGGAGAGATTACCCAGTCCCGACCACATCGCCCTGGTTGACACTTCCAGCCCTAACGACACGGATTCTACCGCCGCCCAGCACGGCCCCCGGAAGAACCAACCAACTCGGAAACCATGGCCGGGAGGGAGATGCGAGGCACCACTAGAAGGACGAGTTCAGTATGCACCAGCTTCTCGCCAACAAACCGGGCAGGAGGGACTCTCGGTTTTACGGCCTAACCGGCGAGGAGCGCGAGTGTTGGGCGGCTGTGAATACCAGGCCCTCGGAGTGCTCTCTATCACCGTGCCTTTGTACTTAGTTTTCTGGCAGCTCCTCGGCTGCCTTGCGCTGGGAGCCTGGATCATCCGGTTTTCCTGAGGCTCATCATCTGGTCGTTTCGGGAGCTGCTCGCCTTGTCCAACAAGGACGACGAGGCCACGGGGTTAAAGGACACCCTCAGGTTCATTATCCGCCGCCCCTACCGTGTGTACACGAACCTCAGCTGCTGCCCGCCCCACCTGGTGGCTCGTCTTCATGCTCATCCTCCTCAGCTCCATCGATTGGGTCGGCTTCACGCTTTTCAAGCTCGTCAACCCGGCGATGTAGTACATACCGCCTAGCCGTCGTGCGCTTGACGGGCTGTTTCAGGCTTTAGGTAAACCCAACCCCCATGCTCTTCCGTACGCGAAGCATGCTAACCACACATATGCCTAGCCGTGTGCTCAGCGGGGTCCTACGCCGTGCCCATCTCGTCGCTCCACATCGGGCTGCAGGTCCTGTATGTCGTCACGATGCATGTACATCTCGGTGTACCCGGTCGTCAGTCACCATGCGGCACTCCAATTTTATACGAGGAACGCTCGCTCGGCACCTCCGCCGAGGACGAAATCCCCGCGGCAGACCCCAAGAAAGCTACCGCCGATTCGACCCGGAACCGCCGCCGCCATCACAGTAGCAGTAGCGTGTTCGCCGCCCTCAGGCAGACCTCGGAGCGGCGTTCACGTTACACGGCGTCAGGGCCAGCGCCCCACCCCCCAACCAAGACCCAGACACTCCCCATCAACTTCACCACGCAGCAAATCCGCGGCCAACTAGCACACGACATCTAGTGGCCAGTCCATGCTCATCACCGTAAAAATTAACACGCCGCAATTCCTCACCGACCCGGCCCACTTCAGCGTGTTTAACGTCATCTTCGAGGTGGTATCGGCGTACGGGTGCGTGGGACATGAGCGTGGTGGGGGTGGCGGCGGCGGCGGACGGCGCGGACGGCGTGGACGGCGCGTTCAGCTTTCAGCAGCGCGCGGCACCCGGCCGCTAAGCTGCTGCTGTGCGTTGTCATGGTGCGTGGCCGCCACCGCGGCCTTCCTGTTGCGCTGGACCGCGCCGTGCGCTTGCCGCGCGAGGAGCTGCACCGCGAGGAGGAAGACTAATGGATTAGGCGGAGTATGGCGATGTGGAGGGCTAGTGTTGATGGGTAGATGGGCGTTGTTGGCCGGGTAAGAGGTGAGCGGCAGTGTATAGCGTTATGATCTTGCTCATGACGGCCGCCGGTGCTCCGGATAGCGAGGCGTTGGTGGTAGACTGGTACTCGACTGCCCAGGTCATGGAGCATAGAAATAGACCCGGGGCTTGATTAGACAAGGTGTAAAAGTATGGTTGGGCTAGAACGGCGTTATGGTTTGGGGAAAGCACGGTAAAGAAGGGGATCTGGGACCATAAAACGGCGGATTTAATACCGGATCCGATGGAAAGGTTATGTCATTATGCCATAAAATCATTATAGCTCTGATATCCAGCAGAGAACTGCCATCAACGTATGGTTAACCGAAACAGAGGCGCTTTTGCCTAGGATCTGCCGGTGCTGGTGCCCGCCCCCTTTTCTTATCCCTGACCTTCTGCGTCTCTGGCGTGGCTTGTCCGGACTGCCGCCGTTGCTGTTGTTGCGCAGCTGAATCCTGTTGGACGGTGTCTCGGATGGTTTGCCGCGATAGACACAAATCGATATGCTCGTTGAACTGGCGTTCGTCCGCAGGCTGCGGCCGGGCACAAACGGGGCAGTCCCACAGCTCCTCCTCCTCGACTGCCGGATTCTGGTCTTTCGTAGGGTTGGATACAATCTCTTTCCCGTGTCTTCGATGAGGACCGGTCGCCACCGGGTCTCCATTGGAGGTTGGGTTGTTAACCTCTTCTTGAGGCCATTGTTCCCATTCATCTTCACCACCGGCTCGTATGGTTCCGGCGCTACCATCCTCCGCTGACCCGGCGGATTTGGGCCTCTGTGGCCTCAACCCAAAGAAGGCCCTCGTGTCTGGCTTCTTCGTGCTCACGAGTTGCGTACACCGTAGCCCCATCAACCGTAGTTTCATGCCGGGAATCTCCTGCTCTAGCTTCGCTAGCATAGGCAACGAGTAGTTGTACAGGTCATCCGCCAGGCATACTGCTTTTGGAGGCACGACCTGGCGGGTGAGGACCTCGAACGAGTGCAGCTTGACTTTTAGGCAGAGTGTACGCCCCTTGCATTCAGCCTTTCGCATGTCCGACTCCAGTTCTTCGGCTATCCGTCTCAGCTTTTCGCGCAGTTGGACAGGGTCGCCCATGTCACGGAATGTCCTCTCCGTGCCGACGCTCTTGCGTTCGTAGTCCTCGGCGGGCTGGATATTGGTCCGTCCTAGGCCGAGATGGCAGCGGAGAAGGAACTCGTATGTTTTTTGGCCAAAAAGCCGGTCCAGGTATTGTCTTTGGGCGTAGATGTCACCGCAGGTCTTCACGCCTACGGATGCTAGTTCGCGCTCCAGCACCCGTCCAATGCCGTTCACTTGACGACATGAGAGATCGCGCATAAACGCCATGATAGCAGCCCGATCACGCGGCAGGACGAATTGCCCGTTAGGCTTGTTCATGTTGGAGCAGATCTTGGCCAGCCGGGCGTTCGCGGCGATGCCTGCTGAGACGGTGATGTGTGTCTTTTCGTGTACCTCGTTCCTTAGCTGTGAGACCACATCGGCCGGATCCATGTCGTGCTCGACGCAATACTCGGTAATGTTGAGATATGCCTCATCAATGCTGGCACTCTCGAACCGCGGGTCGTACTCTGCCAAAACCTCGCGCACCTCAGCTGCCTTTGCGTTGTACTTGTCAAAGTTGAGTGGGAGAAGAATCAACTCGGGGCACAGCTTTTTAGCTACGAAGCCAGCCATACCGCTGCGGCATCCAAACTTGCGGGCGACATAGTTGCACGTGGTCAGGACACCGCCGCCCACGGCAAAGGGGAGCTCCTTCAGCTCGGGCCGGTCTAGCTGCTCTACGGCGGCATAAAAAGCATCGCAGTCAATGTGCACGATGTGCTGCGTCAGATCGCGGGAGAGCTCGAGCTGAGCAAGCAGGTTGTCGGCTGCCCGGAGCTCGCGGGTGAGATCCAGCGTTTCGAGATGGCTCTTCTTGGCGAGGATGGCTTCAATCTTCGCGGTGAGAGACTTGTCCCTTGTCTCCTCGTGGTTGAAGAATTTGGAGCCCTTGGAAGCATTGTAGATAATCTCAGAGACCTATGACAAAGGGGATACACTCGGTTAGCGGCAGGGTCGGTGTTGAACGGCGTTGGGTGAGCATGCCTTGGACTGGTCAACTGAGCCCTGGCCGGCCTTTGTCAGCGACGGGCCCAACAATGAGTACTTGAGCGATGCATGTTCGGTCGACGAGTTACTGATCTGCTTCTCGCCCTCTGGGGGAAGCTGGTCGTCTTGTGGTGGTTGCGCCTCGGATGTCATTTCCGGGACTTGTTTGCGCGTATTCCGAGTCGTGATCGACGGATGGGGTTGGGGGTCATGACAGCAGAGCGCCCTGCATCACTCGCAGGTATGACGTTGAGGTTCCCCGATGAACAGGCGGGGATCCCAAGTCTCGTTAATTTAATGAACCTAAAGAGACAACAAGGAGACGCGGTTTCCTCGCGTTCCTGGGTTCCACGCTGACAACGCCAAATCACGAGGATGCCAAGCCGAACCCCCCTGTGCCACTCTACGCGAGATGCACAGACCAACACTTTAGGTGTTTCGCGTCTCGGATGCGTCGCGGTCTCCCCTCCATCCGCTAGCTCATCCCCTCAACTTCGTCCTGGTCCTCATCAATATCGTTAAGCCAATCAAGCTAGTTACATCACGAGTCTTTTGCGACATCATCAGACCTCCATAATAGGTCCTTCGTATCATCAATTGACATCACTGTGGCCGGTTCAACTGTTAGGTTACCGATTCGTCGCCTCCCCCCAGTTATCATTACCGTGGGGCCTACGTTGTTAGTTCGATATTTGATCCAAGATGGTCGTCAAGCGCAAGAGATCGGACTCCGAGCTCGGATCTGTCTTCTCGTCGACGGACCAGCTGGGCAACAACTGCTTCAACTTTGACGTCGTGTCGGCGATGGACACAGCCAGACGCGGGTTCTTTGCCCCACGACTGTCCACGCCCTCACATTTGCCCAGCCGTACGATGAAGCGCTTTCGTGACAACAGGCCATCAGAAACAGAGGTGCACCGTAAGTTTGGCCAGCTCAACCAACCCCACTCGCCCCAATTGCAGCCGCTGACTCGGATTCCTCGCTTCCAGAACACACGCTAGACGTCCTCTTCTCCGCCCAGCGCCGACCACACGAACGCCATGACGCAGCGCCGGAGTCTCCCAAGATGGCGAGCGCCGACGGGTCCCTACAACTTCCCGCGCAACCCTACCACACCAACCAACAGCGGTCTCTGCATAGCTTCTGGAACTTGCCCGGGCCATCAACGTCAGCGAGCTCGCTAGCATCCTCGCCGTCATCGTCGGCCGTGTCGCCTCCGTCGCCGGCCCTTGCGCCCCGGAGCACGTCGACGAACTGCGAGGATTGTGGGATGGGGCTGGCGGGGGCCGACGATGGTGATGTCATGATGGACGTGGACAGTTATGGGTTTAACCCTGAGGATCAGATGTGCGGCGCGTGTGGGAAAGCCGTTTGCTTTAGCTGCTCTATCAGCAACCTTGGCGAGAATCGGCGTTGTTTAGCTTGTGTTGAGCCGAGGGGCAGGGCCGGCGGGAGTGGGTGGTTTAGGAGTTAGGTGTGGGGTGTTGCAGATTGACGTATGCCTGATCTGGCTTGCGTGTGGACGTGGGGTGTTGTGAATACACGAGATACCAGGTGGTTGGATTGGCTTGGATGCGGGTTGGTCTTTGATGGATCGGTGTTTGGCGTTAATGATCGAGCTTAATTAAGCATGGGCGTGGGAATGGGTGTTTTGAGTTAAATAGTTAGGTAACTCCCGTCTCAGTATTGTGGTGCCTTTCAAGGGCTGTTTCTTGCTGTCATCCAACGTCATTACGAGGATTCAAGGCGATACTTCCCACATGTGCTTTGATAGAAATGTAGGGTGAGAGAGCGAACGATGATGCGTCCCTACCCGAAATTCCATGGGACTGACGCGGAGCTCTCCAGTGTGCGGGGCAACGTAGGCGTGCTGGGCAGCCGGGTGGGTGTGCTGGGAACCCCGCCTCAGCTGCACCTCCCGGACCTCTCCCATCTGCTTTGAACTCCGAGACCCATCTTCTTCAACATCCGGACTAAACGGCGCCGTTACTTCTATTGACAATTAATAGATACGAAACTCCCCTTACCTGTGACGCCAAGGTACAGCTAAAATGGAAGAATCACGGGAGGCTAGTCACGCCGGCTCTTGGTATAAAGGTAACCCAAAGGAGCTCAACAGGGAACTCGAGGACTTCTTGGACCGAGTTCCTGCAACTTTAGACGGCGCAGAGCTTCCGATCAACAATGCTAGAGTGATAATTGCCCCGTAAGTTGATCATACAGTATTTTTATGCATTGGATGATCTACTGATAGATATTACGGGATAGCCACGCTGGGTACTCTTACTCTGGGCCTTGCGCGGCCTGGGCTTACAAGACCCTCGATCTGAGATCGGCGAAACGGGTCTTCGTCCTTGGACCTTCCCACACCTACTACCTTCGCGGATGCGCTCTCACGACGTTCGACAAGTACGAAACTCCCTTCGGGGACCTCGTTGTGGACGACGCCACAACGTCCGAGCTGCGGCAGACCGGCCTGTTCGCCGACATGCCACCCCGCGGCGAAGTGGACGAGCATTCCCTTGAGATGCATATGCCGTACCTGTGGAAGAGAATCGAACAGACCTTTGGTAACACGGATCACCCGCGCATTATTCCCATACTCGTTGGCAACCTTTCCGAGGAGGAGGAGAAGTTTTGGGGCCAGCTCTTCTCGAAGTACCTGAAAGATCCCGAAAGTGCCTGGATTATTTCGTCTGATTTCTGTCATTGGGGCCCTCGCTTTAGCTACCGGCCGAAATTTCGCGACGGAGTGATTTGCGACTTGGACAAGAACCACGGTGTCTTGCGAGCCACTCCAGATTGGAGCCAGGCGGCCGAGGATCCCGAACGTCCGGCGATCCACGAGGTCATCAAGGCGTTGGACCAGATGGCCATGGATGCGGTCGAGTCTGGTTCGCACAGCGAGTTCTCCAAGGTTATCCGACAGACCCAAAATACCGTCTGTGGGCGACATCCCATCGGTGTCATGCTAGCCGCCCTGGAAGTGGTCGCGAAAGAGGAAGAACTGGCGGAGAAGAACGGCAAGTTCAGTTTTGTCCAGTACCAGAGGAGCAACTTGGTAAGGAAGGAGGGGGATTCTAGTGTGAGCTATGCATCGGCCTACGCGGTCGTCTAATGTGCCCGACGGGAGAGGCACGCCCGATGTGGCGATCGCATTGACAGCGAGGACTGAGAACCGCATGTATTCATATTTTCGGCGGGAGAGAAACGAAAGACTTTTGCCGGCCCGTGGTCTCCAGAAAGGCTCCGGTTTCGTCAGAGGTGAACCAGGCCTGGGACACGATACATTGTTACAGATTCGTGACGGTGGCCTCGGGCTGGAATTACCGACTCGAGCTGAAAACTGGGGCGGATTTTGGGATTCGGGAAGCACACCCAATCCTACCAATCCTGGACAAAGCGGTGGAAAGCTTAACTCCCGAGGCCCTGCACGTCATCGGAGACCCTTTTGTTCGGCATTTTTAGACGTATCCGGCAAGGAGACACAAAGTAAGAAAAAGAGCTCTAATTTAGACTGTTTTTTGCCGCCATCTGCGTTCAAACAGCCTTTGTCGCACTCGACATCTGGCCCAGTGGACGTGCCTGACGATCCTCGTTCTGAAACGGTTTTTGTTGCTGGCCTGGCCCGCACTGGCCCCAGCCGTTCCCCGCCAAGGTCAACGGGGGTCTTGTAACCAGCCAAGCGCCAGCCTTTCTGCTGCAGCTCCAGCGAGCTGAAGAACCATGGCCAATCGACAGCCATGATCCACCGACGAGACAGACCCCGCCGGTGTTTCTCTTTGGTCTCGGCCATGATTGGGAATGCGCATTGTCCGTCTGAATTATGAGAAAAGAGATCGCGCCGTTGCATTCCTTCGGGATTGTGGGTGAACAGATGGCCAAAACGGCCTCTTAGTTAGCCCCCCATCCATGTTGGACCACCCACCCGTGCTGCATACTCGATGTTTGCCAGCTGTGCATCTGCTTGTTGGCTGTCGTTGGCAGAAAAAGGTCGGGTCCAATGCTGACCGCGCCACAGGGCCCTAACCTTGTTTGGGATGCGACCTCCTGAGAACCCCAGCGCGTTCATTTACTGAGGCGCACCCTCCATTTGCATTTTCTCGACGAACCAGTTCCTTTTTGCTTTTCGCTCCCGAGATTCCCCTCGCCGTTTTTTTTTTTTTGTTTCTTTTTGGGCTTGGGATATTCGACTACATACCGAATAGCGTCATCCTGCGAGACAGCCGACTACTTTAGCGCCCTCGTTGCACCCAATTCCACACGTCCAATTCTCCGGCGCTTCTGCGCTTACCTCTCCCGCTTACCTCGCTCAAAATGAGTGTGAGTGTGTCCCAGCAAACCCGAATCAACACCGGACATGGTAGGAGAGAGGATTGTGACTGACTGCCTCCCCCAGTACGGCGGATATAATCCCTATGGCGGCAATGGCGGCGGCTGCAGGTACGAGATGCGTCCGATCATTTTCGCCCACCCTCCAAAGAGCGGGGTGCGTGGTTGGCTATGGCAGTCCACTAATATGGGTGCTCTAGGGGTTACGGTGCGGATCCCTTCGACGACCGGAATGCTTTGCAATACGGAGGTGAGTGACTGGTGACGATCATATCTCTCTGGGTTGAGGGTAAGCTAACCGCAGCCCCACGAGCAGCCGGAAACCATGAGATGTCCTCTTTCAACTCGGGAGGTTCGCCCCAGATGGGCCAACAGGGTTACGGATGTAAGTTGGTGCCTGTCAACTACAGTACGCGCTAGACAGTGAACCTAACGTCGACAATCTGCAGCCCCAAGGGCACAGGGCCAGAATTCGATCCTTGACGAATGTATCGACATCCAGAATCAAGCCCAAGAGCTCGAGAACAAGCTAGGGGCACTTAGCGGACTCCAGAAACGGTATCTCGACGATGCGGACACGTCAGGCGGTTCAAACACCAGGCGGGACCTCGATAATCTGACTCAGTCGATGATGGACCAGTATAAGGGCTTGACGGATCGCGTTAGGGCTATCAAGTCCAACCCGGACTGCCGCGATCGGCGAAATGTTTCCCAGGTTAACAAGACCGATCGCGACGTCAGGCGAGCAATCCAGAAATTCCAAGAGCTCGAGGTAGTATCCCGCAAAGAGATCGAGGAGCGATCGAAGCGCCTGGCCCGGATCGCACACCCTGATGCCACCGAAGACGAGATCACGACGATTGTAAACAGCGATACGCAGGTCTTCGCGCAAGCCGTCATGGGCAACCGTGCCGAGAACGCAAACCGTACCCTTGGCGCTCACAAGGAACGCAACCAGAAGATGAAGCAGATCGAGCAGCAGTTGATCGAGCTCTTGGAGATCCTCAGCGAGACGCAGGAACTCTTGCACAAGCAGGAGGTGACGATTGCGACGGTCGATGAGCAAATTGTGGATACCAATCAACAAATGGACGCTGCGAACACCAATCTCGGGGTAGCCACCACAACGGCAAGGGCAACACGCAAGAAGAAGTGGTGGTGCTTGGGTATCTGCGGTACGTCGCTACTGGAGGGAGGGAGTCACATCAAACGCCTTTTCTAACTGGTGATTTTAGTTGTGATTGTCGTCATTATCGTCGTCGCTGTGGTCGCCTATATTCTAGTCAACCGCGCGGCAAACGGCGGCGGTGGCGGAGGCGGTACCACTGACAACAGCAATAACAACAACGGTGACAACACTGGCACTGGCGGCACCACTGGCGACAACACCGGCACCAACACCGGCACGGGCACCACCGGCGAGACCACCGGAGATAACACCGCCACCCAGAGGCGCAGCCCGTTCCGACGGAACCTCCTAGAAGACCTACAAATGAACACGGGCCGCGCGGTCAAGATCTCTCCTGATGTTGTCCCGCGTTTCCCCAGGCGACTCGCCAGCAGGGCACGCCGCGCGGGGGTAGCGGCCAACCAGGACGTTGAGGCTTTGGCTAAGAAGCGGTTTGTTGTTGACTGGCAAGGCGCCGATCCTACCGGGTCTGACGACTGAAGGACTTGCGGTTTCATCTTGGCAGTTCGTCGTGGATGGCACCGTCGGGGCATACGGGATGTGGCTGCTGGTTTTAGCACATTCCGTTCCGTCGATCTGGCACCTTCTGGGTTGGGGGCGGAAGGGGGGTTCTCTTTTGGATGGGGAGGTTTTTATACCAGTCGAGCATTTCGAGCTTGGTTGGTGCGTATCTCGGTCTTGTTTTGTCCTCTTCCAGGCGTATATATCAGCATGGCGTGCCGTTGTTCAAGATATCAAGGCGTTGGATGGACTTGGGAGTGATAGCTTTCGGATTACCCTCATTTGATGTGTTAGGGCGTTGTAATAGAATTTGCATTGTCTTCTACACACTCCTTAGCCTTGCCACCGAGTTAAGATCCAGTGAGGAAAGATGTGTGTCCCATTGTTGTAATTATCCGAATTCGCCTGTTTCTCTCCCAACACCAGGCTGCTAAATCCAAATATGTGCCTGAACACATGGTACAGAGGGGAAGAAGAGGAATAAAGGGCACTAACATGAACGCCTATCCGGCCTGAGATGATCCCAAGCAAGGGCTCTCCTATCCCACCACGATAAAAAGGCCTAAACGCCCCAAATTCGTATCAACAAGCCAAAAGGATAACCGGGTGAACAATCAGTTACCTCCCTGTCAACTCTGCGCACCATCACCACCCGTCTGAGGCCGAGACCCAGCAGGCACGACATCCCTCGGTATCCCCGCTGGAAGCTGCCCGCCACCGGCGCCACCCAGCGCCCGCTGCCTCGCCGCGCCGGCCTCCACCACCTTCCGCAGCGTCACCATCCGCTTCTCAAAGTCCTGCAGCAGGTCGGCATACTCCTCGGGCGCCGCCGCGGGCCTCCCCCGCCCCACACTCCCACCAGAGGACTGCATCTCCGCCTCAGACGTAGACGACGCCTTACCAAACGGCCCGCTAGCAGCACTAGGAGTAGCAGCAGCACTCGGCTCCAAGCTAACACCCTCAATCTTGAGCACCAAATTCCCGCCGAGCCCCGGCACGGGCGCGCCGCCGCCGCCGCCGCCGCCGCCCTCCTCCATGCGGCTCACGCGCGCCGACGTCGCGGCCCAGTCCGCCGTCAGGCTGCTGGCCCACGCCACCTCGTAGCCGGCGCCGCTGGTCGACGGTTCCAGGTCCAGAAGCACGCCGCGGTCGGGCACGCTGCCGTTGCTGTTGTCATCGTCGTAGGCTGCGGCGGCCGCCCCGTGGTGGTGCGCCAGCGCGGCTGTTAGTCGCTCGGGGTCGTCGTCGGCGAAGATGTAGTGCACTGTGGGGTGGTGGATTGTTTGGCGGTTCGTGGCGTGGGAGGTGGAGCTGAGGAGGGCGAAGACTGGGGAGAAGGGCTGCTGCTGCTGCTGCTGTTGCTGGGTTGGTTTTGGTGGAGCCGGGGGAGATGGCGCGCGCGCGGGCTCCTCGGCGGGCGCAGCGGCGGGTGGGTGTGGTGTGTGGGGGCGCGAGTATACCGCGGAAGTTGGTCGGGGGTGGACTGGTGGCGCTTCTTGTCGTTCTTGTTCTCGGCGCAAGCTTGACCCGCTGGCTCGGCTGGCTACTGATGGGCGCGGGCTCGGCGGGGCCGGCGAAGTGTGGTTTCCCCGGGAGGCGGGGCGATCGGAATCGGGGCCGGGCATGGCTGGTTTATTGGGTTGTAAGGGTGGCCTTGGTAGTGATGACCGGCTTGTGGGCGGTAGATGTCAAACCCTGGGTTTTGATGACGGAGCAAATGTTGAAATCAGAGTTGGTGATGGTGGGGGACACATGGAACAGAGTGAGGCCACTGCTCGGGGCCAGCATATTCTGTCTTGCGATGCAATTCGGTGTTGGTGATTATTGAACACGGGATGGTGGGGATTGGAGAAAGGAACGAGCGCAGTTAGCCTTGCAAGAGCAAAACCGTAGTTGAAAGGTGAAGTCAATGCGAAAGGTTGCCGTCGGCATGAGCTCTCCAAGACAGCTGCCGCCTGTTGTCTGTGCAGGGATGCCCACGCGGCAAAAGCTTATCTTATCGCTTACACACAGGACCGTGGCGGGTACACCCGGCAACCACGAACAAAGTACACAGTATCTCGAGCTCGGAGAAGTTGCTAGGTTCTCTGCGGGAAACGGTCTTAACCTACTGTGTTATGTTATCCGAAATGCAGGGTTTCCTCTCCCTTGCGCATATTGCCTTGAACTCCCCTTCTCCCGCTCGCGCATTATTGGTACCATACAGGGGACTGGGTCGTCAACATCAACAATCATACAACATGTATTCATGGTTGTCCCAAACGCGCTCCCGGTAAGCGGAGCTAGGAGCTGTAGTCTAGATGGATGTTATTCCAGGGCCAGAGGGCTCAGGTAGGTAGTTAAGCTTCAGCGGCATCTGGAATGGTGTCTATCGAGGTCTCGTTTGGTTGCTCGGTCCATTCAAATCCTAGAGCGCCACGGCTTTAGCGTGTTGTCTTATAAGTGGGATAGTAAGGGCTTACTCTGCCGGCACATAGGACATTGGCCTTTGGCCGAGTCTTGTTTTATCCACTCAAGAATGCAGTGCTGGAATATATGAGTTGGGGGGTTGGCCTGTAGTACCATTGGAAGGCGTTGACAAACCATGTGAAAATTGTGCCCGCACTTTCCCGATACTGGAGAGATGGTTAGGTTATGGATTAACATATCGAGTGGTGGGCACTTACAGAGGGGGCAATCGTCGCCGGGGTATTTACATGTCGGGCATGTCCCATCGAAGTGGACTTGGCAGATACCGCAGACATCGTCTTCGGGAATATCCCACCGCCAGGTCGCGACGGCATTCCACTTCTTGATCGTGACTTTCATTTTGGAGGCCGATGCGGGAGATGCTCAAGCAAACTGCGCGATTGCTTAATAGTATTTCGTCTACTCATAGATCGTCTCAAGTTGCATTGTTGTGGTTACAGTCGTGAAACGCCAGAGCAGGAAGCTGCACGAAGTACGGAGCACGAAAGCGGGAGATAAGAGACCAGACCAGAGGGAAGGAACCCGCAAGGCTTGGCGTGCCTTTCGCCAGCCATGGTGAAATAAATGCTCGGTGGCCCAAGCTCCACGGGCCTGCCGGGATTTCTTCTTCCATCATCGCAATTGCCCCCCTCACCACCACACCAACCGGCCTTTGGCTGCTGTAACTCGATGGACAAAGACGGTCGACCATAGCCAGTACCCCGCGCTGAGTCGAGGCCGTTACTAATTCCCAGGATTTGTTTCGCCTCAAACCACACGGCGGTGCATCAATTGGACCACGACAGTGAGTCAATCGAGGTCTCAGATAAGTTGTTCTCGGGCCAGCCAAGAACGCCAAAGCGCCAGAGTAATCTGTACAGAAGCGAAGAAGCGCAAGGGCTCGAATTTTGCCATGCCTTCTTTCGCAGCCTTTCGCCCGCTGCAGGCGTCGCTATCTCGGGGGATTTCCGCCCGAGGTCTCACAGCTATGACGTTCGAGACTCGCCGGTCCTTTTCCAACTACCTCGTCTCCCCACAAGAGCTCGCAGACGCCCTGAAGAAGAGCCCGCCGTCGCCCATTTCGTCCGAGCCCCGCGTAATCCCGCTCTGCGCCTCGTGGTTTCTCCCCAACGATCCGGAGGGCCGCACTGGGATTCAGGTGTTTCGGGAGAAACGCATCCCAAAGGCGAGATTCTTCGACCTCGACAAGGTGATCGACAAGCGCAGCCCATACCCCCACATGCTGCCCAGCTCAAAAAGCTTTGCCGAGGCCATGAGCGAGCTGGGCATCCGCCACGAGGACACCGTTGTGGTCTACGACAGTCAGGAGCTGGGCATATTCAGCGCGCCCCGTGTCGGGTGGACCATGAAAGTCTTCGGCCACCCCAAGGTGCACGTCCTCAACAACTTCAGGTTATGGGTTGAGCAGGGTCTCCCAATCGAGTCAGGCAATGTGTGGACGGTGGAGTGTGGGACATATCCGATCCCAGAGATGGACGAGGACAAGGTTGCGCACTTCGAGGAGGTTCGTGAAGTTGCCCAGGACTACAACAAGGAAGGCTCCGAGGGTGTGCAAGTCTTGGATGCCAGGCCCTATGGGCGCTGGTCTGGAAAGGCGCCAGAGCCGAGGCCCGGATTGTCCTCTGGCCACCTACCCGGATCAATCAACATCCCCTTTGATGCAGTCCTTGACCCTACGACCAAGGCGTTTCTTCCTGCAAATAAGCTGAAGGAGGTATTTGTGAAGAAGGGAGTCAACCCAGAGAAGCCCATCATTTCTAGCTGTGGGACTGGCGTCACAGCTTGTGTCGTTGAGACGGCATTGAATGAGGCCAAGTTTGGGTCACCGGAGAAGAGAAAGGTGTATGACGGCAGTTGGACGTGAGTACAATGTCCAAATCCCAGATAGCGCCAGGGCGTGAACATGGCTGACAATGATCTTTAGGGAATGGGCGCAACGAGTTAAGCCCTCTGATTCACTCATTCTATCCGAGGAGTAGGGTTGATGTGAAACAACTATACCCACGGTGGGACATGCGCCATCCCGAATTCCACACGCCACTCTACTTTATATGTACGATTACAAACAACAACAAATACTTTTACGACTTGTGAAGCCGCTCGCTGCCTGCTACCGATGAGACATTCCACGGCTAGCAGCCTCGACGCGGCACTTCCAAGGACGAACCGGAGGAGCTGTTGCATTGGACGGTGTTCGGGGCGTTTGGATGGGAGGAGCATGGAGACTGTGTGCGTCAAGCAAGCATAGGCGGAATGCGTTGCGCGCGTGATATTGGTTTTGCAACGGGACTACTATTCCAATTTCATTTATGGCCGAGTTCAACAACGAAAATCCCAAGTGGAAGCCTCCTGTCCCCAGCTGAATGCCCTTGCCAGCACCCATCCCCCTTTTAATTTTCTCTACCCATACGTCCAGCTCAAGCGGAAAACACTCCGTACTTATCAAAGAACTCAAACATCCACTCCGCCACCTGCTGCTCATTGGTCTCTAGGGCGAAATGACCGGCATCCAACCAGCGCGTCTCCAGCTTCTTCACATCCCTCTTGAACGCCTCGGCGCCGGGGGCAACAAAAATCGTATCGGCCTTCCCCCACGCAGTCAGGACGGGCACGCCCGACATCCGCAGATACTCCTGAAACTGCGGGTACAGCTTGACATTCGAACCATAGTCCTGGAACAAGTCAAGCTGAATATCCTTGTTCCCCGGCCGATCCATCAGCGCCTGATCGAGGTAAAACGCCTCGGGCGCGATGGCCTCCGGCCGCGGCGACCCGTCCTGGTACTGCCACTGCGTGGGGCCCAGCTCCAGCAACGGCCGCAGCGCCTCGCGGTCCGCCGCCGCCCCGCTCGCCCATAGCTTCTCCAGCGGCGCCCAGAACGGCTGGCCCAGCCCCTCGGCGTAGGCGTTGCCGTTCTGCGACACGATCGCCGCTACTGCGTCCGGTCGCTCCAGCGCGAAGCGGAATCCCGTGGGCGCGCCGTAGTCGAAGATGTACACTGCGAAGCGTGTCAGGGAGAGCGCGTCGGTGAAGGCGGTGAAGGTCTGTGTGAGGCTGGCGAAGGTGTAGGTGTAGTTGCGCGAGGCGGGGACCGTGGTGAAGCCGAAGCCCGGGAGGTCGGGGGCGATGACGCGGTAGCGGGTCGCGAGTAGCGGGATCAGGTTGCGGAACATGTGCGAGGATGATGGGAAGCCGTGGAGTAGCACGACTGTGGGTGCGTTGGCTGGGCCGGCGCTGCGGTAGAAGACGTCGACGCCGTCGGCCTTGACGGTTGCGATTTGGGTGGCGGCCATGGTGTTTGGGTTGAGGGGGGTTGGGTTGTTGGTTGGAGGGGTTCGATTTGCTCGAAGTTGTGTGCTGCGTTTGCGAAGCTGCTCTTGTGTGTATATGCTGGAGGATGATCGCTGTTCTGGAGCTTTTATTCAGGGTTGGCTATCGACTTCTTATATGCTATATACCCCTTCAAGTTGCCTGCTATGGACGTCACTGCTTCGCTGTTTGTAGCCACCCTGCCGTAGAGGCGAGACACTGGCCCGCTTCATCCCGTGCAATGCCCATGGAAGGATTCGCATGTCGCGCCCTGCGGTTGACCTGCGATGTATTCCAAATACTCCCAAGTGGTAGATGATCCGCTTTGCGTGATCCTACGGCTGCTGGCTTCGGCGGCTGAAGAGTTAAGTGACTAATCCACCCTCTGCCGGATCAACCCTTCATCGAGCCGCAATTGGCCTGTGAAGGAATGGGGATGTGGTTGATTACTGAACGAGGTGCGCCCTTTTGCGGCCAAGCCATGTCACCACCACCTAACCTACGTGCGACATGACTAACTGAATTGTAATAGATGATTCCACATACGGGCGCACTACTTTTCGCAAGATGGGATTGTATTATTTTTGTTTACTCAACTTTTTCTGGGTGAGTTGGAGGTTGTCCCAAAAAAGGGGGTTAGGGGTACCATGAACAATCCCCCCTTGTGGTGCAGCTTCACTCCATTACGACTAATTAGAGCCATTTGCTTCTCAAGATACTATGCGGTGCTCGAGATATAACTCGCCCCACGGATGGCAGCCCACAAGCCAGCACACAAACTCAGCAGGCGTCAGCCAGGCAGTACTCCTTCTTGATCATATCGGCTAGCTAGGAAGAGAGCCTGTTAGCCCACACTCAATCTCACAGAAAACCAGTCATGGGGGAAATCTCACCCTCTCCGCAGACGCGTATATCGTGCCCATGGGGGCACCAGAAAGCTGAAAGGGCCAGACGCTGATGTCGGCCACACGAAGCCCCTGAACACCATACACCTTCTGCTCACTCGAAACAACACCGCCCAGCTCCTTGGGCATCATCGCAGCCGTGCAGCACTGGTGGGCGTTGGACGGGTTGACCAGCTCGCGCATGACAGCTGCGATCTGTTCGTCTGTGGTCACCTCTGCGCCGAAAGGTGCCGCCTCGGTCGGGCCGAGCACTTGCATGGAAGGCGCCGCGAACAGCTCGCGGTTCTTGCGGAACAGCGCCGTGTACACCTGCAGATCGGTCGGGTCGGTGGCGGTGCGGAAATCGATGAGCGGGTTCGCGCGCGGGTCCGTCGAGTTGATGTTGACCGCGCCGCGGCTGAGGGGCTTGAGATGGTACACCAGGGCTGCGTCGGCGGTGCCCCAGTGGAGGGTCCCGACTCCGACGTTGGCGCTGGCGAACTGCTTCAGGAGCGCCTCGCGCTGCGCCTTGTAGCCCTCCAATACGGTGGCGTCGACGTCCGCGGGGAGCGAGTCAGCCGGGTTGTGTGCCTTGGCTGCGGCGATGATCTGCTGGTAGGATGCTGTCGCTCGTTGGAGAGAGACAGTGCCTATGTTACTGCTCAGACTGCTAACCATGGTGTAAGCGCTCGGTAGAGATGAGTCGTACAAGGCGCGCTGCTCGGCGTTGAAAGTAGTGTTCGTGAGAAGGGAACCGTAGTTGGGGATTGTGTTAGCAGTGACTAGAGGCGAGTTGGTCGTTAGTTTTGGCTGGTTGGAGTAAACAAGGCTGAGTTGACTTGCAGGTATACGGGATGGATAAAGTAGGCTGGTCTTGCAAGTTCTGCCCAACACCAGGAAGGTCCTGAACAAGAGGGATGTTGAACTTCTTGAGTAGCTTCTTCGGACCAATACCGGATAGCTGGAGAATCTTGGGTGTGCCGAAACCTCCAGCAGTCAGGATGACTTCGTTGGCTGCATACGCGTTTGTGGGGGCGGTCGTGTCGTCGGTCGTTGTCGGCAAATAGCTCACGCCGATAGCCTTCTTTCCGTTGAACAAAACCTTGGCTACCACATTAGAGGTGAGAAGGTGGTAGTTAGGCCGGGTGTCCTTGACTCTGTCATAATGGCTCCGCCTCGCGTGAAATCTGGTCATCGTGCTAGCCTCGAGAGCCGAGGGTATCCAGAAAACGCCTGTTAAATATCGACGTGGTCAATATTTTTCACAACGTGAACTGGTAGCCGCTGAGGTCCCCAACTTACCTTGCTTGTTTCCAGACAGAGGATCTTTGGCCGGAGGGAGTCCAACCTCGCCGGCGGCGTTCCACCAGTTTGCTGGAAATGGTCAGTATTCGGTTTCGTGGTATATCACGCTCCGGCTACTCACCACTCCCAGGGTAGAAATAGTTTGGGTACGAATACTGTACCGGCCCAGAGTCGCCCCGGACCGCGGCATCCCACGAGATGTTTCCTGCAGCAGCAAATGCAGCGTCTGGTGCGGTAAAGGTTTCGGCCTATGTTACCAGCACATGATGTTAGCACCCGTCCCTCGACAGCCTTAAGCGTCTCGCAGGGGATGCACAAGACCTTCTTGAAGTAAGGCAGCATGTTATCCCAGCTCCAGCCAGAATTACCGAGCGCACCCCAGGCGTCATAGTCGTCCGCGTCACCCCTACACCAGGTTGGTCAGTATCTGATAACTCATCACGATCAGCGCTTAACTGGCTGCTTAACGAACCTCAAATACACCATGGCGTTGATGGTGCTGCCACCTCCCGCCACCTGGGCGGCAATCCCTGTGACGGCCCTGTTGTTGAGACCTTCCTGGGGGACACTGGTGAGACCGGGCCAGAAGTAGAGGTACGGTGCATAGGCGCCGGGCACGAGGATGCCATCCTGGCCTTGGTCCAAGGGGCCGGCCTCAATGACCAGCACGCTCACTGCAACATGAATGGTGGGTTAGCCATCTGGATAGAGCACAGTCGACACCTCACGAGCTGTCAGCATACCGTTCGGATCCTCGGTCAGGCGGTCCGCAAGCGTGAGCCCCGCAATGCCTCCGCCGGCGATGATGAAGGTATAGTTGGAGGCAACGGTACGGTGATCGACGACGGTAGCGTGCTTGGGTACTTTGGCCGACTCGGCGGGAGCGGCCGCGCAAAGGGGGACGAGAGGGAGCAGAGCTCCCAGGATGTAACGCGAAGACCGCATTTTACACTATGTAAATTCTCGGTGACCTGAATGCTCCCGCTCAGCTTGTTGAAACGGGAGGAGTAGTAACAATATTATTCTCTGGCGTTCCATTACCGTGAACCCCCCCCCCCCTTCTCGGACATTTTTAAACCAAACCAACGACCCGTCTTTCCCCAGTCTCTTGCATGTGGTTCTGCAGCATGGTGCAGTGCCTCAACCGCTTACGCGGGTGATGGGATTGCAGCGTTGCATCTTTCCGGACGTACCCTGACCTCCGACCCATGCTCCAAAGCGCCTCGGCAGAGACTTTTGCTTCATCCCCTCCAGCCCGGGCTTTTCTTTCGTCGGAGATGGACGCCCGAATTGGCTCGGGACTCGTGCCAAGCATCGAAAACGCATGGCAACCCTGGATGTCTGGTTCGGGCAACGAGAGCAAGTGTCCCTGACAGGATGGGGAAGTAAGCCGACTGGTCAATTCCAAGGCACCTCGCATGGGAGTGGAGGCTGCAGGGCAGCAAGCTTTCCTTCGAGAAACACGAGAAGCACCGCGCCATATTCAGCACGTTCAACCCCTCAGCTGACCGTCGATGTCGAAATAGTACTAGAGGGCGGGGGCGGCGAGGTCGACGTGGCGTGAGTGAACCCACGACTGCCCCAAGGTTCGGCCGCCAGGCGAAGGTTCGTTGGTTGTCTCCACCACTCAAGAAGAGTTGGACCGGAATGCGCGCAGCCCTGACAGGTAATTGATAGAGGACAGCTCGGTAAGCGAGGAGGTTTCCTGATATCAAGGTTGATGAGAAGTTTGGTCTCGGAATTTACACACCAATGTCATGCCTCAAAAACCCGTTACTCCAGTGCCGAGTCGAGCTCGAACTGGAAGTCAACGCTGCCTCACCATCACAACTCGTCCCTCCCCTTCAAGTGCCCGCTCAACCCTTCACTAAGTGCCGTGAAGTGATCGAACGAGGGTGCATCCTCACCCAACCCCCACGCAAACACACCTCCCAACCGCCTCTTGGCCATGATCAGCGGGAACTTGCGCTTGATGGCATCCGGGTTATCAAACGTCCACCAGAGGTCGTCCTTAGCATCCCAGTAATAAAACCCGCCCTGCTGGTCGTCATACACACCGTGCTCGCGCGCTCTGGCAAACGACTCGGCCACCTCCTCGGGCACCGTATCATGCCACGAGAAGCCACCGCTGCGGCCGAGATCTGCCCCGGTCTCTGGGTTCTCGAGCTGCAGGGTCGGGCAACCCACCGGCGATGGGCCCGTGCAAGCGTCGTGCTCCGTCTTAAAGTACTTGGTGTAGAAGGCGAAGCCCAAGTTGAGCTTCTGGGGTGTGGCGCCGGCGGAGATGTAGGCGTCGATGGCCTCGAGGCTTAGGGTGACGCCCGTGTGATGCTTGGTCACGGTGTCGCGGCGGTTCATGAGATCGTAAGTCATGACGTTCAAGAAATCCAGGTGGCGCATGATCTGGGGCACCGTCTCGCGGGTGAAGGCGAGCATGTCCCGCGTCAGGCCGGGCACGGCAGCTGATATGAGTTTGTTTGGGCCGAGAGCGGCACGGAGCTCTGCGAGCAGGAGCGGGTAGGCGTCGATCTCCCAGGCTTTGGCCGAGTTGGGCACCTGCTTGTAGTCTTCGCCGTTACCGCTGCGGCTGTATCAATACCATGGATTTTGTGTGGTCGCTCGAGGTCTGGGCTGGAGCAAGGCTTACCCAGGGTATTCCCAATCAACATCGATGCCATCAGCCCCCGTCGCCGTGACCATTTTAGCTACGTTTTCGGCAAACGTCTTACGAGTTTCATCGTTCAATGCGGCAGTAGAGAAGCCATCTGTGTCGCCCCAGCCACCAATGGCCACCTGCACTTTGGTATGCTCGGGGAACTTGGCCCGGACATCATCAACGGTGGTGAACAACGGCCAGTCAGTTCTTCCGTGCTCGTTGAATATACCCGGACTCATGAAGGCCACGGCGACGTGAGTCACATGATGAAGCTGGTCTATCGGAGGTGCGACTGGGTGTTGGCTGTCCTCGGACGAGAAGGTCAGCGGCTGAGCTTAGGGTGATGATATCTGCGGGGTGAGGAGCGGATAGTACCCCGTAAAGTACATAATACATCGCAGGTGTCGCTTCGCCGTCAGGTTTACCGCCATGGTGAGCGAGGAGAAAAGGAATAAGTATGGCCAGAGTAATCGCATTGGCGCCATCTGCGTGGTCAAGTAGCTTGGGGTATTCCTCAGGATGGATGCGGATGGGATTGTTGTGTCGGACAAAACAGCCAATGGACACTCAAGGAACAACGAAGGGGAACTCGGCGTGTGAGATGAAGCGCAGTTTGCTTCGGTTGTTGTGCTATATTGAATTGTTGTTGTGCCTCCGTCGAGATCCCAAGGTTACGAACCCACGACGCTCGCCGCCCAGTCGTAATCTCAATCAAGGACTGTGAAGCGATAATGAAATCGATTGAGTGAGTGCCGTGTCTTGTCAGGAACCACCTGCGATCTTTCCCCCGCGAACCTCGAAAGTGAATCACGCCTAATCCCTAATAGGCAATCGATGTTCTCCACAATCGACTCGTCGTTCTTTCCATCTCCAATAAAGTATTGAGAGATTTGCTTTAAGCTTCAATATTCTAGTGATTTTATTCTATCTATAGCGACTTGTTCTCAGCCTGAACAGCTCACAACCGATTTTACATCGATCCTCGTGCTGTTCCAGGAGAGAGCAAGGGACTTGAGCTGCGTCAAACCTTGAAGGGCATCGGATCGACTCTGGTGACACACTAGTACAAATTGGGACTGCCCAAGATAAGTGCTTCGAAATTTTTGGCGGCTGGCGGGCAGTTCGAGTTCCGAGTCCTCAACAACGCCTGGCAACCCTGCGCCCTAAACCTTTTGATCGCTTATATCAATTGTGGAATTGGAAAGGGACGGTATGAGCTGAGATTACAGACTTGCTACTTTTTTGCACCAGCCAGCTCCTTCGCCATGCTGGAGAACCTCTGCACCCTCCCGCTGTCGGCGGACCTGTTCACCCAGGTGCTGCACCCGTCCAAGCCGCTCCTCACTGTCGGCTTGTCCAACGGCCGTGTCGAGAGTTTCCAGTTACCGAGCGAGGACGATGATGGCAGTAGCTCAAACAGCGGCAAGGGTCTGATCAAGAGCGTGTGGAATACTCATAGACACAAGGGGAGTTGCCGCTACTTGGCTTATAGCCATGACGGAGAAGGTGAGTAGGGGAATTGGGGTTCTCATATGGCATTGATGAGGATACGCGATTGACCATGATTGCATTAGCCCTCTACTCCGCCGGCACCGACTCGGTTGTCAAGCATTTCTCCCCCGAAACCGGCATCGTCGTTTCCAAGATCGGCCTACCCCCCCGCAACAGCGCCACGAGCACAACCGATTGCCCCGCCATCCTCCACGCCCTCTCCCCCCAGACCCTCCTCCTCGGCACCGACTCGGGCGGCCTCTACATCTTCGATCTCCGCGAGAATGGCAGCCTGAACCCGAAACCGGTGCGCAAGCATGTGCCGCATGCCGACTACGTCTCGAGCATCACGCCGCTACCGGCCTCGGCCGAGAGCACCTCTGGTTTTTCCAAGCAATGGGTATCGACGGGGGGGACCACATTGGCCGTCACGGACCTCCGTGCCGGGATAGTCGCGACCTCGGAAGACCAAGAGGACGAGCTGCTATGCTCCACCATCATCCCGACGGGCCTGGGGCCCAAGCGCATGCGCAACAACGCCGTCGTGGCTGTCGGCACCGGCGGCGGGATCCTGACGCTTTGGGACCGCGGCACGTGGGACGACCAGCAGGAGCGTATCTACATCGCGGCAGGGAAGAACAAGAGGGACGGTGACAGCCTGGACGCCATTGTGCGCGTGCCCGACGAGCTCGGGTGGGGAAAGAAGGTGGTTGTCGGCGTGGGCGACGGCAGCATGGCCGTCGTGGACCTGAAGCAGCGCGAGGTGCAGGCTGTTTTCAAGCATGACGAGATTGAGGGTGTTGCGGCTCTGGACTTTGACTACCAGAACCGCTTGATTAGTGGTGGCGGGAGGACGGTCAAGGTCTGGGCCGAGTCGGGGATCGACGCCCACGAAGACGAGGAAGCGGAGCAGGAGCCCACCGCGATCAAAAGGGCTGCGGATAGCGATGACGACTCCGAGGACGACAGCGACAGCGATAATGAGCGTCCCAAGAAGCAGTCGAAGAAGAAGCGGAAGAAGGGCAAGGGCATCCCCGGAAGGAGTGTGGCCTTCCCCGGGTTGGATTAAGTCGCCGTTTGCACTCCCCGTACAACGGCTTGTATTACTGATGGCCTGTCGGTGCCACGCGACTCCAGCCCGTCTAAGATAGACTGCGGATCGCAACTGACACATCTCTGCACAGTTATTATTACCCGGGCCTCATCCAAGCTCTCCGCTCTGGTGCGGTGAATTGCAACCTCGGCTAAGTTTCAGTTTCTGGCATGCTCGAGTTTGTGAGGGCCTGGAGTTGATAGGAGTCTGAGCCCTGTTGCACCTCCGACCAACCAACTCCTCGGTTAAGCAGGCCTTGTGTGGCGGTTACCCGAAATCCTGTTACAGGAGTGGAGGCGCGAGGGCCGACGAAGGGCCTCATGTGACCTTCACAACCTCGCTTGACGATACCAGTTCTATCAGAAAGATGCCTCCTTTTTGACTTGTATAAAACCGGCCAAACGGCCCAGGTAGCGCCCTGAATATGGAGTTCATTATTCTCGTTATCAGCCACTCGTCTCCGGACACTGTGAGCTGCTCATTTGCTGCGAGTGACACTGAACCCGGACTTGGTTTCATTACTTTCAGCTGGCACATGCCTCTCCAATCGCACACCCTCTGGTATTGTCTCATCTTTTTCTCAGGGTTCAGCATACAAGGCATCGGGCTTGTTTTCTCCTCGCAGCACCTCAAGCGGCCGGCCTGGTGTAGTCGAGTTCTCTTACACGCCGCCATACTTCTCGGACAGTTCTCTCTTGACCTTTTCTCCCCGACTCGGTAGCTGAGGGCCCTGCGGGACTACGGCGGAGTAAGAACCGTGCTCGGTAACGAGGTAAGGGAGAGACGGAAGAAGTTACTTACCGGATGGCCAAGTATAGGCGACTTCCCAACCCCACGTCCTCTATCCGCGCAGTTGCGGGATCTTCAGGCGGATTCGCAGTCGTTACTAGTCCGCCGGCTTCTTGGAGGATTGCGATACCAGCGGCGACATCCCTTGAGACAGCATTAGCATCCACCCGGGCTTTCGATCCCTTTCCGGCGGCCTCATCTTACCATTCCCAACACCCTCCCTCCCACCAAATATCGAACGCCCCCATTGCCGTGTATGCAAGATCGAGTGTTGCGCTTGTCGTCCCACCGTCAGCGGAACAGCGCCCAAAAACGAGCAACGGCCGTAACATACCTGCCCAAACTCCTCACACCATGCACCATCCCACCCTTCCCACCCCTCCCCCCCACCTCGGCCGCCATATTCACAAAACTCTCCACCTTACGATACAGATTCCCATCCACCCGATCCTTCCTATCCTTCCCCCACTCGCACGCAAAGACACACCCGCGCGGCGCGTCCGCCGGCATGGGCGGCACTGGATTACGAATGAGCGGCAGCCGCTGCGTCTCGTTGAGCCAGGCGCCGCGGCCCCGGCACGCCGTGAACAGCTGGCCCAGCAGCGGCGCGCAGATCACGCCGATGGTGGGCTGGCCCTGGGCGACTAGCGCGATGGAGACGCAGAACATGGGGACCAGGTGCGTGTAGTTGACGGTGCCGTCGAGCGGGTCGACGCACCAGGTCGGGGTGGTGGGGTTGATGAGGTAGGCGCGCGAGGTGCCTTTGGAGTAGGTCTCTTCGCCGACGAAGCTGGGGGGTGGGTTGTTAGTGGTGGGTGGTTGCTTGAGTTGGGAAGAGGGGGGGGGGGGGGGGGGGGGGGGGGCATACGCATGGTTGGGGTATTTGTCGTGGATGGATGTCTTGATGAAGGCCTCTACGTCTGCACAGAGTGTTAGTACCTTGGGGTGTTACTCACATGGGAAATTTATGGCTCACCTTCATCGGTTTTCGTTACGATGTCTACCGAACTGTCCTTCTCGACAACTTCCTGCCTGTTCTCGCCGTTGAATCTCGACTGGGCGGCCTCGAGGAGCAGCTTGCCAGCATCCTTGCCAAGTTGTACGGCGAAGGCGTAGATCTCGTCTAGCTCCGCTTCTGTAAGGTGGTTTGCATGCATGTTTACTGTCACCAATTGGGTTGCTGGAGTGTGTTACACTTTGACTTTCGTGGTTGACCAGCTATCTGAGAGCAAGAAAGTATTTCCACCGACAGGGACAGAAGTCATCTCCCCTAGAGAACATACGCGAACGGAGACCAGGCCGGCCGGAAGTAAACCTCGCCGTGACTCCGCGACAGAGAGCCGCGGGAAGCCGAGCTCGGCGGCGGACATGTTCCGTCTTTCCCGGATCCTAGAGGCCACGTTCAGTCCGGGGTGTGCCTCTTGACCCGCTTCCCCGGATCGGCGAGACACGCAGTGTCCCGTGCCCGCGTGCATGAGCAAGGAGGCGAGAGACATCGTGTGGAGTACCAAGCATAATGTATCTTTTTACGACTATTTTGAGACTCGTCATAGGCACAACTCTAGCCGTGCCCAAGTTCCGGTTTCTTAGGAGCTTAGCAGTGTTGATCACTTATTCCGAGGTCCTCGCGAACCGGTATCCGCCGGGAGAGTCTTCATCCGGGAGTGGCGAGCGGAGTGGGGCCGGCTCCTTGCGGGATGTAACCCGGAATACGGCCGTTTGACTGCGGGTGAATACTTCCCGGGCTTAGTGAGTTCCGGCCGTTATTATGGGGAATTGTTCTGGAGAAGGATTCTGGCGGTTTTCATCAGCTGAAGGGCCACTGGGTATGCGAGTAAACTAGCAGCGAGGGAAACGCCAACAGGAGCGGGCGAAACCGGGGATTGGGACATGTTGACACCAGGCTAGCATCTCAGATTAGATGTGTTCATCGTCGCAAAGGTAAAACATAAGAGTAAACACAGTTCGTCCGTTAAAAGTCACAATCCACTTATTTCCATCCTCTCTCCCTGTGTTGAGATAATTCTTTGTATACACGCCTGACCAGAAAGCCCCTTACCCAGCCCCTTTTACAATAAACACAAACATCACCACCACCATCACAACAACCACCCCCCCCCCAGAATCACACCCACACCAAAAATGGCCCCCCACATCCTCCTAATCAACGGCCCCAACCTCAACCTCCTCGGCACGCGCGAACCCCACATCTACGGGCACACCACCCTCACCGACGTGGAGTCCCAAGCCCGCGCCCAAGCCACCTCCCTCGGCGCCACCCTCAGCACATTCCAATCCAACCACGAAGGTGCCATCATCGACCGCATCCACGCCGCGGCCGGCCATGGCCCCCTCAACCCCACCAAAAAAGAAGAGGAGGAACCAAAAGCCTCAATGATCATCATCAACCCCGGCGCCCTCACACACACCAGCGTCGGCCTGCGGGACGCATTGCTGGGGACGGGGACGCCGTTTGTAGAGGTGCATGTGAGCAACGTGCACGGGCGGGAAGAGTTCCGGCGGCACAGCTATCTGAGCGACAAGGCGGTGGCGGTGGTTTGCGGGATGGGGGTGTTTGGGTACCGGGCGGCGGTGGAGTTTGCGGTGGGGTATTTGCGGGAGAGGGGGGAGGGAGGGAAGGGGGGGGTTGAGGATGTGTAGAGACGGGGGGGGGGGAAGGGAGCTTATGGGAGGGGGGGGGAAGGGAGCTTATGGGAGGGGGGGGATGGAACGGGGGGTGGAGGGGATATAACGGAAATGGCGTGAAAGATGGGAGGGGATAAACAGGTGAAGGGAGGGAGTGGATTATTCTATTGTTGTAGGTATACAGAGATTTAACGAGAAAACAGAAACGCTGTCGCTGTCCGAGGTTGCTCTCGGTATTAGATACTATTCTAAGCCTGTCCATTCTAGGAATCCCAGTTTACCAACCCTCATCTATAGTGGTCCGCCACGGCCCATCCTGCCAATCCCCAGTCCCAGAACGCCAACGCCGACACAAACGAAGGAGATGCATTACCGTCTACAGCGACGCAAACACCCGGTTCACATCAGGCTTCGGCTTGGGCTTGACCGTCAGCATCATATCATCCTGGAGCTTGCGCCAGGAGATGGCGCCCCTCTTAGCGAGCTCCTCGGGCACGTCGGAGCCCTCGTCAGCCATGCGGCGGTTGAACAACTCCAGGCTGACCCAGCCCTTGAATCCGAGACCGTGGAAGAAGGCCTCGGCGATCTCGGCGACGGGAAGGTAGGCGCCGCGGTCCTCCTCGCCGTAGAACAATCTGCAGTTGCGAGACCAGCTCATGCGGGCCGGCTGGTCGGCGTTGTAGAAGGGATGGCCAGGGACCAGCGGCTCGCTGAGGCGCTCGGCGTCGACGACCTGGACGTAGAACACCTTGTTGACGTCAACTTGGCGCACCATGGAAGCGATGGACTCGCGGACTGCGTCCTCGGCGTCTTCGGTCTTGCCCGAGGAAGCGGCCGGGTCGGCGTAGATACGGCCGGCAATGTTGAAGGTGTCGAGGCACATGCCGAAGTTGGGACGGTCGACGCGCAGCACGACCTCCCAGCAGAGCTCCCACGTGTCGACGCGGGTGCTCCAGCAGAGGCTTTCGTAGGCGAAACGGATAGGGGGGTCCATGGCCAGGCCCATGTCAGCGACCTCGCGCAGGTCCGAGACGATCAAGTCGAGGTCTTCAGTCACTCGTTCGGCGGGAAGGAAGTTGGCAGGGATCTGGATGATATCGGTCTCAAGCTCGCGGGCGAGAGTGAACCAGAACTTCAGCTGGTCCAACCGATCTTTGTGCTCCTCACGGTCGAGAAGTCCGTCGTAGTGGCTGAAGGGCTGAAGGCAGAGGATCTCGATACCTCGGTCCTTGCACAGACGCAGAATATGGCGAGCGGCAGCGAGCTCGGCTTTGCGTGTCGGGCCATAGAGGGGCATGGTATCGAAGCCCTTAGCAACGTCGGCGAGGTCTTCGTGGAAGAGTTCGATCCCCTGGTACCCGTACTTTTGGGCGGCGTCTAGCTTGGCAACGAATGAATGACCGGCATAGCACCGGCCAAGGGACATGGAGGTGATGGCGAGTTTGCACGCCATGGTAGGCTACTCGGGAGCGAGATAGGGGGGGTAGAGAACAAGAGGAAACGGCCTAGGCGTGCCCCAATCGCAAGGAGAAGGTGGGTGCGCTGGGGTGTGTTGAGGAATGTGGGAGAATAATGGATATAATGTTCTAACGCTGGAAGTTCCTTAGGTCTGGGAGGAAAAGATTTTTCATTGAGATGGTCTGTGAGGCAGATTTAGGAGCGTGTGAAAAATGTCGAGGAGGTTAGGAGTCCGGGCTGGACTTATATAGGTAAAAATTGATGGGATGAAAGGGAAGGCACTTGGACCTGGCAAGCCCAACACAAGACTGGAAGGTAATACCGGAGAGCGAAGTGTGGGGAGCCCGACAACTCACGGTGTGGGAGTCAACACCACAACCTAAATTTCCTTTTCTGTTCCTTGATGAGCGCGTAGCAGTTGGTTGGCTTCTTCGGATTTACGGTCCTGACCAAGTATCTTGCCATTCACAGCTGGTTAGGGCTGGCCACTGGTATAGAAGCGCCGCCATATACCACGAAAAGGGCTGTGATCATCATGGTCTTGCTTGCCTACCTGTGATATACACCCCTGGTACAGAGTTCTCGTCCTGTTGTTTCGACTCATTTTTGCTTCGAGGTTTTGGGCCAAGAAGTTGTTAACCAGCGCATAGGGCAGGCAAGAGCGCGGCCATGAGGTGAAGCAATAATGCAGGGCATCACCGCTCCTTTCTTGCCTGGGAATCCTTGAAACTTTCTCGTCCCCTGTGGCAAAAGGACAGCGGCGTTTAGCGGTGTACAAACGCGGTCTGGGAAAGAAGTCACCAATTGCGGCAAGCACCGTGTAAGCCGAGCACGCGGCATCTCAGATTAGCGACAGAGGCCGAAGATAAGCGAGAGTACGGGCCTGGGGGGGAGAATAATCGGCAGAAGAATCAGTAGAAGAGGGGAGGATGATGCTTCTTCCCCTTATAATGACGTTTGTCTTTTCACACCCGGGAGGTTTTGAGGTTTATCATTGAAGAGGAGGAAGGTGCAGCCACAAAAGATGGGCTCGATGGGATGTTTCAGAGTGGGGTGAGATGGATGGAGTGGAGAAGAGGCGTCAATTTGTGGGCTCCTTCTCAGCCAATAGCCGCTGGATGAATATTTAACCAGGGGTTCAGGTACGCAAACATTTCGGGTGCGTGCATTGCATGGCGACAGCCTGACAGGGGGGCTTTTTGGATTTCGATTCGTAATCTTCCCCTTCCAATGCTCTTATCTTTGCACGTCTGACAGGATGCCAGGTCACGAGGGTACAGGTACCGACTGCAGGCACAACACAGCATGCTGCACAGCTCCTTCCGCCCGGGTTGCCGCAGCTGCATCCGAGTTTGCAGGATGGATGCATCTTGTTCCACGTTGCATTCGTCCTTGGCTCGCAGGCCGAGCAGGTTGAATGGCTTTCCGCCCTGCTGGGTTTTGTCTCCAGCAGCCCCACCACTTTCCAGAGTCAGAGTCCGAGGCCGAGGCACCGTCCGTGGGGTTTAGATAGTGTAGGTATCGTTGAGAGTTGCAGGGTCATTCGATGAAAGAACAGACAAAGATAACCTCGACCACCTTCCATCCTCCTGCAGCCACGTTTCCGATTTACATGTAACTGCAGCCCGTGTTCATCCTACCACCTCATCAGTTTACATGGTACATGTTAGACCTCCCCGCCGAGGACACAACCGCCCTACCATCACTACCAACCTAGGTATACCAACCGACTTACCTACCATGTCGACCACAACTACAACCACAGTCACAATGCAGCAGGAACAGCCCTCGTTGCTGCATCTCAGGTCCCACATCGACCAGCTGGACAAGCATGGCTTCCTGTTCGGCCAGAAGCTCACAGCGTCCATGTCCCCCCTCTTACATGACGTCGTCTACAAGGGCCTCGGCCTGAACTGGGAACAGATCCGCCTCGATTCAACAGACATGGACCTCTTCCTTCGGTTGATACGGCACCCCAAGTTTTACGGTATGTCAACCATCCTTCTCCCCGGACAGACCTCTCTACACTGTCGCCCATCTTGCTGCTCAGTACTAACCAAACCCAGGCGCCTCCGTCACCATGCCGCACAAAGTAGCCATCATCCCACACCTCGACGAGCTAACCGAAGAATGCCGGGACGTCGGCGCCTGCAACACGCTCTTCCTACGGCCACGACCGGGAGGCGGGCCCCGCCTGCTCTGCGGCGCCAACACGGACGTGATCGGGATCCGCGAGTCGTTCGTGCAGAACATTCCCGACCGGTCCCTCTACGCGGGCCGCCCGGCCATGGTGATCGGCGGGGGCGGCGCGGCGCGCTCCGCCGTCTACGCCCTGCACAAGTGGCTGGGTGCGACGTGCATCTACGTCGCGAGCCGCGACGCCGCCGAGGTCGATGCCGTCGTTGCCGAGTGCACCCAGCGCGCGTACGGCGCCCGGTTGGTGCATGTCGAGACCGTTGAGCAGGCCGAGGCGCTGGAGGCTCCGGGTGCGATTGTGGCGTGTATTCCGGATTTCCCGCCCGTGTCGGAGGGGGAGAAGGCGCTGCGGAGGATTACGGAGGTCATGCTGCGCAAGCAGAGGAAGGGCGCTATCCTGGAAATGTGCTACAATCCCTCGCCGTACACGGCGCTAGGTGCGTTGGCTGAGGCTGAGGGGTGGCAGGTCATTCTGGGGACGGAGGCGCTCATCTGGCAGGGCATTGAGCAGGTGGGTTGATCACTCTGAGTGTGGCATTGTTTGTTGCAAGATTGCTAACTGGGTTTGTGTAAACAGGACAAGTACTGGACTGGCCGGAATACGAGCGAGCTCCCTGTTGCGCAGGTCAAGACGGCGATTGCGGCTAGGCTAGCCCAGATTTCTAAGATTTAGATGTTATACCCTATTGTTTACTAGCGATACCGCAGCGTGCTGCGTAATAGAGAGACCTAATCGTGATATTATTACTGTTGCTGGTGGCCACCTTGTGTCCTTTCACCCTTGGACACTGCTTCTGGCCAGACTTGGATAACCCACGGAAACCGCAGATTCCAAGGGTTGTAACTTTTGCCGGACAAGGGCTTTTTTGTCTCAAATGAGTCCCTGGATTCCTGATGTGGTGATTATCGGCCGCAATCCAATCTAGTAATCGTGGAAAAGATAAATTCGCCACGGGTGGGAGAGAAACAGAGAACACTTTACGTTCGTCTTGGTTAAAACAGCAGTAACAGACCGGAATGAACGACGGCCTTGCACTTATTGTACTCGAGAGCTTGAAAACATGAGATTTATAAGCTGTTATAGTTAGAAGGTGCCTGGACTCGGGTGGTGCACCATCGAATCTGATGATACGGCCCTCCTTTGCTTCCCACTCGTGTGCTCGGTTATGATCTATGTTTTGAAGACGAGCCATGAGAGTAGGCAGGACAAAGTTTGTCAGAATTAGATCAGTTCTAAACTAGATATAGATTGACCCAAGCGCGCGCTACTATCCACGGCATTATTGAAACAGCCACTCTCGCAAATAACCCAAACCAGCAACTAAGCTACACAACCGTGCTCCCCAGATGCCACCCGGAAGCCCCATGAACGCACCGGACCTGCTCAAGCCTAAGCGCTCTCCGTCTTCTCCAAATGGCCCTGCTTCGCCTTCTCATCCGCAGACAACGACGCGTCCTCACCCAACACACCCGCACCGTGGTGCCCAAGCTCCTCCATAAGCTGCTTGTTGGCCTTGCGCACAGGCCTAATCTCAAACAGACGGTCCATAGACTCGAGCGGGATAGACTTGGTCTCAGGAATGAGATAAAAGACAAAGACGATCGAGAACAACATGAGCGAGGCAAAGAAGAAGTAGACGCCGTACTCCATCTTGAGGAACATCTGCGGGGTGAAGCGCGAGATGATGAAGTTCCAGAACCAGTTGTTGGCCGACGCCGACGCCTGGCCCAGCGAGCGCGTGTTCTGGTCGAACATCTCCGAGTTGACCACCCACGGCGTGCCGTTCCACGACGGCGTGTAGAAAGCCGTCCAGAGGTAGAAGAAGAAGACGGCCGCGATCCCGCCGCTCGACATGCCGCCGCCGCCGCCGTCTTGGTTGGACGACGGGTCCGCGATCTTGATGTAGGCCCCAATGAACCACATGCACAGAGAGCCGCCCGCGGCGCCGACGAAGAGCATGCGGCGACGTCCCACGTGGTCCACGAGCCAGAGCAGCCAGATGATTGTTAGGACGGTCTTGACAACACCAAAGAGGCCCGTTGTCAAGAACCCGGTGTTGGTGCCCGTGATACCGATGCTCCGGAAGACAGTTGGGCTGTAATAATTGATCGAGTTGATACCTGTCGAGAGCATCAGTCACACCATTCTCAATAGAAAGCCGGGGGTTACCACTTACCACTAGCATTCTGGAGGAGAAAGAGCATGCCACCAAGGAAGAAGCGCCACTGGACCTTGCTCTGCTTGAGCGCGAGGAACGGCTTCCAAAAGCCCTTTCCGACTTCTCTCTCGAACCGCTCGATGTCCCGGTCGATGTACTGAACCTCCTCAAGGATGTACTGGTCGGTGGGCTCGAGGTTCCGGATCCAGCACAGGATCTTCATGGCCTCCTCCCTTCGACCGTTGGCGAACAGCCACCTCGGGGACTCCTTGATCCAGAAGACGCCGATGAACAACAGCCCGCCGGGGATAAGCTGAACAGCAAACGGGATGAGCCATTGAGACCGGGTGGGAGCGAGCGTCGTGTTGACGCCGTAGTTGATCCAAAACCCAACCAGTCCGCCAATCTGCCAGCCCAGCTCGTAGATGCCGACTAGGCGGCCACGGACGGCAGGGGGGGCCAGCTCGGAGATGTAGATGGGCACCATGTTGGATGCGCCGCCGACACCGATGCCAGCCAGGACCCGGCCGGCGAGGATCGGTCCCAGCCCCTTCTCGGCGCTCGCCGCCAGCATGATGCCGGCGCCGACGAGGAAGACGGCAGCAAAGACGAACAGCGACTTGCGCCGGCCGAGGAAGTGGCTGGTGACATAGGCGAAGAGGCTGCCGAAGAAGGCCCCTGCTTGGTAGACCGAGACGATGTTGGCCTGGAGCAGAGCGAGGGCGTCCTTGTCGTACGAGGCAAAGTCAAACTCGGCGGTGAATGAGGGGAGAGCGAGGGTGGTGCCGATGAATGCCGAGTCGTAGCCGATCATGCATGACGCGAAGGAAGCGACGGCGGCGCAGGCATAGACTCGCCAGTTGTAGACGGCCTTGGGCGTCGGCCGGTCCTCCTTGAGCTCGAGGAGCGTCATCGAGGCTCTGTGAACGATGAGGTTTTCCCGTCCAATGGAGAAGAGTCAGATGGTACCCCACGGGGAAAGCAAGGTGGTTCAGTCTGGGGTAACTGGGGTTGTGTCGGTGAACCCCAGGTTACTCAGTTTTATATAGGTATGACACGAAGGGTATCATGGAGCTCGGCTAACCCCCAGCAAGTCCCAGCGCAGTACCAAACACTCGGAGCCCACCTCTCCACGAGGTTGTCGCATGGGTCTTGTGAAGGGCCAAGCCAGCCTCCGCATGAAAAATGTTGAACCGTGGAGTTGAACCCACACGGCGGACTGCAAGTGATGGAGAAGATGGGATGAAATTCGGCACAGCGAATCATAGTTTTCGGAAAGCTAGTTTTGTCGATCGGCGCTCCCCGTAAGTTGCACAGGTAACGGCTGCTACCCCTATCCTGGGGAACCCCACCTTCGGGAAGCGCGACGGGCAGAGATGCCGGCATTTGGGATGAATGCTCTGCCGGAGTCAACGTCAGCCGACCACGGCGGAGATGCCGAAAAGACTCGCACCGGTCGGCCGTCGTACCTATTTTTGGACAGATGGGTGCGTCGGCTTCGCCGTGCGGTTGGGTAACCAAGCACTCAACTACTGGGATCTTTGGAATCGTTCAAAGGCTGCAGATGCCAAGTCTTTCAAGATTCTTGTGTGGTTATGTTGTTAAGCCGCGGCTCTAGTTGCGCAAAGTTGGAACGCCCATGGTCGTCAGGGTATGCCCTGAAGACTTCCCGTCTCATTACACGGCGTGGCGCTCGGCGCCCGGTGAAAAGCTCAAACTGGGCAAAGCCTTGCTCAGGAAGCAAATCCAACCCATCCATCGCCACCCAACCCCTATGAGCCTCCTTCCGAACCTGTTCCAGCAGGGGGCTGTTGAGCGTCTTATATTCAAGCTCTAGGACGACACCGCCCGTGGGGCTTTCGAGCCACTGTGCCGGGACTGTGAATTCTGGTGCCGGACTTCCCCCAACACCATGCGTCGGAATGCACGAGACGATCATGGTGGGACGCTTGTAGCCCTCTGGCCAGGGATCGTCGCGAGACCGAATGATGTGGAATCTTGTCCTTTCTTTGGACCCAGCACTGGAGCTAAATAACGGGAGCCCGTTGCGGGTCAGCAATGTCTCGAAGTGAGAGACGAGCTTCTCGGTGTTGGCGAGCGTCCGGTTAAAGATGAGTATGTGCTTGACTCCGAGCTGCAACATCGCATAAACGGCGGCCCTCGCCATCCCACCGGCCCCGACGACGAGCCCTGAACTGCTCGGTCGCACGGCATTAGCCGGGGAGAGGCCACGACGGATGCAGGCTCGAATGCCAATCCAATCCGTGTTCTCCCCGTAGAGCGCCTTCACCGGGCCAGCTAGATCGCCCCGATTGGACAATATTGCGTCGTCGGGGATGCTACCGTCAGGATTAAGGTACCGCACGGGAATTAGTGTGTTCACCGCGCCGATTGCCTTGGCATGTCGGCTTAGGGAATGCGTCAAACTGATAATCTCGACCTTGAAAGGAAGCCCCACGGAGGCGCCGGCGAAGTGAGGATCGTTGACGAGCTCTTGTAGGCTTCCGATGTTGCTCGTAGAGTGAGGTTCGTACTGGTGAGGAATGCCACAAGCCTTGAGAGCAGCATTGTGCATGGCCGGGGACAGACTGTAGCTCACATTGGCACCGAAGACGTAGAGCCTCATCGGATGGTAGTAAAATGATGAGTACAGAGCCTGTGTTGCCTCCCGGGCCGTGAGAGACGGGCGCAGCGCCATGGCGGCCTCGGATGCTGTCCGGGGGGGCTCCTTTTGCAAGCCTTCTGGCAGAACTGGCGTGAGAACCTGATTGAAACACGCCGAAGTCCGACCCAGTATCCCCGTGCTGTAGGCAATGAGCGGCAGCTTTGGGCCTGGGGTTGACTCCGCGGCGTGGTGGACGAGGCGCACATCCAGATTATCAGCGGTGTTAACCGCCCTTTTTGTGAACCTTGTGAGGCCACAACCGCTTCCTTGTGCCTTTTCATAGTGCGACCGCCAAAACGGCGCGTCCCAGAGGGGAGAATCCGTGTCCTCCAGCTGGAGGTTGCCCACAACTTTGCAGGTCCCCTTGGCACTGATGATGCTTGAAAGTATGTGACTCTCTAGCCTCAAATCAACGGTGATGTACTCGGGTGCAAGACGTAGCCCGTGCCGGATGTATGATATGTAAAGAGATCGCCAATATTCGTTTGAGAGCGCTGCTTCGGGGAACGCCACATGAAAGAAGATGGGAATGACGGTATCCCGCCGGAATTGTGCCACGACACGGCTGATTTCACTGGCGCGGTGGGACGGTACATCGGTTGATGACCGCAACTGGCTAGCGTAGTCGGTGATGAGATCGTCGACAATGATTTCTATGGCATCGGCTCCAATTTCGAACTCCTGAATGTCGAGGTCGCCGCGAACGAACGAGGAGAGCGGCACGGAAATAGCGTAGGTAAACCGTCTTGCTTCTGCAGGAACGCGTGCTAGCGGGAAGGCTGATTCGTTGAAAGGGATGGAGCCGCTCGGGAGAATCAGGGAGAGAAACTTGAGAAAGTGTCTCTCAGCCCGCTTAAGCGTGAGATATGGTGCGGTCGGTCGGTCAAGGTCCGCCGAAGGCGAGGGAAGGCGTTCGTTTGTGAATTCATCGGGCATGCTGCTATCCTCCGAGACGTTGAAGAACTCGTAACGCGTGCAGTTTCTAAAGAAGGTGCTGCTTGCACCCAAAATGTCCCGGGCTTTCTGAAGGGTTTCAATCCTTAGGTGGCTCTGGATGGCCTTGGGGTCACGAAGAACGTATATGACAGGGTGAGTCTTCTCCAGCCGCTCTAGGGCCGACTGGATATCTCTCTCGATCCACGAGCAGACAATGACGGCATTTTTGCCATGCCTTCCTAGGACCTCGTACAGGATGGCGAGTTCGCGGGACTGGCAAGCAGCACCACCGTGCGCTTTCTTGTAGGCCGGACTGGAGAAGCCGGTAACCTCGCGAAAGGCCATTTCGAGATCAACAACTTTCCGGTTCATAGCAGAGGAGGCTATAACTGCCAGTGTTGTCTTGCCGGCACCCCGGATACCGGCGATGATGATAGACGTGTCTGCATCGTAGCTAGCGGCTTTTGGGTTGGAGCTCTTGCGCGCCGGGGCCTGGTATGCCGACCGGTAGGCTAGGAAGCATTAGTCGAGACGCCTGGTCGAAGGGAGGGAAGGGGGGGCGGAGGTGGTACGGGATGGTACGGCACGGTGAATGCCGGAGGGATTCCAGGACGGCTTACCTCCGGGGGATGGTCCGGCCGAAAATGTCGGCGCTGGATGGAGCGGCGCGGGGTAGACAGGGTCCCTGCTCTCGGGGGAGAAAGGCCGGGACCTCGGGCGTGGTTCGGCGGTGGGGGTTTGGGACTGACCGTCCCAGTCGAAGGCCATCGCGGCGTAGGAGCGCTTCACGCCGGTAGCGGCGGGTGAGGTCATGATCCTGCCAGCGATAGAGCCACGCCAGTCGCTAAGTACACGGGAAACATTTACAACGACCTGAAGTACCTAATGTGGACGGGCGGTATGGAATGGAGGTAGGGCTGGGTGTCTGTCGCCCGGACCCGAGAAGGCCAAGTCCTGGAGTCAACTGCCAACGGCGGAAGTAGGCGGCGGCCAAACGATCCAATCGACCCAATCGATGATCGAAGGGATGTGCGCAAGGGAGGGTACGGTTCCGCAACGGTCAAGAGTTTCACCGGAAGGGGAATGTGTGCCCAAATGCGATACAGAATGTTAGAATGCCGTTCGACACTCCTGCCCGAGATTGTGGAGGGTGGGCTGCCAGGGCGAAGAGGGAGTTTGACAGCCCTGAGCAGCCCTGAGCACTCCGGAGACAGCTGGAGGTGGGGAATGCGGGGATGAATGTTCACCCCGCAAAGGCCCACTCGTTTAATTGCTTTCCCCCCTCTTGCAACCTCCATCCTCCACCGATGAACAAGCCTCATCGCGAGGCATGGTTGGGACAAACTTGGCAGCGCAGGCGCAGTTGTCTTCCATTCAAGGAGCTTGATCTGAGAAATCCGGTTCCAGGTCGCGCAGTATTCTCAGTCGCACCGAAACGCGTGGCCTTGGCGGTCGGCACACCGACTGCCCGACCACAGCCGCGACTGCAACCGAACAACATACGGTATTCGTACCACACGGGTCCATTCAAAGCACTGAGCCACTTCCCCAGAACTTCTCCGCAGCCCCCGACCCCAGGTTCCATCTTTCTTGACCAGATCTAAGAGGGAAACTGGTTTAGCGGCACTGTGTTCTTCCGAACCCGAAGAACGCCAGGGTGGTGGCGGTGGTGCGCAACGAGTATGGTTTTGAGCCGACCGATATGGTACTTCGGCGAGCTCGGTGTTGGTGCGATTCTTTCAGCGTCAGCCCTTAGGCGCACCTACGCCCTTTGCGATGCCACCGAAGCGGAGGGTGCCCGAAATCGAAACTCCCAACAATTCAAATAGCGTTGCCCCTCCCCGGCCCGAGGTCTTGGTGCCTGCAGCTCAGCCCGCTCCCGCCAAACGGCAGAGGGTGTCAAGGGCCTGCGACCAGTGCCGTGCGGCACGGGAGAGATGCGATGGCAAACAGCCTCAATGTCAGCCTTGCATATCGCAAAGCAGGCCATGTACCTACGAGGTGAGCCCTAAAAAGAGGGGCGTCCAGACTGGCTACATTCGCACCCTTGAGCTCGCCCTCGGCTGGGTCTTTGAGAAGGCGCCTGGCAGCGAGGAGACTCTCAACGCTCTCCTCGCTCAAGAGGGTGACCAAGGGCTCCCACTCCTGACAGGAAGAGATCCCGGCGGGGCGGACCGTCTGCAAAAAAGGTGGAGGAAAAGTAGGGTCCACAGAAGGATAGACCGCATCCTCTCTGGAGAAACGGCGCTCTCGCCTGGCAGGGGCGCACTCTCTCCGTCGGCAGATGCAACCGATACGGAAGGCGACGCAGCTCGAGCACGCGGCGAGCCTGATATGGTTGTGCCAGACGCCGAATCCGCCACCCAGGGCACCCCGAGATCCAGGGGAATGAGTTTTGGGCAATGCCCACCGGGCGCCGAACGGCCCGGCCAGACGCCAGCGAACAACACGTCTCAACCCCTCCAACCGGCGCCGGGGCGTCTTCAGCTCCCCGCCAACCACTGGCGCTTACTGGACGTATATTTTTCTTATACCCATTCTTGGTTACCCATTCTCCAAAAGCAGGACTTATTCCAGGCTTCATATGCCTACCCAGACGACGGTCTCACGATTGACCCAAGGGACGATTCATTAGGGGTCCATTCCGTTCTATGGGCAGCTTTGGCATTGGCATCCTCCCAGGATGCTGGCAGCTCCAAGCCCTCTGCGTCACCATACACCCACCCGCCTGAACTTTCCCCAAGCGACGTTTATGATATTGCCCGAGGTCTTCTCCCATCAGAGCACGGGCCGTTTCAAACCCACCATGCTCGTGCCTTCCTGCTGCTCAGCTTGGTTAATATGGCACACGATAAGCTGACCAGTGCTGGATTGTTGATTGGTTCTGCTACCCGCATTCTCCTCGACCCCGATACTATCCAGCATGGCGCTCAAGATCAAGACGGGCAGAGCATAGGGCTGGCCCTGATGTCTTGTTTCCTGGTCGACACGATTCTTTCGGTCCGATGCAGCGGACCACCGCATTTGAGGGCTGAAGACCTCAATGCCTTGCCACTGGTTTCCGAGACCGGACCCGATCAGTGGGAACCGTGGACGCCATGCGACGGTTTCGGGCTCGGAAACGGGGGTTCCAGTTCGTCCCGAAGCCCTGCGTTCCGCCTAAGCACCTTTAACCAACTTTACGCCATAGTCAAAGTTGTCGCAGAAGAGAGAACGATGAGGAGGCAGGGATCGATGCCGCGAGGGGCGCCGAGCGCGTTCGCCACGCAACTGCAGCAGGCGATAGACCCAAATCTGCCCATTAGCAACTTTGTCGTCTCGCCAGACTGTGGGACCATCTCGGTTCCAACGCCCTATTTGGTCCGGGCGACCTATCTCTGGGCTCGCGCTCTTGCTGAACCCCATGCGGAGACGCCTTTGCTCTTGCTCCAGGTCACATTGGATCAATACCAGCGGCAATTCGGGCGGTCCAGCACGCCGTCTTTTCTTTCCACGTGTATCGCATCACTTGCAAACGAGGAATACGCCCTCCGTTGCGGCGAACGGAACCGAGAATTGTCGCAGCGTCTGGTCACGAGCTTTTCCTCTAGGCAGCCTGCGGGTAGGGGGCCTTCGAGCGTTCGCGGCACACAGCACAACTCCTTCTCTCGAACTACGCAAGATCCGCTGGAGTCCCCGAATTCAGCTCGCTCTTCCGCCCCAAGCAACCCTCTGATGAACTACCCAGACCCCTCCATGCCGCTCCTCTACAATGCCCCTACCGCAAGCCACCACCGGCAGCCAGACCCCCGTAACAGGGGATACGGCTCATTCTTAAACACAAACATGGGGCTCTACCAAAACGCATTCCCCAACTCGTCGATACCAATGCCCCAGGGCAGCAGCGACATACACACCCACCACTCCGGACCCACCATGGCCACGATGCCGGGGATATCCACAACGGCGGCGGCAGCAGCTTCAACGCACCGTGATCTTGCGCCGTCGTACCCTCTCATCCCTTCCGCGGGGCTCGGGCCCAGTCCTGACGTGGATGCGCTGCTGGACGACCTTGCGGCGATTGAATACGCTGATGCGGTGGATGTCGACTCGCAGTTTATGACCAACCTTGGATTTGCGCCGGGGTGCGATATCACGGAGATTTTGACGCGCGGGTTTGGAGGGGCATAAGTACACGAGTTACCTAGATAACTTGGATGTTTGTAGCTTATTTTTTTTTAAGAAGCTAATTTTGTTGTGCATTGTTGCATTGAAGATGGTTTTAGTTGGGCTTTTTGGAGCTTTATTGGTGATAGTAATGTGTCGTCAAAATGCGACAACAGCTCTCACTCATCAAAATTCTGTGGTGGGTCCGAAGAGGGGTGGTATGGTTGTGTGGTGTTTGCGTGGTGAGTTGTGGGGGTGAGGTGCACAGATGTAGTCAATTAACACTGCACCTTTCAACAAGCAAACAGGCAAGATGGCCGAGCGGTCTAAGGCGCCACGTTAAGGTTTACCCTTAATCCCAATCTACCCAAAGATTCCGTGGTCCGAAAGGGCGTGGGTTCGAATCCCACTCTTGTCATAACTTTTTCCCTCGTGGGTAAACTTGACTTTTTGCTCGAGGGGGCACCACTTGGTGGTTGGTGGGGCGCCTCTCTTGGCGGACGAGGTGTCTTTTTCCATATCATCGAAGTTACCATGCGGTTATCCGGGGCTGGAGAGGTTGTCTCTTCGACTTCTCGAACGGTTCGCTCGGGATTTGCCCTACCAGGTTTACGAGCTTGAACGGAGAGGCTGGTAAAACGGTTTTCTCAGCCCAGCCGTTACAAGCTGGCAAGCCCCGTGTTTACCGCCATGTCTGACTGATCTTACCCCCTGATGTTCTGGGACGGAAGAACGGCGCTGTGTGACGGCGGATAGAAGAAAGTATTGTATTATAACGGGCTCAGGTGGTTGGGAATGTTGCTGCGGAACATAACGGAGGACGAGAGTTTGTCGATGATGAGATTGCACGTTTAGTGACACAGTTCACACGATCGATGGCGGCATGACGACCTACCTAGGTGACTGGTGGGACAACGATCCGTCCTCCCTCGGGTGTGCGAACTGGGCGATCGGGCAGGTTTCCAACACATAACATGCTCGCCGGGTGCCAATAACTAAATCCCCGCTGTTGCTAGCCGTCTGTTAGTCTCACGGGACGCGGCAGGTGTGAAGCTGAGTATCGATCGGTACGACACGATCGTCGGTTACACGTCCACAACGCACAAATCCCGATCGTGTTGGCCAAAGTGCTCAGATGATGCCGCGAGACGGCGGCACGGCGGTTCGTCTGATGCTTGGAGCTTGGCCACACGTGCGCCAAGGGCGGAGTTGCTCTTCTGACGTCTGACGCAGCCCGCGGAGCCCACCTCCCCCGCAAGAGAAAAATAGAATTTGAGGCGCAAGGCGGAACTGCGAAAAAAGGAGGTGGTTGCTCTCCACCACTGGAACCAGGCCTCCACTGGCATGCGACGATCCATGCGACGGCAGTTGCGCGGCGCCTGGCCCTTCATCTCAGAAGCCGGGGAAGGCGTTGTTGCAGAGTGGAAACGTGGAGAGAAACACACCGAGGCAAGGGTCCAGAACTGAGATCCCAGCTCGATGTCACGGTCGATGGTCCACAGCGCGCGGGGGGAAACCACAAGCCCGTCTCTCTTTTGTTGGTATAATAAAATTACAGCGGATATCTCTCGCATTTGATCCACTCCACGATGCTGGTTTCCCAGATCCGCACCCCACAATTGCGCCGCGTCGAAAGAAGAGCGATACGGGGTATGCATGGACCATATGTCGCCTCCTTCACGGGGTACGCAGTTTGATGAGTGGTTGCGGATCCCGCTCACACAAAAAAAAACACACGCAATCCAAGCCAAAAATCAACGTCCCGAACAGTAAACCAAAAGCACACCGGTCTCAGGCCGTCTAAGCAGCAGTGCGGCTGGCCGTCTTGGCGAGCCTGGCCTCGCGACCCTTCTCGGACCACGGGAAGTGGAAGACGGGGATGAGGAAGAACGAGTTGCTGTTGAAAAGACCAATTGCGTCAGCCGATCGATCCAATGCTTCAGGTGCGGCTCAAAACAGGGCAAATGCTGGGCGTTTTCTTGGGTGACGGCAGTGGCGCGCCATGGCTGGCTGGGCTTGGCCCTTATGCAGGGATCGCCGGGAAGGCTTGATGAGACGGACCACAGCTCGTGCCGATGACGGTCTCCGTGAGGCGAGTAAAAAAAAAAAAGTAGGAAAAGAATCAGGAGCAACATACCTGCTGTCGGCAATACCAGCAAAGGCATTGTACCAAGCCAAAAACGCTGCAAGCATGCCAAAGCCGCCACCAGCCTGGGTGAGCCTCTTGGCGACGTCGGGGACGCCGTTGTCGATGGCGTAGTGGCCGCAGGCAAGCATGAGGAAGGCGAGGTCGAGGGTGAAGAAGAGCATGAAGAACATGACGGTCGAGCGCAGCGTGCACAGCAGCAGGATCGTGGTGAAGATGAACCAGCCCGTCAGGAAGAGACCGACTGCCGAGTCAGCCATGTTGGGGTCGATGGCCTCGGTCGCCTCGTTCCTGTACGGCCCACCGGGGCCCGTGATGTTCCAGTGGGGAGTCAACAAGATGGCGTAGGCGATCCAGAAACCGCCGTAGGATGAGAGCGCGGTAGCACCGAAGGTGTTGCCGACAGCCATTTCCCTGGACACGTTTGTTAGATAACGTCCGGCTAACGCGTGTCGATTTGCGCGTCTTTCTGGCGCGTCTTCGACTTACCACATGCCGGCTAGAAGCTGGACAAGACCGCCATAGCCAAAAGCGAGAGGGACGGCGACGTTGGGCGCAGAGATGTCACGCGCGTTCATGTTGATAGCCGAGAGCACGAAAGTCGTGAGGGCGAAAGCGCAGAGGCCGAGCGGCGCCGGGTTGGCGAACTTGCGCGCCTCGACCGACCGGTAGAGACCGGGCTGGAACTCACCACCGAAGGCGGGTAGCCGGGCCTGGTCGTCGGTGTGGATGTTGGCCATCGGGTTCCGGGGGTCGTAGCCGCGGTGCACCGGGTTGACGCCATTATGAGTCGCAGCACCCGTCGTTTGGCCGAGATCCTTCTCGGCCGCCGTCGTCTGCACTGTGTCGGCCATTGTGTTCCCGTACCGGATGAATTGGACCCTCGAAAAATATAATTAAATATTTAGCTCTGTTGTGCTTGATACCAAACCACGTGTATGTGCGGTAGGTAGGAGGAGAGTAGCCACGGGGTGGAAAGGAACCAAGGGGACAACACCGGAGCAGGACAGCGGGCGAGGGGTGACGACCTTCATATACGGAAGGGGAGCCCGACGATACACAACGGCCGGTTGGTGCTGGGGTTGCCGTGCAGAGAGGGCAACAACGATCGCTTGGGGATCGTCAAATCAGGCGGCACGCCATTGACAGGATGAGCGGGTCGAGGAGTCCAGGGTCTATCTCCCTACCCCTGTCCACCCAGCCCGTGTCAGTCTGGAGCGGTCTGTGATAGGGTCGAGGTGCATATTTCCGGACAGATGGATATTCGAAGGTTCGCAACCCCAGGGTCTGCCACGGCCGGGCGGGATATTGCAGCGGGGTTGATGTGCACCGTCGTGCCCTCCGAACCATCTCTGACAGCCACTTGGCGGTTCGGGACCTCGGGGGATGTACCGAATCCGTTGGTGCTCTGCGGCGCAGGCAGCTTCCCTGTACATGTTGTTCCGAATGGCCGTTTCGACTGGAGCCCGCGGGGACAAGCAGGGCAGGAGAGCCCTCGTTGTTCATCGGATGAGAATGCGGAACACTGGGGCAGCGTCAGGGACCAAGTTCTCGAAGGGCATGGAGGTGCCCTGTACTGCCGGCGTGCTGACAAAACGGGAGCTGTCCTTCCACGCTAACGCGAGGGAATCTCCGCCCCCGATCCCTCAGAGGTGGAGAAAACGCTTTGCCCCGACGCCTTCTCCAACCCTCTCCAGAAACCTGGGGTCTTCCGGTTCGGAGGGAAGGAACCTTTGGCCCCCAGAGACGCCGGCGATTCATGGTTGTTCGTGCCGTTTTTTTGCAGCCAGTTTTGACAAGGTGCGGGAGAGCAACGTGGAAACATCTTGCTCCGAACGAACTCTCCCTGGTCGTGGGTTTCCACAACCACCATGAGAAAAGAAATGGTCTCCGCAACCTTGATAGAGCCAAGAAAGAGCTCCAATTGCCTGTACTCTCCAGTTTGTGGAATCCCCAGATGACGCGAGAATTTGGGGTGATCGTCAAGCAATGTCTGGGGTAAACGCGAAAAGGGCCCCCGGCACCGGCTCAATGGAAACACGGGTATTGATGAAGCGCCATCCCCGTTTCCACCCCGTTTTGCTTGGACAGCCAGCCCACCACATGGGCGTTTCGAACGACGGGGGTTGTTGAACCTTTTCATCGGCCAGTTACCTGTTGCGAGGGCCCATCCGAACTGTGTGTCTCGGGAGCTATCCCGATTTGTCTAACGCAAGTTCCTCACGGGGGGTCTGCAAACCTTGGATGAATTGTGGTCGTTGTTCCACAAAGCTGCAGTGTGGAGGTAACATCCAGGTTTGGGTGGGTTACAAAGTAATTGCGGTCGGAGCTGTGCTTGTGGCATCGGGCGGAGACCCCTGACAGAGAATATCTCTATATCTTTTGGGGCACTGGCAGGGCTGGCGCGAACTGCCGTTCTTTCGTTTTTCTTGAGCGACGGTTTCGCGATCATGTTGAAGGACAACAACCGCATGTTTGACGTCTGTCATCGAACCTTCCAAGGCGCGCTAACGGGCTTGGTGCCAAGGCGGTAAGATCGGCATCATCGCCCAGAAGTTCATTGGGCGGCCGCCACGCTGCAGTTTCGCAGCAAGGCGTGGTGCCTCATGGTCGCCAAGCAGCACCAAGACAGCTTGCCAATTGCTTGCCATTGACTCCCGTCCTGACTGCCGGCTCGGCGTACGTCCGCCGCATCAAAAAGTTTTAAGACCCCGCCGGCCGCGGGCAACCGGAGCGGCGATCGTGCCGAGGCCAACAACAGAGCAACGACAGCAAAGATATACATATGAGGATTCGTGATGACGCTCATCGCTGGGCAGGTGACGATGAAATGGGGTTCGCTTCCCCGGATCGGGGCACACAACACCGAGTGCCGGGCGTCTTCGGTTCTGGACTGATGGTCCAGTGCGGGACCGGACCCGCAGAACAACCACAATGGCAGCGGAAAGGGGTTTGGGCCAACTTTGTCTGACCAGCGGGCCGTCGCACCTTCCTAATGAGGAGTCACCGTCCAGTTTTTCTTTTGAAGTTTCTGGGGGTGAGGTGGGAATGGCCGAACAAGAGCGATGATCACCGCCCATTTTTTCTGCTCGTTCAACCACCGGCCGTGACCAAACCAGAGAGGCCAAGCAAAGCTTAGTAATCGATTCGGTCTCACAAAAACTATGGGGAAAGGAAAGTGTTGGGAGACGAGACAATCTGCCTCGAAGTGAGAGCTCCAGTTGCCTTCTTTTCCTTCCTCGCTGGGGAAAATGCAAAGAAGGGACTTCGTGCGCGAAGCGCACTGTGCCCAACAAAATAATCAAGAAGTTGGAGAAAGATGGGGAAGCCCCGAATTTCGGTCCTCGGCGAACCAACAATTGCCAAAAGTTTCCTCGAGACATCTCCGCGGTTCCGGGGGTGCTGTTAGCAAAGCGGGAACTCTCCCTCCCCTGCAAGTCGGGTGGTATGCAATACGTAAAGCTGCATTATTACGAACCGGAGTGTGACGGTGGCCCGATCTCAGCTCCCCCACGACTGCGGGCAACGGTCTCTCGCTCCACATGAGGAAGCGTTGGGGGTCGTCCGGCGCTTGAGACTCCCTTGTCGCGCATGAATCACGAAGTCGGTACATCGCGACTTTCCCAAGAGAGAACTGTCATCTCATCGAGCAGGATGGGCTCTGCGTAGTGAGAGGATATTTGGGTACTTCGTACAATTGTCGGACCCCGTTCGCTGTTTAAACTTCCAACTCAGCAAACTCACTCACGGCTTTTGCGCTTCCATGCGAGGAAGACCACTGATTTCTTCCAATTCGCTTGGTTAAAGTCGGGCAATGACAAGGTGTGAGATTTCCATCCCAATGGGTAGGTTTTCCGCCGCGCTTTGCCCTCCCCAGCTTGTCACATTGGACGCGATGACACCCTCCAGTTTAACCAAGCCGAACCGCCATGCGACGTAATTTTGAAACTGCTTTTGGATGCTTCAAGGCGGCCGTTCTCTGGGACGGGCATGACGGGGAAGTCGGCTCAGCCGGGAGGTGGAAATGATCGAGCTGGAACCTTCTGCAAATGGCCGAATATGCGTCCTCAGGAGCATGGGTTGGTTCAGTTCCATGATGCCATGACACCACAACCAACGAAACACCAAAGACTGCCACCCTCCAACAGCATGCGACAGCAAATAACTTGATGTTGTCTCCTGCGCGATGGCCCATCCAACGAGACTGAACGAAGACATCTCGAAATTGGAACACTTGTCAGGTGTGGTTACATTCACCCACTTTTTGCGAACTGGCTCGACTGGACACTTGGGACTGGTAACTTGAACCTGCGACTTGGCCCGTCGATACACCCCCGTGACCCCTTCTTACTTTCATCGGTCTGACTGTTGATCATGAAGTCCCAGTCCCGCTCCCCCGATGGCTCCGGGTCGATCACCGACTGTCGCCATTCCCCAGCGCCAGGAGAGCATGACGTGGCTCATCCCAATAACTCATGCAGGACAACTGCCGCTATGCTAACAAAGCTTAGCAGTGGAAACGTCTGCCAAGGGGAATTACACATCTGACCGCAGCGGCAAAAACGTGCTTGGTTGGAACTGCTCCCAGCTTCGGAATGCCTGGTATTCTCACGCCCCTCCTCCATACTGATCAATATCGTGCCGTGGCTCGAGCATGGGTAAATAATCCCCGAAGTGCCTCCCAACGGCCTCCCACTCCTGCCAACGTAACAGCGACCTCATCGTCCGCGTGATTCGCTCGAGGGCTGGTAGTTCTGCGTTCACATCGCAAGCTGCGCGTTTCACAAACTGGGGAAGTTGGGCGCCGGCACAGAAGCATAATCGCAACACCCCCCAGGACTACTGAGCCCAAAACACCTCCCGCTCCATCGTAGTAGAGTGTGGTCGGGCGAAAGTCCCCGCAGATGAACACCATGTTTCTCAGCGAGGAGATCGCCTCGAAGCTGGATAGAAAAGCCATGAAGCCAGTAACGAAGAACAAAGCACCATGAACGTGTTCCAGAAGGACCGTCCGCCCAAGCTACACAGTAAGCAAGATCGGGGTTGTCAGCAAGCCAAGCACGATCTTGACAAGGCTTGGAAGCCTTTGCAGAAGCAGCCAAGTCCCTACGGTTGCTGGGCAGCGACGACGCCAAGGTTGTTGACCATTGAGCCCCTGAACTGCTTGTCTTGGCCTGGCTTCAACACCGGAGTCGAGGACATTTGAAGGTTGGGTTTTGCAGCCAGTGCATGGGACGGGGAGGCAAAACTACAACCACTCCGTACGGCGTGCGTCATCCCCTGGTCCTATAATCCCCTGTTGAGAAATCATCGCTGGAGATGTGACGCCGACAAAGCGGAAGTGCCAGTGTTGCTCCGCCGTGGCCAGCTCAGGGGCAATACCGGGTACGGCGACCGGATGGGGTCGTTGAGGCCGGGAGCTCCAGGCAGAAGTCGAGGATGTAGAGATTGCCACGTGCCCAGGTATAAAGGACTTCGGCGTGGAGGAACATATATATAGTTATTCCACAAGGTAGTAGAACACCATCGTCGTTGATGTCACGCGACCCTCCGGCAGTCGCTGCCGATCCTAGCAGCAGGCGGGCCGTCCCGGTGTCGTACTCCCTGCCTTGGTGCGTACCGTGGCAGGCGACGGCGGGCATGCCAGGGGACGGGACCCAATACCACGACAGTGGCATCGTGACTGAGACAGGAACCCGGCTCGGGGCCTCCGCGGAGATCTCAAGGAGAGGGGCGAAACATCCAACCATGGGGATAGCCATTACGTACATTGTTCAGCCCTACCCGGGACATCGAACAATTCCCGCAACTTGTTGCCAACCCGGCCGTGAGCACCCACCTGTGGATGCACGCGAGGGGCGAGGAGAGGCCTCGGAGGCTTCTCTCCATCCTCGCAACCCCATGGCACCAGGCATCATGAGATTCCTCCTTCCCATTCTTCCTACTGTGGCCTCAACATGAGCACGGATTCCCTCGCCCAGCTCCGCATCGCCACCACGAGCAAGAGAACAGTCGGGGAAATCTCGGCGAGTTCGGACCACGGACCGGGATGGCGCGGGCCGTCCTTCGTGAGACACGCGAGGCAGGCAGTGGTGTGACACTGGTCTTTTGAAGCTAGATGTCTCTTTAACCCTTGGATCACTCAATGGAAGGAGGGAGACTAGCAGCAACACCGACCTGCGTACTTAGACGTGCTAGGGTCGAGCCTAGGAGTTGGGCAATAAGGACCAAATAACTACAGAGCCGCGAGCACAAACCATATAACGGAACAGGCTACGAGGGGCAATAAGCTTCGACGGAGACCAACCATGGACAAAAGAGCAACCTCCCGAACGCGGAGGTCTCGATATCTGATACGCCAACTGTGCCTCTATCCCCTCCCAACCCAGGGATCCGGAACCACACAAAGATCATCGACTACGTCCAGCCTCCGATAACTACTCGACCTGGCTTGAATACGAGACCAAAGAGAAAGCTCGATGGCTGGGGTATGGTGAAAGGGAACCCCGGAGTAACTGTGTACTTATAACGATTAACTAACTACAAGCAAGCTCGAAACGAGGAGATACCCGCGAACGCACACACACACACACACACACACACACAAGCGCTACCAAACGAGGATACCTAGCCCCTCAAGTCGGCGATAGAGGGAGAACGTGGTGAGCCGCAGCAACATGGCGGTCTGAACTACCAACGATCGAGGGCCTCGAGAGAGTGGTAGGTACCGAAGGGGATAGGCCATCCATGTGTCTGCGCTTACTTAATGGTAGGAGTGTCCTAAAGTTAGACGGGAGAGGGCGGGCAACGTATAACGTGTACCGGTATTGTAACTGGGTTCTCCCTGCTCACGCGGGCTGAGAAAAAACTGAAGGGGCACGAGAGGAAGACAATTACGGTGCCGTTACACGTGGGTGCAGACATGGTCAACCTGTGAGTGGCCTGGGGTTAGTGAAGGAGTGACTGGGGCATATAGCGACTGGAATGGTGGGATAGTCCTCTCGCGTGTGTAGCTTTGGGCGGCGAGGCTCGGAGAACCCTTTCAACAGCACGAACACACTGCTTTCTCTAACATTCGGGACCTCAAGATCGACCAGCGTTTGTGGGCAGTCCGAGACAGCAACAAGGGGAAGGTTATTTGACAGATGGCGCCGTCGAGACAAAATCTCGAATGGCGATCTGAAAGCAAACATGCCCACTCGCGTCAGAATAGCAAAGGCTCAAGTGGAGACAGGAAGGGCGCGGAGATTGGGCTTTTGTTTCATAGGGCCCAAGCAGGACCCGAGCAGTGTCAGGCAAGAGTCTCACACGAAGCAGAGGCACCAGGAAGCGTCGTTGGTAAATCGTAAAATTGATTTAGGCCGATCGCGTTAAATTTTCGATAGCCTCATCCTATGCCATTGCCGGAGCCCATGCAAAGTCAAAACCCACAGACGCCCCGAAGCACATTTCCCCGCTGACCGAGCATCACCCTCGTCCAGCACTCTACTGAGCGTACCGCTTGCCGTCCCGGAGGGTGTCGGCAAACTCCTCCAGAGGGCTCCTGATGAGCTTGGTCTCCTTCCACAAGTTGGGCGTAAGGAAGCCGTATGTGTGGGAGACGGCCGCGAAGGTCGCCTTGAGGGTGTTCTCGAGAGTCTTGGTCGAACCGGACGACGAGGTGTAGGCATCCTCAACACCGGCAAGCTGGAGGAGACGCTTCACAGCGGGAGAAGCGACGAGAGAGGTACCGCGGGGAGCAGGGATAAGCTGAGAAAGACCCAATTAGCACTCATGGAGCCAAGAACCTCATACATCCTGGGACACTTACGCGGACAGTGACGGAACCGCACTTGCCGCTCTCCTTGGTGGGGAGAGAGTGGGGGAGACCGAGGTTGGCGCCCCAGTAACCACGCCTCACGGGGATGACGCTGAGCTTAGCGATGATGATAGCGGCGCGGATGGCAGTCGCGACTTCCTTGGAGGTCTTGATACCGAGACCGACGTGGCCCTCGGAGTCGCCAATGATGACGATGGCCTTGAACCGGGTGCGCTGACCGGCACGGGTCTGCTTCTGGACGGGCTTGATCTGTTTCGGGTAAAAATCGTACGTTAGAAATCTGCTGCATGCGAATCGGTCGACCAGTGTATCGTCGTGCGCACCTTCATGACCTCATCCTTGAGCTTGGGCAGGAAGAAGTCGACAATCTGGTACTCCTTGATAGGGAGCGAGTGCAGGTAGATCTCCTCCATGCTCTTGATCTTGCCGGCCTTGACGAGACGGCCGAGCTTGGTGACGGGCTGCCACTCCTTCTCCTCGTTCTTGCCGCCCCGACGCCCACCACGGCGACCACCACGGCCACGGCCACGGTCACCACCGCGACCACGGTCGCCACCACGATCACCGCCGCGAGAAGCAAAGCCGCCGCCGCGGGCACCAGTTCCCCGATCAGCCATTTTTGCGATTGTCGATGTCGTTGAACGGAAATCGGTTTGTCGTCGTGGGACTCGGTCGAGCACTTGATCGGTTCGACGTTTTGAGAGTGGGGGAAGCTTTTTGCTAGGAAATTCTCGTGTGCCAAGCACCAACCCTAAAAGTTTTGTGGAGCCTTGAATTCCAGGCTGCAATTTGCTGAGCTCGATTGCTTGTGGGGCAAATGGCCGGCAGGACCCACTAAGCTGAGCAAACTCACCGGTACACCGAGGTGAGGGAGGGGAATCACGAAGCCCAGCATACCGGGGACGGCCATACCGTGTAGATCAACTGTTTACTCGTGAGCTGGCTGCGACCCTAGAAATTTGGACGGCTCAGAACAAATGGTCGAACTTTTCGAATCGCTAACCGAGGTTATATGCACAGCAACGCCCGAAGAACCTGCATCCCGCTCTAACGAAGTCGGTAAGTAGCCAGCACAATCAACACCTGACATTTGCACAAGATAGACCATAAATCACGTCAACTTGGTATCCAGCAATAGCTCGCCCAACAAGCATGATATCATCCCGCGACCTGAACGCCTACTCGCCCGAAAATACAGGCCGGAAAGAACCGCCAGACCATGCGACCTAACCACGGCTTTCCATCTCCCCACACCAGACAGCCGGCCGAGTCCAAACGCCGTTGGGCAATTCACCATATCCCCCCAACCCCCCCAACCTCATAACCACCCCCCTATCCCCTTCATCCCCATCTCCTCTCCTCATCTAAGCAGTCGGGTTCGCGTTCATCTACACCGCACCAGTCAGCCCAGCACATCCCCCCATCAACCCGCCACCACATCCTCTTACCTTGCGCTTCCCACCGACGGTAACAGCCACGTTGACGAAGCGGCGAGTGTAGATCTCGCGCTTGTGGGCGCGGCCCTTGGGCGTCTTGGACTTCTCCTGGGTCTCGACCTAGAGATGGGGGGACGATGATGTGTTAGCGGCGGCGTGATGATTCGGGGGGCCATGGTTCGGGATGCGTCGGCGTGGGGTGGGTGGTGCCGTACCTTGGGGGTCTGCGACTTGACCTTGCCTGCGCGCTCTTGTCAGCAATCTCGTTCTCGTCAAACCGGGGGGGGATTGTGGCGGCGGATGCGCCGGGGATTTGGGGGTTTGGGGCTGGTTACCGGCACGGGCAAGGGAACCGTGAACTTTGCCCATTTTGAGTATGCGGTTTCGTAGTTTGCGAACGGGTCGGGGTTTGTTGCGCGATAGAAGCGATGTAGCGTTGAGGTTCGAGAGCGTTGATTGTCGATTGCTGGTGGAAGCGCGAGAGGTGGGCCTTGTTGGTCGGTTTTGTAATCCGTGTCTTGCGCCTTCGCCTTACACAGTAATTACACCGTAAGTCGGATATTGGCACTGTACCCTCACCGATGACTCGACACCGAGCCGCCACTTACACCCGGCTTTCAGGGTTATGTATGGGAGGGTTATCTGTGATCGTTTCCACAGCAGAACATGAGTCCAGTTTCCAGCATCAAAACCATAGGTATCTGTAAGTCTCGGTAATAATTGATAAAAGCTTCTTGAAACAGTATTAAAGCCATCGCCATTATGAAAGGGTATCTCAGAGTCATTACGTGTGTCGCCAGTCTTTCGATCTTCCACAATAACCGCTTCCTTCTTGCCTCCCCCGCCTTCCTTCAAATTACCCAAGGTCATCCTGCAATACTGCGCCTCCCAAATACCCTGCATTTCCCGTCCTTCAATCCAACGGCCCCCTATATCTACCACACTATACGACAACGGAAGGCTTGGGCTGAGCGGTGGATTGTCCTCGGCCGCGCAAGAACGCCATGGTATCGACGAAAACGAGGAAGGCGAAAAGGACCCAGAGGAAAAAGCCGAACGCGATCGCGGCCTGGGCAGAGCCGCAGTACGTGTTGCCCTCGCATCTCGGGGTGCCAAAGTGTGCGGCAAGGCCGACGGAGCCGCCGAACCAGAAGATCATGGTGATCCATTCGAGGGCCAGCGCCACGACGCCGTGGAAGATGCGGGGAAAGTAGATCGGCGTAACGAAGAGGTAGGCGAGCACCAGCAGGGACCAGATCGAGTTGAATAGCATGAAGGACACGACGGCTGGCAAGAAATAATAGTAGTACTTGGGGGTCACGACTAGAGCATGGTTAGGGTTGAGAGGGTTGACGATGGAGGTTGGTGTGAACATACCATAGGCTGTTAGGCCTAACTCAATCACGGCGAAGAGAGCCGCGACTCCATGGGCAATAGGCACAAAGCGTTCCATTTTGATGGTTGGCGGGTTTATTTAATCCAAGCTTTTCTTTGTTGGGCGCCAAGTTGGTGATGTAGAGTGTGGTGTGTCGAGTCCAAAGTGAATGGGAAAGAAAAAGGCCTAAGATAAGAGCAGTTCTACCAGTCTGTCCAAGCTTTATAAACCGGATATGTCTCGGTTGCTCGTCGTCAGTCTTGGGGGCGCATTGCTTGCTAGGCGCGAAGCCAAGGGTGGGGGATGACGTGGTGCCAGCAACGAAGTGCCGGCCTCGGGCCACCAGCCACGATTTGAGTGGGACACGAACTCGTCCGAGGAGCTCGATGCTGGGCTTGGATGGAAAAGCTTGCAAACCAGGGGAATATCCCACTTGCTACTATGTCCGTGTCCGAAGGGTACGGGATGAAAAGACGAACGGATCTGACGTCATTCGATCATGCCGCCACTACCGTGGTGGGGTCATGCAGCTGCGAGCGACGAAGATAAAGCCACACGACCCTGCCAAGCTCTCAGGTTCAGCCGATTTTTAAAACTCGAGGTACATTGTACCTAGTACCTAGGTAACACAGAGAGCATCTAAATCCATTCCCTAGCGTGAACATGATGGGACGATTTGATTTAGACAGCGGTGAACTGCCGTCGGTTGGGTACGGTTAAGAACAGCCGTGAGTGCCTTGTACCACGTCGCCCGTCCAATCACCAAAGTATTATTTGGGACATTGAGGGGCGTGTCTCACCTTCGGTGCCTTCTCGACCCGTGCCGAGTCGTTGAGGCCATGCCTGATCCGCAAAACAACGACACGCAATTCGGTTGTGCCTGGCTCAACTGGTGGATTGTTTTCGACTGGGATCCTCCGGAAATAGCAGAACGGCAGCCGGGTGCTTGGCTTCAAGTTCCCTTTTCGGAAGCTTGCGATATCGTGCTGAAGCCTAAACGCAACCAAATTAGCCTGTTCCTTTGGGAAGGCGGGCGGATAGCGCCCTGACCTCTGTCGATGTCAACAGTTGTGCAACCTCGCAACGGTATTTCGCGAGAGGAAGGCAATCAATATGTGCCGTTCGTTGCTATCAAGGACATGGTTCCAGTTGAGGTTTCGTACGACTGTGTTTTGGGGATCCAAGCCGTGATCTGTTGATAGAGTTGGTATACGATGTCGTCCAACTACAGCCCCCATTGTTTTCAACCTCCACTTTCTTCTTAATAATGTCAGATCCTCAGATTCGGTCCGAAGGACCCCGAAGGATGAATTTAACTTTACCATGAAAGGCAGGAAGGGATGCGGAGGACCTTGGCGGCCATCCGTTGCGTGGCTCGTTAAAACGCAGCTCTACCCGGCTCTATTTCCGTCCGGACCTGTCCTCCTCCTCTTCGTCAACAGCAACGACAGCAACAACAGCGGCAATGGGCAAGATTCCGGAGTTAGCAAGTTACCCACGACAGCCGGCGCGTGGAAAACCACGCGGCTGGCTCATGACGGGAGCCGCTCTTTCGGCGTTGGTCCTGCTCGCCACCTTCCCTCAGCTGACCCCAGCCCAGAGCCTCAACTCGGCTTCCAGCGCAGTCAAACGTTTCGTCCTTAACAGCAGAGAGTCGGGAGACAAGGACTCTCCGTACGGCAAATTCCCGCTGGCCGATGACCCATTCCACTTCTTGCCTTGCACCCCAGCCACTCTGCCACCACCATTGGAGGACAGCAACGCCGAGCAAACCTGGGCTTCTCGGTTCGACCCCAATCCTGCCCACTGGAGCTGGGGTCCCGCCCAAGAGCGAGAGAATGGCACCGCGGGAGGGGACCCATATGCCGGGCGTGGGATCTTCCTGTGCGGTTACCTGGAAGTCCCGCTGGATTACACCAACGAGACAGAGAGTCGAATCGTTCGCCTTGCCGTGACCAAATTCCAGGTCTCGGGTCTGGCACGCGTGGGCGAGCCGGCCACCTCGTCGGCCGGCAAGAAGACGGAGAGGACGATCGTCATCGAACCCGGCGGACCCGGCGGAAGCGGGACCTCTTACGCGTGGACCGCGGCCCCGAACGTCACGGCCCGGTTCAGCGACAGCAAGTTCGATGTCCTGGGCTGGGACCCGCGCGGAGTGAACGCCTCGCTCCCCGCTGTCGCCTGTTTTCCCCAGGACGCTACCCGGGACCGTTGGAGCCTCCTCACGGCGGTTCACTATGCGGTATCCGGTTCTCCTAGGGGCCAGCTCGAGACCGTTGACGCTTTTAACGCCGCCATGATGCGCTCCTGCTGGGAACAGCTCGGCGATATTCCCCGCTTCCTCGGCACCGGGATGGTGGCCCGGGACCTGGAGCAGATCCGGATAGCGCTCGGAGAGGACGAGTTGACGGGGTATCTGGTCAGCTACGGCACGGGCATCGGGCAGACGTATGCCTCGATGTTTCCGGACAGTGTCGGCCGTTTGATCCTCGACGGCACCGAGTATGTCCGAGATCATCGCCTGCGGGGTGGGTTCGGGTGGACTGCGCTGGACAATACCACGGACGCCTGGCACGACGGGTTCCTGGGCGAGTGCGTCAATGCCGGGCCCGAGTACTGCGCGCTTGCGAAGCCGAAGGAGGGCAAACCCGTCACCCTGCCGACCCTTGAAGCGCGCATGGACGCTCTGATGGCGTCCCTCGCTGACCGCCCGATCCCGGCATACCTCCCGACCACTGGGCCTTCGCTGGTGACATACTCTTCCATGGTCAACAGCATTTACGGGGCGCTGTATAACGCTCAAAGCTGGCCTGCGATGGCCCAGGTTTTGTACGAGCTGGAGGACGGCAACGCGACGCTCGCGGTAGCGGCCGTCGAGAGTGGGTGGTGGTTTTACGACCCGGCGACGGCATGTTCGCCCACCCCCGTCCAGCCCTCAGACCAGGAGCTGGGCTACCTCGTCATCTGCGCGGACGCGTACGACGCCCCCGGCCCCGACGACCTGGACTGGTGGCTGTCGCTGTGGGGGAACATGACGGCGCAGTCCTGGGTGGCGGGCAACTCGCGGTTCTACGTCACGCTCCCCTGCCGCCACTTCTCGCAGTACTGGCCCGAGCCGGTCGGCGTGTACCGCGGCGACCTGAACCACACGCTCAGCAACCCGGTGCTGCTCATCGCCGAGACGTACGACCCGGCCACCCCGCTCCGCAACGGCCGCCGGCTGCTGCAGGAGATGGGCGAGAACGCGCGGCTGATCGCCCACCACGGTTATGGCCACTCGTCGAGGGATACCTCTAGCTGTACCGATGGGATTGCAAAGGCGTACATGCTTAACGGCACTTTGCCTGAGGAGCAGGAAACTGCTTGCTATGCCGATGAGAAGCCGTATTTGTATGGTGTCAAGCAGGATGCGGGCACCCTGGCACGGAGAGGGATTGAGGATCCTCTCGGAGCCTGGAAGGAGCATCTGGCAGAGCTATCCTTTATGGACCCGAGGCTGTGATGAGCGCCGCGTGGTTACTATTGCATCGATGTTGGTCGCTGGCGTAGGCCGAATCTGTGTTAAATGGCAGAGGTTTGAAATCGTACCCCGAGGTTTTGTACAGAAATGTATCGGGGAACTGGTTTAAAACAACTTTAAACTCCTCATTTATGAACGAGTGCAAGAGCTTGATTTACGTACTGTGTAAAGCCAGGTGCCGTCTGAGAGCAATGATGAAATCATGAACCCCTGACGAGAATTTGGTACGTTACGGTAACCGCTGTTGTAACTTACGAAACCCCCCTTGAATTGATTGGGCACGTGTTGTCGCGCCCATGACGTGTTTGAACGGCCGATCGAAGTTCGCGAACTCCCGCACTTTCTCCACATCGCGCCTGGATATCGCCACCATACACAGCATGCGCACGTCCTCGAGGCATTCCACACCACGGTTGCTTCGGCTCATCTAAGTCTTTCCACGGTAGATTCGTCCAAGACAGGAGCTATGTGGGTGCTTGACAGTGATTTGTTCGAGGGTGCGTTGGACCTTTCCAAGAGCTACTGTGCGCGAAGGCGGCAATTGACGAGAATAGGCCGGTCACTTTGGTTGCGCCCTGGGAAAACCTATCTGTTTGGTCGCACAGTCGCCGAAGGCATGTTTCATCCCGTTTGGCCGCTACGGAACGCTCGGAGGACCCAATTCTGACCTCCAATATTTAGCGGGGCAACTGGCCATCTCGGACAAAACCATCTCGAGAAAACACATTACGATTCATGTCGACAATGTACCCGAGGGGGGTGGTGTATGTTGCGCGATAGTATATGCCTGCATCGTGCGATGGCCGCTAACGTGGTCCTCTCCAGCGTAACCTCCGCTCGCGATCCACCGTCACGATTGAAGACCTCGATTCGAAAAAGGGGACACTCCTGAACGGCGTCCAGATCCGAGGACAAAAACAAACATTATCCGAAGATGTAAACGAGGTGAAATTGGGAATGTGCTCAAAGCTTCTCCGGTGAGATATTCGTGCCCAGTCACGACGCCCCTGGCTGACTTCTGGTTTGAAGCATAGGATGGAACCCGGTCGTCCTCAGCTTCTCCTTCACGGCAAAGGAGCTACGCGCGGACCCCTGGACAAGACTCCGCGACAGTCTGGAGCAGCTCGACATAAAATACTCCGCCGACTACGGGATTGACACCACCTACGTTGTCTCCAAGAAGCGCAACACCTCAAAAGGGCTGCAGGCGCTACTAAACGGCAAATACATCGTTGCCGATAGCTTCATCAACGCGATTGTCGACGCAGCCACCGTTCCAGAAGGTGCAGAAGAGGGCACGCCTAGTGCTTTGGAAGAGGATGTTGAAACCGCCTGGCCGAACGCCATCGACCATTTGCCCCCGCGCGGCGAGGAACCCGTAGAACGGCCGTCCGAATCATACTCCCCCGACGAACGGCGCCAAGAAGTGTTTGATGGATACACGTTTGTCTTTTACGAACCAAAGCAGTACGAGAACCTGTTCCCCGCCATTACTGCTGGGAAAGGCAAAGCTTTGCTCAAGGAGGTCATCCCTGGGAAAACGGACATTGACGACTTCATCCGATATGTCAAGGGCGTTGCCGGCGAAAAGGGGTTGGGGTCTTTTGAGGATGGCAGTGAGGGCAGGGGCGTGGTTGTTGTTCGATATACGCCGAAGACGGAAGACTATGAATGGTTCACCCAGTTCTTGACTTCTGTCGCTCAACGGCTAGATCATCGACCCATCGACCAGCGTGAGTTTCTCGAGGCCATCCTTGCTTGCGATGCCTCCATGCTCCGCCGTCCCCTGGAAGAAGCTAGCCAACCGGCGCCCGCGGGATCAGGGGTACAAGAGCATAATGGTGATGTGGAAGATCGCATGGAGGTTGACCAGCCTGCGGATCAGCCGCAATCTTCCGAGGAAGCCGCCGTGGAACAGGACCCCGCCCCGCGAAAAGCACGGGGTCGGCGGGCTGGCCGGAGTCGCTTCAAAGGTTTCGATTTTGACGATGCGGAGGAGCCTGTGGAAGAGACTCCTCCGGTGGAACTCCCCGGGCCGCCACAAGCGGCCGCCGCATCTCAAGATAGCCTGTTTGTCTCTCAACACCAGGAGGCCAGTCTCCCTGTGGAGGAAGAGCCTCCCGCTACCCGGGCCACTCGACAAACACGGCGTAAGCGTGCGCTATCACCACTCCCGGAGCACGACGTCAGTGCGTTGATGGATGAGATTGCCCCGACAGCAGCGGCAGCCAAACGCCGACGCATCGAGTCCGGGCAAGCTGCCGTTCCTCTGTCCCCCGAGCCCGAACCGACCCCGAAGCCAGACGAGGACGTTGAGATGATTCCAGAGTCACCAGAGGAAAAGCCAAAGAAGGGTCAGACCGCAAGGGGCAGGGGCAAGAAGATTAAGGAGGAAGACGGCATCCTCGAACTCGCGCGGCGGCAACGAGAGGAGGCCGAGGCTCTAGCAGCTGCTAAACGCAAGGACCTTGAGGAGCTGCCCGACGACGGGATCGATTACGCAGCGATCCGGTCGTTGCACATCATCGAAGAGTGCGAGGTCCGCTTCCCCGAGGCCGGCACGAGCGGGCGCACTCGAGACCAGGACATTGTTGACGGCCGGTGGGACCCGCGGTGGAACGGACGCAAGAATTTCAAGCGGTTCCGCAAGCAGGGCGAGGCCGGTGGGCGCCAGGCGCCGCGCATCATCATCTCGCTGGAGGAAGTCAAACCCAAGGAGTACGGCATCGGCGACGATTACTGGCTGGAGGACGAGGAGGGCGGGCGGCGCAGGAAGGATAGCCAGCGCGAGTCGCAGACCCAGACCCAGACCCAGCAGCCGCCGCCGTCGCACGGCCAGTCTGATAGCCTGGCCAAGGGCAAGGAAAAGGAGGTGGTGAAGCCGAGGCCTGCTGTGCGGCGGACCGTCGTGGCCATCGACAGCAGCGACGAGGAGGAGCCTAGCGAGCTCAGTGTGGTGGTACCGCCGCCGGAGGAGAGTTTTGTGCCGGAGTCGGAACCGTCTAGGAGCCGGGCGGCCAAGGCGGCGGAGAAGGCGAACTCGCAGCGTGGCCGGTCGCAGACACAAACGCAGACGCAGTCCCAGAGCCAGGTGGCGTCGTCGTCGTCCAACAAACGGTCTGCGCCGGCGGACTCGAATAAGGATCGGGCAGCTAAGAAGCCGCGGAGGGGGTTCAAGCCGCCGAGCGATGATGATAGCGATGACAGTGACGATGAGCTCAAGTTCCGGTTTGGGAGGCGGAGGTAGTGCTGGTGAGGAGGATGCTTTTGCTTTCCACCTGCGATTGCTCAGAGATTGTGCAGTTAATATAAGAATGATGACATGAAATTTGTACATTGCTCCTCTGAGCCGCCTCTATCGGGTATCTTGTAGATCCAAGTCTAGTGTACAACCCAGCGAGGGAATCTATCTAGACACGGTCGTCATACACACATGGACAGAGACACAAACATCTCTAGCCAACCTCCCATCCACCGCCCACCCGTTCCTCGTCAATTAATCCATCGCCTCCATATCCCCCGCCCCACCCTTTCCCCCCTCCACCTCCTCCTCCTCAGCCACATAAATCCCCACCAAACACGCCGCCAACATGCCCTCATAGTTCACCCACGGATGGATCTCCCCAAATAACCTGGTCCCATCCCGCGCCGCCGCCCGCAGCAGCTCGGGCTCGCCGCCCGGGTGGAACGGCAGGTACGGCGTCATGTTGTACACGCGCCCGCCCAGCACCGTCCACGCGTCCTTGCCGCGCCGGCCCGTCATGCGCTTGAGCATGGAGGGGGTCACGCGCAGGTAAGGGGAACCCGCCGGCAGCCCGCGCAGGTCGGCCGACGGGTCCCCCGACAGCCGCGCCCAGTCCAGCGGGGAGTGGCCGGGCGTGAGGATCACGGCGCGCGAGGGCTTGTCGGGCTTGCTGTTGTGTGTGGGGGGCGGCGCGAGGGTGGAACAGCCTGGTCCTCGCGCTGGGACGGGGAGGGGGCGGCCGCGTGGCGGGGCGAGGGAGGAGGAAGTGGTGCTGGTGAGGCCGGAGGAGGGGGGGCGGAGGGTTGGGGGGCGTGGGGGAGGGGGCATTAGGGTTGAGGCGGATGCTGGCGCTCGGGCGGGTGGGTTCAGGCCGTTCGGTCGGGAGGTTGTGGGGGCTGGCTCCGGCGCGGAGAGGGCGAGCGCCGGGACGGGGGTTGTGAGGGTGGTTGCGGAGGCTTTGGGGGTCGTCTGTTCGTCATCGGAGGAGCGGCGGCTTGTGTCGGGTTCGGGAGCCGTGTGCTGGATCACCGGCGGGGGAGGAATGGTGGTCCGGGCCACCGCGGCCTTTCCGTTGGCACCGTTGGTGGCATGGCTTGGTTCGTCGCTCGCGATCGTATCGGCGTCCGGAGGGGTGTCGGTTGACTTGGTCTCGGGAGGCGCCGGCTCTATCGGGGGTGGTGACGGACCCCCGAAGAGGGACGAAAACCAGGCTGGTCTCCGCATGCAGAACAGCACGACTGATGCAAGGATGAGTGAGATGCCCAATAACGCCATCTCGGGCGCGATCGGGAGATGTCGATTGTTGGATGTTGCACGTTATCCGTGGTTGGATCAGGGCATGGAACCCACGCGCGGGGAGTGGATCAGCGGGGCGCCAGAGGAACAACCACTCGGCTGTGCAGGAATAGTCCACCTGACCGGAAGAGGGCGGTTTCTCTTCTTGTTTCCGCCAAGAAATGGTAGGTTTTCAGTCAAATTTCGGTCTGAATAGGAGGCTGCGAACACGACCGGCGCGTCGCGTTTGTTTCGTTTGAGGAGATTGCGATTCTCGAATATCAATGTTGAATATTGACCAGGCGGGGCGGCATAAAGTTATTCACGGCTCGGGAAGCAAGGAACAGCACCGGGGAGCCCCGGCTGGATGGACAGTTGGCTGGCCAGGTGCGGTGGACTCTCCCCGGGCATGGTGGGGTCGTCAGTTGGCGCATGAGGTAAACAATCAATTCGGATGAACCATGAATGGCGGGAATGAGCCGATAGTTTGTTTCGCCCTTGTTGACTCTGGTCTGGACCCGGGGAGCCGGGTTCATTTGCCCAGGAATTGGGCTCTCATAGGTAGCTCGGACGAAACGGTGAAATGCTCTCTCTTATCGAAGCTGCATCAAACATCTATTTTATCCACCTTACCTATCTATGACCGAGTGTTCGAGTAAAAAGAGCGGTAAACCCCATTGTATCCGCTCTGTTGGAATTGTTGTGGGTGTTATCGGCCAGTCACAGTTGCGGTGGCGGCCCGAAACGGAATCACAGGGTGCGGCCTAAACAACTCGCACCTCTCTGGTGGAATTCCCCAATTCCCCAGATTGATCTCCCGACAGAATGTCACCGCCATCTTCGGCAACCCTCAAACCAGGTGCAACGAAACGCTCCGCACCTTACCAAACTGCTGCCGCAACGGGCAATCCTACTCTATCACCGCCGAACACCCTCAGGAAGAAACCATCTGCGGGGATTTTAACCACGAGCACCACTGCCGCGGGCAAAAGAACGGCCCGGATCACAACAACAGCAACCGCTTGCCCACCACCCGCCACTGCTACCGCTACCGCGACCGCGACCGGAAACACGCGACTCGGGTCCCGCCATCCTCTGCGAGCTCGAAACGAAAATGCCACGCCGGCGGTACGGATTGTGAAACCAGGAACCGGCACACCAAAACCACTCCCGACCACGGTCAGGATGCCACCATCTGAGCGGCCATCCGTCGCGGGCCATCGGCAGCCCACGGTTGGACGCGCCGTAAACAAACCGCCCTTGACCCCGAAAATTGCGACACGAGCAGCCGCCCCCCAACAACAGGCCCCAACACTTACGACACCGCTCAAACGGCGCTCCACCGCCGAATCAACCCTGAATGTTAATGGCAACAACCCCCGTGACCGAGATGAATTAACATCCCCCGTTTCCGCTTTTCTCGGCAACAACGTCACTCCACGATCCGGTGCAAGACAGAGTCGCGTCGACAGTGCTAGCAGCACCCCAAATGGCACGCCAAACCCGGATCGACAAGATCCCTTGGAGACACGGGCGGGCCTGGGCGTTTCAGGGGCAGAGGACGCGCACAGGAGACCGGTGGTGACGTTCAGTCCCGCTTCCGAAGTTGGCGGTGGGACACGACAAGATCGAGACTCGAAGTTCTTTTACGCCTCCGATGCCCCAAAACCGGCGCCGCAGACGACAGCTGTGAAGCCGTCTGCTCCTCAGCAGCAAAAGTCTACGACCTTCTTCTACGCAAACGGGAATACCTTACCGGAACGGCAGGCTGGCGTTCCCAGACCGTTCTCCCCGCCGGTGACGTCTCCCACACCCCAAGACAGCTTGGCGAGCAAGTTCATTTATGCCAACGGGAAGCCTGGGCTACAACCTCCAGCGAAAATCGGACCGGCGATAAGGAAGTCGCCAGGTTCCACTGTCTCGACGGCAACTAGGGTACCGAGCGGCGGGCGGGGGAACGTTCCGAGGGCTCTATCCCCTATTAAATCGCCACAACAGACCGTACCGAAGACTGGAAACTCGGGCATTATCTCTCCCCGATCACCCGTCGCGGCAGTGAGCCCTCAGATCAGCACTCAGCTCAGCCAAGGAAGAGTGAATCTCGATCGCCCATCACGGCCGAAGTCGCATAGTTACTCAAAAAGTGCTACTAGCATCGAGCTGCCCAGCACTGCAAAGCGTGCCTCCATCCACAACCCCCTTCCGTCTCTTCCGTCCTCTAGGAGCACGTCTCCTCTACTCTCACCGAACCCTGAGCCGGCGTTGCCAAGCACTTCAACCGCGAGCGGGTTTGCGTCGCTGCTCCAGGCGGCAGAAGATTTCGCCGAGGCAGAGGAGGATCAACCCGAGTCCCTCAACAGCCCGACAAAGTCGCCGCAGGATGGCCAACCGACAGAGCTCGTTGCCAACGCACGGCGGGAGCGTAAGGTGCAGGACCTCCAGATCACAAACGCCAGCCTCGAGGCCATCAACCGCACACTGGAGCGACAATTGAGGAAACAGACGGCCGAGCTGCGGAGCTACCAGCGGCTGTCCAGATCAGGGCGGTTGAGCATGGGCTCCATGGGGAGTCGAATCCCCTCGGACTCGACCGTAGAAGGAGGCGGCCTAGCGAGAGCCGGTATAAATCTGGACGACCTGAGCGAGGAAGCGAGCGAGATTGAGGCCGAGGATGCCGAGTTGGACAAGCCCGATGAGCTAGAGGAAGAAGAGGAAGAGGACGACATGTCGGGTTCGGAGGCCGAGGGGGAGATGAGCCCGGGTGCGACCGAGCTGCGTCACGAGAAGCGGCGGAGAGACGAGCGGCGCCTTGAAGTGGACCTGTCCAAGCACCAGCAGCTGATTGTGGACAGCCAGAAAATCAACCAAAGCCTCAAGCGGTGTCTCGGATGGACGGAGGAGTTGATCAAAGAGGGCAAGCGCGCGCTTGAATACCAGGTCCGGGCTAGCGATGTCGAGCTGGGGGGAAGAGTCCTCGCCCCGGAAGAGGTGGAGCGTCGGGAGCGGAGCGACGAGGAAGCCGAGGACCACATCCTGGGCGAAGACACGATTTACGCGATAGACTCACTGGACGAAGAGTCCCGGGTGGACGAAGAGTCCCTCGTAGATGAAGAGTCCCTTGTGGGCGACCACGCAACAACCACATGGAGCAAAGACCCGCAGGATAGGGATAGCGGGATCGAAATGCCCAGGGATGGCGGGGAAGAAGGGAGAAGAGAGACACCGAGCAGCCGATAAACTGGCTGACTACCCACGCACGCGCGATGGCGTCACTCACCACTCACGGAACATTTCCTTCGTCATGTCATTTTCCTTAATCTCTCAAGTCCGGCGCTGGCATTGGGAACAGGCAGGAGTAGGGGGTGGCGTTGTTGCTTTCTACCTTGCATTGCGCGGAAACAAACATACGACGGGGCCGGGACACATGCGCAATCCTTCTCGGGGGGGCTATCTGAGGTTCACCCGCGTCGACACTTGCATCATCTTCTTGCCGGATACAGCTACCTACCTGCCCACTGCCTCTCGAAATGGCTCGGTCAGGTCAGGCTGTAGCACACACACTTGTCTACTTTTCTCTACCGGGACCTGCCCGCCCAGCCAGCAGCTTTCTCTTTTTGTCGGACTATATTGTACCACGAGATACCCAGGCATAAAAGATAGGACCCCGGGCACAGGCACAGGAGCCTCTGCCCGTAGCGGAAGCCGCGTTTTTGGTTTAGGATCGATTGCATCCCGGTATTTGGGCTTTTCATAATACTATTACTTTGATACCCCGGCAGTGGATTTCGAGATAGCGAGAGGTGATTTTGTGGTGATTCTGTAAACGCTACCTACCTACCTGCGGAGTGCCCTTTGTACCCATGAGAAGGGCACTCCCCATGCTGTAACCTGCTGCCCCCAATAACAAAACGCCAGACGCTAAAGAATCAGACTCTATGTCTCATTAGGAGAGAGGTATATGTAAGCAGCCGTGTGAGCATGAGAGGTTTTTGCGGCCGCAGCAGCCCGGTCCGGTGTATCTAACGTCGCGGAAGCAACATCCCCCCGTCTTCACCATCTCCCCTTCCAATCTAACCCCCACCCCACTGCCACCATCACCATCACCATGACCATCACCAATAACAACAAGGTATCAATCACCCCCCAACCCTCCATCCACACATTTCCATCTTGCCCCCCTCCCCCCTTTTCAACCTATGATGAAGACCCCTTCGGCACATTAGGCACGTCGCCCGCGGCGGCCGCCGCCGCGTCCTGCCAGGCCTTGTCGCCGGGGCTGGGGCCGGGGCCGGCAGCGTCCTTCTTGCCGCTGTCGTCCTTCTTGTCCTTGCCCTTCTTCTTAGACTCCTTCTCCTTCTTCATGGCGGCCTCGGCGACGAGCTGCTCGAAGGCCATGTAATCGCCCTCTTCTTCGGGGCTGCGCTTGGCCTGTTTTTTTGGAGAGTTAGTTGCGTGAGGGTGTGGGATGGGGGTGGGAGGAGTGATTTTGGGGGTGGGGGGGGGGGGGGAAGGGTTGGGAGTTGGGGGAAGGGTTGGGAGTTGGGGGATTTGCTTACGTTCGCGCAGATCTGGCCGACTAGGACGAGTCCCTCGGCGCGCTCGAGGCGTTTGCCTAGCGGGACCTTCTTGTCGTTGAGGACGGCGTCGCACACGTCGCGCAGGACGCTCTGGATCTCGAACCTGCTCCCGCGCCAGGCGGCGGTCAGGATCTTGCCGGTGACGCGGCGCTCGTACTCGGACTTCTTCTCGTCGGTCCAGTCGTCGCCGCCCTGCTCCTCGAGGCGGGCCATCTCCTCCATGGTCTGCTGGGCGTCGATGGCGCTGCTGATGGTGTTCCACGTGTCCTTGACCAGCGTGCCCTTGTCCTTCATGCGGCTGAGGAAGCCGCCCATGCCGAAGAACTTCTGGCTGCGCAGCAGCGCCGTCGCCTTGCTGACGTAGGTGGCCCCGATCGCGTGCAGGATGTCGATGCCGAACGACTCCATCTTGAGCTCCTCCACCTCGAGCCGCGTCTTCTCCTGGAACGCCGCCGTCACGTCCTTGCCCCTGTCCGTCTCCGTCCACACCGACAGCCGGTCCAGCAGCTTCTGCGCCAGCATGTCGACGCGCTCCTGCCGGATCCTGGCGCGCTCTTTCTCGTAGGCTGCCAGTTTCTCCCTTTGCTCCTTGGACATGCCTGATTTGGACTTCTTGTCCTTGCGCTTCCCGTCGTGCGACGCCGAGTCATCGCCCGCGGCGTCGTCGGACGGCCGGTCCATGATGGCGGGTCGGATGGGGATCTGGGTGCGACCGCCGAGCGGCGTTGTCGCCCTGGAACTGGGGCCCGGAGAGGCCTCTTTGCTGTAAGGGGGTGGGGCGTCGTTCTGCTCGGCCATCTTCTCGTCGTCGACCACGACGGTCGGTATGGGTTTCTTCTTCTCGCTCGATGACTCAGCGGCGTAGCCGGCCTCGGTAGCCTTCATGCTCTCCCGCTTCGCCTTTTCTGTGTCGGGGAACTCGTCGTCTTCGGATGATTGGCCCGCTGTTTCTTGTGTCCCTCCGGCTGCCGCGGCGGCTGCTGCTGCGGCGGCCGCCTCTTGCTCTTCCTCTTCGGCAGCGGTCATGGTAATGTCCATGGTGGCGGTCAGGTCCTTCATGAGGCTGATCTCGCCGATCCAATTCATAAACGCCTCGCCGCCGAAGATACTTGTGAAGAATTCGGCCGGGTCGACGAAGCCCTCGGAGGGGCGAGCCGACTCCTTGCCAAACTTGTCGTAGGCTTTTCGCAGGTCATCGTTGGATAGCACTTGATAGGCTTCGCCGATTTCCTGGAACTTGGCGTGGGCGGTGGGATCATTCGGGTTCTTGTCTGAGACGGAGGGGCCGGTCAGTTTTGGAGTCGGAGAGGGAGGGGAGCCGGTGGGCAGCGACGGCGAGAAGGACGCGCGCCCACTTACCGGGGTGGTGTATAATGGCGAGCTTGCGGTAGGCCTTCTTGATATCGAGCTCGGTGGCCGTCGGCTGGACGCCCAGGATGTCGTAGTATGCTGTATCGACTACCATGGCGGCTAAGGAATATGACGCGCCCGAGAGGTGTCGGTGGTGGTTAAATCTCCACGGGGTAAGTGTCTGCGGCGTCGGGTTCGCCTAAAATGCGCTGGGTTCCAAGTGCGGTAAACTGGTGTGTTTTCCCGCAGAGAGGGGCTGCGAAGTGGTTGCGAGGTGGTTGCGAAATGGCTGTTTGCTCGAGAAGAGAGTCACAGCAAGTAAGCAGATTGCGTAGATGTCAACAAAAGCCACTCGTCCTGTTTGACTACCAAATAAGTATTATTATTGCGCCGAGAGACTGACGAAAGTGGGTGCAAAAGCCAGGCAGGAACCAAGCCAAATTACGTATCTCAGCCACGGAAAACTCCGGTCTGTGGTGGTGGGCTGTGGTGGGCGAGTCGTCAGTGGGGGTGTCAGCGGGGTCGCTTCATGCCGAAGTCCGTCTTTGTTTCCGAGACCTGTCAACCACGAATACAGGTATGTCCATACTGGATGGAGCGTGGCTCGATGTCAACGCGATTGATTAACATCTGATCGGACATACACGGAACATTATAGCCTCGTTGTTGAGTCTTGGATTCATCTTATCTACTGGATCCCTGCAGCCTTCATTCGCTCAAAGCACCTTCGGTAAGCCTCATGGACCTCGGGGAGCTCGTAACCATATTCCTTCAGCTTTGATACCAGCTTGGTAGTATCCAGCTTGCAGTTGCTGCGGCCGGCCTTGATGACTTTGGCCTGCTGCTCGAGACTAAAGTTCTTCCACGTATACGACGGGCGCACGATATCGCGGAACAAGGCGAGCACCTCGTTGTGCGAGATTGCCCCAGGGTTCGTGAAGTTGTAGACTCCCACCTCGCCGTTCTCAGCCAGTAGGATTGACGCCGGGAGCAAATCCGTCAAGATCGTGTTGCTGTTTGGAATGTCCACCACGTGCTCGTACTTGGAGATCTTGGTCACGAAATTCCGCGGGTGCAGGTCGTCCGAGACCGGCATGCGCAATCGCAGAATCAGGCAGTTGTTGTAATGCTTGATGATCTACCCAGCGCCCGAACAGTCGCCTGTTAGTATGATCACCCCAGAGCGTGGCCGGGGAACGGTTACCTCTTCAACATGCGCCTTGGTCATGGAATAGAAACTGCCGGCAAAGTTGGCTGGGTCGGTCTCGAGGAAGCCCGGCCCGTCCCAAGGATGCGTCTCGTCGTACTGGTAGATGCACCCGGTGGCGAAGACGGTACAGTGGATGCCCTGAAGGAGACAGCAGTCGGCCAGATTCAGCGTGCCGATGACGTTGGATCTGATGGTGGCCTCCCTGTTGTCCTCGCACCAGTCGACGTTGGGGCGCCCAGTGCAGCCCGCTGCGTTAAGGACGTGGGTTGGCCGGATACGGTCGAGTTCCTGAATGACGGCCTCGCGGTTTTCCATCCGAACGGTCGTCGCATGTGCTTCCTTGCCCTGCTTCTCTAGTAGGGTCTTGAGATGTCCCGCAACCCAACCATCACCACCCCAAATTAGGAAGCGGTGCCGCTGGGTCCCGTTTGCCCCGTTCGGTGCCGCCATATTCCAACGTGAAGGATTGATGTTCTGGCTTCTTTTTCGAATCTGGGACACTGTGATCTTGGCTTGGCCAGTGATCTTGGCTTGGCCAGTGGTATCCGCCACAGTTAAGAATAAGATGGGTCTTTGATGAAGATCGTTTGCAAACGATGGAACCCGCGAGCAACAACAGAGAGAACGGCAAACCCCACCGAAATCATGGCGAGAAAACGGCTTGAATAACCGAAATATGTGACTTGGGCGCGTCAAGGTGGCGCCCGTTTGTCAAATGACACCCATCACAGTCGGGGCTACCGTGGTAATAAGAAGGCCGAGCAGATTGGCCATGCTCCATGCCATACGAGCCCAGACATCACACTGGGGAGCCGAGCATGAAACGGCCAGCCAGCTGTCGTTTGATGAATGCAACGGCGCTGGCCAGTTCCGTCGTTCCCAGATCGGGATACTGTGGTACGTTGGTGGGGATCAATCGCGGGGTACGATGCAATGCAGCTTGGGGAGCTGTTCGTCAGTGTCGAAATGCATGTCTCACCCGCGAGTCGCCTCGTGGCCAACCCGTACCTCACGGATAATTTTCCTGCTCTTGACCTGATCTCAGACTTTGAGTTGAATCTACGCCAGATTCGAATGCGGCCGCAAAAATTGTCTCTTTTGTCACGCGCCATCAATCCTCCCGGCACGATGCTCCCGTCAATCCGGGGAATCTGCAAGCCCCACCACACCCAACCACACACCTCTTGATCCTGAAGAACCAACCGGGGACGGAGTTGGATCCCCTGGTCCGCCCCCGAGATTTTGATTACCACACGGAATGCGCAGGCAGATAGACTTTTTTATCGTGTTTGCGTAAGACACCAAGACGGCGACTCGTCTGGCAAGGCTCCAATATTGGCCGGGTAACGAGGCGTTTGGGAGATGGGACATGAATACAGGAAAATGTCAAGAAGCACACGGCCAGGTCTTCCATGCGAGAGAAGCTTTGGCCACAGGGAATTGGCGAATGGGAGACGGAATCGGTGGCCGGCCCGGGAAACAGTGGGGCCGCCACACGTTGGGGTCAGGGACCTGTCCATTTTTCCGTCCAGGCTGATGGAGCAGACAATTTCTGTGGAGCCTCGATCCCTTTCCTTTGGGGTAGGTGTGTCTTCTCCGCAACTTCCATCATCGTTGGATCCTCTGGCGCGTGTCCTTTTCTTTCCAGACGCGAAGGTCATCAGTCACGAGTCAGTACGAGCTATAACGACGACGACGACGAGTTTACGGACGCGCCATCTCGGGAGCTGGGCCATTTTGACAAACACATTTTTTAATCAACCCAAATCACCGTCCCGTGTCTCACCGACAACAGACTCCCCTTCTCAGACCTGAACGGAAAGATCGAAAATGGGCGTCGCTCAGAAAGCCTTCTATTACCTCGTCCACCCGAACCAGCTTCGGTCCATTATCCAATGGTACGCTCTGCTGCTTCAAAACCCATCTAGATCCGTTTTACTGATTCACTCTGCAGGAAGGTATGGCACGAGCCCGTCCACAGGCGCGATACCGAGGATGAGACAGAGACGGAGAAGAAATGCTTCGAATACCTCGACCTGACCTCGCGGTCATTCGCCGCCGTCATCAAGGAGCTGAACCCCGAACTGTTGATGCCCATCTGCCTCTTTTACCTGGTACTCCGTGGCCTAGACACCATTGAGGATGACATGACAATCGACATCAAGGAGAAGGAGCCCCTACTGCGGAACTTCCACGTAAACATGGAACAGGACGGGTGGACATTTGACAAGAACGGGCCCAACGAGAAGGACCGCGATCTCCTCGTGGGCTTCGACAATGTCATTACTGAGCTGAAGAAGGTCAAGAAGCCCTACTTTGAGATTATCAAGGACATCACCATCAAGATGGGCAACGGCATGGCCGACTACGCCGTCAACGCCGAGCACAACATCAACGGGGTCAACACCATCGAGGAGTACGAGCTGTACTGCCACTACGTCGCCGGACTGGTCGGCGAGGGCCTGACACGGTTGTTCGTCGAGAGCGAGCTTGCCAACCCGCAGCTGCTCGTGCGCGCCGACCTCACGGAGAGCATGGGGCAGATGCTACAGAAGACCAACATCATCCGTGATGTGCACGAGGACTGGGTTGACAAGCGGCGCTTCTGGCCCAAGGAGATCTGGAGCCAGTACGTCGACAACTGGGATGACATGTTCGCGCCCGAGAACCGCGAGAAGGCGCTCCAGTGCAGCTCCCACATGGTGCTGAACGCGCTGAAGCATGCCGACGAGTGCCTGTTCTACATGGCCGGCATCCGGGACCAGAGCGTGTTCAACTTCGTCGCTATCCCCCAGAGCATGGCCATGGCAACCTTGGAGCTCGTATTCCGCAACCCGGCCGTGTTCGAGAGGAATGTCAAGATCACCAAGGGCGACGCTTGCCAGCTCATGATCGAGTCGACGCAGAACCTGCGCATCGTGTGCGACGTGTTCCGGAAGTACGTGAGGAGGATACACAAGAAGAACGACCCGAGGGACCCCAACTTCTTGGCTATCAGCACCCAGTGCGGCAAGGTACGTAGTTTTGGTGTCGGGTGCATCGTCAAGTTCGGTCGGCTAACAAAACCACCAGATCGAACAATTCATCGAGTCCATCTTCCCTACCCAAGATCCCAAGAAGATCGAGGCAGCGCAGCCTCAAGCGCAGCCGTCCATGGACAAGGGCGAGGCGTTCATGCTGGTATCGGCTGTGCTGGCGACTCTGATCCTCATCGGGCTTATGATGGTATGGAAACACCCCCGGGCCCTTGCCTACGGAACAGCAGTTTCTCCGCCCCGCTGTGGAGCCGACGTCCATTTTGCTAACCCCCGTCGCAGGTCGGACTTGCATGGTTCATGGGCGCCCACATGGACAAATTTTTCCTCCGCCTCGACGAAATCCTCGGCGACAGCATGCGGAAGCCGACGGCGACTCCCATCCTGGGCCGCGACGAGCTCTGAGATGGCGAAGACTATTTACTGACGGGACAGGTTCGGGGGCGAAACGAGATGTTTGGGTTCACGTTTCTATATACCTTTTCCTAATGACACATACCCTTCGATACCGGTGGTCATGTACACACAACGATTCCTACGAGCGAGCTGGCGGTTGGCGCGGGATCTGGCGCGTGAATGGGGATCTGGGCTGGGAAAGCGAGCATCTAATACTGACATAATACACGCGTGCCTTTTTTGGTCTCTTGTTTCCAGCATCCCCCCTTCTTCCCGTTCGGCGTTTACTGACCCTCAGCTAACCGGCTTGGTTGGCTGCTGCTTGGCTATCATGTCCAAGACCAAGGAAGACAAAGCACGGATGTCAAATTGCAATTCAGCCGCACGTTTCTCCCTCTCGGGGGCTGATCGGGCTCGATGGCTGTGGTTGTGCCGAAGATGTGCTGATATGAAACCCCTTTTGCAAGTAGCCTGGAATCCGGGCACGCCCTCGGCCGGGTCTGTCTTCCCTTTCTTCTTGATGGGACGGCCTGCTGGGGGTGGACTGCGGACATGTCATGTCATTTTCATCCTCTGCTACAAGAGAGTCAGGTAGGTATCGTGTTTGTTGTGTCGCGGGCGGTTTGGTTGGTCAATTGGTGAGACGCGCTTGTTTGGGCTTTCTTTGCTTGCTTGCGTGTCTGCAGGGCCCGGGATAAACACTTACCTTACCTAGGGAGCTACGTTTTGGAATACTACCAGTAACTATCTTCTGTGATATTTCCCCCGATTGCTCTCCGCTGATTCATGCCCGACGAGTCGGAGAAAGGTAGCATGTTTCTCCTTGGCACCCGAGCCGTTTCGGCTTGGCATCTGTCAGCGAACCTGAGACGGCGGCGGCTTGCGCGTTCCAGATCCCGCCCCTTCCCTTCCACCTCTCCCAATCCCTCTTTCCCCGCCCAGAAGATAGACTGTGTAGGTACCTGCCCAGATGTTTTACCTCGCCCTCTGGGCATGCGCTTCTGCAGCTGCAATTTGCCTAGCTGCTTTTTTTGCGCTTGCGGTGGCGTTGGGCGGGCGCTTGTCGCGACGGCGCGGCGGGATCCACGTGTCTTGGTGCCGTGCTTTTGTCTGACGGGCCGGGTCTGAAACTCGGACCTGCCTGAAACGCTGGGAACGGGACTTTCTGTGTTTTTCCCTAACCCGATGCAGGTTACACTGTTAATCGCGACGCAGGCGAGTGAATTGCGACGGGTCAAGTGTCAGTCCCTTGCTGGAGCGTGGTGCGTTTGGGGGGGGTTCGTGCAGTGTGGAACCGGTCGTGAAGGTGAGGGTCATTGCACATGTTAGGTGTTGGTTGTGAATGTATTTTGTTTGTTTACTTTCAAGATCATGATAATGCAAATACATCATTCCATGTCCAAGGTGCCACCCGTTCCGCTGAGAGCCAAAAGAAAAAAACACGCCGCCTCTTATAAACCATGGGCCTGATATGTACAGCTCCCAAGCATGCGCCCAACCCGCCTCGCTTCTAAAATGTGTTGGTTATATATACAGAACCTGCTGCCAGAAATGAACGGCCAATTAGGTAGATATGTAGGAAGGCCCCTACAGCGCATCGGCGCCGTTGTTGGCGATGAGGGTGGTGGTGTCCCTCGGGCCGCCCCTGACGCGAGCGCCCGTGCCCTGCGCAAGCTCCTTGATGCGGTCGCCGACGGCCTGCACGCCGGTGATGCCCTCGAGGGCCATCAGGTAGGCGGCGAGACCGGCGACGTGGGGCGAGGCCATGCTGGTGCCGCTCAGGGACTTGGAGGAGTTGTCGGACTGGATGCCGACGCTGAGCACCTCGACGCCGGGGGCGAAGATGTCGACGAGCTCACCGAAGTTGGAGAACTCGGCGATTGCGTCGGTGGTCTGGTCGATGGCGCCGACAGTGATGGCGGCCTCGGCGGAACCGGGGGAGGTGTTCGCGGTGTCCTGAGCCTCGTTGCCGGCGGCCACGACGGGGACGACACCGGCCGCTTCGATGCTGTTGATGGCAGCGTTGATGGCCCGGCTAGCTCCGCCGCCGAGGGACATGTTCATGACAGCCTTGCCGCTAAGGCCCATGGCAGTGGCGTTTTCGGCGACTTTGCTAGTTAGCATAAAACCTCCACAAAAAAGAGAGAGGGTGCCTTACCGAACTGCATGCCAGCAAGGACACCAGAGTTCGAGCCTGAACCATCAGCACCCAGAACCTTGACACCGACGAGGTTGGCCTTCTTGGCCACACCGAACGTCTTGCCACCAATGGTACCCGCAACGTGGCTGCCGTGGCCTTGCTCATCATCGTCCTGGGGAACGTGTGAGCGAACTTGATCTCCGAACACAAAAGAAGCACAGCAGGTTTGAGGTGTCAACATACCACATCGTCAATGAAGTTGGCGGCAAAGGTAGCGCGGCCCTCAAACTCCTGGTGGGTAACCCGGATGCCGGTGTCCACAACAAACGCGGTGATGCCCTCGCCAGCGCTGTCATCGAAGACGTAGGTCCTGGCGCCAGCGTCGGAGTGGCTGAGGCGAGCCAGGCCGGTGGTGGTCCGCCCCTGAACGGCGCGGGCGTTGATGCTGATGCGGGCGTCCTGCTCAATGTAGCTGACCTCCTTGGCGGAGAAAATGTCATTGATCATCAGGTCGTCGGCGTCCAGGGCCATGGCGCGCCACTTGCCGATCTTGTAAGTGTCGACGGTGGTGGATAGGAGCTTTCCGGTCATGGAGCGCTTGGCGACGTTGCGCTTAGCTATTGTCTGAATGACGCTCTTCTCGTGGACGTCGATGTCATCATCGTTGAAGGTGTTGTTGTACACAACAATGTACCTGTTCGGGATGGCGTTGAGGATGCCAGGGTTGGAGATGGGCACACCGAGGAACTCCGTCTTGGTAGTCGGGACACCGGAGACTCCCAACGCCGAGAGGGCAAGGGTGACGCAAAGGAGGAGTTTGCCAGCCATGGTTGCGGTGGAGGTTCTTGATCTTCGAGGGTGATGGTGAAGGAGTGACGGAGAAGGGGTGAAGGCTTAGAGGTCGGGCTAAGCTGAAGGAGAGAAGCGAGAAAGCCCGGTAGATATGGTGATCCTGGGGGGACGAGGAGTCACTTATAAAAAAAAAAAGATGCGCAGCACCGAAGGGAAGATCAACAAGAAAGAGGATCGAAGTGTGGAGAGCCTTGACCCGTAGAAAAGAGGGAACGGATGCAGGAAAGAGAATCAACAAATGACAAACGGCTTAATGAAGAGGGCAATGCTCCATTAGAAGCGGCAGACCGGCTGCTATTTAACTGAAGAGGGACGCATGATCTTGGTGGCCCCATGGAGGATCCCTCCTTGGACGAAGATCCCAAGCACCACGGCCCTTCGGTGTTGTGGTGCGTGTACAACGTCGAGGGGGGGTTACAGAGAAGCAGGGGGTTGTCGAAAGGGGACTCGCCCCTGGATAGTGGATGCCAAGTCAAACGGGGGATCCTGGTCCGCGAAGGTCGATTTCCTCCAGTCGGGCTCTGCTTGGAGGTTTCGACAAGTTGCATGCGAGGAAACCCTCATTGATTTCAAACACTGCGAGCTATTCGAGACGCAGAGTTCGGCTGGTTTCCATTCTGGGAATGTGGCATCGCGGCTCCGCGATGCATGGGGGATGGGGGAAGCCACCGCACCGTTGACACAGTAAGCCAAGCTTCTCTCGCCAGAACCCAAAATACACCGTGAACTTGCACCGCGGGGCCGGCTCTTGTGGCGTGCTCCGTGATCCTCGCTCCTCCAGGCGCAGGAACGCAGGGTCGGTTGCCACCGCGCCCTCGGAGTCCTGGCCGCCGAGTGGCGGTTGCGGCACGAACGACAAATACAATAATAACCCGTCGCGCATGAGAGATCGCCTTTGATGCGCCGGCGGAAGGCGGGCTGGCGGCTGACGGCCTGTCATTGCATGGTAAATCCGCCGCAGCGCCTTCCTTATGCGAGTGACCGAGCCAAAGATCTTTCAAAGGCAGACAAGACAGGGCGTGGCGGTATTTGCCGAGGTCGGGGACCAGTCGATGAGTTGACGGTGGACTGCCGATGCAAAACCATCATTGGATATTTACGGCGGGCCGTTGAGCCCCTCGCAATCAGGCGCCGAACAATGCGTGGCCCAATCGACGATTGTCCTTGCCTGGCGGTGTGATCTCCTGAGGCTCATTGTTGGCTCTGTCCAACATCAAAAGTTGGCCATTCAATCTTCGCTGCCAGGGTCCGGTCCCAAAGAAACCGTTAGAGGCGTGAAGGCGCGTCGCTGGGTCCCGTGAGTGGCATTGGGAGTCCCGGCAGATGCACACACGAAATTCCAGAACTTTGCAGGGTTCTCGGTTCTGAGACAAGCGAGGTGCTGGGGGGTTGCTGGACTCGGGTGCATTTGTGGTCGGTTAGCTTCTGATAGGTGAGCGCAGATAACTTCGGGGTCAGCCTTAACATGTCTCATCTCCCACGTTGAGCGAGACAAAGAGCAGTGCAGAGCCACATGGTACCTGAACTCCCTCGCCATCATATCCGATGTGTGGGGGTGGCACGGCGCAGCCCCCCCGCATGACAGCGAAAGTGGGCAGTTGCAACCTTCTTCGCCGATTGCAATCTTGAGCAACTCCCAAATCCACATCGTACTGGCTGAACACCTCAGCACCTCGGCGGGATTTCATCGCGTCGACCTTCCCGGGATAGAAGCTCGGAAACATCTGTCGCTCATCGGGTGCCAAGCGACCTGTTTGGTGCTGTTGTGTTTACGGGGTATGAGGTTGCAAACACGATCAGGGGTTGCTGCCATCGCACCATGATTGAAGCAGCCAAATAGGAAGGACTCTCTCTCTGCGGGGTTGCCTCTCTGACAGTTTCAACCCCAAGATGCCCTGCTGCACTGTGGGGTTCGGGCATCTGAAACACTTGGTTTTTCTTACCCGACCCCAGTCAGCTGCCGAGTGCCAAGTTTTGATGCTCCCGAGTGCTACCACTATGTCGGAGATTTGCCAGTGGCTCCTAAGGGTCACCTTCCCCGTTGAGCCCAGATCGTTGCTCTCTGCACGCAATCGGCAACCGCCAGAGCACCACGATGGGGCGCTGTCACGCTGTGAGACGAGAGATGCCAAGCGAGCACTGCGGCTCAGATCATCCTCATTCAAGCTGAACAGAGATCGTCCAATCATGCTTCTCGGCAGTGCTGGCGAGAGCTTGAGCGTTGCAACCATCAGGAATTCGAACCCCGACAGCTCCTGGAAACCAAACACCAACCCGTGGTTTCTTCCCACCTGCAACACTCATTGGACGGTGGTTTGGTGATGCCTAGAATTATTGGAATTATCGGATCGATCACGGATCAATCACGGATCATGCCTTCCAGGTTCGGGAATGCGTCCCGTCCTTCGCCCACAGCCCACACAAAAGTGCCGGAGCTGTATGGGAATAAGATGCGGGACGGGAGGTTCAACCACAGCTGACTTCGGGGCAATAGCACGCCGGGTGGCGGGGGGGGGGGGTAACTATGTACATAGTAGTGAAGCAGTGAGGAAGGGAGAAGAGACTGGAAATGCCTGCCGAAGGTATCTTATCCTTGCCCTCTTCCGTTGCGGTCTGGAGTTTCGGCGACTGCGCCGACGCTGCTTATGTGGAGCCGACGCCGGAAGCCGGCCGAGGTCACCGGCAGAGCTCCACAACCGCCGGTCCGGAAGCAAGTTGTGATAAAAAACGGACGGACGAGAGGATGGCGAGCTTATCCCGTCTTGTGTCGATGGTTCAAAACATGTTTTGGTTTGGAAAGTGAGCTCTGGAATAGTTCGGACAGTCCGTATATATTTAGTTATTGCAACGAGGAACTCCACGATAGTTCTCAGCAAACCACGAAGCATAGTGATTCTCCCTAGCCTTCATGTTCGCCCACACACTCCGGCAGCTCCCTCTTATGTAAACACACGGTCATCAAAGATCACAAGCCACAGGCTCTCGTGTCGATTTCAGCCCCAGCGCAAGCCACCGAACGGAAGCTCGAATCATGTTACATCCGAGTAAGCGCCAGTCCTGGACATGATGGGAGAATGGTGATTCGTTCACCAGGGGTAAATGGTGGGCCGGCCTCAATCATCAAGCGCGCGGGATGAAATCCAGAGCTGCAATTGGCAGTTCGCCGCGTCCACAGCAAAGGGTTAAACGATGCCGAGCTATCTTTGTTCCATGAAGAACCAACATGAGGGGAATGCTGAGGTGCCGTCTTATAATAGAAACCTGCGTGGCTTTTTGACTGTCTCACCATGTCCGCCAGGCCGACTCATCCTTTCTCTTTTCCTCTGTCTTGTGGTTGAGTCAGCAGCACAATCACCACCGCCGTTGAACGCCGTCGCTGCTGGTTGCCGTTACATGCCCGCGGGTCCGGTCCGTTCCCCGCGCATATCATGGTTTTGTTTACTGTTGCCGGGTTGCTTCTTGTTCTCGGTGGCCTCGGAGAGACAGCGGCGTTGGTGCTGTCCCGGTGGCAGGAACCCCATTCTAATGTCACGACGGCAACGCTGGACCCGCGATCATTTGGGATAGCCGTCCTCAGCTCGAGGCTTAACACCATATATCTGAGCGGGGACCCTCGAAAATCTCGGACGGCTGATTTCGGTTTCGACTTTCGGATCTATGGCCAGGTGTGGGCGCCTTGTCCGGTCACGATTGCCGACGCGCGGGAATGTATGGTGGAGAGCTGTGTCGATAACCTTCTCTGCCCCGATGGATGCGGGTTTACTGATGGAACCTTGTCTACCCTTAGCTGGTGAGTGCAACCGCATGGTTTGAAAAGTCTTCGGCGGAGCACTAATTCCTTGTCGTTCAGCACCCGGACCAACCAATTCTGCTCGACGGCTTACCTGACCATCGAAAAAGCGGCAGTAGATCCAGTGACGAACTACGCCTGCGCCGATGATCAGAGCGAAAACTTTTATAAGGGCTTTACAACAGACCCGCCACTGGAGGATTTGACAACATCGGCGCCGACGACAACCACCACGGGCCCCGATGCAGCAACAACAGGAGGATCAAATCAGTCCAGCACCCCGAGAAGTACCGAACCACCATCGGGCAGCCAAACATCAGGGCCGGCGGCAGGTCCCGACGCAGGGTCCAACAGCTCCGGCCCCGCCAACAACACAGGGGCCATCATCGGCGGGGTGGCTGGCTGCCTCGCACTCGTCTGCGGATTCGCCCTCGCCGGGGTCTGGCTCATACGGCGGAACAAGAACGCAAACGCCAACGCGCGCTCTTCGTCTTCCGGCACCAGCGACGGGGCGTCATTCGACGGGAAACCGGAGATGGAAGCGCACGAACGAGTCCGCGCAGAGCTGTTCGGACAGAGCTTGTCGGAAATGTCCTCGAGAGGACCGGCTGCTTATGACACGTCGACCTACCGTGCCGATGACCACGCCATGACGCCGGTGGAACTTCCGACTAATGCACGGGCCGGTTGGGTGTGACGTTGGAAGATGTCTCAAATATTCCGTCAGCCTGTGTTGGGGGTGAAAGTGGGTGAAAGTGGATGAAAGTGGGTGAAAGTGGATGAAAGTGGGGCTTCTTGTGAATATTTAACGTTTTTGCATGGCGATCGATTGGTTTGGGGTGACAAATGTCACGGAAAATGATCAGTGCATCTCGAGGCTTTGATGGTGGCGGTCTTTGTATGCACATTATCGGTGTTCTTGGGTGATTGGGTGTTAGTTGGAATTGGAAATAGATACCCATTCTCGTATTCAGCTGGACAAGTTGCCTATTGTGAACTCTGGGACGATGTTTTGAGGGCAGGTTTCCGAGGGTGCAGGCTCGGGTGCTGTTGTGTGTTGGGCGCAGCACGGTCTGGGCCGCTGGGCCAAACGCCCCGGACCCCGCGCCCCGGGCATCCACGCGACCATTTAAACCAACTGCCTGCGCTTGCAACACAAATAAGAACAGAGTTTTAGAAAGCCTCGCCCTCCCACCAAATCATTGCGCGGGACTTCAGGAGGGCGCCGACAGCCTTCTGCGACGCCAATTAACCCAGTGGAGGGGGAAATACCCGACCAACCCGCACCTGCGCCGCCCTGTTTCCCTTCACTCCCCGACGCACCCCGGCTCTGTGTCCTCCCGCATCGAGCCGACCAACCTTTAGATCGAGAGCGCGACTGCCCTGCCATGGTATTCCAAGAACCGCCAAACGATTAAAAACGATAGATATTCATTGGGAGGAAACATGGATTCGCATTGTGGACCGACCTCATTCTCCCTCGACCACGGCGGTAACCATGCCGACCCCCTTACAATCGATACTCAAGTCCCCAGAGCGACGAGGGCCCAATCAATACACCAAGAAGATGAAGGCAATGCGACCGTTGAACTCGCCTCGATAATGATGGCGGCATCAAACCCCGTGTCGCCGGGGCCAAATCCGCCGCTCGACCCGGAGCGCATGCAGGAATTCATACCTCCCACCCGGCCGAGCAGCACGCCATTCCCACAGCCTGAGCCGCGCAGTACGGAGCTTCGCTGTAGCAGCTGTCCAACAAATCGATTGTTGGGTTCGAATACCTCGGACGCTACCGGCTTGCCCCCACCACCTTCGACTGGAACGACCGCCAACACCGGCCTCAATGACCTCCCTACCGAAATCCACGAATGTATCCTCGACCACCTGTTTGGATTCCGGGTTTCGGCCACCTCCAAAAGTTCTATAACGCGCTGGGGAACCGCACTACGTCATCCACGGCGGAAAGAACTGTCTGAACTGTCGCTTGTAAGCGGGGCGTGGAGGATATTGATCCAGGAGCGACTGTACCGGCACATCAAGCTGAAGGCATCCATTGAGTCTCTGAGAAGCTCCATGGCCTACTTCTCAGCTCGCCCGCATCTGCGATCTTATGTCAAACATGTCGAGATATGGTTCCCCGTGTTCCACCCCAAACACAGGCCATTGGCGCTATCCAACGCAAACACCCTTCCGACGGTGACCCCGGATGGACTGACGACCGCTTCTTATGTGTTGCCAATGGATAACTGCTCCCTGGAGGAGGCTTTCTATTTCGTGGCAGAATCTCTCCCGGAGGTCTGCGTCTTGACGTTGGAGGGGGGCGAACGGAAGAAGGCGCCTAAAGTGAGACATTGGATTCGAAATTCCGGCGAGCAGAGTGTGCGGGTAATGCCCAAGGTACATTCCGTCCGAACTCTCATCTCCAAGGGGCAGTGGAACTTGATAAGGGAGGAAGATGACTTCCAGAACATCATGTCGGCGTTGCCCAACCTGCAGGAATGGCACGGCTCGTACAGCAAGCCCAAGTCCAAGAGCTACCTCACCATGGCCAGCATCCTCGCGAAACCCATGCGCCTCACGAGTCTTGATCTGTGCATCGAAGGGGATTACCGCCGCGAGTTGTCGTTTCCTCCTTATATTCTCAAGGTATCGAGCAGGGTACATTTCTGTTCACGACTGGCTACCGGCGCTGCGTCCCCGTCGCTCGAGCACATCTCATACACGGGCAGGGTCTGCAAGCAATTTTTTATTGATCTCATGTCCAAGAGCAAGGACCCGAGGAACGCGCGCCTGAAGTCGATTGACCTTACTGTGAAGAATTGCTGCCGGCAGGTGGCGCACTGGAACGAGTCTGGATCCGGCATTACAGATATGAATTTCATCAACGCGTTCGAGGAGCTGGTCATCGCGGGCATTCGGGCTCTGGGACGACTCAAATCGGTCGAGTATCTTAGGATCCGCTACGTGGATCTAGGTAAGTCGCTCATCCCCTTTTATGCTAGCTAACTAATGGTCAACCTAACATGTCAACGCAGACTCGCCATTCCCACCGCTCAACCCACATTTCCTCCTACGTAACGGGCGGTGCTCGGGCGTCTGGAGCGACGCTATCATCGCCGAGATGAACCGCGCCCAACCCAGCGCCCGCTTCGAGGAGCTATCCGAATCCTTCGGCGAGGTTGGGTACCGGAAAGACGGCCGGATGACGTTCAACCCGGAGTTTCCGACGTCCAGCTCTCGGACGATTTCTCTCAAGTTGTCCAACTATGCGCTGCTCAGCGCCGGGGCCCCATGAGGTTCGAAACGAGCGGCAACCTCGTGTTTATCGGGACTATCGGTATCCATCCAATACACGCTCGATGGATTTAACAGGACATCACTAAGGGCTATAATCACCGCTATTTTCTTTTGTTGTGCGTTTCACGGTCGGACGGGAAGTAATACTAGACAAAGGCGTTCAGGGCCCGATCCTTTGCGAAGGCGAGCCGACCGGGGAATTTTGCATCTGCTTGTCATTTTCGGGAGGAGGGAAGGGGGAGGCTATCTTTTGTGCTGGGGTTTTGTGACATTTTGGGGGCTGGGCCAGGGATGATGGGCAACCTACGGAGTTGTGTGAGGCGTGCATTGGGAAAGCCTGGGGGTGGTGTTTCGGGACAGTTGCCGGGCAGTGAGTCGGAAGGGAGGTATATTGCTTGATATCGTGCCATGGCCTGATGCTGTTTAGCGGTGCGTCGGTGATAGACCGAGCACCAGCCGAGTGTGCCATATAAAAAAAAAACAGATCAAATAAAGTCAACGGTATTTCCATACGTATCCTGCCCAACCATCTATCATACACACCACCAACACCTCCCTTCACGCCCACCCATCCACCACTCTAATCTCTCTAAACCACCACTCCAGACCTAGACCACTCACCCACATCCCCAATAATAACCCCCAAAACCCAACAATTCACCAGAAAGAACCCCAGCGACGCGACCCACAGCCCGGGAAGGAAGGCGCTCTCCCCAAGGAACTCCAGCAGATACCCCTGCTGCAACCACGCGCCCTGTGCCAGCACCCACAGCGCCAGCGCCGCCGTCCCGAGCCGCTTGTTGCGCAGGAAGGAGGAGCGGGGGAGGTAGAGCGGGAGGAGGACCATGTACCAGAGGAAATACTGTGCCCGGGGAGGTTGTTTGTTAACGCCTGTCATTCATGGTGAGGGGATAAGGCCAGCCCCCCCAAAGGTTTGAGGCCCCCGGGGGGGGTGAGGGAGGTGACGAAAGAGGGGAAGACGTACCTGGCTGGTGCAGACCTTGTTGAAGGCGACAAAGGCAAACGTCTGCGCGAGCATGGCCGCCGGCAGGTCGCGCTTGGCGGTCGCGAGGGGGATGAGCACGCAGGCGAGGAGGAGCTGCGGGAGGAAGGCGATGGATTCGATGCGTAGCGTTGGGGCGGTTGTGTCCACCTGTCCCAGTCCTGCGGAGGGCGAGGAGGCGAGGTAGAGCTGCGTGTTGTAGGGGCTGAAGTTGTGGCGGTGGTCGATGCGCGTGATGTGGTGCAGGTAGGTGTGGTTGAGGAAGGGGGGGCCGTAGCTATTGTCCCCAGGGGATGAGGGGTTAGTTAATTGGGGTGGGATGGGAATGGAGCGAAGGGGCGTGCTTACAGGGTGTACATGGCGAAGTTGAGGGCGAGGAAGGTTGCGAGGCTGGTGACGGCGAGTTGGAGTCTGGCCGGGGTGACGAAGGCTAGGAGCTTGCTGAGGAGGGAGGGTTGCTTTGCGGGTTGCTTGCTAGGTTGCGTCTTGCTCATCCTATCCGCGTCCATCCACCAGACGATCGCCGGCGCGTAGATGAAGGGGTAGATCTTGAAGTGCACGCTGAATCCAAGCAGCAGGCCGGCCAGCGTGATCCGTCTCGACATCACTGCCGACAGCAGCGCCATAACCAGCACTCCCAGCAAGCCCTCCGAGCTCCCTCGCGTGCTGATGGTAGCTACCATGGGATTCAGCAGCCAGATAGCTGCAAATTTCCTCGCCGAGGCGCCGTCCATGGATTTTGCTAGCACGCGCTCCAGCAGCCACCCAGCCACCAGGTCCGCGGCAGCAAACAGCACCTTGCCCGAGCTAAACAACGCGGCATCTACCATCGGGTTGCCTGTCGTCTGGGTGGTGGGCAGCAACAGCCAGGCTAGGATGGGCGTGTAGCGGTATGTCTCCCGCTCGTAGGGGCTTTGGCCACGGGCGACGAAGCGGGCGGCATCGGTGAAGACGAGATAGTCGATGTCGGTGTACTTGACAGGCGAATTGGCATCCTGCCAGAGGCCGTAAAGGAGGAATACCACGCGAAGGAGGGCTGCCGAGACGTAGAGCGGAGCGGAGCGGTGGAAGAAGGAGGCGAGGAGTGAGGGTGTTGGGGGTGTCGCTGATGACGAGGGCGATGCCTTCCCCGGCTTCGCCGTAGGTCTCGCCATTTTTTTCCCACAGGCTGCCGATTCAGTCTCGACAATGGGGTGAACAGATCCCTATTCCAGAGTTTTACCCCAACCCGGCCTCACAACTTCGAATCTTCTCGCTCACCGTGTCCTTCCCAGAACCACGTAGCATCCGCTGGGTGTGAGGCTTCAAGCTTTGATTCAACGCCCGTACTTATTTTTATTTTTATTTTTTACTTTGCCATTGACTTTGGATTCTCACCGGAACACCCCCGTTCCTTATTGGGCACTTTTTTAAGGTTGACGTGTTTTGAAGCTTGTTGTTCCAGTTGTTGATGAGACAATGCGAACCCCTGCTCGGTGAGTGGAAGCCCCTAAATAATTTAGCCTCCACTGTCCGCTCAATACCCCTGCCCAGCCAATCATCCACTGACGTCAAAATACACACCCAAACACCACCCCTCGACACCATCGACCAACAAGCCCTGCCTTGCAACATGTCCGGCTTCAAGCGCGACTGGAGTGGAAATGCAAAGCGGCGGGATGGACCGAAGCCTGCCCCGAAGCAGGTCGTGAGAAATGAGTACACACCCATGTTTGAGGGTTTGCGCAATGAGCTTGATGAGCATCATGACCGCCGAGAGCGTATCGTCAAGGCATCCCGGGATATCACGGCATTGAGCAAGAAGATGTGAGCCGTTATTGGGTCCCTAGTACCATTCCAGGCCGGGTGCTAACACGATATAGCATCTTCTCACTACAACGGTATGACAGCCTTACTCGCTTCGCTGACCATAGCGGTTTAAGAGTTTGTGGCTCACACCTCACTAGTGTCCGAAAGATCGAGGACCAGCTCCCAGCCAACATCCAGTCCGAGATGGATTCCCGCCTAGCAGAGATCTCCAAGCTCCTCGCCACCATTGCCCCCGAGATCCAGGGCATCAACCGCTACCGATACTCGCGCTCACTGATGTGCCTCGAGGAGCTTGTCGAGGCCCTGACGTTTGCACACTACCTCAGGACACAATCGCTCATCAGCCACACGGAGCTCGACCCGATCATTGAGGAACTGACCCGGAAGGGCGCAGTCTCAGAGGACGAGGTCATGGCCGACGCCAGCGACACGGCAGGCACCACCGCCACCGGAAAGCCAGCCCCACCGACTGCTGAGCCCCCCACAGTCTCCCTCACCCAGGACGACTATCTCTATGGCGTGTTCGACCTCACGGGCGAGATGATGCGTTTTGCTACTACGTCGACTGCGTTGTCGGGGACTATGGCTGGTGGGCAGGGCGGAGAGGGTGGTGATGATGAGCCGCGCACCATTGTTCAAGACATGCACGAACTCGGGACCTTGTTTGAGATGCTGCCCGTGGGGTCTGGCAACCGGTTTCAGTGGGAGAAGAAGCTCGAGGTCACGAGGCAATCAGTGCAGAAGGTTGAGCGGTTGGGTTATGATCGGATTATTCGTGGGAGTGAGCGGCCGAAGGGCTGGGTCCCTGACTTGAGCTCGGGGGACCAGGGCCAAGGGGATGAGTTGGATTGATGGCGGGACTGATGGTGAGAGTCTCGGTTGCTTTGTGAGTTTGACAACTACTCTGTTGAGTACGTGCCGCACTGTCTCACGACCTAGTCCATGATAGCTAATATTATGGATGCCATTGTGCTATTCCAACCCAAATAGCCGGAAAATAACCACATGTGACAGACCCTTCTTTCTTGGTCTTATCTCATTCTCCATTCCTCCCCTTCTCATGAGAGTGACTGTACGCCGTGACGCCCCACCACGTACCCCCACCATGCAATTTCTGCCTTAGGCTGCAGGGAGGTGCGGGGCAGCCCACTCACTTTTAAACACCAAAATCTTTTCTTACCCCGCCATCTCCCGGGCAGCTATCGACCACCACAACCAGCTCGTCTCTCCAGTCCATTCGACCTCGTCGCAACTCAACAATTCAAAATGGGTTTCACCGATATCCTCACCGACGCCGGCCTTGCCGGTAGGTTGCCTCTCAAACCAGGCGCACCACGATTGTCACTAACAGCAATGCGCAGTGCTCAACAACTGGCTCCTTACCCGCTCCTACATTGCCGGGTATGTATCCTCCCAATTCCCTTCCCAAACCTGCGCCCTGCCGATGCCCCTCCTGATGATCCCCATGGTCCGTGTTGCTGAGCAGCCTCAAGACCTGCGCATGATTACACACCCAGCACTCTGTGCACCTCTGAACCCTTCTTCGGCATCTGCCTCTGCATTGTTCTGTCTACAACCTTCAATGGCGCATCCGAGCTGACCCTCGTTTCCGCGTTAGCTACTCGGCCTCGCAGGCTGACGCCGTCACCTTCAAGGCCCTGAGCGCGGCGCCCGACGCGGCCAAGTACCCCAACGCGGCGCGCTGGTACAAGCACATCGCGTCGTACGAGGACGAGTTCCCGACGCTGCCCGGCGACGCCAGCAAGCCCTACACTGTCTACGGGCCCGAGGTCGCCGAGGTCACCCTGAACCCCGCCAAGGCCCCCGCCGCCGAGGAGGAGGAGGACGAGGACGTCGATCTCTTCGGCAGCGACGAGGAGGAGGACGCCGAGACCATCCGCGTCCGCGAGGAGCGCCTGGCCGAGTACCGCAAGAAGAAGGAGGGCAAGGTCAAGCCTGCCGCTAAGTCGATCGTCACCATGGACGTCAAGCCCTGGGGTACGTTGTTTTTCTCCCCGCGCGCGGTTTTGCGCTGCCGGTAATACAGAGTACGGATGCTGACCCGATAACCACCGCAGATGACGAGACCGACATGGTTGCCCTCGAGGCCGCCGTCCGCGGCATTGAGAAGGACGGTCTGGTCTGGGGTGCCTCGCAGCTGATTGCCGTCGGCTTCGGTATCAAGAAGCTGCAGATCAACCTGGTCGTCGAGGACGACAAGGTCTCGACCGACGAGCTCGGCGAGGAGATCACCGAGTTCGAGGACTACGTCCAGTCCGTCGACGTCGTCGCCATGCAGAAGCTCTAAGTTGTGTAGATGGGTGATGCCTAGATACGAAACATAATGAGTAACGATGTGGCTGGTCAGTGTTTGATACGAGGAATGTGATGTGATGTAACTGTGGGTGTATGCAATGACGGTACATATCAGTTGATTTGCGTACCGTTCCGCATATGTGTGACTGAGTGTAGGCGAGGAACTATCATGTGTCTTGGTTGCCCATATGCCGGGACCCATTGGCTTGGTTCTAACTCGCGCGCCTATCCAGGCGCCTCATGCATGAGTCGTCTCTTCCGCCGAGGGGGGGCGCAGTAACATTCCTGTATACGCTCGTTCTCATGCTGGTGACTTCGACGATATTTAATCGCAACCTTTCGTCGTTCACCGCCACGCATTATCTAGGTAACATGGAACTATTCCCCTCTCCACAAACACAAACCAGACGATCCACAGGCATGGCACCATTCGAACGGACACCAGGAAGAGAAGCACGCAGAAACATCTCACCCAGCAGCAGGCGCAGTTCTGAACCAAAAGATTTCCCCCCTTTCTCTGTGTCCCAAATGCCAACGCCACACTCTGCGTGATACTCCCCACACCCCCTGCCCCCCGTAGCGGCTAGAGAAGTAGATACGGAACGCAAAGTAGGGGATATGCATGCCATGCCATGTTCCTCCTCTCCTTGTCCCCCCTCCCGGTTGCTCTGCTAATCAGACAAAACGCCTCCGCGCCCTCATCTTGTACGTACGTTATCATCAGCCCATTCAGGTCCCATACATCGATCGTCATGGCTCATCCACCTTCCCACTCTCGCTTTCATTGGACCACCCTTCTATCGCTCGTAACTCAATCCAACGCTCCCTCTGTCATTCACCTCTCCCTCTGCCATTCACCTCCCCGTCTCTCACCTCTCCCTCTCTCATCCCCACCCCTCTCACCTCCCCCTCCCCCCCATTTCCCCCACCACCCCAAACCCCCCATCAGGCAATCACAGCCTTACCCCCCAAACCCCCCGCCCCGCACTCACGCCCAACCACTCACCATACTCGCCCCCCGCCAGATGCGGCACCCACCCCACATTCCCCACCTCATACTCACACTGCCAACTACTAACCGGACTACGCACATTATCCCCACTCGCCGCCGCAGCCGCAGCAGCCGCAGCAGCAGCCGCCTGCGCACCACCACCACCAGCAGCCGCCCCCGGGCCAGCCCCCGCAGCACCATTCGGCACCGTCGGCGCCGCCGCCGCCACCGTAGTAGGGCCGACCGACTGGGTGGCGTGGTTCATGAGGTCCCAGACGAGGACCTGGCAGTCGTCGGCGCCGGAGGCGAGGGTGCCGCGGCGGAGCGGGGACCACTCGACGCAGTTGAGGGCGCCCGAGTGGCCGCGCAGCTCGAGCAGGGCCTGCCCCGGCTGGCGCACGTCCAGGATGCGGATCACGTTGGAGTCGGCCGCGAAGGTCGCCAGCAGGTGGTGGTCGTGCGGCGAGGTCGCGAGGCGTAGGAGCGGGGGCGGGTGGGAGAGGGTTTGCTGGGCGAGGGTCGGGCTCATGCGGCCGCCGTTGGAGTCTGGGGTTGTTAGGGTTAGAAAGGGGGGGGGTGTTTGGGAGGGGGAAAAGGGAGCAATTACCTCGGTCATCTTTGCCTGTCGGCTCGTAGATGATGGTGCTGTGCTCGAGGCTGCGCAGGTCAAACATACGGACGCTGCCGTCTTGGCCGCAGCTGACGAACACGTCGGTGCTCTGGGCGCAGAACCGGACGTCGTAGACCTCCTTGTCGTGGGCGATCAGCTGGGTCTTGGCGGTCAGGGACGGGATGTCCCAGATGGTACATGTCGTGTCTATGCTCGAGGTGATGATCAGGCTCGGGTTGACCGTGTTCCAGTCGAGCGAGGTCAACGGCGCGGTGTGGTCGGGCGTCTTGGAGTTGGACAAGAGAGCCAGCGGGGTGAGTTTCGTGACGGGTGCATCGCGGCCGTTTCTCGATGTTATGGAGGAGCCAGGAGTGCCCTGCTGGGTATCAGATGGAAGGGACCAGAGCCGGAGGTGGTCTCCAGAGGTAGCAAGCAAGTCGGTAGATTGCTTCTGCGACGAGGGCGGTTCCCAGAGTAAGCGGGTGACGGGGTATGAGTGAGTGGCCTCAGCAATCCTTGTAAAGTCCATAGACCATTTAGGTCCCCCGGGAACGTAAACATCGGACGGCGTAGTAGTAAGCTGGGCGTCGAGGATTTGTATCTGGGTGTATGCGGTTAGCGTAGTGTCGAAAACGACAGCATTGGAGAGACACTTACAAAGTTATGACCGTCTTCCAAGTAGCTGCCAATGGCGAGCTTGCCGGCACTGTTGGCCTGGGGAGCCCATTTACACCAGTCGAAAGCATAGAGCGCCCATGGAGCCATGTAATTGCTGGTTCGCGACTGCGTGCTTGCCAGTTCGTACCCAGGCGTCCCGGGCAAACCGTCGGATAGGCTCGAGTCGGCGCGGGGTCGGATATCGGCGAGCCCAAGAGGGGTATTGGAGATGTTGCGCGAACTCGCTGGGTTGTATTTCGGTTCGGTAGGAGACATAAACTGCGATGAGGCAGCTGTGCCGCCAGGGGTGGTCGGGGTGTATGGGTGATAGCCCGTCCCGCCAGCCTCGTAGTGCGCAGAGGGGCTCGAGCGAGAGTAGCTATGCGACAGGCTCATCGAGTTGTGCTTGCCCTGTGTTTGGCTCTGATGCGACTGGTAATCCGACTGCTGCATGCTGGGAAGCGTAGGGGCGGCGTTGGAGGGAAGTGTGGGTGGTCGGGTGCCAGACGCGCCGGGTTGGAGCACGTTCGGTACGGTACCGGAGCCCTGGTAGCCTTGCATTTGGGGGAGACTCGGGGAGACCTGCTCGAGCTTGATGTGGGGGGCACCGGTCGAGTAGTCGCGGGGGGACATCTGCTGGTTCTGGCCTTGGCTCTGGTGGCTCTGGTGGCTTTGGTGGCTTTGGTGACCTGGGATGCCTTGCGACGCCATGTGCATCTCATCGTGCTGAGACGAGAAGGTGCCTGTCCGCCGCTGCGGCTGGTACTGCGATTGTTGGTTCATTTGAGCGAGACTGTCGACGGGCCGGGATGAAGTGGGCAGGTCCCGAATCAGGATCGTGAAGACGAGCGATGTAGGTCGAGGAGTGAGGATTGAGAATCGAGCGCGGGGTGTTTGCCAGGGGCACTCGGTGTGTGGCTCGGTGTGGGTCGTTCAATGGCCGGCAGGGCAATGCGAAAAAGCAATCGCCGGGTCCAGCCACAGGAGATGAGCTGGCGGGCACGGAAGCCCAGTAGCAGCAATGGCGGTTATGTGGGTGAAACCGCGAGGAAGTGTGCGCGAAAGCATAGAAGTGAAGTGAGCTCCAAATGGGTCCGTCTTCGAAACCCAATGTCTCCCCCCCACTGTTCCTTGCGGCTGGGGGATGGCAGGATGGGCAGCCGCCGCCACAGGCGCTTCTCAGTGCGGGGCCGGGCAGTCGGTCATTATTGGCTGATCTTTTGACGGTGGGTCGCCGTTCTCCCCAGCAATGCCCCGCAACCATCCCAGGACCTTACCAAGAGCGCATCTCGACATCACGATGACTGCCTGATTTACTTCGTTGACACAAGTGGATATTTAATTATAATACGCAGAGTTATTCTTGTTCAGATCAAGCCTTGTTTTCATTTCAACTCGCCACGAAGACCTGATCCGGCCGCCATCTCATAATCCATCCGAAATAAACCCCACCCTTCCACCCGAGGTGTATATTCGGGCTCGGGCAGCTTAGGTCCCAGCAGCAACACACTCGATTTTCATCTCACATCTCGCAGCTTATATTGGAAGCAAAATCCACCTCTTGATTCATCAACTGCCAAGAATATCGGCCGTATATTTTTCCACCTCACTTATTACATCACGACATTCTTCGGCCATCTCATCTCATCGACCTCATCCCGCTATTCTTCATCCCCCCTAACTCTTCTCTTACCTACCCAGACCGTCACATCATGGGGCAAGACGATCGCCCATCGCTTCTGATACTCCCCTACCCTCCCGATCCACTCACCCGCGACTCCCTCAGCGCTGCCTACCGACCATCTCTTAAATCCGCACTCGAAAAGGTGAGGCGCCCAACCGGTGCCGCCAAACTCACCGTCGCAGTCGTCTGCCCCGTACTCCAAGGCCAATTTCTCCGATCCAAAACCCTCTCATGGCCCGACGCCCAGACGCTTGTTGCCGGCATCTACGGCCTCATCTCAGTCCTCTGCGCCCAGCTCTCGATCAATACCGAAGTAAACGGCGGACCGAACTCGGTCGACTCGACCGTCGTCTTGATCGACGATGACCGCAACAAGCACTACCCAACCGACTTCCGTCCTGCCATCGAGCCCAACAACACCACCATCGTCGACATGGCCACCTTTGCCTCGGCCTACTTCCCCTGGAACTTCATCTTTAGCGTTAGGAGCGAGCTTGGATTCCAGGTGTCGCAGGCCTATCTCAAGTTTGCCGAGGGGCGGCAGAGCCTGCTTCAGTCACAACTAGTGCCGGTGGAGGGGGGGCTGGTATTGAATGTCGCAAAGAGCGACCCGGCGAGCGTGGCGCCACAGACGTCGACCTACCCGGCGGTGTGTCTGGGAGGGACGTTTGATTACCTGCACCCGGGACATAAACTCCTGCTCACGGCCGCCGCGCTGCTGCTCCAGGTCCCGCGGAGGGGTGATCCTGTTCCGCCGTGCCGGTACATCATTGGCATCACGGGGGACGAGATGTTGCGGAACAAGAAGTTTGCCGAGTTTGTCCAGACCTGGGAGGAGCGGGCGCGAAACGTCATCTTCTTTCTGGCACAGCTGCTCGAGCTTTCGCCACGGGGATGGAAGGACGGCACACCGCCGCAAATTGAAGAGAAGGACGGCGATTTCACAGCGACGTTCCGGGACGGCACGATCCAAGTCCACTGCGTGCGGATCCAGGACGCCTTCGGGCCGACCATCACCGTCGAGGATATCCAGGCTTTGGTGGTGTCTGCCGAGACGCGGTCGGGAGGACAGGCTGTGAACGAGAAGCGTGCTGAGAAAGGCTGGCATGCGCTTGAGGTCTTTGAGGTTGATGTGCTGGATGCTGAGGAGGTCGAGGATGAGCCCACCAAGACGGAGAATTTTGCGGCCAAGATCAGTAGCACTGCGATCCGGCAGCAGAGGGCGGCTAGGGGTGGGACCAAAATATGATTACGGGGGAGGGGTGGTGGTTGTATTTTGGGAATCAAACTATTCTCAGCTGGAGTTATTTGAAGATTTAAGTGCAGAGCAGTGGTTATCAAATCTTCTGCTTTGTCGTATATCTGGCTGTGGGGGCAGAATAACGGAGAAGCTCGGCTAGTGCACAACACAGGAACAGCAAATAGTGCCTTACTTCAAGGTATAAGACAGCATCAGCATGTGGATATTCAGCGTGGTTACATACTGATAATGCTGCAGTGTGTGCAGCCAATAAACAACCCGAAAACCTTCTGTGGCCGCTGCCCGACTTGTCTCATCGTGCCTCGCCCAAACCGCACTGCACTCCGCTCTTGCTTTGATACCCGAACTTCCCGCCATCAACGCCTGCACTTTCCACGCAACTTTAGGGCGCTCTCCCTTAGAAACTTGGGCATCAAACTTTCTCCCCATTACTACCCACCCAAATATAACCATTGGTTTGTGCAGAAACGTCCCCTTCCCAGCCCAGCATTCGTCTTTGGCCTTCTCCTAAATCGAGCACACTTAGCTCTAGGGCATCGGGGTTGCATATAGAGCTCTAACGAACGAATGAATCATGAGCCAGTTTGTTTCCTTGCCCGGCCCCGCGTGCCCTCCTGCGACCACAGGGGGTATTGCGGCCGTTGACCTCCTCACCATTGACGCCAAAGGCTTACAGTCACGGTTGGCGGATGGAGAGTTCACAAGCCTAGACCTTGCCAGGAAGTGCCTCACTCAGATCCAGAAACATGATGGCCACCTTCATGCCATGATCAAGACGACGCCAATCCGGATTCTGGAAGAAACTGCTAGCTCGCTCGACCGGGAACGGGCGGACGGGATAGTGCGAGGGCCACTGCATGGAATCCCGATTCTTGTCAAGGTTTGGATGCCCCGAGTCGATTGTCGAGGACTGCACCGCTCCTTAAACGACCTCGCCATGTCTAGGCATTCGCTGACATTCGTAGGATGTTGTCGATACCCCAACCTTAGGACTCCCGACAACTGCCGGAAGCTTTGCTCTGCTGAGCTCCAAGGCTCGAAAGGATGCCAAAATCATTGACCGGGTAGGATAAACCAACCGCGCCACGGATGAGCCCATCGACTGGTTAACATAGAGTCTCTAGCTCATCCCCGCGGGGCTTATCATCCTGGGCAAGACTAACTTGAGCGTAAGAAACTATCCATTAAACATCTGGAGTCCTCATACAGATACTCCGTTCACTCACTAACAGCTCCTCAGGAGTTCTGCAATTCTCGGTAACAATCCGAAGAGGCGGCCCCGATACGGCTACCACGTTTTCTGACATATAGCAGCGGATCGGATATGCCAAGCGGCTGGTCGGCGGTCGGCGGACAGGTCCAGTCAGCGTACATCGTGGGCGGTGTCGACCCGACTGATTCTAAGGACGGCCACTCGGTAGGTTACTGGCGTCTCCTGGTTTGGCATGCCACGCAAGCTAACTAACAGTACACCAGAGTCCCTCCGGATCGTCCTCCGGCTCCGCGGTAGGAGTATCTGCCGGGTACGCGCCCCTCGCGATCGGCACCGAAACGGACGCGTCACTTGTCTGCCCTGCTGGCAGAGCCGCTCTGTACACGATCAAGCCGACGATTGGTCTTGTCTCACAAGAGGGCATCATGCCCATATCGCACCATTTCGACACGGCAGGGCCGATGACGAAGTCGGTTCACGACCTGGCGGCTTTGTTGGATGTTCTCGCTGCGGGACCGCGCTCCGAGTCATTCACTGCGAGCCTGACTGGCTCTTGGTCGGATATCTCGGTTGCTGTTCTCGATCCGGAGGAGTGGAAGTTCCCTGAGGATTGGGTGAAGCCTGTTGAAGGGGCGGAGGCTCAGATCGTATGTGGTGATCCCGCAATCTTTCGTAATATTTGGTAACTGTAGGCACTAACATCAATAGAACCGAGAGATTCGTCGGGCATACGACGTCATCAAGTCCAAGGCGAAGATGTTCGTCAACAACGTCGACCTTGTCTCTGTCGACGAACTCGCACTCGACGGAGAGAGTAGCGAGGGCATAGTGATGAGTGCGTCAATCTAGGGGCCCCCTTTATCTGGTCCCATGAGGGGCTGCAGCAACTAACATGTTGGGCACTGCAGTGGTTGACCTGAAAAGAAACCTCAACACTTACCTTGCCAACTTCGAGGAAAGCGAGGTGCGGTCTCTGTTGGATGTGATAAACTACAACCTCAAGCACGCCGACAAGGAGCTTCCGCCACGTATGAAATTCCTAGTCTCCTTCAGGATGCCATATCCTACCTATGCTCGAAGTGCCAAAGCTCACATTGCGACCAGATCATCCAAGGCAGGACCGCTTCATCGACTCACAGAACCATACCATATCGCCAGAAGTGTATGAACGGCACTTACAGCATCTCCGTCATGTAGCGAGAGACCGCGGGGTAGAGCGTGTTCTTGACACATACGGCGTCGACGTCGTTCTCGGTCCGACGGACAGCGGCCTCACGTCCATGGCCGCAGCCGGAGGTGAGTATTTTCGACAGTGTTGGATTTAATACAAGGTGAAGCTAACTGGTGCGGAAGGATACCCTCTTTGCGCAATGCCGTTGTCCTACTTGGATTACAATGGACGGCCGTTTGGGGTCTCAGCTATCGCGGGACGGGGCCGTGATGATCTCCTGGTTAAGGTCATGAGTGCGTGGGAGGCGACATTCCCGGGTCGCAAGCCGCCGCCAGCTTTAGTTTAAGCAGCTGTCATCAGCCTGGTTATGCATTGGCCTTGGATCTGAGATAAATAAGTTCACTTAGGTATTCAAGGGGTTATACAATCACAGTGTCATAGCTCCAACCAGCTTATCGTTTCCGGTCCGGCGCCAGCGACCCACTGGGAATTCAAAATCATTGATGACTGGGGGGATAAATAGCAAAGATTAGCTGCCTTAATTAGTTACCGCACGAACCCATATAACCCAACAAGTGGCATCCCTCACTAACTCTGAACTACGTCGGATGTTACTGATGCGTTCAACTCGAGGCAGCCCCCATCAAATCATCTAAAGGGCGTTTCTGGGTTCTAGAGCTGGCACTCACTAGGTCCTCAACCACCCACCCACATGACCCAACCTCTTCTATAGTACGATTTTACACTCTTACCTCGGACGTCAACTACTACATAGCATAAACTTACCTTCCCACCACCGCCAGCCCCCAAACCAACGAACCAACCAACCGACAAACAATCAACCAAAATGCCCACGCCCCCAAAACGCACCGTGACGCCCTCCTCCTCAACACTCCCCTCCAAACCGCAACCCTCTCCCAAACCACAACCCTCTCCCAAACTAACCCCCAACCCCAACCCCCCAACTACCCACCGACCTGCTCACCCGCATCAAAGCTATCGCCCTCAGCCCCCGTGGACGCCCTCTACACAGCCCACCCGCTGGGCGCGACAGGCGACAGGCCGGGAGGTGGGGGTTTGATTGGTGGAGGGGATGGCGCCGGAGCGGGTGGTGGGAGTGAGTTTGTGTGGGTTGACGGCGGCGCAGGCTGTTCTTTTGGGACGGGGCGATTGGGGTGGGTGGCGCGAATGCTGGGGGGGGAATGCTGGGGGGGAATGCTGGGGGGGAATGCTGGGGGGGATGGGGAGGGGGTTTATGAAAGGGAGGGTTCGGTGCGTGGAGAGGAGCAGGGGACGCTGCGGGTTTTTGTCTACGGCGCGTCGACTTCAATCGGTGGGGATGCACGCCACGCAGCTGGTCAGGCGGAGGTGTGAGGCGGGTGGGAAACGGCTGGTGCTTGTTGGTGCGGCAAGTCGGGGGTGGTGGGTGATGTTAAAGGGACTGCCGTATGGGTATGACTGGCTGGTGAACTATCCCGATGCCCACTGGCCGGAGCAAGTCTGCTAGCTAGCCGGCGGGGACGGCGTCGACGCCGCGTATGATTGAACTTTCGAGGGGACACGGTGAAGCGGGTGGCGAGAGCTCTGAAGGAAGGCGGGAGGATGGCCATTGTCCGGTCGAGAGAGGGCGGTGCGTGGGCTGCCGCCGAGGGAGAGCTACCCATGGAAAGGATTGGGAGTCGCAATCCAATATTAGGGGTTCACGGTCCCGGCATCGGAGGAGGCGAGAAGGTTTGCGGCGGCGGGAAGTTGGAGGCGAATCCCATTCACTTGATGCCCGGCGGGCTATGTCGGCCAGGTGGTGGACGGCGGGTGTGCATTGCTCGGTTCTGGGGTGATGGATGCACGGCAACGAGAGAACGTAAGACTGGATGAAGCCCGTCAATGCGGAAAAGCTGGTGTATCAAGTCAGGGGTTGATGTCAAAGTGCTCGCCGGGGGTGCCCGTCGGGTCAACCTTATCCTGGGGATCGACTATCTTTTCCTTTCTGATTTATCCGGCTCTTCCTTCACATGCAGCACCGTTCGTGATCAATGTCGCTTGGGAATCGGCACCGTTCTTTCAACCAACCGAGGCCAAGGGAAGACAGTCACAATGGTGGCTTTTGGAGGTTCCTCTTCGAAACATACTTGGTAATGGCATGGGGGTTTTTGATCCAACGGCGGGTCATTCAAGGGTCCGAGGTGGCGTCACCGTTGAATCCCAGCGTGCGGCGGCGGCGCAGACGAATCGGAACCGTCCGCGGCTCCATGCCGTGCATGAGATGGCTTGCGGGCGGGATAAAAGGGAACGTCACCAGGGAACGTCACCGAGGGGTTTCCTGCATCTGCATGGCACTTCCGGGAGAACTTGCTCCAAGCGGCCGCAAAAAACCAAAAAAAGAAGACTTTTGACCCCCACCCCCACCATGCTTGAATGCTTTCTGTCATCGGTGCCGTGGGACCTTCCCGACGTGGAACTCGCAGGATGCAGCAATTGCTTCTCTGTGTTGAACTGTAAGGTAGGTATCTTGTCTATCGTGTTTCATCGTGCCCAAAAAAAACAAAAAAGAAAACCCCTTTTTGATAACACACAGCCGGCGAGCCGCCGCACTGTGACCCGTTTTCAAAACCCCCAAGACTCCCATGCCGTAATCGCATGTACTAGATATCCGACCCGCGTTTGTGAAAGCAAAAACGAAAAAGAACACGGCCGAGCATTAAAAGAGAACGTTACTATGTTACTGGTACAGGGGCTGCGACCCAGCGCTGGTTTAGTCGTGCGAGATGGACCACTTCGTCTGCACCCTGATGCCCGTCTTCGGGTCCGTTTGGTAGGGTGGCTGCTCCGTCAAGGCCACCTCGGAGCCGCTGTCCTTGTCCTTGTCGGTGAATGTCCCCGCCTCCCGGTCTGCCCCCGGGGTGTCGGTGGTAGCGGCCGACCGGTAATGTACCGTCTGGTTGGCGGCGTAGATGCTCTCGAGCGGGATTTGGGTGTCGGTGGCGCTTTGGTTCTTCAGCTTGCTGAAAGCGCTACCGTGTGTGCCGCTCTCGGAAGAGTGGTAGGCGAGCTTGGAGTTTCCCCGGCGCGTGGCAACGCACCGTGACCAGAGCGAGCCCAGCATGGGCAGACTGACGCACAGGATGGCCAGGTTCGGCTCGGTGGCGGACCAGAAGTCGGCCCAGATCATGGTTCCCGTGAGGTTCATCAAGTCGAGTTGCGTCAGGGTGACAATACGGATGACGCCGATAACGCTAACGCTGAGGGGACGTCAGCAAGTGTGATTCTCAAAACGTGGGTCGAGATACTTACATGAGACCGACGAGGAACACGCCCGTTAGGCCAAGCTTTGCCGGCGTCGACATCTTGAGCGACCAGACAGTGGGCAGCGGGAGCGTCAGGATAATGACATCGGTGATGATGTTGAAGGCACCAATAGCAATGAAAGAGGCCACCTGGTCGCCGCACGTGCCCGGCATCAGAGGAGTGTATGTCTTAGCGAAGGGTCGGCAGATGAGGAAGACCTGGAGGAAATTGCCGATGCTCCAAACCGAGACGAAGATGAGAGAGGCTATAGTGGCCATACGCAAGCCTCGGTTGACAAAGACGCGGAGGTAGAAGAGCAAGATGCTGAGTTTAATGGTGCTGATCGAGGTTGCGTAGATGAGCTCGTACGACACCAGCAACTTGAGGATGTGTGGCAGATTCGGCATCGTTTCGGTCACGTTGAAGCCAATTCCCATTGGTGACCCTGGAACACTATATTAACTTCCGAACTACGCCTTCGAAAGCGTAGTGGAATACTCACATAGTCCCTGGATGATGAGCATGCCGAGGCCCTGGGGCAAGGCAAATATGATGAGGTAGTCATCCCACCAGAGTCCGGCTCCGGAGGTGAAGCGGGAGGCGAGACGCAGTGTCACAACCAGCACCGCTAACCCGGCAATAACGGAGTTGATGATGAGATGCGCCCTGACGATGGGCAACACCGGGAATTCGACGTAGTCGAGCATTGCGTGTTATGATAGTCTTCGTCAGCGGTGCCGACCGACCGACTCTTTTCGGCTGTTGCTGATTATGCGACTGTCGATGGAGTCACGGCGGCAAGAACAGGTCGAATCCGATCCGTCATATGCTGTGTTGGACCGCTGTTGTTGAATTCCTGAAGCGAGGGTTGGCGATGGGACGAGAAACGGGGTGATGGCAGGGCTGTTGATATGTATCCGCATGGCCTTCCGCGGCATTCCCATCAAAGAGAGACCGGTATGGCAGCATGGGATAATTGGCTGCTTTGCCGTCACGGTGCGTCAGGGGCTGGGGGGCACATATGTACATAAAAGAGCACTTTCCGGACCGCGGCCCAGTTCCCGGGCAAGAGATTCCTCAGGATCAAACAAGGGGCCAGACCCAGCGAAATGGAACCGACAGGAAAAGAAGCAAGGTGGTAGATCGTCACAACGCTTGCAACTGAAGAAGAAGGGTCTGGCTCAGCGGGACGGAGATACCCACGGAGGATACCTGGAGAACGTTCAAGACGGGGACAGGGGGTTGAAGTGACCCTGGTTTGAAATCACGCCGTTTCTGCGGTCCACCAAGTTGTCGATAGTGTACTGTGTAGTATTCCGAGTGCCGGAAAAGCAAAGAAAAAAAAAAAAAAAAAGGCAGGTGGCCACAGCGGCGAGGGAGTTGTGCCGGCTCCATATTGAACTGACCACTGGCAGTTACACAGATATAATTGTGGCGTGGAGGCGGCTCGTCTCAGCTCGTGAGCTCGCAAGGCTCGGTGGCTCGTCGATCGGGCGGGCTCGAGGAAATCAGGCCCATGGAGGTGGGTTGCAGCACACTTTTCGGTCGGGGGTGAATGCCTCACACAGCCTGCTAGCTCGGCACCTCGGCTGCACAATCCTGGTTCGCGTTACCTTAGCGTAGATAGCTTATTCTTGCCCCGGGCTGGGATGAGGGAAAACTCCAGAGAAAGCCCGAGACCAAAAAAAACACAGGGGAGCTCGCTCTCCCGCGAACTATTGAGGATCTGCGCAAGAATACAAATCATGTCAGCAAGGAGAACGGACGTGCTCATAATGGGAGACGAGTTAGTTAATTAGTGTAGGTGGCTGGTTTGTGCCGGGGATCAACGAAACCCCATGTTCGGACGAACCCGTCTCATCTCGCAGGTCAGTTTGACCGATCTTTTTTATCTTCGACGGTTTTCTCAGTGTGTCACACTGTGGGAAAGCGTGAAAGGAACCCGAGAGGCTCGTTTTTGTGGCCTGGTCCACTCACACACGTGTCGCCGTTGAACTCCATGCGGCAAACGCCCGAAGCGAGGCCGGGTTCCCTGTCGGACTGTGGGGGACCTCCAAGCCGCTTTTGGGGCGTTCGAGGGATTTTGCCGCGAAGCCGAACGGGGGAACCCGGGAATTTTACTGGCCATACCCTGATCTGTGGGGACGCAGACCCCCGTTGAACTCCCCCTTTTCTCCATGGATAATTTGCCGGACACGCCGTGGAATCATGAACAAATGGATGGGTTGCTCTTGCTTCTTTTCGTGCTCTCGGTGTGCGGTCGTTGCCCGGGAGGAAGGAACAAGGAACAGGGAGTGGTGCGGAACCCACCCGCAGCCTGCACACCGACGGGAGTTGCGTCCTCTCCAGAGGCGGCACCATCACACCATCGGCAGCATTCAGCTCGGGCAGTCAGGCTGGAGGCACAGGACAGCCCGTGCAGGCAGGGACGACGCACGCTTGAGGCGGGCGCGAGGCGGGTTCGAGGCAGGAACCCCGACAACAGTTCATTGGGCTAGCACCAGTCGACCCCACCGGCTCTTTCCCTCAAACTCGCGCGACTGGTTTGATCCCGCCCCGCGATCCATCGGGCCTTGAGAACGATCTCTCCCTTGGGTAAGGTGATGTGATTGCAGCTGCTTCCCCCGCTGCTGCAGTATTGTGCTGGATCACGCGCATTAGAGGTGAGACCTCTTCACGTCTAGACGAGCTCTGTCCAGACGAACGGCACTGGGGATTACCAGTTACGGCTAGTTTCTTCAGGACCGCGCTTGCGGCTCGGCGAGCACCTGCAGCCAGCGGAGGCGCCGCGCCAATTCCACGCCGAGTGGAGATGATCGCCATCGGTCGGACTCCAGCGATTGCTCGAGTTTGTGGCTGTTGGGCGGGGTGATGGCACCACAGAAGCCAACGTCTAACCCTTCTCGGTTCATCACACAACCAACAATGAGGGGTTCGGGGGTTATCTCCTCCCTCGGGACAGCAAGCGCTGTGACGGTGTTGGAAGGGGACAGAGGGGGGTTGTTTGTTTGTCTCCCTCAAGGCGCAATTCTCCGCCGAGATAAGTTTCCCGGTTCCCGTCTCTCGGCCGCACTCTTGTCTCCTGCAATGAAACGAGCCCCTGTTTGAGTACGACATCGAACACTTCATCGTGAAATCACAACCACCAAAACCCGGTTCGCTCACTCGATCATCCGCCCTGAATACCAGACTAGTCTTGTATTCTGTACCGCGGTACCACAACACGACGTCCATACCACAACATTGCCCCACCAGTTGCAGCAGCGAGCTCTCGAATTATGGCTTCTGTTGACCTCAGCCAGCCGTTCGACTACATTGTCGTCGGCGGCGGCACCGCCGGTCTAGTTGTCGCCAACCGCCTCACCGAGGACAGCGATGTCCGAGTTCTCGTCGTCGAGGCCGGTGCAGACCGCACCGCCGACCCTTTAGTCCTTACACCGGGCTTGGTTGCCGCCTTGTACGGCAAGGAGGAGTACGATTGGAATTTTTCCTCTACTCCACAGGTATGCGGCCCCCATCGACCCCCACGGACGACGGCTAACACATTGCGCAGCCAACCCTCAACAACCGGCTTATTAACCAGTCTCGGGGCAAGATGCTCGGTGGCAGTTCCGGCCTTAACTTCTTGATGCTGCTCTACCCATCTAAGGCCAACATCGATTCCTGGGCTGCCCTGGGCAACCCGAGCTGGAATTATGACGCCTTGGTCCCGTACTTTCGCAAGTTTGCGACGGTTCACACGCCACCTCAGTCCGCCCGGGACCTCCTTGGCTTGACTTACCTCAACGAGGGCTTGGCCAAGGGTGACGGGCCCATCCACGTCTCGTTCAGCGAGGGTTATGGCGTAACGAACAAGGCGTGGCTGAAAACCTTTGCCGACCTTGGCCTCGAAATCGCGGCCGATCCCCGCGACGGCGGAGCGCTGGGTGCCTTCCAAAACCAAGCGAGCATCGACCCGGCCACCAACACGAGAAGCTACGCTGCCACCGGATACTATACCCCCGAGGTCGCCAAGCGGCCGAACCTCGTCGTCCTCACCGAAACTGTGGTAAACAAGATCATCTTTGACACGACGAGCGGTGAGGACGCCGTTGCCACGGGCGTCGAGATCATCACCAAGGACGGCCAGAAGAAGCAAGTCTCGGCCAGCACAGAAGTTATTTTGGCGGCTGGTGCGCTGCAGTCACCTCAAATCCTCGAGCTCTCGGGCATCGGTGGCCGCGACCTGCTCGGCAAGCACGGCATCCCCGTAGTCGTTGACAACGCCAACGTTGGTGAGCACGTCCAAGATCATCCCATCGTCTGCCAGAGCTTCGAGGTCGCCGACGGCGTGCCCTCGGGCGACGTCCTGCGCGACCCCAACGTCCTCCAAGCCCTGGTCGGCATGTACCAGACGGGTGGTGCCGGGCCGCTAGGCCAGAGCATCATCAGTGTCGCCTACTCGCCGCTCGTTGACGGCTCGGGCGTTGTCCCGGCCGAAGCCAAGGCGGGCTTCCTCGACGAGCACGCACCAAGCTTTACCACCCCAGAAGGCAAAGTCATCCGCAAGCTGGTCGAGTCCCCCACCCAGGCCACCTTCCAATACCTCCTCTTCCCCAGCCAGGTCGACATCCCCGACCGCCCGACCAGCATGGCGCACTATATCACCCCCGTTCTCCCGGAGAACTATATTACCATCATGACCATCGTCAACCAGCCCTTCTCGCGCGGCAGCGTGCACATCACCAGCGCCGACGTCAAGGCCGCGCCGGAGTGGGACCCCAAGTACAACTCCAACCCGCTCGACATGGAGCTGCTCGCGCGCGGCGTGCAGTTCGTCGAGCGCATCGTCGACCCCGCCACGCCGTTCGGCCAAGTCCTCAAGGACGGCGGCAAGCGCCAGCCGGCGCTCAAGGCCGACGACCTCGAAACGGCCCGCGAGATCGTGCGCCGCCGCCAGATCTCCGTCTTCCACGTCGCCGGCAGCTGCGCCATGCGCCCGCGCGACCAGGGCGGCGTCGTCGACGAGCGTCTGCGCGTGTATGGGACGAAGGGGCTGCGTGTTGTTGATGCTAGCGTGTTGCCGCTCGAGCCGGTCGGCAATATTCAGAGTGTGGTGTATGCTGTTGCGGAGAGGGCTGCGGATTTCATCAAGGAGGATCGTAAGAAGGCTTAGTTAGGGGCGTGAGGGGGGTGTAATATCATGGGTTGGGGGTTGATGGGCGTAGACTTAGTGCTAATGTTTTTGGCGAGAGTTACGGTCCGGCCTGAAAGCACCTAAGTTATAACTTCTATTACAATTGAGTGCTATTTTGGCAAGCTTTACGAAACCACCTACCCGTGACTGAACCTCTTATTTCCGACTCGACGATCTGATTCTAGGAGTTACTCTAGGTTGAATAAACTAATGTAAAGAATAACAAGGTGTAGTCAGGTTTAGGTTCCCGTTTAAAGGTTCGTATTTATATTGATAATATTAGATAGATTATAGTTTTACCAAGTTTATTAGCCACTAAGAAAATATAATGCTCTTTTACTCTATTTTCCGCCATGTCGAGTGATATTGAGTTAAGAGACCTGTCTTTTTCTCCTCGACAACCTAAACCCCTTTTTGTTTGTTTTGAGAAACCCATTAAGATTCTACCCGGAGTTGTAACTGACCCCTTGTTAAAGGCAAATAAAAAGTGCTTGCACTTCAACTCGAAGTTGTCCTCTGTGGCGCAATTGGCTAGCGCGTCTGACTGTTAATCAGGAGGTTGGAAGTTCGAGCCTTCCCGGAGGAGGATTGACAACATTATTTTTTCTATATTCCCCTTTTGGGGTGACTCGGTATGTTTTTGCTCTAAACTGTTTAAAAGGCGCAGTGAAACAAAGCTGTATTCGCCCTTGGAGAGAGTTGTAGGCGATAGGTTGGGTAATCTTTTATCAGTGCCAATTCAACGTTGTGTATTATCACATATCTATTATTCAACTACTTATTTCCTATTGATTATCAATACATTGTATTGCGTACCCTCGCTAAAGGAAGTTGAGCTGTGTCAATTAAACTATTCCTAAACCTTTATGTGGCGGTCTTGCTCTCTGAAGTGGCGACTCTACAACTGAAGGGGATCCTTTGGAAAGGGCTTGGATCGAACCGCCTTCAATGACACGAGATTGTCTCCAGCCGAATGCTATTTATTCTTCCTTGCAGCCTCCGTGACCTGGACGGCATTCATATCTTGACTCCCTGGACTGTCTGAGGTTGATAGGTTGAGTAAGCATGGAGAGTCCTTAGTCCTAATAATAACTAACCCGACAGACCAGAGCAATTTCCCGGCAGCTTGACACCGAGCAGCTTCTCGGCATTCCCATAGGCAATCGCCTTGAGCTGTTCCTCATCCACAAGGCCACTCTTTTCCAGTTCCTGAACCCACTCCAGCCCGGACTCGTTCGACCAGAACGGATAGTCGACGCTGTACAGGATATGATCCAGCCTAGTATTGGCCAGGATACATCGCAGCGGATCCAAACTCCAGTTCCCGCTTGTCGTGATCCAGACATTCTCCTCATACACAGTCCTAAAATCCCGTTGAAACGTGCCCCATGATCTCTGGCTCAACCGCTCGATCCGCTGCAGCATGAACGGGATCATCTCCCCCATATGCCCAATAATAATCTTCAGCCCCGGCCGCCTGTCAAACAGCCCCGACGCAAACAACCGCAAGACGTGCAGTCCCGTATCACTGTGCCAGCCAAACCCGCTCGACGCCATGCTCACCGCAGCCGCCTCGCTAAAATTCCCCCGATACCTCCCCATCATCTCCTCGGTCGCCCACGTCGGATGCAGATACAGGGGCACATCCAGCTCCTCGACTGCTTCCCACCACACATCATACTCCTCCCCATCATAGAACCGACCGCGGCAGTGATTATCCACCAGCGCGCCCACAAACCCCAGCTCCTTTACCGCGCGCCGCAGCTCTGCCGCCGCCTCGGCCGGCTCCCCCATCGGCAAGACTGCAAACCCCGCGAAGCGCCCACCTCTTTCCTCCCCTTTCCCACCATCCCCATCCCCATCCGCAGCAGCCGCAGAAGAAGAAGCACCACCACCACCACCACCACCACGCCCCCGCTCCGCCGCAACAGCCTCCGCAAGCTGGTCATTCGCGTCCCGGCACACGGCAGCCCCGTACTCGGCCAGCCCGGGCGCGTGGCTGACGACCTGCAGGGCGATGCCGCCGGCGTCCATGTCGCGGAGGCGGCGGGCGCCGAGGTCGGTCAGCTTGGCGAGGAGGTCGGGGATGTGCTGCAGCTGCTCGGAGTACTGGGCCTCGAGGCCGGGGGGGATGGGGGTGGCGAAGAAATGCTCTTCGAGGGTTAGGAGGGGGGGTGGCATTGCGATTGTGAATGGCGGGGATGGTTGGGGTTGTTGGGACCCGTAGTTAGTTGTGGTTGTGGACTTGTGGTGGTGGTTGTGGTGGGACTGTGGTTGGGGTTGGGAGTGATGGTGGAAGGGTGAACGTTTGTTTTTTTCTCCAGGATACTAACTACCTTAAGTACGCGACTATTGCCAACCCGTTCGGACTTCCCCAATAACTTCCCAAGTTGTCGTCATTGCCTGTCTCAATGTGTTAGTCAACGAACTGCGTTGAGAGAATCAGGGTTAGGGTCACCTCCCGGCGCTGCGGACCCTGACAACACGTGACCATGCCAAGCAATCTAGACCCTTGCCCGCAGGCCCCACCCATCCCAGCACATCTTCAATTCCTGTCTCGGACGACGGCGACGACGGCGACGAACCAGCAAGCGCCCAAACCACACCAACACACCCCGCCGACCCTCCATTCAAACCGCCCCCACCATGACGAGCCTCCTCCAAACGGTGCGGACGACCGCGTCCGCGAGCAAGTCGCTGGCGTCCTCGCTCCGCGCCCTCTCGCTCTCGACCCAGCCCAAGACGATCCCCGCGGTGCAGACAAGATGCCTCTCGCAAGTTGCCCTCACAGGCCCGGCTAGCAGGACGACGACGACGACGGCGGCGGTCAGCGGTGCGGTGGCGGCCCCCGCGGTGCAGCGCGGCGTGGCGGTGTTCCAGACCCAGCAGGTGCGCGGTATGAAGGTGCGCAGCGCGATCAAGAAGCGCTGTGAGCATTGCAAGGTGAGTGGATGATTTTGGGATGGGAGCTTTGGTTTTGTGTCTGGGAGTGTGTGTGTGTATGCCAGGAAGGGGGACTGACGGTTGGATGTTTTGCAGGTCGTCCGGCGCAAGGCAAACAAGCGGCACAACGGCTACCTCTACATCGTGTGCCCGGCAAACCCGAGGCACAAGCAGCGTCAGGGATAGAGCGGTGGTGGTCTCGCGACGGGGATTGTTTTGATACCAGTTGAAGCCGGGTTCTGTACGATAGAACGGAGGGGGGCATACACCACACCAATGGGAATTATATGGCATGAAACTCGGCCCATTTGGTGGTCGTCTGCTCTCAACAGGGCCGCTCGCCGGATAGGGACATGCGGTTGCGGCACGAATAGACAACGGGTCACAGGTTAGGGGTCACGGGAAACAGAAATGCCAGCTGAGGCCGGGCGGTTGGATCGGATCTTGTTTCACAGGCGGTCAATGTACCTCTCCATGCTATCCCACTCGGTCTTGCCTGTCGACAAGAGATACCGGATATGGCCCTTTTCCAAGTCAGTACCGGTCCTGGTGCGTAGTCGGGAACTGGCGAACTGACGAGATCCGTGACTCCGCGGTGTCGCTCAAACTCGTCCCTTGCAAACTTGCGAGTCTCTGCGCGGGTCTTGGGGTCTGAGATCCGGCGCGTGCTCCGGATTATGTGCCGATAGAAAGAGAGTACCCGCGTTCGTTGGAGGAACTGGGCGGCGTGTTAGGAACGGCATTCACTCGATGTAATTTATTGCATTTCTGCAGTCTTACGTGGTCCAGACTCAGTGCCGGGCCAAGTCGGGACTTCCGGTCTGTCGCATATGTGCGAAGGGACCGCCACGAGGCAGCGAGGGCGCGCATCAATTGCAGGTCTGAGAGAAACGGATGAGAAACAATGAGGCCTCGCCTTGCAGAAAGTGAAACGCGCGATGTTCAGTTCATGTCCAAAATTGAAATTTCGGCTGGCAAGACCGTGCTTGCAGCTGCCAGACGTCATGCTTGGCAGGCCCACCTTCCAACGACATCCCACAGCCTCGCTCCTTCTTCAACTAAACGTTGAACTTTAACAAGGAATCACTTTTCTCCCAAAATTTGCAAAAGTGGAAATCGGTCATTGAAGACAGAAAGCCCAAGTTTAGTTACCGGCGATCATCTTCGTTTATGCATCCTTCACTCTCCAGTCGCTGGCCACACTAAAGACCAGGGCGGCACCAGGCTGTGTCGTGGCCTGAACGTGATGGCCCGAACCAACTGCATAAAAATCGCATGGAGGGGTTGCATTGAGGCAAGCATCAGCCTCCCGACGAAACAGCTCAACCCTCGCGTGGTCAATACCATGGATTTCATGAAATGTCCCAACGAGCTTGGGGTTCAATTCTTGATACGATCTCTGCGTCACATTACCCTGTCGGCCCGTCTCTGGAATCTGGGTTGATGAGTGGGCAGCGGGCCGTGGTCGCGGTGTATCTCCAAGTACTCAGGTGCTGAGCCGTGCCTTACCATCTCCATGGTTCCCCCATCTACGTGGTGTGTGGTATGGTGGTGGCACAGCCGCGCGCTAGTTAACTGTTTCAAGATGGACAGAGCAGAGCGCAGCAAGGCCGACACACCGGGCCACCCGCTAGGTGCCGCTTTACCGCAGACGATTTGGGAATATTTAAAGAAAAGGTCTGACCATGAGGCACCACATCTGTGAGCCTCGGAACACCGAAACTCCCATGATCCTGTCTCCATCCCCCATAGAAGGCGCTCGACATCGCATAACGCACCGTTACAATGTCCGGCTCCTCTAGGCCTCACACCCCAACCTTCCGCTTCCACGGAGCTACTGGCCCAGAGTACGATTCCACAAATGCCAGAGGCATGACTCCCAATACCTCTCTGCCGCGGCAGTCCCCAGCTAGTTCTGATCGACGCCTCTCGCCCTTTGCCCGATCCCGTCCAAGGACGCCCGGAGCACGACCAGCCAGCCCGCGCTCTCACTCTCAAGATCTTTCAGGCTTCTCCTTCAGTTTTGCAGATGGCTGGATTGGAGCTTCGCCATCCGCTTTTGACCGGGCGGGGGAACTTCGAGACTCGCTGCCGGCGACTGAGCCCCACATTCCCGCCGCCACGGCGCCATCTCCTTTTCTAGGTCTACTCTTGCCTTCCCGGGCTGCCGAAGAAAAGGGCGAGCCGGAACAGCCCCCGGAAGCTCCCCGGAACGGCTTTGTGCTGTCGGCCGCCTCTACCTCGGACCAGCAGCAGCCCCCAGACTTTTCCCTACGCATTCTCCATAACGTGACGCCCTTACCTTCTCGTGAACCGTCTCCCCAGCCGGCTGAGAGCTCTGCCGTCGTCCTTCGCCCTCACTCTCGACACCAGAGTCGCACCTCTGACCTCTCCATTCTTTCGATCGAGAGCGAGAATCCGCCTTCATATGATGTTCGTAGCGAGGGAGTCCCGGCACACGAGTTCTTCACGGCCCAGTTCCAGTCGTCGCTTCGGGAAGGACTGGAGATTGCAAAGGACACACTCCGGGAGCTGGAGAGATTGGGTGACCATGTGCGGGACGATGCAGACTTGAAGAAGCTCTTGGACGAAGCCTATCAGCTGTCCGCCTTTGAAGGGTCGGATACCAAAACGATCGCTGTGCTGGGTGACTCGGGCGAAGGCATGTTCTTAACCAGACTGTGTTGCCCCCATTGGCGCAGCTAAACTAAACTCGAATGCGTGCTGACCTTGGGCAGGGAAGAGCAGTCTCATCAATTCCCTGCTGGACTTCCCTGGGATTGCCAAAACCGTATGTGTTTAGCTTCTTGTTGTTCGTCCCATTTAAACCCCAGCCCTTCTCACCAACTACTCCAGGGAGATATCGGCTCGGCATGCACGTCCGTGGTCACGGAATACAGGCAGAAAACCCGCGAGCATACCGCGCCCATCACGATCGAGGTCGAGCATTTGTCCGCACAAGCCATCGAAGATGTCATCGGCGAGCTAGTGTGGAATTATCGCCAGCTGTACCTCCCGAGGATTGTCGCTGAAGGCCCCTCGGGAACGGACTACCCCCGGTGCCAGCGGGAGTCGGACCAAGCCTGGTCAGCCTTGGAGGCCGCGTTTGGCCATCACTCAGGTTTCACGGAGGAAATGCTGCAGGATCAGTCCGACGGCGCGCTGGAAAGCGTCACGGCGCGGCTGGTCGCGTGGTCGCGCGAGATTGAGTGGCCCGGCGGGGCTGCCGACGGATTCTGGCGGTCGACCGCGAATACCGCAGAGGAATGCGTCGAGCAGACGTCCGTCTTCATGCAGGACCGGTATTGGCCGTTCACAAAGATCATTCGCGTTTACCTGAACGCGCAGGTGCTCAAGACGGGCGTTGTCCTGACCGATCTGCCTGGTAGGGACACCCGCTTTTCAGGATTGACCGAGACTGACCGGATATCTAGGCCTGCAGGATACGAACCTTGCCCGGGTGCGCGCGACACACGATTATCTGCTCCGGTGCAACCACATCCTTATCGTGGCCAAGATCTCGCGGGCCATCACAGATGCCTCCCTGAAGTCGTCGCTATTTTCGGTCCTATCGCGCCACGTGCCCCTGGAGTGGGAGGAGACCGGGGCGAGCAGCTTGAAGATCGCGGTAGTGTGCACCGGGGCCGAGGTAGGACAAACCTTTTCCACCCCTGAACCAACCCTGACTCTGTTTCCAGGACATCGATATGCCAGCCGCAAGACGCGAGTTCTGCGGACCCGGTAAACACATCTCCGCCGCCGTCATGCAAACCCTCGACGCCCAAATCGACGACGCCAAAGCAGCAGACAACAGGCCGCTCAAGAAGGCCCTCAAGCAAAAGTAACCCCCCCTCCCCCTTTTCCCCACCCCCTTTCTCCCCGCCCCCATCAACCCCCCCCCAAAACCAACCCCCAACTAACCACCCCCTTTCTCCAATGTCCACAGACGCGAAACCCTCCTCATCACCGCCCGAAACACGCACGTCACCACCCGCCTGCAAGCCGCCTACGCATCCCGCGCCGGCGGCCGTCTCGACGTCTTCTGCGTCTCCAACCGGTGGTATGCCAAGTCGGCCGCGGCACGCAAGGCGGATAGCGGGGTGCCGGCGCTGCGCCGCTTCTGCTATGCCATCACGGCGGATGCGCAGTTGAGGGAGGCGAGGCATTTCTTGAGGGGGAGGGTCGCTGGGTTGGTGGGGTCGGTTGGGCTTTGGGTTGGGGGGAGGGTTGGTGATGGTGATGGGGATGGTGGGGTGGGTAGGGGAAGGGGAAGGGGGGAGGTGGGTGGTGGTGGTGGTTGTAGGGAGGCGTGGGAGGTTGCGGAGGGGGCGGTGAGTGCTTTCTGTTTCCTTTTTTCTTTTTGGTGTTGGAGGGCGAGTGGTCCTGTTTTCCTTGTGCATGCCTTGGCTACCAGTCTTGGGGCTTCTATTTGCCGCTTATTATCCCTCCACGCAGCGTGCTCACCGATATTCTCTAGGAGAGCGGGTTCGTTGCGGTCGTTGATGAGCTGGTGGACGATTTCCGGTCGTGTTTTGCCGAAAATATTCTCAGCATCACAGGTATGTCCAGATGGCGGAACCCGAGGGGGCTGCCGTTTCGCTTACAACTCTCAACCTTAGATGGCCGGCACACGGAGTGGGAGAAAGAGGCAAACTCGGAGGCCCAGAAATGGGGGAAGGTATGAGGCAAGTTCAATTTGGCTCGAGGAGCAAGGCTGACAATTTTACAGTGGCACTATAGTATGGTCCATCATGGCCGTGTCTGTCCTTCTGATGCTAACCTTGGGTGTTTAGCACAATACTCGGCCTGGTGTGGCAACAATGGAAAATACAGCACAAGATTGCTCACTGCCGACTGGAATGCCCAGATAATCTGGAAGATGCGAATGGAGCTGGCCTACCAGTGGGAGATTGTCATCGAGGAGATCGACGCCCTCTTCAACACTCTCCTGGCCGCCATCGAAGAGCAGTTTGACGCGGTTGAGTACGCCTTCTCGAATGCACCCATGGCTCAACAGATCCGCCATCAACTGTTAAGCGGGTTCCGCCCAAGACTCGAGGGTTGCAAATACGCAGTGACTCGAGCCAAGGAGGAATTCGCCCACGAAGTGACGTGAGTTTCTCCCATTGCAGCCCCTGACCGAATCTTCTAATCCCCGTAAACCCAGCATCCTCCGGCGCTACCTATCCGAGTCCGGCCCCGGGTCCTTCATCCTAGATGCCATGATCCCCGCGTACCGAACCGCCAGCAAGATATATGGTATGACGCCCACCCCTGTCTGGGCACTCACAACCACCCTAACCACACACCAGGAACCGGAAAGAAGGCGAATCAGAGAAACGTCGTTGAAGGCCGGATCGGCGACGGAGTCCTCTTCCCCAGCGCTGCCATCGCCCTCCAGGCGCGCATGGACGTGCTTCTTGAGAATCGGCGGGCGATTTTGAAGGGGATATTGACGCAGCTCCATGGCAATATCATGCGGGATATCGGATTTGCGTTAGCCTCCGACTCGCGAGCGCAACGGGACGATGGTCTGCGGGCTGCGGATAGGGATGAGTTGCAGGAGGCGCTGAAGAGAGTTGGGGCGTTGAAGGCCCGGGCGGAGAATGTGCGTAGGGCTGTTGAGTGAGGGGGGCGGTTTGCTATTCTGTGAGGCGATGCGACGTAGCCCTCGCAAGGTTACAACCGCGTGTGATGAAATGAATAGCAAGTTAACTGTAATGATAGGTAACGGAATCGTTTGTTAATTATACTGTTATTATTATTTCCTACGCCGATATGCCCGCAAGGTTCAGATTATAAAAGATAGGATAGGCACGTCACTAGGCCCCTAGCTATCTAGTCCTCTTCCCTTTCTAGCTCCCGCCTCCGGGCTAGACTGTACTCCAGGGGCCGGCCGCTGTCCATTAGCCGGTCCGGGACTTAGATTCCTCACAAGGCCGATAGATGATCTGAAACTGGTCGAAAGGATAAACCGGTAGAGAGGCGTACAGCCGAGGGCAAGGGCGAATGATCCGACACCACCGCCTCTCCCGGCCGTTGTTGGGCTGTTGGCTGTTGGCGTTTCCGGGCAGCGTGCGACAAAGGCTGCATCATGCACGGTGCGCGTAGCTGCCACCTGTGTGGCCGTGCCTGGTGACCCTGGCTGACGTGAAGAGCGGGGGGTGCCGGCTGATGGTAGAGCCTCGCTCCGTCGCCTTCCGGGTTTCCTCCGACAAACTACCTACCTTGGGTTTCCAACCTTTTCCCTAGGAGACTTTCCCACCCAGTTCGGCCTAGGTATAGTCGTCAGCTTCTTTATTTTTCGACTCTCGGGCTCAAAATGCAGCCCATCACAGCGGAACAACCTGGCCACAAACTAACGCCGCTACCAAAGCCGCTACCAAAGCCGCTACCCACATGGATCAAGCTACGCATCGCGCTCATTAAGCCGTTGCATCGTGGCAAGGTTATTGTGCTGCCATTTGGTAGAATCCTCAAGATGAACGCCCCAGCAAACGAAATGGCCTCTATGGAATTTGTACGGGCGAATACCACTATCCCAGTACCTAAGAGTAGGCACCGATTCAGGTATCTCGATTTTAATTTAGTGTCTAGGCTAACTTCACCTCCTCTAATTACTAGTACTCGATATCTACGAGCTACAGCCCGACGGGTCAGCCCATATTCTTATGACGCGAGTCCAGGGGACGTTATTTTCCCACGCCCTCCACACAATGAACCCCGTCCAGGTCCAATCTGTTGTATCCGACCTGTCAGGGTACCTTGCTCAAATGCACCGACTTACCCAGCCAACTCAAGCCCCAACTTCACAAGGACCTACCATTGGCGGTACGACCCAAGGGCCTGGATATGACCACAGCCTCGGCTCTTATGTATGGGGCCCTTTCCCCACGGTCGCTGATTTCCACACATACGTCCGCTTCGGGGAGCCGCTCGAGGACTGGGTCCACGAACCGGCCGTCATGGAAGTGCACGCAAAGCCCGAGGCGTACCGGGTTCGGTATTCGCACGCAGACTTGGCCCCGCACAACATTATCGTTGATCCCAAGGCGGGCAAGATCACGGGCATCATCGACTGGGAGTTTGGCGGTTGGTACCCGGAGTACTGGGAGTATATCAAGATACACTACGCACCCCGGCGGCAGTGGGCGGAGTATTATGCGGCCATTGACAAGGAGGAAGGGATCCAAAAGTACCCGAAGGAGCAGGCTGCCGAGGAGGTCATCTGGCTTAGGGCAGGCCCCTTTGGATATGATCGATAGCAATCGATGGGAATATCAGCCTGTCCCTTTGGCTTGGGAGACTGAGCTTGAGGGCAGGCTCTTTGAGAGAGGAGATGGGTCGTCGGGAACGTCGGCGGCAAGGGACCTGGAGGGGCGACTCTGGGTTCATAATGCAAGTGGCGCGTGGGATACAACTGTTAGTGGTTGGTTTGGGAAGGTGACGGTGGCCTATGATCCAGGAGCTAGTTACAACACCCGCTGATCAGTTTGGATAATTGACAGATTTGGGATCATTTGGTAGTATCTTCAATGCACCAATGTGATCGAATACGCAACCATCGAAGACATCTACCAGTGGCTGAGGCCATGCGCAGCAGCAGTTAATCTGTGGAAACCCCTGGATAACTCGACACGGCCCGGGCTGGCTTCAGACGACGGCCCCTGAAGGGTCCAAGGTTAATGCCAGACGCTCGGGAACCGTTCGCTTCACGAGTGGGCCAATAAGGGGTCACTTCAACCCCTCTTTAGATTCGTCCCTTTTTCACCACTTCCAAGATCGTCCATCATATAGGGACATACATTACTACTACCCAAGATATAAAGAAACATGGCGTCACACGCACCCAAGTTGAGATATTCCGCCGTTACCGGGTATTTCAAGAATGACGCGCAGCCCACATCATCCGCAGGTCCGGGCCTTGAAGCCGTGAGCACCACTCCGTTCCAGCCCCCACCTTCCCGAGTTTTACACCAGCCATTCGTTATTAACAAAAGTGGCAGGTCACTCTCCCAGGGCTGGGCTTGATCGACCAGGTCTACGAAACCGACGAGGCATTCGATCCCCAGCGCGAGAAGCACGGCTGGGAACGCTTCGCACATTACCTCGGCCACCTGAACAAAACCGGCGGCGGCAAGACAGTGTACAAACTCCTGTATGCTGCCCGCCACGGAGAGGGCTACCACAACGTCAAGGAGCGGGAGGTCGGAACCCCCGCGTGGGAGGTATGTACACACCTACCAGACCTTACCTACCACACACCCAAACCCAACCCCCCCGCCCCTCCCCTTTTTCCCAACCACTCCAAGTCACCAAGTCACTAACCCCCCACCCCCTCCCCACCCAACAGTCCCACTGGGCCAAGCTAGAAGGCGACGGCCACACCACCTGGGCCGACGCACACCTCACGGCCACCGGCATTGCGCAAGCCCGCGCCATGGCGACCTTCTGGGCCGACGCGGCCGTCACGGCCAGACTGCCGCTCGCGCGCAGCCACTACTGCAGTCCGCACGCGCGCTGCCTCGAGACGTGCGAGTTGGCTTTCGCTACGCTAGCGCTGCCCCCGGGGGCGGGTGAGGTGCCGGTTCCGCCGTTTAGGCCGGTGGTGAAGGAGATGATTCGGGAGAGGTTGGGGGTGCATACGTGTGATCGGCGGAGGACGAGGAGTTGGATAAGGGAGAGTCATCCGTTGTTTGTGGTGGAGGAGGGGCTGACGGAGGAGGATGAGCTGTGGCGGGCGGATGTGAGGGAGACGTTGGAGGAGCATGCGGTGAGGATGAGGGCGTTTTTGGATGAGTTGTTTGCGGGCGCTGGGGGTGGGGATGGGGAGCAGATCGTTTCGGTCACGGCGCATTCGGGGAGTATTAGGGCGCTGTATGAAGTGCTTGGTCATCCGGGGCGGAAGGTTGCGCCGGGGACTATTGTGCCGGTTTTGATCAAGGGGGAGGTTGTTGATGATGCGGCGGTTGCCCAACCGTGAGAGACCATGGGGGCTTTTTCCACGGCGTTGCAGTATGGGAACGCATCTTGGGGGATATAGCAGTGGTGGAAATAGAAGTCCTGGTTGTAGATGGTCTGAGATCAGGGGAATCAGATGGAATCTTGAATCCCTACCTACCTAGGTACCTACTCACACGCCGTCTTAGTTCAGTATGTAGGTAAGATACATACCCATGATTACATGCATAACTCGGCACCCTATCGGAGCGGGATGAACTCACAACCCCGCTTGATGCGCCAGCGTCGTCGACTCTTCGGCCACATCAGCCACCTCCTTTCATCTCGACATACTTTTCATGGTAATGGCCATGTCTCCCTCCGATTACCTCTCCGCATTCGTCATTGCGCCAGTCTTTATAACCGATGTGGACCACCTCGCGCGGACCGTTGATGCTCCAGCATCGGAAAGCGGACCACTCTTCCGTCTGATGTTCCCTCGTCGTCCGGGCGCCGAGTTCTCAGAGCAACAGAACGACGAGATTATTCGATGGCATGCCGATGGTATCAAGGATGCCATCATGGACGGTCGAACGCAGCTTCGGAAAATATGCCACAATGATGGAACCGTTGTCGGCTTGGCCGGATGGGTTGTGGAACGAGGTCCGGAAGCAGAAGCCGATTCATACAAAAGTAGGAACGCCGGCAACGAGAGAGAAAAAGAGGACTGGCTCCCTGGTGTGCTAGACGTATCCCCTTGGTTAGAAGTGTCATCAGTCTTGAGGGAAGAGCGGCACAGGGTCATTGGGCATCTTGCAAACGTATGCCGTACGTTACTCTAGCCTCCCTACCTTAGGTACCCTTGGGATTGATGATCCCTTTTGCTAACTCGAGTATCGAACATATCAGGAATAACGATCATGTCCATTTCTCCAGACTACCAACGCCATGGACTCGGCTCGATGCTAATGCGCCGCATTTGCGAAGACATCGATCGCCATGACCGGTATGGCTATGTCCTGGCGTCGCCAGCCGGAGTGAAGCTCTATTCCAAATTTGGCTTTGAAGCTGTTGGTCAAGTTGACACGCTTCATGGTCCCATCATCAGTATGTTACGCCAGCGCACTATCATGCCCCATTAGAGACAAGGAGAGCTCGGATAGTTGTGTGGTTGAGAAGCCTGCGAGAACAGAGCCCTGAGGTACAGCATGCCAACATCGAACCCCTCTCCCCTATTGACCGAGAAACGGACGTCTGGCGCAGACGCCCAATAGGAACCTCCGCAGTTCCTGTTGATCACAAGCTGCAGGCAGCCCAAAGCAGGAGAAAGCCCTAGCAGTCTGGGTGCCTAAGCACTCAACGAGTCATGTCCGCTCGCTCTCCATGTCTGTTCCGCCCCCGCCGGCCCCCCTTCTCTTTCGTCGGCGTCAGCATTCTCCCAGCTCGTCCACCTTCGAAGATGGAGGGAACAAGCGACAACCAGGTCACCAACGAGTTCCTGTCCCAATTTTTACCGCGGTGTTGCCCCCAGCATAATGCAGCGGCGGAGCCATTGGGCTTTGCACCCAATGGGCCAAACGGGCGCGGGACTGATGGCAATGCCGGCATGAGCGAAGACGTCGCCAATCTCACGGATCTGCTTGAGCTCACGGATCTGCTTGAGCTTAGGGATCTGCTTGGGCGAACCCCCATCCTGGTGCGAGTACTCAACGATGGTCAACTACGGGTGCTGTTCGAACGGTTGGCGTGCATCATCAGTCAGTGCATCCCCGGCACCGAGGCGCACTCCCGTCTCGGCCAGATACCTGCCTCGTCAGCTCTACAACAGCACGCCGACTCCCGGCCGGACCGACCCGGTTCCTCCCCGCAGCCATCCGAGCTCAGCTCCCCGGCTCCCCTTCGTCCACGCCCTCTGGCCGAGGTTAAGGCCCCAAAGGAGTAGGCTGACACACGCTAAACGGCCCAGGATGGAGAGACTTACTTTTCGGTAGCCACTGGTTAGGGGTCGTAACCGAGTCAAACCCAAAGGATATCTTGTCGTTCGCTGCTCGCTCGGTAAAGCCGCCGTCTTATCCGTTGACTACCACCTAGGTGTTCTGTGACTCACTAGGGAATAGATAGGTGTGCGCGTGGACGAACTCGGATTCAGCGAAACAAGGAGCTCGAAAACAGCGGTTGTCCGCTTGAAGAGGTTTGGTGACATGGTCGTCCTTCACGACCTTACCGCCCCATGCCGAGACTGAAAAACCATTGACGGCTTACGCCTTGAGCGAATTTGTCCCGGTTTAAGGAAAAAAAGCAGCTCCAGGCGAGTGAGCCGGAGGCTAACGGTACGTTGCCGGCTTAGAGCCCCTGATCGGCTCGATCCACGGCCCGCTCCTTCCCCCGAGCCGGTAGATAACCGCCCTTGCCCACTAGAGCGGTTACTCTCCAGCTTAGAGGAAGGAACGGCTTCAACAAATAAGCCGCTCAAGATCGTGAGCCGAAGAGAGAGGGCTCGTTGTTGTGAGCGAATATATCCCGGCTCGTGGATACCCGCCTTGCACCGCTAAGGAAGGAGCCACCTTAGATATACCACCGGGGAATTGGCTATACACGGCTGAGGAACTGCCGTGGGATCTGTCGGGCGTGGGCGGAATTGAGGTTGAGTACATTGATAGAATATAGTCGGATGGATGTGGGCATATGTCGAACCCAGGGAAGCTTAGGGGAAGTGTCGAGGTTGTTTGGCTGTGAGGGGGCATGCGGGGCCGGTGGGACCCCGCAACGGGCAGCGGGCTGTTGGCGAGCAGTGGAACTTAAAAAGCGAAAGACTCTCCTTCGTACATACCTCACACTTCTCATATCTCAAGTACGGTAACAGAACAGCCAGTGTATGAGATGTATTTATGAGCACTAAAGCAGTCCGACTCAAATTATTGACTCTCCGGATAAGCCCCAGACTCCCATTTCCGAAATCTAGTCCCTCCTCTTGAGCACCGCTTGAGTGGTCAAACTGTCGATCGGGTAACAAAATATGCCGAAACGCCAAAGGGCACCAACAAGCCCGTTGGAAGTTGCCAACCGCAAGACCGACAAGGAGTTTATTGCTGACTATTTACCACCAGAGTGAGTCTGGAATGCGCAGTGGCGTAGGCTAGGGGATGTATTGCTGTTAGCTAACACGTATCCTTCACCTCCAGCAATCCCCCCCCTGACACGCAGCCATGGACAACAACTTGGACACACCCAAAGACAGGAACCGAGTACACCGTCGACTTGGTGCGGATCGAGAGTCTCTCGGAGCGCGATTTCATGGCTTGCTTCCAGTTGATAGAGCAAACAAGCCGCGTCGACTACGAAAACTCAACCGCCGGGTGGAACGCGAGGAAGAAAATGATCGAGATGAAATCGCCCGGACTACGCTACATCCTAGTCAAGGAGAAGGACACAGCAGCTCTGGGGGGGTTTACTTCACTCATGCCGACCTACGAAGAAGGCCAACCCGTCATCTACTGCTACGAGATCCATCTCCAGCCATCGCTTCAGGGGTAACGTGCCCCGTCAGCCCTACCACAGCGCGAGGAAATTCATAGGGCTTAAGCTAACCGAGACGACAGAACCGGGCTAGGCTCACTGCTGATGGGCTTCCACACGACTATTGCCGCCAACCTACCACCCATCACAAAAGTCATGCTGACGTGCTTCCTGGCGAACCAGCGCGGGCTGAATTTCTACACAAGACTGGGCTTTGAGACGGACGACATCTCACCAGTTCCGAGGACGCTACGCTATGGCAAGCTGTTCACCCCGGACTACCTGATTCTGAGCAAGCCGGTTCGCTCGAGGTTTGAGGAGGGGGGCTCGACAGAGCTGCGCTCTGAAACCCCCTGAGGATGTCCGGCGTGGGGTTAGTGGTTCGTGTCCCCGATAGGGTGTGACTTTTCAAGATATGGTAAGCAGCCGGTGGGAGCCAGATATACTAGGTTTTATGGCATTTTGGGAAGTTACCGGCCATGTCAGCGGTGAGGAAAGGCGATCACATTGGTCGCAAGCTGAGTCCTGAATGTTATATTGTTGCCCATTAGCAATAGCCGTGCTCCCAAATACAGTTCCCACTCTACATATGTACATAAGTTAGACAGCCTGTTCATATTCGATCGTTTGCTAGACCTCGTGGGACTTAAATAAGTACCCCCTCTCCTCACAGAAGAACCCCATCTTAGCTAGATAACTTTCTTCAGGCAACTTCGTTCAGCTCAGATAGACGATCCTGTCGCATACCAAGCAACCTCTTTCCCTACTCGCGTTACCTGCAAACAACGTTCCAGGTAGGATGGCAGGAGGAATTATCCTGTTTGTTAGAGCGGGCACAGCGTCCAGACGCTGTAAAGGAAACAGAGCTTGCCGCCATCGCCGATCGGTTTGCCCCGTCGCGTAGACCTTGAGCCGCCGGAAGCCCATAACCTAAAGAGCGGGAGGAGGAGGATGAGTGGCCCGGCCCCAACCAACCCTCAGAGGGTTATTTCAATTTCCGGAAGATGAATGTCTCCGTCCTCGAGACATGGAGGCAGCTCCGCCTCCCTATCCCGGTATTCAAGGCGACCGACGAGCACCAATTCCCCAGGCTCAATGAGCCCCACCACTACTCGTACAGGAACCCCAGGGGCATAAAGGGGTCTCCCCCCTCCAGCGGTGGAACACGAACTAGGAATTCGTGAACCACCCGATCACGGTCGAGATTTCTGACGATTCCGAGCAGGAGGCCAAGCTATACCGCGCCAACCTAACCTGAAGAACACCGTTCCTCCCCGAGTAGACTTTACAGTACGGTTTTGCGCGCCTGAAGAACACCAAGATTACCGCCATCTTGGGTTCCAAGGACACAAGTCATGCTTGACTTGGGTGGACATCGTAGAAGCGCCTAAACTTAGTGCTATCCTGTTGGGCGTCGGCTTCGGGGAAGCAGGTAAACCCCAGGATTTCCCGACAACCCACCGCTCTAGCCAAAAGAAAAGGGTGAACACTAAAAGAAAACAAAAAATGAAAAAAGAAAGAAACAAAGTGAGCAAAAGAAAGTAAAGTAAAGAAAAACAAAGAAAGGAAAGGAAAGGAAAGGAAAAAAGAAAAGAAAAAAGAAAGGAAGATAAGATAAAGAAGAACCAAATAGCGTGAAAGACAGGAATAAAGACATAGAAAATAAAAGTTTATCGTTTATTTGGGTTTAGGATAGACTTTTCCGCATGCCTAGAGTTATAGTTAAGGTTTGGTTCTCGTCTCGCATAGGATGGTCAATGTCCCGATTCAGTCAACCAGCACACCGTGGGCTTGATGCCACCTCAACAGGGCTAGGACGTGACAAAGCGCGCCACGCCTCCCTCTGGCTGACGCGAGGTTGAACCACTTTGTCGCTTGCATGTGGACGCATGTGTCGCGGGCCGGATCGTCGACAAGAGCTCTCTGGACTTCCACATTCGTAGCGTCAACGTACTGTTCGTAATCCGAGCCAAAACGAAAGTGGACAAAGCGCACGTAAACGTTGGTTGCCGCAATGAGAAAAACACTATGGCGGGAGAGGGGGGCGGCTCGGTCAATCGCTGCATAGAAAGGAAATAATGGGAGACTTACTCTTGTGCCAGGAGATTGCGGTTGGCTTTCCATGTAATGACGGCTTCGCCAAGGTACTGGGCCAGCGTCTCGTTTGACACAATTGGTTTGGACTTTCCGGTCTGATCGTCAAAGTGGATGTACTTGAACGCACGTTTGGCCTCAACCAACGCCAGATACGGGTGCTGTGTTCCCCATCCGTTCAGCCGCCGCTGCGCCACGCAGATACCCCCGTCGTCTTCGGCGGCGATGTCCTTGACTCCAGAAATACGGGCCTTTGCCTTCAGGCGATCTGTGCGCGGTTGTACCTCCCTACGCCCCTTTCGGTCTTGGAGGAGGCAACCACTCAGAGCGTACCGAAGGAAGCAGGAAATGAGATTCACTGTTGCATCCTCGGGCTTGCTCCGTAGCTCCTCATGTTCATCCTCGCCGAGATTATCGGCACTGACAATGCTGTCCTCGAACTCGGATCCTGAGCTCACCACGGGAGATGAAGGGCCATCAATGGCGGTGCTAGAGTTTACGAAGCCCTCCTTCTCAACGGGTTTTCTCTCGCGCTGAGGCTGCACCCTCACCTCGTCGAGCAGTTCCGTCCGACACGTCCGCGCCAGCGCAATCCAGAAGAAGCCGTCCGGAAGTTCCATGAGTTCGCACTCGGTAACCCGGGTAAAGTCGTGGGGGTTGTCTTTCTCCGTAATGGCTTTCGTTTTATCAGGGTTGAGCTTCTGAAGGCAGCCTGACTCGCCCGGCCTACAAACCGGGCATTGGTTTTCATGATCAGTCTTGAAAGCCTCCAAGACGGTTGTCTCTGGGCTTGTTAGGAGTCGGTAAGCGATTAAATGCCGGTTGGACCACCGGCTCGCCGAGCTTTTTAGCTCTTGCGTGTCGAGCTGCGCAAGTAGACCGCTTTGCTCGTCAGTCAATGCTGCGAGATCTGCGGGCGTCTGCGCTGAGTAGATCTTTGGCGCCATTTTAGTTGTTTCGTGTTTTTGCACTCGGTGTTAACGAACCGGTCTGCAATGAAAGAAGACGAGCAAAAGAAGTAAACAAAAAGGAAATTGAGTAGAAGAAAAGAAAAGAAAAGGAAATTCTGTAGAAGAAAAAAGAAGGAAATCGAGTAGAAGAGAAGGAATCGAGTAAGAAGGAAAGAAATTGGGTAAAGAAAAAGTAAATAAAGGACATACAGTTTCTTTCCCCTTCCCAATGGCGTTTGTTTCGTTCCTACAGTCGAGCTTTCTTGGTCGATGTTTATCACTGGATCGTGTACCCCACAGATGTGTAGAAGTCGGAAAGTAATGGTAACTTTATGGGAACGAGGAAATGAAAAGATCACTCCCGGTGATATTGTCATGTGTTTGTTTCCCGTTGATTTAGGCAACAACTGGACAGGCAAGGCCCGAATTCTGGGAAGTGAATCGAGAACAAGCTCACTGTGTGATACTAGGTACCAACTAATGGCTCGTTCTTTCTGTTGGTTTAGGTAACAATTGGGGAGGGACTCTGAGATGGAAGTGATTGCCCGATTAGGTAGGCGGGCGGGCCTTGATTGTGCTTGGTTAAAGTGGGGCGGAATGTGGCGCGCATTCGGTGTTTTGGATTCACTTCACGCAGTCGAGTATTGTGTATTGTAAGTTTGCCTCCAAAACAACCAAAATAATGCACGTCTGATTGATTCCTCCTTTCCTACCTAGCTTCCCAGCAACGGGGCCGCTGGGCTTTTCGCTCGTACCAAGATGGCCGTCTCTTTACTCGAAAAACCGCCCGGTTGCGAATGGGAGCATTCTGAGGGCTCTGCGGTTACGGCAACATTTCCGCCGACGCCATCTTCGACACCGAAACCCGAGGTCGCTCTGCCAGCATCGACCCATCATCAACCGGAGTCACCGTTTCCATCGTCCGAGGCCCCAGGCTCACAGCAACCACATCTCGCTCCTCCTCTTCACACTGCTCCCCCAGCGCCCCAGCCTGGGTCAATCCAAGCCATTATCCGTGAGCAATGCCGCTCTCGCCTGTACGTCCCGCCCATTGTCTGGACGTCGAAACAACCACGGCTTTTAGGGTGTCGGTTTGCCTTCAAGAGGATGCATACAACTAGACAGGGGCAGCGCGATGCAGAGAAGGAGAGCGCAACTCAGCAGCAAACCCAGCAGTACCAAGACCGGATATTGGCCGCGGCTGGGCTACGGGGGCCGGCGATAGCGTCGTGGTGGAAGCTGGCTATCAAGGACTTCCTTGGAGCTTGCAATATCCACCCGCTTGGGTATGTTCACACGAGTCCCTTTGTTGTTGCCGCTACTAACAGAGCCGAGATCCCATTCAACCCTACCCTTCCGTTACGGCGGACATGTTGTTGCCAAGGTCAAAACCGAGGGCATTTTCTCCGCTGGCTCAACAGCTCCCTTTCTCGCCTACCTCAACCTTGAGACAATAGATGCACTCCGCGAGAAACATGTTTGCTGTCGAGTCGGCCGGCGACACAGTGTCCCTGTTGCGACCCTCAGACAGAAGAAGCTGCGCTCCCTCCAGCCCCGACCCAAAGCAGCAGACCCGTACATTGTGGCTGCTCTAATTGCCCTGGCTCAAGAGCAGCAATTGCGGAGTCATCAGACAGCGGGCGGGCGTGCAGTGGATGCGCAGGCCCAATCTGCCAGTTCTAAAGAAACAGAGGCGTCCTCGCATGAGGCCGCTTTCTTCAACGTATTCTCCCCGCATCCGGACTAAGCATCTTGATTTCGCTAATCAAACCCGCAGGTTCAAGTACTGGCCGTCCCCGGTGCAAGAGCCCAGGTTCTCCACGTATACAAGGCTTCCATTCCCTCAGGATTTCTCGACAATCTTCAGAAGCCCTCGCTGTTTTCGCCATGTTCTCCGATCCTAGTTTCGTGTTGGCTCGTTTCTCTGACCGAACCAGAAGAGGTGGTGGAGCAAATAAGTTCCCTGCTCCGAGTGCCCGCTGATGCGCGAGGTCAGGGTCCAAGACCCGGCAGGATGGTCGCTTATTACCGACGCATGCACGACAGTAACCGTGCTGGATAGGTTGACATCAACTCAGAACCGAGAACAATGAATCACCTCAGATACTTGTACAAAAAGCCTGTCAGGTTATCACACGACCATACCGTTGCCTGCCTCATGGTCAGTGCTGGTGACTGATCATCATGTTATAGAAGATAGTGGCGTTTCCATGTGTAGCAAAATATGTCTCCAGGCGCAAGACCGCCAACTCTTTAATTGTCAATATTAAGCAAGCTAGACGCCTGAAATACAGCGGTACGAAAGATGACTCCCGGGAACCACAAGGTCTTTAGTACAGGCAAACCTCCCCCTCAACTGGAGATTGTGGGCAACCTCAAGGCTACGCTCATCGAAGCTAGCTAGTACCATGCAGCTCGCCCCTTTTTAGCTCAACCCGGGCCCTTGCCTCTCCATTCTTTGTCGAGCCATTCATTCAACTCCTCAAACCGGGTAGCTGGGTTCACCAGCAGCCCGTCAAGTATCATTATGTTGGACCTCCCACCGTCATCATCCCTGATCGGCATCCGATCCGGCATATTCGCGAGCTGGCTGGTAAAGCCGCAAGACCGCAGCAACCCCAGGACCCTTGCCGCCTTGATAGCCTTGATAGTGCCGTCGCTCAGCCCGCCAACCTCATCGCTCAATGTCTCCCAGAACGAGCGCTCCAAGTCATCATAATCCTCATACCTAATCCGGCCGTCCTCCAAGTGCACCTTGCTCATCAGGTCCTGCGCCGAATGGAGGTTCATCCCGAACGGCCCAATCTCCGCCGCCGCCGCCCAGTCAATGACACCAACCAAACGGCACTCTTCCTCCTCCACCATGATATTAAACCCACTCAGGTCGTTATGCAACAAAACCATCGGAAGTGTCAAAATCCTCGGCAGGGCCGCGAGCACACCACAAATGACCGCGTGAAACCTCTCAGGCAAAGCGCTCAACAAAGCCCGCAACTCCTTTTCAAATCTCTTCGCCATGCGCTCACGCGCGGCTTGGCCAACCGCCTGCGGCGCCTTCCACGTTCGCGCAAAAAGCCTAGATACACCAAGCTAGATCAGCGTCCATTGGCACACGGGAGCGCACAGACAACAGTCGGGAAACGACCGAGCCACGGACAGACCTTGCCATGTCCTGGACGAGGTTCTTGCGCCAGGCCTTGTTGGCGGGCGAGTTCTCTGGGAAGCCGTGGGTGAAGAGGAATTCCAGGTGGCTGATGCCCTGGACCTGGATGGGGGTGGCCATGATATCGAACGAGCAGCGGTTTTCGGCCAGTCACGTAGCCTGAGTGGTGGGTAAGGTACCTAGTCAAGTCGTGGCCGAGGGTTTGCTTGAAGGACACGTCACACGTCCGGGACGAGGGTGGTGGTCTTGGCGCCGGGATGGAGGGACTGCGGGCGGAATTGGACGATGTGGTTGAAGTTGGGGCCGGCGTAGACCGTGTATGAGCAGCGGCCTTGTATGTACGGCGACGGGGATGATTTGGTTGCCGCCGACCAGGGTGTTGGGTAGGTTATGGCGGGTGGAGCGGTGGACTGAGGTTTGGAGAAGAAGGTGGTGATATCGTCGTTGACGGAGTATACTGTATTCTTGGCTTTCTGAAACCATCGGTACCCCCCTACCGAGTGATTTGCGGTTTGTGGCTGGGCTAGGCATCCAGGAGGGCAGACTGCCGATCTGTTTGGTAGAGATGGTGTGCGGCCCGGGCCCATGGATGCAGCCGGAGCGGTTCGCAATGCAGCCATTGCCCGACCCCAGAGCACTGCAGCACGGTATGTCTTGGCACATTGGCGAGAAGCCTTGCATTTGCGGCTGTCTCCCAGCGGCCGTATTGTCCATATCTAGAAGGATGGCACTCTGACAGGCTCACAGGGCTGGCGTTGAGTGGGCTGTGTCTCCCGAGCCTGCGGTTGCATGCCAATTGCATGCCAATTGGATGCTTGGCGGCTCGCTGATCCTGTCAGCAGAGAGACGAAAGCCGCAGCATTGGTGGAGATCCAGGCCGTTGATTCCAAACTGTCGAGTTTTGCCCCGATTCGGTCTCGAAATTCGAAATTCGTGGGTCCTGCATGCATGTGGTTTGGGCATCATTCGTGCATGTACTTAAACCTGAGCCATCATGATTCATTTTTTTCAGTACTTTTCACATGTTTTCTCCATGTCGTCTCTGACCCAGCCATCTTGAGATTTATTAGTTGAGAATTCCAAAGTTTCAAATCGTTTTATACTCTTACCGGCCAACCTATTCTACCTATCCAGACTAAACCGTCACCACTGCAACACTCAGTCACATCACAGCCATGGAGCATAAACAGGAGCAGGCCTTCACCAGCTCATGGAAGAGCCCCCTCTTCCGGTGCTCGCCTTGCGGACCCCTGTGGAAGGCCATATGCTGGCCCTGTACCTGTACGCACCCACCCTATCTGTTGATGGATGACCTGCATGGGCCTCCTTGGCTCAAGAACTCTAAACTGACCACACGCCAGCGTATGCCGAGACGGAGCAGCTCCTGCGCGACCCATCGGTGCCCGTCGAGAAGAACAGCCGTGACTGCATCGAGTTCGGCCGCGATTTCTGCATTGGGTCATATGCCATGTAGGCCTCATTCTCTGTCCTCCCGTTGATCCCTCTGCAACCCTCCCAATCCTTCTTCCAACCTCATCACCAACCACCCTCGGCCCACCCCCAACAACACACACACAACCCACACCCATCCCCCAAAATCCATCCCCCAGAATCCATCCTCCCCCCCACCAACCCACCAACCCAAACCCCATCTCTAACGCCTGTATGTACAGCAAACTCAAAACCCAACGCGCCGAAATCCGCACCCGCTACGCCATCCCCGGCACCTCCAACAACGACTGCCTCGTATCCTGCTGCTGCTTTGCCTGCGCCGTGTTGCAGCACGACGAGGAAGTGCGTGCGCGGCTGGAGCGCGGCGACCGCGGCCAGGGTGCCGGCGTCGTGATGGAGCGGTACCAGCCGCAGGGGAGGATGGTTGTTGAGACGGGGGCGGGTGGCCACGGTGGTGGTGGTGGTGGTGGTGGTGGTGCGGGTGAGGAAGGGGAGAGGTTGATGCAAGGCCAGGGGGGGAGGGGGGTGTGAAATTTGGGGGTGGGTCACTTTTTGTTGGTGTTGTTGTTGTTGTTGTGGTGAGTGTGGGAATGGGGATTAATCTACATAGAGGGCGATAAAAGGGTGTGAAGGCTGGGGGGAAAGGATGAGTGGGAACCTAAGGGGAAGGATTCGAGGCTCGTATTTGGGAGCGGGAGTACATAGGATGGCGGGGTTGGTAATTGGTATTGCGACGATGGTTATGGCCAGTAATCTTTTGGCATTTTCTTTCTCTTGTCTTTTCAGTGTTCTTTTTCGTATTCGTTTCACTATTATACCCTAAATATTCCGTGTTACCTCAACCTCTGCACGCTGACAGCTGGCACTGCCGCGCTAACCGCATGGCGATCTTTGCTGGGAACGACGCGCCAACGAGCACGCGCGGCGCAGCTGAAAGTTCACTCCACCTTCGATTTTCTTTCCCGGCCGTGTCACAAACCCTCTGCAAACACGCACCACCCCAACATGGCGCTGGAGTCGCTGGCCTCGCTGGAGGCGCTATTCGGCGGGCGCGCCGCCTTCACGGCCGCCGCCCTGCTGCTGCCGCTCATTTTCACCTACGCCATGACATCACTTAGCGCGTACTGGAGCAGGCATGTTCGCGGTAGCGGCGATCCCCTGACGGTGCCATATGCCGTGCCGGGGGTGGCCAACACGTTCCAGTTCGCCTACGACACGGAGGGGTTCCTCACCAAGACGCTGTAAGTAAACCACTGCCTCCAAGTATCTAAATGCAACGCTCACACCACCCAGACGGCGCTTTGGCGGCGTGCCGTTCCGGCTCAAGGTGGGACTCGAAAACATGTATTACATACCACCCGGCGAAGCGGTGCAGGCCATGTTCCGGGCGGCGCGGGAGCTGTCGATGAAGCCGATCATCGTGGTGGCGATGCGCGACCAGTTCGGGATGAGCCCGGCCGACGTGGCCGTCTTCGAGCGCGACGGCTCCGGCGACACGGCCAAGCCGCTCGACGGCTGGGAGCACATGGACCCGGCCCGCCGCGTATTCTACAACCAGCACCGCGACCTCGCCGCCGTGCTCAGCGGCCCGCCCCTCGACGCCATGGTGAGCCGCTTCACGACCAACTTCGCCGCCCGCCTGCGCGCGCCCGCCGTCGCGATCGGCGACCACTGGACCGAGCTGCCGGATCTGTACACCTTTATGCGCAACGAGATGTTCCACGCGACGTGCCAGGGCCTGCTCGGGGAGCGCCTGTTCGAGCTTTGCCCGGACTTCACGCGCGACTTTTGGGAGTTTGACACGCAAATGCTGACCTGCCTCCGACGGACGCCCCGGTGGCTGGCCCCGCGGGCGTACGCGGCGCGCGACCGGGCGCTGGCGTCGATCCGCAAGTGGTGCGAGCACGCGCGCGCGACGCGCGACTACCGCGACCCGGCGCTCGCGGGCGTCGACTACGAGCCCGTCTGGGGCAGCCGTCTGATGCGTGCCCGCGCCGAGACGTTTGACAATGCCGGCTTTTCGTTGGACGGTAGCGTTGCTATGGATCTTGGGCTTTTGTGGGCGTCCACCGCCAACGTGATCCCCGTGACGGGGTGGGCGCTGTTGAACGTGCTGCTGTCGGAGAACCTCACAAAGCGGGTCACGGCTGAGCTGGCCGAGTGCTTCGACGAGGGCAAGGATGCATTCGACCTGCCGGCGCTGGGCAGCAAGCCGTTGCTGAACGGCGTCTACCTCGAATCGCTGCGCTTCTCGGCCGCCACTACGTCTGCCCGCAACCCCGTAACGGACGACTTTAAGCTCCGCGGATGGAACATGCCGAAGGACTCGCTGCTGCTGTCGATCGTCTGGTTTGGCGCGCACGACCCCAACTTCTGGAACCAGGGGCGCATCGGTCGTGATGGGAAACCAGAGCATCCCCTCGACTCGTACTGGGCCGAGCGGTTCCTCGAGTACCCGGACGACCCTGCGAGCGGCCCGGTGCGCAAGTCGGACGAAGTGATTTATTCTCCACCTCCCAAGGCCGCGGAGAAGACCGTCCAGGACGACAAGACAGCGAAGCCCATCAGTCACACTTCTGTCTTGCAAGGCTACTTCTACCCTTACGGCGGCGGGACCAGGATCTGCCCAGGGCGACACCTGGCCAAGCAGGAGCTGCTGTTTGCGGTAGCCGCCATGATGAAGGAGTTCGAGATTGAGCTGGTCGATCCTGTGTCGGCAAGGCAAGCGAAGCCGGATATGAAGAAGTTCCCGACGGGTGCCATGGGTCCGGATCGGAAACTGCCTGCGAGAATACGGAGACGGAAAAGATGGTAGAGCTTTTAATATGTGTGTGGTTCGCGAAGGCAATAAATAGTGTGCTAGGATCTTGTAATGGGATAATTAACAAATATAAACATGTATGGTTTGGTTGCGTGGGAGAGAGGAGAACGCAATCCCATTTGGAGAGTAAGGAAGCTCGGAGTGCATTGTTCAAAAAACCCGAAGACAAGAGCACCATCACGGGCCACACTCATTGATCCATTGATCTTTCGCAATTGCTGTCATTCCTCAGCGAGAGCACAAGAAAGACGCCCCACCCCCGCATTGTGGGTCTGCCTTGGCGTACCCCCACCCCACCAGACGAAACCTGTGTGCCTGAGAGCAAAAATATCGGATGGAAAAAAGAGAAGTGTGCGGTTTATGTGGATCGAACACATGACCTTCAGATTTGTAGTTCCCGAAGTTTTACTTCAGTCTGACGCTCTCCCAACTGAGCTAAACCCGCAGCTTGATTGTTGGATATGCGGTTGTCCCCAAGCGAGTATGAACCAGGAAACGGAGGTGACTCACCCGAACCTCAACCCGGCAGCCAACGACGACAACCAACACCAATATCCAACAGCCACACAAGTCTAACAGAATTACCATGTATTTATTGCTCTAACACAAATAAAGCATACCGGAAACCCAACGCCAATCTACCAACCCCCCCCCCCCCTCTTCTGCTCTACTCCATCTTCTTCCCCCTCCCCACCGCCGCCGCCTCCTTCCTCCGCTTCACCCACGCCTTCAACTCATTCAACAGGCCCATAACCAACGGCACCGCGACCGGCCCCAGCAGCGGCAAGTACACCGCAATCTTGTGCTCATCCGGGAAATACAGCTGCCCGACCATGCTCTTCTCGAAGAACGCGCGCTCGGCCTCGGCCTCGGCGATGCGCGCGTGGGCGAGGCCCTCGGGCCCGCCCAGCGTCTCGCACGCCAGCCGCAGGTGGTGCATCGTCTTGGAGACGCCGTCGGCGACGCGGCTGGGGATGGAGATGGACGGGAGCGCGAGCGAGAGGCGCGCGAGGGAGCCGAGCGTCGACGAGGCCCGCAGGAGGAGGTCGGCGGAGCGGATGCGCGACAGGGTTGAGAGGCGCAGGGGGAGGGAGCCGGATTGTGGGGTGCCGGTGAGTGAGAGGAGGTGCGAGGTGAAGGTGAGGAGGGGTTGCTTGAGTGCCTCGACCGAGAGGTGGCTGGTGTCGTTGGGGAGGGGGAGCAGGTAGACGGTGCCCCATTGCGGCATCATCCACGAGTGGGACGAGGGCTCGGGCGCGCCATCTTCCTCCGAGCTTTGCGCCGGTGCTGCAATTGTTTGATCCCCGACGAAGACGATAAAGTTAACCGTGGGTGCGCCTCCGATAGACGGCGAGAGCGGCCACTCGGCAGCGTTGATAAATGAAGAGAGATCCTCCTTGTTGAGCACCTGGTTTTGAACGCCCGGCGTCGCATAGAGCTGCACTTGCGTGTCGATGGTAAAGTTGTGGATCGGCGAGAGCACATCGAGCACAGGCTTCATATACTCGCCGATTGCCCCGTCAATATCCCAGCTGCTCGGCAGCGGCCCACTTGTAAAGAGCGAGAAGGTGAGGTGGTATGTCGGCGCGTATTTTAACGATCGGCTCGTACGCTTGGAAAGCGAGTCGGAGATGTCTGACGAGAGCCCTTGTGGACGATGGTCCGAAGGGATCGAGTTGGTCGATAGCAGGTACGAGATGGTGGCCTGCTCCTCGGCGAACGTCGACCGCAGCTGGCCGGCTACATACGTGGCGAGGGGAGAAGAGGAGGAGGTCGGCGACGGAATCGCGTTCGACGGATATGTGATGTCGAGGATTGGCTCGTGGGGATCGAACTTGGCCGTGGTCGCGTCCCCCGGGACTAGCCGGATGGTCAAGACGCTCTCGCGGTTGTGATGCTCAGTCGCTGACGGTGGGGCTAGCTGCAGCCGCAAGTGGTGGCCGGAGAAGTCATTGAGGTCGTCGAGAGCGTGCTGGGTGAGGCGGAGGAGGTTCTGGGCCTCCTGCTCTTGGAGCGAATTGGCTTGGATGGAGATGCGGAGGGGGAAGACGGGTCGACATGCCTAGAACAAGTAGTTAGCATCTGGCCACTCTACGGGTTATTCCCAACACCAACGTGGAGAGAATGCGTACCTTGCCGTCAGACCAATCCAGCATCTCCTGAAGAGGGAGGTCGGCACGGTAAATGGTGGTTGTCTTCCACCATATTGGCAATCCGAGCAGCAGTATGATCAGCCAAAAAGAGAGGATGATGTGGCTCCGTCGCCGTACGTCGGACGCCTTCTCGGGCGGTGGCTGCTTTTTGACTTGCGCTCCATCTTTGGAGTTGGCAGTCACCGAATCTGAAGTGACGGCTGGGCTTTCGAAATGCCCCGCGCCATTGTCCGGCGGCTGTTGAATCGACATGGCGATGGGGAAGCGGGTTGCCTATCCATCGACACTCGACACTCGGGTCGCGCCGAACACGCTTCACTCAGTGCCCCTGGGTGCTGCTGCCAAGAAACGACCTGCAGGGCAGTGCCAGAGCCAGACTAGCGTGGCACGTGGAGATAACAAACCGACTTGAGAAACCCCGACCGATAACAACAAAGTCCACTGCTTTCCACTGCTTTGCTTCTGTCGGCTTCACATGACGCCTATCACTTCGCTGTTGGCAAGTCCCGAGGTCAAGCTGGAAGCCAAGCCCCTGCAACAATCGCTGCTGTGTTGGTCATGGATTCTCGGATTCCCTTTCCAGCATTTCCAACGACTGACGGCAGAGCCGCATTTACACGATCGAGCGACAAGACATATGCTAATCAACAAAGACGCACTCCGATGGAAACCAGTTGGAAACAACCCAGTCGTCGCCTTTTCTGCGAGGACGGAGTTCGCAATCAGCTGCCAACAAGCGACTCCGATTTTGTGATGTGCCCCCGCGTGCCCGCCAAGTCGGAATCGGACCCTGCCCGAGACCGCCGCTCATTGCCGGAGCTACTATTCGGACGGAGTGCTGTACTATTCGGACGGAGTAACTAGGCCGAAACAGGTTAAGCGCACCCAAACTTTGTCACGTGGTTCCTAAGTCGGCCTCGCACCACCACAAATTCAACAGAATCAATCCCGCAACACACGTCGGCGACAGCCTCAATTAAAGCTATCGCCACCTACACCCGGTATAGAGGGCCTTTTCAACCCGGCGGATTAGCTCGGGCCGCCTTCTACCCAGCCTATACAGCGTGCCCTGCCCGTCCTGCCCGTGAGACTGGCGCTGAGTCGCTCCCGATCGCTCGAGTCGCGCCTGGCCCTTTTTCAACGCGTTTTTTCAATCAACACGTCGGATTTGCGCGGCCAACTAACCACCTCGATTCGATACCCCTACAGGGCGCGCAGGTACAGGGCTGGCAAATAGGGCGAGGAAGGGAGGCCAGTTCAGGTTGAATCGCGTTCTTCATACTTGTATAATTGAACGATAGTCGGGAGATAGATTGAGAATTTGGTGGCCGTAAGGCCGACTCAGGAGCTGTGCTGCAAATTTTTGGTGCGCTTTGCCTAACTCGGCCTAGTTACTCCGTCCGAATAGTACAGCACTCCGTCCGAATAGTAGCTGCGCTCATTGCATGTTGTCGTCATGTTTGGCTTGGGACGGTATGCTACCTTACCTAAACCCTGCATCTGCAACTCACTGAGCCGAGGCACAACACCGCCTTACGCAGCCTGTGCTGCATCCCGTTCAGCTGCAAGCCTGCAAGTGCCCAGAACAACGAACAAGTGTCGTTGGTAGAAGCCGTGGGAGGCTGCGTGAGTTTCGGATTCCGCAATTCTTTATTCCAATCTAGCGCTGCCTATGCCCGCTATTCATTACCCCAATTCGGAACGATGATGGCGTTCTCCAGTCATGATCCCTGTTCACTGGTGTTGTCTCACGGCCCTGTCCCCGATGGGTTCAAATAAAATGCCAGGAACTGCCGCGGTCAAAAACCATTCCCCAGATCCGAGGACTCCCATTCTCCATTCTCCCCATCCAATCCGTTCTCTCCCGACCTCTCCTATAGACGCCATTTCTTTGATACCCATAAGTCGTGCCCCAGAGTGCGGGCGGAGCCTTTCTTTTATTTCGCATCTACACTAGTTAATAAGAGCGCCAGACCTGGCTGGACTGCTCGACAATGTCCCGTAAGTGACCGGGGACCTACCCATGCTCCCTTTTCGAGAAAACCCCGGTTAACATGATAGTGCCTGTACCTCTTCCCGTTGCTGCTTCAGCCTTGGCTGGGGTGGCAGCATATATCAACGCCAAGGCCCTTGTTTCCTACGACGTTGCCCTCCTGGGTTCCCTTCTCCCAACCCTCGCTCGAGTGGGCTGGTGGACAAATCGAGGACGACTCAACTTCTTCTATCGCCTCGAGGACTTGGCCACCACCAAGTCTTCCGCCAACCGCGCCTTTTTGCGCTTCGAGGACAAGACTTATACCTATGCACAGGGGTACGATACCGTGTTGCGCTATGCCAACTGGCTGAAGGAGCGACGAGGAATCAAGAAGGGGGATATGGTGGCGTTGGACTTCCAGAACACCGACACTCTCCTCTTTCTCGTCTTTGCGCTCTGGTCGCTAGGTGCGGTGCCTGCGCTCATCAACTACAACCTGACAGGCAAACCCCTGGCGCATTGCGTGAAGAAGGCGACAGCCAGCCTCGTTCTCATCGATCCCGTGGTGGCCGGGAATGTCGGGGAGGATGTCCGGTCGGAGCTGGACCAAGTGACGTTCGAGGTTGTCACGCCGGAACTCGAGGGCCAGATGCTGTCGCATGAGCCGACCCGGCCTCCCGATGAGCTGCGGGCCGACGCCACCGGCGATAGCATGGGTATCCTCATCTTTACGAGCGGGACTACCGGGCTGCCCAAGGCTGCGATCGTGTCGTGGTCTAAGATCTCAGTAGTCGGTGGCTTCACATCCCGCTGGATCGGGACGAGCAAGAATGATGTGTTCTACACGGTGAGTCCACCCCGCTGTCGCTCTTTTTAACTTTTCCCGGTCTAACTGGAACACCACAGGCAATGCCGCTCTACCACAGCACAGCAATGCTGCTCGGCTTCGCGCACACCATCTCCGTCGGCGGCACCTTCGCCATGAGCCGCAAGTTCTCGACCAGCGGGTTCTGGGACGACGTGCGCAAGCACCGCGCCAACATCATCCAATACGTCGGCGAGACGTGCCGGTACCTGCTATCGGCACCACCCCGCACCGACCCGAAGACGGGCGCCAACCTCGACCGCCAGCACAACGTGCGCGTGGCGTTCGGCAACGGCCTCCGGCCCGACGTGTGGAACCAGTTCAAGGAGCGCTTCGGCATCGACACCATCGCCGAGTTCTACGGCGCGACCGAGGGCAGCTTCGCGACCTGGAACCTCAGCCGCAACGACTACAGCATGGGCGCCATCGGGCGCAGCGGCACCCTCTACAACCTCGTACTCGGCCGCAGCGTCGCCATCGTGGCCGTCGACCATGACACGGAGCTCCCTTACCGCGACGCGCGCACGGGGTTCTGCCACCGCAGCCCGACCGGCGAACCCGGTGAGCTGCTCTTCCGACTCCCACCAGCCGACGTCGAGTCGCGGTTCCAGGGGTACTACGGCGACCGGGAGGCGACGGGCAAGAAGATCATGCGGGACGTGTTTGCTGCGGGCGACGCCTGGTTCCGCACGGGCGACGTCGTGCGCTGGGACGCGCAGAACCGCGTCTACTTCAACGACCGCATCGGCGACACCTTCCGCTGGAAGAGCGAGAACGTCTCGACGGCTGAGGTCGCGCTGGTGGTCGGCACCCACCCGGCCGTGGCCGAGGCTAATGTTTACGGGGTGGAGGTGCCCGGCCATGAGGGCCGTGCCGGCTGCGCTGCGGTTGCGTTTCGACCTGCGCCTCCTGGTGGTGGGGCCGTGCCTAGCGAGGAGACGCTCAAGACGCTCGCGGCGCATGTGCGTGCGGGGTTGCCCAAGTATGCGCTGCCGCTGTTTTTGCGGGTTGTCAAGGGTGAGACCCTGCAGGCGACGGGCACGAACAAGCAGCAGAAGACGGGCTTGCGGAGTGAGGGTGTTGATCCGGGCAAGACGGGGTCAGATGATATCTTTTGGCTGCGGGGCGATTCGTATGTCAGGTTTGGGGCCGCCGACTGGAAGGCTCTGCAGGGCGGGAAGGTCAAGCTCTGAGGGCGGCTACTGGAGGTCTATCTTCCCCGATGAAATGCATCGTGACGATGCGTTGCCGATACTTTTGGCGCGTCGCATGCCTTATAAATAGCAAATAGTGGTATGTTTAGAGAGCATATCAAGACCATCAATCTCTAGACCAGTCGTCCCATCGGGTACTCCTACTTGTTGATCTCCCTCGGAGAAGTTCACCGTCGATCGTGCCGTGATGGAGGGTTGCCAATCACCCCTAGTCGTTTAACGCCCCAAGAAGGCTCCGGAATCGGATCAACGGCGCGTCAAACACCTACCTAGGTACCGGTAGGTATTTTGTTGCACGGGAGAAGATTCATGGATATGGCAAGCTCCCGTATCTGGACGATATGTGATGTCAAAACGCAGTGTTTGACTTCAAAGGTCAACAGACGGGTCTTGCGAGTATCAGATGTCTGTTCATGATGTCTGATCGTTTTAAGCCGAAGACATCCTGTTAGACCCTCCGCTGCTCGGATCCGGAAGCGGCCGCTCTCGGGCGCAACCGGCGCATCCAATACCCATCAAGGTTCTCACTGCGCAAAAAGGTACCTCCTAACTGCCCGACGTTAAAATAAGAACCCGTATCCGCTGCAGGCCCGCCGTTTACAAGAAGCGCGTCGCCGGATAAGCTTCTGAGGCTCCCCGTCGAGTTGTCTTGCATTCACGAGCCCACTCGGCAACCCCCACCAGATGCCCAGCCTCGAGAGCCAGCGGGTTGCGCCAGCGCGCGGCAAATGACATGATGGTGCCTGGCCAATGAGACACGTCATTGATCGCGCAATGGGACGCCAATCCCAATCAGGGGCGCTGAGGGGCAGCGGTGCCCCACGGCAAGGTGATGGAGGGGTCAACTGCCCCGCGTTGCGGCGCCGGGAACGTCACCAAAGAGCTTCTTTGGGCTTCGGGGCTGACCAGGTCGGCGACTGGTCGGCCATTGTGTGCAGGGGAACGACGGATGAGGCCAAGGAGTGACAGGTTGGTTTATTAATGCAAGCGGCTGGAATTCTTTGGGAACTCGTGGGGACAGATCGCCGAGGGTAGGAGGGAGGTTGAGCTTTTAAATCTGCTGCTGCCCCTCACCTACCTGTGTACCTTCTCTCCCAAATCCATAATACCTCATCCCAAGTCGCTTCCCGCTCTTACCATCCCGCAATTGCTTGCATTTCCAATCTATTCTGTGATACCCAGCCACCAATACAACTTTGATACCCCTAAAAACAGACAAGATGGCCTCCGAGCGTCAAGCAGCACCGTACGTTCCTCTATTCGCTGTTTCTCTCTCGCGAACACGACGAACCACCCCGCGTCGGACCGCAAGTTGTGCCACAACTCGTTGCTAACATGCGCCTTATAGCCTCCGTCTGGGCTCGACTGCCCCCAACTTCCAGGCCGAGACCACCCAGGGCCCCATCGACTTCCATGAGTTCATTGGCGACAACTGGGTCATCCTGTTCTCCCACCCCGAGGACTACACCCCCGTGTGCACCACCGAGCTCGGCGAGATGGCCCGTCTCGAGCCCGAGTTCAAGAAGCGCGGCGTCAAGCTGATCGGTCTCTCCGCCAACACCCTCGGCAGCCACGAGGGCTGGATCAAGGACATTGACGAGGTGACTGGCTCGCTCGTCAGCTTCCCCATCCTCGCCGACAAGGAGCGCAAGATTGCCTACCTCTACGACATGTGAGTTTTGGATTAGTTGAGCGCGCTTCTTGGCCCCTTTACATGCTGACACGGCGTCCCAGGATTGACTACCAAGACACTACCAACGTGGATGAGAAGGGCATTGCCTTCACGATCCGCTCCGTCTTCTTCATCGACCCCAAGAAGACCATCCGCACCATCCTGTCGTACCCGGCGTCCACGGGCCGCAACAGCGCCGAGATCCTGCGCGTCATCGACTCGCTCCAGACCGGCGACAAGCACAAGGTCACCACCCCGATCAACTGGGTACCCGGTGACGATGTTATCGTCCACCCTACCATCAAGGGCGAGCAGGCCACCACCCTGTTCCCCAACATGCGCGTCGTCAAGCCGTACCTGCGCTTCACCCCGCTGCCCAAGGACGCTTAAGCAATGGGCGGTGACGGTTATGACGGAGGAGGGATGATAGGACGGTCATGCTAGTTACAGCTCGAGGAATACCGCACTCCGGGTGGAATACCTACCCCCGTGGATGTGGATATGGCTCCGGTTTCTGCCATCTGAGTAAACTACGATAGCGGATGCTTGGAAAGCGTTGGCGCGCAAGGGTTTTTTCTCGCCTCGCCGTTGGGCTAGCAACAAGAAATTGACGATCTTCTCCCAAAGACTTTCCTTTTGACACTTCGGTGGCTGGCTACCCCCGTCTCTCCCACGTGGCTTGCCGACCTCCCGTATGCTTAGCGTCGTCGCTTGCTTCCGCCGGTCGGTGGTATTCCTTCCGTTGAAACGTCGAGATAGTTAAAACAACAGGGGCCCAATTCTTACCTTCTCTCATCTCCGGGCAGACAGGGGAATTGTCGTCCTGGTCGGAGATGGGTGTCCATTCTTGTGGGTTTTTGTTTCGGGTGCGCCTGCCGCCAATCCAGGTCGTTGTTTCGAGTCAGGGCGCCGAGCCAATAATTGATCCGTGCTCCACCCCACCAGCCAGGCGCCCAAAGAGAGCAGGCGCACCTCTGCACCAGCGCTAGCCGGATCCCTTCTTCCAACCCAACCCCACATTCCTCCCAAGAGAACGGAAAGCCTCGTGCGGTCCTGTTCTATCAGCGAGTCAGCGTGGTTCTTTCGTGGCTGGTTGCTTCCTCGCAACCTCCTTTCAGCATCTCGCATCTTCGGACTGTTCAACTCCTCGACTGTCCGTGTCCCTCGACGCCCCCGGCTACCAGATTTTCACGGTTTCGGCCGGGCCTCTTGCGAGCTTCATCCGCGAGTCCACTCATTCATTTCTCGACTGACGCGACCCCCCTTTCTCCCGCTCGCTCACCCCGAAAGGTCGTCCGTGCGGCGCACTTTCGCACTTTGACCAGCCTACCTGTGAACGGACCACGAGAGACTTCCCGTCTTCCTGTCCTCTCACCATCTTTTCTTGTTCCGGGACGATCTGCCTACTTCGGATTTCCAGGACGAACCTGGAATTGATTGGCGAAACACCTTATCAGGTATGCGCGCACCTTCAGGCTCTTCCTCCCCCCTTCCCCAGATCTCCTCGCCGACGCCCACCCTCCCCGCGGCACTCTTCCGAATCATCCTCACCCCGGTCGCCATGCCTTTTTGTGCGGGCAAGAATCTTGCCCCCTGCCCTCGCTTACACACTTCGCGAATTTCCCTATTGTCACTCTACCCCGTTACCACCTCCTCTGCCCCATTTGACAAAGATCGCTGGGTGGATATTCCGCGATTCGGGAGAGCCCCAGGCGCCGGAGGGAGCCGCAACCATGGACCTCCCCGGCGCATGCCTGGCCCGCCCCGGTCCAGTCCGCCAGGGTGAGGAGCCACCGTGCTGGGCTGACGGTTGCGTCCGACCTCCCTCCCGGCTGTGCCTCCGTGCGACCATCCCAAAAACTGGCTTCTGGAACTTCTCTTTCTTCCCGTACCTTGCTCTGCCACGTTGCGCGTCACTGTTTCTTTCCTTTCTTGCGTTCCTTGCTTTCGGCTTCACTTTTCAGTCCCGGCACAACCAGTCGGCCGCGCCGGACTTTTCCCGCTTTACCCTACCTCCGAGACACCAAAACATTTTCTCTCTTTTTTGTGTCCTGGCTCGCTCTGCCGGTTTTTGCCGTGTAGCAGACTACTACACACGTCGAGTATGTCGGGCTTTAGGCTAACCCCCGGGGAATCAGGCCCGCAACAGGCCGGGTTCGACGACTACTTTGGCCGCCGCTCCGACTCGGAGTCTGAAGATCGACTAGCCTCCAAGTCATCCTCCGATATCCTATCCTCAGCCTTCCGTGGCATCAAGAGGATCGCGCCCGGAAGACCACCCAAGCTTTCCCTGCGCCGACCCCCCGAGTCGCACGTGCCCTCCTCGCTCGAGAGCTCCCCGATCTCCGCCCCTCTCCTCTCCAGAGGCACTCGCACGCCTCTGCCACAACATGCACGGAGCCTAAGCCTGCAGGATAGTCTCGCAAAGCCACTACCCGAACGACCACCGCCGCAGCTTTCTCCAGCCAGCCCCTTGACTCCTCTGGCCCCCCAGCAGTCAAGTTTGGCTACGATTCTCGACACCGAAACCGACGAAGAGGACAGCCGACTCGACACCATGGAGTCGGCATCGTCCATGGATATGGGTGGCGGGTTGTATGCCCGAGGGCAGGCCGGCCACGGTCACGACTCGAGCATGAACAGTAGCCAGAGCAGCCTGGCGAGCTCGTCCCGACACGACGGACAAGATGACCGGAAGGACAATTTGACGCCGAAGAGCACTGGCCCGTTATCAGCTGGACCGTCGCCTAATCTGGGTCAGTCGAGAACCCAAACCGGGGGTCCTGCTGTCGGAACCGCAACTCCGTCGGCACATTTGTCCGGGTTGATGTGCAACGTGCACAGGACAACAGGGAAAGAACCACACCCGCTCGTTGGAGCCACGACCACTATCGTGGGAGACAAGTTGTACGTGTTTGGAGGAAGGATATTATCCAGGAGCAGGCCAGCGCCCTTGACCGCGGATCTATACGAGCTCGACTTGATTCGCCGACACTGGACGAAACTGGAGACTTCGGGCGACATCCCCCCGCCACGATACTTCCATTCCATGTGCGCACTTGGCGATACGAAACTTGTTTGCTACGGCGGGATGTCGCCGACAACGAACCAGAAAAACATACCACAAGACCAGCAACCCGAGGTCACCGTCATGTCAGATATCTACATTTATGACGTGCCGACTAAGAAATGGACCTTTATCCCGACACAAGACGCTCCACAAGGTCGCTACGCGCATTGCGCGTGCATCCTCCCATCCTCGGCAGCATTCGTCTCGCACAGGGCCCCTCTTTCGGCATTACAACACAACCCCTCTACTGGCAGCGCGAACGAAGGGCGGATCGGGATTAATATCGACGGCTCTGGCGGCAGTGAGATGATCGTGGTCGGCGGACAGGATGCGTCGAATCACTACATTGAGCAGATCAGTGTCTTCAACCTGCGCAGCTTGAAATGGGTCTCAACACAGGCACTAGGCAAGAGCTGCGGTGCCTATCGCAGCGTTGTGGCGCCACTCCCTCCTTCCGTTACCTCGAAACTCGGCAAGGCATTCCCGGGCGGCACACGACACGAGGTCGGTGGAATTAGCCAGGAGGCGAGAGAGCCTGGATCCAGCATGCTTATTTATAGCAATTACAACTTTTTGGACGTCAAACTGGAGTTGCAGATCAGATCACCCGATGGCCACCTGAGCGAACGAGCCATGAGCGGCACATACAGCCCGCCAGGATTGCGGTTCCCCAACGGCGGAGTCATCGACACGCATTTTGTCGTCAGCGGCACCTATCTCACATCGTCAAAACAGGAATATGCCCTCTGGGCGCTGGATTTGCGAACCCTGACCTGGAGCCGCATTGATGCTGGCGGCGCTGTCTTCAGCCAGGGTAGCTGGAACCGCGGCGTGCTGTGGAACAGGCGAAACACGTTCGTCGTGCTAGGCAACAGGAAGCGGAGCCTCGTGGATGACTATAATCATCGCAGGATCAACTTCAGCAATGTCTGCATGGTCGAGCTGGAGGCCTTTGGCTTCTATGACAACCCCCGGAAGGTGGCCCCTATGAGTGGCTTTGTTAGCGCCAGCAGCCCCTATACTGGGCCCGGTTTGAGTCTGGCCCGCAAAGCCGGTTTCACCGCCGGCGGCAGGACTCATAACCGCGCTGCCGAAGAGCTGGGCGAGAAGGCCCTCGCGTTGAGAGAACTCGCGGACATGGATATTCTCTGCATCGGTGGCGAGCGGATACCAATCAACTCGAGAATCGTGGCGAGGAGATGGGGTCCATACTTTGTCCAGCTGCTTAGAGAGGGCACGGCAACGCAGGACGGCAGTGATGCAGCGACCCTGCGGTCAAATTCGGTGTCCGCACCCAGCAACTCGATCCGGAGCTCCAACCTCACCATCACCCCGGGGAACATGAGCTCTATGAGCGGCAGCACCCTGTATTCGACGGGTGGCATGAGCAGGGGTGGAAACGCCAGCACGTCGCCAGGACCGGTCGACCCCGCCGCCATCAACACGGCCCCCACACCACGAACCCTCCCGCCAAACAGCCGGCCACGGTGCCTCTACCTCCCGCACACCTATCTCACCCTCCAAGCCCTCTTACACTTTCTCTACACCTCCACCCTCCCGTCGCCCTCCTCGCCGCTCTGCACCCCGCAGATCCTCTGCAGCCTCCTCCAGATCGCCTGCCCCTACCGCGTCGACGGTCTCCTCGAAGCCGTCATCGAGCGCCTACACGGGCTCCTCGACAGCCGCAACGCCGCCGCCGTCTTCAACGCCACCGCCATGGCGGCCGGCGGCGGTCGCGGCATCGACGGCACCCTCAACCCCAACTTCTTCCCCCTCGCCACCAGCGCCCTCGACGCCCTCGCCGGCTACACCATGGACACCGGTAACTCCCAACAAAACCAACACACCAACGGCGGCGCCAGCAGCGTCGCCAGCTCGGACGCCGGCGGTGGTGGTCCCCGCAGCGGCGGCCTATCCATCAGCACGGCCGTGCCTGGCGCGCCGCCGAGTAGTGACGAGCTGAGCGCTACGACGAGTGTCAGCGGGAGCGAGTGGAGCACGTCTGAGGTCGGGGACAGTGAGCGTGGTGGGACGGGCAGGGAGGTGTGGGCAGGGGATCTGAGTAGTGTGATTGGGCTGCAGAAGAGGGGGTTGAGGGGGTTGATGGAGGGGAGGAGGATGCGGGAGAGGGGAGGGGGGGCGGGGGGTGGGGGGGTGAGTGCTGGTGGGAGTGGGGGTGGACAGCAGGGTGGTGTAGGAGGGGGCGTTGGGGGTGGGGGGCAGTATGGGTCGGGGAGGGTCGGGTTGGGGATTGGTGCTTCGTGAGGGGAGTGAGCTTCTTCAGCTTTTGAGCTTCCTAAGCTTCGTTAAGGGGGTTATGGTTAGAGCCTCTCTGGTGGTGGTGAATTGAGTTGGGTATGGTACTGTACCTATGGTTATCTGCTTCTTGGGTGTGGGAGATGTTTTGTATGTTTGTAGAGGGGGGCTTTGTTGTGTTTGTAGAAGTGGGTGTGTTTTTGCTGGGAATGATGGGATGAACACGGTCATGTGTGGGTGGGTTGGGTTGGGCATATGCATATGGTAGTTGGATATCGGGCTTTTGTGTTGTTGCATATCAGTTGGAAATGATAGGAGATGTTGGATATGTTGGATATGTTGACGTTGTTGGAAGACGTTGAAAGATGTTGAATATAGGGAAACAGTTCACACTTCACATCCTTGTGCGTGCTGAGTAGAGCAAAGGATCACCATTCATTTCCCTGGGGGGGACGTTATGTATCGATTCTGTCCTCTGTGTGGCACGAGAACGACCAACACAGGTCTCCTCAACCTCAACCCCATGCCTGTCACAAACCCAGTTTCCCCGGGACCGTTTCGCTCAACCATGACGTATGGATTGTATATATGTACAACAGCTCGACCGACGGCGCCATTAACCGAATCTGATGGCTTTGAGTCAGTGACACGCGAGCTTTGAGGTTTAAGAATTGACTTGCGAGTAAGGCAGGTCTCCATCCGACGCCTCTTTCGTATGTGGTCCGCCCACCCCCACCAGATATCCGGCCGATAGGGGCAGGTCGCCGGCTGACTCGTCAGCCCCCTTCGTGTCCTCGTCCCCCCTGGCGGATGTTGCCGTGGAAGGCTGCGGGCGTTGCTGTGAGGGTTTTAGGCCTGGCCACAAAGAGCTGAGATTTTGTTAGTAAAGGTTGTCCGAGGACCATGCCGCAATAGACGAATATATATGTATATTCCACCTACTGTCTCTCTCGATGCCGCTCGAGTAAATCGGTTCGATGGAAGCTCTTGTCACACCACTCGCATGTGAACGGCGGGATACCATGACTTAGCTGATGGCGTCTAAAGAGAGACTCGTCAGCTACCATGCTCAAAGCCATTTAGCGATAACTGTTTACCTTAGATGGTCGCCTCGAGTGAACGCCTATAACCATTGATTAGTACCTAAATGCGACGCAAAACCAGGAAAAGGAAGACCTGAAGAGTATGCGAGGATTAATACCTTGGGTGGGCTACAAATCTTGCAGATGTGGAGCGGCGCTTTGGGTGTCGTGTTGACCTCCATTAGTCCCTGTTGCCGTTGGCGTTCATCTGCGTCCCTGACGGCCCCCATCAGTTCGTCCATGTTCGGACTGCCCAGTTGCACTACGTCTTCGCTCGGGGATTCGTACCCAGCCAACGCCTCCCCCTCCTCTCTCTCCTCTCCCTCGTCACTCTCTCGCCTGTGCTGCTCCACGGCCTTCCCTGCTAGTCTAATATATGCCGAATCCAAACCCTCACGGCTGTGTTCCTTTGCGCCCTGTCCCTCTCCTTGTTCAATCTCATCGCCATTTCCTCCTCGGAGTGCCGATATGGCTTGTTTCGCGGCCCCATGGAACCTCCTACGAAGCTCCTCTTCCTTTTCCTGGTCCTCCGGCTTTCCAAGCTCCTGTGTTACCTCACGCCCTCCAAGGAACCACTTTGTTCGCGCCCCCGCTCCAGCGTGGCGTAACTTGTCATCCGTTTGCCTGTCCTTCTCGAGTCTCTGCCCCAAATCATCATTCTCTGTAATTTGCTCCGAGTCTAAATGCGCACGGCGTAGCCCTTCTCCCCCCCTCTTCTCCCTCTCAAGCCTCTCTGTCGGCTTGTAGCTTTTGGTTTTATACCTACTCGCTTCCAACCGTGGCACATCTGGGCGTGGCGGCTCCTTCCCCCGGTTGTCCGTCTCAGAATTCCCCTTAGAGATAGGCTTAACAAACTCTCTGCCTTCTCCCCCGATTGTCCGCCCCGCCGTCTCGTTATCCTCCTCTTCGGATTCGACAAAGGCGCGCTCGTTGACGCTGCCTGAGGCCATTCGTTTTTGCCTCCGTTCCTCACGCCGCTTGTGAAGATATTCCTGATACTCATTCTCGTCTAGGTCCGTAGTGTCGTCGCTGCTGTTGACGTCTCCGAGGTTATATCTTTTTCTTTGGTCGATCTTGCTGCTCGACGGACCGGGTTCAGAACGCTCCTCCGTGAGAGGCCGCTTGCCCGCGTCCAGTTCAGCAAGCCACGGGATCTCCAGCTTGGCGCGGCGTTGGATTTCCTCGATCTCACGATTAACCTCCTCGATTGTGTGAGGCCACTTGCGCGCCTTGTCTTCAGCGGACCACTTCTCCTGGCGCTCGACGTGAAGAAGAAGTTTCTCGAGCCCGCGAAAACGAGGGTCTCTGGGCTTAGCATACCTCTCCTCCCGGCTGGGCTTTGGGGCCGCCGGGTCCAGTCCCCCCTCTGACCTCTCTGTTGACTCATCTCTTCCGATCTCATCCATGTTCGTTTCCAACCGTGACGGACCTCGGGGTAACGGTTCCTTCTCTTGATTGTCCGCCTCAGCATTCCTCTTAGCGATAGGTTTAACAGCCTCTATGGCTTCTCCCTCAATTATCCGCCCCATCATCTCGTGATCCTCCTCGTTGATTTCGCCAAAGGTCGATCGTTCGCCCCTCCGTTCCGCACGAATCGGTCGTATAAACTCTTGAAAATCACGCTCGGTGTGGCCATTAACGTCTCCGAGGATAAATCTTTCTTCTTCGTCCAGATCCGACAACTCTTCCGAATCTGAGCGGCTGCGGTTTGGCTTGGGAGATTGATCGACGCGAGATCGAGTCGCGCCGTGCCGCTCGTCGTCGCCGGTGCCAGAAGAGATCTGCTCTGCCTGTTTGCCTTTACGACCGTTCCCGTCAATCTCATCCGGTAGAGTGTCATCCAGGGGTTCGGACATTCTGGTCTTATCCCCATCTGGCAGAGACGGAGGTCTCTCGCGGTCTCGGACCGTTATCTCGATCTCGTCTTCCTCCAGGTCCAGCCGAGAGCGATCACGGCGTAGGGCTTCATCACCTGCATCCTCATTGCCTTCCAATGCCCAGCTGCCTGACTGGGTGTATCTGGGACTAAAGGATTGGCGAGATACCCCGTTACTGGAACCATTGGACGAGGCGGCTTCAACCGCCTCGCCTTCGGAGGCAGGTTCCCCTCGTGTAAAAGAAAGATCAAGACTCCTGCCGTCAGCAGTGTCGTCTGATTCGATTTCCCCGTCTTCATCCGTAGCACTTTTGGGCAAAGCAAATAACGACAGCTGCTCCTGATGTCGGCCCACGTGCCGCCGGTATTGGTTAGCGGATGTCAAGATTTCGGCGTCACCGCAGATGGGGCAGGGGATTCCCTCTTTGATGTCTAGTGGTTGGGCTGCGAGCTTGACCAGAGCATCGGCGCCGCCTTGTGAGACGGAGTCTGGATGGGCGTTGGCAAGGTGGTCTTTGAACCGCGAAGGGGAGCTGAAGATGGAGGTGCAGCCGAACAAGCACGGGTAGGTGTTCCAATGGTTCTGCTGGACGTGGTTCATCCATTCGTGCCGTCGCGAGAACTCTTGTTCGGCGTTGGAAGCCGTGCACTCCTTTTCGAGACAGATGTACGGACGAAGATCGGAGTAGACATGTTTTCTTAATGTTTCATACTACATTAGCTGCGAGGGCCATGGGTGAAACTCGTGTCTTTGGTGACTTACTTCCATGCAGCTCTGTCTGTGGCCACGATTATGACATAGCAAAAGGGGCATTGGAAGGGTCCCTCATGGGCCACCTCCGGCAAGGGCGGGACCCGCAGCGCCCCTTCGTCGGCAGCGGAGGTAGCATATGAGGTTTGAGACGCTCCGGCGTCGGAACGGTCATCTTCTAGAATGGTCGGCTGCTTGCCCTTGTCCTTCAAATGGGTGGGAATCGAAGACGCAATCGTATCATTGCATTCCTTCGGGGTCGGATCCGGATCGTCGACTCCTTGTGACAGCTTGACATGGTGAGATTCTCGATATCGGAAGTATTGCCGTCTCCTTGAGGTCGCCTTGCCCAGTCTCTCCGCAAGCCACGGCTCAACCGATGAGAACTTCGCCTGGACATGCTGTATATCAAAGGGCTCAAAGTAAGACGTGTCAGCTAAATGGTACGTGATGAAGCGGTCGTGCGGTGCTGGGTTTCTGATGGTCATGCTGAGGCGGAGCAGACAATCGACAACATCCGCCACGCCCTCGGTGGCAATCTGACCCAGTTCTGTGGTCGGCGAATCCGTATCGTCATCTTCGACATCTTCTTCATCGTCGAGCTGATCCCATGGCGTCTTCTCTCCACTGGCGATTGCGATGGCCTGACTCAGTAGATCGCACAGTTCCCCCAGGAGTTCTATGACTTGGTCTTTTATCGGGGAGGCATCTCTGAGCCGGTAGTCCAGGGATCCGGTGCCAGTCTTGTGTGCGCCTATGTTGCCAGCCCACACCTTGAACTTCGTTTGTTCATCCTGGATTTTGCGCTGGATCCACGGCTCCGGGAAGTTGAGCACCCTCGTTGGCTCAAAAAGCCCCCGAAAGGCGGCAAGGGAGCGGGACACATGGACTGCAATGGTTTCCTCCATGGTAGTTGGTGTGCCCAGGCCAAGAGAATATAATTCATTGACATGCACGGGGGGGGAGTTGGCCCTGGATATTATCAGGGTACACAATCCGGACCTAAGAAGAAGATACTGGCTCGGGGATCAGCTGCGGGGTTCGTCGAGGTGATCACTGCAGCAAAGGCCGCATGTCGTCTGACGAATCAAGTAGGAAGCGGGCCGCCTCACTCGTCCAACTCAGCCGCAAAACCCCTCTTCTTTCGAGTGCCAGGCGAAACGGCGGCGTCTCAGAAACAGACAAGAGTCACCAGAAGAGAAGCTGTTCGAGACCTTCTCGTAACAACTTAAAGTCTTGGAACTGGTCTCCTTCCACCATGTCAGGCTTTGAAATCGCGGGTATCATCCTCGGCTCTCTTCCCCTCCTGATTCCAGCCATCGAACATGTCCGCCAGAGTCTGTCTACCCGAAGATACGATCAGCAGTTACAGAGCCTCACCCGCAACCTCAAGACCGAACGGGTCAAGCTCCAAAATGTCTGCGAAAAATTGCTCGACGGACTTGTCCCCCCGTCGCAAATCCAGCTCATGATCAGCGAGCCACTGGGGGATCTGTGGCGAGATGAAGACACAGAAAAAAGGATTCGAGGCCGCCTATGGGACAAGGACTCGTATGAGAGCTTCGAGACGGCCATCCAGAGCATTTCGGCCTCCGTTGACGACCTGGCAGCCAAGATCACGGCTCAACGAGAACGACAGGCATCGCTGCTGAAAAGAGGCGTGTTCGCATTGAAGCGCACAAACTACACGGAGACCCTCACTGAGCTCAAGGACAACGTTGCGAACCTCGTGACCCTTACAAGTCAGAGCATCGAGCTGGAACCTTCACGCCGGGTGCGGTCCTACGGCAGGTTCCTCGTCATTCTTCAAAACCTATCCAAGAGCCTGTACAGAGCCATCCAGTCCAGTCTGACAACCTGCCACTGCTGTCATGATGTTGGTCTCAGGTTAGAAACTCGCAAGGCCGTCATCGCCCCACTGGACAGCGAGGACGACATCACGCGACATCTTGAGTTTCGGGTCGCTGTTTCGTGCAACCCTGAGGCTGCGGACAAGGAGGCATTATGGCGGGAGATGATGGCGCTTAAGACGGTGACGGAGCAAAGTACGGCACAACCACCTCCCCTTGAGGCACCTCTTGCCACCAGAGCACCATTGAGCAACAAGGCCCCGTCGGCTTTGAACAGGTTCAAGGGGAAGAAGAGCGTTAGCTTTACTGCTTCCCAATTTGCCCCGAGAAGCACAACCAGCACACTCGTAGAAACCACAGCGAGTACCAGCACCCTTGGAACAGCAACGGGCACCCTTCTTTGTACCGCCACCGGCACCCTCCTCGAGAAAAATCACATCCATAGGTTGCCAATAAGAGCACCAACAGCCGAGCCAACCTTGACCCTGTGCGGGGATCTCCAGGCAATCCGGACCCCAGCGAGCTGTCTCAGAGACCCAACAACGAACACGGAACAACCTTACGGCATCATCGTCGACGCCTCCCGGAAATACGCTGTATATCCAACCCCCCCAAACTCAGCAGTCAGCTCCCGCTTAACCACCGTCTCCCTACGAAGCATCCTCGAGGAAACAGGCGAGCGATCCCCTTACCTCTCTTGTCGTGACCGCCTACAGATGGCGGTCATCATCGCGTCAAGCGTGGTCCAGCTCCACGGCAGTCCCTGGCTCTCGAACACCGAAACCCTCACCAGCCGCGATATCCACTTTTTTGTTGACAACAAAGGAGAGATTGCCATCTCATGTGGCGATCCCATTCTGGTCCGACGACTCGCTGACCCTTCCCCTAACACGGTTACGGACCAAACCTCCGAAGTCGTCACTTCGAAGCGCAATCCAGCTCTTTTGTCGCTAGGGTATCTGTTGCTGGAACTCTTTCTAGAAGACACGATGAAGTCGTTTCGGGCACCGGGGGAGCAGGCTCCCGGCGCCGTCGGGAACGTTCTCTCCGACTACATTACGGCACAACGGGCGCTGGAAAAGGCTACTTTTCCGAGCGAGAACTACAGGAGTGCTGTCTCAAGGTGTTTGCAGGGTGAGCTACATGTATCTAAGCCGGGGCGGGGGTTTGAGAATGAGGACTATTGCCGCGAGTTTTACTCGGGAGTCATTGCGCTTCTTGAGAAGGACCTCGAGAACGCATGACGGGATGCAGGGGGATGTGGGTATTGATACAAGGGGGCTGTTCAGTAATAGATAGCGACAGGCGAGATAGAGACTGAGAAAAGGGATGTTCGGAAACACCGGGTGACCATACCCCTTGAACTCATTAAGGATACCAGGGACCTCCCTTCTTTTCACAATATCCTTTGGTCGTAAGGGCGATAAAGTAAAACACGCAAGACGCGGATTACGGTGCCGGGTCTTAAATGGTACTTGGGGACGGTCGTTCACGCCGCCCCCATGCAGGCCCCGTACAAGACCCTGATGCCGTCTCCCGCCTCCGTCTTCACCTTCTGTCCACAGGGGAGGACCTCGACGCTGATTCTGATGTTGGCGATTTCGATTAGGTCCTGTCTGACCGCCTTGTCTGGAGCACAATTCTCCACGTTGGCCGGGTTCCGAACATAAACCATGAATTCTTGCCCGTCTTCCCCGGCGTTTTTACCAAGCTCAGTCTCCTCACGAGTGGTTCGGACGGCTGAGCAAATCCTCCATGTATCCAGAGTGGCATGAAGCACCAGGGCTGTGTTCCAAGATAAGCCAAGTCATCGCAGATGACATCCGTAAAGAAACGGCTGAGAATGGGGAAAGCAACTCGGGGCGTAGCCAGGCTAGCATCATTGGAGACGTATTAGCGAAGGAGTGTCGTTAAACAACACCTTGAATAGCTAGTACCTAATCGATCCAATCCGGACCCAGCTTCTTCTATATTTATGGAAATAAATGTCTAGAATAAGAGCGGACAACCCTCCACCCCAGGGTCAGAACCCCAACCACGACAACGATACAAAAGGGGACAGCTACCAACCGCAATTCGGTTTCTCACCAAACCAATTTGCCAGTCCAGATACCCCCATCTGCTACCAATGCCCACCCACCGTAACGGACTGAGCCTTGCAGCGGCCTCGGCAACCCCCGACTAAGCCCAACCCCTGAAAGGGAACGGCGAAGTGGCCAACGGCTCCGTCGCGGCTCCAGGCACAACCGTCTCAGTTCACCTTTTCCTCCACGGGCAAGGAACCGTCTTGAACCACGGCTTCTTCGTGCTCAGACGCCAAGTTTCCCTTCTTCCCATGCTCCCAAGCAAGCGTAGGCTTCCATTGCGCCGACTTCCGCGCATCGCTGACCTCATCGTACAGCTGATCGACCTGCTCCAGACTGAGGCCCTTGGTCTCGTAGATCATGAGCCAGACGAACAGGATGCAGAGAAAGCAGGCGCCGAACCACACAAAGAAGATCTTGGACTGCAGATTAGCGTACCCGTCTCCGTAGTTGACCAGGTAGGGCGTCGCGTAGGCAATGGCCCAGTTCAGCAGCCAGTTGGTGGCGGTGGTGATGCTGAGGGACTTGGCGCGCGTCTTGAGCGGGTAGATCTCGCCCGTGACGACCCAGGCGAGCGGGCCCCAGGTGGAGGCGAAGAAGAAGATGTAGATGCAGACGAATGCCACGGCGGCCTGCTGCCCGGCGAGGCTGGTCACGAAGATCTCGCCGTTGGCGTGCTGGCCCGTGGACACGGTGCCGCAGACGGCGACGATCAGCTGGGAGACGCACATGCCGATGGCGCCGAAGAGGAGGAGCGGGCGGCGGCCCCATTTGTCGACGGCGTATAGGCCGGGGATGGTGGAGGCTACGTTGATGGCTGATGTGATCATGGAGACGGTAAAGCCGCTGGAGACGCCCGAGTTTTGGAAGTACTTGGTCCCGTAGTAGAAGATGAAGTTGATACCTGCAAAAGAGAGCCAGCCAGTCAGTTTATCTTGTCCAGAGTCCAGGCCACCTGAAGACAACGGTTCGAGCTTGAGGAGTGAGACTGAAGCCGGTGCCTGTTTGGGGGAAGTGGGAATTAAAAGGGATTACCCTACCTGAGAGCTGCTGGAGCGCTTGTACTCCCATGCCCGTGAGCTGTCTCTTCAGCATCGGTGGTCTGAAGCAATCGAGATAGGAACCTTGTCCCATGGTCATCTCATATTCATGCGTGGCTTGGACTTCTGCCAACTCGGCTGCAATGGCTTCATGGCCGACTGGGAGGCGTCGAAGCCGGCTAAGCGAAAGAGCCGCCTTTTCCGCCTTGTCTTTCTTGATCAAGAACCGAGGCGTTTCGGGAAGGACCATCATGCCAAAGAACAAGATAAGTGACCATGCCAACTGAATACCAATGGGGATACGGTATGACCCGGTATCGTCCCGTTGCCCAGTAGCGTTGTTGACAAGGGCCGCGAGGAGCAGGCCGATGGTGATGGCCCATTGATAGGTGCCGACGATGAGGCCGCGGATCCATTTGGGAGCGGTTTCGGATTGGTATAGCGGGACTGGAGCAACCAATGTCAGCATAAGTGATCACACGGCGCATTGAATGAACTAACTCTGTGCAGATATCAAGCCGACACCGAAACCAGCAAAGAAGCGGCCCGCTAGGAACATCGGGATGGCCGTTGCAACCGTGTGCAGGACGACGCCCAGATTGAACACCCACGTGGAGACCATCAAGCCCAGACGACGACCAAGATAGTCGGCCAGGAAAGGGGAGCAAAGGGCACCGAAGAAGGTGCCGGCCGAGAGGATGGAGACAATGGCGGACTCCTGGGAGGCAGTGACATTGGGGTTTCCTTGGGCATCAATGTGGCCCGTACTGAAAAGCCGCTGCCAGTAGGGCATAGCCAGCACCCCGCTGATGGTGCCGGTGTCATATCTAAAAGTGTACAAGTGTTAGTTAGCTCGGATGGACTGGACTTCTCGCACCCATCTCACACGTATTATTGAACGCACCCGAAGAGAACACCGCCAAAGGCCACAAAGAGACCCACGGCGATGGCAGGCCATGTCTTGCCTGCCACGTTCTCGGGCCTGGCTAGGGCCAGGCTCTTGAGCACGGCCATCGCGTCAAGATGGTTTGAGAGAGTTGTCAACGGATGTCAACAGTGGTAACAAGACGCTTGGAGAGAAAGACGAAGGCTTGGAGGATGTGGTTGGAGCAACTTGGAGATTTGTGTCTACGGGAGGCAGCGGGACTGCCCCTTTTATCCCCAGAACTCCAGAGCCATAACATCTCATCTTGTTGGGAAACTACTGATCCATCCGGCGTGACCGAAGAGTTGTCATTGTCAACAACGGATTACTCCACCCCCGGAAGTATGTCCTCTCGTGGTGGAACATCCTCCCATTGCGACACCGTGGTGAGAACCGTGAGATAGCCAGCGGATCTTCCTCGGGTGTACTTGCCTTCAACCAACCTCGCGTTCCCCCATCGCGGTCCATTTCGCCATGGCCAGGACCGGGACACGATCAGCGCTGGACTGGATACCGCCGTCGATGGAGCGTCCAATGAGGATTCCATGACTGCGCAATCCTCGTCAATGTGTTCCAAACAGCGAGACCACGACAGCCGCATTCGCCCCCTTCGCGTGCTGTTGCCGCACATGTGGCCATTATTGACTCCCAGAATCTCCAGAATGTCCCCACCATCTCATGCGAGGTCCAATATATCGGGCATTCCGTGGTAGTATATACACATCGGCCATCCCGTAGCGCTCGATGGTGTTTTCGGGTAACCAATGACGACCTGTGATCCGACCTGCGATCATCCGCTTGCCCACAGAAGAGGATGGTGCCAGCCGGTCGTCCCTTGCAATGGTTGCACTTCTCGAAGCTTTCCAAGGCTTCCATGCAGTTCTCGAAGCCTTCCATGCAGTAGCTTGTGCCGTTCGAGCACTAGCGTACCAAACATCGATGAGGTGCAGATGCCGGGCCGTTGTCTTCTTTTGGCATCTCAGGCCGTGAGTCGACACGAGTGCATGCATGTCACGCGAGAGGCGGGGGAGAGCGGGGGAGAGCGGGGGAGGGTGTGGGGAGAATGGGGGGAAGACAGGGGAGCTTCCAGGTCCTTTGCTCGTCCTCAACCTGCAGAAGGATGCAGAGTTCCTCGAAGGGCAGCCGCACGGAGCGCTTACTTGGTAGATTCGCGTGGTATTGTCTCCAGGGGTGAAGTACCGAGGTTCCTTCGTCCGAAAATACCGCAGCACACCAAGCGAGAACGACGGCCGGAAAACTTGTTAATTAGGTATGACAACATCGAGTCTTTGACCTAAATGGGACATCCGGTCCGGCACTGCTGGGGTCGGCATCTTTCTTGGTTGTGTTTGGGGGTGGGCGTAGCAAAGTCGAGTTGATTGAATACTCCTCCCGAGTCCTCCAACATCGAGAGCGACTCTTTGACGCCAGTGCCAAGTACACATATGGGTCATCCCATCGAACACCGTGGATACGTGCACTGATCGTCGGAGCAAAGCGATGGCAACAGACTGGTGGAGAATCGATTGGGGATGGAGACCATGGTCAAGACCGAAACAGCAATAAGACCCTTCACGGCATGCCCGTGGACCCATTGAGGTCGATGAAAGGCATAAAAAGGCACTTCTTTCCCCCTCGAAAAGCAAGATAACAAGATGAACATTGAGCTCCAGAGCATCAAAACCCAGAACCCAACCAGACACTGAAGAAGACACCCGACATGGCGATCTCGTCCCACGACTTCAAGCTCATCAAGCTTGGGTTGGCCATCTTGACAGCCTCCAAGGCATTTGCCAATCCGCTTCCAGAACAGCCAAAGCGCCGACCCGAGGAGCCCCTCAACCCTGGCTTCGAGACGGGCAATCTTCAAGGCTGGCAAGTCGTTCATGGCAATGCCTTTGGAGACCGCTCCGTTACCGATCTGGCCTCGTACTGGGGCGGCCCCTTTTACCAAGACCAGAAGCACTTCATTTTGGGCACCGCCCAGGACGGAGAGTCGGCCGTGGGCGAGCTCAGATCAAGCTCGTTCCGGGCAAACTCTGCTCTGAGCTTCCTCATCGGCGGGGGATATGATCCAGACAATCTTTACGTTGGCCTCGTCAGGGACCGTGACGGCCAGTTGCTTTTAAAGCAGACGGGGACCAATGACGAGGCCCTCATCCGCATTGTCTGGGATACCGGGAAATGGTCTGGCCAAGAGGTCCACGTTGTCATCCACGACAACAGCACGAAGGAGTCCTGGGGCCATATCAACTTCGACGACCTCCGCCTCGGTGATGCTGCTCTTGGCAACGGACCAGGGCTGACCTTCCAGCCCATCGGTCAAGCAAACCAACCGCCGGCGCACGATCAGCCAGCATGCTCACTCTTCGCCGAGGACCCGCTGCGCCCGCAGTACCACTACACGCAGTACCAAGGATGGATCAACGACCCGGCCGGGCTTGTGCAGTGGAAAGGTCGTCACCACCTCTTCAGCCAGTATTACCCGGCCGCTCCCTTCTGGGGCCCGATGTACTGGTCCCATGCCGAGAGCCCTGATGCGGTCCACTGGCGCGAGCTTCCTGTCGCCCTCACTCCGAAGCCGGCAGAGCCTGGCGATGAGTCTGGACGCTTCACCGGCAGTGCCATGATCCATGGAGACGAGTTGCATCTCGTCTTGACCGACTATTTCGACACGAGAGCCCACCCCGACGCAGTTCAAGAAAACGTCATCGTCGCCAGCAGCAGCGACGGCGTCAACTTTACGCTGTCCCCTCAGAACCCCGTCATTCCCGCCCCTCCAGCGGGAGCCCCTGCATTCTTCCGTGATCCCAAAGTCTTCCATGACCCGACAGACAACTCTACAAAGTTGGTGATTGGTGCGTCCAACGGGGAACGGGGCCAGGTTCAGCTGTACCATGCCCCAGCGTCTGACCCGTTTTCCTGGTCCCACGTCGGCGTCCTGTACACCGGAGAGGAAGGCACCGATGCGCTTTGGGAATGCCCCAACTTCTTCCCGCTTGGCGACAAATGGGTGCTCTTTTATGGTTCCAAGGCGTTGGGAGTTTACGAGACGGGGACTTACAACGGGTCCGTCTTCGTGAGCGAGAAGCGTGGCCTCGTCGATGCCGGCCCGGCGAGCTATGCGATGCAGTGGTACAAGGACGAGTCCGGACGCGACCTAGCCATCTCCTGGATGGCGAACTGGCCAACCACCAAGTGGCCGAGCCGCGCCAACGGCTGGGCCGGACAGCAATCCATCACTCGGGAGCTGTTCCTCAGGGCCGACGGCGGCTTGGGTAGCCGTCCCATCGCGGAGCTCGACAGCCTCGCAAGCGGTCCCGCCAGACAGTTGGGCCCGCTCCAAGTCAGCGATGAGGCCGTTGACATTGGCAACACCAACACGGCGAGGCTAAAGCTCACTGTCGATCTCGGCGAGACGAGCGCCTCCTCCTTGACGCTATCCCTGTTCCAATCTCAGGCAGAGTCCACGCTCCTCACCTACCATACCGGAAACCAAACCCTGACCTTGGATACCACCAATGCTGGCTATGGCCAGGCAGGAACGTGGGAGGCGGTCCTCGCTAAGCCAGCAGACAACAAGTTGACATTGGACATTTTCCTCGACCGCTCGGCTTTGGAGGTTTTTGCTGGAGACGGTACTGTCATGTCGGCGACGGTTTGGCCTCGATATCAGGAATCGACAGGCATTAGCGTCGTTGGGAACCAGGGAACTGTGGCCTTGAGCGCCGTCTCGGTCACGCCCCTCGGTTCGAGCTGGTGCTAAGCGCAATTCGAGATGTCGGCCAACTCTCTTGGGGGTACTAGCCAAATTCTTGTAGTTAGGGGACCGTTTCATAGCCGAGAATCCGTATCTAGCGCATGTATCCTGGTTGGAGACTTGGTCATTGATGAAATATGAAATATCTTTTCTCTGATGCGGATGAACAAGCCTGCAAGTGTGGTCCGTTGGGCTCGGGCTTACCAAAAAAGGATCAATCCTCCGCACCCTGCTTCAGTGCCAACTCCGCACGCCGTATGCACACCCCCCCTCCCCCCCTTGCATGTTCACTACTACCCACCCACGCCACCTACCCACCCTCACACTTTGTCCAGAGCTACCCCAGAACCCCAGAAATGTCAAGTCTGGGGTCAGACACTAACCTACTTAATCACTTCCTTGGGGAACCCCGCCCTTGGGAACTGCAATATGCAACAGCCATGGAAGTAGAAAAACCCCGGCCTTGCTCGCCTCGTTCCATGTCCTCACAGGACTCCGGGTGGATTTGTGACACTCAATGATTCTGCTCCATCTCACCCAGACACCACCCAAGCCGTCAAAATGGGAGACCCAACAGCCGGTCAGACGAAACCATCAGTCGCGGTCAAACTGACTCTTGAAGCATGGTCACAGGGCTTCATGGTCGGTGCCTTGATAATCATGTGTGGAATTACCCTTGCAAATATGCGGCGAGGAGTCCTACTCCACAAGCTTATCTTGCTTGAGGTCAGTGACCCCTTGGAATTCCAACCAGGTCATGATTGTAGTCCCATGCTGACGATGGCCTCGCAGCTTGTCCTCGCGCTCCCGAATGGCTTCTTCATCTTTTTCGACCCTCCAGCCTGGGGCTGGTTTCTCTCGTCCACCGTCATCCCGCTCGTCACGTCCTGGTCACTCCACAATGTCATCGCGTGGATGAAGAGCAGGCCATTTCTGGGGCGCAGAGGCAACCTCATCTATATTGGCAGTGTCGCCCTCGTTCAGCCGTATTGGGTCCTCGAGATCTATGCGAACTTTGCCTACTTCAACGGCAAAGACAACCATCTCTTTGCTGCGACACGACCGTACGAAGCCGTTTTCAGGTATGCAACGCTGTTCTATACCTACGTAAAGTGGTTTCTCATCTTGCGGTCTGCTGATATGCCGACGGCTAGGGATCCATGGTGGATATTTACCATTGTCAATCTCTTCTGGAACATCATGTTCCGCTACGAGCTTGGCTTCATCGAGATTGTCCGAGTGTGTCCCCGTTTCGGCATCCTGTTTCTTTGCATGGCTTTAAGCTTTATCAGCATCGTCGTCGACCTCTTGTCCGTAACCCCGGTCATCCCAATAGGCGTCATCAACCCGTTCTGGAAATTTGCTTTCGTCTTCAAATGCTTTACCGATAGCATTATCCTCGACGACTTCAAGTCGGCCTTGGACAAACTCAGTCACCATCGAAGATCTCAGATCCTTCCCTTCGATGTTCTGGGCGACACAGATTCGGAACGGGGCGGTATTCCTCAGAGAGAACACAAGTGGCCGTGGCAATATGACGGAAAGGCTGATGGAAAGCCAGCCATGATGGACGCGAATTCCAGGAAATCAGCTATCGAGTTGGAGGATGGTGGTATTTGTTCTCCGTCTCCAGCTGTCATCCATGTAGAAAATATAGCGCGCACATGAGCGTGGGGATTATCTCATTTTCGAGTGCAGGTTCGTAGTCCGCCGGCAGTGATTGCATATGCGTAGGAGCAATTGTACAGTCTCCATAGTAGCGATTACCTCTCAGAAGTCGTTGAGAGGATAATTGCAGTAGTTCACGAGCTCGTCGTGCTCTGGGGTTCGTGAGATGCTCTGTGATCTTAAACTCAATCCACATCCTCTGCGTACCTAAGGATGAAAGCAACGGAAAAGCCTGTTGACAAAGACAGCTAATATAGAGAGGCCAAATTACGCACTCGGTGAGTGGATTTAACAATCTCAAAGACTCAACCCCAACTCCAAAAGGGGCGCCCGGCTCGGAATACCTAAGGTACGTTCTCAAAACGAGATGATTTCCCACTCACCATCCCTCCAATCCACCCTTACATTAATTCCAGCCTCGCCACGCGCCCATTATACCCCCCTTCACGCCAACAACATCCCCCCAACCATCCCCGTAACTACCATCCCCCACCCACCCCCTCCAAGTCCACCCCCAACAAACTGGACGCGCCCCGGCCCCGCCCCCGACGTTCCCGCAGCCGCATACGTCAGATTATACCCCACCTCCACGCGCTCCTCCATCGTCAGCGCCCACAGCGACACGTCATACGCGAGCTCTGTCACGCGGAGGGTGATGGTGTAGGGGTTGGCGGGGCTGGCTTGGAGGCTGGTGCCTTCGGTGCTGCCGCCGGTGACAGAGGTCTCGATTTCGGTGCCGTCGCCGGAGATGGCGTGGAGGGATGTGAGGGTGCCGGTGCGGAGGGTTAGGTGGAAGGTGTATCTGTTTGTGTTTGTTAGGTTTGTTGGGTGGAGGGGTGAGGGGGAGGGTGAAGAGGGAAGGGAAAAGGGGGGGAGGGGAAAAGGGATTGGGGAGGGGGTGCTTACGAGCCTGGGTTCACGTCGCCGAGGAACATCATCAGGGCGTTTTCTCCGGCTGGGGTCATGTCGCTGAAGAAATCGTCTGTGGGAGCCGGTTGGTTAGCGTACCATATTGGATTTGGGGTTGGGTGTGGCGGGGTTTTGGTATTGGTTGTGCGGAAGACATGCCTTGGGTTAGGCTCTCGCCGCCGAGGTCGTCGTCCCTCTTGACGGCTGACGCAGCGTCCAGCCCGCAGTTTTGGGCAGACCCCTCGGTCGGCCTGCCTGTCTCGCAGTCCCAGCCTGTGAGCTCGACGACATAGTCGTTGCGTTCTCCGACATCCCGTCTCAGCCTCATGAGGTTGAACCCCTGGAATGAGTTTTGCCACCCGGGAATGCAGATGGCCGTGCCCTCGCCGCCCTGGAGAGACCTCGCTGGAGGAGGCACTGTTGTCAGCATTTCATCCCCTAAGAATAAAGGGGAGCAACAGTTGACTAACCAAAGGGGAATTCGTCACAGGTCTGGGTCCACTTAACGCCCGCTCTTCCGCTCGGGATGTCTACAAAGTGGGCGTAAGGGTTACACGGTCCCGATGAGTCGCCCGGGGGGCATGGCACATTCGCCTCGTCTGTACGTGTCTTAGCCGAACCGGGCTTCATTAAGAGCGGCGTTGGCGGAGGCACTCACCACAGAAACCGTCGGGGCACATTTTCGGTCTGTTTGTACTGAATAGGTCGGGCCGATATGTGAGCTTCATTCTGGTCGAGATGCATTTCCGCGCTTCCGTAATCCCTAATGACCGAAGCGTTAGTTTATATGTAAAATACCTTGTTCATGTAGCTAAGGTATGTACCTTTGCACATGCTGTTCATCAGCTACAGACACGTCAGCATTCCTCCAGCCGGCCTAGCAGCATTTCAATCAACGTACCTCTCTGTTGTCTAGGCAGAGTTGCCTATCGGAACCCGGAGGGGTCGTGTACTTTTCCTTGTACGGCATCGTCATGGTCGGCAGAGTCGCGTCCGAATCGACGTCGTCGGTGCAGGGTTCCGGTTCCTCCGGCTCGGAACTGACAATACTAGTCGCACTACTAGTAATCTCGGTTGTCCTTGTCGATATAATTGTGCTTGTTAACGCTGTGGTGCCCGTAGATGTCGACCTGAGCGTACTAGCACTCGTCCTCGTACTCGTCCTCGTACTCGTTTGGGTGGCGGCGCCAGAAGTCATAGAAGGTGGCCAGGCGCATCTGTTTCCGGTGCAGATCGCCCCGGTGTTGCAACAAATTCTACCGCAGCATGCATTTCCGAGAGGGCAAACCCCGTTCCCTCCAGGACAACATTGATGCGTTTCGGGGAAGTAGTAGTACGATGGTCCGCAACACGTCGCCCCGGGTGGCGCACATGGACGGACGCGGTCCGGGCAGACGATTACTGTGGTGGAATTCTCAGCAAAGGCTTCTTTCCGCTATGAAGCTCTCTTGAACACCTACCCCATCCTGGATTTTCGCACCGCTGCCCCTGTCGGTCTACGATCAGGCTCCCCGCATCCGTTGAGGCTCCCAATAGTCCCCGCTCGTTCTCCGTGACCATGGGCATCGAGAGATCATTCGGCTCGAGTTGGGCTGAGGTAGAAGCTATGAAGTGATAAAGAATAGGCATATGTGCCCAACTCCTAATGGACCTCATTGTGACTATGACGTGTACCTGAGAGTGCAATGGTTTAATATTAATATCCTCGCAACGGTTAACATCAAAAGGGGGAACTTCAATTCTATGATCGTCTAACTGGAATCCCCCGGCTTTATGTGTACACAACCTTGACTCCGCAAGGCGACGAGGCGGCGGATCCATGCCCATGGTGGCGGTGTCGGGTCAGCATGGCCCGGATCGTCGCCGGCGGTTGCAACCGCACCGTGACAAGGCCCAATCAGGTGTTCCTCTTCCGATATTCCTGACGTGACTGACCCGCCGATCTCGAAATCACACATCATAGCCTTGTGGGGTTTATTCTACTTTGGTCTCCCCAGTTCGAGCCCAGGTTGTGGCCAAAGGTCATGGTGATGTGCACAAGTTATTAATATGTCCCTTGTGGTGTTGGCTACAGAGGTTCGATAGCGTCAAGGTCACGATCCATCATTAGACCTCGACTGTTTTGTTCGCCCATCAAGCACTACGAGCGCACTGTCTGCTGGGATACGGCCCTGCGGCGATCACCGCATCAACCTGGAAATGATGGGGGGAATGTCCTCAGGTCTGTTCTGTAGCTCCTTTTGCGAACCTCCCCCAAATGTGTCTCGCCACGTCATTCGGGCTCGGTTTAATAAAAGAAAGGGTAGGTAGGAATGGTTACCTATGTGGCATGCAACCCACACTCAGAGATCAACCGCATAGCAAACCTGCCTGTGGATATCCTTTCGGCCGCCGACCGCCCACGTGCCGCCCCCAAAGCCTCGCAAAGTATACCGTTCAAGGTTTTCCAACCAGGCAATTGATAACCGAGAGGTGTGTAGATCCTCCCCCACCTGCCGCTTCGACAGCCATGGGGAACGTGAGTGTCGAGTGTCGAGCTCCCGAGCTCGAGAGATATGAAACGGAGGGCAAGCTCGCTCCTTGCCTCTATGTACGTTGTGATGACCGCGCCCAATATCCCTTGTATCATCTCGCAATTATACCGTGTTGTTGGGAAAATAGATTTTGGAGAGTGCAAGGAGGGGGAACTCGAACCAGAGGGAAATGTCCCGGATAAACGGAATGTTTAGGAGGGGAGTGCGCAAGACATTTGTCGGCGAACGTGGTCACCCTCACGATGTGTGAGGTATAGATAACTGCCTGGGCCCAAGTAAACACACCCCTTTGTTTACCGTACACCTTGAAGATACAGCCCGCCGCCTCTCGCGTTCCAGACCACCACCGGCGCTCGAGCACCCCCAGACCTGTTGACTTTTACCACCGCCCCCTCCGTGCTGCCCGGTATTGCGATACCGGTACCCGTTTGAGAATGTTGTCCGCTTCCACCATGCTAGACCACCCTAAGCCCTCGGGCCATCGAGACGTCGCTGGCGGATGAAGAGGGCCAACACGAAGGCCGTGGCGGAGAACAAGAACGACACGCCTACGGAGTGTTTTAGGGAGGCGGTATGCGGTCAGATAAAACAGATAACTTACCATGGCTCCACCACAGCCCATCAACATACGAGCTCACCACGGCTTCCCGTACACTCCCCGTAACCCGGTCCACAAAGTCAACGTCAGACACCGTGCTCTCAATGATCTACCCAGCCAAAGTTAGTCAACCAGTCGCCCTCACGCCTCACACAGCCAACGACAAACACTAACAACCACCAAAAAGAGAGACAGGAAAAGAGAAAATGGAGAAACTCACCTTCGCAACCTCCCCAGCTCCCACCCCCAACCCAAGCAGCCTCCCCCTCAGCACCCGGCGCAGCACGGTCTGCATGACGGCGTTGGAGAGCGGCAGGCCGATGGTCAGCGCGACAGTGCTGATGAGGTACATGAAGGAGATGGCGGGTGCGAGGTGGGATGGGTCGGCGACGACGGCTTGGAGCGAGACGAAGACGGCGGATTGGGCGACGCCGGTGCCGAAACCGCTGGAAGGGGGGGAGGTGGTTAGTGGGCGTTATCTTGTGGGGGTTTGTGGGGGTGGGGAGGAATATGAGGGAGGGGATGGAAGAGGGAAAAGGGGTCGAGAAAAAGGGGTGGCAATACACACCTTGGGAAAATGTAGAGAGACTCCCAGAAGTTGGTGTTGCCGTGCCAGCGGAGCATGAGCAATAGATAGCTGAACGAGGAGAGCGCAACGGCTATGATGATCAGGGTCTTGTAACGGCCGGACCTGGAAGGGTTAGTTACATATTCTGGCTTCGTCGAATTTGCACCCGGCGGCCCCCTTATTCAGCTAAATGATTCATCCCCCGTACTCACCTCTTGATGAGTAGCCCAGATATCAACCCCCCGAGAGCATTACCAACCACAGCAGGCACAAGATGCGCCCCGGAAACCGTGTTAGACGCGCGGGTCGTGATCTGGAAGTAAAGAGGCACCGAGAACATAAGCTAGCACAGTGTCAGCCTCTATCACACCTATCTCACACCCTGACTGGTACGCACCCCGAGTTGGGCTGCAATCTGCAGTCCCAGTATGGCAAATGACAAGACGGCATCTCGGCGGTGGAAAATCTCGAGGGGTAAAATCGGTTCCGCCTGCCGTTTCTCTACCGCCACAAAAATAAACAGCAGCACGGGACTGAAGGCGAAAAGAGCAATGATGGCAGGATGAGACCATGGGAGCTTAACACCTCCAAGCTCGATAGGCAGAAGAAGCGCAAGGATGGCCAGGGCAAAGAGCACGGAGCCCTTGAAGTCGACGCGGCTGAGCTTGCTCTTCTGGGTGGCTGTGTTGTTGATAGTATCAGAGGGCTCAACGCCTGGGGGGGGACTAGGGAGAGAGACAGTAACGAGGATAATGGCGAGTATGACGGGTGGGATTTGGCCGAAAAAGGACCTGGAAAATTCGGTTAGTGTCCTCATGGGTTTGAGAATCGGTACAACTAACCATCGCCAGCCGATGACATCGACTAGCCATCCGCCTAGGGGACCTCCGATGCTCCGGCCCAGAGTAGCAACCAGATTAACATACGCACGCCATTGGGCGACCTCTCTGATCGGGAGGAGGTCTACACTAGTCAGCTTTTGAGCCCCCCTTGGTGGTAGTCAGACTTTACCTGTGATTAGAATAGAGACTAGTCCGGCCATTCCAGATGCCCCCGCGCCCGAGATGACTCGACCGAGGATGACTTGCCACATGGTTTGGCCCATGCCGCTGTCTGTCATTAATACATGCAAGTATAGGTTGTCTCGAATTCAAGCAGACTTACACGATGGCACTGTTGACAGGCAGTTAGGATCGCATTCAAAGCTGAACCTGGAGGATACTCACCAGCCAACAACAAAGATAACATATGCGGTGATCACCAGACTCTTTCGGCCGTATATGTCACTTAATTTCCCGTACTTGACAAAACTCTGGTCAGTACTGACAGTTTCTCAAGGCCCAAGAGGCTTACTAGTGTCTGTGTGGCAGCCCCCGCGAGGGCGAAACCAGTGATGAGCCAGCTCGAGTTCTCCAAGTCGTTGAACTCCGACGCGATGATAGGGTGCGTTGCTAGCAGGATCGAGCCGTCGGCGTGTGCGACAAAGATGCCTTTACTGGCATTAGCTCTCATTACTTTGAGTTGTTCGGGTCAGCCCTGAGACATACCGATAAGCAACACCGAAATAATCCGGGCTACATGGCTCCTGTCTATCCCCTCCTCAGTTTCTCCTTCTCCCTGGCTCTCTTCATCGTCGGTACCGGCTTTCAGGATTGATCCGTTGGTTCCATTGCCTGCGAGTGACCGTTGGGCCGGAACTTCGGCTGCCGAGACAGACACGGTCCCATGCCCGTTCGCGTCGACGGCTTTGCCCAGCAGCGGTGACTGCTCTGAAGGCTGATCGCCTGTTGTGTTCAAGTGCTGAACCATAATGGCTATCTGGAATATGAGTACTCGGAATTTACAAACGCCACAAATGGAGTTTTGGGAGGACTTGCGTGGACCGATCTCGGTCTTTACCGGAACACGACGAACCGACTATCTCGTTTGACTCAACTTGCACGTTTTCATGAAAGAGAAATTCGATTTCCAATATGCATCGGCCTCTCGGCACCCCGAATCGCCGCTTTTCCCGAACGTGGCTTATCCCCGTTTTGATCCTGTCTCAGCCGATCACGACATTCACAAGCCAATGTCGTAACCCCTGAGCGTCTTATCCCCCCACTCAGCTGTCCGAATTACCCAACTAGCGCAATTGCGGTGCCACGACATGATTCCTGTCGGAGTTGTCGCAAAAGCGCTGTTCTCGGCGTTCCGATTGTTCAGTCTCGGATTGATCTACAGATTTACAGATGATCTTATAGGAGGAATGGGCACACCGCCCGTTGTACGAGAATTGTTATACGCGACTTTTCTGCCTGGTGAAACAACGAGAATGTGGAAAGCGGTAACGCAACTCTTCTCGTAGGATCATATGGAGAGCCCGCCCATGTGGGGGTTGAGATACAAAACGGGGTTCAGGGGGGCCGCGGATCGATGCAATTGCCAGGAATAATAACGCCATCACCAACAAAGGGACTCGGCAACCCACCGCGTACCATGGTTCGGGTATAGCTTGGATTCCGTCGAGAGATAACAATGACCAAGAGCCACTTCACTTGAAGTCTTGGGAATTGTTCGCGATAGTCGTCTTCGGCTGTCTCACCATATCCTCATAATTATCCCCTCTCTCATATTGATTACCATGCGTTTCTCAGGCGTGGCCCTCACGGCGGGCTTATGTCTACCCGTCGCCCTAGGGAGCGGGAATGGCCAGCAGCCGCTGGGCCTGAGCGACTCCTGGGGACCCAGCCCTCAGGGTAAGAAGCCAAACATTGTGTTCATCCTGACCGATGACCAGGACTTGCACATGCAGTCGCTGGACTATATGCCGTTGGTCAAGAAGCACCTCACAGATAAGGGCACTTTCTACAAGCGCCACTACTGCACCACGGCCATCTGCTGCCCCTCCAGAGTCTCTCTATGGACCGGCAAGCTGGCACACAACACCAACGTCACCGACGTGAACCCGCCCCATGGTAACCTCCACTTGCCCCAAGAAATAGGACAGACAAACGCTAACCACGGACACAGGCGGCTACCCCAAGTTCGTGAAGCAGGGGCTCAACGACGCCTACCTGCCACTATGGCTGCAGCAAGCCGGGTACGACACGTACTATACGGGCAAGCTATTCAACGCACACACAGTCGACAACTACCACACCCCCTACGCCGCCGGGTGGAACGGCTCCGACTTCCTCCTCGACCCCTACACCTACATGTACCTCAACGCGACCTTCCAACGCAACCGCAACCCGCCCATCAGCTACCCCAACCAGCACTCGGTCGACGTGCTCACCCAAAAAGCCCTCTCCTTCCTCGACGACGCCACCACCCCGCCCAACCGCAACCGGCCCTTCTTCCTCGGCATCGCGCCCGTCGCGCCCCACAGCAACGTGCACATCTCCAAGGACGCCCTCACCCGCCCCTTACCCTCCAACCCCAACGACTCCATCGATGATCTCATCTCCTTTACCCCGCCGATCCCAGCCGCGCGCCACGCCCACCTCTTCGCCAACGTCACCGTCCCGCGCACCCCGCACTTCAACCCGGCGGGGTCCGCCTCCGGCGCGAGCTGGGTGCGCGGGCTGCGGCACCAGGGCAAGGAGAATGTGGAGTTCAACGATCATTATTATCGGCAGCGGTTGAGGACGCTGCAGTCGGTGGATGAGCTGGTGGAGCAGGTGGTGGAAAGGTTGGAGAGGTTGGGCGTGCTGGAGGAGACGTTCGTGTTTTATACGACGGATAATGGGTTCCATATTGGGCAGCATAGATTGCAGCCGGGGAAGGAGTGCGGGTTTGAGGAGGATATTAACATCCCGTTGATTGTGAGGGGGCCGGGGGTGCCGCGGGGGGAGGTGGCCGAGGTGGTGACGGCGCATGTGGATTTGGCGCCGACGGTTTTGGGGATTGCGGGGGTGGATGTTGAGGGGGTGGTGAAAGGGGGGGTGGTGCCGGAGTTTGATGGGGAGGGGATTCCGTTGACGAAGGGGGAGTTGAAGGCGGCGGTGGGGACGAGGCATGAGCATGTCACGGTGGAGTTCTGGGGGATTGCGGCGTCCGAGGGGAAGTTTAAGCTGGCGGGTGATGATGGGCAGCGGTTGGTGGTGAATAACACGTACAAGGCGCTGAGGGTGATCGGGGAGGAGTATAACCTTTATTACTCGGTTTGGTGTAGCAACGAGCATGAGTTGTATGATCTCAAGGTATGTCCTATCCCTATTCTGCTGAGATGGATATGGAGAGAGGAGAGACTTGAACTAACTCGTTGACTTAGACGGATCCTTACCAACTCAACAACCTCCTCCACAGCACTGCCAAACGTCCCGCCACGCTCATCGGCGTGCCGTTCGAAAAGGTCATTGCCCGACTTGACGCGCTGCTGTTCGTGCTCAAGTCATGCAAGGGTCAGACGTGTGTGAGGCCGTGGCATGCCCTACACCCGGCGGGTAACGTCCAGAACTTACACGGAGCCCTGAGCAGCCGCTTCGATGTCTTTTACGAGGAGCAGCAGCAGAAGGTCAGCTTTAACCGCTGCGAGATGGGCTATCTTTTAGACGCCGAGGGGCCACAGTTTGAGACGGACGGGTTGGCATACCGACAAGGGGTGAGGTGGAGTGAGTGGGTGTAAGACAGTACATAGCGAGCGAAGTTGAAAATTAAACGACGATCTCCAACGCTTCATTCACACGTGTCGTATGTCACAATATGGAAAGGTTCCAGATGTTTGCGGTGGCCAAGACAAAAAGAGCCGGGACGGCCTCAGGGTAGGAGATAGCAAAAGGAATGATCGACCCAGGGATCGAACCTGGCACCTTCTCGGTGGAATTACTCCAGTTGAGTCCAACTTTGTGAACGAGACGTGATAACCACTACACCAGCCGACCGTTGTTATTGGTCCACCACCTGCAGCTTGCTCCTATCAGGCACGCTGACAAGCGGCGTCCTCCGCCCCAACATAAGGTAGCCTTGATGGTATTAAGTAAAGGGTAACTAAGAGTGACAATCTCCGTTGGAGAACACTATGACGGGCAAAAAGAAGTCCCAGGTTCGAACAAGGCACTAATTAGCAGTGTAGTGTTAACAGTAAAACACTGCACATCATTTAGGGTCTGCTCAAAATGCATATGAAAGGGGCAACGTATAATTCCGCCCCTAATCGAACTACTAGACCGCTCCAGAACCTAAACGGTCCATGCAGATGGACATTGAGGAGCTAGCAATCAGCTATCGCAGTCTGCAGGCATTTCATTGGTATGAAAGGTGGCTAGAAGCAGCCGAGAATTGATCGTGACCGCCAGGCATGATATTAGTTTCAGACCTGTGCTCGTAAGACCTTTCCGTTACGAAGTCTCTTTGGTGCCCTGATCAGCTCTGGACACGACACGTCACACCCCCTCCCAACCCGCCTGGTATCATCCGTCCCCCTACTGGTCTCGAGAGCGTCGCCGTCACAGCTCGGTGTGTTCTCTTCCGTTAGCTGCTCTGTCGACTGCATTGGGTAGAGTCAGCTTTAGTCTTGGTGCTTGTGGCGTCTTATTGGAGGGATAGAAGGGGTACCTGGGTGGTAAACGACTCAAATACTGCGGCGAAGGAGTAGTGCGGATCATCGCTGACACCACTGTCTCTCCTCCGCTTCTTAGAATAAGAGCCCAATTTGAACGACCGCCGTGCTTGTGGCGGTTCCGAATCTTCACGGTCGGTTTCGGGCTCAGAGTTCTCAGATGCATCGTTGGTGGTGCAGACTCCTGTGGCGAGATGTTCCTCCCAGAGGTTGGGGTAGTTCCAGTCAACCTCGTGAGCGTTTCCGGCCAGGATGTGGACAAACCATAAGGCTAGGTTCACTGTCAGAGCTCTGTATTCATTAGAACTGCCTTGTCTGTGATTCTCCCATGGGATGGACACGTATTCCATCAATCCATTTGTTGAGAGGGCTTGTCTTAGTGCGGCTTCATCCCTACTGGAATCCCCGTTGGCATCGGCAACTAGATTGTGTCAACTTGTTTGTGAGAAATTATTCCAAGCATGGAAACGGCCGCACCTGACACCTCAGTTCGAAGCTTGATGCGGAAGATAAAAGCCTCCTGAGTCGTGATGATGCAGCCATACCGGCACCCGAATTTAACACAATAGGTGTAAACCTGGCGGATTGGCTTGGCCTCAGGTTTACTCGCCTGACCTGGTGTCCATTTCCCAGCTTTGCCTGTCATCCATCCACCGAAAATGGCCGAGCTCCGCCACTTGGACGCTACCTTGTAATCCTTGGGAAGTCTCTCGGTTTCTGAGCAGCAGTTCTGGCAGATCGACACAGCGCCCGCATCGGGCTCCAACCGAGTTGATTCTTTGGTCGTCTTTTTGTCGGTTTCGTGCTGTCCTTTTCGTCTGCGTGGCACCCATATAGATGGATGAAGCGTTCCTTGGACAGCCTGTAGAGATGTCGCCACGATTCTGTGGTTCCAGACCGTAAGCGCGTGTGTTGTCGTAGGCTCGTCATGAACGACATCATCGATTGTGGCCAAGACTGAAGGGTAGGCCAGAGACGACCGGCCCTTCCGGGCTTCATCGATGAGACGTCTTCCGTACACGGTCTCCAGGGTAGAGAAGCTGAACTCATCCCAGGTCTTCAATTGCCTCGGATAAAGAGAATTTCGGACAGTGGTCAGTGACTTGCTGTGTGGCGTTTGATAATGTATATCGGGATTCCGAGCGGTGAGAAACTCGAAGATTGATTCTGCTTTCGCCTCTCCATCCATAGTGATATCCCGGGGTGAGAGAACCTTGCTGTTAGGGACTCCAGGATTCGGATGATCTCCGAAGTTTTGAGGAGAAAGAAATAAAGTCACCTACTTCTATGAGAATGGATTAAACGGGTTCGACTTTCAAGTTTCGAGCCGTACGAAGCCCGTCGGCTTATATACCTGGGTACATGTACCTAAGGTAGGTAGCCAAAGCCTTCCTTCAGCTGCCTACCCACACTCCAACACAAGAGCACCCACACAATTCTCCTTCACGAATTGTAAATTAGGCATAATTCTGGACTATGTGCCAACTTGCAGCTTTGGCTGCGCAGTGTAACCGCATCTATGCTGGCGGTTGGCTGCAGCCCCTCACTTTCATGCGCGTGATGCGGGCGGATGATGTTGGTGTGGTTGAGCCGGGCCAAACTAGTGAATACTGGCAAGCAGGTAGATAAGGGATGTGAAAGTTGAAGGCGAGCGTCCCTAAAATTACGCACAACATGCTCATTCCATCGTGAGTGAGTCATTTCTGCACTTGTTCGCCCTCGACTGCAGCCCGGGAGGGGATTACTGGGGAGCAATGGCTGGAAAGCGGACTCGGAAGAGCCGAAATGGAAGAGCCCGTCATCCATTAATACCGCTCCCTCCTTGTGGCGGCCCAAAGCTACACCCCTTTAAACACCAAAAAGCGCCAATAGAGTGGCTAGAGAGGCTTGATGCAGACCGTGCAAACGAGTCCGGGGCAGAAGGTTGTGTCTTCAAAGTGAGAATCCAGTCTCAACTCTACGCCCTCAAAGTGGTAAGCCTCTCCATACACTTCCTAATAACTGAGGTACTTTGAATAGTAAAGGTAACGAGAGGCTGAACCGCTCTAGTTCAAATTCTTTGATCCCTCAACTACCGACTACTACTGGGGCAACTTACTAGACAACTCGGTGCCTCTCTCGGATGTTATTTTCCACACCGATCCTTTCTATGCCGAGTGCCGTGCCTACGGAAGGATCAAGCAGGCCCAGGGAAACCGGCGAGGAAAGCGGGAGGTCGCGGTCCCATGCCATGGATACCTGTTCCTACAAGAGCGAGATATGCAAATTCTTCGAGACCAAGGAGTCGATCTGGATGAAGATGCTGTGGACGATGAGTTACTCCGCGTTAATCAAGAAAACGGTCGCGCCCGAGCGATCATTAAGGACTTCGTACCAGGAGACGCAGGAGTCAACGTTGGAAACCTCCGCGAGATCCTTCGCGATATACGCGCGCTAAACAAGCTCGGCATTTACGTTAGTGACGTCCGGACTGACAACTTCAAAGCGGGGAAGATTGTCGACTTCGGCTTGTCTAGTACGGAGCCGCACTGTATCATGAAGGCGTTGGATGAAGTGGGGCTGAGGGATTTGAAGTTGGAAGATTTGGTGATGTTTGATGAGATGGTTGTCGAAGAAGGGTTGGTTACCACGGTCAGGGCCATGCCCAATATGGAGTATTGTTCAAAGCTGCGGTCTTGGTCAAAGTACTAATTGCGTTATGTTCCTACCTAAGATGTTGGAGCCGGAAATATGCCTTGTATACATGGTAATTATGCTATACACCCTTGTTGATGACTGGTAAATGTAGTACATGGTAATACGCTGTAGTCCATGGCCTCCGAAGCCGCCACTGTCGGCCAACACCTCAGTCTTTCTCCACACACAACCATGAAAGCTAGGATTCTCAAAATATCCATCTCTCCGGTGAAAGTTACCGAGATACATAGCATGCCGATGTATTTTATTGTTTATGCCGTGTGCTTACAGAGTAGACTACCACCCAACCATATATTCAAGGAGTCCCGCCACCCTTTTCTGCTTGTAATCAACTCCACGCCATCGCTCACGTCGACCTGACACTAGGCGAGTCTTGTAGGCCTGCAACTCCTAAAGCTTCGCCGTCGACCCCTCCAACAACTTGTTCCCCAGCTGTGCCATCTCAAACTTGCGCACCTTACCACTACCAGTTAGGGGCACCGTAGCCGGCACACCATCCACCCCCAACCAAAACACATGCGTCGGCGCCTTGTGCTTGCCCAGCTTCCGCCTAACCCACTCCCTAACCTCATCCACACCCGGCCGCTGCTGCTGCCCATGACCGGCATCCACCTCCAGAAACGCGCCGACGACCTCCCCATAATGCGCATCCTTCAGCCCAACCACCACCGCCATACCCACAGCCGGGTGCGCCACCAACCTTTCCTCAATCTCCAGCGGGTAGATATTCTCCCCGCCCCTAATAATAATATCCTTAAACCGCCCCGTAATCGAACAATACCCACGCCCATCAAAAACCGCCTCATCCCCCGTATGCAACCACAGAACACCACTCTCATCCCTCACCATCACCTCCCCCGTCTTCTCCGAATTATTCCAATACCCCGCCTGCAATTGATACCCGCCAATACACAACTCCCCCCGCACCCCGACCGGCACCACCCTCCCATCCCTATCCACAATCTTCGCCCTCGCATGCGGCATCAGCGTCCCCACCGTCGCCAACCGCGTGGCGATCGGATCGTCGGTAAACGCATTAAAACACGTCGGCGACGCCTCCGTCAGCCCGTAGCTCGACGTGAACTCGGCCATGCCCAGCCGCGCCACCAGCTGCTCCATCAGATACCGCGGCACCGGCGCGCCCGCAATAATCCCGGTACGCAATCTGAGATCAGACGCGCGCAGCCGCTTTGCCTGCGGCAGAGCCAAAAGGCTGTCGAACATGGCGGGCACGCCGTGCAGGGCGGTGCAGTGCTCGGTGAGCAGGGCGCGGAGGGTGGCGGGGGCGTCGAAGACTTCGGCTGGGTAGACGATCTTGGCGCCGTGGGTTAGCACGGAGAGCAGGCCGAGCACTAGGCCGAAGCAGTGGAAGAGGGGGGGTGGACAGCAGAGTGTGTCGGCGGGGGAGAGGCGCATGCGGTCGCCGATGAAGCGCGCGTTGTTGACGATGTTGCTGGGGTGGAGGGGTCAGTGGGCAGTCGAGGGGGTTTGGGGTCGTGGGGCGGAGACTTACTGGTGGGTGAGCATGGCGGCTTTTGGTAGGCCGGTGGTGCCGCTGGTGAACTGGAGATTGCAGACCAAGTGGGGGAGCACCCTGGACTCGGCGTCGTGGAGGAGGTCGGGATCGACCCGAGAGCCTTGTGACAGTAGGTCTTTGAACGTGGTGTACCCGTCCGAGTCGCCCCGGAGGATCACAACCTTTGGTCCCGTTGCTCTCGCCGAAAGCTGGGTGAGCAGCGGCCCTTGGTCGAGCCGCGCTATGCGTTTAGTTGTGAAGAAGACCTTGCATTCTGCCGTGATAGTGAGTTTCCGGAACAGTCAAGCAGGGATATGTGAAAAGCATACCGGAAAAGTCGAGACCGTACTGCGCCTCGGTCGGGGTGTATGTGTTGTTGAGAATTACTAAGATGGCGCCTATCCTCGTCGCGGCAAAGAAGACGGCGGCGTACTGCTCGCAATTACCCGCCATGATGCCCACTCTGTCGCCTACGCCAATACCCATTTCTAGCAGGGCGGCCGCCAGCAGCCGGCTGCGGTGGTTGAGCTCGTTGTAAGTCCATCTCGCGCCGGTCCACGGGATCACCAGTCCTTCTCGCGTGCCGTGATGGAGGCATTGAAGGTTGAGTAGTTCGCCGAGTGTCAGATCGACCAGGGGCGGATCTGTTGGGCCAAAGAGGAGTGATGGTCTCTGAGGTTCGGGGAGAACGAGGTCCTCGACGGGGTTGTGGAAGGGGACTTGAACCGACATGACGAGTGAAGGCGGAAGCTGAGCGTCCTGTCTTTTGCACAATTCAATCAAGCTAGATACCGCGATATTCCGTTGTTCTAATCGTTACACGAGAAAGGAGCCGTCTGTTCGGGAGGATTTGCGGCTTGTGTGAGCGCATTGCAGGATCCAAGACTCGACCACAGGGTCGGAGCCGAGCGGAAGATAGAGGACTCGGACGGGATGTGATGCCACCCAACCGACCGGACCCGTCTAGCGCCAGCGGACCCGAACTCTCGAGGTACCTAGGGCTATCCCTTTCCGGCCCTGCACATGAGCGCGCCGAGCTCGATCTAATCTGATTAGATGCGTCCAGGCAGCCCCCCGTTATCTCGGACCACTCACCACGATTCATTGGCTCGGGAGCCAGGTTCCGGTGGCTTCTCGTCTTCCAAAGGCGACCCATCCTCGCTTATTCAACCTCCATTTCGGCATGGAGGGCCTCGCTTCTTGGGTCAGGACTGGTCCGCGTGATTGTGGGCTGCCGTGGAAGGCGACGCCGCGACATTGTCCCTCGGCTCAAAAGTCAGAACCGGGACTAGCAGCGTGTGGTGGAGCGAGATTGGGGCCCTCCCCACGATAACCGGAGAAAAGGTCAAATTTTTCTTGCAGGTTCCCATCGACAGCGGGGTCCGTCGCACCTTCCACGATCTGATAACAAGAAAATGCTGGGAAGTGGTGCGATGTGGACAGTGGGACCCTTTCTGCCCTAGTAAAATGCCGCAGAGGGTCCATTGCCAGTGGCGAATCATTCTTCCCTCAAGATCTGATAACATTATTCATGCCAAGTCCGTCCCACACTGCCTTCTCTGAAGCTGAAAGTCGTTGCTCCGGGAATTACTCTTGTTCGTCCCGGACACCATAATGGCAGGACTGATGTCTTACTGTTCATGCTTCTGGCTGAATCCGATTCTCAAATCTGTACTAGACAGCAGGTTACCATACCACAGTTCACATGCCGTCCAAAAGAAAAGACAGTTTGACGACTCCCGGGATTCCCACGGGTGGTGAACCCACGCTGCCCCTGTCGATCTCCGAGGTCGGTGCCAAGGAACTGCCGGGCAACTTATCTGATCCGCTTGCTGGCGTCCCAGTAAAGTTATCAGATCCGGATCCCGGCATCCATGCGAACCCCCTACCGCGCATTTCATTGGTTGGACGTTTCGGCCCTCTGTCTGGAAACACGACGCGGGCCCAACAACAAGACGGAGCAATGGAACCGATTTCTGCCGCCGGCATGGCCCAGGAACCTGGCTCGCCTGGCCAGCGGCCCCCTTCCAACCATTACCGAGGAGGTGCAGATGCGGATATTGCCAATATTGGATACCAACGCCGTGGTGCGTTTTCTGGAACCGGCCATTTGTGCTGCCGAACATGTGATGAATTGTAGTCTCCGGGTGTGTTCCAGTTCCCATTGCAAGCTCCCAAATTATCCAAATTGAACCTCATCATCATTGTCCCAACATTAGCCTACCAAGATGGCGTCACCAACCAAAACACCACAGCAATTCGCAACCTACGCGGCCTCTTCACAGCCAATTGTGAGGCTCCCGCATCCCTATCTCACGCCGTACTTCCTCAAGAAAACCAACGATGGCAGCGCCTACCAGCTCACTCTCGACGAGCCCGAGCCTGGCACCAAGCAGCCCTCAGATCCCCTTCACCATGCCGCCATGTCTTTCTCCGAACCGCAAGACCTCAAATCCAGTGACCGCCCCAGCGACTCCAACAACACACCGTGGGCGAGGGCGCGCCGCAACCCCGCAGTGACGGTCAACTGGACAGGCAGCTCCCAAACCCCAACCGTCGGCCAGCTCTGGCTCATCACCTACGCCGTCTTCACCGTGCGCCCGGCCGAGGAAGCCTTCCGGCTAGACTCCCAGGGCCCCGGCGCAGCCCGCCTCGCCCAGCAGCTCAAGGCGCTCGGCCTCGCCATCGACCACCCCGCGACCGCCACCGAACTGCTCATCTCGCGCAGCGCCTTCTGGCAAGGCGCGGGCTCACCGTTCGGCGCACGACCCGCCTGGGCACCCGAAACCCAAGACCCAGACCTGTCCGCCTACCCGCTCCCACCCCCCGAGTACGTCATGACGGACGCGGCGGCAACCGCCCTATGCTGGCACCCGCGACGGCGGGCGAAGCCGGCGGCGGGGAGCGTGGTGTACAGCCGGTGGATCCCGCACCTGGGCGAGACGTTCAGCATGGCGGCGCTGGACTGGACGGACGCGTCGCACGTCGACCTATTCCACGCCTGGCAGAACGACCCGCGCGTGTCGCAGGGCTGGAACGAGACGGGCACGCGCGAGCAGCATACGGAGTATTTGAGGCGTGCGCATGAGGATCCGCATCAGCTGACGCTGTTGGCGAGGTTCGATGACACGCCGTTTGCGTATTTTGAGGTTTATTGGGCAAAGGTATGTCGCCCCCTTTTCCTTTTCCCCCCTCCCCACTTAGGTTTCCTCCCCCTTTTTCCTCCCCTTCACCACCCCCAACCCCCCTCAGCAGCAGCAGCAGCAGTCGCGCCGACCTCGATCACCCAACTAACCCCCCACCCCCCACAAACAGGAAGACCGCATCGGCGCGTACTACCCCTCCGCCGACTACGACCGGGGCCGACACAGTCTCGTCGGGGACGTGCGCTTCCGCGGCCCCCACCGCGTGTCCGCGTGGTGGTCGAGCCTGATGCACTACCTGTTCCTGGACGAGCCGCGCACGGGCCGCGTGGTGGGCGAGCCCAAGTACACCAACAGCTCGGTGCTCATGTACGACCTGATGCACGGGTTCGGGCTCGACAAGTTCATCGATCTGCCGCATAAGCGGTCGGCGCTGGTGAGCTGCTCGCGCGAGAGGTTCTTTCAGCTGTGTCCGCTGGATGAGAATGAGAAGGTTATGGGTGGGACGGGGGTCGGGTTGGTGCCGAAGTTGTAGGGGGGTTGTGTATGTATGTACCTAGTGCGGTGGTGGGGAGTTGTTTGGAAGCACGGTTGTGGGGGAGTAAGATCTCTGGAAACAACAGTTGGATGTGGAACGTGGATGCAGCTTTCAAATATCCCTTCAATGTCTCTATACCAATTTCTTTGCACGTATTTACGCAAACCATTTTACCCGTATCAAGAAACTGAGTGACATCCAAATCCCAAACTACCCAGATACATCCCAAACGAATCCGCTTTTAACGCCCCGCCATGCAGTACTTCACTCCGCCTTCTTCCCCCCAAGTCCAAGATGGTTCCAGCAAACTGTTCAATGTTAGCCCACCACCCCTCAACCGGAAACCGAGGCGAAATACTCACTCTCAAACCCAAGATCATCCCCAAAGAACGTCTTCATCACGTCATCCCCTGACGTCACGCCACCCTCAGGCCAGTACGCCACGGCCTTCTTGCCTACCGCAAGCCCAATCATGGGCGGGATCTCGTCCAGCGTCAGCAGCTTGGGCTCTTTTTCGAGAGTCTGCCTCTGCATGTGCTGGTGGATGTTGTTGGCCGCGAAGTAGCCCATGTGCATGGCGCCGCCGCAGCGCTTGATGCCGGACCACTTGACCAGGTCACCGATGGCAAAGTGGGAGGGGGAATTGGGCGTGTCGGCGGGGAAGGCGAGGCTAGATGGGGGTTGGGGGTTAGTATGGTGCAGTGTTAAGACTGGAAGGGGGGAGGAAGTACCTGGACTGGATCTTGACGTAGCGCTCCTCGTCAAGGACGTTGTCGGGGAGGTATGTCGTTGATGGGACGCTCCGCGATACAGCAAGGGAGACCTGATCGGCGAGCAAGGTGTGACCGTTGGTGAAATGCAACTTGAGACAATCCTTGCCAGTATCGTCCTTGATCTCCTCGGTGCGGTCGAGGCGGTGGGACATGAGCACAGTGACATTCGCTTCCCGCAGCAACTCCAAACTGCGCTCTCCAACTTCGGCGGGTAGCGGTTCCGAGGAGAGCAGCTTGTCACGGGAGTGGACGAGAGTGACGTTAAGCTGTGGCTGCATCACCTTGAGCTCGGCGGCCATTTCGATACCGACGGCGCCTGGGGTCGTTAGTCGCACGTGTTTAAGGGGAGATTTGGGGCAACATACCGCCGCCGACAACAACCACGCCGTGCCTTGCGGCTGTGGCAGCGCGGATGTGGTCGCCCGCCTCAAATAGGTACTGCTTCCTGCGCAGCGACTGGGGCACTACAGGCCAGACCCTCCTCAACCCGGATGCGGCGACAAAGTAGTCGTACTGCAGCTGTTCGGGCTCCTCAGTGCTGCCGTGTGCGAGGTAGGTTGCTACCTTGCGCTCCGGGTCGACCGACTTGACAGACCCGTGAAGCACGCGGAGGTTGGGCGATCGCAGCCCGGGGATGTCGTCGTACTTGACCCAGAACTTCTCGGCATGTGCCTCGGACGCCAGCGCCAGAGGCGAGCCGATGAGGTGGTCTGGGAAATGTTAACCAGTGTGTACACTCACTTATATCTGGAATAACACACAGTAACCATCCCGCTCGTCGACTACAGTGATATCGACGGCAAATGGTGATGCCTCGACCGCTTCAACCTCCTGGCCCTCGGCAGGCTTCGGGGCACACCGCGGTGCCAAACCGAGGCAGAGATCTTGAAGGTTGAGTGCGGCCGAGAGACCGCCGTATGACCCTCCGGCCACAAGGACCTTAAACGGTTGCGTAATCTCAAGTCCTGGTAGAGAGCCCATAGTGACTGGTAGGAATGATGACGAGGTGGTGTTGAAGTGTCGACGCCGAGACGGAGATGTCAGTGGTTGGCCGAATTTAGCCTTGGAAGTGCTAGTGAGTTGCTTGAGAAAGCGGCGGGAAGGTAGCATGAGGGGAGATCGGGGAAAGGGGGGAAGGGGGCACAATGGGAAGATGGGGAAGGGCTGCCCAGATTTGGCCAGCACCCCGTTTTATTCGATGTTTCGAGGCGGGAACTGGAACCGACCGAAGCGCGACGGCTCCGAGAACATTAACAGCAAACCCCACATCCCTCCCTTCTCGTGCGGTCTTAATTCTCAAAACCCTTCTCTTGGCCCTTCCTTCGCGGACCGACTGGGCAGGAGCGACTCCACCATCCGCCAATGTTGGGAAGGCAGTGGGCAGTCGCCGCCAGTCAATGCCCCGAGTTCCTTCAGCACATTTTGCACTGCCACCACATTTTCCACCATCGTACGCGACCTCAAGCCGGCATCGGCTCAGTGGGGATTCCATCCCTCATGTCGAGTCTTGTGTCATCCACATGCCAAAGTTTGGCGCATGCGAGAGCCAACCGGAGGGAGTCGTTGTGACCCATCCACTGCCCATGTCGCGAACCCCCGCTCCTCTATCTCCACAGCAGACCCGCTTTGATGCAGGCTCATCTTATCAGATCATCAGTGAGCAGGGATGCATGGCCCGAGGACAGCCGGTTCTCTCCTGCCTCTTGCCGAGCTGTTCACGGGTGGATAGATTTCCCGGTGATGGGTTTTGGCGGTGAGTTGGGTTGGGATGCACCATTTTGTTGTCACTACAAGCTTTGACGAGCCTGAGATGTTTAAGCCTCGGTTCAGCACTTTGTTTTCAACGCACCGCACTGTTGGACTGCTTCTCGTGAGAAGCTGATTCAAGGTTATGTTGTGCTCCAGTAGGCGGGATACGTCGTTTACGTCAGTCCTGCACCGGTTTACCCTGTGACACTCTTCTTCAGATTTCAAGAACTCATTCAGGATCTTGGCTGACAAGACTTTCCTGCATCACCCACGCGGGTGGAAATGCCGTCAAGGGACAGAACTGCATGTATCCTTAATATCTACACCTTGTGTGAACCGGGGAACTGGCAATCGGTGTTTGTCTATCTGTTCGGATAAACGTGTGCGTTCAATACCTCTCGCTCCGATGCCACAACCCCTAGGGGGCACTTCCTCGTTGGTTCGCCGTCAACCCTCAACCCAACCACACACCCCGACCTCCAACCCCAGTTCAAAACCCTGGAAACTCAAACTTGACCTCCTCCGCATGATATCCCCCAGCCGGCATACCAGCATTCGTCAAGTCCCCCAAGAAGCTGGTATGCAGGCCGTACAAGTCGGGGTCGGCGCGCAGCGCGTCCTCCTGCGCGAGCACATCCTCGAGGTCCTGCCCGACGTCAAAGTACTTGCCGCGCAGGGCGCGCTTGCCCACGCCTGTTGCCAGCGCCACACACACCATGCCGTTGAGGTACGGCGAGTCGTTGTAGATGTCGAGCGTGTTGGCGAAGAAGGCGTGCGCCTGGGGCGGCAGTGCCGCGACGGAGTCTTGTGCGTATTCTGTGGGCGTGTGGTTAGCGGTCTTGTTTTATGTTGTGGGTGTGAAGAGGGGGCAGGGGGGATAGGAGGAAGATGTGGGCAACGTACTCTTCAACGTCATGGCACTCTTGATGCCTCCGGGGTGCAACGAGTAGAGGTGCACATCATCGAGCCCCTCGATGTCCATCTCGCGCTGCGTGCACGCCGTCAGGCTGATCAGGGCCGCCTTGCTAGCGCAGTAGCTCGTGCTGTACGGGATGGTGACAGTGCCGGCACGCGACGCGATGTTGAGTACGCACCCGCTGCGCTGCTCGCGGAAGTGCGGGAGCAGGAACCGCATCAGGTAGTAGGGTCCATGGAAGTTGACGGCCATGTCATGGATGAAGTCGCGGGGTTCTTGGGCGTACATCTGGTTTTGTTAGCGTGGAATGTGCAGCCGCCGGATAACCCTGATACGTACCGGTCCTAGCCCATTGGCGCCGGCGTTATTGACGAGGATATCGACCTTCCCATGAAGCTCGAGTGTCTAGCAACAATGTCAGCGCATCTCCCCATGCCCAACCTTCTATCTGCACTTCAAACCCCTTCGCCAACAGCCCTCAACGCAGCACCCCATAACCCAACAACCCCCTCTCCACCGTCATCTCAACAACCCCCTCCACAAGAACCCCTTCCACACCAACCACCCCCCACCCAACAACAAAAAGACACAAAAAAACAAAAAAGCGCACCTTCCCCACCAACCCCTCGCACCCCTCCAGCGCGGCAACATCACATTGCACAAACTCAACCGCAGACGCCCCAAACTTCAGACACTTCTCACCCAGCTCGGCGGGCGGCGGCGTGCGGTTGTAGGTCAGCACCAGGTTGGCGCCGGCGACGGCGAAGGACTCGGCGAGGGCTTGGCCGATTGCGCCGGCGGCGCCTGGTTAGGGGGAGGGGGTTGTTAGTGATGTGTTGGGGTGGGTATGGGGTTCGGGGTGTGTGGTGTATTGTGACCTGGGAGGGGGTATGGGTTTGGGTTTGGGTTTGGCCTTGGGGGTGGGGGTGGGAAGGATGGGGGATGTGAGGGGTACGGGAGGAGGTCCGTACCGGTGATGATGGCGACCTTTCCCTGGAGCGAGCCTCTGAACTTGGATGGGTAGATGTAAGGGTAGATGTCGGTGCGGAAACGCGGGGTGAACTGGGTGGGGGTGGGTTGGTCCTGTTTCTCGGCCATGTTTGCGGGCTTCCTTACTAGTTCAAGGTTGTTTGCTGATGAAGCCAAAAGAAAATACTGGTTTGGCTTGTGAAATACCTCCTCTGCTCCTGTTTTCAAGCTGAATTGTCGGTAGTCAGTTTTAAGATGCAGTAATTAGCATTAAAGGTACATTTATCCGAATCATGTCCGAAGCGGCCTCAACAAGTAGTGTAAGCATATTACCAAGCTTACTTCAGCTGAACCCCTGGGTAAATATAACCGGGTTCTGCACCTCCTCGTTGGTCAGGTCTTCGTTAACCTTTTTTTGACAGGGCTGGATGCTCGGCCTTCCTCAAACATGGATGTTTCAACGAAGCGAGGAATTTAGCTGGGAGCTAATCGGTTAGGAGATACTTTCAAAATCATGAGTGTATCGGTTACAAGACTGGGCTGGGAAGTTGAGCTCGATGCTGAGGTCCATAACCCATACTTGATCTACGGCAAGAAAGTCCTTCCCAGCAACACAATGGAGGTCTTCATTGGAATGATTCTTATGATACAAAATACCACAAAACATTCCCATTTTGAATCGTTGCGGCGCTGTTGACGATGGAGTTTTAGTACCTTTTGAACTACGTAGAGCCCCTGACGGAAGTGTCACGCCACCGGGCCCAACAAACAAACCATAATTACGCGTTGAACTAAATTTTTACCATCTATGGAATACTTATGTCTCGCCCGTTCATCAAGGGTCCATGTATTTTCCCAGTTGCTGAGAGCGCATGTGGCATTTACCCACACGACTCGAATTACTCGTGGTGCGTCATCCTTTGGTTAGACCACGGGAGGAGCTTGGACTGGCAGCGCCTTGTTGCCACTATCGAGAAGTTTAGGACGGATTCCTAGTAGTAGTTGGCAACCACGATACAGCCACGAAACCCCGCCCCCTGATGTGATGGTCTTTGAGTGCTCCCACGACTCAGCGGCTTTGATCTTTTCTAGGTCGACTCAGACTCCCTTCCCAGCGTCAACTATAAAACCGAGGTACTTAAAACCATTTACTTCAACTTCGCACTTGTCGATATCAACCTAAAGTCCGGCATCCTAGATAGCTAGCGCGCTTTTACTTTCTTGAAGTCGCTCTTCGCTTTCTTGAGTCGCTTTTTGTACCCCTTGAGCATCTCGACTAGCGGATACATTTTCTTGGACTCCTTGATCAGCCGTTCAAGTTCCTGAATCGACGTGTCCAGCTCCCTCAACACCCTCCTACCAGCCTCCGTCTTCCGAAGCTCTTTTTCCTTGGCGAGTTCCTCGGTCAAAGCCAACGTGATTGAATCGCCCTGCTCGAGTAGGAGCCTCAGCGATTCTTTCGAAATGGGAGTGTCGAGGGCGCCGCCGTTGTAATCGGCGACGATGCGTTTCCATTCTTCCAGTGTTGATTGTCGGTCGTCATCAAGCGCAGGATGGGTGGTGTTAGGGTACCAACGCATCTTCACCTGTTGGTCTGTCTTCCCATTCCCCAAAATGAGCCGTATCATGTCAGACTTGAAGTTGTCCGTTTTATTCCATGAAGTATGGTCGCAGCGATGCAGGTAGATGATCCCGCGGATACTGCTACCATCCCTCCTCACCTGGCTGCCCGACTGTCAGTTAGTCCCGTAGAGGCTTGTAGTCGAGATTAGGGGAGGGGGCAACTAACTCAATCGCAGACTTGATGACCCTTAGAGTCTGACTGTGGCCCTCTACAATACTGGTCGTAACACCGGACGGTGGCTGCGCCGACCCGAGCGACGTGGCCGGCCCGAACTGCTGCAAGCCTCTCAAAACGATAGATTTTCCATCAGGGTATGTTATCGTCCTCTCGTTAGAGCCGGTTTTGACTTCCTGAGTTACTTCTTTGAAAAACTGTAGAAGTGCCGCCGTCGTCGTCAGTGGTTGGTCGCTTCAACAGCCGGAGTAAAAGGAAGCACTCCAACAGCGCACTCATGGCAACTAGTAGTACCTAAGGACTTACCTGAGTCTGACCACCACTAAATCTCTCGATTATCCTAGTGGTTATTGTATTTGGTCGCCATTATTAGCCGAATGAGCGCCACAAAAGCAGTGGCAACACATAACTCGACCTACAAAATTGTCCCAACGCCTGGGCTTGAGCCCGGTTGCGCTGCGTCCATGGTTTGCGCGTAGTCCATAACTACCTAGGTACTTGGGGTTGTTTTTCACAGACTGAGTATGAGCAGTTCGGGAATGGGGAGCTAGGGGCGGCGGGTTGCTGGGGCCAGTTGAACGATAACTTGGGCCGACTACCCAAGTAAGGTGAGGTAGGTAGTTAAGGTAGCAAGCAACGGACACAAATCCACGCGAATTTTTCAGAACCGGCAACAGATGTCGATTTGGAATCGCTGCAACGGAAAGCACCCCGTCATTTTGTTCGAGGCAGGCACGATTGCCTGAGGCACACCCCTTCCGATCATCGCCCGTCTTCCCGGTCGAATCAAATGGCCATCCTCGAAGCCTCATCATGCATACCCCGCTCCGAACTGCGCGGCCGGACGGAATCGCAGGAGGCACCGTGGCACCTGCCTGGATATCCAAAGCTGGGCCAACTCAATCAACACTGTAGACGACTTCAACCCGTCAACTACCGGTAATTATGGAAGAACACGACTGGCATAGTAATTTCCAAGAACGGCTGGAAGAATGGGAGACGGACTTGCCGGTGGGTTCCTTCGAGCGTCTGTTTTGCGAGTCATTGAGAGCCCAGACAGGAGTCATAGCTCCGAACGGACCTGGCAAGAAACGGGACAGGGTACTCCAGGGTGATAGGCCGCCGACGTTGTTGCCACCTCTCGAGGAGCGAGGCTGGGGACGGGTGGCAGCATTTGAAGTTGGGCAATATTCTGGCACCAAAGGACTCAAAAACTTCGTCACCTACGACTCGAATAGGTTGGGTGAGCCCTGTAGCCCGAAAGACCTCTTGGATTGGTGGTCCAGCAGAAGATACCATGACGATCGCACCGACACAGATACTGCAGGTAGAGTCATCATCCTCGAAGACCTCGGGCGCGCGTGGATCGATGCCCTCTGCGACATATTCCCACGCATTCCTTTCGACTTTTTTGCTCGCCACTGGGCAAATCCTACCCTACACAACCGTGGCGCGGCCCGCCCACCATTGGCACAAGACCCGCGATACCACTGTGTACTGTCGTACACCCAGCTTCACGACGCCAAACTTTCAAATCCTAGCGAAAGTATGTCTTCGACCCTCTACAAAACATCATCATCCTTGGACACTGACACTCGTCGCTAGCTCCCGAATTTCACCGCCTGGCCGGATCCGCTTACAGAACTATCTCATTCGGCCAAGACGAGCCCAAGGACGACCGCCCGGATGGGTACGATACAAGCAGTTCGGGGGGGCGGAAATCTCGACAACCTGAAGAAGATAGGATGGCGCCTCAACCGGCCGTGAGCCAGCAGCTAGTTAGCTTTTGGGGAGCGGAACCAGCTAGCTCTGGGAAACCCTGGGAAGGTGGGTGCGTTGGGACGAAGTAGCCTAACTACCTACTGGATAAGGTTCGTTGGGATTCCTGCTAACAGAAGACATAGCTGTGATACTGGTAGACCCCCCACTCGACAGCGATATCAACCGGGCAATATACTTTGAGAACTGGGAGACTGAAAATGACGGTTCCGGGACAAAGGCTCGAACCCGCTGGAGGAACTGGGAACGGTACACACCAGCGAAAGCGTCAATTCCGACCCTCCCAAAACTTACGCAGAGTGTGGGGGGAAAGCCGAAGCGACTGAAAGGGGTATCCATGTTTGACGATATTGTGAGCCTCCTGGGGGAGAGCTTGACACCCCTAGGAGAGAAACATACCCTTCGCGAGACCGAACCATCATTTGGCTACTTCGAGACCTTGGCCGGGGAAGTAGAAGTCGGGGATGTAGGAAGGCTCTGCTGCCATATGGTCATGGCCAAGACAGCCGTGGAGATGCAACAAATGTTTGGCGACGCCTACCGCCTCAAGCTCGTGTCGGCACTCGAGCTCGATCTGCGAGATATTGCCGCCTTCAACTTCAAAGATTTCGATCACCGCGCCTGGAATCTCAAGTGGGAGGGGCGTCGATTCACACGGCTGTGGAAGAAGCGTGAGGAGCTGGAGCTTCTGCGGTACAGGCTAAAACTCAACATCAGAACCGTTGAGAATATCTTGAACTCGGGTGACTTTTATCCGCGCTCAGTAAGGACTATTATATCGTACTTGTTTGAGGGAAATTGGAAGATACTAATTTGGAACTAGATCGTTAGCACTAGACATGAGATCGACTCGAATCGGCGCCGGAGGGAACTTGAACTCACCCAGGAACGCCAGAGGGAACTTGAACTCAACTGGGAACGCCAGGCGGAACTTGAACTGACGGAATGGAAAAACCTGGAACTAACGGCAGACTACGCCGATGAGATGATCAGGAGGACAACGGAGAGCTACCTCCAGACAGTCGCTGCGTGTCAAGCATCGGCTGCAACCGCCCAGGCAAATTTGTGCGTATCCGAGCCGCCCACACACATATCCCAACCGAGGTTGGAGAGAGACTTACAACTAACACGGTAACCAGCGTCGGCCAAATTACCAAGTTCGTACCAACGGGCTTCCGTCGGACTCTCGGCTTGAACTCACCTGCTTTCGTCTAGAATGGCATCGGTTTTCGTTCCTGTCAGCCTCATCGCTGCCATCTTGTACGTTTATGCATTGCTTTTTGTCACCGCCCGCCTAAGAAAGTTACACATTCAGCGCCACTACCTACAGCACAAGCTAATTCGATGACCAGTTCCATGGGGGGCAATTTTGCAGCTGGTAGCGAGCTCTTTTGGTGAGTGCTTTTTTTTTTTCAACGTCATATCAGGAATTCGTAACTACGGCTGCAAGATATGAGATGCTTGCTTACATTGATAATTTCATTGCCAAGGATCTTCTGGGCAGTTTCGATGCCCGTCGCGGTCGGGTTGATTGCGTGGATGTTTGGGAAAGACATGTGGGGGATGGCGAAGGAATTTATCATCGAAACCGGTCGGTCTTTTCGGGTTTGGTTTGACACCAATGTCCGGAAGAAACCGAAGGCACCCAAGGTTGAGAACGTTGGCTTCGGAATGGCCTGAGTCTTTTGTCCTCGGTGCTACTCCTGGATACAGTAGGGAGGGAGGGGTTTAGGTGCCACAGGTCTGCGTTTCACGTCACAGTATTATTGTAGCTATGTACCCAACAGCGAAAGGGTTGTGAGGTAAGGTACCTTGGTGCATCGCCGTTTGTTTCTTCCCTCATCCAACCTTTCTCGGTTTATTTTACGGCCGGAACCGGGTCGCCTCCTGGGAGGTACCTGACGGACCAACCTACCCCATTTCCCCCTACTAGGACTACTAGCTCGAGCTACAACAACGAGCGCAATCCTCGAACATCGTTAACACCCTCACCGCCCCAGCAAGCAAGCTAGCATTCACAATCAAACTTACACGTTGAAAGGAACGAAAAGTTGTCACAGAGCGCCAACAAGCAGGCGTTGTATAAAATGCTCGTCAGGCCTCTCACGTATAAAGAAACTAGTAGTAAATGTACGTACCTCCTTCCACAGACATCGACCTCTGGGTTATTGTGTTTAGTGACATGATGTTCGCGAGGGGGGTTGCTAGGTGCCGGCCCTCGCTTCTTGTCTTCGAGGCTCATGACAGGCGCAAGGAATGGCCCCTTTCCGTGCTCGCCGTTACTCAGCTTCCGCGAAGAGAATACCTACGCAGATCGGTACCCTACTGGGTCTACTGGGGTTCATACATAGATCAACAAGGGGTCTAGATGTTTGCGCGTTGGAAAAAAGATGCTGAGAAACTTGCTCAACGCCCCAGGCTGAATACGGGCGTAACCCAACAAAGCAATTTCCAAGAGTGAGCGTTAACAACGGAATAATTCCACATTGTTTATCCATCGTCTAGCTTTGACGGGATAAAACGCCTCCCTGGATCGCGGGCGTCCATTTCCGGTAAGTCGAGGGCGAATACGGTGCATGCTAACCTCCATCATACGCCGGCATGATTTAAACCTACGATGTATTACTAGGTAGTATTTATGTACCGAACTACCACAATGCTATAAACCAAACCATGCTCCCCCCAAAAGAATGGATGCCAAACAACCACCGTTTCAAAACGCCACCCTCTCACTCGACACCGTGATCTTCCCCCTCTAACCCGATCACACCTAATTGACCTCCCACCTCTAACCCAACCGACCACAAGACCGACGGACCACACCAATAAACCACAACCGCCCACCAAGGATGCTCCCCTCTACCCTTTAAAAAAGCACACCCAACCCCCCATCTCCAAACTCCACCCCCTTGTTCCCATCCCACCTCACAACTGCGAAGAATACCTCAACTTGGACAGCACCTCCCTCCTCCCCGACCCCGACCCCGACCCCGACCCGGACCCCGCGCCATGCTGCCCCGCCGCCCCAGCCGCATATGGGTCCGCATCACTCTGCACGCCCTCCGAAGTGTGCCCCCCACCATCACTGTCCACCGTCGGCGTGCCCAGCACACCACCACCACTAGCAGTATACGCGTCTCCAGACGGGCTGCTGCTCGTCCCGTCCTCCTCTTCGGCCGCGGTGGTGGTGGGGGTGGCGGTGGTGGTGTTGGCAGCTTCGTCGTCGTCATCGCCTGCGGCTTCGGCGGGGGTCTGCTCGGAGGACTCCCCAGTCTGCAGCGCCGCCGGCCACAGCGACAGGCCGCCGACAAAGGGTCGGAACTCCTCTCGGGCATAGAACTCCGCGGCCGGTTTGCCATCACGCATGTAGCTCTGACTTTTGGCATTGCGCCTCAGGCGCGGCGGCTGCACGCCAGCGGGACTGACAGCCCCGGTGCCACGGACCCAGCCCCTGGCGCGGGCCGAGCGGACCCTGAGCTCGAGCCGCTCGTCGTCGTCCGACTGGTCGTCCTCGGGGTCCGGGAAAAAGGGCTTCTTGTTATGCCTGGCAGCGACGAGCTGGATGCTGGCGCCAGACCCGCGGCGCCGGCCGAACGTGACGCCATCCGAGGGCGTGCCCTCGCCGGAGCTGGGGGGCTGGACGACACAGACCCCGCCGGACGACGGGCTCAGCTCGCCGAGCGTGGTGAGGCCGCCGGGGCTGGCGCCGGCCGGGGGATGCCGGAAGGGCATGGGTTGGTGCACGCCCATGGCGCGGCGGAGGTTGACCTGGCTCTGGCTGAAGACGACGCGGGCGCGCAGGGCGTGGACGGCCTGGTCCAGGGCGAGTTCGATGGCGAGGCGGTCGCGGATGCGGCTCAGCTTGGGCCAGGTGGCACGCTCGCCGGTCAGGCAGTTGCGGAGCATGAAGTCGGACGTGGGGTTCTTGAGCATGAGCGGGAGGTCGCTCAGCGCGATCTCTGGGAGGATGTTGATGTCGCCCGAGTACTTCTGGCTCACGACAGAGAGAAGTTTGGTGAGAAGGTTGGGGAAGACACCCATCTCGGCGAGGAAATGCATGCGATGCAGCCCCTCCTCCTTGGCAAGGGACGTCACGTTGTAAATCCACTGCCGGCGGTCCGGAGCCGCTCTGCTCTGTGTCAGCTGCCCCGGGACGACGTGCTCATCCTTTGGGAGGAAGGGAACGACGTGCGGGTTGACCTGCGAGACGATGAAGTGGTTCACGTTGAACATCTCGGCGAGGCGCGTCATCGGGAGGTCGTTGTCGACAGAACCGTCGATGAACTGTTGCGGCGTAGGCGTCCAGGGGGAATGCTCCCCGCTCTCCGGATGCTTCATCAGTAAGGGGTGGCCCTGGAAGACCATGGGGACGGAGCAGGAGGCGGCGACAGCCGACCAGATCAACACGTTGGGTGCGGTGATGTAGTTGAGAAGCCGCGGGACGTCGTAAATGGAAGCAGACGACACGCAGATGTTGCAAATCCGGCGCGTTCGGTTATAAGCCTCCTTGAAGGTCACCTCGCCGAGCCATGCTCGCATCACTCTGGTCAGGTTCGAGATGTCGGACCAGCTACCCTTGGTCAGGAGGTTACGGAGATGATCCGAGAAGGATTCGTCCTTTCCCTCGAACACGCCCAGGTCGCCGAACGGAAATGATCCGATCAGCTCGGGCACCTCCTCGTCCTTGCGTGTGCATAGAACTGCGCAGACGATGGACCCCGCAGATGCGCCCGAGATGATGCGCGGGAGCAACCGTTCGCGGTAAAGGGTTTTGAGGACGCCAATATGCGCCATCCCAAATGTGGCGCCGCCGCTCAAGAGCAAAGCGCTCCGGCCAAAGCTCTGTCTGGCGTAGACCATCCCCTCCAACAGTTCTCTTGGGTCCCTGTCAAACCCAGAGGCGGTTTTCTCGACCAGCGCATCAATGGTCTCAAGGGCCGAGTCGACATACCGCTCGATCAAAACCTTGGTCCCGATGTAGGAGTGGCGGTAGAGTTCCATATTCCCCATGCCGCCAGTGTCGCGCGACAATTCGGTCCTGATGAGATACATCATGGTGCTGATATCGCAGTTGGTCCGGGCGGTGTCGAGGGCGTCTAGTTTGGCCTGGATCAACTCGGGGTGGTAGTCGGACTCGGTGCTCGTGTCATCCAGTTTCCATTCGTCGTTACCCTCGAGTTGGTCAAGCTCAGCGGCGGCTTCTTCCCAGTCCTTCAACGTGCGGGCCTGGAGTCAACTTGTCAGCGGTTGGCTAGAGGGGTGAACGGGCTATCCATGTGTTGCTCACCTCTCCCATGCGCGCCGCGAGTATCTGTTTCCGCTCCTCCTTCCACCTCTTCTCCTCGCGGTCCGACGCGGTCAGGCCATCTCGCAATGAGAGAGCGAGATTGCTGGCTGTCTGGATGAGCCGCGTCACCTGGAACAGACCATGGCCGCGGGTCTGCCTTCTCCTCCCGATCTTGACATTTTGGAGAGGTGGGACATCGGCTGGTGTGCGGGGCGACCCATGGACGAGGAGGTCGGGCATAACGAACGATAGTCATGAGGGAGCGGGGGAGTGATAGCCCTCCTCCTATGCTGCCGAGTTACCCAAGTCGCAAAAGTTGTTGGAGGCTGCGAGAGAGGATTCGAGACGTCGGGGTCTTTTCGGGGTGAGGGGAGGGCTCGGCCAGAACTGGGGAGCCGCGGTTCTCTATCGCGTATCGTTCTTTCGCATGCGAGCAAGCGTGTCGGATTGGAGGTTGGCAGCCAATCCGTTTTGGTGCGCTGTTCAGAACTTGACTTCGGCTGGATTGGACAGTGGAAAGAAGAGGAAAGGACGACAGAGGAACGGATGAAACTTGGGAATTCCCGACTCCTTCTGACTTGGTGTCCTGATCAGCAACCCACCTCAAAAAAGGCCACCTGACGAAATCAAGCCGCAGTGACCCCAACCGAAGTGGGAAATGGGGAGCGTGGGGCACCCCACCATGGATCTCGGAGCGGTGACAGGCACAAAGAAATCGTGGGGAAGGAGGAGTGCCGGGTGCCCCTGATTGGTAACTTGGCGGCAGCATTTGGTGGGGGAGAGGAACCCGGGGTTCAGCGGGTCAGCATCACCGCCCAATGACAGAGAGCCTGTTACAACTGCAGGTTGCAGCATCGGAGCTTTTGCAGCGGCGACCTGGGAGACTACGAGTCATGGGCGAAAGATCTTGCCTGCTCGGTTTACCAGATTGTCAAGGAATGCTGACCTTCAAGCCCCTGGATGATTTTGAAGGATGAAGGAGCGCCACAACGCCACCGTTGAACAGACGCAAAATAGTCTTCAAGGGCCCTCTGTCAGCGCGCAGGCCGACCCGTCAATGGGTGAACTGCAAGCCATTTGCGTCATGAAACGAAGTCACGGCACTCAGAGAGGACCGCCATGATGTCGCGAGTGACTTGAGAGACCGAATCCACGAGAATCTAGTCGAAGGATATGCCTCTGATCTGGCAGGATCCTTTGGTGTGCTGAATCGGGTGTGATGCTCCGGCTCTCAAGAGATTTCAGTCGTTTCCGAATCTCCTTCGTCCGAAATATCACCTAACAGGTTGCGATTTCCGGGCACCTAGGTAAGGGATCAGCCATCCTCCGGCTCGTAACTGACACGATCTCAAAAAGCCATCGAGATCCACGGCACACAAAATCGTCTTTTAGCACCGACCTGACCTTGACCGATTTCATGATTTCCGACACCGGAACTGTTGTCCTGGCGGGCCACACCGCAAAGGGTTAGCTTGTTAGTGTAGGAAGAATAAGGTAGTATGGAACGTGGGAGTCAGGGAAAACGGAGAAAAGTGAACTTGAATGCAATGAGCATAGGGGATGCCGTGTTGGGCCGAGATAGAGAATGGGGAAGCCGCAAGATGCAACCCATAAAACTGCGAGAGTCGCGGAGGCCGAAAAAGGATGCAATCGAGCGAGTTTCGCATGGTACGGCTGGTGATTGGTTGGCCGGCGGCTCAGGGTCCCACCAGCCTGCGCACGCCGCCAAGAGTTGGAAGGCTCGAGCAACCTCTGCTGGCAACCACCAATGAATTTTTGAGGGCATACGCGTCCCTTCCTTAATCGTGACCCTTCACATGCGTCTCACGATCCTGCGGTGACGGTTTGCTCGCCGCCTTCGGGCAGCAATTCGTTCTTAAATACCTGGTAGGAAGGAACAAATACGGTTGCAAATATGGCTACAGATCTAGATCTTGAATATCCGCCGCTGACCATGCAACCCATGCTCCCGACACCGAGTTTAACCTTTACCGTGCCGAGTCTTCACGACGGGCTCCCAATTAATTGTCGCATATACCATCCGCGCTCGCTGGCCGCTCTGACCGATGCCCCAACCTGGCGGAAGCATGCTGCCATCATAGCACATCCGTACGCGCCCCTCGGCGGCTGCTACGACGATCCTATTGTCGATATCGTGGCCGGGACTCTACTACACTTGGGCTTCCTCGTTGGCACCTTCAATTTCAGGTTCGGGCCTTTCCTTACCTCGCAATGTTTGCCAGATCGCCATCGTACAGCTGTCCGCTGATACCCGCACCGTTAGAGGCGCTCATGGCTCTGCTGGGAGGACGTCGTGGACGGCCAAGGCGGAGCAGGCTGACTACATGTCGGTCGTCGGGTTTGTGTCCCACTACGTGCACTTCCTAGACCCCTTCAGAGGGGATGCGCAGGGCAGATTTGGGGGTATGGGCCAACATGATCGAGGATCAAGTGCGGACGGAGAGGTGACATCACCGATCCACATCCGACCGCCAACGCCAACACCGCCAGAGCCGCCCTCCCAACCAACAGGACCGATTCTTTTGCTCGGGGGCTATTCGTATGGCGCCATGGTCACATCCCAGCTCCCGCCCCTCGAAACGGTACTCGGCTTGTTCACCGCCCCAGAGTGCGGCACATCCGCCGCCGAGATCCGACTCCGCGCACAGCATTTGGCAGAGATGCAAAATACTGTGCTGGCTAGTGCGAGGGAAGCCGCCGCCGACCATCTCAGGCCGAGGTCTCCGCGGAAGCATGTTGGTTTGCGGGTCGGTGGGGATGAGGAAAGTCGCAGGAGCCAGGAGCCGCGTCGTTCTCGGTCGACAGAGTTTGAGGATGCCATACGGCATGGCGTCGCTGAACTCATGGCCAGGACCAAAAAGGGGCATAGGCGGTCGCATAGCGGGCGCAGCCACACACCACAAGATTCAGATGGAGACTCCGAACGTGTTCGAGCCCCCGATCATCTACCCCCGCTAGCTGGCCGAACCACACTTAGGCCAGCGTACCTGCTCGTTTCGCCGTTGCAGGGTATCGTTACGAATCTGGCAACGATGTCTCTTCCACCGTTACCGAGCATGTCTGGGGCGTGGGCACGATTCTCGGCGAGGGGCAAGCACGGGGCCGCCCACTCTGACCCTTTAGAGTCCGATGTCCACGATGGTGCAATTCCGGCCGAGGTAGAAGATAAGCTGGTGCATAACGCCACTCTGGCCGTCTACGGCGACCGCGATGGCTTCGTGCCTGTCCGGAAATTGCGGGACTGGGCATCTCGGCTAGAGGCTATCCCGGACTCCAAATTCCGAGCCCACGAGGTCTCGAGTGCGAACCATTTCTGGGCACAGGGCAATGTGGCCTCAACTTTGCGGGACGCTGTAGGCACATTTGGGACATCGCTTTTAGACGGCAAACTTAGTTAAATACAGTACTGGAAGCAGGTAACCTTCCTAGCTAGCGTTCCCTGCTGCACCACGCGCTCCGTCCAAAATACCCCACCGAACCTTGATGATTTGGAACCACGAAGGCGTCTCTAAACCAGGTCGTGGGGGGTGAGAGAGGGGGGGGGGGGGGGGGGGGGGAGGTAAAACGATCCTATGCTCAGTACCCTTCTCGAGCACCTCTACGAGAAACCTGACCAGTATCAGGATAAGATGGTCGTCTTTCTTACCGACGAATTCGGTATCCCTTTGACGACCTCTACCATGAGTAGAGCTCGCAAGTCGGTGGGCTGGTCTAGCTTGCCTGGCTACATCGTGACCAGAGGTATCAGATCCTGCCTGCATATGCGCAAAACGGCGTCGTCCTTTAACGCGTGTTTCAGGGGTTAATGGACGGCGCGGTCTTCGAGGATTTAATCCAGCAGCTACTCTGTTATTACGGCAGACGGCAGGAGCCGAAGTCGGTCCTAATAATGGGTAATGCGTCGTTCCATTATTTTACCAACATCAAGTAGCTCTGCATAGGGAGGAGGCGGTCAGAGAAGCTCAGCACTGCAGTTATTCCCAAGGCCTGGGAAATTGAGCAGGGACAGAGACATAACATCCTTCAGTCAATCAAGCAGTTGCCGCAGTGCTCTCTATCATCCTCTGCAAGTGTCCCTAACTAAACGCGATGCCGTGGATTTATGGCTGTTGGACTTCTAACATTTTACCTCCCATGTAAATTGTCCGACCCTACGGATGCGTCTTACGTTTTTCGGCTCCAGAAATACTGAAGCGGAGCTAACGGTCTCACAATAAAATCGACACGATCCTACCTACCACGAACTCAACAACTCGAGCAGCGCAGTCGTCCCAAAGAGAAAAGAAAGGGAGGCGCAGGCTTCTGATGGGTCATTGCGGACAGGCATACCAAATAAGAGAATGCCGCCGTCTGGACGGATGGGGCCAAAGACTGCATGGGAGATATGGAGAGTTCCAACGTCACTGCGAGTCAAGTGCTCTCAAGTATGGTGCAAGTGAGGCGAAGGTCTTGGGTTGGTCGTTCTTGCGATAACCATCTGCTCAGCGAGGTTGAAGTATGGACCTTTGAGTTGAGGAGGGCACGTGATCATGCCGCAGAAGGGGAGACAGAAAAACAAACTAGGAAAAATGTGAAAGAAAAAACTCCGTCAAAACCTAGCCTTCCGGTTTACGTCGGCCCCCTTTTGCAGTAGCAGGGCTACAATCTCTTCATACCCTCGCCGGCTGGCAAAATGGAGGGCTGTGAAGCCGTTGCTGTCTGCTCCGTCCACATCAACACCCATGCCCAAGTATCTGCGCACGATATCCGTATGGCCTGCCCATACATGGGCCCGTAGAAGCTCCTCATTCGACGACCCGGCCTGTTCCAGTTGGGTGATAGTCTCTAACATGTTCTCGTCGTCTTTGAATGGGGGTGGGGGCATCGACCTTGAATCCCTCGACGGGGAAACCTCCCGCGAAAAGGCGAGGCTGACCGGAGCGATGAGAGAGTCGTGTTTCGAAGCGATCGTCAACGTAGCCCCTGTGTCTTCGAAGTTGACGCCAAGTTCAACCTGTCCCTGGCGGAAGATATCCCGCACTTTGTCAAGTTGAAGAGGCGCGTGCCGTTCTACAAGAGTCAACAGCATATCGGCTGTTTTAAGTTGACCCTCATTGAGACGGCGAATGAGAAGTTCTGCTGTTTTCCGTACTGAGTCTGGTTGCAGCCCGCTTTGCCCAAGAGCCCAGCTAAGTGTTTTTTCGGCCAGCTGGATTATTGGGAGTGACAGGTCGGCCAAGGCAAACTCTGGGAGTGAAAAGCTTGAGTCAAGTATCTCTCCAAATAACAGGAAGGACGCCGTATCTCTAAAGACCTCGCCGTTGCTTTTCAAGTAGCAGGGGTGGAACCTTTTAGGGTCGCACGCATCCTCGGACATACCAAGTAATGCGTAGATCTTGTCCCGCGGCATGCACGCCTGACTTTTCGCGAACTTGTTAAGGAGGAACTGAAGATACCGTTTCGAAGACCACCACGTATTCTGGCGAACTCGCGGCATGATATCGAGGACTGCCCGAGTGTGTTCGTTGATATCCAGTCCCATGAATGAGGGTATAAGGGCAAATGTCCGTGCCGGACACGACCTCGACCCGCACATAATCCGAGCTGTTCGAGCGTTGGCGACTTCTTGGAGAACCCAGACCCTTGTGAACCACGGTCTGGCGAGAAGATTTGCAAGAGCTTGGGTCGTTTTTGATTGAGTTGGCGGTCCTAGGCCCAATAGCCGCTGGTCGAAAAACCGACGGCAGAGACTCCTCCAATCCTCGGTACTGCTTAGAGCCTGGGCCTCTATTGCTTTAGCGTCAATGCAGCTGATAGATTTGAGAAGAGAGTCGATATCTTCGTTACTCAGACCCAGCCAGATAAGTACTTCCTCAGCACCCTTATATACGTTGCCCATCTGGCTGACCTGATGACCCTTCTCCGCTTTATCTTCTTGATTGATGCAAATAGCGTCAACCCAGAGCGTCACGTCACGGTCGTGACACCGTATCTGTCGCAGGGCCGTATAGAGATTCTCTTTCATCTTGATATGATATCCGTCGATGAGGACACGAGGCTCCCCCCCTTGGAACCTGTGCTGAAGACCACCCCAGGTGTAGGACAGAGCCTTGTAAGCAGGGCCCCTTCCTTGGTCTGGGAACGATTCGAAGAGCTGGCAAACAACATCGTCGGGGCCCCACCCCTTCTGAATGTGTAAGAGTCGGATAGAATTCGGCCCGAGGACAAGCGGCGAGTACGGGTACGTGGTGGTAGCCATTGAGCACAGAGTTGATGGCGATGTTTGCTAGAAGGTGATCCGCAATCCAAAGGCAGAACAGGACAGTGACTGGAAAGACATGCGTGCTCTGGTGAGACGACATTACACGCTGCAGCTTGCCTCTGGGTGTCCAGTAGCACTTATCATCAAATTATTAGTAGTACTGTACAGTCTAGTATCATGTACAATGGAACACTATCGGCAATTGTGAGAGCCTTCATGTTTGCCAAAGAATCTGCCTCGGCTCGGCCACCCAAGCACTGGAACACTGCCTGGCACGAAACCAACCAATTACAGGCAAAGTCGCCCGCACCAGCTGAAACAAGCCTGTGTTGATGGACAACAGTTTTGAAACTCGGTGGCTTAGGAAGTGCATTTCGCTTCAGCCACCAACGCTATACGGATACTAGGTACCTAGGTCTCTTATCGGTTCTATATCCCCTTGCGACCTTCTGGGTCCTCAACATGTGTCGTCTGGACCATCACGCCAGATGGCTTCTGGCCCCTGCTTTGTTGGAATGGAATCAAGTGATTTGGTGCCACTCTAATGTGCCTCGACTTCTGCAGCTGTCTAAGCCTTTGAACTGCGGCAAGGCGTATTGCACTGCGGCAAGTGGAATAACTACCTCATCAGCCTCCTCGCTCGTCAAAGCCTAGTACTACCGATGAGCTTGCTTTCACAATTTGTGCTCCACAAACCATCCGCTTTGCGCTCACGAAATGCCCCTTCTCCATAATAGTGCCTCTGCATACAAGAGAGAGTCAAGTATGCCCGGAAACTAGGTAGGCCTGTATGGCAACAAAAGCTAAATTATATAATCCCTTCATACGAACCGAACAATGCCTCGCAAGGCCGATGATGAATGAAACTTCGGTATCTGCGTCTAAAGTGGATTTGTGCCGTGCTTCAAAACTTTTCCTCTCTGCATTGGGGGTGAAAGGAGATTTGCAAGCGACTGTATCCTCCAACCCCCCCGGGCCCTATGGCGAGTGGGAAAGCCCCTCACGAAGCGGTGAAAAGGGTGTCACAAGCGTCCAAACACGTATCACCCGGAAGGCGCACCATTGGCCACAAGTCCGCCTCATGGGGGCACCACCCTTTGGCAGCTGTTACTTTCAAGGGCCGTGGCGTCTCCTTGCACTCCAATCTTCCCGCAGTGCGGATTGCCGTCTGGTGCGCATTTATGGCACACTCTCCTGCCAAGGAGGTGCACGTACAACCAGCTCGCAAGCACGGCATATTTTGACTCAGTTTGTGGTATAGGAGAGGAAAACGGGGGAAAGAAACTGTCGGGTTCTCGTGTCTTGTGTCTGTGTCGTCTGTGGAAGCGCGTAGCCGGCGCACAATCAAAACCCTTCGAGATAATCCTCCCGTTCGAGGAACGGCGGCCGTCCATCTCCAAAGACGCATTCACAGCCAAGCTAAATCGGACGGGCAATATGACAGACGTCAACCGCCGTGAGGGAAAAGGCCACACATCCACCAGGTACCTAGGTTCACACTCTTATCACTGCACTACAAGTGGTCTACCATGGGATCTGTCGAAAAGCTGAGAGCCAGAATGCAAGTTGGGTACCTAAGGTAGGTAAGTAGTACCAGGCATGCGGCACTCCAGCAAACATATAGAACTCAACATCCACCCCGAATTCACTCACGCCTTCCGTAAAACAAATCCAATCTCCTCTGAAGAGGTCCGAGATAGTTTGTGAGCGCTACAGCATGACTGGTATCGTGACACGCCCCACGCTATTGCATTCATCTCCGGTATCTATGTTAGGTAGTATCTCCCCTGGTGGGTACCTACATATGGGCGCGAGTTCCTACCAGGTAGGTATATTGGCGTTTATCAAAGCCGCTTGTCCCTTCATTTACCTCGACAGATTATTATTTGTCTATGAAAGCATGCACGGGAATGACAGGCTCCTTGGTTAAAACAAACTATACGCTACATCCACCGCATAAAACGGCCGAGCAAATCCACCACCCAAATCTTAGAATTAAACCCCCTCCACACCAACCCTCACACATGCCGACTCCACGGTATCTCCAACGCGCCATCCTCCCACCCCGTCACCACCTGCACACGCTGAGACCCCACAAACCGAAAATACACAGTCCACGACTTCACTTTATACGGCCACGGATCCTTCCCAAAGAACCCATTCGTCATGCGCACCTGGCCCCAGCGCCCCTCAAAATGATTCGCCAGCACCGACAGCGTCGCCGGCTCCTCCACCCGCTTCGGCCCAAACACCACGGCCAAGATATCCACCTGCCCGCTGGCGCCCGCCCGCCACGGCCTTTCCAACACGCCATGAAAATACCGCTGCCCGCCCGCCCGCAGGCCCGCCCGCTCTTGCTGCTGCTGCTGCCCCGTCATGTGGCGGTCGATGCGGATGATGCGGGAGGCGGGGCCCGCGTCCTCGGATACCAGCAAGAGGCGGGCGTCGGTTTGCGGGAGGTCGTCGTCGAAGCGGTAGAGGATGGTCAGGACCTTGACTTTGCCGGGCGCGGGGTCCGGGCCGAGGGTGGCGTTGAGGGTGCGCAGGTCGAGGGCGAGGCGGTCGGTGTCGCCGACGAGTTTTTGGATTTCGGGGGTCACGACTACGCCGCCGAAGGTCGCGCCGAGGATTTGGATGGCGTTGGGCCGTGGCGCGGCGATGGATTCTTCGTAGGAGGGGATGGGCTCGAGGAAGGTGAGCTGTTCTTTGTTGGTGCTGGTGTTGGTGCCCGTGGTGGAGGGGGGGGATGGGTCCAGGTCTTGGAGGGTGAGCTTCGTCATTTTGGTGGGTTGGTCGGTTGGTTGCCTAGTTGAGTTGGGATTGGTTATGGGATGGGTGGATTGGCGATGCCGGATTGGAGATGTTGAATGTTGAGTTGGTAGTGAGTTCGCCAAGTTGTGATGGTCAAAGTAATGGAATGAAGTTGTGAAGTTGAGATGACTCAAGTGAGACGACGAAGCTGACGTTCCTCGAATTGATAAGTTGGCGCGTGACGACGGCGTGGCCTGCAGGCGGGGGGGGGCGCAGCTAACCGGTTGTTATTGGGCCAGTACTCCGCCGAGCGGTCCGGAGGAGCCGTTAGTCGCCGGTTCATTGGATGCGGAGGTATTGACGTTGTGTTCATCCAAAGTCGGAGTCCAAAGACTCCAAATTGGGGTCGTTGGGGTTTTATCGACGAGGCGGAGAATGGGTTTCATTGATCCCATTCAACCATGAGTTGAAGATCTAAGGTTCCAAGTGCCCAGGTATCAACCTTTCTCGCTCTGTTCACAATGGCATTTTTCTTCGTGCTTGTCTTGGTTGTGTCGATCCTAGCGGGAACAATCGCCCGTCGACATATCCGGTCTCCGCCCTCACCGGCCTCCGAACGGGTAGGCAGTGCCGATTCAAAAGCTCTCCGTGCGAAAGATGAACCAGGTGAGAAAGGCAATGCCCTCGGTCATGACTCCGCCATCGAGACCCTCCCCGACTTCGACTGGAGGACCACACCGCCACTGAAACTGAGACCCTTCAAACCAACCTACAACATCACCATGGGTAGGTAGTCACCTCATTTAAAATAATAGCGCCAAGATATTAACACGCTTACCACCCCTAGCCCTCCAAACCAGCCGCCCCTCCGACCTCATCCTCATCGACAAAAACTACCTCGAGCGTGTCATCCGCCGCCGCACCCTCATCGCCGACTACAAATCCGCCGTCTTCGGCGCAGCCCCATCCGGCCACGCCCCCGTCCGCGAACTCTACACCTACCTCCTAGGCACCTACCTACCAGCACGATACCCAACCATGTTCCACCTCTCCCACTCACCCACATCCTACTCCTCCCCGTCCCCGCAAACCCTCTTCCACAACCGCGCCACCGGCCGCAGCTCACCACTCTCCCCACCACCATCCACCGCAGCCGAGATGCTGCAAATCCTGGGCGAGACGGTCGAGGATGATCTGTTCCTGCTGCTGCCAGACCGGGACACAGACAAGCCCGAGGGGGAGGGCGGTGCACACCGCGCGGTGGCGTTCGTGTGCTGCCACCCGGCGGGGTTTGATCCGTCCGAGAAGCTGGGCAAAGTGCTGGCCGAGATCCATGGGCCGGTGCCGGGGTATGAGAAGATTGGGGCGAGTATGGAGAGGTATTTTGGGCGTTTGGAGGTGGGGAGGTGTGTGAAGAGGGTTAATGTGCGTTTTCCTCCCTTTTTTCTATTATTGTTATCGGTTGGGTTTGCTCCTTTTTTGTTACCCCTATTTTGCTAACGGGTGGTTTGTGCAGTGGTCAGTCCAGGCCCATTCGCGGCTCTATGCGCCGAGCGGGAATCATGTGTACGCGGGCGAGGATATTGAGGAGGAAGCGGGGATTGATGTTGACAAGGCGAGATTCCGAGTTGAGCTGCAGGCCTTGACGCGGTTGCCTGAGACGCGGGCCGTCTTGTTCAGCTTCAAAACGTACATGTACTCGCTGGATGAGATCAGGCGCGAGGGACTCGGGCCGGAGTTAGCGGACGCCATCGAGGGTTTGAAGGCGGGCAATGCGCCGGGCATGTGGGTGTATAAGGGGGGTGTGAGATGGGGGAACGCTGCGTGTGAGTATTTGAGGGCGGATGGAGGATGAGGTCAAATGTGAATTACATGGTTATTGGTCAGGGTGACATCGGTATTTGTTTTGACATTGACGCTTTTTTCGGTGCGGATGGCCCGGGGGAGTTGAAACCGACATATTCTCGTTTTCGGAGGTAAAAAGAAAACAACAAAAGAAGGATTATGTTGATAAACGAACATGCTGAGAGTACTTCGTATCTCCGAGTTATTTTCACGTTTTTCAACATTATTAGCGTTTGTTGGATGGAAGTGACGGGCTGAACTTGGCCCTTGTGTCGAACATCAAGAACTTCGAGGTTGCTTCCACTAACATGTCGTGTAGATTACTCTTCCAGGGAATTATTGTAACTCCCTAGGTACTATGTACCTAACAAGATATTTTGGAATCCGTAAAGACGGATTACAGTGACGGCCGGTGGACGGTTTAAGGTCAATATCAACCCCAAAGAAAACCTCAAAATGCAAGCTTAGTAGGTACGTACAGCATGGCAAGTCCAAATGCCCTTCCAACTCCGATTCGTAACTCCGGCAGCTGGAGGCTCAACCTTAACCCTGCCCTGCGGTGCCGCGTGTCGGACCCGGTTCTCCACTCGGCTCAGCGACCCACCGGTAGCGCCGAACCCCGAGGGGCAACAATCTTCCTGTCTCAGCGTTTCTCGGATGATGCGAGGATCTGATAAGCCGATCCCCGGGCTCCGCGGTATAAGTGTGTTTCGGCCGCACATACTGTTCAACAAAACCTTGACTTGCGTTGTTGTTCTTTAAACTCAAGCCGCAAGCGTACCTTTTCTAAATAACATCCACCCTGGTTTACACCCTTGCACATTCTCAAACTATTAAGCCTTCGTGAACTCGAACTCCCGGAAAATCCGCGGATCACTCCACAAAGTTAAAACTCAAATAATATGGCTACGGCGCTTCGAAATGTTGTGGTGGTCGGTGGCTCGTATGTCGGACTGGTGCGTTGCCATGGCTCCTCGGTGTGGAATCTGAATGCCCGGTATGCGGTAACTAACATGCCACACCGCAGAGTGCAGCCAGGGAACTCGCCAACCTCCTTCCCGCAACCCACCGTGTAAGTCCCAGTCCGCCCCTCACAACACCAGTTCAACCCAACCCATCTGACGTACCCCAATAGGTCGTCCTCGTCGAACCCCACAGCCACTTTCACCACCTCTTCGCCTTTGTAAGCCACCCTTTCTGCCCTCCACGACATACTTTCCCATACTCACCCCATACCCATCCCATACCCATCCCATACATGTAGCCATCCCCCCCTCCCCTCCCAAAACCAACCTAAACTAACCACCACCACCAACCCGCAGCCCCGTTTCGCCACGACGCCCTCCCACGCCCACAAAGCCTTCATCCCCTACACCTCCACCTTCACCACCTCCCCCAATCCCACTCACCACCTCCTGCTCCACGCCCGCGCCCTCACCCTCCACCCCCACAGCCTAACCCTCGACCGCGCATGGCACGGCTCCCATACCCTCCCCTTCGACTACCTCATCGTAGCCACCGGCACACACCTCTCCCCACCAGGCACCATGCCGACCGACGACAAGGTCTCTTCGGTGGAGTTTCTGAGGCGGTATCAGAAGGGGGTTGAGGCGGCGCGGGAGGTGGTAATTGTAGGCGGGGGTGCCGTGGGCGTGCAGATGGCGTGTGATGTGAAGGAGGGGTTTCCGGGGAAGAGGGTGGTGCTGGTGCATTCGCGGGAGAGGTTGATGAAGGGGTATCATGGGAAGTTGAGTGCGTTGGTGAGGGGGAGGTTTGAGGAGTTGGGGGTGGAGGTTGTTAGCGGGAGTAGGGCGGTCGTGCCGGAGGGGGGGTGGCCGTCGGTCTTTGGGGGAGGTGGTGATGGGGAGAAGGTGGAGGTAGGGCTGCAGGATGGGCGGGTGGTGACGGGGGATTTGGTGATTCCTGCGACGGGGCAGACGCCGAATACGGGGTTTGTGGCGGGTTTGGAGGGGGCGGATGAGCTGGGGAGTGTGGTTAACCCGCAGAATGAGTTTGTACGCGTGCGGCCGACGATGCAGTTCGCGGATGGGCGGTATCCGCACCTCTTTGCGGTGGGGGATATTGCGGACTCCGGCGCGCACAAGGCCGCGAAGCCGGGCATGGTGCAGGCGGCGGTGGCGGCGAAGAATATCGCGAGCATGGTGGCTGGACGTGAGGCGGCCGAGGAGATGAGCCTGACGCCCGCGGGGATCCATCTGACGTTGGGGCTGGTGAGTGACTGACTCCTCTTTTGTTGTCTTGTTCGGAGCTATGCTAACCGGGCTGTTTTCTTGCCACAGACGCGCAACGTTATCTTCCGGAACCCCAACATTGCCGCCGGGGAGACTGAGCCGTACATAGAGCTCAAGGATGAGTAAGTGGCCCCTAGCCGATCTAGTTGTTTCGTGGGTCAGCTAATAGAACTCGAAATAGCGGCCGCGAGGATATGAACATCGAAAGGGTCTGGACGATTCGAGGCGTCACGGCCAAGAGTCCACAGGATTATCACCTGTGATTTAGTCCTTGTGGGCGGGGATTGGGTATTGACATTAGGTACCTAGGTAGATTCAGATAGGTTCAGTCCGAGTGTGTGGGTTGAGGTACGATAGAGGTCCTTACCTCATGTACCTAGGTAATCAAAGGCGCGGTTTTGTCATTGCCAGTTTTGGTAACCACTCTAAGATATCCTAATAATAAGGATTCGGCGTTTTCTCCAAGTCCAAGCAAGCTCTCACACGCACAATGGCTTTTATACATCGGCCTACGCCGTAACTGAGATGGCACTGGTATCAGCACGGGCTATATGACAACGATATAGCTTTTACTGTACACCTCGGTACCTAAGGTAGGTAGGTACCTAACTTTAAGTCGGAACCACCCCTGCTTGTAGGCACCCCAACCCAAACACTTCAAACAACTACAACTTCATTAGTTCTATTCCTCTATACTTCCTTTTCGGTACACCGGATTCCTCGCTATAAATGGCCAAATATACCGAAGAGCTCTATAAGCTCCTTGACGGGTACGAAATGGCCGTCCGTTGGTTATGGTGTCTGCGGCATTACACCCATGATAGGAAGCACTCTCGGTTGGTGAACGCGCCCAATTCCAGCCTCGAGTTCCTTGTAGCCCCCTGATGTCTCGAACATGTAGCTACCCTCTGCTGGGTTGCTAGGCAGATGGCGGTGAGAACCATCAACAGGCTACCATTCCACAGTCCGTTTGTCGCCCAGTGAAGCTCGGTCAAGTCTTGCCAGGAGAATGCAGCACCGATAACACTGGCGACGAGCGCACTCTAGCGACGGTCAATACCCGGACTTACAGGACTAGAATGTACCCTCACGCACGGTGATGCCGACGAAAGTGGGCTCAGACAACTTGCTTTTACGCCAGCGAGCTGTAAGTCTACTACGCTCACTAGGGCCAGGCGGGTTCGCCTTCGGTATTGGTGCCGACTTGACTGCATTGTAAGCATCTCCCGCAACTTCAGCAACTCCCCATCTTAAGCACTAACCTGAGGTTGAGGGGCACTCTCGGCCCTCAGCATTTGCTCCATATGTTCGTACATTTTCTGCTATAGCGTAAATGCAATTTTCAAGGGCCCCTATATTGTCGTTGGGATTCTCTACAGTAGTCGAGTAATTGCCGCTTAACTTGCCTGTTACGAAACAGGGCCCCAGAGCCCCAGACTAGAATAATTAGTGCCTGTATTTTGAGCGCGAGTTTTCCAATTTGCTGGCCACAATAGTCCCGCCAGTCAAATCTCTAGCAATGATGGAATGCCTCATGAAACTCTCCATCAACGACATAACCCACAAGAAAGGGAAGAGAAGAATTATGAAAGACAACAGGCCTCCTGAAATGATGATCAACGGTGATCCCAACACCCACAACGGAATGAAAGCTTGCAGGAGGAAGGAAAAGGAGAAAACTATACAGAGATGAATCCATTCTTTTAGGGGGAAAATGAACGCGAGTAACATGGGCGTCTTGGATACCTTCACGCCCAGGGTTCTGGAATAAAAGGGTTGGTACGCATCTTGGATGTAAACATACCAAACCCTAAGTGCTAGAAGTGGGAATTGATACATGACGGTTAGACCTATGCGCCTTTGGTCGAAAGGTATCCGCATTGGTAAAGATATATAGGCGTTGTTGTCTGGATTGATCAACAACGACAAGCGAAGAATCGACCAAAAAAGCACGCTGAAAATGGCCCAAGGAATCCAGAGATTCGTCAAGGTTTTGAGAAGGGAGTCATGAACCGTCGTCATCCGATCGGCAACCACGACAGGGGAAACCGAAAATGCCATAGACATTACGCCAGCTGCCCAAACAGAGGCTCGATGGTATCCTCGATTTATTGCTGTAGATAGACGAACCCTGGCGGTGGAGACAAGAGTTGTAGTGAGAATAATGTCAACAAAGCAAATGGTTTGCCCCAGGGCCTTTTGCTGCGTGATGTCGGCATAAAGCATACCCTTGGGGTGGTACGCCACCGCCGATAAACGCTCGCCCACCCCGGTATTCTTGACGGATTTTGGAACCGTTCTCGTCTTTGTGGTGAAGTAATAGCTGGCCAGAGTTTTTCGATCACGTCCATCAAGGGCTGGCCGCGACTCCCTCCAAGCACAAAGTGTAAGATGGGCCTCGAATCCCCTCTGCTTCAAGATGATGGCGTCCTCGAACGTTTCTCCGTCTCCTAGCTCCCACGAGAGTCGATTTCGAAAAGGGATCATTCTGCCGACACAAAATCCGGAACTGTCGAAGCCATCCGGGAGCCGTCGGATAACGAATCCATCCTCGGGCCGCTCCGGGATGCTGCCAACGGCAATGACATACACCGTCTTGTTCCACCACCATTCCCAGGCCTTATAGCTGATGCTGCCAAGAAGATCTGTGTCGACACGCGCGTATACCTTCCCACGGAGCTGGCGGAGCGCTATGGTTCTGATGGTGGTAATGTCGTCGCGGTGTCGACACTGGAGAAGTGCGGTGCCGTTTCGGATTGGGATGGTGATGTGCAGACCGTGGTTCGTGATGGAGAACGGTGCAATATTACCCCCGTCGTCAAAAGGGACGAGATCCGCAGAGTTTGCAAAAGCGTTAGGTGAAGCGGCAAAGATTCCACTGATCCTGTTGTCCGGGTCGGGGTGTTCACGGCGCCATGCGAACAGCGTTTGGTCACTGGATTGTCCGGCAATGGTGTGCTGGAGGCGGAGGAATGCGTTCTCGCCTTCGCCGTAGAGCAGCGGCATATTGACACCGAAAATACCGAGGAGACTGTAGGCGATGTCTTCAACGCGGGTTGTCTGTCGTGCCGACGCCCAGCTCATTCGTTCAGCGACACTCGCTTGCGCCAGGAGAGACTGAATTCTGCCTTCAGCCTGCCTACTACCGTCTAGGAACTTTTGATTGATGCCGGTAATGTCGGATATGGAATGGGAGAGGCCAGCTCTGTGGGACAAGTAGCTCCAGTCAGACGCATGGAATGTCAGTTGGCGCGGCGCAATCAGCTCCTGTAGAGTCCACCCTCGTGTGAACCATTTGCTCTTGCGAAATTGCGAGGGGAAGTTGTCGTCGGCAAGACCGGAATCTACGTCGGAGAGGTAGACGTAGCAGGCGGCGGCAGTCTGGTACCAGCGAAACATGGAGTTAATGGCTTCCGAGAGCTCGGCACTGCTCAGCTTGTCGATGCAGCAAGTGTCGATCCAGACGTATCGGAAGCCCTCCTTCAGCGCTAGGCGGCATGTTCCCTCAACCTTTCTGTATCCGGCTTTTCGCATTGCGGCTAGGCGATCATCGAGGTCTTGGAGAATGACTTCCTCGTTGCCCCATGTGTGCGACAGGATGGCGTAAGGAGGCGTGTTCTTTTCGAAAAAGCCATCCTCCACCTCGAGTGTCTCCGTGTTCAGGAGTCGCATTTTCTCGCATTTTCTCGCGGGGACGAGTTGGGGAGAGTTGGGGGGTCAGCGAGAGGTGTGAAGAGTTCGATCCGGTTTACAGACTCGTAAAAGGTGTTGAGGGTGAAAAGCAAAGGGGCCTGGTGTGAGGGGTACATACAGTCCCGGGAATCCCCTACCCACGGAAAACTGCGGTGCGACTCAAGAAGTTCAGCTCTGCCGAGTCCGGCTATGTGATTAGCTACATAATAATGGGAACATTGGCGGACATGCCACGTCACTGAGGTCAGCCATGCATAGGACGGCTCCGCTCCGCCCCGGACCGGACCCGCACCGGATCATGTGGAGTCAGTATGTACTAAGGGAGGGCCTGTCGCACAATCCCGTAAAATTCCTCTTTTTCTTAACTTAAAACAATAGAACATCGTGCGCCTGTGTGCAGCTGCCACAGGGCTAGCACCTTACATAAAGTACCTTTTATACCCTGTTAGTAGTACAGTGTGGGTCCAAAAGTCTGGATCCAAACCCCCACCCAATTTAAGCACGCGACGCGACCGCGTTGACTACCATGATATTTGACCTGCTACCATTCCTCGCCATGACGCTAGATTTAGCTGATTTCGCAGCCAAAATGGCCTCCAGAAGGCAGCCGAACCAGGAATTATCGCCAGAGCTTCGTGCAACCATTTGTACACTCATTGCCACCGGCCGGACTCAGCGTGAGGTTGGGGAGCTCTTTCGCGTGTCAAAGAAGGCCGTCCAAGGCGCAGTTCAACACTTCGAAACTCACGAATCTTTCCACTCCAGACCTCGGAGTGGGCGTCCTGAGGTACTTACGCGGAGAGAGGAGCTGTATATCCTAACTCTCATTAATGTGACGAACCTGTCTCTGGACCCGTCCTGTTAGGGTTCAGTATCGGTCGAAGGTATTCTCTCAAGGGTGCTTAGGTTCGGTGCAGCCAAAGGGTGCACAACAAAGACTTGTCTCAACAGTAGGCTCTCGAGCTTGTAGCGAACTGTAGTTGTGATTGCTAACTGGAGAACTCCCAGAGCTCTCCAGAACGAGTGACTATATACCTGTCTAATTCTTGAGTGCTCAGTGTGCTCAGTTCCTCTGAACACTGATCACACTGATCACTTAGAACGTTCTGTTCATCCTGATTGGTGATTGGGATCGCGGTGCTCACTGTGCTCAGTCTGCTTGGCGACTGAGCTCACTGATCACCCTGCTGCATCCCTGATTGGTTTGACTGGCCCGGGGCGTCCCGTGCCTTGGGCCCCACATGTTGGCATATCCGTGACAATTAAACGGAACAGGAAGGTTGCTAAAAAGACACTCCTCCATGTCACAGGGACGCCCGTCTCGTACTCGACGATACGCCGTTGTCTCCGCCACTATAACATGCACAAATGGAGTGCAACGAAGCGAATTCCTTTAACAAAAGAAGTGGTAAAGGATCGATATAAATTTGTCTGCGACCAGCTTGACAATCTTGAGGAGTTCCTCTCTACGTATAATTAGAGAGAGGTAGTTATAAGACGCGAAACGAGGGGAAGACTGGTGATAGGAGCGTACAAGCGTACCATTTTAACTACTGACTGTAGGCGCTAGAAGTGACTGTCGTGGGACTAACAAGCGCCCGGATTCAGGATTGCGGAAAACGAAGCCCGGACCAGGGCCAATGAACTCGGGGTCGCCAAGGCTGGGTGTTTGGAAAGTACAGGGTACATTTGAGAGACCAGGACCCCGCACTGTCGAGCGCTAAAGACGGCGATAACGCGCCAGCCAAATTCGGCGGCCAGAACAGCGAGTTCTTGACTTTGTTTATAATTTGGTCTGTGTGTGCTGGCGTTGGGCATTGGCATTGGTTAGGTTTAAATGGGGTTAGAGTGTTTGCGTTGGGGCATGATAGAGGCCGTTAATCAAGGGCGTAGTTTTCGAAACTAACAAGTTGGTGGAGATGTATTCTCTCTAATCAGTTGCCAGCACCGCCAAACTAGGGAATCACTAACCATCGCTGAATGTATTGCCTAATTATTAACGCTTTCAGCCACCCGACGAGGCCGAGCTTAAACACATGGTCCAATCGGGATCAATTCTAGGTAGCATTCATCAACTTTCGTCTAGGCCCAGGACACGATCCACCGTCCCCTCCAGCTACCTCATGTCTTCCCGCGTCTCCCTTGCTGCCCAACGCTAAAGCCAGCCACGGAACCTCATCATGAGGTCAAAACACAAAGGCAGGCGTTTGACCAGATTCTGCATCGACTCCTTCTCGAGGACGCCGGCATTGTTGTAAACGGCCTCGACCACCGCATCCCTCATGCCCCGATCTTCATCTACCGTGGAGGTGTACACCTCCTCAACGGCGCACATGAAGTCATCGCTGTCCCAGTGAAGGTCTGCCTCTATCTCGAACTTTCCGAGCGATAGCGTCTTCAACCCCTTGATGTCGTATTTCTCCGCCAGAGCATACACCCTGGCGTGAACGGTCAAGTTTGGTTGGGGGGAGTATCCCACCTTCTTCTTTGGGCCGCTCTTTTTCGCTCCCGCGGCCATTGCCGGCATCGGGAAGTTTGTTTTCGTGCTGACCTTGTTCGGAGTTCCTGGACCCTTATCTTGGGCTTCCGGCTGTTGTGGGTAATCGAGGTAATAAAAATATCGGATCATCAGCTTCACGGCCTGGGGATCGTCATCCGGAAGGTCGATGATGCCGGTTCTCGCCTCCTTGCGCTACGTTAGCTTCGCTTATCGTCTTTGTGGGGGGACTGGAACGTTACTACGAACCTGGAAAGGGCCATTGCATGCCGATGCGAAGAAGGGCGAGCGCGGGCAGATAATGGCTTTGTGGACTTTGTATTCGTCACCCCGGCAGGTGACTGTCAAGTCGGAATAGGCTTTGTCCCCGAAGAGGCTGTTCCGTAACTTGTGTAAGAAACGCGTAAAAGGCAGAGAGTGGCACGAATGGTCATACTTGTCAAGTGAGCTCAAGAGCTCGTCGTTGGGCTGGGGGGACATCAGCGCCATGTCGGTGAGGTATTGCTAGGTGGTCTGTGGTAGGCAGTCGCCGAGTCGCATCCGCGAAGAGTTTGTAGTAGCTCGAGAACAGAATAAGGCGGTCCTAGGTGGTATATGAGTAGATGAGAGGTAGGTTGCGAAATAAAAGGTTCAACTACATATCGATGAAGGTGGCATGGATTTATATAAATTAAGAGTACCTACAGAGGGGCACCCAGGTGGTAGGTAGGGACGGGGCGCCACAACGTAAACCTGTTAGCATGTTCGGCCTGAAACTGAGCTGAACCCCACAGAACGTACTGTTCAGTTTGGAACAGTATTTCCACCTGAACAGTTTACCTACGTGTATATGGCCCCCTAGGCTCCGGTCGTCAAGTGGAGCGGGTGAGCCAGCCTCGCTCACCCTACGCAGTTAATTGCGCGAGCTAGGGAGAGCTAGGCAAGCTATACGGGCGGCTAAGGCGCTTTAGCTACCTACCTAGGTACTTAACTAGCTCGACCCGCTACCCTCCTTAATATGCCGCTCCCCTTCCACCAGTATACTCTCTCTCAAAAACAGAAGAACAGGAGAAATAAGGGGAAAAGATGAAATTAGAAACACAGAAAGAGGACAAGGCAATAAAAAGAGGTCTAGTATAGCTCTACATCACAGTTACTTTAACAATATACCCGATCTAACTCCAAGTCTATAGTGTAGTATGCATAGCATTGCCATCAACCTCACCCTGATATTGTCGGGCAGAGCGTAAATCTCGTCGGGGACCTACCCACCATCTCAAGCCAAGGGCGCTTTAAGACTATTGGAGAACGGATAGGGGCCATTCCACAGACTTTTACACATCCCATCCCAATTCATACAGCATCGTGGGCTTCGCGGTGTGTGTTCTCGGAGGGACATTAATTTCTCCGCCAATAAGATGAGCCAGGGATTCCAACTGCCAGATTTCACCCTACGTGGCCAGGATTGGTTCACTGCCAAGGTAAACATCCCTCAGATGCCGCTAATTCTTCGCCATACTTGACCCTGAAACTCTGGCTACCTAGGGTAATAGAGTCCTTAGAGTCTCCCACAAAGAAATGTCCAAAAGGATGGAATAAGTTCATGCACAATACTTGTGAGGCGTATTTAAGCCGAGTCGCATAGCCGCGCGCATAAAGCAGCAAAACCAAATCGGGCGCTAGCTGCTCGTGTACATGTAGCGTATATCATGTTCTACAGAGCGGAACCAGACCGATGACATACGAACGCGTCATTCATGTTTTCATTCCATATATCGACGGGAGAGCTCAATGTTAAAGCAGGCTACACATGTAAGCAGGTCCTTGTACAGGTGCTCCCAGCCTCCGTCCTTCCCCGCCGTCGGCGCGCGACTTTCCTTTACTCTTCCCACCCGTTGTCGCCCCAGACTGGCCCGCCTGGGGGTGTGTAAGGGTTCGTTGCTGAAACATCCCTATATTCCAAGAAGATCTGCTCAGGCGGTTAGCGTCTTGTGCTGCTCCAGTCGCGCCCCCCAAGTCATTCTATGACTGCCGGGGTAACTCAGGTACTAACGGATTCGGTATCATCAGCCCGATACGCGCCGGGGAGCGCGATTCCAGCTGGCAACTCGGTCGCCCCATCGCCTACAACCGTGATCTGATGGCAGCTAGGGTAGAACTGGGCAAGGTCGCCCCTCGTGTTGGTCCTCTGGAGGCCCAGAATCTCGTGTCTGTGAAGAGCAGACGGCACGGGGTTAGCGTACGTGAAATGCAAAAGGAATGACGATATCCCAAGTAGGCAGGGGGTCGACGCGTACCGCAGAATGTACTCTCCGGGAGCAATCGTGGAGGGTAGCGTGACCTCCCATGTGCTGTTCTGGGTCGGGAGCCTCTTGCTCGCCCACGGGACCGGTTCCCCGGCATCGTACCCCGCCTGGTGAATCTTGACCCAGACATCACCGGTACTTCCAGAGAACTGGCTGCATTTCCCCTGGCAGCTGGCGAGGTAAGTCATTACTTGACCGTGGTCAGCCCTAGTGCCTATTCATCTTCATCGAAAAGAGGGCATACTCGGGCCAGGATGATCGCTCTGCCAATCCGTCCACATGAATTTCACAGCGCTGCCTGCGGCTACACTTGCCGTCGCCTCGACGGGGGCGTTGTTGACTCCGTCACGACCAATATTGCAGGTGATGGCGTCGGAGGTCTTGTGGGTTTACGTTAGCTAAGAGGGCAGAAGAGCCGGCGAGGGATGAGGGAGTCTTGCTTCGAAGAGGCCATCTGTCACTGGCCCGTTGTCTTTGAACTTTCTGGTGATCTTGTTGACTGGGGGGCTTTTCTGAGGATCCTTGTAGGGATTCCAAGCTTCCACGAGGTTATCGCCGAGCCAGATCTGCTGCACATAGCCGTGCGCGGATACCGACATGGGCAACGATAGAAACAAAACGGGAAGCTTCATGATGATGAGCTGATTGTCAGAATGAAACAACAAGATTCGGAGACACTGTAGAGTGCTCTGTAAAGAGATGCAGTCCTGGTCAGAGCACTGGACTACAAGCAGGCCGGAACGTATGTATTAATACCCTTAGGCTCGGCGCGCTCCATCCATGTAAGAGCAGATGGGGTGCAGCATGGTGAAATGGGAATTGCCAAGCCCTTTCTGAGTGTGGCCGTTACTTTAGGGCGACTTTGCCTTGGAGAACAAGCTCGGCTTGAGATCTGCGGGCTCAAACTCCTGAAGCGCCCGGCGACCTCCTCATAGCAACAGACGTCGAAAAGGATGTTCGGAGAAACACATTCAACCCATGTGGGGAGTTGCCTTAGGTAGGGAGCCTTTCAAAGTCGGGTGTGGCATGGTAGTCGTGGAAATATTAATTCCGGAGCAATGGATCGTTTGCGGTGTACTTGGAAAAGGGTTGAACAAGATTCGGAAGCGACTCCGGGACCTACGGGTTACGGGATCGGCAGGTCATAACTTAAATGGGCTTAGGGGAGCACTGGGCAGAGAGGGGCCGACACTATCCAGTAAGGGCCGGGTGACTTTGCTCTGCCTGTTCTTATTTCGCCGGGGTGCCTTCTCAGATTACAAAAGGCCCCGTCGAAGCATTATCAACTAACTCTCTAGACTCAAAGAGTACCTAGGTACGGTAGGATCCGCGGAGGGTTTACCCGCAACTGAATCACTGCATCGCAGAAAAGCATTGATGGGCGAAGAAAGACATGTCCATCTCTTCCATTCTCAACGACCGACGACAGCCCAAGCGATCTCTGGATATCCCGGACCAAGACGGTCACTCTCTCCCTTCCACCTCTGGTGTTAGTGAACCGTTGCAATGGGACTCTCTCTAGGACATGCGGAATCCCACCAATCATTCCTGGGAGATTTGCTCATCCACCCTTGGCGATTGCTGGTTTGGGAATGAATTCGCAATGCTCCGGAATCCCCGCTGCAAGAGCTTGCACAACCCGCCCTTGAGTGATAGAGTATCTGATCCAAGGCTCAGGACATCGTTTTACTTTCAGCTCTCGGTGGCAAGCTTTATCGTTCATTTCTCATGCGATCAAGGGAACTCCATGCTCTGGACTTATAACCTACATGTATACTGCCTGTACCCTCGGTGTGTGGAGTCCGGGCCGGATTTCTTGTCCGACTTATACCTGCCAAGTTACCCCGAGTTAGGTAGGGAGCTTCAAGTTGCAAAATAAGCCAAGAATATGCCGCCTTGGGAATCTACACTACCAAGTAAGCCCCAGGCCCGAGCCGGAACGGACCACCACACTGTGCCTCGATACCTCTGTAAGATACCTAGGTACAAATAATAACCCCTCGCCAAACCCAAAGCGCCCGTCTACTAGGCCTTGAGCGCGCCGCTCTCGACAAACTCACCCAGACGCTGCCGTATATGCCGGGCCAAGGATTGGAGACGGGGACTCTTCTTCCGGCATGAGCCTCACGAGCAGGACATTGGGGCCCGCTTGCTCGAGGTCGGTCTGCAGGGTGTTGGCGTGGCGATCGGCAATGCTGGCACCGATGATGACAGCGCGCGGCGCCTAGCTGTCCGTAGGGGGGACCTGCGAGTTGCTGCTGATACCGGAGAGCTCGCCAGGGCCGTCCACATCGCCCACTGAGAGCTAGGCCAAGGTCGAGGATGAACAAATGTGAAACGAGGAGACGTGACGCACCGCCCTCTTCCGGGGTAGAAAGGGTTGTCCTTCCCCCCTTTCCTACTCCCCACAGGTATCGGAGGCACAGACGAATATCCATCTCATGGTCTCACCCCGTCCTGCCTTCTCCTCCCAATGTCTGTCCTAATCCCCATCTCACCCGTTGAAACCGACGTGGATTTCGCTAGATTCCTCTAGCTAGAGCTGTCGCACCACTACGACGGCATGTCCGATCGGCACCCGTTCCCGATCTATTCTCCGACTAGGGGGGGGGGGTTGGAGAGGGGGGCACCGGCATCTCACACCAAGGGTACGACACAGCAGTGGTAGGGGCCTATGTGGCACCGCGTTCGCGATTCTCGATCTTCCACGTAACCACCTCGGGCGAGCAATGTCACATCCCGACATAACTTTACGGACAGCTCGGCTAGTGTCGTTGCTAGATATGCGCTCGATAAGTACCGATGGCATGCTCAGCTGGCTCTCGGTCCTGGCTGCAGCTGCACTGTCGATCATAGCTCCCATTGGCGGGGCGCTTGCCGCGGTTTCTCCCTATTTTCTCTCTCTATGTACAAGATGGAACATCGGAGTCGGTGAAGCCCCTTAACGTATTTCTTTTTTTCACCTCTGTGGGTCTTGGTGACGACATCTGCAGGTTCGGCAGAGCTCTCGCGAGCTGCGCATAGCCAGCTCATGTGTTTTGACAATGCCGCTCGCAGCCGTCGTGGGTAGGGCGCTTCGATGAAAAGAGATATACGCAAGTTGTGAATACCGGTTGGATTATACATTTCCTTGGACGGCCCTTGACGAAGTACCCGCGGGGGCAGGTCACGGTACTTACAGTCAGGAGGTCCATAGTACAAGTACTCGACATCCTAATCTACCTAGATATCCTGCAATATCTCATGACTGCCAAAAGTCTCCCAATGGCAAAGAGCCAAGACAGGAAGCGTGCATATTTCAGTTTCAAACACCAATAGCTGTCATTGGAATGCCTGCTAAACTAAAGCCCAGCCGTACCCACGGCGGAACGGTCTACGGTCTACCCTCGCCATCCAATCTACCTCGATCCCCAACAAGCTCCAGCGCCCTTCACTCTACGGTAATGGTGCCGTCCGCAACAAACCTCCGCAGCACGTCGCGAATGTCGTCGGCGTCACGACCCGGGGCCCGCACCACCGGGACATCGGCCGTCTCAGGCTGGATGGCGGCCTCGATGGCATCTTCGGTTCCGGGCTCGATGTCCAGGCCGACGACGACGGCGCGCGGTGCCTTACGCCAGGGCGGGGGCACAAGCGCGTTGCCGCCGGCGGGGAACTCGTGGGGGGGGCAAAGGGGCGTAGGGATACCGAGCTCGGCCACGGCCGCCTCGGCGCTGAGGCACACGTGTACCACTGGTTTGGTTGTCCGGCTCGTGTGAGATTTCTCGTACTGCTGTCTGTAGGGGGATGACGGGGGCAAGACGGGGGGGGGGGGGGGGATAACTCGTAGACATACCTTCGAATTCGGGGCGGAGCGCTTCTACGAAATATCTAGCGAAGTCCTCGTTGCTTTGGACGAGGGCGATAGGAATCGGAGCGGCCATCGTGAGGTGAAGCTGAAAGGGGTGGTATGCTCGGTATAAGTGTGATACTAACGATCTAGTGCGGGTGGACGGATAAGCCCTTTAATGGTCGCTTGTCCTTCGGGATGCGAACGGGGTTGAAAAGCGAGAGAGGGTGTAGCTCTCTTATAGGCAGCAGCGTGAGAAGGGTGGACACGTCCCCTTTCCTCCTCTTACATGTCTCGATTCTGAATGTCGGATGATCCGACTCTGAGTGGCCGAGCTCGTCATGCAACTGGATGCATGCACCTCCATTTTGGCTTAGTGCCGTCGCCCGGCATAGCTGAGCCTAGTGGGCTCCTCGTCCCGATCGCGGCTCTCGCGGGGGAGGCGACTGTGCTTTTTTGACTGTGACTTTTACTCAACTCAACCCGGTTTGCTTTACCGCTAGGGATCGGCGTGTCGTTAGTTACTGTGGGAAGGGTAGTAGATGGAAAAACGAGGGGTGGATGAAATAAAGATGGAAGAGGGAGGGGGATCGACCATGGAACTGGGATAGGAGCTTGCGGAGCTAGGTGCCAATGGGGGATATCTCATCGTTGACAACGATGGGAATCCGTTGTCAGCCATGTATGAGGAGTTAGAGGTGGGAGGGGGGTGCTTGGAAAAGCTTCACCAAGACCCGCCTTCCGATGGAGGCGTGTGTGGTTTGAGGATAGGTACCTAGGTACCTACCTAGTTTGTGAATCGGGGTCTGGCAGCCGACAGAGAATTGCCCGATGTCTATATACCTACCATGTTTGTGCATGTGCATGTACGTTGCGTCATGAAATGGCTAGCCACATTCTCTCCCTGTTTTCCCCCTCTTTTGCTTGTCGATCGCGCTGCAGCTCGGAGCCGACCTAATGTTGAGTGGTCGAAACCTGCACGATGGCGTTGGGCTCGGTGGTGCCATTGGGTCTCAGCTCGGCGACCCTTCGGGGAATTCGAATATCGCGAAGACTCGGTCATCTAGATGGCAATCGCAACAGCTACCCAGGGGGCTACGCCCGCTATATAGGTCACTATATGTAGTATTAGCTGAGCGGGTGAGCCGGGGCTCTACACGCAAGAGTACCTACGATATTCCCACAACCATGTTCCAGCAAACATGCTTTTCACGCCTCAAAAGTCTGTTTTTACTATACTACAACTTACTATGTGCATCCAAGCACTATCCACACCCCGCAATTTTCTAGGGAATTCGGAGAACAGTCAAAGGTATAGTAGTTAGGGGTTCAGACAAAATCACCCGAATACTGTGAACCATCAGGGGCCAATACCCTCCTTGTAACAGCTTCAATCAATGTCGACGCTCGCATCTTCTTCATGGCCCAAGTCCCTAACGTCTCATTACTTATAGCGAGCACCGTTACCACGACGGTGCTGTCTTACAGTGTTTAGACCAAACATGCTTGTGTTGACGATTTCCCTGTGTAGTTGTCTCTCTGGAGGCTGCTGTCAACCCCTGATTACCACTGAATTTACCCGGTCCTTCACTCCGACTCAGCCCCTTTCACTTCACTCAGGAGTTGTAGTGGGTCTGCAGGCAGCAGGATTCGTTTCACAAGGCAATTTCCCCGCGGGGTCACCTCGTAATTCGCATTCCAGGGATGGATTAGGCCAGGGCTAATTCTGAAACCACGTGTTGTGACGGTGGACAGACAAAATAAGCTTCTGCCCAGGCACTCAGATCCGACCTCCCCACCTTAAACATCAATTCGTCAACTCACCACACTTGCCCTCACCATGGGCCAACCACAGTCCCTTCGGGCGGCCATCGCCGGCCGCCTTTTGAACATAGCAATAGCCCTAACCTTCATCCCGCTCATCATCCATGTGGTTATGCTCGTCGCGGGGACCTTCCAAGTCAACGGCCCCGCCGGCTCGCGCCTCATCGGCCTCAGTTCACTTTCTATCGTCTCGGTAGGGCATTCACAACCCTCCTTCCAACTTCTAACCCCCGCCTAACCAAACCCCTAGTTCAACGGCATCATCCCCTCGGACACCCACTCCTCCTACCTCATCCACCTCCAATTCTTCCCCAACGCCTTCACCTGGTCCTACCCGACCTCCCCCAACCCCGACCTCACCAGCGGCATCCTCCAATCCGGCCCCTCCAACACCCTCGACCCCTTCATCCTAATCCAATCCCTCCCCACCACCCTCTCCCTGGACCCTTCCGAAACCAACTGCCTATCCCCCAACCCCAACCACAACCACAACCCCACCCCCGACGACAACGACGCCACCACCACAAAATGCACCTCCCCCTTCTGGACCGCCCTCAACCACATCATGCCCTACCGCTTCGAACTGCACGGCCACCCGGCCTACCTCGCCCCCGTCATCCACTTCCTCAGCATCCTGGTCATACTCTACGTCTTCCGCCTCGAGGCCTGCGTGCGTTGGTGGCCTGGCCAGATGCGCTGCCAGTGCTGGTGGCGCTGGAACAGGCGGATGTGTCCGCTCCCTAAGGGGACGGCGGAGGAGGTGGCGCTGTTGCCGGGGGGGGAGTGGGATGCGGCGAGGTTGTGGATGTATGTGGCGGTGGTGGCGTATGGGTGCGTGGCGGTGGGGTTTGAGAGGATGATGGGGGGGCTTTTTGTGCGCGCTTTGGGGTGGGTGGAGGAGTCGTTGCCGGAGGGGAGGGTGTTGGAGGCGGAGATGGGGAGGAGGTTTTTTGTGGTCAGTTGGGGAGGGGTGGGGGTTGCGGCGGTCGCGTGTGGGTGTGTGGTGGTGAGGATGTTGTTGATGAGGGGGGAGAAGGGGGGGGGGGGAAGGGGGAGCCGTTGTTGGCCAAGGAGGGGGTGGTGAAGGCGGTTTGAGCGGTGCGGGTGGGTGTGACTACGGTACTTGGATTTGATGTTCACCCAGCTTTGAGGTTGGTGTCGGCTTGTAATACGTGAGGAATGAGGGTATCTGGGAAAGTTTTCACAGTCCAAAATAACTTGAGTTAGACTACCATTACACAGACTACATAGACCACATAACATGGCAACACTGTGTTCTCGTCCAACCCTTTACCCCTGACACCCCCCCCAGAGCCTACGAACAAACACGGCCAAAGCCCTTCGCGCATCGATAACTCTCCGCCACGCTCGGACCCCCCGGCCATCATACCTCGCGACCAACGGATAGCGGCATAGCTTCCCGGCAAAACGCGTCTTGGCCGTCGGCCCCGCCGTGCCAGACCAACAGCTTGCCGCCGGGGTTGCGGAAGCCGGAGAGGTCTGGGTCCGAGGAGGCGATCACACTGGCGAACTTGTCTACGGATTCAGCGAACAACTTGCGCAGTGTGCTTGAGTTCAGGCTGGAAAGGTCGAACGTGGGATTGGCCTTGACGAAGTACTTCTTCACCCAGTCGCGGGCAACAAAGAAGGGGGTGGGTGAGGGTGATGTTGAGGTTGGTGATGGGGTGGGTGAGGAAGGGGGGCGTGGCGCTGACGGTGTGGTTGAGGAGGGGGTTGGTGGTTAAAAAGAGGATAGTGGTGTTCAAGTTGGGGATGTGGGTGGTGATGTTGGTGCGGGGGCTAACTTATACTTCCTCCGGAATCCATGATCGACCGGAAGACCGCCCAGGACGACTACCTACATTTACGAGTCAACCTCGACACAGCTCAGCTTCATATTCAGGGCCCCATTCACGGTCTCTACTCGTAATCTCCCAAATCGAAGCCCTCTCCGTTACGCTAAAACATCATAAAAGCCAAAGACACCAAAACACTTTCTCAACTGTCTTGGCCCCCAGCCTCAGCTTCCATGTTGAATGCTTATCCTGGTTTACTCGGGCAAGGCGCTAGAGCAAATCAGCCCAAGAAACTGACGAGGCCGCCAAGGGTACTAGGTACTCAGTCCAGTCTCGCGATTGATGTTCTTGCCTTTTTGGGACCATGGGCTGAATAACACAACACAGCTCGCCAGTCTCAGAATCGGGCAAGGATGAGTGGGTGACAGCCCGAGCATGAAGCACGGAGAGCATTTTTGAAGGATAATACTGAAATCAGACCGCTAACCCGAAAACTGCTACGGTTGATTCCAAACACCAGTCTGGGTCCCTAGAGAGGCAGAGGCGGCACCACTCACCCTAGCCATCCCACATTCGCTGTTCGTTAAGATCAGAAGTTGAACAAACCAAACAGTGGCGCCGGGAATCAGTGCAGGGTCCGAGCGTGGGATCTCGAAATTTCATTGTTTCCAACTTTGCAGCGTCATTCTCCACGCGCCCAACACGCCCACGGTCCCAACGAAAAAAAACCGACACCTGATCATCAAAACAACCTCCCCGGTCTCGATGCCCCGCAACTGCCATCAAAGAATCTTTTCGTGACAAGAGATTCGGTGCGATGGACGGAAGAATATCCAAGGCCCGGCATCGCCACTCCCGTTCGGAGCCCTCCAAGGCCTTACAGGGGAAACTGCTCAACGCCGCGACAGGGAAAAGTGCAGGTACGCACTCATTAGCAACCTCTTGGGAAGGCGACAATCGCTTAATTCGTGCGGTGCAGAAACACTGAGTAAAGACCGACCTCACGAGGCGACCCCGGAACCAGTGAAGAGGCCCTTTAAAACTTGTTCTCACAACAATCCATCGCTGGTGAAGAGAATCCGATTAATGCATGGGCAGGCAAACAAGGTATGGAGGCCACCGCCTTGCGTGCGAGTCGACGAGACTGACCGCGAGAGCGTAGACAGCACTGCAACAGCCAAAGCCGACGACTCCCCGCCAACCACACGCCTCCTTTCCGGAAGACTTCGGCAACCCCAATTCCCTTACCCATCCGAGGTCCCGCGAGTCTACCTATACTCACATTTTGGACTGGCTCGAATCTGTTGAGCCAGGCCGAACGAGATACTGCAGGTCAGATACCCAGCTTCACCGTTTAGGCGAGCCCATTCCGAAGCAGCTCACTCGATCGGCACCGGAGATGGCTACAATTCGGGATCTCGACGGCTTCGTACTTCCGTCCACGCCGGCCTCTGCTGCGCCTCGTTCAAACCCGGGAACTCTACAGACGGGGTCGGCCGCACCATCAAATGTCTCCCACCGCTCCTCTGTGGAGGGTCTGGTCGAGAAGCCGGTATACCGAGATGTCAACCTTGCGGCAAACAACATCTACCTGCTCCCACGCTGGGAACAATTGCCAGATCATATCGCCGACATTGTTCGGTTTGTCGGTACGGACCGGGACTCCCCCGGTCTTTCGACCCAAGACGTGGCGCAAGATGTTGATCTGGATGCGCTCTGGACGCAAGGCGGAGAGTCGGAAGTCGAAGAATACTGCAAGCATAGCATATTCCCGAGGTGTCATCCCACAGACGTGTTGCGCCGGAGTGACAGGCAGCCAATGGCCAGAGACACTGTTCCCAATTCCGGATCCAACTACAAAGTCAGCAATCCAGTCCCCGATATGCTCTATGGATATAACCGCCAGGCCGCCTTTCCCCAACAGCAAACCCAGCTCATTTTCCTGGGATCGGAGATGATCGCAAACAGCCAAGGTCTGGTTTATCCGTTCTTCGTCATCGAGTTTAAAGGCGACGGTCCGTCTGGTGCTGGGAGTTTCTGGGTGGCAACGAATCAATGCCTAGGCGGATCTGCATCATGCGTCAACATTGCCGATCGCCTTAACCGCCGGCTCGCGGAGTGCGACAACAAAGAAATCAGTGCGATCGATAGTGCCACCTTCAGCATCGCCATGAGTGGTTCTGAAGCCCGGCTCTGTATCACCTGGAAACATGACGAGCTCGCGTATCATATGGCGAATGTCAAGAACTTCCTGCTCCACGACCCGGACCATCACATTCAATTTCGCAAGTACGTCCGCAATATCATTGATTGGGGGAAGGGGAGACGGTTGGACGAGATCCGGTCCTCTTTGGATGCGCTGTCGGAGGAGAGTAGGAAGACGGCTTCCGAGGACGCAAAATCTTGCTTTTCGTACAACTGTAATTGATGACTCAGCAAGCACGGGCCAACACCTCGCCCGAAGTTTTGCTGGCCGAGAACCTATTCGCGTTCCAGGAGTAGGGCCGGCTCTGTAACGACTATAAACGGCGCCGGCGACGGAGGCTGGAAGCCGTCGCTCATTCTACTTCGTTCACACCCCATTAAATCCCTCAGCTTATACCCCGCGCATTCGCGATGACGGCGCGTTTTCGGTGCTAGGATCCCGTTCCCGGCTCGGGGACGCGAACCAACTACGCCCAACCCTCGAGCCTCGGTACTGGCCTTGCTGGCCTTGGCTAGGCTCGCTTATACTATTGTGGCTCCCTCCTCTCCCCCCTAAACCCTAGAACTCCCTTCCTCCTCACCTTCTCGTTGTTATTCCTACTCCTAAAACACTTCTCAACTCATGTCACGAACAGCCAACGAGGGGCGTGCTGGAGACATGCCACCACGGGGCGCGGGCCGCCCCGAGCCAATCACCGGCGGCCAGCTGGGTGCTCTGCTCTTGGCACGACAGAGCACGCTACGCTCTGGGTGCTCTGGCACAGAGCAGGGAGAGCACGACGCTCTGGGTGCTCTGGCACGGAGCATACAGAGCAAGGTACGGAGATACCTCAAGACTTAGATAGTATATAGTCACTCGTTCTGGAGAGCTCTGGGAGTTCTCCAGTTAGCAATCACAACTACAGTTCGCTACAAGCTCGAGAGCCTACTGTTGAGACAAGTCTTTGTTGTGCACCCTTTGGCTGCACCGAACCTAAGCACCCTTGAGAGAATACCTTCGACCGATACTGAACCCTAACAGGACGGGTCCAGAGACAGGTTCGTCACACGTTGCTAACTCCCTTTGATCTGTTACAGTTCAGGCTCGAAGGTAAAACGACATGGCAACTCAACCGACGCCGGGCCAGATCACGGCCGCGCTTCAGAGAGTCACCGAACGACTCGATGAAACTGAAGAAGAGCTTGCGAAGACCAAGGCCAGCAACGCGGCATTGGCAGCCCGACTTGCGGCGACCGAGGTCCACACCAAGGACCCGGCCAAGACGAAGGTCAAATTGGAGCAACCCGAGAAGTACGGGGGCGACCAGGAAGCCTTGCCAGGTTGGATCACGGAGATGCGGAACTATCTCGACCACAACTCGCACCAGTTCGCCACTGAGGAATCCAAGACCAGATACGCCGCCACCCGACTCAAGGACAAGGCCCTCAAGTGGTTCACGGGAACACTGAGTGATTTCCTCGGCGGAGCAATCCACAAACCCTTCACCAAAAAGGTCTTCGAGAACTACTCCGAGTTCGAGAGTGAGATTCAGAAGGTGTTCGGTGACAAGGACGAGAAGTTACACGCCCAGGAACGGCTAGGACGGCTGAAGCAGACTAGGTCAGCCACCGCCTACGCCACGATTTTCCGACAAGACTCCATGAAGGCAGAAATAGACGACGAGGGGCTGATGCACCTGTTCTACGGAGGACTGAAGGAGGAGGTCAAGGACGAGCTCTACAAGGAGAGCCGACCTGACACGCTCGACGAGTACATCGCCATGGCTGTCAAAATTGACGACCGACAGTTCGCCCGCAAACAACAGAAGAAGGGCAGCGAGATTCAGCGATCCGCAGGCTACCACAAGCCCAACGACAAAAAGAAACGCCAGCACCAGAGCACGTCATACGGCACGCACTCGGGACCCATGGACGTCAGCGCTGCCCAGGCACAATGGGCAGGAAAGAGAGATGGTGCCAAGGACAAATCAGGCATCACTTGTTACAATTGCGGCAAGAAGGGGCACTTCAAACGAGACTGCCGCAGCAAGAAAGAGTGGAGACCGGTTCCAGGGAAGGAAGCTGCCACCATCGACCAAAACACGGTCGGAAGAAGAACCCGGTTTCTGGAGGTCGCAGCCGCCAGCTACACGCAGGACGACCTCGAAATCGACATTGACCGAGTCATCGAGCAGGACGATGAACTCACCGACTCGGATCAAGAAGACTTGATGAGCAGCAACCACCAGGAGGGAAATGACACCGCCCATCACGCTTTCATCGAAACGGATGACGAGGGAGAACTGGCTCCCCCGCGGTACATCCGACAAGTCGCTGAGGACTGGGGCATCACCCTGGTTCAGCAAGAGGACGGGCAATGGCGAACCCACGAGGGTGAAGGAGGAGTCAGCCCGAACCTCATTTTTCTGCAACAGAAGGTCCTAAGCCAACGGCAAAGGATCGAGGAGTTGTCAAGAGAGAAAGAAGAACTCGAGCAACTTCTCCAGAGAAGGAACGACCAGTACGGACGACTTTGCGCGGAACTCGATTTCGCCAGGGAACGAGTCCAAGAGATCACCGAGGCCAACAACAGGGCCGGGGATCACGTCGAAAAGACATTAAGAGAGGCACAGGCCTTGCAGGACGACATCCGCCAGGCACTTCCGCACCACACACCGTGGGATGGACCCACCGAAGAGGCGGAAGGATACGAAAACGGAGTACGATACCCCGAGCAACTTTTCGACTACGCACAGGAACAGAATGCGGCGAAAGGAAGAAAACAGCAGAGCTGGGAAGAATACTGGACGCGACATCAGCACATCGTGCGCGCCGGACGACAAACCTCCGACCTTGAATGGTGGGGTTTCCGGGGCGAGAACAACACGGAGGGATTCCAGTTGTTGCCAGAAGACCACGAGCGGGTGAACCCACGAAAAGAAAGTCACATCTACCTGCCCTGGTTCCAGTGCATCGCGCACGAATGTCGGTACCACTTCCAGGACAAATTTCGCAACAGTTTCTGGCCCACGAGGGAAGAAAAAGGAATGCAACCCCTACCCATCAGATGGGTATACGACAGCGGCGACGCTCCCGCAAGCATGTTGTGGGACACCCAACGCACTCACGAGGGCAGGCTGAGGGTTAAACCCAAGGCAGCCTGGCCTCGACGCTGTATGACAGGCGTAGGAGTCGACGAATGCCGAAGCGCAGACTGCCTATCACACGCCGACGAGAAGATCTGGGGATACATGGAACAGCAATCCCAGAGGAAGCCACACCAGAGGACGAGAGCATCCCGAAGGAACGAGAGGCGCCCAGTTGAGGCATGGGCGGCCCAATGGCTCCAAGAACACCAGACGATTGATGCCGCAAGCCAAGGTGCGGACAGGGACGCCTTGAAGTACTACGCGAGCTTGGGAAACGGCTCAGGGCCCTCCGAGGGGCCCGGAAATCTCTAACTCCACAACAACGGAGACAGGCTGCGCAGTACAGGAAGAACTGGCGCAAGCAGAAGCCTTACAACGACCTCCCAGCAGACGAACACGAAGTAGCTGCTGTACGAAGCACCAAGCCAGACAACAGGCTCTGGATCACAGCGCGATGGGGGAAGATCGAAGCCCTCGCGTTAGTGGATGGAGGAGCGCAGATGGATCTCATTGCGCCCACATTTGTGAATCAACTCAGAATCCCATGGAGGATCAAGAAGCAACCACACGTCGTCAAGGGACCATTCGACACACAATGGGTACGACGAGAGACAGAACCACTCGACATTGAGGTGGAAGGAAAAACCACCCAAGTGGTGTTCGACATCGTAAACATGGGGCCGAAGAAAGACATGATTCTCGGACGCCCATGGCATGAGGAATACGACCCAGACATCAGTTGGAAGGGAGATGGCCATCTGCGACCGCGGGAACAGCGGGAGCATCCGACCAACTTGATGGGAGAACGCGCAGAACAGGAGCCACGGGAGAGCAGCGGGTCAGAACGAACCCCCTCTACGGGCCCACCGCAGGAAGCAGCCAGTGCAGAACCACGCACTCTGGAGTCCGGAAGAAGCGGCACACGACGAAAGAAGCAGACACGGGAGGAACGAACCATCGCCGTCGTCTCAGTCGACGAGCACGGAATGCTCAAACACGAACAATGGGTCAATCAGCTCGAAGCGGCAAGCATCGAGCTGGCAGCTGAAGAAGTCAGGGGACTCGAAGCAGCAAGCATCGAGCCCGGGAACAGCAAGTTCGCATACTACGAAGGTACGGCGAAGAACGCGAAAACGGGACAGATCCCAGACGACTACAAGGGGCACCCGGCGTTCACGGCAAAACATCTTGCAGGGCTACCAGACCACGGACCTTGGGATCACGAGATCAAACTCAAGGAAGGAGCCCAGTTGAAGTTTTTCAAGGTGTACCACACCAACGAGAAGCAAGATGCAGAGTTGAGGAGTTATCTCGAAAAGAATCTCGAGATAGGACACATCAGACCATCGACATCTCCAGCAGGCTACCCAGTCCTCTTCGTTCCAAAGAAAGATGGGAAGCTCAGGATGTGTGTGGACTACCGACAGTTGAACAACGAGACGGTGAAGAACCGATACCCGCTGCCACTGATTTCGAGGCTTCGAGATCAGCTGTCAGGAGCACAACACTTCACACGACTCGACCTTCCAACAGCGTACGCCCACATCCGCATCAAGGAAGGAGACGAATGGAAGACGGCTTTTCGGACACCCTACGGGCACTACGAGTACCCTCGTCATGCCGTTCGGGTTGACCAACGCACCAGCGACATTTCAAGCCGCTATCGACCACGCAATTCGACATTGCCTCGATAAATTTGCAGTCTGTTACTTGGATGACATTCTCATCTACTCCAAGACACTCGAAGAACACAAGAGACACGTGCGGCAGGTGCTGGACGCACTGCACGAGCACAAATTGTCAGTCAACAAGGACAAGAGCGAGTTTCATGTCAAGAAAACAGTGTTTCTGGGTTACGAAATCTCCCCGGGATGGGTCAAGATCGAACCCGAGAAACTGGAAGCTGTCAAGACGTGGCCGACACCGACGAACGCCACGGAGGTCAGAGGATTTATCGGATTCGCCAACTTCGTCAGAATGTTCATCAAGAATTTTGGCGACTTCGCGAGACCTCTGCACGAACTTACCAAAAAGGATGCCACATTCCAGTGGAAGCAGGAGCACGAGCAGGCTTTCCAGCGGATCCGCGATGCGATCATCGCCGACCCGGTGCTCATGCTGCCTGATCCAAGCACACCTTTCGAAGTCGAGGCTGATGCTTCGGACTTCGCGATCGGAGGACAACTTGGTCAGAGGGACAAGGACGGCAAGCTTCATCCAGTTGCGTTCTTCTCCAAGAAACTCGAAGGACCAAGGCTCAACTACCCGATCCACGACAAGGAGCTTCTCGCAATCATTGAAGCATTTCAGGAATGGAGACCATACCTCAGCGGCACGACACACGAAGTCCAGGTGTACACGGACCACAAGAACTTACGATACTTCACCACCACCAAGGTGCTGAACGGACGACAGACTCGGTGGGCAGAATTTCTGTCCGAATTCAACTTCACGATCCACTACAAGAAAGGCTCAGAGAACGCACGAGCAGATGCCTTGAGTAGGAGAGCGGATCATCACGACAACACGTCTGAAGCCTCACCACCATTGCTACATCAACAGACAGACGGATCGCTACGGCACGCTTCCCAACCGACTGAAGACTACGAGATCGCAGCACTTCAGCAACAGTCGGAAGATCCCGAAGCCAGGCCTCTGCAACCGTTTGTAGAATGCTGTGCGGCCTTCAGAGAACAAAGATTGGAACGAGACTTCCAAGGGATCATCGCGGACGATCAGCGCGATGCATGGCAAGAAGAGCCAGAATCCAAGATTGCAGGATTGCGACTTGAAGGGACGAGACTCTGGTACCACGACAAGGCCTACGTCAGGCCTGGTGACCAAAAGGAGCTCATTCGAAAGATCCACGAGTCAAGACTCGGAGGACACATGGGAATTGGCAAGACAATTGCGAAAGTCAAGCAGAACTACGACTTCCCAGGAATCAAGCAGACGGCAGAAGGGGTCCGGGCGGAATGCGACCTCTGCAAGCGAAGCAAACCAGGACGACACAAGCCGTACGGGCTACTACAGCCATTGCCAGTTGCAGAACGACCATGGAGCTCGGTGACGATGGACTTCATCACCAAGCTGCCGATATCCAAGGACTCAGTAACGGGAGTGGAATACGACAGCATCCTCACGATGGTGGACAGACTCACCAAGTGGAGTTACTTCCTCCCTTACAAGGAAACATGGTCAGCAGAACAACTCGCAGACGTGATCTATCGCAACATAACCTCGGTCCACGGATGGCCAGAGGAATGGATCACGGACAGAGACACCAAGTTCGCATCAAAGTTTTGGCAAGCTCTGATGACAAGATTGGGTACGAAGAGTAAGCTTTCAACCGCTTACCACCCACAGACGGATGGACAGACGGAACGACTCAACCAGGTCGTCGAACAATACCTACGGTTGTACGTCAATTTCCAGCAGGATGACTGGGTCGAGCTGCTGCCGACAGCGCAACTCGCCTACAACACCACCGTCACGGAGACCACCAAGGTTACGCCATTCTTCGCGAATTTCGGCTACGAAGCAGATTTGCGACAAGGGCCCGAGGTTTCGGTGCCCAGAGCGGCAGTCAAAGCCGACAAAATGAGCTCGCTGCACGCGATGCTCAAGGAAGAACTCGAATTCGTACGAACACGGATGAAGAAGTTCTACGACAGAAACAGGCTCGAGGGACCTCGCCTAGAAGAGGGGGGCAAAGTCTACCTCATTTCTCGAAATCTTCGCACGAAGCGACCAAGCAGGAAGCTCGACTTTCGCAAAGTCGGACCGTTCAAGATCGACAAAAAGATTTCGGAGAACAATTACGCTCTCGCGTTGCCCTCGACAATGCGACTACGGACCAACGTTTTCCACATCTCACTTCTAGAACCAGCGCCGGAGAACGCGCGACTCGACAAGGACGCCGAGGCGGAGGACGAAGAAAAAGAATGGGACGTTGAGGAAGTCCTAGACTCACGCATCACGAAAGGACAGTTGGAGTATTTGGTTAAATGGCTGGATTTTGGCCCAGAAGACAATTCATGGCAACCAGCTACGAATCTCAACTGCCCCGAGAAACTTCAGGAGTTCCACCAGAGGAACCCGGATCGACCAAAGGAAACCCCACGGACAAGTCAAACCCGGCGAGGAAATCGTCGGATGAGGCGCTAGGAAAAGAGTCGACAGGAAGGGCGGACCCTTGCGGCCAGGAGGGCACCAGGGAAGTGCCGTCAGGGGACAGGACGGGAACCGAGGAGGCCACCGCCCGGGATGACTCAGCGTCCCGTCGCTCTTTCTCCTCCTCCTCGTCCAGAAGCTCCGACTCGCGACGGAACGCCTCCAAGGCCTCTTCCTCAAGGGCGCGGGACTGTCGCTCCAAGCGGAGGAGCTTGCTCAGGGTCGCTTGGCGCTCACTGTCCAGTTGACGTTTCCGTTCGATGAAGACACGCACTACCATGTTAGAAGACACTTGACGAGGCAAGGGGGGACTCACGATCTGCCCCGTGAACGTCACAACGAGTGCGGTTCGCAGCAAGACACGGGCGACACTTGGAAGCGTTGTCCGCCGCGGTGCAGGTTAATTTCTTTTTACGGCAGTACGAGCAAGTAGACATGACGGAGCCAAATGCGTCGGCACAGGCGACCTGATCATGACGGCGGTCAGTACTGTTGCGCTTGCGAACGCGCGACATGACGAAAAGAAGGTGAAGGAGAAGACTCACCACGGACAGAGTAGGAAATTGTTGGATCTATTTCGGGGACGGAAAGAAGCGCGTGGTCTTCGGGACGAAGACCAACAGGGAGGGGCATCGTGTCACGAACAGCCAACGAGGGGCGTGCTGGAGACATGCCACCACGGGGCGCGGGCCGCCCCGAGCCAATCACCGGCGGCCAGCTGGGTGCTCTGCTCTTGGCACGACAGAGCACGCTACGCTCTGGGTGCTCTGGCACAGAGCAGGGAGAGCACGACGCTCTGGGTGCTCTGGCACGGAGCATACAGAGCAAGGTACGGAGATACCTCAAGACTTAGATAGTATATAGTCACTCGTTCTGGAGAGCTCTGGGAGTTCTCCAGTTAGCAATCACAACTACAGTTCGCTACAAGCTCGAGAGCCTACTGTTGAGACAAGTCTTTGTTGTGCACCCTTTGGCTGCACCGAACCTAAGCACCCTTGAGAGAATACCTTCGACCGATACTGAACCCTAACAGGACGGGTCCAGAGACAGGTTCGTCACAACTCACTATAACGGTACAACGGTAGTCGTACTTCTCCAAGGTGGACCAGGAAAGTGTCAATACGCGACTCCAGGCTTACACGGTCAGTGCTATCGAGGAGGAGGGTAACGAGAAGCCCTTTATTGCTCCGGACTCGGATATAAAGGTGGAGCGCGATAGAATATAGGTAGCCGGGTCCGAGTATATCTTCTCCCCCTCCTTCGCAGGCTTCTTTAACCCAAACGAATCTCGATATAAAGCCTAAACAAATGTATTAATATATTACTAATTTCTATTATCTCTTAAAGTTTCTATAAACTTACTAGAAAGAAAGAATATATAATAGATAGGTATAGCGCTCCCCGGATACATACGGCTCACTATTATACTTTAAAACTAATATTAACTAAGTGAAGCTATAGTAGGTTTAACTCCTGCCGCTTCTAGGTAGACTTCGCCCGGGAACTATCAACCCAAACGTTCTGGGGCCGGTCCGGACGTTTCTACACGAATATATAGAAAGCTCCTACAAGGAACGTATCGTGCTAGGGCCTAAGGAGCGCGCTATGGTCCGTACGGTCAACTCTACTTATAGCATCATTGAGGTTTGGTAGAGGCTCATCGTAGCGGCCGATTTCAACGTCCTCCGTGTTTAGCGGGCCGCGCTACGAAGGAATGATCAAGCCCAGAAGGCCAGCCGGCTTGTGCTGAAGTGAGAGCAAGAAGGCGAGAAACGCGAGGGACCCGCCTATTCAATTGTTAGGGTATGTGCGGCTGAAATAACTCCATCACTTCCCTCCCCTTGTACAGAACTTGGACCACCTTGCATGTCATTGAGGATACTTCCTCTACGCCTCCCCTCGTCCCATTCTACGCTTCTACTATTGGTATGCTTTACCAACTAGTGCCTGGCTAGTGGGTTATCCAGACACTGACCCCAACACTCCGGTTGGAGATGGGCTCGTCGTACACGAAGGTCGAGGCAACAGCAGCAGACATTGTCGTCATTCTTACAGCTCTGTACCAGCGTGCTGATGATATACCCGCTACGCTACTTACGAGGGTGTCGTTCCACCACACGGTCCTTCAACTGGGTACCGGCGGTTTCCGTCCCTACCATCTTCGAAGTCCTGAATATCTACATTGTCTGCCTGCCCGTCAACCTGAAGACCTTGTTCGCCCGGGTCCCCCCCCCGATCCATTATCGACTTGGAAGATGTCGAAAACGCCAATTCACAGCCACGCGAAGGAACCGCCTCTCTGTCCGCGCTCGTCGATACCATCGACAGTGCAGGGGATGGCCATCTGATAATCATGACAACCCGCCACATCGAGCTCGTTGACGGCGCTCTGATGGAACCCAGTCGCGTGGCTGTGAAAGCCGAGTTCGGCCTCGCAGATAAGGAAATGATAGCCGGGCTCTTCCGTTTTGGATATCAAGACAGGTTCTTAGAGCGAAGTTTGAAATACTAGTACAAGCAGCAGTCCTCGATTCGTAACACGGGACTCGCAACCCTTTTTGCGTGACCGTTGAACGTGGCCCATGGATAAAGCAATACAAAAGGAGGAATCCGTCGAGTAAGCCATTTTCTCCTCAAGGCCACACACGAGGTACCATTGTCTCCACGCTGTTATACACAGCCTCGAGAGCCCTAGCCAACGGCATAAACTCCCTCTCGCTCCCCGCCACGCTCTGCACGCACTCAGCGAACTGCTTCAAACGTAACAGATTGTCAGGGGCAGTGACGGCATCCGGGTCACTTGCCAAACCACTCGCCAGGTGCGCATACGCGACGTACGCCCGGTACGTCCCGAGAGCGCAGGACAGGGATTCCGGCCCGGGCAGTCGCGCAACGTGCACCATGTGGTACACAATGTCGACGACCTTTCGAGCCGCTCTCATGGAGAGGTCGCTTTTCGGGATCATATCGCTACTGTCCAGCGGCGGCTGGCCTTCGTTTCGGCCGAGCAAGGTCGCCCTGCCCAGCATGAAGAGAACGCAGGTGTAGCCGGAGAGGGCGAGTTCGGATATGGACCATTCGTTGAGACTGTCGCTGTGGGAGGACCCGAGCCATTCCTCCTGCCCATCACTGTCAGGACATGGACGGTTGGTAGTAGCTGGACCAGGGAACGGGTTTGGGCCACTTACGATTCTCCATTCCTCAAAGACCTGTTCAACTTGCATGCATAGCGGTTGGATGGTGCTCAAGGCATCGCCACCGCCGTCGTTGTTGAGTGTCTCGAGAGCCTGAAAGAAGCTGATGAGGACGAGAGTGATCCGGCTCCTGGCGAGGAACGCCATGGCCGGTACAGCCTCATCTCGACCTGGCGCAGAGTCAAAGGCGAGGCACGGCAGATTGACGCGCCATTTGTTCAGATCAAATGGAAAGGCGGGCGGCTTATTGTTGATGAGGCGGTGAAAGAGATCGAGCTGGACGAGGTTCCACATGTTCACGCGGCCCTCGTCGCTCGTGGCCACGCCGGAAGCACCTAGGGCGCCGTCTCCGTCGAGACTATGAAGGTGCAGACCCTGGGCATACATGCAGGCATGCTTGTGCATCTCCCAGCTGAGGCCATAATCAAGATTCTCTGCCGCGGTTTGTGTCTAGGGACGGGGTGAGTCAGCCTGTGCTCTTTCGTGCCTCGTGCTTGAGCGGGACGAACCATGAACATGGCGGCAATAAAGTCCGTGATGGAGCCGGTTGCCTCTCTTTGCCACACAGAAACGGCTCGAAGGCAGCATATCAAGATCTGCCGAATGATTTGCGGATCGCGGGTGCTGAACGAGCTGCTACTGTCATCGAGTCGAAAACATCCTTGCCACAGAATGCAATAGTAGATGACGAGGATACAGGCATCGACCTGGACGTGGTCCATGGTGATGAGATCCGGCATAAAGTACATGAGTTTCTCGTCAATGAGCTTCGGATCTTTCAGTGACGGGAAGATCTTGGGACTCATTTTGGTGAAGTAGTCTGTTGGATGTGAGTACCCCGTCTATGTATCTGACGCATCGTAGGGTTCCATGGATTGGGGGTAGACGAACTCTTGACCCACGACCTTGCCGTATCGGGCGTGATGTTGATCCCCTCGGTAACAAGCTCTTTAGGCCCGGCGATCCGCTTCTTTCTCAGCCGCTGAACATCACACATGGCGGAGCTAAGCATCGACGTGGCATCAAGCGTCGAAGGACTACAGGCGTTTCGAGGCTCTAGAGGCTCGACCAAGATGGGAGTTCTGATCTCTCCCGAAGACCCGCATGGCTGACACTGGAGTGTTGCCGAAGCTGGACTGGAGGAGTGATTTGCGGTGGGAGTAGTTGAGCCTAGTGATGCCTCTCGCACTGAGGACTGCGCCTCGACGCGCTGAAGCCTTTCTAGAATGAGGGCGAGAGTACTACTGTGATCTGGTCTGGATCGAGTCTTGTCAACACGGGTCGTAGATGGAGGGATAGTATTAGTCGGTCAGAACAGATCTTACACGGCTGGCTTCCTCCCCTTCCTCTTCCCCCTCGGGCGTCTCTCAGGATACACACAGCTTAGCCCGCAGGAGGCGCATCGTTCGCAGCGCGGGAGGGAGCGGTTGCAGCGCGTCTACGGCAGTCAGAGAAGACCGCGGAAATGGCATGAGAAGCACGTACTTTTCGATGCCGGCAGTTCGAACACTAATGTGCGTGCACTAGGGGTCAACCAACACGCTTCTTTCTATGCTTTGCGGGTTCAAGGAGCCAGCTTCGGTCATCGCGGTGTCCTGGAGATTGAGCTGGGACACTTGGAACCCGAACGGCATTGCCACATACCGAAATAGCGCCTTTGGGGGTTGGTTTATCCATTGAAAAAAGTGCCCCTAATTTCGACCGCACTTTCGGAGTTTCGGACTCATCGAGCGTTGGAGGTGGGGAGCGGCGAGACACGTCGGGCGGAGGCAATTCATATTTTAAACTCCCTGCTGTGTTGCAAATTGCCTTCTGGTTGATTCCGGGTCCTTGGCAACGGGATTTCGAGTGTCATCGCCATGTGCTAGGCTGGGATGATGACGATCAAATGAATGGACCCTCTTTATCTCGCACTTTCGCACTTTCGGACGTTCACTAAGGCGGGGTGTAAGTCCGGCATCCCACCCATCGCCCCCATCCGCAACCCGCGCATTCCGTGGCATGTTGAGTCTGGAACCGCCAAAGGGGCACCGATGGAGCGTGCCGCCGAATTCCGGTAGGCCCCATCGCAACTTCGGTCGCCGTCCTGCACTAACAACATACAAGTCAACAACTATGCCTTTGGTCCGTAACCCACCGGCGCGTGCCGCTCTGTGCGCTTGGCATCTGAAAAAGATAATAAAGGGGACAGCACCCCCTTCATTGTCACTAAAGGTTGAGATGGTGTGCATGATACTTCCCTCACTTCTTCCAGCTTACCACCTATCTTTGCTGCCTGGGACGCCTGGCCAGTCGTCGCAATGCAAGCCCAAGTGCTGCTCCACGGTCACGAACGCCCGGATCTCATACCATCAGAAGACCACCCGGGCCATGGTGGCACCGAAGCCTCCTCTCATACCACTGCGGTCGAGGAATCCGCGGATGAGCAGATTAACGAACTCGCCCGGCGCATCACCTCTTCATCTCTTGCCCGAGGCAGCGCCACTATTCTCCCAGAGCCCTCCGACAGCAGGCTGGATCCGAAGAGCCCGGACTTCGACTCCAAAGCATGGACGAAAGTCTTCTACAACACGCAGATGCAGGCCCTTGGCGGCACACCACCGAACACGGCAGGGTTGGCTTTCCGGAATCTCAACGTCTTCGGCAGGTCAGAGGTGGTCAACTACCAGAAGACCGTCGGAGGGCTCTTCTACGGCGCCATGGACCTTGCGGCCCGTCTCCTCGGAAAGCATCAACCCCAGCGCGTGGACATCTTACAGGACCTTGAGGGCGTCGTAAACAGCGGCGAGATGCTCTGTGTTCTGGGCCCGCCCGGTTCCGGCTGCTCTACTTTCCTCAAGACGGTCGCTGGCGAGGCGTTTGGTTTCCGGGTCGGCAAAGACTACACGCTCAACTACCAGGGGCTGACGGCGGAGGACATCCGCACCAGCTACAAGGGCGAAGCCATCTACACGGCCGAGGTTGACCACCATTTCCCCAAGCTCACGGTTGGCGAAACGCTCTACTTTGCCGCGCGCGCCCGGTGCCCCAGAAGCCTCATGCAGCACAAGCACGAGTACGCAGAGCATATCCGCGACGTCGTCATGGCCATGCTCGGCATCGCCCACACCAAGAATACGCGGATCGGAAACGACTACATTCGAGGCGTCAGTGGCGGCGAGCGCAAGCGCGTTAGCATCGCCGAGGCGGTTCTCAGCTACTCTCCGTGGCAGTGCTGGGATAACAGCACCCGTGGCTTGGACTCGGCGAATGCCATCGAGTTCTGCCGGACTCTGCGACTCCAATCAGGGGTCTTCGGCAATACCGTTCTCGTGGCCATCTACCAGGCTCCCCAGGAAGCATACGACGTGAGCTCATTCCTCTCTCCCCGGTCGTCATCTTAAGCTAACAGCGGCGGGTAAATAGTTGTTCGACAAGGTCATCGTTCTCTATGAAGGCCGCCAGATCTTCTTTGGCAAGACGTCGGATGCGAAGGCATATTTTGAGGGACTGGGCTTCCAATGCCCCGAACAGCAGACGAGCCCCGACTTCTTGACATCCATGACAAGCCCATCGGAGCGGATCATCCGTCCTGGATGGAAGGGCAAGACGCCGCCCCGGAGCGCCGACGAGTTTGCTCGGGCATGGAAGGAAAGTGAGCATCGCAGGATCCTCGTCAACGACATCGACGACTTCGAACGCCGGTTTCCCATTGGTGGCCCCCAATCAGACCAGTTCCGTATCGCTCGGTCAGCACAGAAATCCGGCTCACAGCGGACCGGGTCCCCCTACACACTGTCGTTCGCCGGCCAGTTCGCCCTCACCCTCTGGAGGAGCTACAGGCTCTTGCTCAGCGACCCGTGGATGACCATCACCATGCTCGCCACCAACTTCTTCGAGGCAATCATCATCTCGAGTATCTTTTACAACATGCCTGCAGACTCCTCGAGCATCGACAACCGCAACCTTCTCATTTTCTTCACTATCCTCATCAATGGGCTGGGCAGCATGCTCGAGGTACTTACCCTCTACGAAAAGCGGAAAATCGTCGAGAAGCACCGACGGTACGCTCTGTACCATCCCAGCATAGAGGCCGTTTCTTCCATGGTCATGGACCTGCCTTACAAGCTCGCCAACTCTACCTTCGTCAATGTTACCTTGTACTTTATGTGCAATCTGCGCCGAGAACCTGGGCCATTCTTCTTCTTCTACCTTCTCACTACCGTCACCATCATCTCCATGTCGGCATTATTCCGCTTTCTCGGGTCCGTCACAAAAACCGTGTCACAGGCACTAGCACCCGGTGCAGTCATCCTGCTCGGAGTCGTGCTATACAGCGGCTTCGCCATCCCTCAGGCCTACCTCGACGGCTGGATCGGCTGGCTGCGCTGGATCAACCCTGTCTTCTATATCCAGGAGAGCCTCACGCTCAACGAATTCGTCGGCCGCCAGTTCCCCTGCGCCAACTTCGTGCCGAGCGGGCCAGAGTACGCAGCCGACGCCCTTCCCATGACCGCCAGAGTTTGTTCCGTTGAAGGGTCGGTCAAAGGGGAGGCCTTCGTCGATGGCGCTGAGCACCTTCGCATCACGTACGATTTCGTCAACGCCCACCGCTGGCGAAACTTTGGCATTGTCATTGCCCTTACCGTCTTCTTCCTGATTTGCCACCTCGCGGCAACCGACCTGATCACTTCGGAACAGTCCAAGGGGGAGGTTCTCATCTTTCCCCGGAAAGTCCTCAAAAAGCAAGCCAAGGCCGGTCGCGATGAAGAGATGGCAGCAGCAGGACGTCAGTACATCTCTGATAAGGAGCAGAAACAGGACTCGGACGGCGAGGTCCAGAACATTGCAAAGCAGACGTCCGTCTTCCACTGGCAAGACATCTGTTACCAAGTGGACATTAAGGGGGAGTCGCGTACGATTTTGGACCACGTCGACGGCTGGGTGAAGCCGGGGACGTTGACAGCTCTCATGGTTGGTTTTTCTCCTCTCTTTTCCCGCCCCCTCTCTCTCCTGCTCTGATACCTTAACTGACATTCATCCTAGGGGGTCTCTGGAGCCGGCAAGACCACGCTTCTCGACGCCTTGGCGTGCCGGATCACGATGGGCGTTGTAACGGGGCACGCACTTGTCGACGGTCTTCCTAGGGATTCGACGTTCCAGAGAAAGACCGGATACGCTACTCAGCAGGACCTTCATCTTCACACAGCAACAGTACGCGAGGCGCTGTCCTTCAGCGCTCTACTACGACAATCTACTCGCTATACCCGGCAGGAGAAGCTCGATTACGTCGAGGAAGTCATCAAGCTTGTCGACCTTGAAGACTGCGCCGACGCTGTTGTTGGCTCCCTGGGCGAGGGTCTCAATGTGGAACAACGGAAACGTCTGACCATCGGGGTCGAGCTCGCGGCACGCCCGGAACTCCTTTTGTTCCTTGATGAACCGACATCTGGCCTGGATAGCCAAACCTCCTGGTCGATCTGCAATCTGATGGAGAAGCTCACCAAGAACGGCCAAGCCATCCTATGTACCATTCATCAACCGTCCGCAGCTCTGTTCCAGAGGTTCGATCGTTTGCTCCTCCTGGCAAAGGGTGGCCGCACTGTCTACTTTGGCGAGGTGGGACCGGGTTCCTCGGTTCTTGTCGACTATTTCCGGCGCAACGGCGCACCCGATTTGAAGCCTGGTATGAACCCGGCCGAGTACATGCTGGAAGTCATTGGCGCCACGCCAAACGCCAAAAACACCGGTACGGACTGGCCGGCTGTTTGGAGAGCCAGCCCCGAGTACCAAGAGGTTCAGAAGGAGCTTGCCCGCCTCTCTAGTAAGAAGGCCGACACCACGCCAAAGTCAACGGACCCAACGGATCGTAGCGAATTCGCCGCTGGTCTTCCCACGCAGGTTGCGCTGGTTACTAAGCGCGTTTTCCAGCAGTACTGGAGAACGCCGAGCTACATCTTCTCGAAAGCGGTGTTGACGGCAGGCTCAGTGAGTCCCCAATGCTTTTACATTCGTCTTGTTGACCCCCCCCCTTCCCCCAGCTAACATGGCATTGCAGGCTCTTTTCATCGGCTTGTCACAAGTCAATGCTGAGAACACGGGGCGTGGCCTGTTCAACCAGATGCTGGGTGTCTACATCTTCCTCGTCATATTCGGTAAAATCATCGAGCAGGCAATGCCCATGTTCGTCAGCCAGCGCACGCTCTACGAGGCACGAGAGAGGCCCGCAAAGGCCTACTCGTGGGTTGCGTTCCTCTTCGGCACCATAACCGTCGAAATGGCCTGGAACTCGGTATGTTACGCAGGCTCCGGGCCTTCTCCCCCTTTCTCATCATGCTCGACATGAACGACATGGAAGCTGACAACCGGCCTACAGATCATGGCGGTCTTTTCCTTCCTCTTCTGGTACTACCCCATGGGCCTCTATCGCAACGCACAACACACGGACGCAGTCCACTCGCGCGGCATCACCATCTTCCTCCATGTCTGGGCCTTCTTCGTCTTCTCGGGCACGTTCGGCAACATGATGATTGCCGGAATCGACACTGCCGAGGTGGCAGGAGGGATCAGCAACCTCTTCTTTGTCCTGATGTTTGCATTCGCTGGGTGAGTAGTATCCCGTCCTCTCAGCCACCTCCGCCCCCGCTATCTACCTAGGTACTAACCCCCATCCGCACAGCGTCCTCGCCGGCCCCAAGGAACTCCCCGGATTCTGGATATTCATGTACCGCGTCAACCCCCTAACCTACGTCGTGGAAGGCTTCCTCGCCACGGCCCTCGCCGACGCGCCGGTCTACTGCCTGCCCAGGGAGCTGTTTCAGTTTGACGCGCCCGCCGGCCAGTCCTGCGGCGAGTACATTGCACCGTACATCGCCGAACACGGGGGCTATGTCGCCGGGAACAACGACACGAGCAGCTGCACCTACTGCCCCATGTCTGAGTCGAACGCTTTCCTGGCGAGCAAGAACCTGAGCTTTGACAACCGGTGGCGCGACTTTGGTTTGGTGTGGGCGTACTGCGTGTTTAATATTGCTGCGGCGGTTGGGTTCTACTGGCTGATGCGTGTGCCGAAGCAGCGGCGGGCGAGCAGCAAGAAATGATTCCTGCTTTGCCCAGGTAGGATATTGGGGTTCATGTCACTCATTCCATTTCATTGGATCCATAGTTGGAACGTAAACTAGACTAGATTTCTTTTCATATATATTTGTGATTATTAGCAAGGACCCAAAATAAGACGCTTCTCAGCTGAGCTCCCACTGGCGTCCAGTTCTGGTTAACTACACCTCTCGCGTGTACGGGGTGCATATATGGCGTCCACCTACGGGTACACGTAGTAGGTACTTTTCAATACAACTCCCCGGCGAACCTTTGTAACTCTACTTCGCGCAACACACGAAGGTAATATTTGGTCTGGACCTGAGAGTTTCTCGCCCTAGACATATTGACGCTGGGCATGCAATACTACTTCAGCAACTCTCACGTGTGACAGCTGCAAACCGGCGCAAGGAGTAGATGGGGATGATAACCAGGAGAACCGAGCTGGTACACTCGGGTGTATGACCGTGCTAATCAACGGTTGTGGCACATGACAAATGGGCACACCGTGTTACTATGTTCGACCTGATACGGAACGGCCGTTTAGGCAGGGGGTTTGACTTCAGTCGCTCCGAGTCCTGATCAAGTCACAACTGATGGCTGACGAGTAACGCTTGATTTTGAAGTAGTAAGTGCCGCCTTATCTAAAGTCTGAGGTATTGATATCGCAACAAAATGACAGCTTCCAGAGCTAGCAGCCTATAGAGTGGCATGATTCCCAGTAAGGAAAAGGAGTTGACATGTTATTACTACATGGTGTAGTACTTTGTACGCTAGAGTCATTGCACCCGGAAATGCAGGTACCCGAGGGGACCCCTCTGGAGAATCTTGGTCGCAACTAGCGCCAAAGTTTGGTTGACTGTCCGTTTAACGTAGTGTCTCGGCTATAGCATAATTAGCGTGGGAAAAAGAGATAACTACCGCGATATGTGGGAGACTGCGTACATCACCATCTCAGCTTCATCTGAGTAGACAGGGAGGAATAGGTAGGGGCGATGGGTCGGCCAAAAGATCGACACCGCACGTATCTATGTCCATGAAGTGTTCATTAGTCGTGTCTCCCCCAAGGTCATTTTCGTGAGGCATCATTGATCCGCTTATTGGAAGCTGGATCAGTACCCCGGGGGATAGGCCGCTCTACTTGCGATGAGAGAGCTCTTTGATAGTAGTGTTCCGTTATATGTGAGAAGAGGACGGCAGCGACGTCTTTACCTTATTAATACGCTCGCTGGCTATACCAAGGGTTACAGACGTATCTACCTGCTTGGGTGCCGAAAGGCGTCCCTAGATCTTGTCTTCGGTTCCCCATTCTCGGCGGCGGATTAATTGATGACAGCCCGAATGTAACGATTACTACGCGGCGTAGTCTACGCCCCGGTAGGCCTCCTTTCTCTCCACAGAGGGCGGGGCGGGAACGCGAACGCGGGCGGGGGCAAGAAGGGGGGCAAGAACGGAAACGTCCGAAGCGCCGCCAACACAGGGCGCACATTCGAACGCGCCAGACTCCGATCCCATCGGCATTTCCAAACACCAGCATTATCTCCGTACGTTGGGTTGGATCGCGGGAAGTTTCGTCTGGTGAATTGAGCGTGTGTTGCAAGCGTTGCGCGCATCCACGAGGGCACTAGGCAAGCGAACGACACCACATCATGTGGGCGGGCAACCTTCTATTTCCCAGACACCTAGAAATAAGCACCTATAACTACCTAGTTAGTTGTTGATAGCTACCTATGTAGTTAGTTGTACATTGCTAGGTTGTCATCGCCCAAAGCACGACCAGTCAGTCCCACTGGCGCATATCAAGTGTTAGAATGGATGGATGGATGGAATCTATTTCGCCCGGAGCCTTAGCACGCTAACTACATCCGGATCAAATCGTTTTGCCTTTAACTCGTGCAAGCCCCCTACTCCTTCCTTCTTTCTCGCTGTACCATTTACCTCTTACCTTGGTTATTGTTAGCAGATCAGCTTGGAGGCTACTTTCTCCAAGTGTTCAGCGTCCTATCTTCAGCGGCTAAAGCGGGACCTACTGGTTAAGGCTCGTGGTTGAGGCTCGTGGTTGAGGCTCGTGGTGTTGAGTGTCGGCTTCTTCTAACGTTACTGTGACTGGTCTAGTCTCTCCTCCTCATTCAGCTCCAGCCTTCCTATTGTCATTGCGTATTTGATCGTTGCCCGGACTGCCTTCATATCGGGTGACCAATGCCTTGTATCCGATGGCGCTTTCCCTCCCAGATAGAACGAGAGGCTTCCTCGTCTTGCCACTGTGTATTGCAGTATATCATCCCTCAGAGTTGTCCATCTCACGCATCGGAAAAGAAAGTGTTCCACTGATTCCCTCGCTTGTCCATAGGTACAAAGGTTTGACTCGACCGCCCCAATCCTGCTTAAAAAGCCGTTCAGTCTCGCCATTCCGGTTCGGAGCTGCGCTAATACACAGGCCTCCCTTCGCTTCAGCTTGTTATAGAGATCGCGCGTGTGCTTGCCTGGTAGTACCGCGTCTATGGCCTTTGAGAACTTGCCCACGCCTTCAGGTAGAACTCTTATCACCCGTTGTCTTTCCATTGCCAGCCTTATCGCGGTAGACTTGGCCTGAGGCGTTTAGGAGTCGGGTGTGCGTCCTTGCTTCAACACCCTCTGGGCTGCTGCCTTGGTATCAGATACCAGCGCGAAGTCAATCTCCGCTAGTATCTACAGGAAGTTGACCGAGTTCCCTCTTTATCGGTGTAGCTTGGCTGAGTCGTATATTTGCTGTATGATGCTTTGGCCGGATTCAATGCTGCCGCGGCTATCCAACTGCTGCCAGCGCTAACTGGTTCCTAGTGACTATAGTAATGTACCTGTAGCAGATGCGAGCCAGTAGCTTCTCCAGAGCTATTACGATAGCTGCTAGCTCTACTGTATATAGGTTCTGCTCTTCCCTTATCCCAAGAGCACCAGTATAGCTTATCACAGTCTCGCTAGTCCTATTGAAGAGAGTATCCCGTGTAAGGCCGCCTATACCAACAATACCCTTCTTTACGGATAAGCTGGTTGCGATCACGATTCCTGAAATTTTGTTAACCATCTCGGCCGCCTTCCATCGATCCGCGTCGAGCGTCGGTTATAGGCGAGGTACCCAGGGCGGAATGGCGTATTCCTGGATTATCTCCATCCGGTCAACTCGTACCCCTTCGGCCACGCGGGCAATTTTCTGTGGCGGAGATACGAATCGTATGGTGGTCCGGACTTTCTTCATAGTAAGGGGATACGTTCCGGGTAGCGTGTGGATGTTGATCTACAGATTGGCTGCCGCCTGGGCGTATCGTTCTCGTACGGGGTGGATGCTCGCTTTAGCTTCCACCACGGCTGTTGCCGCGGTTCGAAAGGCTCCTGTAATGGACAGGGCCCCGATCTTCTACGCCCTGTTCAGCCAGCTCAGTGCCTCTCCCCGTACGTATACCTCCAAACGTTGGTAGCGTAGTCTATAACAGGGGCTACTATCGCAACAAATAGCTGTCTCGTTGTTCGCGGGGAAAGTATCTTCAGCCTCTTCAGGGCTAAAGCGGCTGCTAGACCTTTGGCTGCCGTCCTGGCTATATGCTGCTGGTATCGGAGTTCGCGATCTATCACTATACCTAGGATCCTTATACTCTCAATCGGCTTGACTGTATCGCCTTTAACAGAGAACGGTTATTCCGAAGATCGCTTTTTGTTCCTCGTGAAGTATATGCTGGCCGTCTTATCGCTTTCAAACTGTATACCGCTTCGCCTTTCCCGGTCCAGGGCTCTGTTAATAATAGCCTGGATGTCTGCGCGATTTGCCTCTGCTGATGGACCCGTAACCCAGGCTGTATAGTCGTTAACGAAGGTAATGGAGCCTCTATTCGCGTCGATCTTCTACTATACTAGGTCTGCGTTGAAGAAGAGTAACAGTATTGGGGATAGCGGCGACCCCTACAGCAGTCCCGCTTGGGGTAACTCTTGTCGTTCGGATGTAAACCCGTTTACCGCGATGGTCGCTATACACCTGGAGTAGAAGGCCTCGATCCATCTGACTACAGCGTCTGGTATACATCTTGCTCTAAGTCTCTGGAGCAGCCTGTCCTTGAAGGCTCCGGTGTATACACCCTTCACGTCGAAGCTGATCAGGCTGAGCACCTTCCTAGCTCTCCATGCCTTATAGATCTATTCTTAAAGTAGTAGGAGAGCCTGCTCGGTTGAGCGTCTTTTCCTAGCTCCGAAGTGGTTCCCAGGGAGAAGACCAAAGGTCTCCACAGTATAGGATAGGCGTTCCGCAATAACCGCTTCCAGTATCTTACGAAGCGTAAAGAGCAGGGAGATAGGTCTCCAGGACTTGGCCAGCGTATAGTCGCTCTTCCCTGGCTTCTTCAGTGGAATGATCTTGGCGTTCCTCCATTGGCTCGGGATATCGCCGTCTCGAAGTGAAGTCTGAAACAAATGGAGCACTCTATCTTTAACAACTGGCCAGAGTTGTTTCTATATCATTGCCGGTAGACCGTCTTCCCCGGGTACCTTCCACAGTTTAGCGGACAAGACCCTCTGCTCCACCTCTTCCATTGTCAAGTCCGGCATTTGTACTGGTACCCGCTAAGGACGTTATCCCTTATCTTCGATTCTCTCTAGTAGCGGTGGGAAAAAGGTGGCTAGTAGCGTTTATACTTGTTCTTCCTTGCCTTCCGTGACAGAGCCGTCAGGTCGGGTAAGCGCGGGCACCTTGTCGCCTATCGTGCCGCTGCCCGTTTGCAGGTACTTCGTTGCTTGCCAGATGTTGGTGTCGTCGGCTAAGAAGTCGTTCCAGTGTGAGCTTTTCTGTCTGCGGATAGCGTTATAGTACCCCTTAGCCGCATTCCTAGCTCGCTGTTCGAGTTCTGGTAACGTTTACCTCATCCTGCGTCGAGCTCTCGCCTGGTTTCTCCAGAATATATAGGCCTGGCGGAGTCGTGTCAGGTCTGTTGTGCACCACCGCTTGGCGTATGGTGATGGCTTCTTTGGGCGTCAGGCCGAACACCGCTTCGGTTACCGCCGTCATGAGCCGGTCCGTTTGCTGCTGGACGCTGCCGCCCTGGGGGGTATGCTCGAGGTTCGCTGCCACCCTGGTCCTGATTTCTGCCCAGGGCGCATTCTTGAAGAGAAATCTCGTCTCAGTTTGGTGGTCTTCTACTACGATATCGAATGTCGTCTCGATCGCTCTGTGGTCGGATCCATGGTCACAGGGGTGGATCCGGCACTTGAGTAGTTGTTCTGTTAATTCCGTTGAGGCCAGTACCAGGTCGATCGTGCTTCCTGCGTATCCCAACTGCCATATCTTCGTGCCTCTTGGGAGGAGGCTGCAAAGGGAGTGTTCGTCCATGAGGTTGATGATACGGTCTCCTTCGCCTTGCCTCAGTGGTGACACGTCGTCTCCACCCCAGAGCTGGTCGTGGGGGTTGAAATCGCCCGCCAGAATGATGTCCGTCCTATTTCCCGTTCCGTTTCGGAACCTCCTAATCAGCCGGTCGAGCTCTCATTACCACTTCCAGTGCTTCGTCGTTGCCACCCTCTACGTAGACTGACACCACCAGCACGACCCAGTCTGGGAGTCGGATCTATGCTGCAGTGAGGTCTGCCGACGGCACTGGAATTTGCTCGGCCTCCACATAGCTTCGTACCCATAACATGCTCCGAATCGGCCATCGTGTCTCTCGTCTTGTCGTTGGTAACTATTAGCTTCGCACCACCACAGCCAAAGTCGGAAAACGGAACTGAAACGGAGAGGTAAAAACTGAGCGCAAACGCGTTCCCTACCGTTTCAATCATCAAGCAAGATCTCGAACTCCACCTGCCGACAGTTCGGTCCGCGGTGGCAGCAAAAGGGGCAAATCGTCGGGAAGACAAGCCGGTCGCAGGGGTCGCAGGGGCCGCAATGTGTCTGAGGCAGAGTAGCGGGGCGGTATTATCACACTTCATGAGCGACACTTATGGAGTTTGGCACACAAGACGGGTATGAAAACGGTATCATCAATTACTCCTAATAATCCGAAACCACGTTTGGGGCCCGTAGAAATGAAACCAAAACATCAACTTTGCTCGCAGCGGCCCGGACGACCTAAGCGCGGCCAACTACTAATTCAACCCCCTCCGATTCGTCACCAATCCAAATTACCTCCCAAAACTCCCCATCACAGCCCCTCCTTCTTGTCCGAAGCGTCCGCCTCGACCGCATCAACAACAACCTTCTCCTCCCCCTTAACCGCCGCCTTCTTCTTCTGCTCATCAAACTGGTACAGCGGGCGCAGCTCCGCCTTGCGCTGCCAAAACACCCAGCGCTTCACAAACCACGGCAGCGCCTCAGTCAGCTGATAAGCCCCAAACCGACCAGTCGGCACAGCAAAGACATAATCCAGCTCCTCGAGCGTGCGCTGCTTGGTCTCGGGCACCCAAAAGAAGATCATGACCAGCGCGACCAGGTTAAACCCAGCATACACGCCAAACGCGCCCACCACACTGGCCTCCTTGAGCAGGAAGGGAAACGTCATGCCCAGCACAGCCGCCCAGAACAGACACGTCGCGACCGCAAACCCCATCCCGATCTCGCGGTGCGACAGCGGAAACACCTCGGCGCTGTACGTAAACGGCACGGGCCCCTCGCCGGGGGAGTAGAACACAGCAAACAGGTAGACGAAAAGCGCGACCAGCGCCGTGCGCGCGGTGCCGGCCTCCATGAGGGTGCACAGGCCGGCCGCGAGCAGGGTCCAGACCATCTGGGGGAAGGTGAAGAGCAGCAGGGAGCGGCGGCCGAAGGTGTCGATGGTCCAGAAGGCCGGGAAGGAGAAGAGCCAGTTGATGAGGCCGAAGCCGAAGGAGGCGAGCAGGGCCTCGAACTCGCTCGAGCCGTTCTCGCGGAACACGGTGGTCGAGTAGAAGGCGATGATGTTGATGCCGCACATCTGCTGCGCGATCATGACGGTGAAGGCGGCTAGGGTGGCGCGCCGCACGCGCGGGATGGTGAAGAGCTCTACGAAGCGCTGGTGGTAGCTGCTGTTGCGGAGGAGCTGGATCTCGAGCTCGAGCTGGGAGTGGATGTAGAAGATGTCGCGCGCGACTTGGAGCGGGTGGTTGCGGAGCTTGGCCATGGATACCCAGGCTTCGGCGTACCGGTCCTTCTTCATGTACCAACGGGGGGACTCCGGGCACATGTAGATGAGGATGAGCAGCGGGACGGCGGGGATAAAAGGGGCGCCTGTTGCAGATAGTGTTAGAAAGTGTCCGATGGAAATAATCGTAGCAAGCTGGGGAGGGTGTGGATGGAAAGGACTCACCTAGCATCAGCCTCCAGTTGAGATTGTGTCCCGCGTTCCAGACGGCGAGGTTAAAGGCGGTTCCGAGGAAGATACCGAAGGCGGTCCACATTTCTGTAACTCGTTAGCTGACTACCCAAACTTCAGCTCCAACCCGTATTTCAAAGACTCACGCCAAGACATGACGAGGGCACCGCGGATAGCTGCGGGCGAGTTCTCGGCGGCGTAGATGGGCACGGTCGACGCCTTGATACCCATCCCTATGCCCATGAGAAGCCGACAGGCCAGCTGCTGTGGCCAGGTCTGGCAGAATGCGGAACCGATGACAGGCCAGATGCAGAAGTGAGCCGAGAAGAAGATGACACCGCGACGTCCCCAGAGGTTGTTGACGGGGTCGGAGAGCCAGCAGCCGATGAAGGCGGAACCGATGTAGGGGCCGGCGTTCAGGAGACCAACCAAGATAGTGTCGTGCGTGGAATCGGAGCCGAGGCCATAGAATTCCGGAAAGAAGATGTTGGCGCCGTTGGTGCCGGTCTGGTCCCAACCCTGGACTGCGGCGCCGATGGAACAGGTGATGATGGTGAGGAAGAGCTTCGGCGGGAGGCGCCACTTGTGCTCGACCTCCTTGACGAGGGCCGCCTTTTCTTCATCGTCCAGAGCCTCGGCGCCGTCAATGTTCTCGTAATTGCTGGGGTCCTGTGCCACGAGGGCGCCCTTGCGTAGGATATCAACATGCTCGGTTAGGCCCTTTTCTTGAGCGAAGACCTGGACCCGGTTCATGAGCTCATCTCGCGGAATGCCCTCCAAGGGGTTCTTGATCCTAAATACGGGAGTTCCGTATTAGTCTAGCAACTCTCGTCCATGGCTGACTGGATTGGCTCACTTGGCTTCGAGGTTCCGGTTGAGATCAACATGTTCGGTGTTAGAGACGCCCTTCTCGAGAGGGGCACCGGAGACACCCTTAGGGTCGCTGCTGCAAGGCGGTGTTAGCCAGCTGGGGTATATTTTGGGTTCCAGGCAGCGGTCCGTACGACTGATCATTGCTCCCCCGGATGCCGTCCGAGCTCCCGCTGTCGGCCATGGTGGCGGGAAAGGAGGCTGTTCTTCCTGCGCGGCGGCAGGTGAACCAAGAGGGAAGTGGTGATGCTGAGTCTGTCACTCAAAAGGGTTGACCATAGACGGACTTTCATCCGCGGAGGGAGAGATGAGGGAGAGTCAAGACATCCGTGGTGCTGGGTCCGGCCCGGGTTAAGAAGACTCCTGGGCGCTGCATGTAACGCGGGCAACACTACCACATGTGTGGCCGTCGCAGTGGCCATCATCCCGTCGACCGTTAACGTGGAGCGCGGTGAGTGAGCGTTCCCCAGCGGTCTCCCTCGAAGCAGGTCCACCAAACTCGCCCGGAAGAGGCAGGTGAAAGTGATTAACGGGCTGCCAAGTGGGAGTTGCAGCAAAATCATCTGGGCTCGGCCTGGGCAACAAAGGGGGAACATGTCATGATACAAAATCGCAACGACCAGAACTTGGTCAAATCGCACTCGATTTTGTTGATTGTAAGTGCGTAACAACGCCCTATCATCGGGCTTTCGAGAGCTATGCGGTGTATTGTAAATTGGGGTGTTTGTTGTGGAAGCATCGCGGGCGAACAAGTATCGATGCCGTGTTCAAAAGCCATGGAGACACTTCGAGTGGCTCGACCGAGCCAGGGTCCTCTAATTCCGGGGTTAAACCAAGGTTGGTTGGCGGCCGGTTCCGCCGCCCAGGGATCTGTGCCGAGAGGTATCAAGTCAGAAGTGCAGTCCGAAGTGCGCTATCACACCCTGCAAAGCTCGCACTGGAGATCCTCCACTACACTACAACGTTACTCTCGTCGTCGTGTGCTGCTGGAGACGGGCCGTGCGGTTGCGGGGAGGTGCTCGCGTGGCCGTCGTCGGCAGCAGACCTCTGTGGGGCGCCCTCAATTTATCGTGTCCCGGAGATATGGTTCTGACTTGTCGATCATTGGGCTCTTTTAACTTTCGACGCGTCTAGACTCTTGAACTCCCGTCGCCCGTTGTCGTCGCTGGGACAAGCTCGACCAGCGCTTTCACAACAAACTTCGGTCCAAACACTCTGCACCGCCTTTCGACACTCGGGACGAAAATCGTTGCTGCGTGGTTCTTGGCCGTCGGTTTCGAACGCTGGGCGGTCACTTGGCGGCCACTTGGCCGTCACTTGGCTGACGTAGAAAACGCCTTCAAACTGAGAGGGCGCCGACGAGCTGTGGAGTGCTCGGATGGGTGGAATTTGAGTTGTGGAGATAATATCGGTCCTACACGGTATGAAGACACGCCACTGCCGAAAGCTGCCGTTGGCGCTTATGTGAATCGAATCGGTCAAGCCTGCCTCGAGCAATCGACGGGGAAGAAAAAAAAAACATGGAGGTTGGCTTTTCCGGTCCGACTCCAGAATTCGAAGATGGCAAGGTGTGGAAAGAGCTCAATCGATGTTCCTTGGGAATGGTTCGAGGCTTTCGTGCTGCAACATGAATTGACATACTGTATCTGCACGGTGCAGGCACAGTGCCGGCATTGTTGACCAAATCTCCAACCCCCCAGACTTTCCCCAACTTCCCATGTTTCTCCGCATTGCCCCAGAGCTCCTGCAGAGCCTCGTCAGAATCGCCCTTCCTGATCTGCGAATCCAGGCATCAAGATGGGCTCGGTGAAAGAATCAGACACTGCCAAGGGGAATAATGAAGGGAACCATTTCTGGTTCTGGTCACAGGTCCGTCGGATTTTCCATTGCGCATCAAATTCTTCCCAAAACACCAATTCCATTGGGCATCTCTCACCCCACATGAGATGTTGCAAATGTTGGGGTTTAGCGGGGCCGTCGGCGAAGGATCAACCCCGCATACCTGAAGGATTCCGTTGCGACGGTTTGACGCTCCTGGCGAATGCGCCGCTGTCGTGCCGCGCTCTAGCCCTTCACCGACTGGCAATGAGGTATCGGCAAAACGAACAATTTTATCTGGGTACAATGTCACGCGCCAGTTGCAGGTGCCGTTGTCGACCTGGCATACAAGTAGACCTCCGCAAGGTCATCCAAGCGATTAACGGTAGGTGGACCGCGCTAGTACGTGGAGAGGATTCAGAGGACCGCGATGAGCGCCAGGGAGAAAATACCGACGCACGCATGCCGATACCGAACGAGTTTATATACACCCCTTGTCTGCAGTTGCTGGAGGAGCAGCAAGGTGTAAATGGCGACATGTGACGCGTAAAAGTCACTCAGCTCCTCCGGGGTTAGAACGTCCTCGAGCCTGTCCTGAATCATGGTGTCCAGCTAAACTTGGAGCCAACCCCCAGGCTTCCGCCGAGGATCACCTGGAAACCCCACTGCTTCGGCTCCGGGGATGTGTCTGCCAGGGTCGAGAGGAGCGCGGTCCCGACGACCATGAGGATACCCGAAACGCTCTGGGTCCACCACGTGTTGTTGCGCTTGGCCGAGGCCGCGTTACCGCGCTACCCAAGCCGGACCCAACCGCCATGGTGCCCATCTGGGGGGTAGGAAAAGTCTGGACTAAACCGCGGTGTATAAGTGAATGAGCTCGGGGCGTAATGGCACGTTGATAATAGTTAACATCATGATGAATCCGGTACATATTACGCACCTAGTACTCAGCGTCAATGTGTGTTGTCTGTAGTACTTACACGAGTAGACCAAGGAAGTCGGTGGGTAGGGGTAGAGAAGGGACAGGGCAGACATATAGTATTGTACACATCATAACCATGTTAGTGACGACAAGGGAGCGGCGAGCGGATGTGTTGGAGCCTTGGGTGACCGGGTGCGAATCTATGCCACTACACGAGCGCAACTCACGAGAGGGCAGCAAGTACCAACGTCGTTCTGAAAGTCAGTTATGTGTCCAGCAGTCTTGTGAGCCTTGTGCCATGGTGCCATAACAAGCGAGGATCACTGACAATCCCCATGTCGGTATGGGTTCTAGCCGTACTACGGCCTCGTTGGCTAAGCCTGGTGGGGGGGGCGCAGGCACGCCGTCGTGGCCGTCGTGGCCGTTCGCATCCTCTGCTTCTTTGCCTATGTGGTAGGGCGTTGCGATGAGAGCTTCGTGTACGGAGTGGACCGTGGACGTGTAAACAGGAGAGCGCAACCAGTTGAGACTGACAGCAGTAGTCGTCGAAATAACAAGAGAACGAAACATCAGATGAACGAGCGATCTTGCTAAGCTAAATACCTGGGTAGATATACGGGTAAGGAACGTTGAATTAGGGCCTGGCTGGTGCAGACAGTTGGACTGGTTTGGCTACCATGGATAGTTATAGAAAAGATTCCTATCATGTGAGGTGAATGATGATGGGCCGCTGGCTCCTCCCAATATCTGCGGAAGGGTGCCAATATACGGCCCGAGCCTTGCGTTGGTAACGTAGCGGTCAAGCCTAAGAACTCAGAAGATTCCCATCAATGAAAGAGATTGAGTTTAAATGACAATTTCTCGCCCCAAGGGCGGTAAACCTACGTCCCATCCTAGTTATGTTTGATACCAACAATACTCACTTTCGATATCTGTTTAACCCCAGATCGGTCCTCCCTAGGTACCTCCCCTCCCTAAGCATTCCCAACTCACACTTCACCTCTAACTACACCTCAAACTCCAACTCCCACCAACCCAACCCATCCACCCCCCCTTCAATCTAATACCGCCCCCCCTCCTCCGCCTCAAACCTCCTCCACATCCCCTCCAGCTCCCCCTCCCTCACCACCCCCTCCACCACCTCCAACGCCATCCTCCCATACCTCTCCATCTCCCCCCTCTCCCCCAGCACAAAATACACCCTCGCCATATTCTCATACTGCTCCCCCAGCAACGGCCGCAACTCATCCCCCGCCGCCTCCAGCAGCCCCGCCGTCTGCCGCGTCAGCCGCAGCGCCGCGTACGGCCGCCCCGCCTGGAAGGCCTTGACGGCTTCGTCGCGGAGGCGGACGATTTCGCGCCGGCGGGCGTCCGAGGCGGCGATTGAGGCGGCGGGGGCGCTGCAGAGGGCGCAGGTGCAGGTGAAGCCCCATTGGCGGTGCAGCTTTTGGGTGCGTTCGGGGTGGGGGAGGCCGAGGGGGAGGTCTGGTTGGGAGGTGGTTAGTGGGGGTGTGTTGTGTTGGGGATTGTTGGGGGATTGTTTTTCTTTTCTTTTGGGGGGGGGGTTAAGGGGCTGGCTACTCTGGGGGGTTCGGACTGCAATGGGAATGTGGGCTTACAGCTGTGGGTGATCTCCTCCCCGGCGGCAATGTCTCTTGCGGCGAGGATGCTGATTTGGAGCGTTTCGGGCATGGGTCGGGTGTATGAACTGGCGATGTGTCAGTCGGGTTCTTCTGAGAGGTACGTAAGCAGCGCCTCCCCCAGTGCCGTAAACTCACTTTGGGTTACAGGCGTGGTTGAGTCTCTATCCACAAGTCAGTCTCTTATTAACTTATAAGTTACCAACACATCAAGATCACCCACCGAAACCGTCGGATACAGCGCAATGTGCGGCACCCCATCCATGGGCGTGTGGAAGGCATTGGTCCTCAGGATATTCTCCACCTTGTCCTTCGCAAGCCCGTTGGTCTGGCCGAGTTCCCGAACACTGTCCGGGTCTGACAACCGGTCGACGGCCGCGTGCAAGAGCCGGTAGCCCAGTGTGGCCTTGACTTTTACCGTGAACGCGAGGTCGACCAACATGCTCGCGTGTTCGAGGAGGATTTCCTCATGCCGTTTGATCGGTCTGGTAGCAACGAGACCCTTGCCCTTGCCGGGAATGTCGACCATCTTATACGGCGCATCACGCGAGCTCGTTGTATTCAGCTGCTGGGTCAGAAACGAGGCGCTATTTGCCGCGGTTTCCGGGGTGGTGATGATGCTCCATCCGCGGGGGCCGTGGTGAGAGTTGGTGTAAGCGCAGTACTTTGCAGTGCCGTCAGTTGTGTGCTCGCATTGTGGTGGGTGTGTCCACGGCGAGCTCTGCACCGCATTGTCGTCCACGGGCAACGGGCATGCCACGTCAAGGGAGACGGATCTCAGGGTAAGCGGGACTGAGGCGAGGTGTTCATGAAGTGAGCCATGACCTAAGACCGCTTGGAACAAAAGTGGTAGCACAGTCACAAGCCCTAGAGCCCGGTGGTGTTTAGAATTTCGAGGCATCATGTTTGATTTCGTGTGGACTAGAATAAATTGTAAAGTGCAAAATCTAGCATCCTAAGAACAGAGCGCCAAAGACCACATATCACGAGTTGGAAAGCGAGCCTCTGATCTTAACCAGACACGTTTCGGGGCACCGCGCCGGACCCAAGAACACATGTCGAGTCTATATTAGAAGTCCCGCTGATCGACACTCGCAGAGACCCGAAGCATCAAACAAGCAGCGGGGGCCAAGGAACTTGGCCGGGGATCATTGTGCAATGCCACGAATGCCAACCTGACCTGCCCTGACAAACCATGGCCGCCCGCGGGTAAATCGTCAACAAGACGGCCCCAAAGGATGCTAAGCATACGCCCAGACGGAACCACTCATGCGTTGCGAGACCCACAACTGGTATGTACAGATCCTAACCTGAATAGCTTCGGCTTTTGTCGCTCAACACCCGACATACACATAACTTTCCCTACCGGCTTACAATCTCCGCAACCTACCTCCTATAACGGCCGCGATTTATCTAGCCCAACTCGCTCATCGCCTCACTCAATGCCCCACGTCCATTCGCGGACTTGTTCAAGGTCGTGAAAACTATCATGGTATCAGGTGTTGCTCCTCGAAGAAGGTTTTTGCCTAACCAGTGCCAATAATGCCGCGCCAACGCCTTGACGTTGCCTCGTACACTCGAAACCTCGATATTGAGAAGATTCATGAGACCAGCCATCATCCATGTTCGGCAGAACCAGCTCCCAATGTATTGCGAAACTCACTCCCTAACGCTCAGTCAAAACAAAGGGGAACAAGCTATGGCCAAAACGGACCTGATATGCCGGGCCAAAAACCTAGGTTAGGTACCTAGGTACGGTAGGTAGGTCGGTAGGTATCCAACCCCATCCCACACCCACCCACGCATCACATCACATCCCATCACCGATAAAGCAACCCAACCAACGCATCCCACTCCGCCTCCTCATCCGCCCCATCATCCCCAACAACAGCATAATCCCCCGTCGCCAACAACTCCCACCTCGCCTCCTCCGCCTCCGCCCTCAACAACCCGGCCTCCTCAGCCATGTCCATGCGCTCAAACACCAGCGACATGCGCCACTGCACCCGCGCGGCCTCGCCCGGGTTGCCGCCGTGCGCCTCGTTGCGCCGGCAGATGGCCACCGCGTCTTGGAGGTGCTTTAGGGCCGTTTTGTTGTTGTTGTTGCTGCTGCTTCTGTTGTTGTGGTTGTTGGCGTTGGTGTCGTTCATATCATCGTCACTACCATCATCATCCTCATCACCATCCTCATCATCATCATTATCCTCATCATTGCCGTCGTCATGGTCGTCGTTGTCATCATCATCATTATCGTCGTCGTCGTCGTTGCCATTATTGTTAGCGCCACACTGGAGCATCGCGATACGGGCGCGGTGGTACAGCGCCGCGGCGACGCTCGCGTGTGTCGGTTTGCCGGCGGCAAGCAGCTTGTGGGCTTTGCGGCCGAGTTTTGCGGCGGTCTCGAGGTCGCCCTGCTGTGCGGCGATCTTGGCGCGCTCGTATTTTGTTCTGGGAGGGGAGGGAGGTGGGGGTTAGCTGTGTGTAGTAGTAGATGGCTTAAAAGGGGGGGGCGGGGGAGGTTGAGAAGTGATAGGGTGATAGGGGAAAGTGATGCGATTCAACTGTGGAGAGGGGGTTGGGAGGTTGGTATAGCGGGGGCTGTCACTTACTCTCCGTCATAATGATCGCCAGGCCCGTAGATCTTGGCCTGGTAGTACTCGGCCTCGAGAAAGTCCTGTAGAGCCTCGTCAAGCTGGCCGAGTTGCTGCTTGCAGCGGCCCCTATTCCGCAGGAACCGATCAATATTGTAGTCTTGGTAACACACCGGCTTGGGGTGCGACTTCGCTATGGCTACTGCTGTGTTGAGATGGGCAATGGCCTCGGATGCCTTGTATGCCGAGACCAAGGTGTAGCCGATATTGCTGTGGGCGTTGGCCATATCTGCATCCCTGTCTGGAAGATGCTTCCGTAGAATGGCAAATTCCCTTGTAGCAGCGGCGCACGCCTTGTTGCTGCGTCCTGTCCTCTCATATAGACCAATGAGACTGCGGTGGATTCTAGCGGCGGGAAGGGAGTTCTTGTCAGTGGTGGCCAGGAGGGACAAGAGCGAGTCCTCCGCTTGGCGGAAGTGTTGGATTTCGACCATGTACCTAAGGGGCTGTTAACACAGACCAATTCGAAACGGCAAGTTTCTGTCGCTTACCATGCGTGGTCTTGAATGAGTTCGGTGTATTGTGACATTTCAGTCGAGAAGTTGTCAGGAGCTTTCATAGACTTGTATCGCTCGTTGAATGCCATGACGTGCGGGTGCAAAGTGTCACAGCTATCCCGATCTACCCACAAGTGTTTCGAGCCCTGTTGCCGCGGAAAATGGGCTCGTAGCAGAATGAGGGCTCCATGGAATGCCTCACGCTGGGATTCTGCTGTCATCTGGGAGAAGTAGCTTTCCTGTATGAGACGGTGCACCGCAATGAAGCCCGTCTTGGTGTTAATTCGGACTAGTGAGCAGACGAGAAGATAGTCGGCAGCATCGAAGCTATTGGTGATCAGTTAGCTTAATTACCACACTCAAATAGTTTGGGAGATTGTACTGACATTCCCAGGTCCGTTACTGCTGTGTTTTCTGAAGGATGCCATCGAAACCGATCGTTATCCTGAAATAAAAACATCGGAATGGATTCGGGACTCATGAAACAGAGTATACCCAACAGTCTGGAGGCATTCTCATCCAATTTGTCAAAGTCTGACTGCCACAGGCCGTCCAGGTTCTTTAAGTACCAGAAGTTACTAGTCCAACGCCTCGGTGACTTCAGAGCCGAACTCTCATTTTGCTCAAAGTATGGCAGGTACTCGGCAACTGACCTAAACTGGCGTGAGGTCTTGATCTGTTTGGCTATGGCGTCAACGGCAAGCGGGAGCCCGCCGAGCTTTGCTGACAGCTCGTTTGTTGCCTTCACCTCGTCCGCCATCGCCGGATCCTCGTCCAGAATCCGAAGTATTAACTCGGTGCTTTGGGTAATCGTAAAAGCAGGGACCTCGAGTAATGTTGCGGCCGGCCCAGACTCGGCAAGCAGTTGGCCCCGATAAGTTACCAGAATCCTTCCACGACCAACCGTAGGCCAGCTTCCGACCAATTGGTCTTGATCCTCAACACCGTCGAGAACGAGGAGCCATGGGATATCTGTGTTTTGGAGCCACTGGAGCACCAGCTTTCGGTTCGTAGCCGGGGCATTCTTAGAATAACCCTCCAACTGTAGCTCCCGCGCCGCATCGTAGAAGGATTTGGTAGTCTCGGCAGAGGTCTCGCTCGCAATCCACAGGATGGCTCGTCCTCCGTCTGCCCAGTGTTTGTGGGCAACCTCGAGCGCGATTTGCGTTTTCCCAATACCAGCAGCACCCCATAGCGCGACCGATGATATGCTAGTAGCTTGCCTCTCGAAGGCAGAAGCTATAGCTTGGAGTATGTCATCCCTCCCATAAAAGTCGGGGTTCTGGGGATAGGGGATGGTGTGATGGCGTAGAGACTGTGATGCCATCGTTGGCAGATGTTGCATCGACAATGCGTCAGAGAGAATGTCGGTGAGAAGTCGTGAGGCTGATGTCAATTTTGACTAGAATGTGGCAGAATGTCGCAGGATGTTGGCCCATCTCTTGGTCCGGGTTTCTGGAATTTCGGTACGTTTTTAAAGCCCTCGAGACGATTCCGGATGTCTTTCCATGTTCGCTCCATATTCCCTCCACCGCTCAGAGTTTGTGTGATCCGACTGACAGTTGGCTTGCAGAGACATTTAATCGGGGATCATCCGCGCTGTTCTAAGGTTTATTCGCGATGAACAAGTAAATGACCAAGAAACAACACCGACGTTCTCACGTCTTCACAACAGGAGAACCACGCCTCAAAAGTTCTCAGCTGTTCTCACGTTCGTTACCCCAAGCCCCCGCCGGTGAACCAGACTAACACATGTAGTGTGATGAGGTGCTATCAGAAACATAAAGCCTCAAGTCCATCATATTACCTTCATGTTTTCCACTCTCTGTCCCAAGTCGGCAATTACCTGTTCATGATCCCGAACATGGTGACAATGTGGTTAGTTCGCCACAACACCTCGCGCCAACACCTAGCCACAGCACCTCACCAGATATTGTACATACAGGGTGAGTTGTAGCAGGGTACTGTGATGTGGCATCGTCTCGCCCACTACGTAGACCAAAGACACTTCACAGGCACATTATACGCACTAATAGAATTCTGGGGCGATAAGTTGTGGCTCACAGACTCTGGGCTGGTTGGTCTTTTGAACAGAGATAACAACCAAGCTTTAATTGGTGGCTTGTGGAAGGGGCACCACAACAGATAGGTAGAGAGGTAAAAACAAACGTCGGAGGTATGAGCCCGCGACCATAGGTAACCAGCAACCAGCTAACAACCGTCAACCTAAGGTTAACTTAAGGCAGCCAAAAGCAAGGCAAACCAGCACGACCACCGCCATTTTAAAGTAGGTAAAATAAGTAGGTAACCAAGTCAACTCAAGAACCGCCGCTCTAGTAGGGTTTCATCACGCAAAAACGCCCCGCGTCTGTCTGTTTGTCTGTCTGTCATGTCATGCACACCCGCCGACCGCCAACCCCGACCGTCAACCCCAACCGCAGTGTCCCCCGATACTAGGTAGTCCAAACAAGGGAAAAGCCGGCCTGGCCTCCCGTATGAAATCGCCCCCCATCCCCTAACCTGCGCTGTTACATCAGAACCACAACCACCACCCCCGTGTCATCAACCGCATGTTCATCTGAATTAACCATCCCCCATCCCATGCCATCACCTCACATCCCATGTCAGAGCATCCGAGCGCAGCCATACCCTCTAGCCTGGCCCATCCAGCCCATCTGGCATCCCCCAAGAATCAGCTCAACCCATCCCCCCTCAACCAATCCAACCCGACGCTCAATCCGACCCAGGCCTCGTCCGCTGCGCAACCACCTCGCGCGCATAAAACTCAACCAGCATAGTAGCATAAGCCTCCAAGTCCTCAACCGGCACAGCCAACCGAAAGTCATTCAAAAGCAGGAACTGCAGCTCGAGATGGTTGAGTTCCGGCAGGGGGAGGCCACCGACCTATATTATATCATCGTGTTAGTATCACACCATACATACCGAGGGAAGGGTAAAGATAGAGAGAGGAAGGGGGGCATACCTTTGCATAGCGCGAGTTGGTGTAAAAGACATCGGAGAAGAACTTGCTCGCACAAGTGACGCCGGCGATGATGAGGCGGTGGATGTTGAAGCTGTCGACGACAAAGTAGGTCGCCTGCTGGGGCTGGGATGCGCCCGTGGTGGTGGTGGTGGTGGCGGCGGGGTTGGCGGCGGGCGGTTTCCTCCCCGCCCCTGCCCCCGCTGCTGCTGCCGCGCTGGTCGGGATCTCGTCTCCGTCTGTAGAGTCTGCCAGCTCCGAGTCCGTCTCGGTCGCGTCGCTCGAGTCGTCGTCGTGGTCGCGCATGACCGTGTCCTTGTCGGCGTCGGTGGAGACGCGCGGTTGCTGTAGTGGTGGCGGCTGCGGCTGCTGTGTCTCAAGCTGCGCGCGCCGCCCTTCCTCGCTCTTCATGACCATGTCGTTTACGCGCTCTGTCATGCGGTCAAAGTAGACTAGCAGGCTGAGGAAGACCTCGTACGTCGTCGGGCAGTATTTGTGGATGCGGCTGAGGTAGCTGAGGATGGTGATGGCGGGCACGTTCTTGCCGTGGAAGGCTAGGACGCTGCTGCTGAGCGGGGTCATGCTCCCGTCGCCGGCCCCCTCCTCGCCCCTCGCCTGCGCCTGGGCCTGCCGGAGGTGGTGCGCGTTGCGGTTGAGTGCGTCGTGCTGGAGGTCGTTGGTCGTTGTGATCTTGGTCAGCAGCGCGGCCACCATTTCGATGATGTCGCCGATGGGCATGCCGCTGATCTCGTACTTCATTTGCTGTAGTGGTGGGTCGTTTACGATCCCCGGCCCCGTGCCGGTGAGCATGTCAGCTCTTGCCAAGCTCTGTATGTGCGCGAGGTCGCGGACTCGGATCGTGGTCTGCGTCTGTATTGGTGATTCGGGCGGGTTGTCGAGGGTTGGGGGGATGGACCCGGTCGCTTCGGGATGCGCCGAGGTCCAGCGCGGACCACTATCGGAATCGGGGGAGGGGATGGACCTGGAAGGCGGCGCTATTACCGTTGGGGCGGTACTCGCCGACGAAGCGCTCGAGTTCGAGGCCGAGAACGACCCGGGGGTGGGGTCCTGGGTGCCATCTCGAGGTATTTCCTGCTGTGGTTGTGTGCCGCCGGAGGATGGTTGAGAGGATGACGACGAGGGTGGGGGCGAGGGCAGTCGCGCGTTTGGTTGCCTTGATGTGCTCTTCTCCTGTGCTTGTTCGTCCCTACGCCGTCGGCTCGGTGTGCGGTTCGGCGCGCCGGATAACGAGGTCGAGGGCCTCCGGGGGCTCTCTGTCGGGCGTGACGTATGGTGGGGCTGGGCTTCGCGGTCGCGAGATCCGCTCGCAGACCGGGTCTGATAATGGATATCGTGGGAATGCCCTCCGATCATACCATGAAAGCGCGATGGGGAATCAGCAAAGACGTCCCCTATGATGGTAGCCATGCTGTTGTGGTGGTCGGGCTCCGTGGCGTTTTGCCGACGAAGGGGATGATGTTATCGGGCGGCGGGCGGCAGGACGAGGGCCTCGGCGGGAAAGTGGCTGTGTCGCAGATAGCGGAGAATTAGCACGGGATTTTCTGGCTGGCCAAATAATACTGGGTCCAGGGCGAGAATGAGCCGGGACTGGTCCGGTGCACTCAGCGACACAAACTCCGTGCAGCAACAGGCCCCATGAAGAAGATGAGGTCCGGGTCAAGTTGGGAGATGGCAAACGGCCGCCGGCATGTTCCAAGCCAAAATAAGATAAGGGGAAAAGGGGTTAGGTAAACGAGGGAATGCGGCAACGTTGGCAGCGTTGGCTGCGAGCGGCACTACACGCGGCGTGCATGGAATGCTGTCATTGGTGACATCCGCCAGAAACCCCAAGCAAGCAAATAGCAAGCCACCCAAGACAGGAGTCTCGTCGCCGCGCAGACTGGGTAGGGTAGGAGGGTAGGCGGCGCAGGAAACGCACGATTGGGTTGGTGGTGATGGTGTCTCGGCTCGCAAACCGTGGTTGGATTTGACTCGGGAAGTAACGCCACTGAAGCCGGCGCAGCGACCACAAGACCACAAAGGCTGCAACAGCAAACAAAACAAAACCGAGGCCGAGTCCGGCATGGAGGTGGGACAGGGTCGGCCCACGACGTCACCCGGCGAGTACGAGATGGAAATACAAACGAGAAATGTGACGGCAACTTACCCAAGGTACGGGACTGGTATTGCTCTTCTGAAGGTCCGGGGTCGGCTTCTGTCTCGACTTCGAAGGAAGATGCCGGAGGGTTGTATGTATATATGGGCGAGTGAGGCGAGGGCGACGATCAGCGAAGGGGCGAGTCGTGGAACCTGAAACAGATGTCGATGAATGACGCGCGGTCGGGCCACAACGCAGTCGTAGGCGGCAAGAGAGACTCAAGGGCAGTTCAACTCGAAAGAGAGCAACTTGATATAACAGCCTTCCCAGGAACAAGAATGGGGGCGGCCCGAAACGATGATATTATTGTAAGAGAACGAGGGGAGGGCGGGTGAAGCGAAGCAATGCCAAGGAACGGCCACAGGGCTGGAGGTCGAGACAACCGAGCGATGTTCGATGTTTTGTTGCGAACGACATGCACTCTCCGGTCCAGCCCAGGCCAAAATCCAAACGGGGAAGCCAAAGGCAGACGGAAGCCAAAGGAGGAGCAAAGGGATAAAAGTTCAAAATCAAGGTCGAGGTTCGAAAGAAGAAATACGGCGTGGCCGAGCTGAGAGCAGGCCTGCGATAACGTCTGGTCAGTTCAGTGGAACTGCACAGATGACGACCCTTGGCCCTGGCGCCGTGGTCGGTCTCTCAGTGCAGCGTCTCCCGATCCCCCGCCACGTGTGGGTAAGCCGAACAGGGGGTGGCCAAAGCCTGGCCTTGCCGCCTTTGGGCCTGGAAGGAGCCGCCGGCTTGCCACTTCGACTCGGTACCTGGGTACAACTAACAAGCGCAGCCAAGAACCCTGGAACGGCCCGCTTTCAGGACGACTCGGCCGATTCCGGTTGCCTGCCTTTCAAGAGTATTTCCAAGGATGGTCTGGGATATCAAACTCCTACTAAAACCATAAATGCCGCTCGAGTACTCCCATACAAGCAGTTCGGGCCCTTGCCCGCCGTAACTGATAACAGAAAGTGGAGTGGTTGATCGGGAATGGCGGGCCCACTGCGACCAGCGGCGGTTGTCTTCCCCCACCTCAGCTCATCAGTGGGGTTCCAGCCGCGAGCATCCACATCCATCGCGCTTCAGAGCACGGCATCGCGCGGCTCGACCACACTGGATGAGGTGACAGCCTCCTATAATAAGGTCATCTATTCTCGGCGCCCTGGGACACCTCGCCTCAACTCACCGGCCGTAGAGGCAATCTCGCCAATAGAACCAAGCCGGGACCGGGAAGGTCGGGAAGCCGCGTTTGCCTGCTGCCTTCGCGCGCGTGTCCCGCATGCAAGGCCTTCCTCGTGTGCTGTACTAACTCCTCTCTCATGTCATGCAGAGGCAGTCGCGCGACCCAGCTTGCGGCCAGTGTTTGAAAAACCCTCTCTCGGTCTCCTGCGCAAAAACCCGAAAGCCAGCCAACAAGGGATTCGAGCCCAAAGGCATCGAACTTTCCCCTCGGGTGCAGCCAATCTGGTGGCGCGAGGGGGCCACGGGGGGAGGGGTGTCGGCGGGAGCGAGCGGGGGTTGGTCCCTCACCGACATTCTGCCCCTCCTTGGACCTGCTCGATGAGATGCGGTTCCAGTCCTGCGGATGCAGTCACTGCAGTCAGTGCCCTGTCCGTTCGCAAGCGTTGCTTGAATATGGCAGGGGCTTGTCAGAGATTCTGACAAGACAGCTTCACCTGAATAATGAATACAATAGAACATTCGCCAATTACTCTCGAACGTGGGTCTTTGATGACGCAGCTTGAAACAGTCCACGTGCCGTCGAAAGAACTACAACACATTGATGACCGCCTCGAGAATCCAAGAATCATGGTCGCGACCACTCAGCGCATCACGAGCGGTTACAACGACTTTCCAATGGCCATGGCCTCAGGGGTAAAACACCATCTCAGCTTCACCGATGGGAGAGGCCCGCAGCTCGGATATCGACCCGTGTTGCAATGTTCCAGCACGTGGCGACGGCGAAACCGATGAACCTTAACTACCCTTGACCGTTCTCGAGCGAAGGCGCGCAATTCCCGAGCATCGTAACCGCCCCGAGAATATCCTCCACCACTCCAGACTGGCCACACCCGCGCATGAAGCCCTCTCGCCTTCTAATAGACCGCGCTGTGCCTGCCACCCATCCTTGCTTATTTCTCAACACTGCTCTCTGCTCTGGCACCACCGCCCTGCCCGAGCATCCCCATCCGAAACGATGACTGCTACGGCAAACATGACCTTCAAACCACCGTCAACCCCAACACGGACAGCACCAGCAGGAGACACGCGCCCATACAATGCATGGACGGGATGAAGGGACATGCCAGGCGTCGGACGCGGATGTCATCATAAGCTTGACGCAGGACCAAACCACCCGTTCTCCTCATTGAGCTCCTTCAGCCAGAACGATTGTGATATTGTAGTGGTTTCATATTGGGGCGCGGGGGGGGGGGGGGGGCGGGGTCACGGACTTGAACCGCAACAAAGAGGCTGGCAAGCATCCAACCCGGGATAAGAGACCGGAATCCGTGATCTGTAAGGTAGGGGCGGGGGAATTGCTGCTCAGTATTGAACCCCCACACGACGTCATCATGCGCTCTCACATCGACTGCGCTTCGTCGTGGTGGTGGTGAGTAACAACGCTGTAAGTGTGGTAGGAAACCGTCATGATCTCTCTAACCTCGCGTGGAGTCAACCGAGGTGAGGGGTGTTTCTAGTTCAAGGAAGGAAATGGGTTCCAGGACTCAGGCACGCCTCAATCATGGGCATGAAAAGAAGAGACCTCCATGTGTCATGTCTCATCGTAGAATCGCAGCGCAACTCCGGTAATGGCTGTCCAACCGGTATGCAGATGCAGCAGAACCTCAACCACCCATGGCCACGGATTTCAGGTTCGCTCTCCCGCAACCGCCCGTGTTGTGACATATGCACGATCCCCAAGATCAAAGGTGTGGACCCGAACGGATGATATTGTTTGTTGTACAACGCCCAGCCGCTCGGTCTGGACTCGTCATGTACCATTCCCCAAACCAACCCTTCCCACGCCTCACTCATGCCGCACCCTGTAATCCGTGTCCGGCAAGTACAGGTGCCTATCAGCGCCCTTAGCCGTCAGCACCACCATGCGAATGACACCACCCGAGCTGCCGTCCCACTTGATGGCCTCCTTGAGCGCGTCCTTGACGAAGCCGACGGCGTCGGCCTCCTCCATGCCCTCGCGCCAGTTGGCGTCGCAGAAGCCGTAGATGTACGTCGAGCCCGACCCGCCGATCGAGTACGGCTGCTTGTGCAGCGACCCGCCCAGCGGGATGCTGTACACCTGCCCGCCGTGCCGCTCGTCCCAGCCCGCGATGATCAGGCCCGCCCTGTGTTGGTATCGTGTTAGCGCCGTCCCAGGCTAAAACAAAACAACCAACCACCCCCTGGTCCACACACTCCCGCAACCCCGCCCCCCATAACCATGTGTATATTTGTTTTGGTGGTGTACTCACGTCAACCGGTCCTTGTTGGCGTAGCACAGCTCCTGGAAGATGGCGCCGGCGGTCTGGGTGGTGGGCGGCTTGCCGTTGGTCATGGCGAACAGCTCGAGCTGGTACTTGACGATGTCGGCGACGGCCTGTGTGTCGGCGGCGGAGCCCGAGCGGCAGCACCAGATGGTGTCGTGCACCTGCGTCAGCTTGTCGGTTACCCGGTTCGCAATGTACGCGCCCGTTGTTGTGCGCGAGTCCGCCCCGAGGATCACCCCGTCTTTGAATGTCACCGCCATGCTGTGGTTGTTGTTGTTAGGGTCGGTGCGCTGGGCTCGAGGGGTGCCCGTGGGGTTCGGACTTACATCGAGGTACCTAGGCTGGAGGGGGGTTAGCAATGTGTTGTGTGGGCGGGGGATGGGTTGGGATGAGCATGACTTACTTGACCTCACCCTTCTTCAACCGGTCCATGTCGAGATGGATGCCATCTGCACCAGGCAATGGTTAGGTCACTGGCGGGACATCAAGGTGGAGCAGCGAGGGACGGCGGGGGTTGGTTGCATACCTTCCCTCAGGGAGCCCGAGTTGCCGAACTCCATGTTTTTTGTGGTTTTAGGTATTGTAGGTGATTCGGTCGGCCGGACAAGAAAAGCGTCGTGGTCGCGGGTTATTCTGGGGGTCGCAGTTTGGGGATCGTAGGGTATGGTGGGTTGTCGTTGTTGGCGAGCTTGGAGCTCCAGCTCAAGGCAGCTCCCACACACGCGTGCGCCTTGCCTGGCTGAGGCGCGTCACGTGAGAGCTGACGCCCCGCGGTCTTATCTTATCGCAATCAGTTATGCGCCTTGAATTTAAAGCTGAGACAAATCAACCGTTTTTAATGCAATTGAAGAGACAAGGCCTGGAATATGTATGTCTGCAGCGGCGAGAATCTTGAGATTACCGTCGACGCTACCGTAAATACGGCTTATGCATCCGTCACGGCGTGAAGCAGCCTTCCCAGTGCTGGCATGCCCCTGTGGAACCCATGAAATGCTGAAGCAGCACGACCGAGATACAAGATGGTAACCAATGTGAACACCCAAAACCCCCCAAACGCCATTCCATCTATGCAACACCAACACACCTTCTCTTCACCCACCCCTCGTCAAGCCCTCCTCCTTCTCAACCGTAACCCCCTCCCGCCCCTTCAACTCATCCCCCTTCGCCGCCTCCCCACCCTCCCCCCCTGCCTCCTCCTTCTTGCCCCCATCCTCCTTCTTCCCCCCCTCATCCCCACACCCACAGTCATAAAAGTCCCCAATCTTATTACAATCAAACTCCTCCTTCTTCAACCTTTTATTGACCTCATTATGCACAAAGCACGCCCACCCGGCCGCCGCGTTGCGCCCGCTCGTCTGCGGCGGGTACTTGCGCAGCAGCTTCTGGAAGTGCGCCGCGCACTCCCCGCACGGGTACAGCCGCGCGAACAGCCGCATGTACGTCTCGAGCGCCAGGCTGTCGTCGGGGGTGGGGGTTTCCGGGAAGCGCGCCATCATCGTGTGCAGGAGCTTCCAGGAGGCGCGGCCTAGTTCGGCTCTGCGGGGGAGGTTGTTAATTTTTGTACGTCGTGGGGGGTAAGGCAGGGTGGAGTGAAGGGGTTCGCTTACTTGGCCGTGGCGTTCCCCAGCTTGGGCGCGATCGAGCCGCCTTGGAGAATGCGGTCGGAGATGTCGGTGGCCGAGAAGCCGTCGCCTGCGCTGTCGTTGCTGTCGTTGCTGTCGGGGTCTGTGGGGAGGGCCGCATCCTCGAGTCTCGTCTTCGGGCTGTATTCGACGCTCGATCTGCCGGCCATGAAGTACGTCAGGCTCAGGAAGAGCATGACGGCCAGCAGGGTCAGCGTCAGATGCTGTCGCCGCGCCATCGCCCGGTTTTCCGGCGCTGCGTTCGCGCAAGCCGATAAAGTACTGAAACGCGAATGTAACGGGATGTGTGGGGGCGCCGGTACAATGCGCCGGGAAAGTATTAACAAACCAAGAAAATGATTGTAAAGGAATGACTGCGAGAGAGAGGGACAGAAAGTTGCAAAGTCGAAGGTAAATCGCATGAGAGTCGTCAAATGTTCTGCGACACTGCGTGGCCGAGCGCAGGGGTTGCGGGAGCGCGGCAGGGGCTGGTGGGGTTGTCTCTCGGCAGGCAATTCGACGTCTGGGTCCGCATCAGACTCGCAGGGGTCTGTCTGCCTTGGCCGTGCCTGCCACCAAGCACCTTGAAGACCGACCATCTCAGGCAATGGAAGGTGTGGCCTTCAAGCTGGAATCCAGGCGCGGTCCAGATAAGAGAGTTTTTAATATCGACCTTTGTTTCAAACAACAATTATTGCGAAGAACTACCTTACCTACTACCATCTTCTTCAAGACTCGGCTCGTTCTCATGCCAACGTTGTGATTATTATGTTATTAGCCCCTGAGCTGAGTGAAATGATTGTGGATATCAACCTTGAACTTTCCCATCGAATTCCCAGTCTCATTTGATGATTCTTTTTTTAGTCGCCGGGCAGCTGTGATAGTCTTTGCAATTGTTTCTTGCCGAAACACCGCGACACGGCCAAGTTCGACGCACCCAAGAGAGGTCACATTCCTAGGAGCAAGTTGAACTCTTTGGTTCGGGATTTGTCCAGCGGGGAACAGCGCAGTGAGCTTTCGGTTTCTCTGCTTCAGTCAAGCCCAACATTGAACAATTCAAGTGATTTGCTATGCCCATGTTATGAAAGTTATCCGGCCATATATGTTTGAGGTTATACTAATCTGAAAACAGGAATGAACAAAATAACTGATAAAAGCAACATAATCAAACGTGGTACGAGCGTCCATTCTGCATAAGCAGGACCATGTATAAACCATCAACCCGAGAGCCTCTCAACTTGGAACCTACCCAATACCCCCCCGCCCAAGAAAGACTCATAAATCACCTCCCCAACCCAATAACCTTCCCCACTCCCTCACCAACCCCCTTCCCAGCCCCAGCAACACCCTCAACAACCCCCTCCCCCCCCTCAGCCACCTCCCTCGGCACGTACCCGCCCCGTTCATCCTTCCCCTGCCTCTCCGCCCGGTTAAGCCCCTCCTTCGAGACTAGGTCACCGACAGGTCGTGCCAGCCCGTCCTGTCCGACTTGGTTTGCGACTAGGTCGTTGACATTGTCTTGGAGGGCGTCGGCTTGGGGGTTGGAGGTGAGTTTGGTTTTGGCGAGGTTTTCTACGGAGTGGTAAGGGGGTGGGTTAGTGATTGCGGGTTGGGTGTTGTGGTGGCGGTGGTGATGGTGAAGGGCGGATGGGATGTGAGGGGGGTGTTTGAGGTGGGATGGGGGTGGGATAGGAGTAAGGGAGGACTCGGACTAACCCCGCGTCGTGTAGCTCGCCTTGTTGTCGCGGGTAAAGTAGCGCAGGTATATGTCCTCCAGCCAGGGGACCCAGCTCTCGTATTGTTTGTTGTACTGGTCTTTGGCCCACTCCATTGTGGTTGAATCTAGGTGTGTTAAGATAACTACGTAGTAACAGGGGCAGGTCCCAAATATCTGGTGATTGAGGGGGACTTGAGGTGGGACGGGACTCCATATGATTTCGATTAACGGACATGGCTCCCTATTTATTCTTAACCCAGTCTATCTATCCTATGATACAAGTTTCTACATAAACGAGTCAACAGGGGCCGCTAGTGTGGTGGTGTGGCTGTTTACGGTGGGTGGCGGAAATACGACGTCATGGTGTAAGTCAAGTTCCCGGTTTTGGACGGATAGGGGTTGGCCAGCCGATGAGCCGGACGGTCGGCAACAAGCCACAACCATGTGCCGAATATGAGAATGGACAACCCTTTTCGTTGGATTCGAGTTAGCAGTATGAAATGATGTAACGTGCCGGTATCGAAGATCATTGGCAAAGGTAGTTAAGCTCAGAGCTGACGGTGCTGGCCCATGGGTTCATTCGCTGTGCAGCACCCAAAGTCCAAGATCTATAACGTTCCTACCACCTACTTTCACACAGGCCATTCCACTTCCTCCGCGGCTTGGTTTTGTAGGGACAGTTTGTTCATGCCAACGCCCAGGAGCCGCGTCGTGACCAGCACAAACGACCCGTCCCCAAAGCCGGGCGTTTTCCGTGTGGGTGTATGTACAAGGCCGAATGCATGAATCGGGCTGCAGAGGGGCGGCCGCGTCCCCCCCGCCCGGCATGGCTGCTCGGTCCCCAAGCCCAGATTTATCCTTGTGAGGTGTTTGCCTTTTTTGTTCCAGAATGCAACCAAGGCCGCAGAGAAGGTCACATCCAAACAAGACCCCTCACGAGGCTCTATTCTTCACGGATTTTGAAGGCCCTGTCCGGTGTACCCGTTCAGCACCGATGGTGTAAATCTTCGCATTTCCAACTCCGCGTTTTCTGAGTCGTCTCTGCATGGTGCTTCACTACCGGACCTGGTGAATAAATGTGAGCACTGAGCTTGCCGAGCAGCTGCGCCTAGGCCTAGACTTGGTCACCATACCTAGAGGTAGTCTCATTTGTTTCTCTGTTGGTTCCTCAAACTCCGCCAACGCGGTCACCGCTGACACACAATCACTGGCCCCTGGTCACCGCTGCACTCCGTCCTGAACAAGATGGCTGCGCTGGAAAGCTCGATGCTGATTGAGATCATCGATCAAGTTACCGCGGAGCTTGTGCACAAAATGGACGGATATGACATTCAGGATGTCGACGACACAGAGATGGGGATACGGGTACGGCAATTTGCGGAGGGCAAAGCAAAAGGTCGGGCAGTTTCTTCCTTGCTGTACTGTATGGGATACAGGTTGTTCGAAACGTACAAGGACGAGGGGTTTCGCCCTGATTTAGATCGATACGTTAAGTTCGCGGTCGCATGCTGTAACGAGGGCTTGGATCTAACGACGGACAACCCCGGCAGCCGCACCGTACTCTTGTACCGGCTCCCGGAAATGTTGCTCAGGTTGTACGAAAACACTGGGAAATACGGGCTATATCTCGACCAGAGCCTGGACGTTTCAAGGGAGCTCCTCGGGATATCGACCGGACCTGGAGGTGAAGATTGGCAGGCTCTAAGAACAGAAGCTCTGGAGCAAACCGCGACCGCGCTTGAGCATCGCTATGCAGAAAAGAAACGCCCGCGGGACCTATACGAAGCGCTCTACTTGTGTCAGGCGGCGCTACGTTTAACCGACGACGTTGCTCAACGGGCCTCACTCCGGAGTAGGGTTGCCGAGATTCATCGAAGACGCTTTGAGAGGGACTGGTCTCTGCCCCTCATCGATGAGGCCATCAAGGAGGGGACGGCGGTTTGTGATACCTGCCGTGACGACAACGACACTCGTGCCCAAGCCCTGAGCATGCTCAGCGGCTATCACCACAGCAAATACGAGCACTCCCACGATCCCTCCGATCTCAAAAGCGCTGTCGAGATCGCTCGCCAGGCGGTTGCGCTGAGAGCACAGCCAATCACCGTTCGCATCGGGTGTCTCCTGAGCCTCTGCGTCGCGCTTGGAAGCAGTTATACAAGAGACGGGGGGTAGCAAGGACATGGATGAGGCTCTCCAGGCGGGGCAGGAAGCCCGGGTCCTGGCTGGTGCAGACAGTCTGTCCCTCGTCGACATTTTCAGTGCGCTTGCAGAATTGTATCTCGTACGTAACGCGCGAGAAAGGCAGTTGTCTGACGCCGAGGAGGCGGCATGGTTCGCAAAGAGAGCCGTCCGTCTGGCTCCAGTTGGGGTTGCCGCCCGTTTGTCGGCCCTCAGCATACAACTCTCGGCTATGTGTGCTAAATATGTGAGGATTCCCGAGACTTCTATCCGCGAGGAGGCCCTGGAAGTCGCAAACGAGATCAAGCGAGACACATCGGCACAAGACCCTGCCCGGGGACTCGTTTGGATTAACCTGGGGTGGCTGCATCACTGCCAATACAGAGAAACGGGGCAAGTATCGCACCTCGACTCAGCCATAGAAGCGGCAAGGAAGGCAGTCAATCTCATTCTAGAAACCAATCCGATGCACGCAGATGCCGAGGCCAGCCTCGGAGGGAGATTGCTAGGCCTCTACAAAAGAGATCGATCAGAAGCGACCCTGAACGAAGCTATCAACCATCTCAAAGCGGCAGCATCTCGGGTCCCTGACAGCTCAAGCGCCAGGGTTCGTCATCTCGGCCACCTTGCTGCAGCGTTAATTAAGAGGTCGGAGGCGACAAGTGACAAGGACAAGCAGGACAGCGACCGGGACCGAGAGGAAGCCGTGGCGATGTTCAAATCCGCCGCGGCCAACGAACTTGGCACTCCCAGCGATCGAATCGGCTACGCTCAACGCGCCATTGAGATTCTCGTCGTTCAAGGGAGAACTCACGAAGCCAGCGCGCTGGCCGACGAGGCAATGAAGCTTCTTCCTCTCGCGTGTCTTCGCTACACATGCAAAGAAGATCAGCAGCACGCCATGATGCGGATTCCGGACTTCGCCTCGAAGACGGCTTCGCTGAGCCTCCTCTCCAACGAGGTGGAAAAGGCCGTACAGCAGCTCGAGCTGGGCCGTGGCGTCATTCTCGGCTACGCCATGGACGACGCGGCGGACCTGTCAGCGTTGAGAAAGGTTCGCCCAGAACTTGCCCATCGTTACGCGTCCCTCGCCGCGACAGGGTCTGCCGACCAGGTTGAAGCCTACCGCAACTCGGCACTCCCCGTGCACCCTGCCGAGGAGTGGGAGGAGACCCTCCAAGTGCAGGTGGCCAGCGGATTGCGGGACGGGATTGCCGCCGAGCTGGCTAAGGAGCAGAGGCGAGCCGCGCAAGAGCTTGATCTCTGCATTGAGGAGATTCGGCAGTTGGAAGGACACGAGAGATTCCGGATGCCACTCGCGCCGGGCGACTGGAAGGCACTCGCAAGCGCGGGCCCGGTCGTGATGGTGAACATGACGGAGATCGGTCGACACGCCATTCTCATCACCTCCGAAACCGTGAAGGCAATCGAACTGCGAGATCCACTCCGCGACAATGCGGCCCATCATTCTCGAGGGGTCCATCCAGATCCCAGACAAGGTCCGCCCACCGCCCGGGACATCGACGGCGCAGATCCCCCGCAAGCCGATTCCGACATGGAGAGGTTTTCGAGTCTCTGGACCGACTGCGTGAAGCCTGTGCTCGAAGAGCTTGAGAGGATGGGATGCCTCGACGGCGGCCGGCCCGAGAGGGGGCCCCCGCGTGTCTGGTGGATCGGCTGCGGTGGCGCCAGCTCGCTGCCCTTCCACGCCGCTGGTCTCGACTTCGACGAGGGCTCAACCAACAACGCGCTGAGGGTCGTGTCATCCTACACCCCCACCCTCAAAGCCCTCGCATACTCACGGTCTCGTGCCTTGCGCCTGTCGAGGTGCCCACACGTCGACCGAGATGACAGAGTGGTTACTCCGTCGAGAGAAAGGGATGTTACCTCGGTCCCGGGCAGCACAAATGAGTCAGGGTCAGGGTCAGATCATGTCAAGGACGAACCTGTCGGAGATGCGACGAGAACAAGGGGAGAGTTGACGCTACCTACGGAAGCACCACGGGCAGCAACTGCTGGGAGTACCAGTCCGCCAGAGTCCATCCTGCTCGTGACGATGCCGACCACTGTCGGTCAGAGGGACCTACCCGGCGTTGATGCCGAGAGCGCGGCGTTGCGAGAGGCATGCAAAGACCAGTACCTCATCGAGGAGCTTCGGCACCCCACCGCTGCCCAGGTGCTTGACAGATTCGTGGCTTCCGACATTGTGCACTTCGCGTGCCACGGTTTCTCGGACCCCGTGTACCCGTCCGAGAGCCGGTTGATGCTGCAAAAGGAGGGCACATTCACCACCGCCACCACGAAGAACAAGGCAGAGCGCAGGGTGGTCGAGGACAGGCTGAGGCTGAAGGATGTTTCCCGCGCCGCGTTCGAGGCAGGTGGCGAGTCGCGCTTCTGGCTAGCCGTGCTGTCGGCGTGCTCGACGGCCGAGACCCGGGCCATGGCGCTCGCCGACGAAGGGCTGCACCTGGCCGCGGGCTTCCAGGCGGCCGGGTTCGCCCACGTCGTCGGCACGCTGTGGCGGGCCCAAGACGACGCCTGCTGCCGCGTCACCAAGCACTTCTATACGTACTTGAATGGCGAGGCGGCGAAGGAGCGCAGGAGAGATGCCGTCGTTGCGGAGGCCCTTTCGCATGCTGTTACACAGTTGCGTAGGGAGACGGGGTATGGTCCGAAGATGTGGGCTCCGTTTGTTCATTTCGGTGTCTGAGACTTTGAAGGGTGGATCGGCTTTGAACTCGTACATTCCTAGGTGACCACGGTACATGTATTCCACCGGAACATCCTGAATCAGCTTAACCCGCTCCGGCCTGATGCCCGGAGCTAGGTTAGTGGGTATTTCAGAGGCAAGTTGATAAAATCAAGAGAGTACGGAGATGATCTAGTGCTAATCGCTATATTTCCCGGCTCAAAGCCGGCCGTATTGGATGGTGTAAGTTACCACCAACGCCTACAACAATCTGATCGTGACCTCTTCCCCCTTACATGATGGATTCTTAAGCGTCTCGCTGCTCCCTCCACTCGTAGCGGGTATTCCTGTAATTCCTCACCGGGTAGCCCTCCAGCATTCATACTCCCGACATCTCGCCTCTCTGCAGCCTGTCGTAGTGTTCTTTATGGTGCCGTGTGATAATGTGATTCTCGCCGTACCAGTCTTTGTCTGACTCGATAACCACCTCTAAGCATTTGATAGTATCCTCAAGGTCTGACCTCAAGCGCCTCATCCTATACTTCGCGATAGCGATACCGAACGCCCTTAGGTATCTACACATCGTTAGCATACTAGTCAATCCACATTGAATCCCCGGTTTACATACAGCTGACGAGAGAAGTTCCGCAGGGAATGGTGCCCATCGAGCAGCTCAATCCGTCCTTGGGTTTTGTCTGCCGCTTGCTCGAGCGCCGCGTATGACCATGCTCCACCATGCTTCAGGTCAACGTTTTTCCCGTCCATGTCCGAGTCTAGGCAGAGTCGGTCGAAAGCCTGAAGGCGTTGTTCGTGAGAGTGGCTGAATGGGTGGCTGGTATCGCATGCTGGACACTTGCAAGTGAAGTCCCACCCGTCCAGCGAGAGCAATTTCTGTCGGGCCTTGCGAGGTTGGATATGCACGATGTAGGAAGCCGTGATCTCCTCGCCAGCCTCGATGTCGCGGTTGGCACGCAGCACTTTATCCTCATCGTCGGTGCTAAGCTTTGGTTCGGCGTTCGGGATACACGAATGGTTGATGCGAGCGGCATTCAGGAACAGGCCTCCGACCGAATTATTGTCAGGGTAGATACCGTGGGCGTTTGTAGTGATGACATCTTCCAGGTGCACGACCTTGGCGATGTCGTCGGCGAGCTTTTTGTCTTCGAAGAGGAAGTGCCTGATCTTGGTGACTAAATCCCAGTCATTTTCCCCCAATGCGACTCGGACTTTCTTAGCTACCGCAAGAGACTCCTTAGCGTTTTGCCGCGCCGCGAGTCCAAGGATGGCCCGCTGCGTCGTCCCTGGGAGCATGGTGAATCTGAGGTATCGTTGGACGGGGTCTTCGCCGTGCTCGATCCGGAAAACGAGCGGATCACGCATAATAAGACCATCACGTGGGATTTCCTTGGTCGCAAAGACCCCTAGGCCCTTGTTTGGTGAGCTGCGAATTTCGAAGACAGACGGAGGCCCTGAAGAAATAAGACTCGTTAGCCTGTTGGAATATCTAGTAGGGGGAGAATTAGTAGAGCTAGCGGAGAACACTTACGATTTCCGATCTGTTGGACGGCATTATGTACCAACCTGCTCGGCGTTCGGAAGGGCGATTGTACCCGTAGTGACTTCACCCAGACCATGGTGTCCAAGTGTCGAATGCTTGCTTGACTTTCCTGATCGTAAAGTCTGTTTCGGTAAATGCAAGGCAAAAGAAGAGAAATTGTAAGGAAGTTGTCGCTGGGTGAAGAGTCGGGGAGTAGCAAGCAGCCTGGTCTTAAATGTAAACGAACGGCTCTCTCAACGCGGAACTACTCGGAGCGTCAGGTGATGATAGAGTACACTGTTTACTATCGAGGTGGACAATGTCCGATGAACAACACCCCTACTCGAACTGTGTACATACTACTACTGCCTTGCCCGGGAGATCACGGAGCCTTCTTTGACGAACAACCGATGTGGCACATGCAACCAACCACGAATTCCATAACCAGCACATCCTGACAGTAGGAGCCCACGTTGAGAAGCCTCAAGGAAGTTCACATATCCGAATCTAGCTAGGTAAGGTAGCCTCTTTTCCGGAAGCAGGACAATGTCTGCCCAATCACGCCCATCACCAATTGTCACCCACCCGAAAGACGGCGCTCAACGGAATGTACATGGGCGCTATCTCAGCATGACTCCCATGGTTAAGAACATTCGTTGGTTATGTGTGGTGGCGCGGAATCAGTTGACTTGGTGAATAAACAACTTCTCGGGCTGAAATGTCCAACCACTCGCAACCGGCCGCAACAGCTCGTGATCTCGCAAAACAGCACAACTCGGGACTCAACAGCTTGGGTTCGTCCCCCTTCCCCTGGATCTAACTATCCCCGAACTAAGACTTAATCACAGCTAACCACGCAGACCACCTCTCCACGCCGTCGCCACACAATACAACACAACACACACCACCACACCACCGTTATTAAAACACAACACACTCCCATAACCCAACACATTTATCTACACCCCCTCTCTAACTACTAGTACGCCCAAGCTCAAGCTCAAATACAACAGCAGGCCCCAACAGGCCGCAGCAGTTCAAAAAGTGGTATCCCTAGGCAATACATGTGCAATAAATATCAGAAGAAAAGCCCCCAGCAGAGAAACAACAAAAAAAGAACATCCCGTCTGGGTACACCAACAACGCGTGGGTATGCATCCATCCGCTCGTCTCCAACCCCGGGCTGAAGGGAAACCAAACCATATTTCACCAGGGTTTGGGCCCAACATCACCGTCTATCACCCCAGCCAACCCCAAACGACAGACCGTTAACAGCTTCCCTCCTCAATAACCTCAACAGGTAGTCTGCCGCAGCAAACCACCCCCATCAACTCTCCCAACAGGCTCCACAGCCCACACCACACATCAGCTCCCCCCCACGGCAGCCTTAATAGTCGCAGCAGGCTGCAACCCCTCCGGCTCATCCCCTTCCTCACCTTCCTCATATATCTTCTCCTCGACAATCTCCCCGGGGCCCTTCACAATGGGACTGAACGACTCGACCTCTTCGAATTCATCATCCTCATCGACCCCATCCATGCCCATCCCCAGACTGCCAGTCCCCATACTGCCCATCCCCATGCTACCCATTCCCACTCCCATGCCAACTCCCATCCCAACACCCACGCCCATTCCAACACCCCCAAACCCACCTCCACCTCCACCACTCATACCCATACCACCACTTCCACCACCCATCCCCCCCTCCGCAGCCTCCTCCTCATCCTCCTCCTGAATCGTAATCTCCCCACTCCTCCTCCCCAACCCACTCGCACTCGCACTCCTCGAATGCCCCGACCCACCACTCCCTCCCAAACCACCCCCACCACCACCAACCCCCCCACCCCCCGCACTCTTACTCTCCCTCACATGCCCATGCCCCCCACCACCACCACTCGCAAGACTCAACATCGGCCCCTTAAACAAATTCCTCTTCCTCTTCGCAAACATCACCCCGCCCCCACCGCCACCCGCAGCCCCGCCACCAGTAAACGGATTCGGGCTCCCCGGCGTTGGCACCATTCCCCCTCCACCACCCGCACTCCCAGATCCACTCGGAAGACCCTCATTAAAAATACTCAACGGCGGCCCCGCACGATCACGCACAAGGCGGATATTGCTCGGAAACCCCGGAAACGTACCCGCGGTGGGCGTGGCAGGGAGGACTTTGACGGAGTGGTGCGGGGAGCGGGTAGCTTGCATGGGGGTCTTGGACACCGAGGTTGACACGGAGCCGTTGGAGGAGGTGGAGGAGGCCTTGGAGTGGGAGTGGTGGTGGGTGTGGTGGAGGGAGCGGACGGAGGAGACGGAGGAGGAGGTGGACTTGCGGCCGCGCAGGCCGGTCGGGCCCGAGGAGCGGCGCACGGTGGAGCGCGGTGTCAGTGGGGAGGGGGAGAGCGAGTGTCGCTTGTAGGAGCCGGATGTGTGCAGGCGCGTGCTGTGGCCCGGTATGGGCGGGGTGGTGAGGCCCGGGGAGATGGGTGGGCGCGAGGACCCGCCGGCGGTTGAGGACGCGCCCCGGGCGGCGTAGCCGTTGGCGACGACCCCTTTGGGGAGGCTGACGGTTTGGGGGGTTGATACTAAGCCGCTGGCGGGGGTACTTGCTCGTCTGCGGGCGCGGGCTGTTCTCCTTGGGCTTGCCATCCTTTCCGATCCCGGGCTTAGCTAGAAGGTTCGGCGTCGACTGGCTCCCGCGTTTGTTGTTGTTCTTGTGCCGTCGCGTGTTCTCGAACAGCCAGTGGGTCCAGTTCTTCCAGGTCGCAATGATGGCGTGTGACGGCCGTTTCTTGACCTTCTTTGAGTCACCGGCTTGTGAACCGCCGTTGGCATCGAGCACATCGCTTGTCGTCACGAGATGCAGCGTTGAGCCCCGCGACCGTGCGCTCCGCAGCACTCCCTCCTTCGGCGGGGGCAGCGGCTTGCGATGCCTGGACGAACTGACAGATCGTATTGAGTCCTTGTCGATGGGTGGTGGCGGCGCTTCGCTGTCAGGGCTCATATTCCCGTTCGCGAGCTTGACCATGTCCGACAGGTCAGGCATATCCGGGATGGTCAAGGTAGGGTAGTAACCACTCCGCCTTTCTGACCTGCCACGAGTTCTCGGCAGCGGGGCGTCTGAGAGCTTCACAAACGATTCCTCGACGGTCGCCAACGCGTTAAGCCGGCTGGAGGCCTGCGAGAAGCGCCTCGAGGTCCGGTTCTCCAGCTCCCTCTCCTTTCGCTTCCTCTCCCTCCTCTTTTGCTTGCGCTCCTCCTTTTCGATCAGGAGCGTCCACCAACCAGCCAGGACGTTGCACTTTTGCGCTAGAACGCTGTCGACGACCGAATCAATATCGACGCCGGCGCTTCGCATCCGGTGCAGCGTCTCCTTCTCTAGCGGCGTCGAGAACGGCTCAGGGCGCTCGAGCTTAAGGATCTCCTGCTGCTGGGGCGCGTGCTCGGCGAGGAACGGGTGCGCTAGGATGTCGGGGAGGGTGGGGCGGAGCAGCGGGCGTTTCGAGAGCAGGCTCTTTAGCAGAGACAGGGCGTCCGGGGGGATGTGGTCGGGGTACTTGGGTTCGTCGTTGAGAATCTTGTTCCTCGTGACGCCGTCATCGTCTTCGTCGAACGGCAGCTCTCCGCAGAGCAGGGCGTAGAGAATGACGCCTAGACTCCACACATCCACCTTTTCGCCGGCATACTTTTCGCCCTTGAGCATCTCCGGGGCCGAGTAGCATATTGTCCCGCAGAAAGTCTGCAGATAGTTGGCTTTCCCCTCGTATTCCCGCGTGAAGCCAAAGTCGCAGAGCTTAACGTTCTCGTGCTTATCGAGGAGGATATTCTCAAGTTTCAGGTCGCGGTGGACGCATGACTGCCGGTGGACGTAGCAAACGGCGCCGACGAGCTGGGTGAAGGTCTTTTGGACTTTCTCGACGGGGAGCTTACCGTGCTGGAGGAGGTAGTTGTACAGCTCGTCGCCTGGGAGGGTTAGGATTGGACTGCATATACTAGATGGCACATACCTGAACAGTACTCCAGGGCCAGCCAGACCAATGATTCCGTCACGATGACCTCGTACAGGCGGGCGATGTGCGGGTGGACGAACTGGCGGTGGTGGTGGATCTCTCGGGCGAGGTTCGAGTCGTCCTTGTTGGCCGATTTGAGGACGACCTAGCATAGGTTAGCAATTAGTATGACACCGCCGGCGAGGGACATCTCAGGCGCACCTTGGACCCGTTTGTAAGTTTGTGGGTGGCCAGGTACACCTTGCCAAACGACCCTTTCCCAATCAGGCGGCCGAGGGTATAGTTTCCGACCGACTTGAGGTCCTTGTTCGAGAATTCGCTACGGGGGCGGTTAGCGGCCGCGAAGGGCAGGAAGTTCCAGCACCGGTCGGTTTCTTACTCGAGGAGCTCTTGGTACGAATGGGCGAGCTAAATGTGCAGGACGGTCAGCGCTCAAGCACAACTAGATATCCCGCCGAAACACAAAACATACCTTGGCCTTGCGCCCAAGGGCCTCGGCTTTCACCTTTGTCGACTGCATCCCTCCTCCGCGGCGGGACGGGGCCCTGTCTTCATCCGCGGGGGTCTCGGGGCGGCTGCTGTCGAGCTGGTGATCTCGAGGTGCCCTCTTTTTGGGCCGTAGTCAATCGACAATTGCGCTCGGCCAAGTCATCAGGGGTGGCGGAGACGGAATCGATGTGGAACGGGGAGCGAGCTCGGAGGGTGGAAAGCCGAGTCGAACTGGCTGGACTCAGGGGAGAATAATTTAATCGCGGCGCAGCGTGAGGATGGATCGTTGAAGTTCGAAGTTCTCGAGGGCTTTGAAATGTCCAGTGCTGTTGTTCTTTTGGCGTTGGCCACAAAATGCCCAAATTGAATGGGAATTACGGGAGACTCAGACGATGGCGCATTCGGGGTTCAGTTTGACGAAGCTGGAGACGCGATTGTGGAAACAGGTCAGGCAGGAGCTCCAAGATTGTTGTCGCGGACCACGGTCCAGTCGGCGCCAGTGGGTTTGCAGATTGGATCCACAGTGGGGTTGCCCCGGATTTAGCGTCTTCTCGGCGCCGTCAGCAGCAGTCAGGAGTTGTGATTTGGGGAGTGCGTTTGACAGTTGGAGATTCCGTAATGCGGGCTAGCCTGCAGGTCCACGGGCATTAACGGTAGTAAACGAAACGGAAACCGTTAAAGAAGTTCTCTGGGTGTTGCTTCCGCGGGCCCGAGTTCATGGCCATCCTTCCAGAAGCAGAAGGCGCCAAGCTCAGGGGCCCAGATCGCCGAGGTTTGATCGGGTGGTCCGTGGCACCCTGGTAGTGGGTCGTCCCAGGCACGGGGCTGTTGTTTTGGGGGTTCTTGAGTCAAGATGCTGCAGCTTGGTGCACGTTCTTGTGTTGTATTCGTAACTATCGTGATGCTTAATCGGTGTTGGTGATATGGGGCTGGCAGAGAGGCAATTTATTAAGCCAACAACCGCATTGATTCGTGGTTTTATGTCGATTAATATCTGTCTTAAGAAAGTCAAGACGAGGATCTCCCAGTTGTAACTTCGGCTCCTTGGGGTATCAGAGTTCAACAAACATGGAACCTCTCCATCATGAAGGTAAACAAAACCAAGAAAAATGCCCTCCTCCCTCTTTGAAGTCCCATTCCACAACCAAAACACCGGACCAAGGAACCTCCCTTTCTCTTCTTCTAACTCAGGCCACGCCCCTTATCCCTCCTCCCCCTCGCCTCTTTTCTCTCTCCCTCTCCCCTTCTCCCACAACACAACCGTCTTCTTCATCCACCCCTCCTCCCATTAAACCCCCTTCTCACACCATACATCATCTCCTCCCGGTTCCCACATCACTCCCTCCATCCCCTCCCCTTTCCCGCATCACCCACCCCATCAACCCCATCATTTCTTCCCTCCACCCCTTTTATCCAAAAGCACCCTCCACTTCCGCGGCTCCCCCAGCACCTCAAACGCCCTCTCCCTCCGACTCCTCCACACCCTCTCCCCCCCACCACCACCACCACCCCCTTCAACACCACCCCCCCCCTCTCGATCATCATCCCCCCACTCCAAATCCATCCTCCCCAACCGACTCTCATCACTACTAAAACTCCCCCCACTCCCACTACTACTACTACTACTCAAACTCCGCCTCATAACCATCCTCACCCCACCCCCCTCCCGTTTCTTCACCTCCACCTGCCCCTTCTTCATCTCAGCCAGCCGCTCGTCGGCGCAGTGCATGGTGACGACGTCGATTCCGGGAAGGTTGCGGGCGAGGAAGGCTTGCAGGTGGGGGAGCACGGATTGGTCTGGGCGGTAGGTGCCGGAGTCGTTGTCGATTGTGAGGCGGTAGAGGTGGGGTTGGGGTGGGGGCGGGGAGGAGGGCGGGCCGCCTGGGGGGGAGTGCGGGGGGTGGGTTGGCGGGGTGGTGGTGGGGGATGTTGGGTCGGGGGATGATGGGTTGGGGGATGTTGGGTCGGGGGATGATGGGTTGGGGGAGTCAGTGCTAGGTGTTGGGTTGGGGGAGTTGGGGGATGGGTCGGGGGAGGTAGGGGCGCTGGTGGGTGGCCCAGAGGAGGTGTGGTTGCTGGAAGATGGCTCCGAGTCGTGGTTGTTGGATAGCGCTGAGGCCTGTTTGCTGGAAGACGGCGCAGACTCGTGGCCGTCGACCGGGTGGGCGAGCCGGCGGATAAAAAACTCCCCAGAACACGCAATGTAGGTCGCCACGTCCGAGTGCATGGTATGCTTGCTCAGCATGTCGATGCCGAACTCTTTGCCCGTCTCGGTGAAGCGCATCATGCCGTCAAGAGTCAGAACGTACGTAAAGATGCGGCCGCCCTCGTCAAAGTGGGCCATCCGCAGGAACTGGAGGGACGCCTCTTCACTGCAGGGCGGGAACGAGCCGTACTCGGTGCCCGAGTCGAAGTTGTAGATGCGGCTGTGCTGCTTGTGGAGCACCTTGTTCAGGATGCGCCCGCGCAGGCCGCTCGACGAGAACATGCGGCCGATGATGGGGCGGAACTCGACGTAGCGGTGGTAGAGCTCCGGCGGGACGGGGCCCGAGAGCTGAATCTCGTTGGCTTGGAAGCTGGGCTACCGTTAGTATTTGACTCCCTGTTCGACTCCACGAGAAGAAGACATACTCGTATTTCTTCGTCCGCCGTTGGTCACTCTCAACCTCACCATCATGCGACGCCGCGTCCTCTTCCTCGTCCCGATTCACCCTGACGCCCGCCAACCGCCCAATCATGGGACTGTAGTGCTTCACCCAGGTGGTCGGCCCCACGGTGTACATCTGGGCATGTGGCGGGTCCGACTTGCCCAGTACCCGAATGCTAATGTGTAACCGCGGGGTCATACTGTGATCCCAACACACGGCTGCGGTTGCGGCGTGGAAGAGGTAGGCGCGCTTGCTGCCGGAGCGCTTCTTGACCTGGTACACGCAGCCGTCCGGGCCGAGACCGTCCCAGTTCTCATCGACGTGGGGGATCCGGATGGTGACGTTTCCGAGGCGGTCGTCGTGGTCCGGCCAGTCCTCGTCGTAGAGGCGGCACTTGAGCGAGAAGCCCGACGCGGGCACGTTGGCCACGACCCAGTCCTCGTCCCAGACCGGCTCGGTGGTGCGCCGTATCGTCCGGGTGCGGCGGGTGAGGGACGGGTCTTCCTTGTGGCGCTTGGGGACGGATGCCGTCAGGGTGGCGTGGATGAAGGGGTCCGACGACCTGAGGTGGAGGTCGGCAACCGGCAGGTTGTAGGCGCGGTGGAAGGTGAACTTGACGGTATATCCCTGGGGAGCGTCCGGTAGTGGAGTAGAGTCGAAGCCGCCGGGCGGTTTGGACATCCTCTTGAGCTGCTCCTTTCTGTCGCGGAGCTTCACCTTCTTCTCCTTGAGCTTGTCGCGAAGCTCGCTGGTTCGCGCGGGGCGGAGATGCTTGCTGTCGCGGCGGGGCGCCTCTTTACTCTCCTGAGTTTCGCCATTGCAATCCGAGTTGGGATGAGCGGAACCGTTTGCTGGAGGGTGGCCCGTATCGGAGGTGTCCGCCGTGGCCGGGCCTCCGTTCGGCATCTTGACGAGGGACTCGTGGTGAGGCCTCGGGTTGGTGAGGCCCTGGAGAATGCGCAAGCAAGAGATCGGCCAAATGAAAAATAACAAACGTGGGTCTCGGTAGTTATTTCCTCTGGAGCTCAGGGCGATATGGAGACCGGACGATGCCAAGATGTACCGAGTCGTCTCCGGCGGGTACAATGGGTCGGCCCAGGGGGATCTGCCGGAGTCGTCCTTGAATAAAGTGGACGCGCAGCTCCCAGTCTCAAGCAGAATCTCGGACCGCGAAATGTCACCGACCCGAAACCATCCAGACAGACGGTGTTCAATCGGGAGAGAACTGTGCTGTCGGCAAGGAGTTACAGCCGCAATTGCCGCGCTGCCGCCCGCTGCTTGCTGGCTGCAGGCAATACCACGGACATAATCTGTACGAGAATTGAACTCAGAAGAGGAAACTCAATTGCTCTGCCCGCGTTGCATTCGCGGCTGACGGCGGCCGAATGTGACGTCACGCGGAAGGCTTGTTCGGATTTGGCTCCGGCCTTGGCATGAACTCTGTCAACGACATATTTTTTGATAGGGGTTGGGGGAGAGCAGAGAACACTGTCGTGGCGGAGCTCTTATTGTCGGGCTTGCAAGGAAGGTCCCAGGTCGTGATGCCGGAGCCGTTATCTCCGAGATGCAAAAATGAAGGCAGTGTGGACAGGTTCGAGGCAGGAAGGTGTTAAGGTATTCCAACGTGCTTTCCATGTTGTTGGATTCCGCCGGGTGGTGCCTGCCCGTCTTGTGGCACTAAAATCCCTGAAACATTAGCAGTCAGTCGTGAATTCCGACACTACCGTACCTTAGGTAAAGTACCTTACCTATTGCTGTGAGCGGTTCTCTTAGGTTCGAACATGGGATGTTCTTTGCCACATCAGCGGATCGTCAGCCCGAGGCCTACACATATTCCCTTTTGGACGGCAAGCGTTGTAGTAATGCGCCGGAAACATAACTATAATCATTCCCAAACAGAAGCATTGAAGTCCCTATTTGTATCAAATGTATCCAGCACTGCCTTTTCTGGGCCCGTAGCAACTCCTGAATTCTCACACCCCCTTGGCCGAAGCATCAGGATTCGGTTGTTCACTAAATGTTCCTAGGGACGCCGCGGGTCATCCGAACCTTCAGAAGGCGCAAGCTGCCAATGCCGCTGCGGGTTATCCGAACCTGAAGAAGTCACACGCTGCCCAAGCCGCCGCGGGTTATCCGAACCTCCAGAAGGCATGGGCTGCCCAACCCGCCGCGGACGGGTGCTGGAAGGATGCACGACGGAGTCTCGGCCCTCGCATCACCAGGCCTGCACCACAAAGACCCCTGGCTTCGAAGGCTAACTCTTGGCCTCCCATGCCGACTCCTTGCGGCGTATTCTTCTGGGTTGCGTTGCTGGCCGGGCCGGGCGGCGCGAGCTGCATTCTTGAGAGCAAGACACCCTCCGCGCTCTTTCGAAGCTGGTGGCTGACTGCCACCTCGTTCTTCAGAAACTAGGTGACTTGAGCAGGATCCAAACCTCCGACGCCTCGCCTCAGGGGCCCGGTCATGTCCAGAATCAAATCTTGAAACCCTACCCAATGGCTGGCCGAATCATCAGAGGCTTGGCCAAAACCTCGTGGAGCTTGTGGTGGCGGTCTGGATAGCCTCTGTGGAAACGCACCGGCCGCGGGCCGCCTGCTTGGATGTTGACCGCCTGTTAAGGCGATTTCCGACACCTGGATGAGCTGGCCACCAAAGCAATGCGCTAAATACGCTCAATATATCACCGTGAATGGCGTGCGGTGGGTACGATGATGGTCATCCAGTGACCGCCTGGTGATTGCGGCGAGTGAAGAGGACGTTCGGTCTCTGCTGCGAGTGTTGTCGGTACCCACCGAGGAGAACGCCCCATTGGAAAAGATTAAACGTCGATGGGAATGAGATAGGTATTGGAGGGCCTTATTCCGGGATGCTGAGGAACGTCGGAGTGGTAGTGGTTGTTGGTTGGAGATGAGTGGGAGGGAGGGGAATGTGTGTGACATAAGGGGTGTGTGGGAGAGCGGAGGCCCAGTTTTGAAGTCGAGGGTGGGAGAAAGGAGTATGGCCTGGCAGAAAGAAAGGCACCACGGGTTTTGTGGCTGACTGGTTCCCTTTAGCGCGCTGGTTGGTGAGCTTTCACTGTCTGTTTATATAACTCGAGAGTTGCAGACACCGAACTTGTGGAGAGTACGGGATCACCACCACGACTTGGAAATTTTGGAATAGAGTCCACACGAAAGAGGCACTATATCAGAGTAAAATAGCCTATTGGTCTGCCTGCTTCAATATGTACCCTACCGGTATCCATCTCCCGGGTGCGCCTCAATAACTACACTCATCCCTCCCCCTCAGAACCCACAACACGGTCATCTTCCCAGCCTATGTACGGCGGTTATGGTACCTCGCCCAAAATCACGCTATAACCCTCCCCTGTTCGGCCGCCGCCCACCCCTCACACTCCAACACCAGCGGCCCCCCAGACACACCACTAGCGTCCAAGCTAACAGTGACCTTCCCCCGATCAGCCACCACACACACCGTCTCGCCCAAATTCCTAAAATCCGTCTCACACTGCCCATACCCACCGCCACTCCCACTCCCACTCCCATCCCTCACCCCATCACGCCCGCCATCAGGACTCTTATCCCCAACCCCCCCACTACCCCCCTCACCACCAACCTCCCGAATCTCCACACCCGGAAACGGCAAATACCCCTCCCGCAACGGCACCAACACAACCGGAATCTCCGCCTCCGTCTCCACCGTCGAGCTCATTCCCACCCCGCCACCTTGACCACCATCCCCATCCCCACCCCCACCATCACCATCACCCCCATCAGAAGAACCACCACCAGCAGCAGCAAAAGAAGAAGAAGACCCCACAGCCGGAATAACAAAATGCCCCTTCCTCCTTCCCCCCACAAGCCACGTCTCCGCCCCCGCCACAATCTCATACACAAACTCCAGATCCCGATCCCTCGCCGCCACCGCCTGCTCCCCCCCACCCACGACGGCGGGGGTATCAGTATCCCACAACCGCGTCCATTTCAGATGCAGCGTCGCGGGCAGGAGCTGGTTGAGCAACACCGTGGGACAGCCCCCTCCATCCTCATCATTGTCATCGCCGTCGTGGTGGGTGGTGGATGCTGTGAGGGAGGGTAGGGGGCGGTGGAGGCGGATGTCGGCTGTGTGGACGACCGAGACGGGGGGGATGTCGACGGGGATGAGGATTGTGGTGGCAGAGGCGAGATTCGGGGGCTGGGGTGTTGTTGTTGTTGTTGTTGTTGTTGTGAGGGGGAGGGGGAGGGTGGGGTGGGTGCGCAGCCAGGCGCGGAGGAAGGCTGGCAGGGTGGGGGTGGTCTTTTGGGGGGTGGGGTGGTGTTGGGTAGGCCCCAGGCTGGGGAGGTGTTTCTCCCAGGGGATGGCGGACAGGAAGGTCGTGGGCAGCTCGCCGAGGAGGGTGGCTTTCTCGAGGTCATAGGCGGAGAGCCCCTCGCGGACGCTGCGGAGGACGGTGGAGATGAGGACCTTGGAGAATTCTTTGAGGGGGGTGGTTGCGAGGGCGGTGATGAGAGCTTGGGAGAAGAGCGCGGCGATCTCGTCTTGGATGACGCTGTAGTGCAGCTTGAGGTAGAGGGTCTTCTTGGCCTTGGGGTCGAGCTTTGACCCGGGCTTGCGGGTGATCTTGTACAGGAGGCTGGCCGGTTGTTTTGGGAACACCATGACGGGATGGCTCGACGGCTGTCCAAAGTGGGACTCGAATAGGTCGGACCCGATCAGCTCGCTCTTGAGCAGCCGCAGCGGGCTGTCACTGGCAGTCGACACGGCGAACCTCGAGAAGAGGGCCTCGTGCTTGAAGATATCCTGCACGTTGACCTCGAGCGCGAGCGAGATAGGCACCGACGATGCCTTGAAGAAGGTGAAGCTGCCCTTCTCGGTTGTGTATGTAACCTCCGCTCGGACGGCCACGTCGAGCACGTCGTGCTCCACGGTGAACGGAAACCGGATCTTGACGGAGCTGTTCGCTTCCATGGCGCCAAACGTGAATGCGCCGCCCTGCGAGTTTGTTGGCTGCGGCGACCCAATGACCTCGGCCTCGCTCATGACCATCCGCAACCCGCCAGTGGCAGACTTAATCTTGACCTCGCAGGATGTGATCTCGTTCCACCCGGTAGACACCTCGAGGTCCAGTGACTTCTTCTTATCCAGCTGCAGCTCCTCGGCCGCCAACAGCTGTACATCAAGGCAGCTTGCCCGCTGGTATAAGTTAACGCGTGGGTTCTTCAGACCCGCCGAGGCCTTATCCGTCGGCTGGTAAATGTCCCGCTCGTAATGAAACAGCACTTTGTTGCTGGTCAGGCGGACCTGATCCACCTCAAAAGCCCCCTCCATCATGACGGTGCTCTGGACCTTGACCTTGTTCGGGCCGGGCCGGATGGTGACGGAGCCCTTGGTCTGCAGCCAGATCTCCTTGTTCCCCCCGGTGGGACTCGAGATGCGCAAACTGACCGAGCTGGCCTCGAATTCGTCCACCAATAAACTATGGAGATCAAAAAACAAGGAGAAGCTATCCTGGCCCTCGTCATAGAACGGGGGACCATCAAGGCCCAAGTCACAGAACAGGCTCGTCAACGGGACCCTGACGTCTTTGTCGAGCGATGTCGACACGTCCAGCAGATCGGCGAGGAAGCCGGATATGGCCGAGGTTTCGGGATACTGCGTGGCGGACTCGAGACCGAGGCGGAACTTTGACTTTTGCTGCCGCTTGTCTCGCTCCGCGGCGGCCGCCTTGCACAACAGCTGCCGCAGCGCCTTGTTGACGTAGTCGTCCAGCCTCTTGAGCTCCTTCAAACAGCGCGCGTACATGACGAGCATGGACAGCTCGAGGAGGCTCCACCCGCTCTCGCCGTAGAAGGGGATGACGCGGTAGAAGTAGAAGGCGGCCTCGTTGAACTCGGCCAGGTGGAACTTGAGGACAGCGAGGTCGGCCATGCTGGCCTGGACGGAGTGTATGTGGTTGGCCACCGTGTAGTGACGCAGTGCCTTATCAATCAGCGTCTCGTACAGGCGGTAGAAGTCGTCCTTGTTGTCCAGGGCCGCCCGCAGGAGCGTGTTGTCCACGCCGGCCACCGAGGTTTGCAGCCTCTCGGGCGCCTTCTCCTTCGGCTCGGCCTGGTCGTCGTCCAAACTGACCTCATCCATGTCGGCGATGTCGGTCTCGCCCACGGTAGGGACAGCAGCCCAGCCGTTAGTCCAGCCCCTCTTTTTGCCGCACTCCTCGAGGATGTTTCTGGACAGAGCGCAGAGCTCAGCTCTCTGGGCCGCGAGCTCCTCGAGACCGGACTTGAGATAGGGAGGGGGAAGCGCGTCCTCGGGACGGGTGGCGCCAGGGAAGCCGACCGGGCTGCGCGGCGGGAGTTGAGAGCCTTGGCTGTGCAGCGACGAGCTTCTTGCGGGGTGCATCATCGTTTTCGGCTCCGGTATCGCGGCCTTTTGCTCGGTATGCTCGGGCGTGCCGAGGGTAGACGGCGGGATGGGGAGCGCCTTGGTGGATGTCTGAGCGAGGATTTGCTGGGCAATGGAGAAGGCAAACGAGGCGACCATGTTGTCGATGACCTCTGATAGAAGAGGGTCGAGGGAGACTTGGGGTTCGGCCTCGCCTCCCTCGGCCTTTTTAGCGGACGCCATCGCGGCTACGATGTCCGCCCTCATGACTGCTGACACGGCGGGGACAAACTCGAGCGTTCGTTTGCAAATTTCAGCTAGATGCGAAAGGTTCTCGGACTCCTCAGTCACCTTCGGCGCGGGCGCCCTCGGAGCAACTCCCTTGGGGACCAACTCTTGTTGCTCCTTCAGCTTGGCCAGAAGCTCCTCCCGAGACGACCACGCATTGGCCAGCCGGAGAAGCACGGCAATTTGACGGGAGAATATGTAGCACCTGAAATCGAGGAGCGAGACATTGTTCGCCAAGATCAGGTCCCGGTACAACTTTTTGGTTGAGCTAATGGGAATGCTGTCGTTCTCGACCCGCTTCTTCTCCTTGGACTGAAGATCGACGGCCTCACTCTCGTCGAACTCGAGATGTCCGCCGGCGATCTCGGCCATGGCCTTCTGCGCGAGTTCCTTCAGGTCCTCGGTGTAGGTGAGCAGGGCACCGCCGTGTGCCTCGGCAGCGCCCCCGGCCGCCTGCGCCTGCATGATGTTGTCCAACCCGAGACTCAGCTCGTCGTACATGACCAAAGCGTCCTCGACCAGGCCGACGCTCTCGAAGCCACGGGCCAAGCCTTCCTTGAGGATGAAAAAGGTGCAAAAGTTCCAACCCGGAAGGCTCCTCTGGGCATCCCTCTCTTTAATGTCCTCCTCATACTGGGTGACGCGGCGGTCGAAGCTCGATAGGATGAGCTCCTTGAACTTGGCAATCAGGTCGGCCCACGCATTGTCGGCGTCTTGCTCGTTCTCGGTGTATCCCGTGGGCACAGCCGGGACAACGCGCGGCAGCATGTTATACGGCACGTCGTTGATGCCAATGCGGATCTGCCGTATCCGGTCAGGGGCGCCCTTGGTGGAGCCGTTGAAGTCGGCGCGCAGCTTCTCCAGGAGGGTGCTCGACCCTCCACGCCACCGGGATGCGGTCTTCGCATCGGAGCCCGAGTCCGGTGCTTTGCCGGAGATGCGGGGCTGCGTGGCGGCCGTCGAGTTTGGGAGCACGACGTGGATGATGAGCCATTCGCAAGCGTCGTGGTTCTCGGCACTGCCCGTCTTCCCCTGGGTGCCCGTCGTGTTCGTCTTGATCCACTCGCGTATCTCGGCCCTGGTGGTCGACTTGTACGTGTCATTGTCGTCGCATCTCAGCAGCAGAACTTTGAGGTACGGCGTCCTGCGCAAGCCGGGGATCTGGTGGCGCCGCTCCTTGGTGGCCCCCCCTGCCGGCGGGTGTAGTGTCCCGGCTGTCGCACCTCCCTGCTGCTCTGTCGACCCCGTCCGCCCGCCGACGGTTGCTGTCTGAAAGCCATCGTCACTCTTGGTCGGGGCGGTCTCGGTCGTACCCGGTGTTGGGGGGTTTGGAGAAGCGAGGGGAGTGAAGATGCCGGAGTAGTCGACGCCGGCGGGAACGAGTTCGGCGTGGAGGGTGCTAATCGAGCGTAGCGGGCCTGCGTGGGACTGCCAGTTGAGGTCGCGCAGCGGGAGTCGAGGGATCAGCCCTGGCGCAAGAAGCTTGTAGACATCGTAGGGATCGAAGTACTCGACTAAGAGACGGGGAGTGTTAATTGGAACGGATGGGGGTTCATTAAAAGGGACAATGCAATACCTGTCACTTTGGATGACGAAAATGGCTGTTCCATGCTGAACAGCGCGGTGGTCTATGGCATGACCTCGTCGAAGCCGTTCGAGCTGTTGATGGAAATAGAGCCAGCGAATGACAATATTGGGAATGGCAGATGGCACATCCATGGATGGTGCCCGAAAGGTGCGTACATGCACTCACCGCCTACGGGACGATGCGGACCCCTAGCATGCTGCCTGCAACCCCACGTGCCAGATGCGGGACGCCTTTGCCCCTGGCAGCGACCCCACCATAGATCCCGTCAGTGGCGGGGCATGTCGCGATCTCAGGGACCGAAGAGACATTTTTATTTTGCAACAGCCTTTCTCTGTCGGGTACAAAGAAGGAGAGAGTTTGTTAATCTTTGAGATCTCCCCTTGGCCTTTTCGGTTTACTTTTTTGTTCGTTTCAACCTAATCTTCTGACAAATAATTAAGTTCCCAGTCATGGCAACTCTCGAAGCGATCAAGTATTCGCGGGGCAAGTTGTTAGTGCTCGACCAGCTGCGACTACCCCACGAACACCACTACGATGAGGTGTCGACCGCCGAGCAGGCCTTTGACTGCATCCGGTCGATGAGGGTTAGAGGTGAGTTTACACACATGGACGATCGGCGACTATTTTGGTTCTGACTGTATTTGCAGGCGCACCCGCCATCGCTCTTGTTGCTGCTCTCGCTCTTGCGGTTGAGTTGCATAACGGGGCCTGTTGTGAGTGACCCTGACTGAGCATGGCGCAAAATACCATACGAAGCCGGCCTTAGCAAACCTGAGCCAACCTCTGACAACCCATATCAGACAAAACAACAGGAGATGAAACCATCGACTACATCAAATCCCGCCTCGACTACCTTAAGGACAGTCGCCCAACCGCCGTCGACCTCTCCAATGCCATCGACCTCCTCAAGGCGGTCGCGCGTGATGCCAATGACGACGCCCTCCCCCCGCCCAAAGCTAAGGAGGTCGTCCTGAACGCGTACACCGAGGCCGCTGAGAGACTTCTCGCCAAAGACCTCGAGAACAACCGGTCCATCGGGTCCCACGGCGCCGCCTGGCTGCAACAGCAGTACAACGCCTCCCCCAACCGGCCACTGTCAGTCCTCACGCACTGCAACACAGGTTCGCTCGCAACCTCAGGCCACGGCACGGCGCTGGGCATCATCCGCAGCCTACACTCCCAGCAACTCCTCAAGCACGCCTACTGCACCGAGACGAGACCCTACAACCAAGGCAGCCGGCTGACGGCGTTCGAGCTGGTCTTCGAGGGCATCCCCGCGACGCTGGTGACAGACAGCATGGCGGCGGCGCTGTTCGCGCTGCACCGGGAGCGCATGAACATCGGCGCGGTGGTGGTCGGCGCCGACCGCGTCGTCCGCAACGGCGACACGGCCAACAAGATCGGCACTTATGCGCTGGCCGTGCTGGCCCGCCACCACGGTGTCAAGTTTGTGGTGGCTGCCCCGACGACTAGTATTGATCTTGAGACGGAGAGTGGGGCGGGGATTAAGATCGAGGAGCGCAAGGCTGAGGAGCTTACGCAGATCACGGGCGCGGTGGTGAATGCGGATGGGAGTGTTGACACTAGCCGTACTGCGAGGGTGGCTATTGCGGACCAGAGGATTGGCGTGTGGAATCCGGCGTTTGATGTGACGCCGCACGACCTGATAGACGCCATTGTTACTGAGAGGGGGGCGGTGGTGAAAGGGGGGGACGGCAAGTTTGACTTTAAGCAGGTGCTGCCGGAGAGGTGGCGGTGGTAGGGACGTTGCGGTACTCCGTAGTTGTGACACTTCATTTGCAACCGCGCGTATTGGTCTGCATTATGTCTCTGTTTCCAAGTGCTGGAGGGCCGGATTCACCTGCGAAGGACGTGCTGAACAGCTCCGGACAAATCTCTCCAGGCACAGCAATATCGTGTTGAGCCTGAATCATTAAGACGGTCAGGAATCACTCAGGCAAGCATGGGTTTTGTCACATCTCTCTAATCGTCGCGACGGGAAAATTCCGAACAGCGGGTGATTTAACTATGTTGAAGTTGGGAGATGCCATCTGGTATTGGAAACCCTCGAGTTGGTGTATACGGTAGGGATTGCGAAGTACCGTAAAGTTAAATTCTTAGGATTGATAGCTGTTTGAAACTCCGTAGCCCCCTGACGATAATATCAACGATTTCCTGGCCGATTGATTAACCCTCCGTACGCGCCTGCTCTTGGGCAAAATCATTTCTTGGCTCAGCTATTAAACCTCCGTACTCAAACAACGACCCCTGCCAAAGAGCTTGGCTTTGCTGCAGCTTGGATGACCTCATCACACCGCAAAGGTGCTCAATTGAAGCTCATTTCATTGTAACCTCATCCTCAACCTCACTTACACATCCTCAACCCCAACCCAATTGATCCGCAGAAGACTCAAAATGAGGCTCACAACTCCGCCCTTGTTGCTTCTCAGCACACTGGGCACCCAAACCTTCGCATTCCTCAATCCCGACACGGAACAGCACCCACTCGCCCACCATCAACATGACAATGTCCTTAACGGTCTGGACCGTGTCGCCAGCGACGATGATGTCCCTTCATACCGCGTCCCCCTCCTCTCCCTCCACCGCGCCCTCGTCGACGTCCCCTCCATCAGTGGCACCGAAAACGACGCAGCGTTCCTCCTCGGACAAGCCCTAACTGAACTCAACTACACCGTGTCCCTCCAACCCCTCCCCTCCACCTCCACCACAGAGAACCCGAACCCCCAACCGCGATACAACGTGCTCGCCTGGCCCGGCCGCGACGCCCGCCGCACCCTGCACAACCGCACCCTCATAACCTCCCACATCGACGTCGTCCCGCCCTACCTCCCCTACGCGCTAGACCACACCCCCATCCCGCCCTCCCACCCCGTCAACTTCACCACCCTCCCCGCCACCACCCTCGTCTCCGGTCGCGGCTCCGTCGACGCCAAAGCCAGCGTCGCCGCCCAAATCACCGCCACCACCCTCCTCCTCACCTCCAACACCATCCCCCCGGAAAGCATCGTGCTCCTCTACGTCGTCGGCGAAGAAACCTCGGGCGACGGCATGAAGCACTTCTCACAAACTCTCACCACGGGCCACCCGCCCTCGGACGACGCGCCCGCGAACCCCACCCCGCAGTTCCACGCCGCCGTCTTCGGCGAGCCCACCGACAACCGCCTCGCCTGCGGCCACAAGGGCATCACCACGGGCACGCTCACCGCGACGGGCCGGGCGGGCCACTCGGGTTATCCCTGGCTGGGGCGGTCGGCGACGGCCGGGTTGGTGCACGCGCTGGAGGCGTTGTTGGCGGCCGATCTGGGGTCGAGTGAGAGGTATGGGAACACGACGGTTAATGTGGGGGTGCTGGAGGGCGGGGTGGCGGCGAATGTGATTGCGGCGGAGGCGAGCGCGCGGTTGGCGGTGAGGATTGCCGTGGGGGAGAGGAGGACGGGGAGGGGGGTTGTGGAGGGGAGGATGAGGGATGTGTTGGCGGGGGTTGAGGGGGGGGAGGGGTTGGGGTTGGAGTTGACGGGGGGGTATGGGCCGGTGGAGTGTCGGTGTGAAGTTGAGGGTGAGTCTTTTTTTGAGTTTACTTGTTTTGGTGTTGGGCTTTTGGGGGGGTTGCATTATGTTTGTTTTGGAAGAGTGAGAGCTAACCACCGTGACAGGGTTCGAGACGATGGTCGCCAACTACGGGACCGATGTGCCGAATCTAGAGGGGGAGCATGTCAGCTACCTGTACGGGCCGGGCAGTATCCTAGTGGAGCATGGGGATGACGAGGGGTTGACGATCGGGGATCTGGAGGAGTCGGTGGAGGGTTACAAGCGGCTGATCAAGTACGCGGTGGAAGCTTCGTGATACCATTTTGATTCAACAGCGAATAGACAGCCATTCAGCGCTGAGTGACCATAGATATACTTTAATCCTACCAGTCACCACCCTACCGTACTCAACCACGCCGGTTTCGCCCCCCTCATCGCCAGCCCCATATCAACAGCCCCCTTCGCCAACTCCGCGCCCTGCCCCCGGCCCGCCTCCACCAACGCGGCCCTCGCCTTCTCAATAACCCGCACCGTAGCGACCGGCACGGCGAGCGCACAATCAAACTCCGCCAACCCCGGCTCGCCCATAACAGCCAGCGCAGCCAAGCCAAAACAGCCGTGGTACACGTCGGGCGGCCCGCCGGGGTGCTTGCTGAAGCCGCCGATGCGGTGGGCCATCTTGTCGAGCAGGAAGCGCCGCGACGCCGGCCAGTCCACCAGCTCGCGCCGCCCCAGGTTCGCCAGCGCCGCGCCCACCCACCACGTGTAGCACGTGTCGGCCACCTTGTTGCACCGCCCGTTGCACGCCACGTGCCGCTCGGCGGCGGGCGAGAGGGAGAGGTCGGCGAGCCGCGCGGGGAGGAGGAAGTTGTCTTCGTCTTCTTCTTCTTCGGTGTCGTCGGGGTTGCCGGGTGGTGGTTCGAGGTAGACAAACTGGCGCGAGGCGAGCCAGTGTAGGAGAGCGGGCATGTTGCGGATGCCCGAGTGTAGGATTTTGTTGGGGTGAAAGGGGGTGCTGTTTGTTAGGGGGCGGTCCAGCAGAGAGAGCGCGGCGATGGCGCAGTAGGCGTAGCCGGCTGGTAGAGTTAGTAGACAAGCCGCCTAAAAACAGGCAGGGGACGCATACCATGGGGTTCCTCTTGCGAGCTGCCGGCAAACCCGCCGTCGTAGGTCTACCAAGTCAGCCTCACCCACACACCCACAACTTAAGAAATGCCATGACAATAACGCACCTGACTCCCCAAAATATACCGCTCCAACCCGACCGTATCCCAATCCTCCACCCACCCCTCCCCCCCCTCCGTCACATCCCCCCTCAACATCCACCGCACCGCCACCGCAATATAACAATACCGCATATCATACCCGCCCCCAATAAACCACCCCTTCCCCGGCATCCAGCTCACCCCCTCCCCAAAACTCCCATCCCCCCTCTGCAACCGCCGCAGCCACCGCAAAGTCTGCACGCGATCCACGCCCTCAAACGCCCGCGCCGCCCCCTCCTCCCCCTCATCCGCCAGCAGCGCCAGCAGCTGCAGCGCGAACAGCGTCGCGGGCAGGTTAGCCACGGCTGTTCCCGTGGTCCCGCCCTCGCTTGCGCCCGTCTCGGCCTCCCACGCTGCGGATCCGCCGCTGCTGGGTGTTGTGGTGGGCGGGGAGAGGAGGGTGGATGACGGCGCGAAACCGCCGCCGGGTTGCTGGTGGGAGAGGACCCATTGGCGGAGGCGGCGGTGCTCGGTGGGGGGGAGTAACGGGGGTTTTGGGTTTGGTGAGGTGGAAGGTGTGGTTTCTGTTGGGGCGGGGGTGAGGATGCGGATGGAATTGACGATGAAGTAGGCGAGGGTCATGCGCACGCCTTCGTTGGAGAGGTAGTGGTTGGGTAGCGGGGCTTGCAGGCACATCTTCCAGTATTTGAGGTGCCGGTCGATGTCGAGCGTGGGCTCGGCTTCGGGCTCCATGGGATGGTCTGGGTCGTCGCCCATTGTGGTTGTGTAGCTGTAGATGGGGTTATGATTATGGTCGTGTAAGGGTGGGCAGTTGTGGTGATGGTTGTGAATTGTGGTTGTGTTTAATGTCGTGCGCTGAGAGAATTGGGGTTGAGGTTTGATTTCTTTACAGGTCCAGTTGGTTACCTCATCAGCGTCACATGTAAGTTTAAGTTTTGTCTCATTCTTGCGGGAAGGTGAGATTCAACCCTTCGGGCAGCTTCATGAAAGTCAGGAGCTCATCAGCTTAACCTGGTGGAGCTCAGGAATGCCCCGCCATGCTACCCCGGTCCCGACGTTGCAGTGAGGCAGCTCCAGCCACAGACTGGGCGTCAGGACAAGCATTGATCGTGGCTGGTGGACCACCAGTGAAAATGCAGGGCACCCAATCACACAACCCTGCCTATCGGGCCGTGATCGATAAGGCATCCATGTGAACCCCGGGCCAGCCCGTCTGCTTGCGCGTGCTTTGGACAAAGTAGGAAGGAACCTGTCGAAAACACCAACGCCGGGTCCCTTCTGCCTCAGGTCACCAGGACTCGATGTGGGATGCCAGCCCCATGACCACGGCGAACACATAGACCAGCCGAACCCCCGAAACCTCCATTCGAGTCCCACCTTGCAGTCCCTTTTTCACGAACCACGCCGTATCCCGACCGCCATCCCATCCCTCGCCGCCCTGCCGCTGCCGCTGCCGCAGCTGCCGCATTTCAGCTCCCAGGCTTCCTGAGAGCTGTCTCCCGTCTCCTCTCTCTCTTCGCAACTAGAACTTGCACCTCCAAGTCGCACCTAATGTCAACCACCGCCTGATTTCTACACAACAACAACCCCGACAACCCGAACAACCGCAACCATGGCGCTCATATCCGCCAAAACGATCCTCACCTCCCTCTGCTTCTTCCACATCACCCTCGCCTTCTTCTTCCTCACCAACCCAGGGACGGTGGCCGACCAACCGATAGTCCAGCTCCTCGGCGAGTCTATGGGCCTAGTACGTCCCAATTTTTACCCATACGTTCCTCTACCCCTGAGTTCTCGATCAGCAACTAACCACCAACCCGTCACAGCCAAACTCCCGCTCTTTCGAAACGTCCTCGCCCGCCCTAGGCTTCCTCGCCGTCATCCTCGCCTTCCTCGGCATAACCGACCTCGTGACGCTCTCCCTCCCGGACGAGATCTGCCTGATCCACTACTGGGGAATGCAAGGTACGCCCTCCCTTCCCTCCCTGCCATAACCCACCCACCCACACACCACTAACACACACAAACAAAACCAGCCCCCCTCCGCCTAACCCTAACCTTCCTCCTCTCCGTCTACTCCTTCTTCTTCTCCGCCTCCTCCCCGCTCTTCTACACCGCCGAACCCCACAACACCTCCACCACCCCGGGGGGCTCGGCCTCCTCCTCCTCGAACCGGTTCCAGCACCCCTCGGTCCACCGCGCGGCCAACAACCCGGGGTACGCGCCCTCGACCTGGGGCGGCGACGCGCTCAAGAACCGCGTTTTCTTTACCTTCATGTTTGTCGAGACCATGAGCTGGTTCTGGGTGTGGGTTACGCTGCAGGAGGAGCGGCGGGATTTGCTGACGAAGCGGGCGAGGCGGCGGAGTTCGAGTTCGGGGGCGGTGTATCAGTAGGGAGGATTGAGCACTAGATATAGAGGGGGTTGTGGTCGGGGAATGGGGGGTTTCTCATGGTTCTTTTTAATACGGTTGGGGGGGTTCCTTTGGGAGCCCTCTAGTGGATGCCGTCAATTGATGGCATTTCGTCTTCTTGGAATATGTGACGGGTCGGACGGGATGATTGATACCAGCATAGCGGGCATGTGCAGGGCATTGGATGGGCAGAGTTGAGCAGCCAGCATTGCGTGTATTGTATTGCATTTCCTGCCATTTTCCAGTCCCGTCCATCTACATATTTTCTCTTCCGCCCCGTACCCCCTTCTATCATCGTAGAACCTTTCCCCACCGCCACCGAGATCTCGTTCTGATACAGCACTTCGTCCTCAACACACCCTGATCAGTGTCTCCCGTCACATCCTAAACCAACTACCATCCATCAGTATCCCACCCAGGCCAACTACCAAGTCCATCAGTACCACCTCAAACCAACCACCCGGTCATATAACCACATGTCCTACTCCATCCTCACCATCCCCCACCCCTTAACCCCCTCCCTCCAACTCTCCACCACCTTCCCAGCCCACTCCTCCGCGCCCGCCCTCCCCCCAACAACCTCCTCCACCGCCTTGCCCACCACACCCACACCCACACCCACACCCCCACCCCCATCCCCCTTATCACCACCCTCCCCCCCCTCCGGAAGAACATCCCCCTCCTCCGGAAAAACAACCTCCAAAACCCGATCCATCCACCCCGCCTCCCCCAGCGCCTCCTTCAGCCTCAACACGCACCCGCGCGCCTCGCCCAGCGCCTTGCCCGCGGCCGCGTCCAGCGCGCGCATCTCGGCCAGCGCGTCGCGGTGCACGCCCGACCGCCCGCTGCGGTCGCGCGCCAGCTCGCGGTCGTGCGCCGCCGCGACGAAGGCGGCGCTGTGCCGTACCGCGAGGGCCGTGTCGCGGATGGAGGATAAAATGGGGAGGGAGGTGAGGGCGGGGTAGGCGGTGGTTGTTACGGGAGTGGGGGTGGTTGTGGTTGTGGTTGTGGGGGTGGCGGTGTTGGTGGGGGAGGACGGGAAGGTGCTGCGGAGGGTGGTGAGGGCGGATTTGATGGAGGTGGTGAGGAGGGAGAGGGTTTTGGGGAGGGGGTCGGAGCGCGGGGTGGAGAGGGCGATTAGGAGGGCGGCGGAGAGGAGCGAGAAGACGCTGTAGTATGTCGTTTCGGAGGGGGTGAGGCGGGAGGTTGTGGAGGGTTGGTGTAGGAAGTCGCTGAGGGAGTTGCTAAGGCGGGAGAGCGTCTCGAGCGTGTACTCGCGGTCGCGGAGAGCGGCTTCGGTTTGCTTGGCCGGCTTGTAGTCCTTGGGCGGCTTGTACAGCAGCAGGTCGAGGTACTGTTCCGAGAGGAAGGCCAGCTGGGACCGTTCGTTCTGCTGGGGTTAGAGGAGTAAAATGGAACAAAAGCGGGCAAGGCTTACCGAGAGGCCGGGCCCGAGACGGAGGTACTCGTGGATCGGCGGCCCGTGGAGGCTTTCGAGGTTCGGGAACGGCCCGTAGTCCGTCTTGCTAACCAGTGTCGTGTCGTCATTGATGTTTTCTAACTTGTCAGCCTGTAAAACGCCCAAGAGGGCGAAGAACTCACCAGTAAGCGGGTGCTGCTCAATCTCGCAGTCAATCTTCCCGCCGTAGCACCGGATCGCCCGCCGCTCCTCCACCAGTGTCATCATCAGAGTACAGCTCCTACGCAAACTGCTGTCGTGGTTGATCATGTCGAGTATGCTAGTGTAGCTCCCCGCCGAGAAGGCATCCCAGATGCGCACCGGAGACTTGTCACTCAGGTTGTGCTTGTAAAAGGCCCGCAACGGCTCCATCAGCGGGCGGCCGCCCTGGAACAAGCCAGGAGAGAGCGTGGATATCCTATCGAAAAACAGCGGGCTGAGCGCATCCTGGATGGTCCGCTTGACGTCGAGCGGCGTCCAGAGACGGTGGGCGTAGGAGGCGCATCCGAGCAAGAGATACAGCTGAACAAGCAGCAACCGCAGCTCGGTGTCCCCGGGAGTCTCGTTCAGCTGAGTGTCGAGCAGCAGTACTGCCTGCAGGAACAAACGGGGTTCGACGGATTGCCATAGTGACTGGCCGACATCCGAAGTCCGAGGCCGCAGCCCTGACAGCTTCAAGAGTGAATTGCCCATGACAAGGGCCAGGTCCAGTCGCGGGTCCTTATCCAAGCGGGGGATCGAATCCACGAGTTCCTTGTCACTAGTAATCTGTCTGTACGCGTCCGAGGCATTGACGACGAGCTTCTTCAAGCAGGACTCGCACGGAAGCTCGGTGGGTTCGGTGCAAAACCGGCACTGGAAGGGCTTGTCTTGGGTTTCGCCTTCGACGGCGGCAGGCTGGGGGGACAGGGTTTGTGGGCAGGTGGAGAGGAGGTACCGGAGACGGCACACCAGGGCGTTGAGCACAACTTTCCGCGCCTTATCGGCATCCTGTCACTTGGTTAGCCACGCACACCATGAGCAAATAAAACCAGGGCCTACCTCATCGAGCATTTTTGGTAGCACATCCTCCATGAGAGTCTTAATCTCCTCGAAGCCCAGCTCCGCCACGTAGCCCTTGACATCGTCAAACGCAGACAGTCGCTCGAAGTACTGGTCGAGAAACAAGCCGATCTGGACAACTCTCGGTGACAAGCCGTTGTTGTCGTGGTTGGGATTAAGTGCAGTTGCGGGCAGCCGGAATGTGGTCTCCAACAAGGCTAAGCTGAGGTTCTTCTTGTACATGGCGCTCGCTGTGTCCTTGATGTCGATATACCGCTTCAATATGGCTTGTACTTCGCCGAGCGCGCTGTGTGTGTCGGTAAGCTGTTCTACCGTCCGACGTATCACGATTGCTTACCTATCCGAGTCTACCACCTTGCTGGCGGCCGACGCAAATTTCCTCCAGGTCTGCAAGTCGCAGACAAAAAAGGGAGAGGTGCCTCCTTCTAAGCCGAGCTCCAGAGCCTCACGGCATAAGTTGTAGATAAGATCCCACTCGCCCCACGCCTCAAGCGCATCGAGTGCTTCGCAGAAGAGGAGTTTGCGACCTTCCTTGAGCTGGCTGATAGCCCCTAGTTTGGGGCTCTTCAGCCGGGAGATGTATTCTTCCTTGGTCCCATGGCTGTGTAGGACGCGGTAGTAAAGACCGACCTCTTCTTCCGTAATAAGGCCCCTATCTGTAGACTCCAACTTCGCGGACTATGGAACGTCATGTCAGACACATTTGGTGGCATGGTAGCTCGGTGGTCAACGTACATTGTCTGTCAAGTCTGCTGCCCTCTCGAGATGCCTAACCGCCAAGAGGCTGTAGACCTTGCGGCTCGCATCGGTACACTGGGGGCTGATCTGTCTGTGTCAGCTTCAACAGTACAATAGATGGTGGTGGTGGCGGTGGCGGAACATACTGAAAGAAGGTAGGTGAGGGTGATGTTCCAGAACATGTACCGACGATCGGCAGTGTTGGCGTACGCCTTGTCCAGACTCGTGGCGATCTGCAAAACACGTCAGTCCCAGTGACCCGACTCTGTGGTACTCAATGCACGGTACACCCACCTGCTGAGCGCTCACGAGATCCCACTTCTCCAGACAGGCCTGGACACACTGCAGGGCCAGGGGGCTGCCGGGGTTGGCCTTGGCCCAGCGGGCCCTCAGGGGTCCGAGGCTATCGGCGTACTCGACCTCGTAGTCGAAGAAATCACGGCAGGCCCACTCGTAAAGCTCGATGGTGTCGATATCCGGGGTTTTCTTGTTCTTGACGAGATCATCTATGGCAACCAGCACGGCACACTTTTCAGCAGTGCCGTCGAGCTGAGACTCGGCACACATCTTGATGGCCTGAGAGAGAAGTGAGTGAGTATGAGCCACCTCGATATCGGCTCGCCGGGGATATTTTTGGTATCACACACCTCATAATAGGGATCCTTGAGGGTGGCAGCCCTCTTCGCAGCGAGACGGATGACGGTATTCCAGTTGCCATCGCTGAAGGCCGTCTGCAGCTGCACGTCGACGCTGTTCTTCAGCGCCGGGCGGCCATATCTGTATGAAGACATGGTGCGAAAAGCAGGTCTGCACTGGGCAGTGGGATGCGTGTGTAAAATGTCTAATAAGCTGTGTGCAGGTACTAAAAGTAGTGCAAGCCGTGCAAGCCCAAGGCAGCGAGCGACAGCGGCACGGGAAGCTCGACGTGGGGGAGGGGCAGAGGGGCCAATGGCAATGGCAGGGGCTTGATCCTGGATCCTGGACAGCAGCAGATGGATGGGTGTGGTGCTTTTAGTTTTTTCTTTTCTGTTTTTAGTGTTTTCTCGTTTTTTTCTTGAAGCTGTGGGTCCAGCGGAGAGATCGGGTCGGACTGCCACAACCTGCCTCCTACCTAGGCCGAGCTTGCAATGCAGAAGTGTCGGGTCGAGCAGTCCAGGTGATGGAGGTCGCGGCTTCCAAATCGGCGATTCTGGCGGGGTGGTCGAAGTGGCCTGTGCGCTCAACCCCACCTCCACCGAGGTTCCCACAAGGTGAGTCCGGCGTGTCCGATCAGTCGGGCGAAGGTGATGCCCCAATCTCCTTCCTCCATGCTCAAGCCCTCTTGATTTCGCGATTTTATTGACAGAGGGGAAGAGAAATGTTACAAGTAATGTACAGCGAAACCATGTATGTAGAGCCACCCTTTGACCTCTATGTACACACAGGTAAATAGTTGCTGGGAAACCACCTCACCAAACTCTCTACCAAATCCTGGATATCCCAGAGAAGGCATCTAGTCAAGCCCAACAACAGTCGTCTCGTTCGCTAAGTTGCCGAACGGGCCGTGAGGCTCTTGGATCTATGAGAACAAGGAGCTACCCTTCTTGTCATTCTTCCTCTTCTCTATCTGGAAGGAAACAACCAAGTTAGCGACCTCGTGTGCATCAGTCAGAGACAACCCAAGGAGCATACCCAAGCCTTCTTGCAATCTCTATACGCCCTGTTGAGTGCGATGGTTAGCATGTCATTATCTTAACTCCATGTCCACCACTAAGCCATAACTCACTGGAAGTAATCCGAACAGAGTGACCTGTCGCCGCCATTGCGATTCAGACACCTGATACTGCGTGCAGCAGCCTCCTGGCATGGGTCAAGGAACTCGCTTCGGTCTTTGCTATCGGCAGGCGCCAGAAGAAAGGTAAATATCAGCATTGAGGGATCGCAAAGGGCAGCCTAATTAGCAGTGGGAAGTGAGTCTCACCCTTCAAATTTGCTCTTTGTCTCCCGGTTCCAGGGATCACTGTCTTTGGATGTGGATGCCATGATTGCAGTGTTAATTTGGTCTGCATCTATGGTTCATGAGGTGGATGGATGTGCTTTGGCATCTTGCAGCTTGCAAGTTCCATGCAGCTGAAGGCTGGGCAACATTCATTCTGCCAAGCAGCAGGAACCCACAATATCCGCACGGACCATCCGACCTGGACGATGTCCACATAACCCCTGGACAACCCCCTGCATGCGCCCCTGAACCCCTGGGGCATGTCAACACACCAACAATATGGGAGCTCTAGGTAGTACAGATCTGTAGTCTCCTTGAAAGGGCCACATTTAACACTCCTCCCTGTGAAAGACTAATAGAAAGCAGAGGAGTCTAAAGGATTAAAATCTAGATAATAACCAGCACTGGTAAACAAATGATTAAAACATTGACCATTTGTTCTCCTGTCTTTCTGAGATCTGCCTGTCACGCATGAATGAAGTTTATCTAATATCAGCATTGTTACTCGTCTGAATACGCTCAAGTGGCCGTCTCCTCTCCTGAAGCCATGTCTCTGATCTAGCTCACTCTGAGTTGAGCCTCCCTCATACTTATGGTCTCTATCTGCATTAGCGTCAAGTCTACGTTGTGCCCCTTCACACCCGAACGTGAGGGAGCCCAAGTCACTCCTGTCTTTGATTGAGTCTTTATGCTGCAGAGTAACCAAAGTCAACATTGTCCCTCTAGGCCTTCGTTGCTAGGGCCACACCTAGTTCACCCCCTTTAACTTTCACCATTGGGTGCTGCATCCACGAGTCACAATGCGTCCAGAGCCAATATCCTGAACCTGAGCCCCCGTTAATGAGATCACAGCTCAAGTCCCCTAAGTTCCCCCATCTGCAGGTGAGTTGTTCAGTTGCAGAGTGTCCAGGAGTCAACCCTATGCACCCGAGTCGCGGTTCCGGGGGCTGCAGTTCACGGCTGGCCCTCCACGCCCGAGTCACAGAGCTTCCACCGTCTTCCGGAAGCGTTTGCCACACAATTACTAGAGAATTTCAATTTAAGTCTCGCCCCCCACTGCTTTACTCAACCTTCCCCTCTTCCAAACCACCAACCGTCAACACGCTCAACCTCAACCAAACAAATCCAAGGTATGAATTGAGAACAGCAATCCCCGTCAGATGGTCGGCTCTCTCTCCGTGTTTGCATCAATCGCCTCTTCAAAATCGGATTGCTCACCCTTGCCGCGCTGCAGGTTCAGCTTTCAAGAACACCGCGACCAACAACCAAATCGCAGCTCAATTAGTTCAGACCCCATGGAGACCAACACGATGCCATCGGTCTGCCGGTGGCCTGATTCGCCGTTCTGGGAACTAGACGGTTTCGACTTTAGTGGCCTGCCGCTCGACGAGTTCAAGTCGATCATCCACGTACTTTACCCCCTTGGGAATTCCGAACGCCTCTCGACCCCAAAATACAGCCAGGCCGTGGCAGACAATGTGGCCTTGATGTTTCAGGTCATGCATGACTGCCGGGTCTTCTATGCTACTTGTACCTCACCGTTTTGGGAGCGGGTGCAGGTATTATATAAAGGTCCCCCCATCGAAGGTGAACAACTCGAGCGAATTTCACGTCTGTTCGTCTGGGCCCGACACGTTTATCGGCACACCTTTGGCGACTGCCCCAACGAGACGGCGAGGCTGGCCGACCAGTGGATCGCTTTTGCATCTACGCTTCATCAGCCTGCATCGATCGGCAATCGAAGCACTCCGGTCGTGGAACAAGAGGATAGTCCAGTCGCCAACTGTCCACCCGCCCTTGAGCATGTCGAACCCAAGGCAACCACCTCAAAGCGAAAGAGGAACGAGAGTGTGACTTCTTCCCCAATTGGTCCAAAAATGCAGGGCCGCAAGGCCAACAACGACATCGCACAATCCCAATCCGCGGAGGCACCGACCCTCCCGTCCATAGAAGACGACTACGATAATTTCGCTCAGCTGGCGGCGACAGCCCTCAGGCGATCGACCCAAAACGAGACGGTGGCAAAGCACGACCCCTTCACCACCGTCCTGGAGACACTCCGCCGCGACCTGGCAGCCCAAAATGAGCGCATTGAAGAGCTCGAAAAGCACAAGAGGTGGAACGTGAACTTCATTGGGGCGCAGAGGGCCGAGCTCAGCGAGGAGGTCGCCAGGCTAGAGACAGAGCTGGAGACCATTAACGACCTGATCCCGCGCATCGAAGACCTCGAGTACAGCGAGAACCACTTTCGAACCTCGGCAGACACGGACCGGGAGACCATCGAAATGCTCCTCGAGCGTATTGAGAAGCTCGAGAACCAAGATCGCGCCTCGACAGACACGTCCCTCTAGGGGGGTTGCAGCGCCCCCGCTCTGCAGTGAGAGTTTATGGATGGAAACAGGAAGTACGGGCTTGGTTGAGAAAGGTGGAGGCTCGGTATTGACGGGGAGGGGGGGGGGGGATATTGGAAGATACTGGCCCTTTTCTTGCGCCTATGGTTGCCCTCTGGTTATCGGGGGCGACGACGATTGGTTCTCTATTTCATGGTTCGAGCAGTCGGGGTGGCGATGGGTGTCTGGCTCTGGTCGGAGAAGCCATAGGCGTTTTGTCTTTCCGCCGCCGAGGCACTCGTGAGGTCGATGGAGAACCATACGGTCAAGCACTCACTTTTTGCTTGGCCGGGGCATCATGTAGGATTGGGACATTACGTCTCACTAGGACAACATGTCTCTTTAGGGCATCATGTAGGAATAGCACATCATGTAGGACTGGACTTACTGGGAATTGACTCGCCTGATATCACTCTACATTTGGTACGTGCCGTGCTCTTAACCCAGTGCCTCGAGATATCTCCAGAAGACGGGTGTTGACGGATAACAGGTCACATTGTCTGAGTGTTCGTGGTTTTGGAGAGAGAAGCTCGGGTCCCCGTTGGCCAGATACACGCCGCTCTCTTTTTCCAACGCACACAGCCCGACATGGATTGCATGGATGGGTAATACCCGCAGAGCACAGTTTAGAGCACGAGGCTATGTGGTTGTCAGCAACCAACAGACCTACCAGTGACTACATGTCGACATGAAACCCTTAAGAGGACGTATGCTAACAACCTACAGTTAACCAAAATGGAACAGTAAACAAAACGCGAACTACGACGGCGATAGATATTGCTAGGGCCTCTGACGAAACAGATCACATCAAGTCCAAAAGACGGGCAACATACCCAGATTTATTTCGAACTGGTGCAGAACCGAAGTAAACTCGACAATAATCCAAAACCACATATAACCCGAAGCCAATATTCGTACTACATACCAAGCACACGTCTGTCCCAAACGCCATACAACAGCAAAAGGAAAAAGAAACCCGTCCAGCCGAGCATTACCTGCTTTGCCTTGCGCCGCTGTGCAATCGCTCGCTGATCAACGCTCAACACACAAAAGCCGACACATCCAACCACCCAATCCCCATCCCATACCCTACAAGCAGTAACCACGCAACACAACAAACCACCCACCCCCCACAAACCTAGGTAAGCAGGTACCCAGCCTACTCCGACCACGACATCCCCATCCACGCCACGCTCCCCAAAAACGACGCCAACACCACCGCCGTGACAATCCCCGACCCAGCCCTATCCCCCGTAGTAATCTCCCTCGGCGGCGACAAGCCCTGGAACTTCTGCCCGGCATTCGGATCCCCCTGGCTCGTGCCACCCGTCTGGTTCGTCAGCGGGCCATTCAGCACATGGCCCTGATCAATCAACAGGGTCGACAGCGCCGCCAGCGCACTCATCTGCTGGCCCGCGGGGCCGGCCGCCACATCGTTATCGTACTCGCCCGTGTTCCAGCGGAAGCCGCAGGTGCCGTCGGCGAGGCAGGAGGTGACGCAGCCTTCGGTGGAGGAGCGCAGCGTCTTCATGACGTCGGCGTAGGTGAAGGGGGCGAGGACGGCGACGGTGGCGAGCGCGCGGTGCATGTAGCCCTTGAAGGAGTGCTGGTCGGTGTTGCATTGGACTCGGTCTTCCAGCTCGCAGGGGCGCTCGATCATGATGCCCTCCGGGAAGAAGTGCTCGACCGTGCGGTTGAGCAGGCCGGCGACGCGGCCTTGCCATTTGGTGCGGGTGGCGCCTTCGGTCTGGGAGGGGGGTTAGTTGGGTTGGGGGAGGGGGGGGGTGGGGTTGGGGAGAACGAAAGGGGGAGGGAAGGGTAATGGAGAGGGAGAGAAAGAGGGGCAAGACAAAAAGGGAGACGAACGTAATTGTACATCACGGCAGCGGCGTGGATGAGAATGGCGGCGTTGGCCGAGAACTGGACCGGGTTCAGGTCGGTGCAGTTGAACGGGATGTGGGCGCCGTCCAGGACGTTGTAGTCCTCGGTGATGTAGCCCATGGCCTCGATCCAGTCCCACGTCTTCTCGGTCCAGTGGGCGTACGTCTCGTTCCGCGTGTAGCGGGCCAGGCGCGAGGCGATGTTGAGGAACACGCCGTTGGCGATGGTGTTTTTGTAGTCGTAGCCGCCGTTGGTGTGCTCGACCTGCCACCGCAGACCGCCGGCGCAGTCCTGGGTCTCCCAGCGGGCCACCTGGGTGTTGAAGACGGCCTGCGCGAGGGCGAGCCACTGCGGCTGGTCGGGTTTGGGGTTCGGGAAGTTGACCTCGGCGGCGAGCATGGCGGACATGCCCCAGAAGCCCTGGTCGTCGTTGCCCAGTGAGGCGGTCCAGTTGCGCGGCATGTAGGCGTTGACGGGGGCCTCGGCCTGGAACACCATGGACCGCAATGCCTCGGCGTTGTACTGGTCGTCGCCCGTGTAGAACCAGTAGTCGACGATGGTGCCCCACATGGCGCCGGCCTGCCACCAGTAGTACGGACCCCCCGGCGGCGGCCCGGGGAGGATGCCGGGGGTCTGGCCGGGCTCGTCTCCGCTGTAGTAGTTCATGAGGTTGGCCGCAACGACCTTGGCGGCCGACCTGATCGAGGCTGCGGTGCTCGCGTGTCAGCAGCGGTCCCTCGCGATCCTCCGGAGCATAGTCGAGTCAAAAAAAATACAAGACGACGACTGCTCACTCACATGATGAATCAAGGTCGACCTCCAGTTTTCCTCCCTGTGCGCTTGCGCCGGGCGCTACAAGCAGCAGCGCGCCTAGCAACGCTGTAATTTTCGGCGCCATTGTCCATCCCATCTTCATCTTGTCTACAAACTCGGCCGGAACACACCGGCTGTTGTTGGGCGGGTTGGCGAGGGGGGGCTTATTCGGTTACTCGGCGGATCGTTCGGGTCGTGAATGCGATGGTCGATCGAGGGATTGCGACGGGGAAGTGAGGTGGCCGTAGCTCGAGGCACTACTCTGTAGACCCGAGGGACTCGATTTTCGGGTTCATCAGATCGTGTTGAAGGTGAGGTGGGCAGAAGAACGGCTTCCCTTCTTTTTCGTCTCTGCTCGGAACTGACGTAAGGCCCGCCCTGTTCCCGCGCTGTTGGTCAGGGCCAGGGCGCCAGTCTGGTGGTTCGCAATCCCCTGACAGGGACCTTGGGGGCCATGTTACAGAAAATGCAGGTCACGCTTCGTGTATTCTCTGTCCAGCGCAGGGTCAGTCCCAAAATTCCAGGGACCGAGAAGGAACGGGACTGGGGCTGTGCTGCGGGGAGCGCGTGAAATCGAGTCTCCTCGTTGGCCCGTCTCTCCCGTGTGGCCCCAGTAATACGGGGACTTCCAAAAGAGGGTTAGTGAATTCGTATCGCTGGCGGGGCCAACTCATGGGCCAATGGATTCTGCGCCGCCTTGGCAATGAAACAAGCCTTTTGACAAAACCGCCAGTCCGAAAAGGGACCATGTTTCACGTTTCAACTCTCAACGGCGAACCAACACAAGACAAGCCTCTGTTTGTTGGACCAACCGTGAGAGGATCGACATGGCATCCCGAAAAGTGGCTGTTTAGCAAAGCAGCTGCTTCATTTAGCAAGCATGATCGGGTAGTTCTTTAGGTATTCGGCTGCAAGTAAACCAAGATAACTACTGTCAAATACCAATGCCTCCCCGACCGACTTCCCAGTGTAAACAGCTTGAACCGCCTTTGGCGGCGATGTTAAGTAGATGATAGATCCAACTTATTCATATCATGAAGAGGGGGTGAACTACACAGAATGTGCCCAATTGCATACAAATATTCGTAAAAGGCGACCAACCGCTCAAGGGCCAACAATCAACTCGACCGAGGGCGACCTGAAAATAATTAGTGGTTAATGCACTCGCATCTCTGTTAGGATTACAACCGCGAGCCAGTCGATAGAGCCCCTTTTCTTTACTTGGCCATGGTCAAGGAGTACGCGAGATCTTGGGCTCAGGAATGGGATGGGATGGAAACCCGGCATCATATGCCCCCCGAGATCCACGGTTCTCAGTTCTTTCCGCTTAAGCCCACCACGATTGTTTACATCTTCTGCAAAAACAATAAACGTACTACTCTGACAACTTCCCCCGCTCCCTTCTCAACCACGGCCAGCCAAAGTCGCGACTTTGTTTTGCACTTTTCTTGCACGTTTCCCTTGGGATTACTTTCTCTATTTACCTCCCTGTTTTTCAACATCACGACTGTTTTTTTCTTTCATCTTCTTTCGGGTCCTCGACTCCATCGTGACCAGACTGGCATCGAATCGATGTAAAACAAAAATTGCACTCAACCCCCGTCCCCGTTCGGCCTTTTTCCCTTCACCACAAACTACGACATTACCCTTTTGAATTTCTCAAGTAATGGGACAAGATCAGTCCACACTGGGAGGTGAGTTGAGCGACTTTATCCTGATCCATATGACCACAGCTTGTTCCAATCATACCAGTTTCTGACTCGAGTTCAATCTTAGACGGTCATAACATGGACTTTAAATCCTTTCCCTCTCCTCTCCATGTCGGGCCGACCAAGCGCACCTTCGACGACGAGCTCCAGCAATCGCCGACTGCGAAACGCGCGAAGCGGGTCAGGCCCAACAGGAAGGACCGCTTTAAGGAGCCTAAAGGTGACAAGGAGTCGAATGGCAACGTCAATGAGAAGGACCGGATGAGCTCCGACAACGTCTCTGGCACAGGCACTGCCTGGAAGGAAACTCCTATTATTCCTCCGATGCCGTCTGCGTTCGAGAGGATCCTTGAAGCCCATGCGTCAAAGTCTGCCGAGAACTCGCAGAAGAGTGAACCCAAGAAAAAAGTGTTTAAAAAGAACGACGTCGAGAAGAACCTCAAGAAGAGCGAGTCTAGGAACAGAGAAGTGAAGAAGAACGAAGCCAAGGCTACGAAAGACACGGAAAATAGCGCGGAGTGTCTCGCTGCCCAAGACAGCCCCAAGATAGAGGACAATACCCGCAAGACCAGGGCTGAGCGCAACAGAGGCCAAGCACCAGTACCCTTTCAACAAAGGCACCTCAGAGGTTCCCGCCATCGCCGGCCCTTCCAAGATTAAGATTAGCAAGAAGAAGCCCGCCAACGAACACAAGGAGCTCACGCCCGTCAGCAACTTCACCCCGACCCGCGACTACACCTTCAAGGCGTATCCCAACCCCCTCCCGGCAATCCCACAGCCCTTCAAGCAACCCGAATCCCCCGAAACCCCCAACAACAACAACAACAACAACAACAACAACGCCACCAAATCCCCTCCCATCACCGACAGTGACAGCTCCCCAGCCACTCCCCCCACCCCCTCACCGGCCCCAACCTTCCCATCAGGCACCAAAACCCTCAAATCAATCAACAAACAACTCCGCGCCCTCTCCTCACAGCTCACCCCAACCCCCACCAAACGCTTCCGCACCCACAACAAGGAGCAGCAGCAGCAACAGCAGGAGGAGGAGAAGAATACAGAGACAGAGCACGCCGCCGCCGCCGCGGCCACGCAGGAAGAGGTCGCCCTTCTCCGCGCCGACATCGCACGCCTGCACGAGCGGCTCGACCGCGACGGGCTGCGGGCGGCGGCGCGCCACACCATGCTGTTTAATGCGTTGGTGAAGGTGGCGGGGGATGTGGGCGCCATGGCGGGGGAGGTGCGCGTGTTTGGTGGGGGTGGGGGTATGCTGGGGGAGGGGGTGGGTGGTGGTAGCAGTGGTGGTGGTGGTAGTGGTGATGGGGAGGGAGGTGGTGGTTCGGCTGCGGCCAGGGAGGTCCGCGAGAAGGTGAACAGGAGTATGCTGCAGTCGCGCAAGACGCTGGAGCGGTGCTTGGGGAGTTATACCGTGGATATGGAGCGCGCTGGGACCCGGGAGGAGGTGGCCAAGTATGGCGGCCTGGCGGTGCAGTATGCGGGGGATTTGTTCAAGACGCTGGGTTGAGTTGGTGTTGTGGTGCTGTGGGTGGTTGGCGGGTGTTGGTCTGAGCAAGCTTGCTATCCTGGAAAGCCGGGTTGTGGGTTTGGAGACTGGGAGACAACTGTGCGGGACGGCAACTTGTTGGGCAGTGTCATGGGATTCCCACACGGGTTATACTAGGTACCCGATATATTGTATATCGCGAATCATGCAGGAAGGACAGCCAGGTGGCTTGTGTGTGTAGACTAAGGGAGGATGACCGATACTGGATGTTAGATCATGTAGAAACTCAATAATATTCATGAAGCGTGTGAAGTTACTTGGGTGTAACCGGTTATGTTCCGACTTCCAAACGACACCGATGGGTAGAAAACGCCGGACTCCTCCAAGTATAGACGCGACCAAACCTCGACTCTCCTCTAGGAACGCAAGGAAAGCCATCCGGAAACTCACAGAAGCTGGCTGTAATTACCCAATTTACATTGCTTTGACTCGATATCTTTATTTAAATTGTTTTGCTCGACTTCTTTCAAATCCCATTTTTGCTTCATTTCTTATTTGCCTTCAATTTTGTTTTTTTTGGCCAGAAAGTGCAGGCAAGAGTTGCACCCGAGGTCCTGCTCGGGATATCGCCTTCCCAATCGGGCATTCAGTGGCAAGTGGGGCCGGCCATAGCCGTTCCTGCGCTCTCAAGCATCTTTTTCTCAAGTTAAAGCTGGAACACTCCATTTTCAGTCTTCTTCCAATGGAGACCAGATCGATCCGGACGCGCGTAACCAACGCTTGCGACCTCTGCAAGCTACGAAAAATTAAATGCAGTGGCGCACAACCATGCGCGTACTGTTTAAGACGGCGGCAGCCGGACAGCTGCCGTTACACCGCTCCGCGACGCCGGCCGAGGCCCCGCTCTGACGATGTCGCCGCCCAGGACCGGGACCAGCCCTCCCCGTCGAGGATAGCCCATTCTGTTTCGGCACACCACGACCGTCAAAACCGGCACTCGAACCACTCATCTCACCATCCTACGCCAATACCGACGCCCTCTCACACCGCACCTCTTGTTGGCGCTGCCTCCCCTAACGTCTCGCTTGCACCAGCCGCACCCGCCTTACACTCCGGCCCCGAAGAGCCATTACCCCAGGACACCGTTTTTGCCGCCCTTGAGGAACACGAAGAGACCGAAGTCCCTCGCGAGGCCCGCCTCCTTTGTGACGCCCAAGGCAAACTCATCTTCATCGGCGACTGCGCGCCCCTGTCCTTTTTCCAGACCGTTCGGAGGCTTGTGACAACGCGCGTCGATGCCAATGCTTTCGCCCCCGAGACCAGTGGCTACTCGGCCCTAGAGAATGTCTACTCGCGCCCCGGAACATCTGGCAGCTACGGAGGTGAGCCGCCGCCGATCAAATTGCCTACGGGGCCTACGGTGTCTGCCTACCTCGACGTGACAGCCGGGCTCATCGACTTGTTCGACAACACCCGTCTGGCGGATGATATCGCCGCCTGGGCCGAACACGCCCAGCCGCGTGACAAGGCCGTCGATGTTCCCTCGGCGGTGAACTACCTGGTGCTCGCCATCGGCTGCCAGAAGTCGGACGAGCACACCGCCCAGCTGTACTTTGACTACGCCCGGAGCGTTGCCTTCGCCAGTCTCAGCGCCAACGTGGGGGTTGCCAGTGTCCAAGTGTTCATCCTCATCACCATTTACTCACTCGGCGCATGCCAACTCAACGGCGCTTTTCTCTTCTTTGGCATTGCTGCTCGAGCAGCCTATTCCATCGGCATCCACCGGACAGCCGTGAACGCTAGGTTCGGCTCCGACGTGCACCGGCAGAGAGACTGCCTTTGGAAAAGTCTGAGAGTGGTGGACTTATTCCTCAGCACCTCCATGGGCCGTCCGCCCGCTACGTCGGACGTTGATTGCACGGTACCGTGCAGGGCACAGGACGAGGCTGGCCACGAGAAGTTTGACCTGCTGAACGCGTCTGCCCAAATCTTCTTGGTCATTGAGGCTATCGTGATGGAAGTCTACTCACGACGCAAAATCTCACCTCGGCTGACCGAAGGCATCTCACGCGAGCTGCGGGACTGGTCAACCCGCTGGCTGCACCGATTAAAGGACGTCGTGGACGGGACGTCGCCCGAGGACCAGCCAGGGATGGCCAATGGCGCCTGCCAGATCCTTTCCTCGTACTACTATGCCGTAATTCTCGTTTCACGGCCCTTCCTCATGGTGGAACTGCACCGGAGGTTATCAGAGGGGAATTCCCTTGCCGGTGCCGGCCTCACCGGCAAGTCGAAGCTGGCCGATGCCTGCATCGATGCGGCCATTCTCATGGTGGAACCGGTCCAGAGCCTGATCGAGCGAGGCTTGATGACGCGCCGTGCTCCCGTAATTATGTGAGTGACCCCGACCCGTTCTTACTCCAGCTACTGATCCTCTCCAGCTCGTGGCTCTTTGCCTCGTCACTTGTGCTCGGTGTCGGTCTGCTCGGAGGGTTCGGCCGTATTATCGAGAAGCATTGCCGGGCGTCTATTGCTGCCCTCGAGTACTTTGCCCAGGCCGACGCTCACGCGATGCAGTACTCGCTCATCGCCAAGTCCCTGCTCAGCACTGCGCTACAATACCTCGAACGGAGAGAGATACAGGAGCGGCAGCAGAGAACCGAGAGCTCGTCCCAGCTGTTCGGCCTCATTCCCCGGGCGCCACGCGCGAGCAACGACCGTGGCCGGGCACCGTCAGGGAGCTGGCAAAGCGGGAGTCCCCCAAAAGGGGCCGGCAGGTCAGACAAAATTGGCTCGGGGAACGCCGACGAAGAGGAACCGCGCTTCAACTTCGATTTCGAGTCGACTTTCCTCGGCCTGACCGACACCCTCCCACGGACGCCAGACTTCTCGCTCATGGGGGGGTCTCTGGATGCTGATGCCGAGCAGACCTTTGGCGCCCTCAACCTCTTTCCGTTGCTGGAGACGGATGGCCACATCGACTTGGCCAACTATTTTTGAGTTGTCGGTTCCTGGGTCCGTGGAGATGCCATTGGGATGTTGAGCAGTGAAAAGGGGTGCCCTAACCTGATGCTTTGGGCGTGGAAGATCGACACCGAGAGCCGCTACTAAGATGGGTGATATTCATCCAGGAGAACTGAAGCAGCTCGGGGCTGCGTCATCATTGGGCGCTTGTGCCTGCCGCAACGGGTTCCAGGGGCTCAGAATTGCCCAGCCTGGAAGTCGATCGCTGGTGGGGAAGGCCGATCGGAGTTTCATGCTCATTGACATCGTGCGGACATTGTACAAAAGGACTGTACACAAGACTGTACTAGTTATGTGTTACTTGTCCATACCTCATGAGTTGGGTCTTTCCTGAGTCTTCCATGTCTGACTTCCGGACTTCCTCGTTAGAAGGACGGGATACCGCTCTGTCGCACCGTGAGACAGGTTATGTGGGTCTCATAAGACACACACGTCATGCACCGCGGCTCGAGTGACACCTTGGCCGTTTGGTCGCGCAAGGTGTCGCTAATTTACGCAGTCTCGTTACAGTGTACGAATACAAGTACCTCGATTCCAAGCAATTTACCCCTCATTCGAACAGAAACCCGGACATGAGTCGAATGGCAAGTTTCAAGTCAGGGTTGCACCCCAAACTCTTGTTCATCTTCGTCTCGGTAGAGGGCAACAATGGGGAGAACGGGACGAGGGGGACGTTAAAAAAGGTGGGTGTAGCCGGCTTGGCACTTAATGGCCCCCTGAAAAATCGCATCATTCCCCTTCGAGAACTTCAGAGGATGAAAGGGAGGCGCTGCGCCACCACGTTGCGCTAAGGTTTTACATATTTTGTGTATTCGGCCCATCCCATTCGCTGGTGGCATGGAAGCAACCCCCCCTCACACGCTGGTGCTCTGCACTGTCACTGAATTGGAAGATTGGCTCGGGCAGGATGGTAACCGGGTATTGCAAGCAAGAGGAGATGGTTGAAGGATCACTGTGTACGGTGCACTGTGAAAAGAAAGGGAGTCCAACCAAGCTCGCCAGGGTCTCGTTCGCGCCCGGGAGCAAGAATCCGCCCCGCGACATATTTCGGGCTAACCCAGACCGGCACACCGGGTAGACTTGACGCCTGTCAGTTGGCTCCACCAAGGCAGGATTCAATGGTTCTGGCCAGGCGCAATTGTGTCCCATTTTCGCCGTTCCGGGGTCGTGGGGGAAGAAGGAGCAACAAGACGCGCAACACAGCATCTCCGTGGGGCTCGTTTGCCCGTCCACCGTCCAACGTTTGTCACGGGAGGGTAAGCGCCGCATGTGCTTCCCGTTGTGTGTACTCTGGATGCAACCGCTTATCTGAGTTAGGTCGGGAAGGCGAAGTCACTGCCAGACCCTGTCCTTGGTTCTTTCCCGCCCCCCCGCCGTGAAGTTTGTAAACCTGCAAGTGCCTTCCGTTCCAAGTTTCCAGTCGCAGATTTACCGGCGATCCCTTCCACTTATTTTTCTGAGCATCTGGCATCCCAGCGGCCACACCCGATTCACTTCCACTGACGGCTGCGCTCATCGCCTGCCCTTGTTTTTGTCGTCGCTCGCTTTGTGCTTTTATTCGGCAGCCTCCAGTCGACCTCCCTCTGCCTCACTCTCACACAGGGCGAGAACCTTACTGACCAGACCCGTTTCCTCGACATGCCGTTGTCATGATGCTCGCCCATCAATGCTCTGCGAGAGCTTATCTCGCTGTCCTAATCGCTGTGATGTTGAGCGTCCTCCTCCTGACCGCCCACCGCCTACACATCGGCACATCCCTCAACCTCCCACATCTGGTCGATCGCCCAGTAACAAATAAGCCCGAACCTGAGGAACCGAAGACACAACAACTAGCGGACTTGGACGCGCAGGCAGCCGCACAGCGAGCCGACTTCTGCGACAATGATTGGAAGTTCCTGCGCAGCAAGGAACTCGGACTGAGCGAGAAGGTCATCTACAGCCGCCGCTGCGTCAAGCCCGTCTACGGCAACGTCAACCGTGATGCCGTCGGCAAGATCGCGGACCCCCTCATCAACGACCCGGTCACCCTCGACATGAAGGCCGACTGCGGCCAATTCACCCCCCCTCCATGCGAACCGCTCACCCTCGAGGTGCCGCGGCCCTTCCCGCCACACGCCGACCAGTACGGCTACCTCGCCTTCGGCATCGCATCCAACTACGAGCGCGTCGAGAAGTCGCTGCCCTCCTTCGCCCACTGGCTCTCCGGCACGGGCGCTCAGCTCGTTGCCGTCATCGCGGACGCCGACGACGATGGCGCCAAGCACGACCTTCGTGCGCTTGAGAAGCTGTATCGCGACCACGGCATCAACGCGACCATCATCGCCCCGAAGCTCAAAGAATCCATGCCGCGCAAAAACCACAAAGAGGGCGACGAGCTCCGCCGGCCCGCCGCCGTTGAGCAACTGCACTTCCTTCTGATCCGCGACATGCTCGACGTCTCGTCCCCGCAGACCCAGTGGCTCGGCGTACTCGACGACGACACCTTCTTTCCCGCCCTCGACCCCCTCAGTCGCAGGCTTCACGAGCACGACCACACCCGCCCGCTCTGGCTCGGCGCCCTAGCCGACAACTGGATCAGCGTCAAGTCCTGGGGCTTCATGGCGTTTGGCGGCGCCGGCACCTTCCTGTCGATGCCGCTGGCCAAACAGCTCGAGCCAGAGCTAGAAAACTGCATCAGGGAGACGACGATCAAGACAGGCGACGGCATGCTGCGCGATTGCGTATACCAGCGCACCGCCACCAAGCTGACCCTCGTCGACGGGCTATACCAGCACGACTTCTGGGGCGACCCGTCGGGCTTCTTTGAAAGCGGCCGCCGCGCCCTGAGTCTGCATCACTGGAAGTCGTGGTACAAAGCTCCCGTCGTCGAGATGGCCGCCGTCGCGCACCTCTGCGGTGACTGCTTCCTGCAGCGCTGGGGCTTCGGCAAGGACACCCTCCTCGCCAACGGCTACAGCATCACCGTCTACCGCGAGGGCCTCGACCAGCTCGACCTCACCCGCATGGAGGGCACCTTCAGGGACGCAGACAACCGGTACGATTTCGTGTACGGCCCCTTCCGTCCCCGGCTGGGCGACGACCAGAAGAAGAGCTATCGCTTGCTGGGTGTCGATGGCGGCACCGAGAAGGGCGACCGCTTCCGCCAGGCGTATGTGCACCGTGCCAAGCGTGACGAGGAGGGCATCGAGCCGGTGGATGAGGTAGTTGAGTTGGTGTGGGAGGTTTGATAGTGACGGGTTGGTATGGGAGGTCTGATGGTGACGGGCTGGTATGGGAGGTCTGATGGTGACGGGCTGGTGTGGGGACGGCTGATCGGACGGTGTTGCTACCTTGCGCTGGCTGTTGGCGGGAGAAGGACAATATTAATAAGGGAGGAAAGAAGGGAATAACTAGTTAAAATGTGAACTCAGGGGTGGAAATGGAAATGGGGATGAGGATGAATTAGACGGTGGTCAATGCGGGCGGGCGTTCTGGAGCCAAGGGCCGGCCGGTCGGATCTTTTAAGACATTGCTTTGCTTCTTTTTACCTTTTTTCTTGGACGTTTTTTTCTCTCCAATCCAATTATTCGTATTCCATGTAGATCTGTGTTCGAGTAACCGAGGGGGGATAAGCATGGGATTTTAACGAACTAGGTGGCAAAGCCGGTGTTATCTCGTATTTGTATTCGTGCTCGTTACACGACTTCCATCCTTCCCATCAGTTCCCCAGAAGTTCCCACGAGTTAGAGTAACACGACGCCAAAACCAAGGGAGACCCAAGGTGCAGAGTCCGAGGCTGTGGGTTCCATGAGCGCGCCGTGATCTTCATGGTTGGCGGGCTGGGCAGGGCTCGGCGGGCTCGGCGGGGTGTTGTGAGAAAGAGAAGGGATGTGGAGTGTGGGGGGGGGGATGGTGCCGGGCTTCCGGGCGACGGTAATGATCGGCGCGTGAGGGCATGGCATGGCTGGTTGGCCATGGGGTTGGGATGACTCGGGGATGAATAAGATGGGGCTGTTGTGGGTTGTGGAATGTGGGAATGTGGGAATGGGACTGGGACTGCGTGTGGGTTGAGAGAGGGTGGAGTTGTACATACATAAGGAGAGGTTGTTGCTACATACTGCGTGTGAGTGTTACTGCGGTTGGTTGGATACAGTTGTTGTTACTCGCGATGTCGTTACTCGCACAATGCTGTTATCGGAAGATGTTGTTACGCCAATTGTTCTTTCTGAGAGTGGTATGAGCAATGGCTGTTACTGGCTGTTGTTGTTACTCGATGGTGTTCCTAACCATTGCCGAGAAGTTGTTGCTACTGGAGATTGTTACTCCCTCATCTTGCTGCTGATCACCGTTGTCAAGTGTTTTTCTCACTTGCGGCAGCGGCCGGCCCAAGCGGGCGGTGCCATTGGAAGAAGGCGTTCCCACTCGAGGCTCGTTATCACTAGGGGGGATGCCCTCGCCAGAGGAATTGGTTGTTACTACCAAGTAGAGGAAATGTCGACACTCGAGGGGATGTCACCAGAGGAACCATTATCCCACGCAAAACTCCCCTCCGCAAGACCGGGAGTCACAGTCACCGTCATAAACAGAACCATAACGGCCCCTGTAAAAACCACAAATTGGTAAAACACACGCTTCGAACTCATCAATTCCGCTATATACCACAAACCATCAAAACAAAGTAGGCAACAATCCCAAGCAAGCAAGCCAAGGCGTATGTATACAACAACCCTTTCAACTCCCATCCACCCCCATCCCGGCCCCTTCCACACATACACACACGCACATACACACACACACCCCACACCCCAAAAAATAAGTAATAAACCACACCAATTCCACACGCCCCAACAGCCACGCCAGGCGGCGCCATCGAATATTAAGTCTACACAATAAAACCCCGCCCAGCCCATCATAGCAAGGCGCGAGTGGGCGAGCGGGTGCATTACTCCACCCCTTTTCCCTTCGTGAGAGAGGGTAGGCAACAACAAGAAGGAAGGTAAAACCCATAACGTACGTAACCATAACGTAACGTAAGATGCCGTTAAAACTGGAAAAGAAAGGGTGAAGAAAAAAGAGAAAGGAGAGGAAGAGGTCGGCGGTGAATGAACCAATAAGGAGGTTGGTAGTCGTAGTGATAAAGGGAATGAGGGGGCCAGGTCAGGTCGGAGCCTGTACCCACTCCCCGTTTCCCATCCCAGAGCCGAAATCCAAAGTCTCTGGGAGGTGGCTGGCTAACCGGGCGGCTACCCAAACCAAGTGTAGCCAGCCAGGTTGAAACAGTAGAAGGAACCCCCGCTCGCGACGTCCGGTATCGCCCGGTGTTGTAAATGTATGTGTCCAAGTAAAGTGTCTATGTGTCGTAAGGTAGTGTGGGCGTCGGGCGTGTGTATGGCGTGGCGTGACCTGTGCGTGTGCGTGTCCGAATCTGGGTGCGGCGCCTCAAGCCTTGCCCGCCTCGCGCAGCGCCGTCATCCAGCGGTCGTCCTCGCCGTTCCCACCCACGACGCGCGGGCTCTTGGGCGGGGACGAGCCGTCGGGGGAGACCGTGCCGAGCACGGCCTGGACGTCGGCGACGGAGCGCGTGCCGAGGAGGGCCATCTCGCGCTGCAGCAGCAGGGCGACGCCGGCGCGCACCAGCAGCGGGTCGCCCTCGAACACGTACACGTCCCACATGCGCGTGGCCTCGTCCAGCGCGAGGTGCCGCGTGAAGAGGCCCGCGAAGACGGGCTCCAGGTACGCGTCCGGGTCGCGGTCTGCGGCGAGCTTGGTGAGGTGCTGGTGCAGGGCGGGCGATTTCTGGAGCAGCGTGTGCAGCACCAGGTTGTAGGCCGAGTTCTTGGCGCCGGCGTCCGACGCGTAGAAGCTGAGTGGCAACGGGCGGTTGAGGACGTTTGCGAGCGCGACGAAGGCGTCGGTTGGCGTCGGGAGGTTGAGGAGCAGGAGGGCTGCGATGGTCTGGCGGGAGTTAGCTTTGGGTAATTAAGAAGAGAGAGGAGCTGGTGGAAACTCACGTTGCAACCTGGCACATATCCGATGTCGCTGCGGTACATCGCATATGCGCTAAGGACGTCGACCAGGCTCTGGTGCAGCGGCGCCCCCGGCTGGAAGATGCGCAAGTCCGGCCATGTACGCTCCCGGACGTCCTTGTTGATGACGTCGAACCAGGCGGCCGAGCGCATGTCCTCGACGCTTCCGTGTCCCGATTTCGCCTTCCTCTCGGCTTCGCGCGCACGGCTCAGCGCGGCCTCGAAGGATGTGTTGGTGAGGCCGAGGTCGTTCCCGATGGCGCGGGACCAGACGGCTCCTCGACTGCGCGGCGCAATCCCGCGCCACCACAGGTCGCGGGTCCTACGCTCGCGAATCGCGACGTTCCAGCGGGGAAGGATGTCGTGCTCCCAGATCTGCATTAAGCTGTCGGCGGCCACATCGCGGCAGTCGGAGCGGGCGCGTTTGGCGGCCTGGCGCCGGCGGTCGGCTTCCATGCTCTGGGCCATCATCTTCTGGTACTCCTTCAGGTGGCGGCGCTCCTCGGCGGGGTCCTTGGGCGGCAGCCACGACGGGCGCGTGCGCGAGAGGACCGCCTCTTTTTCCTTGGAGATGGGCAGGGGGTCGATCATGATATTTGACCGGCGCAGGGGAGGCAGCTCGGCCATGGCCGACTTCACCCTCGGCTTCACTTCCGGGTCGGATGACCTCCTCTGCGGCATCGAGCCGGTGCTTGACCGCTGCTGCATCTTGTGTTCCAAGTGCTCGGCATGTTCCTCCAACCTTTCCGTGAGGGACTTGGCGTCAGCGTTCAAATCCGCCAGCGCGGCAGACCAACTCTTAGCCCTTGACATGACCGGGCTGGAGACGCGACTTGAAGCGGCCGAGCTCATCGTCGAGAGCGCGGATTCCGACTTCCAGGTTGGCGACCGAAGCGATCCCTGCGCCACAGCAATCGCTGGCGTACCATTCCCGACACTGCGCACCCGCTCCTTGGTCGGGCGCTCTGGGGATGGTGCCTTGGACGGGGGCCGGCTGTGAGACCGTTCCGATGGCGGTCTCGGAGAGATGGGGACGTTGTCGAGCACCAGGCCTTCCGGGATGTCGTCTCCGTCGTCCTGATCGCACTCCAACTCTAGTTCCAGCGACGTCCTGCGGTCTCTGTTCGCCTGCCAACTACCCCGCCGCGGTCTCGCTGTGCTTGGGTCCTTCGGGGAGAGGGAGAGACTGGGACTCGGGACCCGGCGCTTGCTGAGAGATGACTGGGAGGGCTGGCGTCCGAGGGTGCGGAATGGAAGAGGGCTCGCGTGGGGCTCTGGGAGGAGCCCTAGGCTCGCGACGCGACCATTGGTGGTCCGAATTTGGCTCTGCAAAGCTGGTAGAGTCGGCCGCGACTTGGACGCGGGGGCGGATTCGCGGTTCTGGCGGGTCCTCGACGATTCGCGCGAGTACTGTAGTCGGGGTGTCGAGGCGGACGTGGGCCGTTTTGTCACGGTTCGGGGATCGGAGAAAGACGCGTTGTAGGGGTTCGGGGCGGTTTTGCGGTGCTTGTCGGGAACATCTCGTGGGTCGACCTGGGCATCATCTAGCCCAATGTCCTCGAAGTGGGCGACATCGCCGAGTACGCTGTCGTCGTCCGAGGGAAGCGAGCTGAGCGACGACGACTTGGAGGATTTCGATGTCGTCATGCCCGGCGGCGAGCTGGGTCCGGACGGGACGGTATCGTTCAGCGAGTTCTCGTAGATCATCATCTTGGCATGACACGGCCTGCGAAACTCGGATTGCCGTGGGTGATTTGTAGAAGGCCCTGCCTCCGGTGATCTGAGGATCTGCTGTGTGGTTGTTTGGTGTTGTTTCTCCGTCTGGGCTCAAGTGGAGAAGAGCTGGCCGGGGAGCGGCAGTCGACGCGGCAGCAGGTGTCCCAGATGTGTGGTGCGGCGGGATGATCGGTAGGGCGAGATGATCAGACGGAATGCGAGCGGCTAACCCCTGGATGCCAGAGCGCGTGTCTCACAATGCCGCTGGGTCGAGGGATTCGGCGGCCGAGTGGACAAACAAGGGCGGTGCTGATGGCGAAACGAAACGGCCAGCGGGAGCGGTAGGAAGGGTGATATTAATAAGCTGTAAGTTGTGCGAAGCGATTGAATCGTGAGCTATCGAGTTGGTGTCGGAGAGGTTTCGGGGGTATTAACGTTGGTTATGCAAGCGCCGATGAACGAGGGTTGGCGAGTTGCGGTGGGTGTAGCGAATGTACAAGTGTTAGGCGTCTTTGCGACCTAAAAGTTGGCGAGAGAAACGGCAAACGAGCGACGGCCGACAGGGTGATGATTTTTTATGTGCAAGGAAAGGGAACGAAAAGGCGTAATGGCGACCAAGATTGCGAGAATCGACAAGAAAAAACCGAGTCGAGAGAGGGAGCAAATGGCGGAAAGACGCTAGTGGGCGCCCACTGACAGCTGGGCGGGGGTGGGAGCGCGGGACGGAAATTCAGAGTGGAGGTTGGCTGCAAGTCTGGACCTATCGAAGCCTTTTCCCCAGCACAAGCCCAACCTGGAAGAAAACACTCAAAAATCAAGGCACGAATTGACTTGACAGAATGGTGATATCAGAGCACAGCTTCCTTCCCCAAAATAAGAAGGCGACGACAGGCAGAACCAAACTTTGAGGCCTCTCTCCCGGTCTCCCTGTTCGGGTGGTCGGCATCGACGGCAAGGTTCTGCTCACATTGGCGGCCGAGATCCATGTGGTCTTGATCGAGTCGTCAACATCCCCGATGGATCACAGGGATCGGCAGCACATCGCATCCATGGTGACGGTGGAGAAGCCCATTTTGGATATTTCTGGCCGACGAACGATAACGCAGCGGTGCGCACCAACGGCACGGTTCTGTTCTTCCACACCACAATCCCACGCAGCCTTGGGGGACTGGATGTCAATCACCAGGCTCGCCGGCCAGGACGGCCGCAAAAACCATCACAACAGATTTGGTCGAGACGAGTTTCATCTGCTGACCAGGCAACTCGAATTGCGAAACCGTTTCCGCCGACCAGACCAGCCTCGAGGCCCTCTCCTTCTCGACATCGCATCTCGTCAGCAAACCCTTCGCGCGGGCGCCCGGCCTTGCCTGGCCAAGCGACGGGCCAACTGCCAGCGCACAACACAGGGCGCGGGTTGGTGGTTGAAACAGTGGAAACAACCTGGTAAGTGTGGCTTTCGATGCCAAGATGGGACGGTGTGGGTGGTGGGTGTGTGGTGCCGCTCCCGTCGTGCGCGTCAGCCTGCATGGACAACACAACGCCGCTGCACTTGCAGCAGCCCCCCGTTGGTTGTGGCGTCCGATCGCAAAGTGCTGGTTTAGTTATCTGTGATGGTCTCGCTTTGCTGCGTTTGTGATGTCTCAAGCCGTGTCCAAAATGATACCGCCGCGCGTCTATGTTTAGTCGCTCGGCCCGGCGCCGAATACCAGTCTCAATTCCAACCGCTTGTTGACTTCCCCTAGTCTCGCGCTTCCCGGGCCTTCCTTGGATGCCTTGAAGTTCGAGAAAAGTGGCGGTCTCGGTGCCCAAGCCACAAGCTTGGCAGGGGCAGGAAATGAAGAGGGGCCACCGGCAATCTCGATTGCAGAAGTTGAGCGGGGCCGATTTGTTTTGCATTCATGCTCCAAGAGCTGACTGCAGGGCGGAACAAGCCGGACTGCAAAAATTCGCAGGGACCCTCAAGGTTTTTCTCTCCTTTTCGGACTCTGCAGTGGCCCGTGCAGAGCCCTATCGGGGCAATCCAGCCGCCCCAGGCTTCATGTGGGTCAGCGCGAGTGGAAGACATCACAACATCAACTTATCAAACGATGCTGTCAATTTGCGAGGTTCAGAGAGTTTTGAGGCTAGCACACTTTTGATACATGATATAACCTGAGTGGGCGAGTTATTCATGAGGCGACTCGCGCTTTTTCATTTCATTCTTTTGCGTCCTCTTTCGCCGTATTTATTCCCGTTGGTAAAGCGAAGCGGACTCCCCTTGTTCACATCTCCCACCCTGAATCCGTCCTTCAGATCGTTCAATAAACAAGCCTGGTTTTTTTTTTTTTTTTTTTCTTTCCTGAAGATATCCAAGTTGGCCAAGAAGAGACAGATCATGGACTTGTTGAGCATTTCCCCACTCATCAATCACTCCCTGATACCAAAAGCAGAAAGAAGGTTGCAATCAAGCGTGGCTCGTGCAGGATCGACAGCATGTCCAGTCCATCTTTGGTTGTTTCTTTACATAGCTCACCACAATAACTTGGAAGCATGTCCGGAGTAGCATTCCCCCGGGCGCAACCCGGTCGGAGTACATTGCGTCATGCCCTGTTTCGACGCTCTCGATACACCGAGGCAGAAGAAGTACGCCATGTGGCATGAGGTTTGCGGTGAGACGGTGCGGCTTGCCGTTAGCATATTGAGATTCTGCGAAATCCTAGCATTGTACACCAGGTCTTGATCCCGGAAAGGTGGTGGACATACCGGGAAGGAAAGAGAAGGTCCCGGGCGAGCGTTGTGTTCGGATTGTCATGTTACTGGCTTGTTTGTTGGGTTAGTAAGTTCGGTCCCAGGTGTTGCCCCTCACCGAGGGTGTCCGAGTTACGGCCGGCACTTCATTTATCTAGAGGTTATTGATTGTAGCGGGAAGGAACAGTCTATCTGGGCCCAGCGTGACACCTCTACAATGGTCATTACCCGGGAATGGGAATTGGGTACTTATCACTAGTGAAGACTTCGCCCACCCTCCTCTTCGTGATCCAACTAACCACCAAAGTCCGACTCGCCTCACATCACAACAACTCAACACCCACTTCTCAGCCAGCCTTACAAGATGCGCTTCCTCATTCTGCTCGCTTCGGCGGCATCTTTGCTTACCACTGCCGCCGCCGACCCGTACGCCAACTTCTCGCGCAGCTGCACTGGCATCGACCTCGTCCCCGACTTCTTCCTCGGCGCCACCTGCTGCCACCCCGGCGAGGATGGCTCCGACGTCCATTCGGAGAACGAGCTTGATCTGAACCTGTGCATTGGCTTGGATCAGGTCAGTAACCAGCTGAAGTGGGAGGTGTAGTAAGTTTGCCATCTCATAACTACCTACCCCGAAACTAAGACACTAACACACGCCTCTCCAGCGGCAAATTCTCCAACTACTGCACCAACTGCACTCTGGACACGCCGGAGGACGGCACCGAGCACCAGCTTACCTGTTCCTGCCGGCCGCTGGTGGGCAGCCGGAAGTACGTGCAATCGACGCTCAACCTGGACGACGGCATCGCCAACGAGTGGGGAACGCTCCGGTGCGAGGGCGGCATGGCGTCGCTGCCGCGCGGCTCGAGGGATGATTAGGCTCGAGGGACGATTAGGCTCGAGGCACTGGGAGATGATCGGGCTGTATGCGGCGTGGTGTCCCGGGATCCGCTGGGAAGGAGGGCTGGTGGGAGGTATCAACGACCACCTCACTGGCTTGAAGCGCGGTATCTCGAGACGGTCGAGTCCCTAGGTAATGCAGTCTGTTTAGCTTCTAGGCGCTGGTGGGTGTCTAGGGGAAACTAGATATGACCACGAAAAATCTGATCAATTGATACCTCACAACTCTTCCGCTGCTGCTGTGTAACTGGAAGCTTGTTGCTAGAGGTTTCATGAAGTCAGCTTCTGGTCTTCGGTTCTATCACCTGCCAACCGCTTGGAAGTTGCAGCTGAGGCGAAGAACCTCATACCGAAACCAAGCCAGTTCCCTAGAACGAAAGAGATATTTCTCGTAACCCAAAATATGGTCCAAGGCCAGATTGTGACTGCTTCGTCCCATGCAAGCTGCTGCCAACCCGACTCCACTAGCACTAACAGACATGCCATTGTCAAAAACGAGCTTGCTCGCCTCCTGCGTAGGATTCGACACGAGCAGGCCAGTATTTGTGTAAAAGTCACCTCACTCAAGCCGGCCAGCCAGGTGCAAGCAACAGATGAACAACCCCCAAAAGCATCACAAACCATAAAACAAAAAGCGATCAACCAAACCAAACCAAAACCCATCACCCAAACCCAAAACCGACCCAATCCGGTCCTATCCGCTCACCAACAAAGCAACGCAAATGGAACCGAATCAGACCCGGGTCCGACCAGTCCGACCAGCCCGGTCAGGTCGCCACCCCTCACCACCTCCACCCCGCACGCGACCACACGAGGGAGTTGCCCGAAACGGACAACCAGGGATGAGGAACCAAGGCAGCCGTCCAGAACAAACAGTCAGACAAATCCCGCCTCTTACTTTGCTGGCTGACGTCCATCCATCCATCATCATCTCGCCCTCTTTCATTTGGATGCTCAATCGACTCGACAATGATGAGCGAGTTCTGGGCGATAAACAGGGCCTCGGGGGATGCCGAGTATATTGCAGCAACACAGAATACCCACTTTAAAGATGCCTCGACGTAATAATCACCACAACACGCACCCAGATCATCTCCTTCAAAAACCATGGTCTCATTAGCGCATAGGCTCAGGCTCTTTCTCTACCATCTAACCCCGCGACGCCACCCCTCTCGCCTCGTCCCGATATGATACCGACAAATCTTGTCTATCGCGAATCAAGCACCCCGATGGTTAAGAGAGTCAAAAACTTTTATGGAGGTCATTACAAATATTCCGGGACACGCAGTCCAGCCCCCCATCACCCGTCGTCAGTCAACGCCCCGGCGGGGCTAGCTCCAGAGCCAAGGCCCGGGCCGGGCGCGACGGCGGATGTGGATGGCGCCGCTGCAGGTCCGATTCACTTCATCAGGGGAAAACCATGGCACAAATAACCGGATAACCCTCTACTGGGCAGCGGGAATCTTGGCGGGCGAGGTGCCGAGACCGTTCTGGTTGCGGAAGAAGAGGACGCCCTTGGCGCGACCCTCAGCGCCCTCGGTGGGCTCGACCCACTGGCACCAGCGGGCGCTCTTCCAGATGGCCTTGATGAAACCGGCGGGGCCCTCGCGGGTGTCGGCGCGGTAGTGCTGGCCCATGATGGGCTTGATGGCTTCGGTGGCCTCGTCGGCGTTGTAGAAGGGAATCGAGCTGACGTAGTGGTGCAGCACGTGGGTCTCGATGATGCCGTGCAGCAGGTGGCGGCCGATGAAGCCGAACTCGCGATCGATGGTGGCCGCGGCGCCGCGCACAAAGTTCCACTCGGAGTCGGTGTAGTGGGGCAACGAAGGGTCGGTGTGCTGAAGGTACGTGATGGCAACTACGGGGACTCCCTGTTAGTACGTCGTGTTTCATGGTGGTCCGGGGGGGGACAGATTACTCACCGAGCCAGTGGTTGACCCAGACGTAGGGCAGGAAGTACCACACAAACATGTTGGACCAGCCGAAGGTCTTGCCGAGGTAGACGAGCGCCGAGATGGTGATGGCCAGACCCAGGTCGCTGAGCAGAATGTACGAAGCGTCACGGTTCTCGTACAGCGGGCTGCGCGGGTCGAAGTGGTTAACGTTGCCGCCCCAGCCGTTCTTCTTGCCCTTGCCGCGGCCCTCCCTCTGCCTCTCGTGGTTGTCGTGGCCCGTCACGTTGGTGAGGAGGTAGTTCCACCAGCCGATGAGCTGCTGGCCAAGCAGGTGGATCATGGTGTAGATGGGCGTCTCCTCGGTCAGCTCCGAGATCTCGTGGACGAGGCGGCCGATACGGCTGGCTTGCTGCTCCCGGGTGCGGGGGACGAACACCATGTCGCGGTCCATGTTTCCGGTCGCCTTGTGGTGCTTGCTGTGGCTGAGCTGCCAGCTGAAGTAGGGCACCAGGAGGGCCGAGTGCAAGACCCAACCGACGATGTTGTTGAGCTTCTGCGAGGGAGAGAAGGCGCCGTGGCCGCACTCGTGGGCAAGGACCCAGAGGCCAGTGCCGAAGAGTCCCTGGAGGAAGGTGTACACGCCCCAGAGGACGACACGCAGAGGCTGGGATGGGATAAACTCTGGCGTCACGTATGTGTTCCAGAGATAAAAGGTCGTGGCGAGGTAGACCATGTCGCGTGCCACATACCCGAGACTGCGAACGGCCGAGCGCTCGTAGCAGTGCTTGGGAATGGCATCGCGGATCTCCTTGATGGTGAAGTCGGGGACCTGGAACTCGTTCCCGTATGTGTCAACAAGCTTGCCGTACTTGGTCGGGGCCGAGGCGTCGTCGGAGGCCAGCGACGACAGCGAAGTAGAGGAGGGCGAGTGGCGGGGCGAGTCGGACGGCGAGTCCATCGGCGAGACAACGGCACTTGAGTCCGAGTCGGTGTTGGAGGCCATGTTCCGCCTCAGGAACGGCTTGTTGGCCGCCGGGAGGCTCGAGGCGGTCGTGGGCGCCATGGTGGTTACGTTGGATGGTCGATTGGCCCAGCAGGAGCACGTCGTGTGGTGTAAAGAAGACGAGGACTCTGGGTGTTTCCCGAAGATGGAAATCGAAGCAAGGTTACACACCAAGGACCGTCAGGAGGAACCGCGATCAACCACGGAGAGGAAAAGAGAGAAGAAGTGTGGGGGTCAGTGCGAAGAAAAGAACGTCGGACGCCCCTTCCGCCGATGCAGGGACTGGAAAAATTCGAGTGGGTGCTGCTGCTTCCGTGGGTCGACTCCCAGCGATTTGTTGGGATGGGCCCGTACCGTACAGATGGCGGGCACTTACAAAAAAGTATGGGCCGTCGGAAAGGGCAATTCAGACCCTGCACAACAACGGGTAACGCTTGGGTAGCACACGGGAACACCACCACGAAAGGGGGCCAGAATCTTGCTGTTTTAAAGCAAACGAAGGAAAATACGTCCTTCTCATAGTTACTTGCCTTTGTTACCTTTGTCGCCTCGTTTCGAAATTTCCCAACTTTCCTCGATCATGGAGGCTTCGCTCTCGGTTTGGCCACGGGCGGGCCCCACACAAGGCGCCGTCTCTCCTCCCGACGGGCAGCATTTTCAAACTGAGGTGGCCAGACTGCAGGGTCTTGGGGAGACGCGCACACGAAATCCCAGACCGCCAAGAATGACCGAATCGGTTCACCGCCTCGACTGTGAGCGAGGAGGCGGCGAAGTCGAATGGTCCAAGTTGTGTTCTGAGCCCGCAGCCGACTGGCATGTGAATGTGCGTGCTTGAGCTGAGCTGGCATGGCTCGACAAAATGTCTTGCCGAGGCCGACCCGATTGGCGGCATTTGATCGAGCTAGCCGGGGGCTGGCTGGATATCGAAGATCGTCACTGCGTGCATTTTCTCCTGGCAGCAGCCAGTCAGCCACTTTGGAGCGGGCACGGAGGCCCAAAGAGACAAGCGAGGAGGCCGGGCGGCGGACACATGGAAGTGATGAGGCCGCCGAGCCCTCGATCCCGCAGGATCCCCCGTTGGTTCTGGAACGATCACGAAGAGGCGGAGTTTGAGAACTGGCGCGGCGAAATGGAAGTTTCGCTTTTGCAACCCAAGTTGTTCGTTTGGGCAGAGCCGGGGGTGGGCGGCAGTGGACCCTGCAAATCCCTGCAAGGCACGCTCAAACCGCGGGGGCGGGGTTCCTCCAGACTGGAGAAGCGGCCAATTTTCTGTTTGATGGCAAACTCGAAGTTGCATGGGATGGCCGTGATGTGGTGCGCTGAGAACTCGAATCACGGACCGCCCGAGTCTCAATCGGCTCTCGCTCTGCATAAAACCTCTTTCAGCTGCCAGCTGTGCATCAAGATCCTGATGCAACCGGTTCCTGAGATCCAATCCGTCAAAGGAAGCCAATCGGGAATCAGGGAGATGCAACACGCCCAGACTCTGTCAGGCTTGTGAAAAGGTGGAGTCCTAACTTTTGTTGGGGCGCTAAGAATCTCGGCCAGTTTTGTTGAGATCAACCGTGCTCTTCACTCCTCGGTCCCTGCGATTTCGGATGCAGGTTGGATTTGTGCATTTCTCCCAGAGCGGATTCATCCCGCCTCGCCGCCACCGCCTCCAAAATCAAAACGCAAGCTCCGAACCACCACCGAGGGCTCTCCGGAGAGGTCCCCGGAGGGATTCTCGAAGTCTCCCCCTGGTCATCGGTTGCGGTTCCTCCCGCAGCCCGGGGCTTCCGGAACTTGGCAAAGCAACCCCCGGTCTTGGCTTCTTCGCTTCGTGTTGTATCCTCTTCCAACATCACCATCCATCGAAAATGCAAGGCCATGATGATTCTTGTGTGAATTACTCGTAATCTGTCTTCGTTCTACCCGTCGAAATCAAAACAGCGACATGTTCCCACTCGCGACAGCCCTGCTACTGCCATGAAAGCCCGAGATCGAGCTTGTTCGCGGGCGATGCGTCCCAGATAAGGGTTCACCACAGGCGTCTCCTGGTTCACCAGGTTCACCACAGGCGTCTCCTGGTTCTCCCCCTTGCCAAAACGCCGCCTCTTGGCCGGGCTCGGGCTGGGACCCTGCTGCGCCGCCTCACGCGCCCGCTTCCATCGGCGGGGAGTCGACGGCTCAACGGACCGGGCCTCAATGGACGGGCTCGGGCTGGGACCCTGCTGCGCCGCCTCACGCGCCCGCTTCCATCGGCGGGGAGTCGACGGCTCAACGGACTGGGCCTCAATGGACGGAAGCACGTCCTCGACGTCAGCCTCGATGCCGTCATCATCATCGTCGTCATCGTCTTCTTCGTCCTCTTCTTCGTCCTCCTTCTCGCGGAGGATGCTGGCCCTGGACAGGACGTAGGTCTCATCAGTCGAGTCGTCGCTGTGCCCAACGATCGGCGCGTGGATGTACTCCCACTCCTCCGTCGCCCGGCTCGGCTGCGGTCTCTCCTCCATCCTCCTCGCCGCTCGCCCCCGCGCCTCCACCCAGGCCTGCTGCTGCTCCAGCTGTGAGTGGTGTTAGTGTCTGCTTCCCCAAACCCCGGGGACGGAACCGGACTCACCATCTTGGTTTGCTTCTTTACCTTCCCCGCGAGCACCTTGGTTTGCTTCTTGAGCTTGATCACCCGCTTCTTTTGCCGCTCGTTGTGTTTTCGGAGCTGCTCGGCCATACTGAGCTGCATGGCCTCGAGTTTGTCTGTCACCTCCAGCGCTACCGCTCGCGCTAGTGCGCTTGTCTCTTCGGGTGCCTGGGCCGCGTGCATTTTGTCCACTTCGAGTTGGGGAGCGGACGTAGGAGTCTGCGGGGTATGGTCAGCCGGGCTGGATTGTCCGGCGGGAGTCGAGATTGCGAGTGCATAGCTTTTGAGAGAGGGCGAGCGCGGAAATTGCCCATCTTCAAAGGAAGTCGAGGTCGGGAGGTCCTCGCGCTGGCGAGGCGTCTCTGCGGTGCGAATCTCAGCAGGCGTCTCTGGGCTGACCCGGGTGGTGATGGGCTGGAACCGCGCCGGCAGGTACGGCAGCCGCTCAGAATCGGACTCCTCCTCTTTCAGTTGCGGCGGATGCCTGACGTTCGGATCCGGCTGCCCGCCTTCGTCTCGGTCCGACAACTTCTGGTCCGCCGGGGTCTGGGCTCTGCGTCTCCTCTCTCCGAGCCTCTGCTTGTTCGGATTTTTTTCGGGAGGGGGCTGCCGAGGTGATGATGTGGTGTGGCTCTCTGAGGGCCGGTTCTTGTTTTTATTGCGGCCCTGGGTATTGGGGCCTTGTGCCGCGGGGTGGCTATCTGACAGATGGCTGGTCGATGAATGGCCTTGCTGATGGTGGCTTTGGCGGGTTGCTGGCTGGTTATTTTTGGACTGGTGGTTCCCCGGTTGCTGCTTGCGCGACGTCTGGTTGGTGGCCTGGCCCCGTTTCGGCATCTGTCGTCTTGGTCGTTGCTGTATTGGGTGCTGGGGTTTTGATTGCTGGTGTTTCAACTGGTGCTGGTTTGGCTGGTGGTGATTGTATTGTTGATGCTTCGACTGCCACCTCCCCGGTCGGTAGTTACGCGGCCCCGTCGGCGGATGGTTACCAGGAGCGATTGAGTCTTGTTGCCCGTTTGGTGGGCGGCCCAGCCGAGGATTGGCGACCATCCGGAAAGGGGGATTGGTGGGATATCTCGGATCCTGTCTTGAGGTCAGTTGGATATCTACCTCCGATCTGTTTCACCCCAGACCTGGTCAAACCGCCTCGGGGCGTTGCGGATCGCAGCCTCAGCTGCTCTGTTTGCTTCTATCGCGAGCCTGAGTGCTTCGGGATCAGTTGGCGGTTTTGCCTTTCGGGGAGAGCTCGATGCTGGGTGGTAGGAGGTCTTCTGGTCTCCATGTTTAGGCTCCGTTTTGGAGAACCCGGAAGGTACTTGAGCCGCGCGATACTCGGCTTCGAGATCACGCATATTCTTTCCCGCGGTCTTCAACTCCCAACATTGTTCAAGTCTTGGATGCATCCCTACTGGCTCTGGCGCATATCCAAATTGACAAGGGGGGTTGGGGCCAGCGGGAGGAACTAGGAAGGTGTCACCTTTGTGTGACGGGTTGAAAGGGTCTGGCAAGGAAAGCTTCCCGTTGCCGGTAGGAAAACTAACAGAATTTGTGAGCCCTAACGGCAAACTAGCCCTCGACGTTCCTCGCACTGTCAACGAGAAAGATGCGAATGGCATTTTAGGACGCGACGCGACTGCCCAACGGGATACCACTTAGAAACGGGTCTGCAGCGTTTGTCCAGGAGGACGGCGTGCCTTTAAGTCGAGATGACTTCAGACCAGGGGTTCCTCGCCCACGATGCCGTACCAGGGTTGCCGTGTTACACCACCCATAGCAAAATCCATCCGTCTTGCCTGGCAACGTTTCCGTTTGTGTGCTCGAGAACCCACGTCTAGGAACAAATACCGTGGGACTGTACTCGATGTGGTAAACTACCACAGAGTCATTGCCGATAGCCCCGGTTATCCCAAGCAACTGTGCCGGAATTAAGTGCTCCTCTGCTTACACGAGTAGAGCTATTCTTCTACTCGACATAATCGCCCGACACATACTCGCCAGACACACACTGCTGCACATATAGTCCCTTTCGGACTCCCAACTGGAACACCGCCCGTTTACCCCATCCCACTCCTGAGATGGCAGTTTGGGGCGTGGACGAGACGGGTAGCAACACGTCTCAGGGTCTGTCATCTGAACCCGCACGGGTGCCTGCGTCTCTGGCACCGTGGCGCGCCGCAACAAACACGCAAGCAGGACGTGACAACGGTTAGGTTTCGTGATCCCGGGGCCTCTCTCGTCTGGTAAGTCTAGGTGGGAGCTGGACAATTGGCGACATAACCGCAAAAACCGTCGAAAGCGAGTCGATTGGTTTTGAGGTTCTCTCCATCCCCAGGATGAGGCTACGCAAGGTCGAACACATACATCCCATGGCTGTTTGCAACCCCACAGCCCCAAGGGCAACCCACCCCGACATCCACTTCTCACGGCCTCTCACACCCCATCCTCACGACCATTCGCACCTGACGCTCACCACACTCAAATCAGACCAACAGACATTGATTAACATGCTGCCCCCACCAAGACCTACATACTTGACTTAGCATGCAACCCCCCTTCCCACAAACCCAACCGCGTAAACATCCGCAGATAATGGAATCCCAGCTTTTGATGCCCTCACCACTAGTTAACTACCATCTTCATTCTCCGGGGCCCGAACCCAAACCCAACCCCAACCCCAAACTCAAACCACCCCACCATGGCCCCCGTCCCGATCCCACTCGAACCCGTTTCCCAGCTCCAGAGGACTGTGCATCCACCAAGAATCCAGGACAAGCACCCGGCGTAGCGCGACAGAGAGAGGAAGGAAGAAATTTGCCCAGACGGGACAAACGGATAGAATTTCACGCGCTCCCGCCCTAACCTGAGGCACAAACTCAACGTTACACAGCAGCACCAGCAGCAGGAGCGGCGGCAGCAGTCTAATTGACAATCTCCTCCGTCTCCTCGAGGACCTCCTCCATGATCTCCTCGACGACCTGCTCCTCGACCTCCTCGCCCGCAGGGGCAGCAGCAGCCGCGGTCTTCTTCTGGAGGAGCTCGGCGACGGGGTCCTCGGGCAGGCCGAGGGCGGCGCGGTCCTCGGCGAGCTCCTCGTCCATGCTCTCGCGCCAGGCGACCCACTCGAGCAGCATGCGGCGGCGGGCGTCGACGACGGCGACGTCGGCGCTGCTGATGCGCTCGGCGTCCTCCTGCTCGAAGACGCGCGAGTACTCGCGCAGGTTCTTGCGGATCTGCTTCTGCTCCTCCTTGGTCAGCAGCGTCGCCGGCCGCGGCCGCCACGACCACTGCTTGAACTTCTCGATCGCCTCCTCGCGCAGCGGCTCGCCGCGGAAGTCGTAGAGGTGGTAGCCGTTTTCCATCTGCGGGCCGGGTTAGTGGGATGGTGGTTGTTTTATTCCGGGGGAGGTCTGATACTTACCGCGTGCTTCCACGATGACGCCCAGGTGGCGACGTAGCGGCCCGAGGGGTCCCACTCGATGTCGGTCATGCCATAGTGCTCCGATGTGTTCATCAGCTGCAGGTTCGCCGTGAGGTCCTTCTCGCCCTCTGGCTTCTCGCCCTCAAAGTCGACGTCGAAGAAATCGAGGTCGGAGCTCTGGGTGTTGGCGATGGCGGCGACGACGACGAAGCGGCCCTTTGGTGACCAGTAGATGGCGTTGCTGTTCTTCTTGTCGAGTGTCCGCAGGTGCTTGAAGTTGCCGACCGCGTTGCCCTTGGCCTTCTCAGGACAGAAAAAGGCGACCGAGGTCTTGGGCGCGACAGCAACGGCGCCGGCCGGTTCGGGGTTGGTGATAATGACGAACCGATCACCCTTAGGCTCCCAGGCAAAGTTAATGACTGTGTCCTTGATGGTGTCGACCACCTCGACGGGCACGCCCTTTTCCTTGACGCGGAATATCTCGAGCGTTGTCGCCTGGGATTTCTTGGACTTGGAGTGCCGATCAACCTTGACGCAGATATAGGAGGAATCAGATTGCCAGTGGAGCTTGACGTCGGACACGCTGAATAGGTTGAGCGACCGAACGATTTGCTTGGAGGGGATGCTCATCAGGCCGACCCTCGCGGGGTTGCTGCCGATCTCGGGTGTCCAGAAGCAGAAGAGCTGTTCGTATGTCTTGACGCCGTCCCGGCGCGGGGTGGCGGGCGCCCACTCAAAGTCCATGACGCCCTCGATCTTGATCGCCGTCTTGTCCATGAGATTCATTTTGGGAAGCTCGTACACGGAGATCGAGGTGCCTTGGTTCAGCCTTGCCACGTACTTGTCGTCTGCGGACCACTTGAACGCGGGCCAGGGGAACTTGGCCGGCTTCTTGGCCGGATCATCGCCGGTTGCTGGTGTGTCCTGCTGGGCAAACGACCGCAGGGGCTTGGATGTCTCGAGGTCCCAGATGACATAGTTCTTGCCGTCGTCGTCGAGCGATAGGGCGGAGTGTCCGCTGTCGGGGATCGAGATGGGCCGGTTTGACCAGGTGACCATATACTTTTCGTTAGGTGAGAAGGCGACCAGGTTGACGAAGGGGTGCGGGAACCGCCTGAGCCTCGCCCATGAGGCGCCACCCCAGAGTAGCACGCCCTGAGCGTGGACGGATGTGAGATATGTCCCCTGAGGCGACCACTGAACGAAGGTTTCGGTCCATTGTTGCCGGTCGACAATATTCTCTGGTTGGTCCTTCTCGTTGTTCCAGAACACGCCCACCGTCTCCCCCCTGAACATGACAAACTGGTCTCTGCCACGCTCGCTCGGGTCCGACATGAAAGATCGGAGGTGCTCCTTCTCCTGGAACTCTTCGATCTTGGGCGCCGTGTACTCCTCGTCGATGCGGCCCTCCCGCCCATACCGGTCAACATCGGTGAGCTTGTTGACGCGCAGGGTGTGCTTCTTGTCGAGCGGGGTGAAGTCGAGCTGCCGCACGGCCGCGGCGGCCTCGGCGGGCGACGAGTATTCAACAAAGGCAAACCTATGGGGGTCAGCATAACGACCATTTTACGATTGGAGAACCCCGCGTTTCCACCGAGAAGCGGCATACCTCAGCGACAAGCCGTCATCGCCCATGGGCATGTAGACTGAATCCTCACTGACCCTCCCGACCGTGTTGAGTTTCTTTAGTAAAAATTTGATGAGCTTCGGTTTTTGCTCCTCGGTAACCGCGGGCAAGCCGTCGACGACGACAAATGTGTCATAGCCCTGCTCTAGCTGGACTTCGTATTTCTCGCGGAGATCTGAGATGTCGACCTCGTCCATGTCGAAATCCTCCTCATCGAGGTCCTCATCGCGCAAGTGGTCGAACGACGGCGCCATGCTGGGCAATAAATCGGGCTAGTCCGTATCGTGGATCTGCTGCGAAAACGGATGGGTTGCCGATGTGGTTGGGTTGTGCTGCCGCGGGGACTGGGGATCTTCGTCGTCGGGATAATTGACGAGATTTTGTGCGCTGCGCAGAACGTGGTGGGGTTCAGCCAGATGGGAGTTTGGAAAAATTGCCCCACACTTGGTTAAGCGACTTGCCCGGTTGTCCTTTTAACACGATTTATCGGGAATTATTTGAGATGCAGAGTCACTTCCAAGGATGATCGAATACGAAGAGCAGGCAGCAATGCTCTCGATATTTTTTACAATATTTGAGAATTAACTTCTTTGTCTTGCCCGGTGTAAAGTGCGAGCCTGACATGTTCCGTTTCAGGTGGCGGCCAACTGTAGAAAGGCGGTGAGAAGCTCTTCGAAATTTTGCCATTTGCTTGGGCAAAAAGTCCAGCAGCTTCGGTTGCCCTGTAGCAGCGCCTGCCTGGTCCCGAGCTGCCCCTCCTCCCCGCCATTCTTGGACCGTTACTTTAGCGGACCTCATCCCAAAGACTTTCGGTTTTTCTAGATACCCGACACTGTCTTCGTCATGGTGCGTTTTACCCATCTCTCTTTGTATTATTTTTTATGTTTTGGGCCATTGCTAACAAACGCTGCAGTCTTCGTTTAACCCCACCCAGATCTTCGAGGAGGGCACGACACAGGAAAAGGGAGAGAATGCCCGCCTCGCGGCCTTCGTCGGCGCTATTGCCGTTGGTGATCTGGTGAAGAGCACACTCGGGCCGAAGGGCATGGACAAGATCTTGCAGTCAGGGTACGTTGTCTGGGTTCGGCTGGTGTTTGGTTTTGGTGGTGTTTGTGGGGCTGACAAGGGGCGGCAGGTCGACCGGCGAGATCATGGTCACCAACGATGGTGCGACAATCCTCAAAGCTATCGCTCTCGATAACGCGGCGGCAAAGGTACTGGTCAACATCTCCAAGGTTCAGGACGACGAAGTCGGCGATGGGACCACATCTGTTGCGGTCCTCGCGGCAGAACTCCTGCGCGAGGCCGAGCAGCTCGTTGCCAAGAAGATTCACCCCCAGACTATTATCGAAGGGTACCGGATAGCTAGCCAAGCAGCGCTGAAGGCCCTGGAAGGGTCAGCGGTGGACTACAGCAAGAATCCGGATGCGTTCAAGAAGGACCTTCAAGCCATTGCCCGGACCACGCTCAGCTCCAAGGTGCTCGCCCAGGACCGGGACCACTTCTCCCTGCTAGCCGTCGACGCCGTCCTGCGATTGAAAGGCTCGTCGGACCTCAGCAACATCCAGATTATCAAGAAGGCCGGCGGCAAGCTCAGCGAGTCGTACCTCGACGAGGGTTTCATCCTAGACAAGAAGATTGGCGTCAACCAGCCGAAGCGGCTCGAGAAGGCCAAGATCCTCGTTGCCAACACGTCTATGGACACGGACAAGGTCAAGATCTTTGGAGCTCAGCTCAAGGTCAGCTCGACTAACAAGCTGGCGGAACTCGAGCGGGCCGAGCGCGAGAAGATGAAGGCCAAGGTGGAGAAGATCAAGGCGCACGGTATCAACTGCTTCATCAACCGGCAGCTGATCTACAACTGGCCCGAGCAGCTCTTCACCGACGCCGGCATCATGTCGATCGAGCACGCCGACTTCGACGGCATCGAGCGGCTCGCCCTCGTTACCGGCGGCGAGATCGCCTCCACCTTCGACCACCCGGAGCAGGTTAAGCTCGGCCAGTGCGATGTAATCGAGGAGGTCATGATCGGCGAGGACACGCTGATCAAGTTCTCTGGTGTGGCCGCTGGCCAGGCATGCACCATTGTGCTCCGCGGCGCGACCAACCAGCTGCTGGACGAGGCCGAGCGCAGCCTGCACGACGCGCTGGCCGTGTTGTCGCAGACGGTGGTGGAGCCGCGCACCACGCTCGGCGGCGGTTGCGCCGAGATGCTCATGGCCAAGGCCGTCGAGGGCGCGGCCACGCGCGTCGAGGGCAAGAAGCAGACGGCCGTCGCCGCCTTCGCCAACGCGCTGCGCCAGCTGCCCACCATCCTGGCCGACAACGCGGGCCTCGACTCGGGCGACCTCGTCGCCCGCCTGCGCAAGGCCATCTACGACGGCATGTCCACCTACGGCCTCGACCTGATGACCCCCGGCGGCGGCATCGCCGACATGCGCGACCTCGGCGTCATCGAGAGCTACAAGCTCAAGCGCGCCGTGGTCAACTCGGCCAGCGAGGCTGCAGAGGTAAGTTTCCCTCCTCTCGGACGGGTCGGTAGTTGAACTGTGCGTGTGCTAACCCGGCTGCAGCTCCTCCTCCGTGTGGATGACATAATAAGAGCGGCTCCCAGGCGGCGGGAGAGGTGAGCGGGGAGTGGCTGCCGCGACGAGGTGTTGCACTGTAGAGTACCATAGACGGGCCCAATACATTGCTGAAGCCATTTACTGGGATATCCGGTGACTGATTTGGGGTGTCGATATTGTAGCGACTGTCACCCATTTTTCGCATTCCGGATCCCTTACCGGGCATAGACAGACACTCACCATCTACACATAGCCACCTAGGCACCCTCTGTTTGACCCCAGGCCGTTATACCACCGAACCTTGCGTTAGGCCGCCTTCTCTCCCCCAACCGTTTTATGAGGCCCCCAACCCCCCCCATCCCTAGTGCGGTCGAGCTCGACTTGTATCCGCCCGGTCGTCGTGCGCCCCAGAACCGTGTCAGTCCGACTGGGGCACCTTATGACATCGGTGTGTTTTCTTCCCTCGCTCCTGTGGGTAGCGGCCTGTTTATCAGCGCTGGCCCGCTCGGTGCTTTTGTTGGTGGTGACTCTAGGGGTCTGGGGATGGTGTGGTTCCGTGCGTGCTGGGACGGTAGGTGTTGGGGGGCTGGTGTGTGGTGTGGCAGTATGTAAGGGGGGAGGGGGCGTTCTGGTTTTATGGTTTGGTGGTAGCGGCGGTATCAAAGGGGAGAGAGGGGGGGGGAGGGAGAAAGAAGTGGTATGGCAAATTTGGGGTTGGGGGAAGGGTCCAGTTGGTGTTAAGACTACCTAAGGTACCTATCCTTACCTCGATACGCCCCTTTTCTCGCACATTCTTCCACATCGACCTTGAACTCGTGGCACAACAATCCGAAAAGGGTAATACCATGACCACCCGATGGCGTTGAAAACCCCGACATGTTCTATTGGCTCTGGTCCGCGGAATCTCCCGCGTCCGTCACGCGAGCATGAGACGACCGAGGGAAGCGGAGGAGTGACTGGCCGGCTTACGGACGCAACAGAGAAAACGGTCAGCGCCACAGCCCCGGAAACCGCGGGCCGACAAACTCACCGGACGCCCAACACGGCGCTGGGCCGTTGCAATCGGAACGTGGATAGGTAGGAAGCTGGGCTGTGGTACTTTATCCTAAATAGCCTGGCCACGGAACGCCTCGTCTTGGTGTGTGTTGTATTATTCGTTGTCACCTCGGTTTTGCTTGTGCAGTTCGGGGATTGTCTGGAGACGGGATTTGGGCATTTGGTTCTTCATACTGCCTCTCTGCAAGACATGGTGGTGTGCTGTGAGAGTCATCCTTGGGCGGTTACACTGAGGTGCTGATGGAGATGGGTGCCGTGGCATAGGGTTCAGTTCAGCATGCTACTCGTACCAAGACGGGATATATTGCATCTCCCCCAAACCGGGTAACATCAAACGAGTCCTACCGGGTTGGGTTGCAGTGAATCGGGGATCGACGCGTGTGGATGCATAGTTTATTTTCTTCCATTTAGAACGCGGAGCTTTCTGCGGAGGTAGATTACTACCTACTTAAACCCCCTTATGATGTTGGAATGTTCGTGCTTTTGTCACTTCTTGAGGACTTAGCTCTAGGTGCTAGCCGTTTACTCTACCCACTAAGGACAGCCTCGGTTAACCCCCTAAAATGGCTCTTCTCCTACGCTCCGCGGTTATAGCTTTGCTCTCCTCGACAGTTGCTGGGCATGGCGGCGTGTGGAATTACTCAATCGCAGGGGATTGGCGCCCTGGGTATAATCTTTAACAGTCATTGCCAGGCTGGCGATGTTAGCGAGAACCTCAACTGACCGCTCCCTACCAGTTTCTTCCCGTACTATCCCGCCGACGGCCAGAGCTCGATCCAGCGGCACTGGGTCGACTTCAGCCCCATCGTCGACATCACCTCCCCTGCGCTCGTCTGCAACAACCCAGGCAGCTACGCGGAGGAGTACGCAACAGTCGACGCAGGCGCCGAGATCAAAGCCTACTACCCGGGCTGGCCGCACGACATCGGGGCGGTGGTGGTGTGGATGGCATACTGCGGGGCCGAGCCGGCGGCGTGCTCGTCGTTCAACGGCACGGGGCGGCACTGGTTCAAGATCGACCAGGCCGGCCTGCTGTCGGGCAGCATGCGCGAGGGCCTGTGGGCGCAGAAGCAGCTGATGGCTAACAACTTCACGTGGGGCGCGACCATCCCCGAGACGCTCAGGGGCGGCGCGTACCTCCTGAGACACGAGCTGATCGCGCTGCACGTGCCTTTTTCGCCCGAGTTTTACCCCGAATGCGCGCACTTGCATGTGCTGAGCTCTGGGGATGGGGTACCAGGGGAGGAGTATCTGGCGTCCATCCCGGGGGTTTGGGAGGAGGATGGTGAGTGACTGTTCGTGCGGTAGGGTTGGGCAGAAGCATTTTTGCTGACACCACGATTTAGAACCCGAACTCCATCTCAGTATTTACGAAGAACCGACATCGAGTAGGACGGAATGGGTGATCCCGGGGCCGGCGGTTTGGGAAGGATCTGGACAATAGCTTGCATCAAGTTGTCGTTGTACTGAAACCTTTTCTGTCTATCGACGTTGCTAAAAAGGTCGCTGGGACCTAGCTAGGCGTGCGGCCTTCCCGCTCACGGGGTTCACTTTTCGTGGGGGAACAGGCAGTCGGATTGGGAATGAGGAGCGTAGAGGCTATGGCTAGCAAGTCAGGCCGGCCTCAAGGAAGAGAAGGTTCGAGTTGGGGGAGGAATCGGCGCTGCTCGGCGTCCTCGGGGAGAAAGGAGGGACAGAGTAAAAGGTAGGATTCCGAGGAAAGTTTCAAGGTACCTAACTTGAGAAGATAAAGAGACTACCTAGGTATGAATACGTTATAGCCAAATGATGAGGAAAGGAAGTGGAAAAAGAAGAGTATAGAGCTGCTGGTCCCCCCAGAACACTCTCCCCCAGAACCCGCTCCCCCGACCCTCGAGGCTCTCATAGAGTGTAGCATCATTTATGCAGTTACGTCGTCTACTACTAAGACTTGGTAACTACAGACCCATGCGGTCTAATACTATGACAAGCCTGGCAGCCCAGAAAGCTGGGTAGCGCAAGATGCGGGAGTTGAACCCACTGTCTCTTGCCATGAACTGGCAGTCGAGACCACTTGACCAGCAAGCTCTATTTGTGTTGTTATTTTAGAATAGGTACGGCAAGTATGGTAATAAGGGTAGGTACCTAGGTAGGCAGGAAGGTATTGTTGTCACGGAGTGGATAGCTGGTGGCAGGTGGCAGCGGCCCTCTTCCATCCCGTGTTTAGGGAAGATAAAGAAGGTACCTTACGTACTAGGTACTTGACGTTAGAACAATAGGTAGGTACCAAGGTGTTTAGAATAGTATGAGGGAATATAGGAACTAGTTTATTGTTCAGACTAGGTAGGTACCTAGCGAATATGCGCGCAGTAGTAGGCTCTACGCATCCCAAGTTGGCAATTTCCGCTCGATGAATCGCTCCCTTCCGAGCCCGAGCTTGAAAGTTCTGATGACCACTTGGGCACTTATAAAACTGAAACTTTGCCTCCCCAACCCAGCTCCATCCACTCCCGCAACCTCCAAAGTGAAGTGTCTCAACTTGTCGTGGCATTGCTTTCGCCTTCGCATCCCCCCCCCCCCCTCAATTTACAAACCTTGGGTCATTCCCGCCCTTCCTCCTCGCGTTTCCCTCGTTTTCCTTTCTCGCGGAAAAGAAAAGACAATATACAAAATGCCGGGCCCGGGTGTCTTTCTCGTAGACTATTTCCCGTGGGCTGGTTTCCTCTGGTGAGCCCAAGGCAGCAGTTCGACCCCTGATGGATGTCCCCTTTATAAAACAAATCACTCACGTTATGCAGGCGGCGTGGGCAGGGCTCGCCACGTATCCTTCGCTCGGACCGCCGTGACGCGGTCGTCCAGCGCGCCCTCATGGAGGTCAACAGGGCCAGGCTGAGGAAGCGGGACGCCCAGAGGCTGATAGTCGGTGCGGTGGCTCTCGTGGTCGAAAAGACAAACGACGTTGAGGCCGGCATCCGCCCCAGCGAGGGCATCATCGGGTACCTCGAGCGCTCGGCCGACTTCTCTCCCGTGTCCCGGGCCATTGGCACCGAAGTCTGGTGAGTGCTCATACGCCTGCGGGTTTGGCTTTTCCTTTTCCCCTAGCCGTCCCCTCTCTCCCCCCCCCCCCCCCCCTTCGAGTTGGACCTTCTGCTATAGAACTTCCGCTTCGGCCATAGACCAGTTCAACACCCTAACCCCCGTCCCCCCTACCCCCAACTAACACTCCCCCCCACAAACAGGGCCGAGCTCATCTTCCAGATCGCCGAGGCCCGCAACAAGTACGAGCGCCAGACCCCACAGGCGCAGAAGGACGCCGGCAGGGATCAGCTGACGGCCCTCGCCTTTGCCATCGACGACCTGCTCGACGCCGCCGGGAGTCGCTGGTAAGTACCTACCTGACCTATTTCCCCAAGCCATCTTCGCACTGTGTGCCGCTCGCTCACGACCGCCCCTTCCCAAATGGCGCAGGGACTGGATGTCCCTCGAGTTCTACGTCTACCCTCATCTGGTGGGGGAGGCGGCGGACTACGAGATTGACGAGTCAGACCAGGGGGAGGAGGAGGAGGAGGAGGGGGGGGGGGGGGGGGGGGAAAGGACGACGACAACGATGACAAGGATGATAACGAGGGCAAGGGCAAGGGCAAGGGCGAGGACCTCCCGCGGCAGATGGGGGGGCTCAACCTTCGTGATGCCAGGTCGGAGAAGGAGGACGGGGAAGATAAGGACCTCCCCCGGCCGCTGGAAGGGCTCAGGCCTCTCGACGCCGACGGAGATGTCCAGATGTGGACGTGAGCGCCGGGGGATGGTCCGTCGCTGGCTGGTTCGTTGCTGTGGGGCTGACTTGGTGGGCGGCGGTTCCTTTGTTTCTTTCTTTCTGGCACTTCTGCATCGCCTACACTACACTTGGGCCGGCGTCGTGCCTGGAGTGGTCGCTTTGTCGGCGGCCAGTCCTGGCTGGGGTGGGCGTGGGTGGGTGGCTTTTGCCAGAGATTGAGGAGTGAGGTATGGAGGTAGGCGTTGATTCTTTTTGGGAGCTTGGACGGGAGCAAAGCGGGCTGTGGGAATGGGACTGCTGATGCAACTTGATCTTCAGTTTCACACAACCTCCGCCTCCTCGCTTATTTAACTGACATTTGCCCTCGGTCGACTAGAACCAGGTATTCCCCGGGAACTATGGAGATTTGACAAGGTGTTTTAGGGCTTCTCATCCGGTGACGCGAAAGATAACGAACAGGATCTGTCACGTCGTCACTTGCTGGACAGCGGAAACATGGAATGCGGGTGTTTTATTGGGGCATGAGTTTGTGGATACTAACTAGGTACCTACCTACCACTGGGTCTTCGCAGTAGACCAAGCGCCCGCATGGAGGAGTGCCGTCTCCCATGGCTGGGACAGTCAGCAGTGCGCGTCCCCCAGCTGAGAGTCCCGAGACCTTGACGACGCCACGAAGCCCAACTCCGGTTTTCGACCACTTAGAATTACGTGATCCGCCCCGGGCTGCAATCAGATCGTATGCATGTACTTCTGCAGGAGACTGAATCCGGCACGGCCTGCATTGTCACAGCATCGGAAAAGGAAGAAGCAACTATGTTACTACCTATGGTACTAGACGGAGTCCATTCGTACCACCCGACTGAACAGGAACAGTGGGGATCATGCGGTGGGAATCTCGGAATCATGCAGTGCCAGCCAGCGCGTCTCCAAATTAAAGCGACCAACCCGCGACAGCCGCGTCTAAAACACAAAAAGGTAACCAACGTGCCGAGGCCTAAAGGTGCCTGTGGACTACCTAGTTATGTCGTCGGCTCTGCGGGGATGTGGTCTCGAGCAGCCGAGCTCAGCTCTGTTCCAGAACGCCACTTTGCTTTGGTGAAGAAGAGGGGCCGAGTCGGTCTATTATGGCGGTGCTATGCAGGGTGCTGTCGTGTAACTTGTTGTTTTCGGCTGCGGTTGCATCCCACCGACAGTTTACTCCCTACCCGTTCTTTTAGAGCCAGTCACTCGAGCTTGAAGAGAAGAATGGGGTTCCAGCTGAGACACGCTAGAAAGTAGGCGAGTCAACGCTCCTTGGTGTTCTCCGCGGAGAATTGGCGACGGCCACGGCGTATCTAGATCAGGGATGGTGGAGTGCTGCGGAACCGTGGCCACTCGGCGCGGGGTACCCGCCATTCGTGCTCGCTAACGGCGTCGGCATATGTACAGGCCGGGGAGTGCTGATATCCCTTTACCAAAACGGTCTCCCCGCGGGAGCCGCGATTGGATCATGAGCCAGCTGAGCTCAGCTCTGTTGAGCAATAACACTAGACCGGAACTGGACCGAGTCGGGGGACGCGTCCCCTCTTCTCCCGACCCCTCGTCTCCCAGTCAAGCTGTCTATAAGAGAGCGCCGCTTCTCCCTTCTTCCCCCCTTTCACCCCCGGAAGAACAAGCAAGCATCAAGCGAGCACCCACCGGAAAACGCCCATACCCAGTATAATATCCCTCACGCTCAGTCTGAAGATGACGCTCCCCATCGCCCTGGTCGATGGCGAGGAGTACCTCATTAGAGAGGTCCAAGAAATGCTCCGGCCCGAGATCGAAGGTACGTCGGCAATGCAGCATCAAATACCGCTTTCCCTATCCCTCCCCCCCATCCCCCCCCCCCCCTACGGGTAGCAGCGTCGGAAGCTTACATCAGCCAAACAGTCGTACATGTATGCATCGACGTCGACACGGCCCTCACCGAGCTCCAGCCAGGGTTTGCCGGCAGCCACCGGTGCCCGGTCGGAAGTAACGCGGACCTCCCTCCGGACCAGCGCAGGCCCCCCCGGGCCGTTCTCGTCGACGCCAGAATGCCAGTCGGGCTCGAACTTCGAATTGGCAACGTCGCCGGAGTCCCGACGGTGAGAACACGCCCAGGACCTCCGGCCGCGGGATTGGTCGCAGACTTGATTCGCGGGGAGGTGCGTCGTTTGATTGACGAGGGGGCAATTCAGCCCGAGTGAGAACGGAGAAGGGCGCTGGAGGTCGGGATCAAGGTAGCTTAGACACTAGGTAGCGATTGAAAGTAGACCGTTCCGTCTCGAGTCTAGCCTTGGTCTGGCGCGAACTTTAATGAGAATATCATCTTGAGTCTCCTAACTACCGACGGCCTGACACTTGCCGTAGGCCGCATTCGCGAGCAGGTAAATAAGCTTGTTGGTGATGGGATTACCGGGGCCGGGCGGGAACTGAGAAGGGTGCGAGAGCCCGCAACCAAGGTAGCTTGGATAGCGAGAGTAGGCCGTTCCAACTCAAGCGTGGGACCCCTGGCCGGGTTTGTCTAGCCGGGGTTCCAATGACAATGTATTCGTCCGGTGCTCCTCCTCCGAGCTACCTGCCTACCTAACTACCTTACCTATGGGGTGTGAGTCCACAACTACCTTACCTATTTACCCCTTGCAGAGTACCTAGGTAGGTAATTATAAACAGCACATGTCCCTACAGTGTTTAGGTATAGTCAGGTCTGGGACCGGTGGAGTTCCCTCGTTCCGTACGTCGACTCTAATCGGCGCCACCGACTCCTAGGTACATGTGCCTACATACTGCATCCAATTGTAGACAAAGCGCGGCAAGCGCCTCGCCAACGAGAGCCACGATCAATATTGGCCACTTCTTGCTAAGACCAGAAGCTCGCTGGGCCCGTCTAACCATTTCCGGGGCGGTCTAAACCGAATTGGATTTTGCGCGCAGGCATGCATCGTCCACTCCGACAGTTGGATCGCTAAGATCGACAAACGCAAAAAGGAGGGGACCTGGGCGTTTCCCCCTCTCACACCGTCAAGAAGGCCGCTCTCTCCCAGCGGCAACAGAACAAGCGAGTTTCTTGCCTCCCTAACAACGTCCAGGTTGGCTGCGAGCTAGGTTAGCAACTTGGAGGTGGGCTTAGTGCATACCTTCAGGTTGGTTTACGGTACCTAACAGGGTTACAAGAATTGGTTAGTCCTTCCGCTTGTTGTAGCGTAGACGTCGGTGTCGGTACATCCTCGATCGCTGTTTGCAATATGGAGGGCCATGCTTGATTCTAATGACCTGGGTGGTATTATAAACCGGAAAGGACAATACGTTCAGGAGTCTCTCTGCGAATATGCTCGGCGAGTCCAGAACCAGCTGAGTTACGTACGAAGTATTTCAAATTTGGCCGGATTTCACATTCCAAAAAGCGCCCAGCCAATAGGGAGGACTATGGGACGACGATCGACGTTGCCCGCTCTATGTAGGTATTTACCAACCACAGGGGCAAGTCAGTTGCTGAGCCCTCCCAGCTCCGTCGAACAACACCACTGATCCGGACAGCAGTTGCATGCAGAGACAGATGGCCAGGGTCGAGATATGTAAAGAGAGAGGGCGCGGATCAAACGGGGTATAGCTCGAGCAGAATACGGTCCCCTCGCTTCCCATATATAAAAGCCCGTGGTCTTTCTCTCTCCTTCCCTCCCTCTCTCTGCCCCCCTATTTACCTCCCACAGTCCCGCCTCCCCCTTCGCAGTACCTATAAATGAAGGGAACATCTAAATCACCACGCCGTCACCAGTACACAAGCACACTCACACCAAATACAATCTCTCTTCCAACAACTTAAAATGGCCCCTGCGATCCCCATTGTCCTCGTCGAAGAAGACCAGACCTTTGCTAGCATTGTCCAACATCAACTAAGCCCCGAGTATGATGGTGCGTCCGCTACTATAGCCCCCCCCTTTTTCTTCCCGCTCCCCCTTTCCTCCCCCACAGTTCCCCCGCCATACCTGGACCACCAGTATCTCACACGAGGGAGCCCCCCCCCCCCCACAACAGAAACAAGCTTTACATTTACCATGTTTACGGCACATTCTGCCACTCCCGAGTCCGGAACCCAGGAATTATGTCTGTCAGTTGTGATGGGGTACCGCGTTGCATTTTACAGAGAAAGCGTGGTAAGCGCCCGGCCAACAGAGGGCCGCGATCAACACGGCCCGCTCGCTCTTCTGCATGGATATGTCTATGTACACACATGCCAAGAAGGGAGAGCTGGCTGAGCCCAGCTACATTGAGCAAAGACACGAAGTCGAACAGAACAGGTATTCAGCAGAGATATGTGATACGCTGAGACAGTGTAGAGGCCTAAGAGTCGGGATTATCAGGATTGACGGATGCGAGGAGAGGGAAACATGAAGTCCCCCCCAGCTCCCTTCTTCCTACCCTGAGAAGAGTGCTGCTAGAGCCTGTAGCTCAGTATCATAGGAGGTTGGGTAGCTTGAATACTTCTTACCTCTAGACTATTCCGTCCTGCACCCGGTCGGCTTCCATGCGTGTCAGTGACTTGACCACCTCATTGGCGCAAGGTCTCACCGATTTGCACGTTAGTTACGTGTGATGGGGCAAGTGCGGCAAGTGCCTGGCCGACGGGATCCGCGATCGACATTACTTGCTCCGACTATGTACTTGCGAAGAGGAATGGGGAGAGCCAGCTGGGCACAGCTCTGCCGCGGAGAACCGTCATCTGCTCGAGAGTCGGATGATCAGGCATCGATATCGATAAATGGAAAGAGGAGGCGTAACGCTACGCCCCCCCCTTCTCATGCCATCTCCCGTACATAAGAGAGCCGTGTTCCTCCCCCCCATTCCAACTCCCACTCCCACCAAGCAAGCAAACATCAATCCATTCATCACCAGCTCGTTATCCGCACCATCCATACCAACCACCACAACCCCCTTTCCCTACCCAACATATCTGCCCCAATCCCCATCCCATCGTTGAAGAAAATGAGGAGCTTGCAAGACTCATCCGGAGAATCCTTCTGCCCGAGTATGATGGTACGTCCGGCACCGCAGACACCCCTTCCGGCCCATTCTTTTCTGGGCCTCTCATGCTAAGGGCTCAACGCAATAGTGGTACAGGTCTGCCAGAGGTTCGAGAGTTTAGTTCCGGCCTTTATGCGCGGCTTGAGCGGCTCGCCGTCTGAACCCCGTACTATCTACGGCTGCGGTAGCAACTCGGAGGCGGAAGACGACCAGCGCAAGGTGACGGGCGCCCTCGTTATAGCTGGTAAGATGGGCGATGGTCGCCTCTACGAGGCCGTGAGATCCATTGCAATGATCTCCCCGAATATTTTGATCGTGAAAGCGTACTATGATGGCCCGGAGACTAGCGATGATACGGTTCTCGTGGAAAGAGTTCGGGAGAGCTTGGATAACGAAGTCCAACACCGAAGGCTCCGAGTCAGGGCCACCTAAAAGGGTATCCACCGCGAGGGGCTGCAGGCTTGCAGGACCCTAAAGAGGAGGCTGGGCTCAGTGTCTGGTGTCTGCTCTGGTTGATATAGCTAGCGGGAGGGTGGTCCATTGAACTCTATCTCCCTCTAAACTATCACTTAAACTCCCTTCTTTTCTCTTACTTCCACCCGGCCAACTCCTACCCGATCTTACCTTCGTACCTCCTCTCCAACCTTAATTTAAGTGCGGGGTTCGTACGGCGGCTGCCTTCATCCCCCATCACACCAAGCCATAACCTAATACATAGCCTATACCAACCACAACAACTTCCCTTCCCTACCCAATATGTCTGCCCAAATTACCGTCACGCTTTTCGAGGAGGATGAGAACTTCGCCAAACTCGTCGTACAACACCTCCTGCCCGAGTATGATGGTACGTCCTCCACCAAAGACACCCCCCGCCTTCCCTTCCCCCCTGTCATCCCTTGGCGGTACGAGCATCCCATAGGTACTAAGGGGACAACGCAATAGTGGTACAGGTCTGCCACAACCGTAGAAACGTGATGATGGAGTTTGATTTGGCCTATGGCGGCGATTTGGAAGGAAATCATGACATCTGGGGCTGCGGGAGCAACGCGGAGCGCGAGCCCGGCGAGCGCAAGGCGCCGCGCGCCATCATCTTCAGGCCCGAACTCACCGAGGATTTCCTCAACGCCATGCAGAACCAAGTCTTCCAGTCCAAGGCCGGGGGTGCCGTCGTCGCGATTCCCAGGCAGCTGGGCGCCCACGACGACATGGCTCGCATACTGAGAATTAGGCAGGCGCTGGATGAGCAAGTTGCTAACGGGGCCTTCTCGGAGCCGAGTAAACCCGCGCGCCGCTGCCTAGGTACCTTGGTTATGTAGCTAGCGAGAGAGCGGCCCGGTCCGTCCGCCTCGTGCCTGGGGACTCGGTTGAGTAGCGGATTTCAACGGCAGCACAACTTCCCACCCGCTTCCACTGCCCATGTCCCTAGTCGTTCGGTCACCCTGTCACGCGGCATACCGCACACCCTACCAAGAGCTGAAAGTAAAACACTCCTACCTACCTAACTACGCTGTGTGTAGATAGGTAGGTACTCTAACCACTCGGGGTGTAGGGTTATGTGGACGTAGCTATGGAAAACGTATAAACAGGATAAAGCAGAAACATAGAGGGTAGTGACGTGATGGTATCTCGTCGCGTTATACTCTATATAAGATAGCTAAATCCTTTTCTTTCTCCTAGTTCTCAACCCGACCGCTACCACCAACGCCCTCTTCCATACCTATATCTTGCTAGTGACTTACTTCCTCAAGTACCCTATTCCCTTACAAAGTAACAGCTCACTGCCTCGCCCTCGGACGACCTCCCTTGTATTCCGAATGGCTCCATCAATCCCCGTCGTCCTCGTTTCAGACGACGAGTTCTGTGCCCTCCCCCAAAGTCAATTCTATCCCAAGTATGATAGTATGCCCCCCCCATGGCTTTATCCTTCAACAACGTGCCGCACCACCAGCATCCCACACAAAGATGGTGCCCCGTACAACAGTAGTACGGAACTGCCCCGACGCCAGTCTCGCCATGACATGCCTCCAACCGACCTGCAAGGGCAGGTATCCCCCGGCAGGCCCCGACGAGGCCGCCCTCGACGTCTACCGCGACGTCGCCACTACGTGCGAGGGCGTCGTGATCCTGTGGGTCCGGACGGATATCAACCGAGACGACCCGCTGGATCTGGTGGCTTCCGTCAGGGGACTTGGGGAGCGGCTGGATGATGGGGCCAAGAAGGGGGGGGCTCGAGGCTCGGTAAAAGGGGGCGAGGGGGGTGTGGGCGGTGGAATGCGCGGTCAGCGTGTACTTTAGGTAGCCAACGAGAGTCGCGATCGCAAGGACGGGAGCTATCGAGCAGCGACACTAAGCCGAACCGAGAGGCATGCAGCTATGTAACATGAGAGGGTGCTGGGGCTCGGTGTCAGGGTGGCTTGGATAGCTAGGTAGTGAGAGTAGACTGTTTCGCCCGGGGGCCCGTCGGGCTTTGTCTCGGTAGCGGTAGCGGGGAGTCCGGAGTCGGAGACCCCAATCACGGTACACTCAGCCGGTACCGACCTGCCTCGACCTATCGGTGTTTTGAACGGTTGATTAGTGTAGTCCGGAAGAAGAAAAGAGTTGATGTGTCCGACCACACACCGTGGCGGAGAGTCCAGACCTCGCCCAGGTTACGGGTTTCTTAATCGGATCTCGAGCGCCGCACCCGCGGGAGCCTCCGGGTCCATGACAGACCTCGACCACCTAGGCTCACCCGGCACGCCCCGTGGTCAAGTCCTGCCAAGAGTGAGTGAAAAGGTGAAACATGGGCGTAGGAAGGAAAAGAAGAGTTGGCATGTCCCCTCCGCTCACGCCCTCTATATTGAAAACAGCGACACAATTACCCTATATTACTCCCTCGCATGTAGAAGTGCGAGCTAGCACCCATCCACTCAAACCAACTTGTTAACCAACCATACACTTCCAGGGAGTATGACAGCCCTAAGCCTCTACTCCAGGGGTCCAGATAAAGATTTGTGTAGTGTTGTACGTGGAGGAGAGGAAACTACCACGTGGGGAGCTGCATGTAATTAGCCCTACAATGTGGGAGAGCCGGGAGAGGATGTCGGCGGTTGCCCTGTACGTAAGGTATGTCTGTACACGAGGCCAGGGGGCTCCAGCTCCCACAGACATGGTCCGCCCGCTAAGAGTCACGTTACCAGGGTCGACAGATATGAAAGAGGGGACTCGGGCTAATATTAGCATCCATCTTACCTCACCTCGTCGCCGCCAACACAAGACAACCACACAAAGTTCCGTATATCTCGTTGCTCCCCGCGTACAAGCTGCCTCCTCCCCTCCCAATGCCGTCGATCGCTCTCGCCCTCGCCGGGTTCGAATACGCGGACGCCAAACGCTTCCAGGAGCAGCTCCTCCCCGAGTACGACGGTACGCTCAGCCCCCCAAACACCCAAACACCCAAACACCCAAACACCCAGGCAGCCCTGCCTACATGTAGGTACCTCGGCAGCTTCCCGCACCACGAAAGCTCACATAACAACACAAAACACCACAGTGGTACAGAGCAACAGCGCCATCGACTGGCAGCTGGCGTTCATGATCAACTTCTCCTGCCGCGGCGCGACGGACTTCCCCGTAAGCTCGTTCGGCATCGGCACCAACGGGACCAAACCGGAGGAGGAGCGCAAGACGCCGCGCGCCGTCATTGTCAGCGCCCGCGCCGACGCCGCCGACGTCGGCGAGTTCAAGGCCGAGGTCGGTAAATACCACCCCAACTTCTTGATCCTGTGCCTCGCCCCGCCGGCCGGGGACGGTGATGGTGCCACCCCCGATGATGCGGAGCCGGCTGTGGAAACGGTGCGGGAGCTGCTGGATGCGCACGTCGAGGCCGGGAAGCTCTCCCACGACGGCAGGCCGGTTCGGGAGGAGCCTGCGGGCGCGAGACGTCCGGCTGGGTTGGGCTGGTGGTCGCGGCTGCGCTTGTTTTAAGGCGGGTAGGGTAGGTAGTTTGGCCCGGATTGGTGATGGTTTGTGGGTGGTCTCAGTACCACCTAGCTAGGTGCCTTGGTAAGGTAGCGAGAGTACCTACCTATGGTACGTTCCAACTCGAGCATGGCAGTTCGTTGTCTGGTCTGGATTTCAATGAGAGTACCGTATGCATCTGGTGCCTCCCGGACCCTGCTTGAAGATAAGTTGAGTGACTTGATCACTCGATTGGCGCAGGTAGAGAAATAAATTACTTTGGGCCTCTGGTCCGCATTACCAAGGCGCAGGCAGAGTCCGGGAGTCGCCGAGTTTACCAGGTTTCGCCTCCGAGTCTTGATCAGACTCAATTCCAGCGTCGCACCCGCAAGAGCCGCCGGATCCGTTCAGGTTATAGACCTCGACTATTCGTACATACCTGGGTCTCGTACCTGGGTCACTCGTCACGACTACGCGGTTCTGCCCAGAGCTGAAAAGTAAAATATACCTATACAGGGCAGTATTATGTATGTCCACTCAGAGGCAGACTCCGAGCTGCAGACCCCTCTCTCCTTGCTCTTAACCCCTCACACCCCGAGAGCAAACGAAGAAGCCGAGCACCCATCATCAACACCCGGTTGCCAACATTGCGGCAGTACACCCATACCGAGCCCAGCACCCCTTAAATGGTTACCTAACATGGCTACCACAACCCCTATCGCCCTAGTCGAACCTAACATCGACCTCGCCAAAGCCATCCAACAATACCTCCTCCCCGACCTCGAAGGTACGTCCACCAGATACCCCTTCTCCGCACCCCCCCCCCGCCCTATAGGCGGCATCACCAGAAAATCTCACGCGGCGGGTGCGCATTCACAACAGTAACCAACATCTGCCCCGACGCTGACGCGGTCGGGGCCGAACTCGGCGACCCGTCGGACGAGCGCCGCGCGCCGCGCTCCATATTCATCTGTCCGAGCACCGACGGCGGGTACGACCTCGGGATTCAGAGCATTATTACGGGTATGTTTCCGCAGGTCCCGGCGGTGCTGGTCGACCTGGAGGAACCGACGCCGGATGCGGGATTGGTCGCGGGCTGTATTCGCCGGCAGCTGGATGCGCTTATTGGTGATGGGGTGATTGCCCGCGGGTGAGGAGGGGTTTGGGGGGTGGAGGACGAGGTTGCGGGTCAGTGTCTGCTTACTCCGGTTTATATACCTAGCTAGCGACCTGATTAGAGGGTGGTTTGTTTTGTCTGGCTCGGGTCTGGGCTTGGTGTAGTGCGGATTCATTAACGGTTTACCTTCCTGTGGCCGGTGCCTCTCTGCTCGGTAATGTAACACGTCACTTCGGCCACTGGTTTAGCGTAGGCCGGAAAAAGAAGTGCTATAGGAGAGGGTTGGTCCACACAAGTACCTACGTTACACAGATCTCCCGAGGCAAGCGCGGGAGCAGGTCGATGACTCGATGTGCTGGCTCAGAAGGGAAGTGACCGGGTTAGTACCTATCAACTGGACATTGCAATTCATTCAGAGTTCCACATGCAAATATGCGCTAATATTGTAGTACAGTGCCGGGACCTCCAGAGTCACAGACGTCCATAACCGAATCTCAGACGTTGGGCATTGGTACATACATACGCTCCGCCAAGCTCTGTGGCTAGCTGAGCCCGTTGCTGCCCAGCTCCGTCGGCCAACGGCACCAAGCCGAATTGTGGACGCATGGAGGTATATCCACTCACGCTGGGGGTCACTGGGATCGGTAGGTGTGAAGAGAGGAGGTGTGGTTATGGCGTAACCCCTCTTCCGGCGCTATCCATCTTAAGGAAGAGGCCTACCTTGTCCCCTCTTCCCGACTCCCTCCCCACCACCTCCTTACCAACACACTTTCACAAAGCACACCTTTCCTGACCCAGTTGTATTTCTACTCAAGATGACTACCCCGATCCCCATTGCCCTCGTCGAACCGGAGGAGCACTCAGCCAGAATGATCCAACGGGAGCTCCTCCCTAACTTCGAAGGTATATCCTCTCTCGCCAGATACCCCATTACCCCCACCCTTTCCCAACAAGCGTGGCCAGCATCTCACACGACGGGAACTCTAAAAACTAGTGGTCTATGTCCTCACCGATCCCGATAATGCCATATTCCAGATTTTTACCCGCCATATGAGCAAGCTGGAGGGCAACCTGGATGACTACCGCGACGGCTTTGGCGTCGGGACCAACCCGGAGGCCGCGGAAGCGGACCGCAAGAACCCCCGTGCCATCGTACTCACCCCGGCCGTCTACGACGAGCCGGCTGCCGCCATCAAGTATGGTATGGAGCATGGCCCGATCAAGGGCGTCCCGGTGGTGAGGATGGTGCCTAGACTTTCGCACCAGGCCAGCGTGCACGAGTTGAAGGAACAGCTTGATGGGTTGCGTAAAGGCGGGGCCATTAAGGCTGATTAGGAGGGGGTTTAGATTCCGGGGTGATGGGAGTAGTTTGTGTATATAGGTACTTACACTGGTACCCCCTGGCTTTATAACCCGGGGCTTTTTGCTTGGCTCTATGCAACTTGGGTGATGTTAGCTGGAAGGAGAACTACGGTTATTAGGAGTCTCCTGAAGGTCGACGGTAATGATTTGGATTGGAGGTGGTCTAGGTGTCTAGGTAGTTTACTTAGGGTGGTGAGAGTGTGGGGGTCTGGTCGGCGTCTCGACTGGCCTTCGTCGCTTTTCACAACCTGGACCTCGCGGGAGTTGTCAGTAGTAGCAGGACATCGCTTAGAGGACCCAAGCACTTCGCGACGGAACGAATCGTTACCTATGTGTGCTAGTTGCTAGTTGCGGTGAACATGGCGAGACTGGGAAACAATAACCGGTAGCAGACGTTGGAGATGTGTTTGCGGGATAGAGTACGTACTTGCAGTATGGGCTACGGTCGGACACGGCCTGGTCACAGGAATCCTTATATAGGTACCTAGGTAGCCTAGAGAGGCTAAGAATAATTAGGGAGTACTTAGGTGAATGCTAAACCTCAATGAAGAGTTGAGACCAAAGAGTGCTGAACAGCTGGCATGTCCAATTCAGTTCTCTTTCATGGCGACGCCTACCTCTCCTACTCCTTCTGTGATCTTTGAAAGAGAAGTACTTAAAACCCCCCGGTCGCAGCGAGCTTTTCTCTGCACACTCCCGACTTAGCACCCGCCCATTACCTTCCCGTCCTGGAAACACCTTCAGACTTCTTGTCAATCAGTACCAATCTAACTGTCAGGACGCCGAGATCCCCTTTCTTCACCCGTTCAACTTAGACCTCGGCAACCGACAACAAAATGCGGTACTCGCATGTCCCAGACGCCCCCAGCGTCTCGCAGCGTCTGCTGATCACCCCTTACGATGGTGCCGCATGCCGGGCTGCCCTGCGCGGGGAACAAGTCCCTCTAAACCTTGGAAACGATGTGGCCCGCGCCGCCCTCGTGAGTGGTATCCGACATCACGTCGGCCTTGCCCGTTCGAGCGAGGTAAACGAGCTAGTCTCCCTCCCGGGGCAGGAAGTCTTTAACCGCGCACGCAACGCGCGGCGGATCATGAGCAACTCGATTCCACCCATCGAGATTATGCCTGACGAGGCCCACTACCCCTACTGCATCTGGTACCCGGACCTGGCCGACGAAGCTACCTACAGGGCGCTCTTCGAGCGCTACCCCAAGATGCGCTACCAGATCGGCCGCGCTTGCGCCGTCGCCGGCTACGACGAGCTGTACTCCGAGCTCAAGATCCTCCCAGACGTGTCCATCGCCGAAGAGGCGCGGGAGAACCGCGACAACGCCGGCGCCCAGAGGATCTACCAGCAGATCATGGCCGCACCGACGCGGTACCGCGTCATGGACGACGGCATACCCGGCATCCAAATCCAAATCCCCCCCGTGCCGGCCGTCCTCAACGCCGATACCGCCGTGCGCGCAACCCTAGACGTCAGGCGGCAGTACTGCGAATCCTTCCATCCCGACAACCACTTCTTCAACATCACCGAGGACCACCACATCGGCGAGACCGACGCCTTCCCGCCGCCCGCCCTGCTCGGCCCCGACGACATCGCCCTCTTCCTATGCCCCCTCAAACCCGACCTCCCCTCCATGAACAAAACCCTCCTCACCCTGCACGCGGCCGCCACAGGCAACATCGACCGGTACGCCCAGCTGCGGCGGCGCGACCTCCAACCGGCCGCCACGCGCGTGCACGGCGTGCGCTTCGAGGTCGTCTGCCTGGCGCGCGGCTGCCACGCCAGCAGCGGCATGGCGGCGTGGCTGGCCAGCACGCCCGCCTTCCTCAACGGCCTGGGCCTGCACGAGCGCGAGCGCGTCATGCTGTGGCGGGCGATCCGCGCGCGGCGCATCATGGACGGGGTGCGCGACGCGGCGGTCTTCTCGGGCGCGGTGCCCGACGCCGAGCTGCCGTACTGGATCTGGCGGCCCGCGCTCCCGCCCGCGGGCCTGCTGCGCGAGCTGGCGGTGGTGAGGCCCGTGATGCGGCCGCAGATCGTGCGGGCGTGTATCGCGGCGGGGTATAAGGATGTGTATGATGAGGTGATGGAGATGGGGGGTCCTGGGGGCAGGGTGACGCCGGATCGGTTGATGCTGCGTGAGGCGCGGCGGGCGGGGGACCACTATTTTAAGGAGGATTTGCTGCGGCGCGGGGAGAGGTTGGGGGTGAAGCGGTTGGCGGTGTGTGAAGGGTATCAGAACTGGATGGACGCGCCGTCGCCGTGGGAGAGGGAGGTGGAGCTGGGATGTACCAGTCTCAGCTTTCTGCGGGATTCGACGTCGGAGTTGCACAGTGATGATGGGGATCACAAGTTCGATCGTGGCTTCTTTGATGGCTTTGACGTCTCGCTGGATAAGATCAACTTCATGCTATCTCAGCAAGGAGGGCCGGGCGTACCGGAGTTGTAAGGTCGATTTGGTACGGACGGGTAACTGCTCCCCAAGTATTCACTAGTCACTAACTAAGGTAGTCACTAACTAGTCCCTACCGAGTAGGACAATGACGGCGGCGGACCGGCGGTACCATCTGAATAATGTTAGGTAACCTGTAAAGATCGCGTGGATAATCCATTATGGTCGTCGGGGTTCGCTACTAAAAGTCCCAACTCTGGATTAGCATAATTAATTGATCAGCATGAGAAACTATTTCACCCTGCTTGCGAGCGGTGCGTTGGAGTTATGTATTGTACTTATGTGATATAGAATGGGGTTCAGGCGCACAGTGGTTGTTATAATACTCCTCACACACCGACGCCAGAGCATGGCCCAGCCAGAAAGGTGGCGAGAGTCAAAGAGTCACTGCGTGGTTTACAAAGTGTGCATGGTCACGGCATGCCGCATCTGTGACGGAGGTATATTTGTTTATGTTTATAGGATAAAGACCTTGTAATATGACCGGTTGCACAATGCCTAAGGTACGTGGGTAGATAATATGTGAACACCGAGGGACCTGAGTAAGAGGACGAGGAATCGATGGCAGAGCAGGATACTGTCTCCTGTGCCTTGGACAGGCCTACCAAAACATCAGCTGACCGCCTTCCGGTTCTGTTTGACAGAAAAAGGCCCAGAACACTAACAGTTCAAGAGCTGTTGAGCCAGCATCATTGGTAGTGTTATCTATAAGTTTTTCCGGGCCAGTATGCAGCCTCCCGCGCGTTGCAAACGGAGCCAGCAATAGCCATCTTTCGTCTAGGCTGCGGGAAACTTCAGCACTTCATTTTGACAACGCAGTTGACAGTTTGACTCTTGCCCTAAACTCTCTACCTTTGGAAACACCATCCGTCCATTCGTCTTCATCATGGAAAATAGATCCGTCACCAGCGAAGCACCATCCTCCCCCGAGATCCCCGGTCTCGCCGCACGCGAAGCCCCGATCCATCTCCAGGTCGGCGAACGCCGCTTCACCACCGCCCGCGCTACACTCACCGAAGAGAGCGGCTTCTTCGCGGCCCTCCTCTCCGGGCGTTGGGAGAACGCGCTCCAAGATGGGTCTTACTTCATCGACGCCGACCCAAACCTCTTTCAACACATCTTGGCCTACCTGCGCCGCGGCGTCTTCCCGCTCTTCGACGGCGCCCAGGGCCACGACCACCACCGCTACCTCGCCCTGCTGGAAGAAGCGCGGTACTTCCAGATCCCGCAGCTCGAAGCGTGGCTCAGCAACAAACACTACATGATGGCCGCGCAGGTCACGTACAAGGCAGAGGAGTACGACGAGGACGACCCCCGCTGGCGGACCGTCACGACGGCCGCGGGCAAGACGGTCGAGTACCACCCGCAGTGGGCGACGAGAAAGGTTTATCTGTGCCCGCGGGGGATCCCTGAACATAGGGACAACCGGACGGGCTGTGGGCGCCGGTGCGAGTCCGCTCGCGGTGATGACGGGGATCAGTTTGAGGAGGAGCTGAGCCTGCACATTCTGGTTATTAAGCGGGAGGTGGCTTTCAACGCTGACGTCTGCGTGTCGAGGGCGGCTGAGGAGTAGAATGGTCTTCGGCGGGGTTTAGTCACGTCTTGTAATTATCCCGAGCGGGCTGTCCACATCATCAAACACCTTGCTCTCGATCAACAGCTGAGAGAGAGAAGAGCTGCCAGCTGAGAATAGAAAAGTGTGCCCCCGACTAATTACTACCTTACATTACGGGACAAGCCGCTCCGCAGCCTCCGCTTTGCCCCTGGACCCCTGAGCAATTATCCCGAGGCGCGCTTATGGACCATGCACGGTAATTTAGTGGAACTGACCGTCGTCCTCTCACGAGGCGTCCAACAGCCCCGTCTCCTGCAGACTTCCCCACAACGAGTCTCACTTGGTACCCGGCAAGCAGCCGAAAGCCATGTCCGTGGGGCTAGGGTTGTTTCAACTCTCGGTAGCTTTTCTCACAGCTCCCAAACACACACGACCACACGAGCTTGGAATGTATCAAGTAAAGCTGCGAATCCCACCCCGTCTCGTGTTTGTGGACCGCGAGATTGAGGGGCAAACCGGGCTGTTCCGCGCCGTCGCCCAATAATAGCCCGGGCAGATGCCAATGCCCAGACGGGGATACTTCCAGTTGGGCGAGAGATTCAGATTGCTGGGCAGCCAGCCAACCGAGGCTGAGCAAAGGGCGAAGATGACCTGTACACTACATAAGACGACGTCACCACGACTACGTCAGAATCCCAGATGATCAATGACCACTCCAAACTGAGGTCACCGCAGCTGTAGCATTCCCCCACCCCCTCCCCCAGGCAACGGAGAACATCCAACTTCCAACTCCTAACCCAAACCTCAACATGGGCCTACGACAAATCGCCCTCGGCGGCCTACTAGCCGTCACCACCGCCGCCAGCGTCCTCAGCCCGCGACAAAACATCAACCCAGGCCCCGTCTCCGGCGACACCTTCATCCACGACCCGACCGTAATCAAAACCGCCGCCGGCACCTACCTCGCCGCCTACACGGGCGACAACGTACAACTCAAGACCTCGACCGACCGCACGCAATGGCAAGACGCCGGCCCCGTCTTCCCCAACGGCGCCCCCTGGACGACCCCCTACACCGGCGGCGCCCTCAACCTCTGGGCGCCCGACCTCTCCTTCCACAACAACCAGTACTACCTGTACTATTCCGCCTCGTCGTTCGGCTCCAGCCGCTCCGCCATCTTCCTCGCCACCAGCCCCACGGGTGCCTCCGGCTCCTGGACCGACCAGGGGCTGGTCATCGAGTCGTTTGCCGACTCCGGGTGGAACGCCATCGACCCCAACCTGGTCGTTGACGCGCAGGGCGGGTGGTGGCTGTCGCTGGGGTCGTTTTGGGGGGGGATTAAGATGGTGGCGATTGACCCCGCGACGGGGAAGCGGGCTGATAGTGGTGTGCCGTTGGCGATTGCGGCAAGGCCGGATGCGGGCGGCGCGGTGGAGGCGCCGTTTATTACGCGGAATGGGGATTTCTATTATCTGTGGGTGTCGTTTGATAAGTGTTGTCAGGGCGCGGCGAGCACGTACCGGATTATGGTGGGCCGGTCGGCGAGTGTTACCGGGCCGTATGTGGATAAGGAGGGGAGGCAGATGATGCAGGGCGGGGGGTCGCAGGTCATGTCCAGCCATGGGGCGGTGCATGGGCCGGGGCATAATGCTGTTTTTACGGATGTGGATGGGGATGTGTTGGTGTATCATTATTATAATGATGCGGGGACCGCGCAGATTGGGATTAATCTGATTAGGTATGAGAATGGGTGGCCGGTTATCTACTGAGAGGGGTTTCTAAGGGGGGGGTCGGCAAGTGTGTGTGAGCTGGTGGCAGAGGGCGGTTTTGGCACATGGGGGTAGGGGGTTTCAAGACTGTACTGTTTCTTTGGAGACGTCAGCTCGCGTATATACTTCTTCGCTTGTCGATCCAAATTGCTGCGGGTAGTGGAGATTTCTATCTAACAAGACATCCTTTGGTGGCTGCACGCTACGGGACGTAGTACCAATCTCCGAATATGGCACATAGTCAGGCTCGGAACCATGGGTGCTGCAGTGCCTCCCGGGCTGTGATCCGCCGCCGGGGATCAAGGCAGGTCATCCGGCCGACGAGATCCTTGAACTCGAGGTCCATCGGATACCACATGCTAAAGGGTTTCCTCTTGTTGCCCTCGTTGTCGAACACGGCGAGGAGTTCTGTACAACGGTCGATAAAAGCATCCTGCTCTCCTCCATAGTACTCGATGAAACCAACAAGGTCATCGGCGTCGTAGGAAAAATGAGACATATGGCGTTGAAGTATCATAGTTGACGCGTCCTCGGCCGCGTTTGCCTCTTCCGAGAAGAAGACCATGTGGTTAAGCCAAATATATATAGCCTACACAACTCGTTAGTCTTTCCTAGGAGCGAATGGAGGCCTCGAAAATGTACCGTGATGCCGAACGAGAAGATGTCGGCTGGGGTATGTTGCACTCCTCGTGCCCACGCTTCGGGGCTCCTCCAGAACTGGTTCCCAGAGAGGCGCTTTTCGAGGCCCGCGGAGCCGGGCGGCAGTACCACAGCATCCTCCAAGTCTATTATCTGCACATTTCCGAACGCTATGGCACCATCGCTGTGCTGGAACAAGTCCATCATGATGTTGGGTGGTTTGATATCTGCCGGGATGTCAGGGGCCAAAAGCCACTACCATAACATGTGGACAACCAACCAGTGTGATAAATGCCCTTGTCATGGAGATCAGCCAAGCCGGTAAGAGCATCCTTTAGGATGTGCTTCTTGACGGTAGGGGCGATGGTTGTCATTTCTACCAGCTGTAGGTTCAGATCGAGAAAGGGGTATGCAAACATGTGACGGTCGGGGATGCTGTCGACGAGCGTTCGAACGTGGGCCGAGCCGTTCACGAGCTCCTGTAGTTCCAAGATGTATTGTAAGTCACCCGGCAGGATGTCTTTGAGAATATACTGCTTCCCCTCGTGGCTGATGTAAAGCAACAATCAGCACCAACCATCATACTGGGTTGGGAATGGAGGTTAAGGGCTAGGCATCAAAATCGTCTCCCCTCAACCTACCTCGCGTGGTACACGCAATAGAGCTGGTTTCCCTTTGGTCGTTCGTAAATAGCCTCATCAATAAGGTAGGATTTCCCAGACGGGGACGCGACTTGTGTGCCTCTAGTGAGAGGCTGCGGGGCTGTCGCTGGTGAGGGTAGAGACGCAGTGGACCTCATTCTGAAGAGGCAGGATTGATTCCTGGCAGCGGTAGAAGAGACACGGGGTTGTCTAGCTTGCCCTGAGATGCCAGAAAAACAACGTGACTGAGAGCGAGGATTGCTCGAAAGAAAGGAGAGAGAATAGGGACGATAAACAACGGAAGAACGTAATCGCAGATGCGCAGACCGTGCTACCGATGGGGATGTCATGGCGAAGATTGAGCTGCAATTGGATTTGGATCGGGGCAGGGAGCGAGAGTTACTCACCCTGGCAGCCGAGATACCTTGGATGGTTGGTTTTACGAGGGTGGTTTGGGAGGGGTAGGTTGGGAGTGATGTCAGTTGATGGGGGAGAGCTGTAGGTGCGCTTGGTACACCAAAAATAGTCGACTCTCTGGTACTCTACTTGTTGTAATACTGATATCTGGACAAAATAAAAATAAAAATAAAAAGACAAGAAAAGGACAAGAAAAGGAAAGAAAAGGACAAGGAAAAGGAAACGGAAAAGAAACAAAAGAATGGAAAAGACACTAAAAAGAAGAAGAAAAAGGAAAACAAAGGAAACTAAAATGAAGTATTGAAATAAAATGGAGGGAACGAACTAGAAAGGAGAAGAAACAGAAACTAACGTAGAAAGGAAAACGAGTCCTAGGATACCTTTTTCACAGAAGCCGGTGGCGCCCTACAATGGGTCTTTCTCCTGATCCTGCTAGGCGGGGATTGGTGGCGTCCGAAGACCATACCTGTTCGAAGAGGGTATCGACTACGTTTAAAGGAATAGTATAATACCTGTTTCTTTTATTGTTTTAAGCTCGGGAATTGACTTTTTGGTGAAAGTCGAAGGAAACCTTCTTGAGCTAATTAGAATACAGTTGCCGTCGCTACCTCGGGCTGCCGTCGGGTGTTGTAATACCTACCCCTATTTCTCCCTGCGAACTATACTAAGGCTAACTCAGTCTTCGTACCCGCCACTTCAGTGATCGAGTTATCGGGTCCTTGTGCGAAGACCGCATCATGGTTCAACTACGTAAATGATTATAGAGAGCAAGCAGCAGCAACTGGCGTCCTGTGTCTCGCAGGAACGGCCTGACAAGCAAACTCTCAGTTCAATTTCCTGATCGTCACCTATATAGCCCGACAAATGGCTACCGCCCGCAGTCCATAGGAGCAGAACCTGGTTCCTGATTTATCCCATTTTCCGCGAGTATAATCCTCCATTCTTCCTCGAAGTCGTCCCCACCGTCGCCGGGAAAGCCATCGTCGCAGCTGTTTGGCATTGGGGTATTGTCGTACGAGGCTGGGGGACCGTGGTCGATGGTGTGGTGGTCGATGGTGTGGTGGTCGGTGGTAATATCGTCGATGGTCATGTCGTCCCACTCATCGAACCCAAAAGTCGGGTACTCTTCTGGACTCTCTTGAAAAGCTTCCGTGTCGATTGGGGGCGATATGCCGAGGTCTTCCGACACGTCGCCGCCATTGTTGCTCGTCTGGTCAAGCCAACTGGAACAAGGCAACCACTGGCTCAGAGCTTGAGCTACCACCTCCGCGACCTCCTCTGCGCGAGACTGTAGACTGCAAGGAAAATAGTACCAAACCTCTAGTCCGCAGACATTGCAGGCCTCCACAGGGCGCTGCGCCGCGCCATGTTCAAGGTTCCATAGGCTCCAACACGGTAGCGGTATGCTTGATTGCTCCGACCACTTCCGAATAGCTTGCATTGCAAACCGAGCGGCCTCTTCAGTTACGGCCATTGTCGTATCATGGCTCATCTGGGCGACTTCCGTGGCACGCTCCTTGGCCAGACGGGCTACCATCTGGTCACATACTCGTGGCATCGTAGCATAGCACTTGACTTCCCAAATACCAGCCGGGTAAGTCGCGTAAGTCGGAGTCTCCGCCAACTCGACCACAAGTTCTCCAGGGGAGAGCTCTAGCGGGTGGACAAAACGCAGATAGCGATCGGGGTCCATCATCCACCTTGTGCCCGGATAAAGCTGGTTCCAAATTGTGAAATCGTCTTCGGTCCATTCACGATGCGACTTGAGGAGCTCCACGACCGCGCTATATCCACTGCTAGATGCAAGGGCGGTGGCACACACAAACTGAACGCGGCCGTAACCTTCCGTGTCGGTCCCGGCTCCCAAGAGAAGGTGAACCGTATCGAGGCGGCCCCGTGTCGCCGCTTCTTCGAGAGCTGTACAGCCGCTGGGGTAGGGTCTTCGGGCATTGAGGTTGGCACCACAAGTGATGAGGCGCTGTACCAAGCCGATGAGCCCTCTACCAGCGGCCGCTTGTAGTGCGGTGATTTCGAAGCCATTTGCCCTCGACCGCGCCGGATCGTTGACCTCTGCGCCTGCATCGAGGAGCAAGTCCACGATGGGCAGCCTCTGACCACAGATGGCATAGTGGAGGACGGTGTACCGAGCCTTTCCATGTATAGCGTTTATGTCGGCATGGCGAGCAAGCAAGGCCTTGACGATGTCGGCTCGTCCTACGCGCACGGCGGCGAAGAGCGGTGTTTGTACTTCAGGAAGATCCCAAGACACGATAGCACACTTCGTGTCAACGTCGTCACAACTCTCGAGCATCCTCTCGATGAGACGAAATGATAGGTTTCGGAGGATAGCAGCACGCAAAGTGAAGCCGTCCGGCTTGTATCCTGCCTCGAGTAACATCTCCGTCACTTGTTCGCTGGCCTTTCCTCCGACTGCAAACAGGAGCGGTGAAACCGTTGGAAACGGTGACAAATGCCAGTTATTCGAGCTGTTCAATCGTGGGCCTTCGTGCGACCACTGGTCGTATCCGGTTGGGGACGTTTTCGAATTAAGCATGCTCTGTCGGAGCTTAACCCTCGGGTGTGTCAAGGTGGCCAGGGACTGTGTGAGGCCTAGGGGCGGGAACGTTAGGAGAGCGACAAGAATGTTTGAACACGCGTGCCAAGCAGCGATGGACACTGCGTAATTCTCGAGGGCTGGGTTCACATGGATGCCGTCGGGATCCAGGTTGCGTCTTCGTAGTAACTCCATAAGAAGTGGCGATGCAGTCTCCTGGCCTGATTCCATCAGGGATAACGCCTCGGCGCATAAAGCCGCCGAATCGTAAACCGCCGCGTCCAGACCGAGCGCCATCATGATGACCTCCTTATCACGGCTTAGAATTGCGTTCTCAAGATAAGATCTCCGATCTCTATCCCGGCAGATCTTCCACGGCTCTCTAAGAAGGCCCAGTGGGACACGGGCCTTGATGTATCCGACGTCCGGGATTCTGAATAGTGATGCGAAATCTCCGATTGGACCACCGCCCCCCGCAGTCGCAAGACGCGCGGCAACAACTCCGTGGCCGTTGGACAGTGCGGCCTCGTAGGCAGTGATACCACTTTTGACAGACTTGGACGGGTCAATTCCCATGTCCAGGAGCCGTTCAACCAACACCAACTGTCCTTCAACCGCTACATCAAACAAATCGTTGGCTGTTGCGGTTGCTCCGTGACGTAAAAGCGTAAGCCCAACATCCCATTCCTTTGAAAGCACTGCCAACTGGAAGGGCTGCAGCCGGGCCCTGGTGACGCTGACTCCACTGTGTCTGATGTCCGCGTAGTTCAGTCTTGATGGCTTGTCTCGTGGTGGCCAATGGAGCTTGTTGCCTTTCAACGCAATTTCTCGTTCCTCGTTAACGTCAGCGCCACCTTCATGTTCTATCAGGAGTTCCACGAGTTCACAAGAGCCCTGTGCAGTAGCGAGCTGTAAAAGAGACGGCGCTGGGCACTCAGCCATACCCGTGCCGTCATAGTGAATGTAGGGAGTAGCAATAGTGCAAGCCATGGGGGGACAAGGATATGCTCCGAGTCTGAGAAGAAGTCGGGCAGCCTCGACCTGTTTCCACCCTACTGCCGCATAGAGAGGAGACAAATAACCGCTGGGGACGTTGACGCTGGCGGAGAATTCGTTGTAAAGAAACGCGATGACTTTGATGTATCCGCGCGCCGATGCAAAAATCATGGCGTCGGCTGTCATCCGGTCGTCCGACAAGTCCATCTGCAAACGGTATTTGCTGTGTACCATCCTGCATAGTTCCAATGCCTTGTCTTGGTCTTTGGCGAAACTGTCCCACAGATGGCCTGGTCTTTCGGATTCGGTAGTCATGGTCGCGCTGTGGAACGAAGCGGCAAAACCGAGACAGCCCATGTCGTCGACGTGTCCCAGGACATGGAAGTAATCGCTCGATGCAAAGGGATGCTCAAAAATAGCTCCGTTCGAAGTCAACAAAAGGCCTCGATATCGGCGATTGAGATCCGCGCCCTCCGCCACTAGTCCTTCGATCAGATGGAGGTTACCTGTCATGAAAGCGGCATGCACAGGCTCAAGCCTGTGTTCGTTAATAGGGAATTGGTTAATACCGGCACCCCTTTGGCGTAGCATCTGGATCAAGGTGCTCGGGAAGTCATCGTAAATAACCATAGCCAGCAGCGACCAACCGCGAGGCCCGGAAGAAGGGAGTTCGGCTCCGGCATCAACCAAAACCTTGACGAGACTCTCGTCGTGTTTTGCGAGGGCAAATTCGAGTCCTGTTCCATCCCGCGGACAGCCGTCCCTGCCAATCCTATCATAGAACACGTGAAAGTCGGTCATTTTGTCTGGTCGAAGTCGACAATCTGCCTTCAGCAAGTTGCGAACAAAACCGGCGGCTCCGGTCAAGATAGCCGCCCTAAACAAGGCGTCGATAATGGCCGTCATCGTTAGGCTTCTATGAGAGCGGCTGACTAGCTTTCGAAGTGTGTGAAGTCGCGAAAGGCCCGAAAATTGGCAGAGAGCGATAAGTTGTCGAGCGTCGTCGAGCTCGACGAGCTCGGGGAGCTCGTCGCGGCCTCCCAGTTGATTGTACTTGTTGAGGATCAGACGGTTCGACACGAGGAACAGCAAGATCTTGAGCAATTCCACCTGAATGTCAGCTGCGCTGCCACCTGCTAATGTGGTTGCTCTGCGGAGATTCTCGTCGGGATATGCTTGCGGCAGAACCATGTCGAATTGTGCGGCCAACCGGTCGACGCTCTTCCGGGCGAGGAGCTGCATAGCCATATGTTCAGATCTGATGGTAATGCCTAGGCATCGCCGAACGATTTGTTCGAAGATTGGCGGAAGAAGTCTTGACTTTTCAGTGTTCGATAGAACCACGACATCGGACCGTTGCACGATCTGCAGCAACTGTCGAATAGCCTCGGGCTCGGGGAGGGGGCTAGTAGCTGTCTTCCGCAGCTTGGGCAGGAATTCCATGGCTCTTAGAACAACTCCGAAGTCGCACTCGAGGAACTGAAACCAAGGGAGACCCTTGGGATAGCCGTACTGGACTGCGTCGGGCGTGCTCGTCACCAAGCTCGTCGAGGAGCCTCGCGGAGTGCAGAGGTACAATGGGATGTTTTCGGGTGGAGGAGAGGGAATCACTACAGCAAGGTTAGACATTAGTCTTAGTCTGAAATCTGTAACCAAGATCTACAAGGGACTTACAACGGCTCCATGTGGGAGGGTTGTGGCGGGTGATCTCGCTTTTGATCTTCTCTTTGGGGATACGTCGGCCGGAGAGGATGACAACCGTATTTCGCATGAAGGAAGTCTTCCGGTCGCGGATAACACGGTCCACGTAGCGCCAGATGTTGGGCTGAAGCTTCTTACGGATGCCCCAGTTCCTGAGCTTTGATTCGAGGTTTCCTTTGCTATTGTCGCGACATTAGACAAACAGGAGACTAAGGTACGGACAAATGGTGAAGAACATACTTTACATCAAGACCTTGACGCTGTAGCTCGACAAGTACCTCGTCAAGCTCCATGCCATTGACGATGTACATGGTATACACCAGGTCTTTCAAGGGCTCCCAGTCTCCGTCCCTCAGCTGACGCTTTTTAAGTCGGGGAGTGAGCTCCAGCGAGGTCATGACGATTAGTTAGTTTAGTAGGTCGCGCTGGCGAGAGGCATGTATGGGGAAACCTCAACAAAGTGCGCCAGACGGTTAGGTAGGGTTGAAGTTGGGCGAGGAGATTCAGCCTGGCGGGACGGGTTTATGAGACTGCCCTCACACACCCTCAGAAAGCCATGTGATGCTGATTGGACAATACCACAATATGAAAGTTTGGGCCTTGGCCTGCATCACCCGCAGGCAAGCAGCTCCGGCACGCGCCAACCATACAGCCGCCAACCCGCGTGGTTCGCGCGTCGATTGGCCACTCCCACAACCTGAAGATGCAAGGTCATCTTCGCGAGCAGTGGTTGGCTACTTGCAGAACCAAAACTTGTACTCGCTCCACCGAGGCGGCAGGAATGGGAGGGATTGTGTTGCGTCCTTGTTCGCCTCGGTTTACTCCGTAGAAACACGATATCAGCGTCAGGCAAGCCGAGATTCAGCAGAAATATAAGACAGATATAATTATTACCTGTAGTCCACCTCTTCCAAACTTACTCAGCCTTGGACCTCCACGTGGTAATGTGCAGCGACTATATTATGCCAATGTCTCTCTCACAAGAAGTGATAGTTGCCCTTGTAGGCCTCATAATCGCCCTCCCATCAACATGCATTGCCTTCCGGTATTGCCTCCGACGGTCTCGAGAACGCTCAACTAACCACGTCCACGACCTCGAAGGTACAATACTCTCAGCCCCCCCCCCGCCCCCTCTGCGTAACTGCTATTCTACCACGGTTTGCTAATAAAGTGCCTAGTTCAAATACGCGATTTCCCACTGCCATGCATGACTCGGACTTTGTCAGCGCCTACCCTGACATTCCAGGCGTCCTGGCCTTCACCTAAGAGGCCTGAGCCGGTCCATCTAGCCCCCTCGAGGACCGTTTCACTTCAGTCCGAGGAGATGGAGAACTTCAAAACCCCCGAGCTGCCTCAAGGGACAACCCTAATCAACAGCATGACGGAGGCCACCCTTAATACTACACAGGGCAAGACTCACCAGGTCGAGGGGGGAGTGAAGCTGTCGAGGACGGGGGGTAGTAAGGCCTGTACCTCTTTGAATGTTGAGATGCACAGGAATAGCAGGCTTTGAGCCAGAATTCTCCTGACGAAGTAGGGGGTAAATGGACAAACGGCCAGTCCACACAACCCCCAAGTAGGATGGTGGGTGTTAAAATACAAGCATGTTAAAGGATATGGACCTGGCTTTGTAGTTTTCTCTTGTCGCGATAGCTGTTGCTAATAGATGAATGTTCTGCCTTCGAACCATGGAGCTCCTGGAGGCAACAGGTTCAGCAGTCGTGTTATTCTTTCTAGTTTCTCTTCTCTGCGCGAACTTGGGTATTTGTATGGCCTTTCTGCCAGGCCCATGTAGGTGTCTCCACCGTGCCTACACCCCTGTGTCTCTAACGCTACCGGAAATGATACCTTCGATGCCGATGTATCTCGAGATAACACCACCGCAATCAAGATGATGCCCCCCAACTCTCAACTCGCTTGCCCCTTCTCCAGCTCATCCCTCACAGCATCATACGAAGCGTAGGCGTCAGCCTCGGCGTCAAAGTTCAAAATCCACGCCTCCCTCTTGAGGTGCATCGACTCCGGGTCCTTCCAGATAGCGTCCCAATCGGCCTTGTGCCACTGCTCACGCGTGGCAACACCCGTCTGCTGGATCTTGTGCACGCGCTCGTAGCGGATGCGCTCCCACACCCGCACGGCTTCCTGCACCTTGTCCTTGCCGGCCTTGTCCAAACACGCGGCAAGCACAACACCATCCTCCATCGCCTGGCTCGCCCCCTGGATTGACGTCGGCAGGAACGGGTGCGCGGCGTCCCCGATTAGCGCGGTCCTCGCCTTGGGCGAGATGAAGGTCGGCAGCGGGTCGCGGAACACGAGCTTGTAGTCGAACAGCCGCTCGGGCGGCGTCAGCTTGACCAACTCCACCACCACGGGATCCCACCCATTCACCACTTTCAACACATCCTCAATCTTGCCAGGGAACTGCCAGCTCTCCTCAATACTACCCTCATCCCGGTGCGTGCACACCCAGCTCATCTCCCGCCCGCCCTTGATCGCTGCCGCCAAAAAATGCACATCCTCCCCAATCCACCCAGTATGCGAATCCCCATTCTCCACCAAATGCCTCGTCTTCTCATTCCGCAACAGCTCATCCGCCGCAAACCACGTCCGAAACACGGCATACCCGCTCGGCTGCGGCCGATCCTCAAACCCCAACACCAGCTTCCTCCCTCTCGACCGCACCCCCTCCGCCGCCAGCACCACATCCGCCGTCAACCGCTGCCCATCCTCCGTCTCCACGCCCGCCAACCCCTCCTCCTCAAAATACCTTACCACATTCACCCCCAACCGCACATCCACCCCCCTTGCCCGCGCATGCGCCAGCACCACCCCATGGATCTCCCCGCGGTGCCCATTCACCCGCATCCCCCACGCGGCATGCTCTTCCGCAAACGACTGCGTGGTGACGTGCTCGCCGCGCCACGAGTGGAAGCGGAACTGGTCGTGCTTGTGGAGGAGGGGGTCCAGCGCCTCGTTGACGCCGGGCCAGTGGGCAAAGAAGCGGGACGAGTTTTGGCCGAAGCTGATGATGTCGCCGAGGGGGAGGAGCTCGGCGGACTTTTCGAGGAGGGTTACCGTGTGGCCCTTGCGGTCGCATTCTATGGCTGCGGTGAGGCCCGCGAAGCCGGCGCCGACTATCAGGACGTGGATGTTGGAGGGGGGGAGGCGGGGGAAGGTGGGGGGGGAGGTTGGCATTGTGGGGGTGGTGGTGGTGGTGGTGCTGTTGGTGGTGTCGGTTGGTGTTGGTGGTGGTGGTAGTTGTGGTGGTGGTGGTGGTGGAATGGGTTATGGGGGTCTTAATGGGAAGGGTGAAAGTGCTCGGCGGATATGAAGATCACAAGGTCTAAACTGCCATGTAAATTAGATCGGACTTTTCGACGAGTTTCCAACCTCGCACATGGCGCCGGGACTATATACGCCTTCTCGAAACCCCTGCCGAGGCATCCATGCCCCTGGGAAAAGACACCATCAGTTGGAGATCCTGGTTGCACTATTGGGCGGGGAACTTGGTGCCGGTGTGTGAACCCCGCATGGGGTTTCTTTGGAAAACCACTCAAGCCCTGCCGGGCGACGGTGTGCCAGGTGCTCGGATGCAAAAACTCGCGTCGCTTGGATCCTGCGGAAATAAAGCGAGCCTCAAAAAAGTCCATGCTGTGGGCGTGGACTATGTTGGTTGCTCTGGCCATCTCAGGTTGTCAAAGGGCCAGCGATTGAATAATACAGCGCAATGACATTGTGGTTTGCGAAAAAGAGAGGTTAAGTCCAAGCGATCAAGTAATCTGTAATTTAGGTGTAATCTAGGTTCGGGTTTCACCTGCAATTGCTAAATGCAAATCAGCGACCGAATTCCAGAGCTCCCGCATGTCGTTTGGCGTGGGGGCGGACCAAGACTTGGGTTCGGGGAGTGGCGTGGCCTGGCATGATCTGCTGCGGGAGAGCGGAACTCGGAACTCTCCTGCCGAGAACGTTCTCCATGGTGGGGCATCCAGTTCGGAGTTCGCAAGCCAAAAGTAGAAATCACGTGCTGTGGCACCAGGCGGCACCGCTTGAAGTGCCGGTCGATTCGGGGAATTGATTGGACCTGGATCGCCGAAAAGCTCCCCACCTCCAGCCACGCGCCTCACCTCACCTCATCGTGTGCAGCCGCAGCCGCAGCCGCCTGTTGCCGCCAACTTGCACAACGTGACTTCACGACGGTTATGGTCACCGGTCCAAACGTCACTCCTTCAATCTTTAATTTTCCCGCAGAACCGCAAGCCGAATCGTGACCTGTGGAATCGCACCTCACCGACGACTCCCGAAATCAGGCCCTGTTCCCCGGCCCTCTTTTCTCCCTATTTTAATCTGTCTTCTCCGATGGGTTCGAGCGAGTTGACGACTTGACCCCAATTGCTCCACTTTGTACTCTCCAAGCAACCGGGAACACACGCTCGCGGCAGTCAATCGCTTCTGTCCCGCATCTGCCCACCTCCGTTTGCACAACTTTGGAACAACTCTCCGGTCCTAACCAAGTGCTGCACCGGCGCCAACCTTCAATCGCTTGTTTCAATTCCCCCCTCTCGCAGCGAATCCGATCGAACCACTTGGCACTCCCACAACGCGCTAGGCCACTTCGTCGCGCTCCTACAAACGCACCCAACCGGCGGCAATTGATGCGCCCTACCGCCCCGGAAACATGTCTGCCCCTTGTATGTGGCCCGGGGTGGTCCGATGGGCTCGGCATCTTTCTTTTGACTCCCGCTAACCCCCCACAGTGACCGACGAGGAGCGCGCAGCCTACACCCGCGTCATCGATGGCGTTCTTGCCTCGGCGGATCTCGAGACGGTGACCCGCAAGAAGATCCGCCAGGGTCTAGAGGAAGCTGTCGACAAGGACCTCAGCGACCAGAAGGTTCGTACCTTGCCGTGTCATGCCCCCCCTCCCCGGCAAGCCACCGTATTGACACCCCCGCCCCCCCAACAGGATGCCATCAAACGGCTGATCGAGGCCCGTTTCGACGCCATCTCGGGCGTCGTCGCCCAGGTGCCCACCCCGACGTCCGGCACCAACGAGACCAACGACACTAACGACACAAACGGGCACGCGCCCTCGGACGACGAGACGGGCGACGCCGTGATCGAGGTGTCGCTGCCGCCAGCGACCAAGAAGCAGAAGCGGGAGAGCTCGAGCGAGGACGCCGACGCCCGGCTGGCCGCCGAGCTCCAGGCGCAGGAGAACAGGCTGTCGCGCGGCCGGGTGACGCGCGGCGCCGGGACGGCCAAGCCCGGCAAGCCCAAGGTCAAGGCCAAGGCCAAGACGGCCAAGAAGAAGAGCGCCAAGCGGGTGCGCTCCGACGACGACGACAGCGACGCCGACGGCTCCGACGCCAGCGGGAAACCCAAGCGCAAGGCCGGCGGCGGCTTCCAGAAGCCCTTCAACCTCAGCCAGCCGCTGGCCGACGTCTGCGGGGAGAGCCAGGTATGTTTTTCGTCGTTTGTTATCGTTTTTTTGTTTGGCGCACCACCCAACTCACTGTTTGTGTGCCCTATCTAGCTATCCCGCCCCCAAGTAGTCAAGAAGCTCTGGGACTACATCAAGGGCAACGAGCTGCAAGACCCCAGCGACAAGCGCCAGATCCTCTGCGACGAGAAGCTGCACGCCGTCTTCAAGCAGGATAAGATCAACATGTTCTCCATGAACAAGCTGCTCGGGAACCAGCTCTACCCCGTCGAGGACTGACGGGTGAGGGGGGAGCTGCGGCTGCGGCTGCGGCTGCTGTTTTTTGAGCAGACTTGGTCGGCGTGCGCGGCGTCTAGGGGGGTTACTCTACTTGGTTTGGGGAGAGGGGGTGACGCGGTAATGCCTTTCCTTTCTCTTCTGCTCACACATTAGGCCCCTGGGGCGATCGACTGCCCCGCCTTGTTCTGAGTCCGCGATACCGGCCCCCACCCGACTCTCATCGGTAGGGAGGGGGGGGACAGACCGGCGCGGACATGCCCCGGCGACGTTCCACACGCACCTCGGCACTTTTCCCACCTTCTTTCCTTTTATCTCGGTCATCGGCATAAACTCATCAGCGGAATCGGCTCTTTTGCGCCCAACGCGGGTGGACGGACACGCAGAAACGCGGAGGGACAGCAAAAACTGCTAGAACACCACCGCGCGCGGGCGAACAAGTGGGTTGATTTGATTGGGCCCCCTTTTTTGGCATAGCATCTGGTTATTTTGTATCGTGTAGGGGTTGGTTGGGTTCTTCATTTTTCTTTTTTTGAGCTCCGACTCATGGGGAGGGGGCGATCGCGGCGCGCAAATGGGGGAAAAGCATTAGTAGGGTCAGACGGACGGATGGCAGGGAAGGCGCGTACATAGGTATTTACTCACGCCCGAGCGAGGTAGGTACGTAAGTGAAAGAGAGTTTGAAGATATCAATTGTTGGTGGTGGTGGTGTGGGTGTGGGTGTGTTGTGAGGTGGAAGCTCGTCGCTCGGCACGTTTGTACCGGGACGGTGCACATATACCCCCCGAGATAGGGAGGTCTGGGTACAATGGTTACATCGGATGTGGTTTATCTATTCGGTTTCAGATGTGTTAAGCTGAGGTTCTCGTAGAAAATAAATACCCTTGGTACGATACTAATTCCAATCTTCGCCTAAGGGCTCGGACTCTGTGACTCCATCACACGCTAACTCCGCTAGAGATCGTGTGAAACACTAGAATTCATACACGAATCATCTCTCAACACACGTCGCCCCCATTGAGATAGCTGACCCGGGCCGCGCCATCCCCCCCTATTCACGGCTGGGGGCCCGAACCAGTCGGCCGATGGCTTCTTTTCTCTCGATGTCACCGGAACTTAGTCTCCAAATATCTTGTCCGGCTACATTGTGCTAGCGAATGAGGATCATTTTATTGTCCCGCGCAGCTCCGGAAACCGGTAAACCTCATTCACATGTTCGCCTCGCACGCACCACGACCTTGACAGTCTGTGGCCGTGGCCGGATCGAACCGTGTTAGCCTCCCCCGTAATCTTGCCGACTGGCGGTTCACAATGAGGTGTGGGAATGATGGGTATGGCGTGTTGAAGACCGCGGACGACGGCATGGGCTTGGGGGCTCCGGCGGTACCGGTGGAAATGGCCAGGCGGCAAAACCGATCACGGATGCCTTGCATACCGATGGCCCTGCAACAGCTCCCCGAAATTCTCATATTGTAACGGCCTCGCCGTCTTACCTCTCAGTTGATCTAGCAGAGTGTACCAGTTCTAGGGGAGCGGGCGGGTTTGGTCAAGGGGTTATCAATATGCCCCTACCTTATTTAGGGAAAGGGAGGGGGTGATGAAAGCCGGCATCGGGATACCAGACTAGAATGGATCGGCGGGATTGTGGGTGTGGTGATGCATGTCTGCCGCAACGGTTTATTCTGAGTCCGGGTTAGAGGACCCCACGACGGCGATCAGGTCCCGGGCCATCCCGGCTACCCGGGCCAACCACCATTCACTCTCGAGCCGGGCGATCACTTTGCAGGGATACGCACTTAAATTGAGCGTCACCTTAATGTTGTAAACACATCCGTGTACATCCAGGCTTCGCACAAGGCTTCGCACAACGTCTTCATGTCTTTAAAGGGCTGGAGAGCGGACCGAGAGGGGACCATCAAGTATCGGAGCTAAACGTAGACATGTAGCAGTGCTGAATCGAAGCTCAGGACGGTGGGTGTCCGTATTCCCTCTCCATTAATGCATGGGCCTCCTCCGACTACCGCGTGCCGGTTCAGTCGAGCATCTCCTATATTTTCCCTTTGCTTGTCGACCGTGAAACCATTTGGTTCCTACATGGCATGAGATCCAACGGCAATCCGGAACTATATTACCCTCTCGACCGCTTTGTGACAAAACCACTCTTTGGGGGCTTTTAGTTAACAGCTTAAAACGGACCACGGAGCGGAAGGACGAACAATAAGCTGCCAAGCCCATATCGGTCGGGGAAAATGTGCCTTAATTTCATTTTCCCTAGCGGGAGAAGGCTTCCCGGTCACATAGCACCCCATCGCACCTCGGGATAAACCACAGGGTCGGAACATTACTTCGAGATACTTCCCCACAGTCGGCCTGAGGGCACTGAATTCATGTTTACCCGGCTTGGGCGGGCTTGGGCCCGGTTATGTATGGTGCGGCTGCGGCTCAGTGAAGCCAGGGGGCTCCAGAACCCGATTTAACCAGATTATTCACCCACTCGCTTGGTACACGAATATAGCAACACCGTCTCACGATACTCCTCGGTGCTATCTCAAGCGACTCCGAATGGTCTCCCCGCATTGTAGTGCTCGTGAGAATCCGGAGGACCGGGAGAGGATCGGGAGGCGAGGGCAATTCCGTATAAGTATCAGGGAGTGGTGCTCCCGAAACAACCACGATGTGCTCCCACCCAGTTGTCAGATTGCATTGTCTCCAGCAGCCACAATGAAGTTTTCTGTTTCCGCCGTCCTCGCCCTTGGCGGCTTCGCGGCCGCTAACCCCGTGCCCGTTGACCACCAGGCAGAGGAGTGAGTAACGAGCCCCCGCTGCGGCGGGACCAACTATAGAGCTGACACCTAGTCCTTACGCAGGCTCTTCCACCGCCAGGTTCAGACGCTCAACGCTGCCATGGTGGCGGCGGGACGCGAGTACATCGGAACCTCGCTCACGGTGCGCAACGACCAGTCGGAGTCCAACATCATCCGCAGCGAGTTCGGGTCCATCACGCCCGAGAACGCGCAGAAGTGGGACGCGACCGAGCCCAACCGCGGCCAGTTCAACTTTGGCGCCGCCGACCAGCACATGAACTGGGCCCGGCAGAACGGCAAGCACGTCCGCTGCCACACCCTCGTCTGGTACTCGCAGCTGCCCGGCTGGGTCTCCAACAGCGGCTTCAACAACGCCACGCTGATCCAGGTCATGACCAACCACATCAACCAGGTCATGGGGCGGTACCGCGGCCAGTGCAACCACTGGGATGTCGTTAACGAGGGTGAGTTGGAGAGGGTCCTTCCCTTTTTCCCTCCTTCTCTTCCTTTCTTCTTTCTGCTTTCCTTCCTTTTTCTCTCTCGAGACGCATACCCTGGCTAACCCTCCTAGCCCTCAACGAGGACGGCACCTACCGCGACAACGTCTTCCTGCGCGTGATCGGCGAGGCGTACATCCCGATCGCCTTCCGCGCCGCCGCCGCCGCCGACCCGGCCGCCAAGCTCTACTACAACGACTACAACCTGGCGTACCTGGGCCCCAAGGTCGAGGGCGCGGCGCGCATCGTGCGGCTGTGCCAGCAGTACGGCGTGCGGATCGACGGCGTCGGGTACCAGGGCCACCTGACGACGGAGAGCACCCCCACGCAGTCGACGCCCACGCCCTCCGAGGAGGACCTCACGGCGGCGCTCAAGGTCACGGCCGACCTGGGCGTCGACGTCGCCTGGACCGAGATCGACATCCGCATGCGCACCCCGTCCAACTCCCAGAAGCTGCAGCAGCTCGCTGATGCGTACGGTCGCGTTGCTCGGGCCTGCTTGAATGTCCCGAGCTGTGTTGGCATGACCATTTGGGTAGGTACATATCTTATTAGTACACCCCTTGGGAAACTCGGGACTTGTCACTAACTTTCTCTCCCACCAGGGCGTCACCGACCGGTACTCGTGGGTTCCCAACACATTCCAGGGAGAGGGCGACGCGCTGCTCTGGAACAGCAACTACCAGAAGAAGGCGGCCTACACCTCTTTCTTGGAAGGAATTACAGCCGGAGGCAGCTCGAAGGCGTAGAGGGGAATTGCCTAAAAGTACCTAGGTCAGAAACCATGTATATATGTACCGTCGTTGTCAATTTGCTCAGGCTGCGATTTTGCACGGTCGCTGTTGCGCAGTGGGGGTACCAAGTGAAGAAGGGTGTAAATCTTTGGCCAGTTTTGTGAGACCTGTCCAGGCACGCGTAATTTCTATCTTTATATAAGTATGTACCCCTCTTATCCGGGCAAGGGGGGGCTTACGCTAAGATAGATCATCCATAAATCGGGCGAGTCAAACTTTCCCCGCTGCCCGAGGGAGGAATTTGTTAATTTGTCCCATATAAGTCCCAAGTCGCCCACTCAATGGCGTTTAATCCTTGCGTTTATGACTTACGGACTGAACGGCTTTATTTTGAAAAGGATCAATCGCTCTCAACGGATAATGAGCGCTTCAATTAAATGAGCGTTGTCGAGAGAAGTTGCGTGTTGATGGTTCCTTCCCTTACGTCAAAATTTCCCAACTTGTTTTTTTTCTGAGCCGCAACCCTTCAGCTCCCGTCCCAACCCCCCGTGTACAGCCTAAGTTGCTCATTCGACACTGCTCCCCTTGGCCCAGGCGCAGCTTAGTATTTAGCCAGGTTTTCTCACCTTTGCTCAATAATCACCTCGGTACCTTAGGTACCAATCATCCTCGGCAGGGTACATTGGATCAACCTCGGTCAAGTAACGAAGCCTAGGATTGGTCCCATATAATGATAAAAACGCATGGCTACCTGAAGGACACGGAGCCACTGCCTGACCCAGACTTTCTGCAGGATCGGATGAGAAATGGTCCACGGCCTGGTGTGATGGGAAGGAGGACTGGTGGGGTGGCCACTGTTTGGGAAGTTACGCCCTGGGGGTGGACTAACTGGGTATGACTGGGGCCTGACGAGGCTGTGGCACGAACTCTCTCCTCTCCTTCTCTTCATGTTTTCTTTCTTTTTTCATTGTGTGTGTTTTTACCAATTTGGTCTTTGGTCCCTGACATCAGGGGGGCAGAGGCATAGCAATTCACGCGTTTGCCTATCACCCTGCTTTTCTCGGCCGTCGAGAGCTGCAGCATGGCGGTCTCCTTTCATGTTCGTTCCGAACTTGAATCCGAAATAAGCCCAACACAATTCGTGGCGGGCAACAGCACCTAAGGTACCCGTCTGGCGCCCAATGCAACGACTTGATCAGTACCCAACTCAGGAATACTGTTGCAAGCATGATTGGGAACAAGCCGACGGTTTCTTCCCCGGTATGAGTACAGTACTTCAGTTCCCTGTGGCCCACCGGTCTTGTTGAATAGGCCCTGGTTCCCACCTCCTCCGGTCCCCATCGTCTTGCCTTTCATTTCACGGTCCAAACTTGAACCAGGGACAACCGCACTTCTTTGTTGCCGGTAGTTACCGCCATACTCACCCTTGACTCTCAATAACGCAACCATGGGCAGCGGTAAGCTTCGCAAAATCTTTGGGCGTCGCTCGGAAAAGGGGGATTCTCCCAGCTGTCCTCCGCGAAGCCCCGGGGCTTCATCCCGAAAGTCAGATCAAGACGTGAACGATGGTCCACCAAAGTACGTTTGGCCTTCCTCTTAACATCTCAAATAACCTACATCCTATGCTGGGGGGACTGTAAGTCTCGAGTCGACTTGGCTGACAGCTACAAGAACCATGAGTCCTGTTACAACTGAGCATTCATCGCACTCGCAGCTAGCTCTAGAGTCGACTTCAACTTCGCCGGGTCCGGACTTCCAGAAGGAATGCGATAGCTTACCTTCTAAGCCGCTTCATGACGTGGGAGCCCCTTCGCCTCCCCACGTGTCCGTCATAGCATCGGAAGACGGCAAGGCGGATCCTCCCCCGCAGAATGCATCGACTGCATCGCGGTCTACCTCCGACTTAGCTCAGGAGGGGCTTGGGTCGGATATAGAACTTTGGTCCGATGCTCACGAGGTGACCCCTATTTCCAACCCAACTACCAACGTGGCCTCCGGTTCCGACTTGTCTGCAGCTAGGCCGTCCGAGGCGGAACCGAACAGTGACAGTGACGCTAGCCCCCCCCCGGAATGCCTGGATTGCCAGCGTCATGACGTGGACGTTTGGTATTGCCATGGATGCAAATCTTACTATTGCGACGATTGTTGGGAGAAGCAAACCCTCCATTTCAGGAAGCGTAACCCAAGCGAACACGTCAAAGTAGACCCCGAACTAGAGGCTAAGATTCGCGACGTCTTGGAGCCAAGCGGCGATCAACGAGAGCTCCACCGGGATGACGAGAAATCGTCATGGTTTGGTAGGTATAATTATTTAACTACCAAGTTACCTACGCATTTATTTGGTCTATACATATAACTTAGTATTCCGCATAGGGAACTAGCTAATTCAGGAAACTAGGCGTTCACCGGTTCCTAACCCCAGGAAAGGTACCTGCTCTTTTGGACTACGGCCGACTTGGGGACTTGATCAGGCTCAACGCTCCAGAGGATTGCAACGAATACACATGCAAGCGCGACGACAGAACTCCGAGCCTGGTATCTTTTGTCGGCGAGACAGGGGCTGGAAAGAGCACGCTGATCAGGTTTCTGATCATTTTCGGCATCGCCCGCGGCGAGTCGCGCTCTGTCGAGGCACCCGTACCAGGCAAAATGGACAGCGTAACGCCGACGTCCGAGGACGTCCACCTTTACGAGGACACACACATGGCCAAAAGCGAGACGCCCATTCTTTTTGCCGACTGCGAAGGCTTCGAGGGCGGCGTGCCACAAGCCACCCAATCCAGGATCGAGCGATGGCGAACGTGGGGAGGTAGAGCCGCCAAGACCATGTTCTCTGACGAGACGCCTTCCTCACGAGTTGTCTCGGAACGGCAACTGATGTGGCTAAAGAAGCGCGAGACCGACGGCCCCAAGATGGAGTTCAACGGCAAAGAAGTGAACTCGAGCCGCAAGTTCATTGCCAAGGAGCTCTACCCAAGGCTCTTGTATCCCTTCTCTGATGCCATCGTCTATGTTCTCGGGGGTTCGACACACAGGTACGTTACTAATCATCTCTTCTAGCTGCAACCAGGCTATTCTCTTCCCACCCTCACACCCCTAATCGGACCATACTAAGTTGATCAGAACCTTCGAGAAAGCCCTCGAAGCCCTTATCGAATGGGCCGATGCGGCCATCTGCACATCGTCAAACCAGACCCTGCTGCCTCATGCCATCCTCGTCCTCAACTCCTCCGAGGATATTGAGTCTCAGATCTGGGATGTTTCCGCCAACACGGAAAAGGTTTTTCGCGAGCTGGGTCGGCTCGACGGAAAGGCCCTTGCCAAATATGCCGACGCCTGGCGTCAGCGTGGGGAGGAGAAGCGTATCGAAACTGTCAAGGACCTCGCTCTCTGTTACTACAGCTCCGTCCAGGTATAGCTTCCTCTCCTTTGGCAGCCCAAGGATGGCCTTATTGCGGAGTTGTCTCAGCTTACAACGTGCCATTTACACTAGATTATACGAATGCCGGGAAATGCGAAACCGATTCTCACTCAGACACAAGTCACCCAGCTGCGCTCTTCTATTCTGAACGTCTGCGAGAAAGCTCGACAAGCCAGAAGGCAGGTTGGGATGCTACTTGACGTTGAGGAGCTCCAGACATATTTTCATGATGCCTTCTCTCACTACGCCAGCGATCTCTCTACGCCTTTCGATTTCGTCCAAGCTTCCTTTAGGAACTCACCAATCCCTGCTGGCTTCGGCGGTAGCGTTCAAAGGCTGGCCGTTAATGTTCTAAATTTTAAAAGGGAGAGGAGTACGGAGCGCGACAAAACTCCAGAAGCCGCATTATACGAAATCAGCTACACGGTGGCTTCATCCATCATGCTCGCCTCGGCTCGCAGTCGTCACAAGGGTGAGTGCTAGTGCCTTCGTCTAATCTTCCTCGCTGACAGCCTTTCTCATTGCTCTTAGGTGATGCTGGCGAGTTATTGGCAAGCTACGCCAAGTATCTTGATGTGGCCGTCCAGATGGTCTTGGATAAGCACTGGCCCTGCGATTTTGAGTCGCCAAAAGGACGCTGTGTGAACACTAGGTTCGGACATGCCAAGGGGCATCAGTCGAAAGACGGTCGAGTTCTGGGTCTCGGTGACTACGAGACCAGCGTTGACGGGAAAGCCTTGAAGAAGGATTTCAAGAGGGGTGTGCGCGCGCTTCTATCACAGTTCCGCGTGCTCCTAAATAACGAGGCGACTGCGCATTTCCGGACCAGTCAAGGCACAATTGCAAATCCTCAAGGCCATCTCGCGCTGGACCGGAGCATCGCGGCGCGTATCCACAAGAAGAGGATCATACCCAACTTCCTTACCAAGATCGGGGCCTCGAACATGCAGCAAGGAGGGCTCTGCATCTTCAGCAGCCAGAAGGCATGCCTCTATTGCCTTTCCGGGGCCGCCGAGTACCCGATTCCTTGTGGCCATATCCTGTGCAAGGACTGCCTAGAAGAGTCCGGCCGGTGGGAAGACACGGCCGTCGAAGTCGCCAAATGCCCCGTCGGATGCCCCGGCGGCTGGGATCGCTGCATGCTCTATCTGAAACCGCCCTCCACGGGGCCTCGTGTGCTGTCCCTGGACGGGTAAGTGTCTTGGAAATGGAATGAGGGCCTGTCGACTTTGTTTTCTAACAGTTCTCGTAGGGGCGGCATTCGAGGGATAGCCGAACTAGAGGTCCTCCGGCAAATCCAAAAGTCACTCGGCGGCGAGATTCCTATCCGATCTTTCTTCGATCTCATTGTCGGCACTAGGTTCGTCGATGCCTCAGATACCTTTAACACCCCCTATTCTCGACTAACCCCTGATGTTAATAGTACGGGAGGCCTCATCGCGCTCGGGCTGAGCTGCATGGACTACACTGTCGATGAATGCATCAAAATGTTCGAGCAGCTCTGCGACGAGGCCTTCACCAAGGCACACTTGACCGGGCACAGTGGACCCCTGTCGGTCTTCGACATGATTCGGTCATCTAGGTATAAGACGAAGCCGCTGAAAACGGCACTTCAGCAGGCCTTCCCCAAAGACCTCTACCTGTTTGGTGGTAGCGCTACGAAAGCCGCCCCGAGTCGTCGCTGCGGGTCTCCCATAAAGGTGGCCGTGACGGCCACTGAAGACGGAGACCGTAGTGGCACAACCATATTATCGAATTATAATCCCCCAGTCTTGAACGATTCCAACAAGTTTGGTAAGTCCAAACACATGGATTAGGTAGCTCTGCTGGTTAAAAGCAGGGTCCACGTTATTATCTCCAAGGTCTCTAACTGTTCCACTCAGCCGGTTACTACTTCCAACGACCCGAAGGAATCTCGGAAGAAGTCCAAGTCTGGGAGGCGTAAGTCTGCACTCTAGACATGAGTAATCCTCGAGACTGTAGCAGGTTAGGTCACTAACAAACTTATTCCAGGGCGCGGGCGACATCAGCGGCTCCTGGATACTTCAAACCCTTTCGCCACGAAGCATCTCGAAAAGTGTACCTTGATGGTGCAATCTTCCACAACAATCCGATCAGGATTGCCGATCGAGAGCTGCGGCTGCTATGGCCCAAATCCGAGGTGCCCGACATTATCCTTTCGCTCGGCACCGGAATCGACGAAGACGACTTGGAGCGAAGGGACAAGGACGACGTGGAGCCGAGGATTGGGAGCGCCCCCAGTAGTCTCGCCAAAAGCGCTTATGTTGCCTGGGCGATGAGGCCATTCAACAACTTGAAACAGAGGTTCGACCTGCTCACTGCAAATATGCAGAAGACGTTGAATTGTGAACAGAGCTGGACCGACTTTTTTGCAAGCTCCGTCAAGGAACACGACCGTTTCAAGTATGTTCGACTGAATCCTCGGCTCGCGGGTCCGCTGCCAGAACTCGATGACAAGAAGAAAATGAAGGATTATCGTGAGGATGTGGAGGATTGGGCGGCGAAGACGGCACGCAGTGACATCGAGCGAGTTGCCCGCCAGTTGGTTGCGGCATCATTTTACTTTGAGACCACAAAACCGGGTAACCATCTGGCTAACGAGAAAGTACACATCGAAGGTAAGCGTGGGCGTTTTCAAGCCATCAGGTTGTGGTCGCAAAAGCCGACGTGGGATTCATTACAGTGTTCCAATTCCCAATCTTCCCCTGCCTGCCTGCATAGAAGCTAACAAAACACTCTTCCGCTCGCTAGGGGTGGTTCTCTCTCAGATAACGTTCCCAGAAGACATCGGAAAGCTGGGAATGCACCTGAAAAAGGTCACGGAAGAGCTCAGGATGTCGTCGAAAGGAGAATCGCTTTCATTCGTCACCGAATTCGACAGTATCTCCGAGACAGGCAAAGGGGAGGAGACGGCGTCCTCGGAAGAAATCACAACAAAAGATTTGGAGCGGATGATCAGCACCGAGACTCAAAGGTTCGAAAAGGTTCTCTCTTTTGACGTTAAACAACAGACCCAGATGCGCATCTACCTGGAGTTCGGTTCCAAGCAGGAAAGGCATCTCATCAGCGGATTTCCTCGGTTGCCCAGCCAACTCGGTCGCCGGAGAGCCTCCATCCACCCCTTGCCCGTGTCAAATACGCCATCTCGCAGAAGAAGCGACCTCTCTCTGCCCAAGAGCAAGAGCTCGATCGACTGGGAATACCCGGAGCTTGAGCGGTACCCCGAGTTGGAGTACCGAGACCTCGACCGCTCCCCGCCGGTCTCGCCGGTGTAATTAGAGTTTGGTGGGTGCGACACTGTACGCTCGGGGGTCATGAGCGTTTGGACATTTGCTGAGGATATGGGATGTGATTCTAGGGGACCTGGGTGCGCAAGAATACTTTCTGTGAGAGGGGGTGTAGGGTCTTAGAGTGAAGAACAACATTGAAGGTTTCCTACCACATCCAAACGTCCAACTAACAAACATGCATGGATGTTACTAGATGGTCACACAACGAGCATTCGAAAACGCGGCCTTCTACATTCTGTCCTAGGATTAACACTGGGATTGTGATGCCGCATTGCGTTTATGTTGCCCATAAAAGTCCGCTGTCTGCTCAAAGGGTCTAGACCCGGCACTGCAGCCATGATGACAAGAAACCGCCCCCTTTGAATCATTCAGAACCACAACGAAGACAAGAAGTTGTCACTATCGTGGGGAGGCCGAGAACGTGAATCTGGACCTGGTAATTCACTTTCTTTTTGGGTCTCTGACCTTGTGCTTTATTAACTGCCCTTTTTCAACACAATCTCTTCCCACAAGCTTCCCGTGGTTCTCGTGGCATCCCAGACCATCACACACGGTGAGAACGAGTCGAGCGCCGTGTCGCATACCAACTCTTCTCCATAAAAAGATCACACCTGCTCGGGTATAATGAACCCTGAGAAACGCCAGAGCTTGATATTTCCGATTCATGAGGAGGGTTCCAGCTGGTCGAGAGGCTTGCTTGCTGCTTCGCAGCCATGATCACCGTTGGGCATGCCTCCGCGTATCCCCGCAGGATAGGTACAGTACCTACTTGTATGTACGAAGTACGTACGGACGACGGAGCTGCTGCATGCTTCGTGTCCCCAGAACCCAGGGCGTTCTTGTGGTGTATTTTGGCGGGAATAGCGGCGGAAGAGAAGAGACTGACCAGGCTGTGCCTCTTCAGCCCGAGCCATTCCCGTTGTGTAAATATATAATTAGGTGCGAGACCCTCGATCTCCTCGGATCAGCACCAATCAAGCATAGGTACCGAGGGAGGAAATGGCGCTAAAGTCTGACTGCTTCCGGCGGAGCCGCTCAGCTCTGTGATTGCGTGATAGCACAGAGGTTCCAGTGTTTCAGTTTCAGCCTCAAGTTCTTCAAACAGCCAAAGTGTAGGTACGTACATACATACGTACGGGTACCCTCCTCCTCCCCTGCAAGCTCAAAACTTTGTCCAGTCTGAACGACTCCTTTTCAGGCTGCCAAGTCCCGCGCCCATAGGTGGTTCTTCCTTGTCTTCTCCCTTCACATCCGTGTCCTGGCCGGAGTGTGTCTGCGAACCCAGAGCCCTCGTCCGTCATGTCGGACGGCGTCAACTTTGTCCAATTCCCGCCATGGGACCAGATGAACTTTTCAAGCAACTGCAACATCTGGGGCAACTGGTTGGGGGTAGTCCTGACGCCGAACCCTGCGCAGCCAGATGAATCCATCGGCCCGGCCTTCACAACAAGCATCGAACTCTTCACCGCAGCACTTCCAGCCAACGCGACCGTCCCGGAAAACACGACGCTTCAAGAGTACCACAGCCAAATTTTGGAATGGTACATATTTAACAGCTACGATCAAATAAACCCCATCGCCTACGGCCCATGGAACCTGACCAGGGAGTTCTTCACAAATGTGTTGCAGCATCCGGCACTCGACTATTGTACCAACGAGTACTGCCAGGGTATGGCTTTCCAGGGAAATTCTGATTTGACCGGTATCGGCGTAAGTTGAGACGGGAGCGACCGGACATCATTCATAATACATACGGGCACCTACCCGCGAGGGCCGCAACAGAGCCTTCAATTGTCTAACACGGTTTTACCGACTCCAGGTCTTCACCTCGTACATCATCGAAGCCGCACTATCAACCATGTACTTGACAGCCTTCACGGCATGGCATATTCGGCGGTATTTCCGGCCCGAGAAGGGCAAGGGGCATGCCGGCGGTGTAGGCAACGCCAACAGCATACGCGCCCGACTGGCAAGATTGTCCCTTGCCCAGCGCGCGCTCGACTCTTTCCGGGGTTCACTCGACGCCTTCGTATCTTCGGCCATTCTCATGAGCCTCGCCATGCTCTGCGCTTCCCTCTACCTCTGCGCCCATGGCATGAGAAACCAAGCGGCGCTCCCCGATACGTCCGACTTACCTTATCACAGCAGCGCCACCTACGATATGCTTCTCTCGTTCCGAGCCTCGGTCTTCTCCGTCCTGCCTATCCTGTTGCTCTGCTCCTTGAAGAGCCCCGGCGCGGAGAAGGCGAGCCTCTCAGAAAGGGACATGCACTGGGTGTGGGTGCGGCGGATTCTTTTAGTTGTGATTTGGATCCTTGGCACCGTCGTGACATTCCTCTCGCCGCGCGGAAATCCAGACTACAACATTCATAACGATGTCCAGGACGACCTCCTCTGCGACGTACGTGGCGGCGCAGACTACTGGGAGGGCACCGAGGGGGCCATGATAGGTGTCATCGTTTTCCCAGTCGTGTGGATGGTGATCACGGCCTTCTTCGCCACGGGTTTCGGCATTCCCAAAGTGGCGGATAATCGTTGGATCCGCAGGTTGCAGTCTGTCTGGCGGTTCGGCATTGCGTGGGCTTTCTGCGGGCTGATGTGGGCAATGCTCGTCCAGTTCCTTCGCCTGAGGTACACGATCCTCAGCAGGGCCGGGAGCTCAGACTCGCAGGACGACTGGAGTTTTGGGCAGGTCTTGGCCCTAGCCACCTGGGTCCCTGTCGCGGCCGAGTTTTGCTACATCTTCCTTTGTAAGTTTCAAACTCTGCAGTGCAGTGCCCTCCCTCCCAGGTCGTTTCGACTCGTACTGACGCCGATGGCCAGGGGGAACGGGGGAGAGTCCTGACACACCCCCACCGTCCCGATTTCAGCGCCTAGACTCGGACATGCCGCCATCGTACCGATACAGCACTGTCGGGCCGGACCCATTCCAGGTCATGGAAGAACCAGTCGTCGGAAATGTGGACCGGCCTTGCCCCCCGAAGGAAATGTCGACGTCGTGGACACAGATGGCAGAGCCCTACCAGCACCAAGGAGAGCAGATGATGTCGACAAGCGTGCCCCTCACTGACCTCGAGGGCCAGTCTGCGCCGCATGTCTATCACCCCAAAGAGGAGTGGAGTAGGACGGGTTGGTGATTAGGACATATATGTCTGCCTACTTATTTTATTAGCACAATGCCGTGGAGACGAAGACCAGGAATCACGTATTTAACGTCGGCTAGGAGCTCTGTCAGTTTGGTGGTAGATACTTGCACAGGTCGCAAGCCCAAGCAATCAAGGGAACAGGCACTTGAGGCCAGCCCACACCCAGTCCCAGACCCGAAGCGATAACGGAAGGCCCCTCCCCGTCCCACCGAAAACGCATTTGGCGAGCAGCGGCGCCAACAAACCTACTGGCCCGGTTGCTTTGGCAGGGCGCGTGTTAGAGAAGCACGACTGGCCGGAAGAGACGGAACCTGAGAGGCGGATTTTACCATACACCGTCTACTTACGCGGAAGAAATTGTCTTCTAATCTACGGAAACGGTCGATCTCTACTCTAAGGCCTAGCGATTAGAAGCCGAAGAGGAGAACCTTAAAGAGTGCTCTATGTCGAGACCTACGCTATTATCAGATATTACTTGAGACCTACGGCAGCTTTATAGAAAGTTTCACACTGGGCATCATTGACGCGGGTAAGACTTTATATCAAACATTGCCATAGCGTACCTAGGTACGTAGGGAGAGCACTATGATTCCCTTTTCGGTTTCTAAGGTTTTTTCGATTAACGTTTTAGACGGTCGAGAATAGAAACGAGACAAGAGTTATCTAGGACGTCACACCTCTTTCAGTGAGTTAGGAAACAGGAGGAAAGGCGGGAACTTGGCATGGATAGATATGATTTCCATCCTAGAATCCATTGCATGATGAATGCCGCCTTACAGGTTGCGACCCCTCACCGCACCCCATGGCTTAGCCATCCGGCCACCATGGTCTCGCACGGAACGATATAACCTGGTTAAACTCGTGAACACGACTCAGAGTGACACCATATTTACGCCGCTCTATGACCACTGCCTGGGTTGGGGGCGCAGTTGAAGCTGACTCAGACCATGTCGCTGAACGGGATTTGTTGCGATTTGTTGCTTCCAAGTTCCTTCCACCGAAACAATTATGTGGGGTGCCTGGATGCCAGGTGTGACGCACACGGCGAGCGGCCTGGGCGAGACCCCGGCCGTGCCCCGGCTAGATCCGCGGTCAGGCTCCACTCACGCGCTGGAGGTGCCAATCACCGCGGGAAAAATAGCAGCCCATGTGGTGGCCGAATCCGCCGCCCGTTGATTAAAAATACCCCACCATCCCGACAACTTCGAGCTGCAAACTGCAAACGGCACCATCTCACAACTTTTCCACTTTCCAACACCCACGCACTCCTCGTCGACTTACCAACGAGCCACGGCCTCGAGTACGACGACCTCGAGTACAAAGATCTCGAAGAATTCGAGTATTCCGCGACCAACGAGAGGCAAACGAACAGCCTCACAACCCTCCCATTATTCCGAAAGAATTACAAACGACAGCATCAGATCCAGCATGGCTTCGGCTGCACCGGCTGAACCAGCACATGACGGCGGCGGAGCCCCAGATCACGCACCTTCAGGGCCCCGAGGTGAAGGCCACCGAGGCAGAGGACGCGGGCGTGGGAAGGGACGCGGCAGAGGGAGGGGTCGAGGAGGGGGAGGAGGAGGGGGGCAACACCACAACACACAGAACCCGCCACCGCCATCACAACCCAACGCCGACGAGCCCAAGCCACCACAGGCAGGCAAGATCCCGAACTTCAAGGTTAAGAATGACACCCAGGACGAGGGGGGCGACGAGGACGTGGAGGTCTGCTTCATCTGCGCCAATCCCATCATCCACCACTCGGTCGCGCCCTGCAACCACATTACGTGCCACTTGTGCGCCCTGCGCCTGAGAGCGCTGTATAAAACCAAGGACTGCCCTCATTGTCGGGTAAGCGACTCATATCTAGCCGTGTGAAGGGGGAGACCGCTGACTGGTTGCCTAGACACCCGCCCCGTTTGTTATCTTCACCGATGACGGACAGAAGCGCTTCGAGGAGTACACCGACTCCGAGATCACCAGCGCCGACAACAACATCGGAATTCGGTATGCCGGCGAGGACATCGTGGGCGATACCGTGCTGCTGCTCCGCTACAACTGCCCCGATGCCGAGTGCGACTTTGCCGGCCTCGGCTGGCAGGACCTGCACCGCCACGTCAAGAGCGAGCACCACAAGAAGATGTGCGACTTGTGCACCCGCAACAAACAGGTGTTCACCCACGAGCACGAGATGTTCGCCGACAAGCAGCTCACCGAGCACATGCGCCACGGCGACGACAAGCCCGGCGCCGTCGACCAGACGGGTTTTAGGGGACACCCGCTGTGCGGTTTCTGCGGCGCCCGCTTCTACGACAGCGACAAGTTGTACGAGCACTGCCGGGACAAACACGAGCGGTGCTTTATTTGTGACCGCCGGGACTCGCGTCAGCCGCACTACTACCAGGACTACAGGGCGCTCGAGGACCACTTCAAGAAGGAGCACTTCATGTGCGCGGACCGCGAGTGCCTCGAGAAGAAGTTTGTCGTGTTCGAGTCCGAGATGGACCTGAAGGCCCACCAGCTTAGCGAGCATGGGGGCTCGTTCGCCAAGGGAAGGGACGCCAGGACGGTGGACTTGTCCAACTTTGACTTGAGGCAGAGGTACGAACAGGACAGGAGGGGAGGTGGCAATGTAAGGGAGCAGCGACGGCGCGGTCCAGATCCCAATGCGGAACCTCTACCTGTCAGCTCGGCGCAGCCGCTGAGGCGAGACGAACTCGCTTTCCAGCGACAGATGGCGCTCCAGACGGGGCCAACCCGACCTGCACCCGGCCCCTCGCGGGCAACCCCCAACGCGGCGCCATCCCGAATCCCGGCCGGCCAACCCATCATCGACGCCATGGAAAACCTCAGCATCACCGACCTCTCCACCCTCACCCCGGAGCAGCGCGCCAGCCTCACCCGGCACGGCGCCGTCATCGAGCGCGCCGCCAACCTGCTCGGCAACGACAGCACCAAGATGGCCACCTTCCGCACGCACATCTCGACCTACAACCGCGGCTCCATGACGCCCGAGCAGCTCATCGCCGCCTTCTTCTCTCTCTTCTCGGAAACCTCCTCCACCGCGCTCGGCACGCTCGTCCGCGAGGTCGCCGACCTCTTCGACGACAAGACGAAAGCCGAAGCCCTCCGCCGCGCCTGGCACAACTGGCGCGCCATCAACGAGGACTACCCGTCCCTGCCCTCCCTCGACGGCATGCACGGCGCGACCACCGCCACCACCGGCTGGGCCGCCGCCGCGTCCGCCAGCCGCAACACCGCTCCCAGTAACAACAACAACAACAACAACAACCAGGCCGCCGCCCAGGCCGCCGCAGCCCACCTCCGCCACTCCACGCGCGTGCTCAAGCTCAAGAATAGCACCCGCCGCGGAAGCGTCGGGTCGGTCATGTCCGCCGCGTCGGGAGCTTCTTCCTCTACGCCGGCTACGCCCAACCCTTCCTCTGTCATTTCCCCACCCTCGCGGTCGCTGGCTTCGGCTTCGGCTTTCCCTGCCTTGCCGGGGAGGGCGCAGGGGGGGCAGGCGAGCAGCCCGCAGCCGAGTTGGATTGGGGGGTCGGCGCCGGCTTTGCCAAGGCAGATGCCGCCTTCTGTTTCTTCTGTTTCTTTTTCTTCTGGGGGGGGAGGTGGTGGTGGTGGTAATGGAGGGGGGAGGAGAGGTGGCGGTGGTGGTGGGAGGGGGACGGCGGGGGAGGACGCGTTCCCTGCGCTGCCGGCGGCGCCGAAACCGCAGACGACGCTGTTTGGGTATGGGCGCGGGGCGGTGAGGCGGGATTTCGGGTTTGCGAGGGCCGGGGAGGGGACGGGGTTTAGTTGGGGTGGGGGGGGTGGAGGGAATGGGAGTGGTGATGGACAGAATGCGGAGGGAGGACAGGAGGGTGATGGGGCGCAAGGGGCGCAAGGGGGTGGTGCTGGTACTGGTGGGGGTGGCGGGAAGAAGAAGAATAAGAAGCAGGTTTTGGTGCAGTGGGGGTAGGCCTCTGGTTTGGTAGCCTGGGGAAAGTCACCGTAGGGGGTATGAGGTTGGTGCGTGGGGAGGGCATCAAGCTAGTGGCGTCGGATGTGAATGAGTATGAGATTATGAGCGAGTTTGGCCCATGGTGGTGAAAATATGGGGATTAAATGTGGGATAGACACTTTTATGTAATCAAAACGGTGTCTCATTCTTTTGGCAGTATCGGGTTGCCGCCAGCTGGCCCCGTCAGCGAGCAGTTTGCGCTGGCCTCCTGCGTTTATACCACCCGTTCTGGGTATTGGTCGCTCTCTAAAGATCCCACAAGTCTGTCCTACACTTAAAGTGCACGGCGTCAGTGGCGATTCGTCTTCCAATCGTCGGGGTATCCCGGCGGTACTGCCGCGGCTAACACTGGGGTCCACTTATAGGAAAGGTGTGAAACAATACATGGAACTTATTTCATAGGTAAGACTATCCAAGAATTGTATGTAGGTAGCAATATCCCGTTGCTCTGCTGTGCCTCCGCCAAGTTACAGGGCCAAGTCGGTCAACATGGGCAAAACGATTGAAGCCTAAGGTAAGTCAAGCACCGTCATACACCGGGCCCCTAATACACACCGGCGGCACGCTTAGGTTTGCAAAAGACACTTGGCAGCGTCGCCTCTGAAATGGCCCGTCTGCTTACAGTCCAGACACCTCGCTTCGGCCTCGCTGTGTGCGTAGAGGCAGTCCCGCCCGCGCCAGCAGTTTGCAGCGTACCGACACATCTGGGTGTTGCGCATGCCGAGGTTCCGGTTCGGGTTCTGCTGGAACAGGTGCCGCTCCCGCGCGCTATGGCGGTAGCCGCAGTCGTCCTGCTTCTTGCACCGCAGGCCGTAGGGGCAGTCCTGTTGCTGGTCGACAACGCGGCGGTGGCGCTTTCCCGCGTCGGTGTTGTTGACCACGGTTTCCCAGCCGCCCCCGTCGCTGTCGTCGCCGGTGTCTCGGTCATTGGCACTGTTGATGTTTCCACTGGCGTCGGCGCTGGCGTTGCCACTGTTGTAACCGCTGCCAGTGCTGTTGGTGTTGCCGCTTGCGTTGCCGCTTATGTTGCCGCTGGCGTTTTCAGTCGCGTTCTTGAACGTCGGATTCTGCAGCCGCTCTTCAATCTTAGCACCACCTTGCTCGTCCTCCGCAACAAAATCCGGATCCAATAGCTTATACATATTGACGGTCTTCACGTCCTCCGTGGGGTCCTTGTTGTAGAAACGGGCTCTATACTCGGGCCACGACAGGATGGTAACGTCAGGTAGAAGCTGCCGGGCCCGGAGAATCAGTCTTTCCATCTGGCCGACGTAGGGAAACTCGATGCACAGGTCCGCCTCCCCGTCCCACCGCGTCTTCCAGAACAATTGCCTGGTTTCGAGCAGCCGATCGCAGATAGCTTCCTCACCGCTCTCGTCGACATTGCGGAGCACCATCGTCTTACCACCGACAACGCTCTGGACCTTGCGCGTGGAGCGGTACGCGGTGAAGCAGATGTCTTCGAATATTGAATCCAGCAGGTACACCGATAGTAGGCCGTCAGTGGCCGCCAGGTCCAGGTATGCCTGCGAAATGCCCGACCTCCAGCCCCACAGCTCGACGCGGATCTTGCACTTGAGCACGCGCTCGACGGCGGGCATCATGTCGCGGTCACCCGTAATGACGACAAAAGTAGTCTTGTCCTTCTCAGCAGCCGTCTGAGCCGTGTACTTAGCCTCCACCCGCAACTCTGTAGCTTTATCAGTCATCTCGACCGACATGGCGTTGTCGACCCCCTTTTCCTTGCCGTTGTAGGCGCGGTCGTAGATGCTGGTCTCGAACTTCTTCTTCTCGAAGGCCTTCCACACCGAGTCATTGGGTGGTGGGCGGGAGCCGTAGAGGAACGATCCGCCCTGGGTACGGTTGCGCAGGAGCCTCCCGACCAACTTTCCAATGTCGATGCGGAGACGCGGGTCGCGGTCGCTGTCTTGCAACTTGGGCATGTGGCTGTTGCCCGACGCCGCGAACTTTTGCGCCTCGATCCAGACGTTGGAGTCGTCGACGAATATCATGCACGTCTCCATGTCGCCGGACATTGTGATGTTTGTAAAACGAAGAAAATCAACAAAAGGTCTGGTGGTATCTGCAAGCGCACTCAATATAAGGGACGCAGTGTGGCGGAAAGATGTGACAACTTAACAAGAGGTGACAAATTTGAAATCGCTACGTGGGGTTTCAATCGCTCGCCGGGTTACATAGGAGCGGGATCTGGCAATATGTGGAAATCGCGCACTTGCACCAGACAGTCATCAGAGGCCGTGCCGCAACCAGGCGTGCGCCCCCGTCATGCTCGAGCCGGGTGTCCTCGTCCTTCGGCCTTATGTACTAATGCCGGTGGTTGCGCTATGGAAAAGGTGGGGTTGTGCTGTTGGCAACTCAGCTGCTGCGCCTTCCAGTTTGCCACTCAAGACGAATAGAGTAGGGCCGGAAACGCGTTTGGTTGGCGAGGAATATAATGTGCAGCGCGTTGGGGTAACTTGTCAGGATAGTCACAAGGCAGTGCCGGAATCAGATGTGAAACGAGGCTAGGAAACGGAACAATAAAACTGAGCGGATACCCATTCCAGACCGTTTTCCTTCCATAAACGTTCTCAACACGTGACCCAAGCTGCGCTGAGTCAGGAATTGAGAGCAGGTCAAGATTCGCGTTTTCGACCTCCCTACAAACAAGGCTTACCACAAGTCAAGTAAGTCAAGTATGAAGGCAAACTTGGCTCATATTTGACTGGATTTGACTTACTTGAACTTACTCAAGTTGAATCAAGTCAAGTCTCTACCCCTATATATAGTCCTAACCCCTAATCTTTTCTGACTTATAGCTATTAAAATTTACCAACTTCTTTCAAAAATATATTTGAATCGAATGATCTTACAATCTGCCGAAGCGCGGTCGGTTCGGTTCAGTAGGCTGGGGAAAGTAGCGATAGGAATATCCCTATAAACGAATTCGATTGTAGGTAGCACAAGTCAGGGATAGGGGTTACACAGGGCACAGGCTGGGGGCATATTGCGGTGCCAGCCACTTTCTGTGGCGAATAGCGGCTAATTCAATTGACTCAAGTAAACTCAAGTAAGTAGAGGGTCTTACTTACTTGACTGGGTGGCCGATTTGACTTAATTTGACTTGATTTATTCAAGTATACTTGACTTGCGGCGAGCCTTGCCTACAAACGTGACAGCTTCTAGCCTTCGTTGTTGTTCAAAGGGTAGATAGAGTTTCTTGTTCTCGGAGCTACCAGTTCTGGCCCTTTTTGAGCAGACACAGAGCCTTTAACGAGAAAAAAAGCGGTAAATTCTATACGGAGCGTGCCGAACGGTTGTTCGAGTGCGCCCCGAGGGTTACCATCCACCCCATTCAGTCACCGCCAAACACGCACGGGACATCAACCCTGTGACGCAGCCACGATGCCAGTAACCCTGCAATGTGTATTATCTCAGGTAGGTCCCCGCCATTCATCATCCATTGTTGGGTAAAGTGGCCGGGCGTCATACTTTACTTAGGTAGCTAGGTAGTTACACAAAGAACAACAAACAACAACAATGCCACACCATGTGCCATTCTCCGCACAGCGCAATTGTTCCGGCCGCCACAGCCCGGATGTCCTGCCCAACAAGACAAAACAATTGCCACAATCATCGTACAATCCTTGTATAAAAGCCCTCGAACTCCCGTCGTACAGCAGACCAAAATACATTCGACATATCACACCGATCACTGCAGCACTCCAAATAACTCCGACTTCACCTCCATCGCCAAGAAACCACCAACTTACCTTCGATATCCCCTACACCCAATATGGAGGAGACGACCTTCCACGACCTCTTCGAGGCTTACAATGCCGTCGGCTCGACGGTCCACCCCGATGTCGACTGGGACGTGGTCTTTCGTCAGCCTCTCGTTCTCGATAACGAGGGCGACCTCTGGATCGACGTCGGCGGCGGCGACGACGGCAGCGACGACGACGGCAACCCGGCAAACCACAAGAGGGTCTACCGCTTCAGGGTCTCTTCCGAAGCCATGCGGCAGACCTCGCCCGTCTAAGAGGTCCTGATATCCGGGCCGTGGCGGGAGCGGAAGCCCGCGGCCGAGGGCGAGAAGTGGGTGGTGGCGCTGCCCGACGACCACCCGCACGCCATGGCGGTCGTGTTCGCCGTGATGCACTGCCGAGAGGAGCTCATCCCGAGGTATACGGAGGATCTGTGGCAGGCCGAAATCAGCTCGCGGATCCTGACGACGGCTGAGAAGTACGATGTGCCGCATCTGTTCTTTGCCACTGCGTCCATCTGGGTGGGGCGGTCCTGGCCGCTCCCCAATTATACCAGCGACGACGGCGAGGACGACCACGCCGGGACGCTGCAGCGGCTGAACATCCTCCGTCAGTTGTCGGCCTTGGGAATGCTGGAGTATAGCGTCCGGAAGCTGATTTCGGAAATCTCGGAGCAGAAGCTGAACGCCCTGCTCGCGGTCGCCGAGGCCGGCCCCAGGATTGGAGTGCCATTGTCTCTTCGGAACTTGCTCCGCACGGTGGTAAAAAGCAGGCATGCGGCGATCCAGTCCGCGCTGGACTTTTTGCGTCAGGTGCTGGAGGACCTTAACAGCGGCTCCGAGTCGGAGGGAGGCTACCACCCCAATCGGGCCAGGTTTGACGTTAAGGGGTTGATCGAAAAGCTAATCGGATCCCGTTCCGGCGGTGCCGCGCTTGATCGGGGCTCCTGCAACGTTACAATGGCCACGGATATCTCTCGCCGCGTGGACGAGAGCTCTGTGGTGATTCCGAAGAAGGCCACGGACGTTCGTAGCAGCGCCAGCGACTTGTTGCACGCCATCGGCGATGCCCTTGGGGTGCACTCTCCCCCCGGGTCGATGCCAGTCCCGGGACCTGCGGAGTGCATCCAGGCCATCCACAAGAAATTCGAGGCTTTTGAAGCAGAGTGGCGCCACCGCTGGACGCAGGGGGAAGAGGTCCAGGACCATGACAGATGCCCTACTAGATACTCCGCCCTTAATCTAGAGCTTGTCGGCCGCTGGGATGATGAGGGATACACGATCTTAAAGATGTCGGAATGCGCTGACTTGGCGATTCGTGACCTTCGTCTAGATGCGGAGCATCTCAGGTGGCACAATGATCCCCGTACTGCCTGCAAGTGTTTGATGTTTGAGAGATCTACTAGTATCCCGTCGGCCCGTTGGCACTCGGAACCTACCGCAACAGAGTGCCCGGCCAGGAAGAACCAACAGGGGTAGTTGGCTTCCGGTAGTGTCTACACCTAGGTACCTCACAATATCCCCTAGCCCTGGAACCCCACAACTATGGAGAGAACCGGGTCGCAGCTCAACTTGAGGAAGTACCTCCCTTGATACCTACCTACCTACCTAGGCAGGGCATCTAAGGTACTACCTATCTTTTAGAAAATTATAAATAGCCAAGTGTGTAAATGCTCCCTGATTCCTTTGTCAACCTTCCGTGTTCTATTCTACCTTACTCAATGATCTGTTAGGTATTTTGTGTGCCTGATTTAATCGATTCAAGGATGTGACCAATTGTTCTTGGGATGTCTGGTCTTCTTTTAGGGGATAGCTCCCACCGTTACCTAGGTACCAACTTAGCTGGTACCTATCTACATACCTATACACCCTTGCTATATAGGTTTTGAGACCGTTGGAAATCTCTCGGCGCCGTGCCGTCCGATACTGAAGTTGCCTTTGTTGGATGTAATTAACGTCAGGCTTGTAATTCCATTTGTTCTTGCACCCGGATCCTGTTTCCTCTGTCTCACACCGCACCATGTATCTATCATGCGACACTTACTAGTAGTCCACCCCATAGCGGTGGGTACCTTGTGTATCTGGTCCTTATAAGATAAATCGTAGGCAAAGCGGTGGTGCTAACTTCACCGACAAAGAGGAGGTTACCTAGGTAATTGGACAGGGATTTGTTCATTATCTCCATCATTCGGGTACAGGCGTCTATGATCATCCTCAACCACCACCCCCCCAAAAGTCCAAATGTATTTCAAGTCGGCAGTGGTAATCATCGATACCACCCCTCCGGAAACCCATCCTCCACATCACCATCACCCCCCAAAGCCACCTCATACACCCCCCCACCACAACACCTCGTCCCATACCTCATCACCCCACCCCCCTTAGCATCAACCCCATCCCCAACCCCATCCCTATCCCCTCCAACCCCATCCCCAACCCGCGCCGCCATCTCCCTCCCCGTATCCACACTCCGCACCCCCCCGCCCCAACCCACCACCGCCCCCAACAACCGCGCCACAGGCAGCACACTGTCATGCTCATGCAAGATCACGCCACGACAGCACGCCACCGTCACGCCCACCACCACCGCCTGCCCGAGCACGATCGCACCCATGACGGCCACGACGGCCGCCCATTTGACATCCAGGGCTATGCGCACGAGGTGGCGCTCTGCGGGGTGGGCGGTGGCGTGTTTAGGGACGCGTGGGAGCTGCATCTCGGCGCCCATGACGGTTAGCAGGGGCAGGCGCGCGGTGAGGTGGGCGGCGTGCAGTTCGTCGGCGAGGGGGAGGGGGAGCGGGGTGGTGGGGTTGTAGAAGCCGGTTATGTTGAGGGCGGAGGCGAGGTAGTCGACGAAGTCGACGCGGGTGCGGGCGGTTTTGGCGGCGGCCTTGCCGCCGTTGGACTCGATGTAGAGTTTGTAGAAGAGGGGGGCGGGTTGGTTGGTGACGCTGCGGGCGAGCAGCGTGTCCAGGCCGCCGAAGGAGAGGAGGAGTCTGGCGCCGGCGAGGGATTCGCCGGGTGGGTGGCCGTTGAAGAGGGGGGGTGGTGCGGACGGGTTGGTCGGTTTGGTCCGTCACGCAGGTCGTGCACTCGTAGAAGGTGGCGCAGCATGACTTGGATGGGTCGCACTCGGTGCTTCCCGGGTTTTCTTCTTTTCGAAAGAAGTCTGCGGGGGGAGAAAGTCAGTCCAAGGCTCCGGATGTGCCAGAGATGTCGTATTCTACGGTGGGTGAGGGGGCATTTACATGATGTAGAGCAGCCGCCGGGGGAGTAGCTCGCGCCGGGGGAGCGCTCGTCTGGTTCCCATACCGTCCACATGTTGATGCCACCCCACAGGTCCAACGGCTTAAGAGGATCAAGACAAAGAGCGCGAGTTACGTCCAAGGACATGGAGTTTTTCGAATCAGGGACATTCCTGTCATTCACCCCTGGAAGATGGCAATGCGGGTGAAAGAGCTAGTTAGCCACATTCGGGATTCAAACTTGACGGCATTACTGGAGTGACAGAAAGGGGCAGTCGAGAGTGGCGGTATTACTGCTGCTTGTACTTACGCCATGTCCCAATCCGCTTTCCCTGTTCGTACACGTTATCTCCAATGACGGACCTCCCGACACAGCTCGCCGAGCTGCGCAGCACTGTATCCGTGGGCGGCAGCTCCTCAGAGTTACGATACTCCTTCAGCGCGTAAGAGTAGGTGACGTGGCTTCCGTTCACCGTCCTGTCCAGACCCTTTCCGCCGATATTCCTCGTGTTGTATGACGACGGGTCGTCGACGTCAAAGTCAGCAGGCAAGGCCGATAGCGCAAGCGTTGCATAAGCGTTCCAGTTCCCTGTTCACGCTATTAGCTGAAGAATGAAGGGGTTTCGGTGCCATTGGGACGGTATACTTATGGTATGGTGATGTCTAAATGGAACATAAGGATAGTCCGGGTCCGTCCGATTCGTCGCATGATACCACGGCTTAGAGCTCCAATCGGGAACCATGACTGGGTACTCGGTGTAGGGTATCTCGTTTAGATTGTACGCCAAACCGAGTGCGGCAATGCTGAACCGGCCGAGCACGTTCACGAGCAAATAGAGCAGCACCGCCCACGTCGTCCGCGTCCACCGCGCATTCCGATCCGTGGCATGGTGCCAAATCAGCTTGAGCGACCCAGTGGGACTCGTGGCTCCCAAAATTAGGTCAACCTTGCCAGACGCGTTAGTAGGTAGGTAATCATACCTCGGGTAGGTATCAACGACATCTCATCTGTGAAAACGGGGCCGTGGTAGAAAGCGACGTGAACCTACATCCCGCAGACTGTGCTTCTCCCACGCCAACAAGCGCCAGCGCAGCATAGAACCCAGGAGGCTGAGCAACGAGCCCAGCGACAGACTGACGATGGCAGAGAATAGCAGGGTCAGCGTGTTGAAGCCGCGCTTCTCCGTCAGACTAAGAGGACCCTTCCGCCCGAACACGTCGAGCACGACGACCAGGAGGGCACAGAAAAGGACGACGTTCAGGAAACGCCAGGCTATTTGGCGGCGGAAGAGGCGACGGCCGGGTCCTGTGAGACGGGGCGCGGGCGAAGAGGTCCAGGGCCGCTTCAGGTTAATCGTCTCCATGCTTTTGGCTTCGAGTTGCCCAACTGAGCTGTAGTCGCGGTGCGGTAGAGTCATAGCGTATTATTTTGCAAGAGACACATCGGGTGAGTGCTGAGAGAATATCGTCGGGTTTCAGGACTACCTACCTAGGTAGGCAGGATCATGTGAGTTTTGATAGTACGGTGGTCGGTACCTAGTATGGTTAGGTACCTAGGTAGGTAAGGTACCTACCTACGAAGTACCTAACCTCAGGTGTCGGTGAATAACGAAAGTGAAAAAGGGGTGCCTCCCTCGGCAACCCGGGACGCGATTTGCATCCCCGTCGAATTTCGGCTTCATGTGCCGCGCTGCGCCGCACAGCCTGCTTGAGTCTAACCACATTCGCTTCGATGCAAGGCAAGGTGCAATCGTGCGGGAGGTAATCTGTACATACGCCAAATACCACGGTACACGGTCCGCGCGCTCAACTGGGCGCAACGGCGTGGGAGAGCCGTCGCGGTTTCACGCTAATTAGGAACCTCCCGACCTCCACTCCCATAGGTAATTGGTTCGGTTCAGGCCGACCCCTGGCCCCCGAATCCCCCAAAGTGTTAATGAGGTACCTAAGTAAAAGGCAACGACAGTCAAGTCGCCTTTTACTGTTGTGTGGAAGGGAAGTCCCTTGTCTAGCTTAGAAATCTCCTCTCCCGAACGAAGATGACTGAGAATCTTCGCGACGACGCACGAGAGGGAACGCTTGGCTTGGACCGAGGTTGTTTGTTGGCGGGTCAGGGGTGAGAAAGATTCCCAGCCTTGTGGCGACTCCCGCCCCCCTGCGCCCTTGAAATTGAAGATTCGCCAAGACGTGCAGTGGAGGACTGGTAACGCGTTTAGGTAGGTAGTTAGAGAAAAGGGAATAAAATTAGCAAAGCCTTGGTTGGAGTCACCTTGCGGCGACTCACCGCTCGACGTTGGGTAACACTGTAATATACGGGAAACAGACCAGGGAAACGGAATATTATTGAGGCGGGCTCCTCGGACTGCCATACCGGTCCCGCGGGACTATATCACATGACCACACCCCGTACATAACCCCAACCCTGGCCGTCGCGCCCCCTTTTTTTCAATCAGATCCATCAATTCAATTGAATTCAATCAACAACGCAGTCAAATCTATCAATCTGAGAGGCGCTGAATCGCTCAAAAACGCAATAAAATTGAGATCTACAGAATCTTGTTTTTTTCTCAGACACGTGACTCTATCTAAGCCTCCTGCGCGCCCTGCCCTGCGCCGGCCCCCCGACCAGCCCGCCCCCCGCGCCCGCCGGCACCGCGCGTGGTGGCGCCGCGCGTAGTAGCTGCCTGTCCCCCACGCCCGGCGCTGCGTATTGTAGCCCGGCCTGCCCGGCCCCCCCTACCCCCGTATGTGGCCTGTGGTGCTGGCTGGCTGTTAGGAATAACCTTATTGGCATCCAGCGCTTTAAGGTCGATACCCTCCTATTGGGATAGGTTGTAGTATATAGATGGCTGCAATCCTGTCACCTGTATAGGCTGGGTACCTGGTATAGCTGGGGCAGTGCCCTGTATGCCCTGTATGCCCTACGTGCCCTGTGTGCCCTGCGCGCCCTGCGTGCCCTGCGTACCCTGCGTTGAAATGGGGGCTGTTGATTGTGGCGCGTGTGGGTCAGGGGTAAACGGCTGGGAGTGGCGTGGTCTCCTATGTAACTGTATAACCCGGTTAAACTCGTAATACTGTAAGTAGTAATCTTCGTTAGCTAGAGATCTATCCAGCTACTAATATAGATGGAAATCCGCCTTCTAAAGTATAAGATCTTTAGCTTTATATCGTTAAAGAAGCTTATAGCGATATAGGATACCGAATTGCATAGTAAACCAGCTAGTATAGGGTACGAGAGGTGGTGGATTGTGCCCTGTTATTAACGGTAAAGCTCCTAGTATATAGGAGTGCTCCCTTTTAACTAAGTCTATACTATATCGCGAAATTACAATAGGAGTATCGCCGAGCTACTGTTTCCTAAGATAATTGTGTCGGAGGTGGGTTTTCTGGTATTAACGTACCTTGTAAATAGCTTCCTCTATCGCCTGGACTATCTCGAATAACTATTTAACAACCTATTTAACAGTACTACTTCCTCTAATAAGGAAGCTTTTAAGATACCGATTTATAGACTTAACTAGCGATATAGTATAGTAGCCGAAGTTAAGATTATAGCTAGTATAATAAGCTGCCTACTCCTTAATAATAGAAAGATAAGTCCCCTCTAGATACTAGATAATTATAGGCTAGGTAGCAAAGAAAGATTTAAGCTGTTCCTATGTGACGAACCTGTCTCTGGACCCGTCCTGTTAGGGTTCAGTATCGGTCGAAGGTGTTCTCTCAAGGGTGCTTAGGTTCGTCACACGTTGCTAACTCCCTTTGATCTGTTACAGTTCAGGCTCGAAGGTAAAACGACATGGCAACTCAACCGACGCCGGGCCAGATCACGGCCGCGCTTCAGAGAGTCACCGAACGACTCGATGAAACTGAAGAAGAGCTTGCGAAGACCAAGGCCAGCAACGCGGCATTGGCAGCCCGACTTGAGGCGACCGAGGTCCACACCAAGGACCCGGCCAAGACGAAGGTCAAATTGGAGCAACCCGAGAAATACGGGGGCGACCAGGAAGCCTTGCCAGGTTGGATCACGGAGATGCGGAACTATCTCGACCACAACTCGCACCAGTTCGCCACTGAGGAATCCAAGACCAGATACGCCGCCACCCGACTCAAGGACAAGGCCCTCAAGTGGTTCACGGGAACACTGAGTGATTTCCTCGGCGGAGCAATCCACAAACCCTTCACCAAAAAGGTCTTCGAGAACTACTCCGAGTTCGAGAGTGAGATTCAGAAGGTGTTCGGTGACAAGGACGAGAAGTTACACGCCCAGGAACGGCTAGGACGGCTGAAGCAGACTAGGTCAGCCACCGCCTACGCCACGATTTTCCGACAAGACTCCATGAAGGCAGAGATAGACGACGAGGGGCTGATGCACCTGTTCTACGGAGGACTGAAGGAGGAGGTCAAGGACGAGCTCTACAAGGAGAGCCGACCTGACACGCTCGACGAGTACATCGCCATGGCTGTCAAGATTGACGACCGACAGTTCGCCCGCAAACAACAGAAGAAGGGCAGCGAGGTTCAGCGATCCGCAGGCTACCACAAGCCCAACGACAAAAAGAAACGCCAGCACCAGAGCACGTCATACGGCACGCACTCGGGACCCATGGACGTCAGCGCTGCCCAGGCACAGTGGGCAGGAAAGAGAGATGGTGCCAAGGACAAATCAGGCATCACCTGTTACAACTGCGGGAGGAAGGGTCACTTCAAACGTGACTGCCGCAGCAAGAAAGAGTGGAGACCGGTTCCAGGGAAGGAAGCTGCCACCATCGACCAAGACACGGTCGGAAGAAGAACCCGGTTTCTGGAGGTCGCAGCCGCCAGCTACACGCAGGACGACCTCGAAATCGACATTGACCGAGTCATCGAGCAGGACGATGAACTCACCGACTCGGATCAAGGAGACCTGATGAGCAGCGTCCATCAGGAGGGAAACGACACCGCCCACCATGCTTTCATCGAAACGGATGACGAGGGAGAACTGGCTCCCCCGCGGCACATCCGACAAGTCGCTGAGGACTGGGGCATCGCCCTGGTTCAGCAAGAGGACGGGCAATGGCGAACCCACGAGGGTGAAGGAGGAGTCAGCCCGAACCTCATTTTTCTGCAACAGAAGGTCCTAAGCCAACGGCAAAGGATCGAGGAGTTGTCAAGAGAGAAAGAAGAACTCGAGCAACTTCTCCAGAGAAGGAACGACCAGTACGGACGACTTTGCGCGGAACTCGATTTCGCCAGGGAACGAGTCCAAGAGATCACCGAGGCCAACAACAGGGCCGGGGATCACGTCGAAAAGACATTAAGAGAGGCACAGGCCTTGCAGGACGACATCCGCCAGGCACTTCCGCACCACACACCGTGGGATGGACCCACCGAAGAGGCGGAAGGATACGAAAACGGAGTACGATACCCCGAGCAACTTTTCGACTACGCACAGGAACAGAATGCGGCGAAAGGAAGAAAACAGCAGAGCTGGGAAGAATACTGGACGCGACATCAGCACATCGTGCGCGCCGGGCGACAAACCTCCGACCTCGAATGGTGGGGTTTCCGGGGCGAGAACAACACGGAGGGATTCCAGTTGTTATCAGAAGACCACGAGCGGGTGGACCCACGAAAAGAGAACCACATCTACCTGCCCTGGTTTCAGTGTATCGCGCACGAATGTCGGTACCATTTCCAGGACAAATTTCGCAACAGTTTCTGGCCCACGAGGGAAGAAAAGGGGATGCAACCCCTACCCATCAGATGGGTATACGACAGCGGCGACGCTCCCGCAAGCATGTTGTGGGACACACAACGCACTCACGAGGGCAGGCTGAGGGTTAAACCCAAGGCAGCCTGGCCCCGACGCTGTCTAACGGGCGTAGGAGTCAACGAATGCCGAAGCGCAGACTGCCTATCACACGCCGACGAGAAAATCTGGGGATATATGGAACAGCAATCCCAGAGGAAGCCACACCAGAGGACAAGAGCGTCCCGAAGGAACGAGAGGCGCCCAACCGAGGCGTGGGTGGCCCAATGGCTCCAAGAACACCAGACGATTGATGCCGCAAGCCAAGGTGCGGACAGGGACGCCTTGAAACACCACGAGAGCTTGGGAAACGGCTCAGGGCCCTCCGAGGGGCCCGGAAATCTCTAACTCCACAACAGCGGAGACAGGCTGCGCAGTACAGGAAGAACTGGCGCAGACAGAAGCCTTACAACGACCTCCCAGCAGACGAACACGAAGTAGCTGCTGTACGAAGCACCAAACCAGACAATAGACTCTGGATCACAGCGCGATGGGGGAAATTCGAAGCCCTCGCGTTAGTGGACGGTGGAGCGCAGATGGATCTCATCTCGCCCACATTTGTGAATCAACTCAGAATCCCATGGAGGATCAAGAAGCAACCACACGTCGTCAAAGGACCATTCGACACGCAATGGGTACGACGAGAGACAGAACCACTCGACATCGAGGTGGAAGGGAAAACCACCCAAGTGGTATTCGACATCGTGAACATGGGGCCGAAGAAAGACATGATTCTCGGACGCCCATGGCATGAGGATTACGACCCAGACATCAGTTGGAAGGGAGATGGCCATCTGCGACCGCGGGAACAACGGGAGCATCCGACCGACTCGATGGGAAAACGCGCAGAACAGGAGCCACGGGAGAGCAGCGGGTCAGGACGGACCCCCTCTACGGGCCCACCGCAGGAAGCAGCCAGTGCAGAACCACGCACTCTGGAATCCGGAAGAAGCGGCACACGACGAAAGAAGCAGACACGGGAGGAACGAACCATCGCCGTCGTCTCAGTCGACGAGCACGGAATGCTCAAACACGAACAATGGGTCAATCAGCTCGAAGCGACAAGCATCGAGCTGGCAGCAGAAGAAGTCAGGGAACTCGAAGCAGCGAGCATCGAGCCTGGGAACAACAAGTTCGCGTACTACGAAGGTACGGCGAAGAACGCGAAAACGGGACAGATCCCAGACAATTACAAAGGACACCCGGCGTTCACGGCAAAACATCTTGCAGGGCTACCAGACCACGGACCTTGGGATCACGAGATCAAACTCAAGGAAGGCGCCCAGTTGAAGTTTTTCAAGGTGTATCACACCAACGAGAAGCAAGATGCAGAGTTGAGGAGCTACCTCGAGAAGAACCTCGAGATAGGACACATCAGACCATCGACATCTCCAGCGGGCTACCCAGTCCTCTTCGTTCCAAAGAAGGATGGAAAGCTCAGGATGTGTGTGGACTACCGACAGTTGAACAACGAGACGGTGAAGAACCGCTACCCACTGCCACTGATCTCGAGACTCCGAGATCAACTGTCAGGGGCACAATACTTCACGCGCCTCGATCTTCCGACAGCGTACGCCCACATCCGCATCAAGGAAGGAGACGAATGGAAGACGGCTTTTCGGACACCCTACGGACACTATGAGTACCTCGTTATGCCATTTGGGTTGACCAACGCACCAGCAACGTTTCAAGCCGCTATCGATCACGCAATCCGACATTGCCTCGATAAATTTGCAGTCTGTTACTTGGATGACATTCTCATCTACTCCAAGACACTCGAAGAACACAAGAGACACGTGCGGCAGGTGCTGGACGCACTGCATGAGCACAAGTTGTCAGTCAACAAGGACAAGAGCGAGTTTCATGTCAAAAAGACAGTGTTTCTGGGTTACGAAATCTCCCCAGGATGGGTCAAGATCGAACCCGAGAAACTGGAAGCTGTCAGGACGTGGCCGACACCAACAAACGCCACAGAGGTCAGAGGATTCATCGGATTCGCCAACTTTGTCCGGATGTTCATCAAGAACTTCGGCGACATCGCGAGACCTCTACACGAACTCACGAAGAAGGATGCCACATTCCAGTGGAAGCAGGAGCACGAGCAGGCTTTCCAGCGGATCCGCGATGCGATCATCGCCGACCCGGTGCTCATGCTGCCCGATCCAAGCACGCCTTTCGAAGTCGAGGCTGATGCTTCGGACTTCGCGATCGGAGGACAACTTGGTCAGAGGGACAAGGACGGCAAGCTGCATCCAGTTGCGTTCTTCTCCAAGAAACTCGAAGGACCAAGGCTCAACTACCCGATCCACGACAAGGAGCTTCTCG